GCGTGATAATCTCGCGTTGTATGAGAGAAATAGAGATAGTTAAGGTGTATTTTAGTGCTATAGACGAAACACATTCCTCATATAAATTACTAGGCGCTAGCATTATAGCGTACTTTTTTAGTACGTTGGGGGCCAAGTAAATTCGGTATTATATCGAATCTTCGGTTTCAGAACGTTTATTCTTTCGTCAAGGAATAGATTTCACGTATTTTACCATCACTGCTCGAGACGAGGTCGGATATCTCCACCGTCTCTATCTCTGAATTCGTCGCGAGATGTTGAGGTGATTTTGGCTGGGAAAGGCTATTCGACGACTATATCCAACGGCTCACGGACGATATCTCCGAGTCTTATCAAGCAAGCCAAGCTAGGTCGGAACAGCATTCGCAGACGGTTCTCAGGACGACAGCAGACGTCCGCGATGCGCCTTGGCGATGAACCCCCATGGTCGGAAGTCGGCACACTCGAGGACATCATTCCTTCCGCTTTGGGAGACCGAACTCAGGCACGACAATAAGAAGTGGCTGATAAGCCTGTAGCCGAAGGACGAGATACTTTGTACATATGTCTCAGAATACTGCACGTGAAGTCAATGCCTCTCGTGCACCATCACTTGAAGAACTGCAAGGATGGCAATAGCATCATTGGGAAAGTGAGTCTCCAATGCAATTTCAACATCAAGGCCACGCTCAACTCACCGGTGACCTTCTCTGACGTAAATAGGGGCACGAAGCTCGATGCTGCCGAAGTTCGAGCACTTGTCAAGGCTGTCGGGCTATCGATATCCGATAGTGCAATCGAAGACTGGCGCGTTCTTCTGGGATCGTTTGAAGACTGTGCACAGCTCGTGTTGGAAGACGACGACGGGCTGCCGATCCCTGATCCAGATCGGTATATCAGGACAGACATTCAGATTCCAGAGAACAACGAGAAAGGCGGGTGGGCGACACGATGTTCCGTCAAGAGTGCCGCTCCTACGAGCGCTTTACTGGCCGGACGCACGCTGGCAGTGAAGGACAACATTGCCCTTGCCGGCGTCAGATGTACAAATGGACTTCCGCCTGTTAATGGAGAGTGGATTCCCACGTACGATGCCACTATCGTGACTCGAGTACTGGATGCTGGCGCCATGATCACGGGCAAAGCAAGTAGGTTTACCACTGAGCATCGTTTGTGGCCAGGTGAGAGCCAGGCGGCTAACCGACGACTCCATAGCGTGCGAAAATGCATGTATGGAACCGATCTCTAATACTTCATACACCGGCGTCGTCCATAACCCTTTCGCGGATGGTTATACGTGCGGAGGCTCTAGTAGTGGTTCGGGAAGATTGGTCGCGATCGGCGCAGTAGATATGGCACTGGGAGGTGACCAGGGAGGGTACGTTTCTCATCCTTAAAGCCGTCTACGCAGAATGGTCTTGAGCGAAGGTAAATCATGCGACTAACACATGTGAAACACAGGTCGATTCGCATTCCAGCTGCGTTCTGTGGCATTGTCGGCCACAAGCCAACTTGGGGCCTGGTTCCCTATACCGGCATCCTGGGTCTCCAATCCGTGATCGACCATACCGGGCCCATGACGGCCACAGTCCGAGACAACGCCCGCCTCCTTGAAGCCATCTCCGGCCCAGATGGAATCGATGATCGGCAGCCGTTTTTCATGGCTCCGGAATCTTTGCGATTCTCCAGCTCGCTGGACGAATTCCTCTCTGCAGGTGCCGCTAAGCCCCGAGACCAGCTTCTGAAGGGGTTCAAGGTGGGAGTCCTCAAAGAAGGGTTCACTGGCAAACAAATGAACCCGAACGTCGCCACGGCATGCCACTCGGCCATCTCGGATCTCAAGGAAATGGGCGCCGAAGTCGTCGAGGTCTCGGTGCCGAATCACGAGCATATCTGCATCATATGGATGTGTGCCCTGCCGCTGCGTGGCGGTCGAGAAGCGCTCCTCGGCGACACCACAGGGCGCAAACAGCTGGAGCTGACAGATCGCGGGACCGCGGCCGCTCCGGCCATGGGGCCCAGTGAGAAGGCCCTGCTCTCGCAAGAGTTCTTTGACGCCCTGGGCCCGGGTGCTCAGAACCTCTACATGAGGTATCTGTACGTGAACGACAAGTACGGCGCGGGCTTGCACGCCAAATGCACCAACCTCCTGAACAAAGCGACACAGGCGTACGACGCGGTCCTTGGCTCGGTCGACGTGCTGGTGATGCCCACCGTGCCGATGCCGGCGTTCCCGTTTCCCGGCGGACCGGACAACAGCACGGGGCGCTTCCAGGGGGGCCCTCTCGAGAGCCTCTCGTATCCGTTAGGTGTGCTCAGCAATACGGCCCAGTTCAATTCCACCGGCCACCCAGCCCTGTCTCTGCCCGTGGGCTTTGTGCCTGCTCCGGACAATCCGGATGTCAAGTTGCCCGCGGGACTCCAGATTGTCGGCAAACGCTTCGAGGACTTGACGTGCTACAAGGTGGCGGCGGCGTGGGAAGAGCACAAGGACTGGAAAACTCTGCTGTTCGCGCAGTAGGACATAAGGCAGTGCGAAATGGTGCACCGAAGAGAAAGTCGGTGTACTACATGTCACAAAATGTTCGAAAATCTTTACAGCGATTTCTCCAAGTGATGCTCACCGCTCGATTTGGACTGTCTCCCATTCTCAATTGCCTGTCCTTCGCATTTATTTGTGCCAGACTCACACATGTTGTGTGCGCTTAGTCCCACGGCAGCAAGCTCAAAGGATCTCCAATACTCTGTCCACATCGTAGTGGTAACTTTTATTCGCAGGGGAAGGCGTGCGAGTGGTTTCCCGAAACACCTGGTTACGTGACAAGGCTGAGCCAGCCGTCCCTGTTGAAGGAACGAGGGTTTCCGGAGTCCATACCCTTGGCGGCCCCCGAAGCTATCCGGGCTTCTGACCAATGGTTGTATAATATGTGGTATAATAGACCCTGCCCTGTCTGATGTCCTGAAGCGTCTCGTGCACCGCTCTTCCAAACAGGTCAGACACTTCTCTTGATGCTCTGTCTTTCAACCCTTCGTGAATGTCCGTCAGAGCCCAAATTGCATTGTCTGTGTCCTGCCTCAACAGCCACGGTATCGGAGGCATATCGACGTAGCGAAGGTTGGTTAGCCCGTGACGCTGGAGCTCTGCGGCAAGATGCCGTAGCCATTCGGTGTGGGAGAACAAGCTGGTCAAAGGCGCCGTGATCGCCGGAGGATGTCGAAACGCGCCGGGGCATCTCAGCGGGTCGCTCATCGCTCGGAGAACCGGCACCGTCGCATCGGTCCACTGTATAAAGCCGCCTGGCTTCAATAATCTGACGATGTTGTGCATGACCCAATCTTTGTCCTGAAAGTAAACCGCTGCCATGATCAGTCGGACATGCACAACGTCGAATCGACCAGCATATCGGTCGGGCATGGGCTGGAAGATGTCATGGATCTCCAGCGTCACGTTCGGCGGCCACGTGAACTGCGGCGGAAACTGCTGTGGGGATATGTCGATTCCTGTTATTCGTGCATGGGGATAGTCAACGGCCATGTCGAGAGACCAGATGGCGTTCCCACACGCGACATCCGCAATTTCGAGCCTTTGAAGGCTTCTGATCTGTGCTGCAATCTCTGGATGAAGCAGCCATCCCAACCTTCTCAGGATGAGATAGTGTTGAGCGGTCAGCCTGCCAGATGCCAATGTATCGCGCGACATGATATATGGGCCTCGGTGCGCCACCATTTCCGCCGCCATATTTACACATAAAGTGATGCGCGCTGTCTTCCGACTAGATTGGGCGTGGAATCTGAGAACTGGTAGCGCCTCCTTCCATCTCCTCGACGATGGAGTAAGCTTCGATTCAAGTGAAGTGTTAATCGTGCGTAAATTTTGAGTGGGGAGAATCGAGAGCACGAAGCAAACTCATTGCGCCGGTTCCAAAACGACACAGGAAGTTCATGTCATGTTGAACCTAGGTCCTAAGCACGCCTCATCAGCTTGGGTCACCTTGACGTCCGGGAAAGTCGGACGACGGGGTTAGCTCATTGGCCATGCAGCTAAGTAATTCCTTGCGAAGAGTCGACGTGGCTTGGTGGCATTGAGGATTTCGAATGCTATACCATGAGAGGCAGTGAACAGCGACGATTGGCGAGAGAAGGGGTGTCTGCGGTAGCCTGGCCTTAGCAAGGAGGGTGGATCTCGCCGGGCTGTGGCTCTCCTCTCGCATGAGACCTTAGGGTGGATGGTTGACTAAATCCCAATCTCGTAGGATCGTATCAAAGCGTGACGGATAGTGCGTGTTCGGAAAGCGGGAAGTTTGATTTGTGGGTGTGGCGCATCGTCCTATTGCGAAGCACGTTAAGGCGATGCACTGGATGGCCTGAAAGGGGACACCACAGAGGGAGGAAGAGGAGGCCATTGCGGGACTCTCTGATCACTCTCAGTATGGCTCGCCAAGCTGGTCGTCCCGACGGAGCTTTGGGCGTGGTCAGGAAAAATTCAACGTAAGGCCACCCGCTAACAGGCAAGGAAAACCGTATTTCTCTCAAGTTGTGCTCGACATCGTCAGTAGGAGTTGGGAAGGTAGCCCCGAAGGCTTTTAGCGTGTCGGATCGACTTCAAAGGGTGCGTTGGCGAAAATGATGAGCGTCGTCTTGAGACCATGGAAGGACCCTGACTGTTAGCAATCGAGAGTCTTCCATTTGGAGCCAATCATCCAGGACATCGAGTTCTAAGGCCGCGTGATGAATCCAGAAAAGGAGGGGCTTCGTAATGAGCGAGAAGTCTCTCCCAGTTCGAGGAGTGTTGAGGGGCAAGCATGATCGACATCAACCATCTCTCGCTGCCACACGTCTCTTCGGCATATTCAAGGCTGACAAGTTCAATCGCCAGGCCGCAGCAGCGTGGGTAGGCTGTTTGGTACTGCTGGATTGCACTGGGAATCTGTGAGCACTAGAAATTGACAAATGCAGACTGACATGAATTCATTCTCAGATGTTGGGTGATCAAAATGAACCATTTCTTTACCAATGACGCTCCGGAATTTTTCTTTTCTCAGAGCCTTGCTTTATCATGGCGGCGGAGAATTCACTTGGGAATACCTTCGGAGGAAATGCCTACCAATGCGAGCTCCCAAGCGTCTGTGCAGGACAGAACGACATCCATGACTGTGCGACGTATCACGTGTTCAACGGACTGTTGTCTTGACAGCGGTGAGGTCTACCGAAACGAAATACCGAGGACATGGGATCATCTAAAGGGCTTTTGGGAAGGGAATGGACCTGTTAAAGACAAGATGAGCCGTAAAACCACAAGTTAGGAGGACGGTAAACTTGCAATTTGAGTTCAGCCAGATCGACCACAGAGGCCACTTGCTACCTGGTTCAGCAAACCTCCAGTTACGATGCCAGGCGCCGATGTCAAGAAGGTAGACCGCAACAACGCGAATGATTTATCGAGGAATTGGTCGAGGGCGACTCTAGAGAAAGACAGTGAACGGGTAGGAGATCAATGATTCGGTTGGAGGAGATTCCAAAGACCAGGCTGGACACACGTTAGCACTCTACTGTTCAGAAAGGATGATAGTGGATCAATGGACTCTGATGCATACCTCGTACGTCGCATTCTCTATTGTCGGAGAGCTCCTTTCCAGTGAAGGACTTGTCCTTCCCTTACACGTGGTCTCACAGCTCAATCTGCTCAAAGCTTTCCAATACTTCAAATTCATCCCTCTCTGTGTCAGACAGGGGCGCGTTTCCGGGCCTGTCCACCACTGCCGCCTTCATGCCCGCGTGAATTGCCGCACGCACCTCGTTGACATTATCACTCAGGAACAAGATCTCCTTTGGGTCTTTGCCGAGCTCTGCTGCAATCTTCGCGTAGCTGCTAGCCTCTTGTTTGAGACCCGCGTTCGTCGTATCAAACCACGCTTTGATAATGTCACGTTTGTCCAGAACAGCCTCGGGATCGTCGGGCGAAGAAGGGTCTTTGATGTGTTGGAACAAGAGCTTTTGCGCGAAGATTGAGCCGCTACTGTAGATAGATATCTCTTTGCTAGCGTCGTTGCCCACCCCGGACGTGGTGGGCGAAGACCACATCTCCAGAAAGCTCAATACATCAGGGTATACTGGCGTCGAATAGACATGGGTCTGATATCCGTTCTCCCATAGGTAGCCTACTTACGCTCAGTATTGACCCGTTGTGCACATGGAGGATAAGACGAAAAGTAGGTGAAACTGTGGAGACGAGCAATCTTTACCTTGTAAATTCTTCAAATACGCAATCTTTACATCCCGCTCAGTAAGATCTCTGACGTGGGCTTCGAATGCTTCAGGTGATGAGGCTGCTGGTTCGGGGAAGGCGTCACGGTAGGATACGAAAGTCGGGTCGTCCCATTTGGATGCGAGGACATCGGGGAGCGCTTTCAGGGCGTATGGGAACTTTTTGATTTGCGTAAGTGTTCTCACCCCTTACCCGTGGATTTGTCTCTGATAAGAGAGCAAAGGACACGCGTGCCAGTAGCTTCTTACCAGAGTATCTTTAACGAATGTTATTGGGCATATGGTGCCCTCTGATGGGTTTTCAATATTAGCCAGTGTTTCATGCAGCTTTAGAAGTCCCCACGTTTGAGTGCCTCTCACCTATATCTAGTAGGACGGCCTTCACATCCTTGAATGATTTGACCGGCCTTTTTGAGGCCTGTTTCCGCTTTCGAGCGACTTTGGTCGGGCGACTCTCAACTGTCTTTGCGACAGGGCTGCGGGAGCGCCTCTTAGTTGAGCGTGTTGAGACCATTGTATCAACTTATTTGGAGATGGGCCAGAAACATCGCCCCGTCGACATGTGCAGAGCTCCTTTTGCCATTGAGAAAAAGTTGATGGGATGAGAAGTGGTCGTGTTGCTTTTTAGCTCAGACCTTGACCTGATGGCTGTGTCGGCAACGGAAAAGCTTTTCGCCAGACTTGCCGCACCCCTTTGTCTCAGCCTGGCATTTAGAATTCATGGCCAAGGCGCTAGCAATTGCCTAGCCTGATAGATCTACTCAACGTCGATACAGAGTTATTTACTTCTGGCACCTGCATTCTCTGGCAACTCAATCAGGAGAGACAATTGATATCGAGCTTCCTCCAAAAGATCTTGCTGCCTTAAAGTCTGAATCATAGACCACGACTCGCATACACAGCATATCAGAGCTAAGCGAGAATGACCGCATGGGCATGGTTTTAATCACAGCCCAAAACCAGTGGACGAAGATGAGGTTTCAGATTCCAGAGTCTGGGCCAGAGTCTGCTGCAGGCGCAGAAGAAGACACACAAAGTCTGTTCTATCCCTATTCGATGGCTCGCACTTTCACCTTGAGATTACCCTTGAATCTCGGGGTAAACGTATCAGTCCAGTCCATCATCTCGTCCGTTGTACCGTCGTTCATTATATCAAATCTGCGAACCAGATGCGCAAATGTGTTGTGAAGCTCCGCGTAGGCCAAGCTGGTTCGTAGTCAGACCCCGATCCAAGTAGGCATTGTTTCACCCCTGAAGGGACCAAGGGAGTAGAAGGAGGAAGATAGCCCATCCGTTCAATTATCAAATGAGATGTAAGGTGGGGCATAACTTACTTCATTCCTATGCAGTTGCGGCTTCCTCTTGAGAAGCTGATCATATGGCTCTCCAACTCATCCACGTTATCTCCAAGCCAACGTTCAGGCCGGAACGAGTACGGATCTGGGAATATCGCTGGGTCGTTGTTGTACACATGGTGCGAGAAAGAAACACGGGTCTGAAAGGAGAATGAGAAATTGAGCCGAAATCTGGAGAGTCCGGAACGATAACATACCCCGGGAGCAATGCTTTCCCCGCAAAGGACTGCACCATTGCGTGGTACTACACGGGGCAGACGTGCAGATGTCCCCATAGAGACTCGAAGGGATTCTTTTATTACAGCTCGCTGGAAGCACATGGTTAGCTCCACTCCATTACCTCGAGTTCAACTCACAAGAAAGGGTAGATTCTCGAGGTCTCTCAGCGATGCAAGGCTCTTCGTATCAGGTAGCACCGCGATGACTTCTTCTCTTAATCGATTCCAAAGTTCAGGTCTCTTTATCATCCCCCAGATGCCGAACGTCAGAGCGTGCGCAGTGGTATCAGTGCCGGCGAGGAACATAAGAACAGCATCCGCTGCGAGTTCATTTGGAGTTGCAATATACTGGCCCTTTTCCCGGTCGGGATTGAGGGCAGTGCGGAATATTGAAGACGTCACCTCCTTCGAGTTGGCCGGTGCTTGGGCCAGGGAGCTGATCAGTGCTCTACATTGCTTCTTGTCCTCAGTAGGGTAAATAGTTGATACTTCAGATGCACTTACAGCCATCATGTCTTTCGCGGACGCGGCGGCCGGAAAGCACGCTTTCACGACGCTATGGGGTAGCCCTGAGAAAATCACCTTGTTCATGATGTTGCCGATGGTTGGGAAATCTGCCCATTCTCGTGTAGTTAGTGTCTGATAGAGCCAGATGCACTCCCCGACCGTTCCGAGGAGCCTTGCCATGAAAAATGGCGATCTCAGACATTGACAATCGCAATGAGGACAAACTCACACCAGAAAAAGGGCACTATTGGTGCGAACTCATGCAGCTCGACAATGAGGTTGGGTCGAAAGTTGGGAGCATCAAGAAGGCCCAGGCTCATCTGGTAGCAATAGTACATTGTGACATCAGCGGTCAGGCAGTTCAGGGCCAAGTCGAGGTCGATGGTTCGATTTTGGTCTGCTTCAACTTTCAGGCGGTGGAGGAAATGGGCGATTTTCTCGTGAATGAGTGGCTCAAGTCCGTTAATCTGAGCTTTGGAGAAAGCCTGCACGAAAAGATCTCGGTGGGGTTTCGCAACTCGTCCGTCGCTGACATTGAGAAAACAGCCCTCGACCTGCGGAGCGTTGTAGAATTCGCGAGGACGATTGAAATCGGAGCCAGCTTTGAAAACACTAGCATCGTCAGCTCTTTGGGTCTGTTAGGGTATCAAACGCAGCAACTTGCGTTCTGTAAGCGTCCCAATCAAAGATATGTAACTCATTCGGCCGCACTCTCACAATAGGCCCTAGTTTTCGTAAGTTAGGGTCTGCGCGGGTGAGTTGCTCCTGTACCATATTTATCGTGAAGTGCTTTTAAGTGCTTGACGAGTGAGTCCTTGGATATTAGATCGTGGTTCACCGCATACAGATTGGTGATTGCAGCGATTTTGGGACCTGGAAATCGCGCCAAAGGATGTAGTGTTAACCTGTAGATAATCTTGATGGCGACAGTAGCTAGGCACAAGCCCAGGCTGTATAGTATAATGAATTGGAGCGCCATCGTCCCTTGAACACAAGCTTTCTCGCGGGTGGAATGAGCACGCTGCCGAAAGACTAAATAAACGTTCACACTGTGTTTATACTCGCACCGTCTTCTTATACGAAGTGTCAGCTTCAGGCGTCCAATTTGAATCCTTCAGTTGCCCACAAGTCTGATTGGCGGAATGGCCATGTCGCTTATCTCTCTACTGCTTAGGCTGGGGCCGACTCGCTGCAGGATCCGCCTCTTTGAATCTACAGAGATTAAACTTGATCATATTAGGTGATGATACGCACGCTAGCTAACAGCACTGGGAGCGGGTCGCAATCTTCAAGGTGTGCTCCCTCGAGAGACGAGGCTTACGACTGCTGTGCTTACCTGTGGGCGTTCCCCGGATTGCTGACTTATGTCAGACACAATGGCTTGACCCCTGGATGACCCCTTAATCCGGTGAAAGCTGTGGACGCAATGCTTACTCGTGCTGCAACAAAAGCTACCCCTTTTCCAGAATTTACTTATACTCGGTCACAGTCAGTGCCATCTCTACTGTATCTAGGTGCGAAACGATATCAGGAAAACGTGTAGCGAGACTCTCAACTCAGCGAGTGCGGTGATCGTAAAATCCCGCCATCCCTCCCCTCCCCTTCTCCTAAACCGGTATATTTCTCCTCCAAAACATTCTAAGCGCCCTTGGGTCAAAAACCACTTGAACGCCTACCACTTCCACTGTCAAGGGGACTGAGTTAGCAACCATCAAAAGTCCAACCATGATCAACGGAAATAGTAAAGGCGTTGTCTGACAAGTGCGTCATAGTGCTGGAGGTATTCTAGCCCCCAGGATAGAGTCCAAAGCGGAAGGTATTTTATCTCTTCTCCGCAATGAGCACAAACCAATACCGCGCATGCAGGTCGAAGTGGATTGTTCTGGAGCGTGTGGCCACCACCGTCCCATATTCAAAGGTAAAGCAGTTGGGACAATACTTCACGGCATCTCAAGGGATCCAGTACGTCAAATATCTGCGGCTACTTCTACAGCGCTTTGGGATCACGACTAGGAAAGGAATGGTGAACAAAATGTCCGTAAGTAACGAGTCAGACCGCCACAACGCTCAGTTGCGCCGGGACCAATTGCGTTCGCTTATTCCTCAGGAGGGCGTATGTACTGCTGCGGCGTATTCGCGCAGAACTCCTCCATCGATCTATATACGACAAGGATGAGAATGAGGGAGAGGCTGGCTGGGGCCGGCCTGAGAAGGAAGACGGTCCCGTCCGCAGGTATCGCGTTGAGCGACCAGCAATTGGTGACTGACCTAGCTATGCCCGTGGCCGGGTTCGGCTGCTGGTCTGAGATCACCATATATACTCGGTCAATGTCGTCTCCGGGCTGGCATTCTAGGAATGCAGCGGTCATCCAGTTGGTGGGTCGAGGACCAACGACCAAACCTCTTCGCCATCTGCACTTTCTGGAACTTCTCGATGCACTGGGACTTGCACGAGAGTATTGGTTTAGTCACACCCAGGGTTTACCTCATCATATACCTTCTCTGGCGGCACTACGAGAGAATGGACATGCTATACTCTCGGTGGGGCCGTCTGCCCCAAGGTGAGGACCTGATGACGAAGAAGAGGCTCATGAAGTGCGGAATCAAGGACTTTGATAGTTCTTGGCTTTAATGGCTCTTCTCCGAGGACAACATCCTCTTCGTTGAACCCACCTTTATAAAGCAACGCCTTGTAGGTAGGGCCTACCAACTCCAACACGGAGGAACTAGCTTTGTAGAATCTCATGTCTCATGACAAACAAAAATAATTAAATATATTTGAATGTTTCTGCAATAAAAGCACGAAGCTCAGTCCTGGTGGACCATTTCGACAGAGGAAGGAATCCGCCTAGTATTCACCAGCTGTACGAAACCGTTGCTGTTTTGCTCGAGCTTGACTGATAAACTCTTTGAAACTTGTTCCATCTGTCCCACAGTCGCTAGCACATCTCCTCCCCTGGCGTCTTGGTCTCTTAGCTCAGGGCTTGGAGCATAGAGGCCATGGAAGATGAGCGCAAGGGGAGACGATTTCCATACGTCAAAGTCCTTTGTGGTTACCAGCACGGCGATGAAGAAGGCGAGGGTGAGAACAACGAGGGCTGCCGGAAAAGAAAGCAGTGGCCATTTCACTCCCAAACAGGTGGCATAGTGTAGAACCTGCCCGGTGACGGGAGCACTGTTGGCCGAGGCCCCATTCTGGCGTATGTACGTAGTCAAAGACTTGGCGGCGTTTTGGAACATAGAATCCACGGAATCAACAGTCATATCACCAAAGTTGTACACTGCTTGCAAAACTTGTGGTCCGTCAAAGCCCACTAGATTACCATCACCGTTCAGTTCGCCAGTCAAGGTTCCGGAGAAGAACTTGGAGAGGTATTTTTGTAGACCCGTGGGAAATCCCAAGGTGAAAATATAGAGACAGTTGTGGCCCAGCAAGGACTCCGGAAAGGTAGAGTACTGAATGTAGTCCATATCTGGATTGAACGTCATGTCATAAGGAAGCCAACGGCTCGCCGGATCGATCCGATAGCCTAGGGCCGCGAGCTGACGAGACTCGTTCTGTGAGAGGCATTTGGTGTCAAGAATGCTGGAAGTGTCAAAATAGCTGTCTTGCGTCCAGTTCAGAGAAGGCCCAGTGACATCTGTAGGAACCTCGGAAAGTCTGCCCGCTGATATGACTGCATTGAACGACTGTACACATTGGTACATTGTGCAACTGACGGCCAAACGCCCTCCACAGCTTGCCTTAGCCTTTTCTGATGCATTTTGACATGCTGGAGATGACAATGGATCTCCAGTATATTCCAAGCCGGCTAAAGGGTATGACCCTACTAAGGTTTGGATATGATATCCTGAACTGTCTTCAAAGGTCCACATTTTGCTTAGCGTCACGTTATCGCCACTTGTAAAGTTCACAGTAAGTCCCGAAGGTAGGGACGACAATATTGAGCCATGAGCATTGTCGTCCACCACTTTGATTTGATCTGATATATCCTGGCATTTGCTGCAGTATCCAAGGGTGCTATACTCGGTGGGGAAACTGCAATTGCCTGTCGAGCAAGTAAAGTCGACCTCGACGCCTGGAGCAAAGAAACCACTATTAATGGCGGACTGTATGCCCACAGGTACCGAGTCTGAGAGTGGGATTAGAGGCGTCTGAAGAGGACCCCAGTCGAAGTAGTTTGTTCGAGGTATTGTTGCAACCGCCCCTTGGACGGACGTACTGCAGTCGACAAAGTGAATAATATCTTGTGTAACAGGATCCACAGCTAGCACCAATATCATGATAACAGCACCCAGAGATGCCAACAGATGTCGGAAACTTGTTGTCTTGAGCAATGTGAGGGAACCAAGGGCGCCGCGGCTGGCCGCGTCATATTTCGCAAGATGCATGAGAGGTTGGTCCGAGGATAGCCACGACCATTTTGACTGTCCAAGACCCGAAGCGAGGACAAAGGTTATGGCTGCCTTTATCACACTGGAGAGGATTGAAAGCAATGTGTTGATTGAGATTTTGAACGGGATTTTGGGGAGAGGTTTGTCCTGGTTCGGGTATAGGACTAGGACGATGGCACACAAGGCCAGTAGACAAACATGGAGTGCAATGATTTCTTGCCACCATTCTCGGAAGGTCCCTCTCAATTTTCGCTTCCAAACTGGGTTTTGCTGAGGCCCATTTCTCCCAACACCACACCATTTGGCAATTTTGAGAGGAGGAGCAGAATTCCGCGAGTGCTCTTCGGTGTATCGGTAGCTGGTTTTGTCGTGTTTTGTAGCGACCTGCACATATCTGATTTCACTGGCGCCTACAGGGAGCATTCTTGTCACATTTGAAGCCATGATTCTCTTCGAAGGAGGTTGCTTGAACACTTACTGTGCCAGAGAGTGCAGGTAACATGTATTTCAGCCTCCTCAGTCGGCCCCCAACAACCTAAATGCAGGGATGAAACTCTCCGGGTAGGAGATAAGGGAGGCGTGTGCGCCCTGGCGTCCCGCTAAAGGGGGCTTTGAACTCTCTAGCCTACAAGTACAGTAGTCAAAGCCCAAGGCTAGCGTGACGGCCGCACATCCTGGCTTGTAGGAGGCCAGGTATTGGAACGCAGAAAGAGGCGTGAGGGGTTTGGACGTATTAGTTAAAAGAGTGAGATTAGTTGATCATCTCAGAGGGGCGCCTGGCCGTTGAAGCTGATCCCCCAGGCTGAGGGGTGAGGAGTCCCCGCACTCCAGTTGAAGGCGAGGCGTTTGGTATATAGGTGCGATTCTAGGCAGTCTGGTAATATTGTAGTTCAACTATCCCACGGCCAGGTCTTGGGGCGAGTCAAAGGGGTGACACGGGGTGAGCGGCTCTACCCGCGCGACTGGCTAACCTAGTGCCTACTTGTAGACACTTAAGGGGCGTCACGCTAGGGGAGTGCCGGCACTACCTACCTTAACAGGTAGGTCTAGAAATGGAAATGGATTGTGGAGAGGTCGAGATTCGCCGCCGAGTACCTCGTACCCCGTATTGTGGTATGTAACCGACATTCCGCGTGAAACACAAGCTGAATCTAGTGGCTTTCACCATTCTCTCACGACTGACGTCTCTTTCGATACTTGGCCCCACGCCCTATCATTCAAACGACAATGGGCCTTCGTTCCGCAGAGATGGCGTCCTTTAAGACAGAGTGAGTCCCCTTCCACAGCACAGGAATGCCCAGTTGGTCTCGAATGTCCAGGCTCGAACTAACGAGCACGCCATCAGTTTTCCCCCAGTGCGCGCCTGCATTTTTGATCTGGACGGGCTTCTCCTCAACACCGAGGACATCATCACGTTATGCACGAACCAACTGCTTGAGAAGTATGGGCGACCTCCCTTTGTCCCATCGATTCGAGCCCAGCTCATGGGCATCCCAGACTCGATCAACGGTGAGGTCTTTCATCGCTGGGCCAGGTTGCCTGTCCCCCGGGAAGACTTCGCCCGTGAACTGTCTGAGCAGATGCGACTGCAGTTCCCCAATTGCAAGCCACTGCCTGGCGCAGTGCAGATTCTGTCCAACCTCAGCCGGGCACATGTTGCTGCTTCCGGGGATCGAATCGAACTCGCACTCGCCTCCACCTCCAAGAGCCACACCTACGAACGGAAAACTTCACAGCCAGAAGCGAAGCACTTGCTTGCCTTCATTCCGCCCCACAGACTAGTCCTAGGAGATGACCCGCGAGTGCGAGAGGGTCGAGGGAAGCCCGCCCCCGACATTTACAATGTCGCGCTTCAGTCGTTGAATACGCCACCAGGTTTGAATGATAAGCCTATTATGCCCAACGAATGCTTGGCCTTTGAAGACAGCGTGATCGGGGTCGAGGCGGCGAGACGGGCTGGCATGAGAGTTGTTTGGGTCCCACATCAAGATGTGGCGCTCGAATACCAAACGAGGCAGCGGGAGGTGCTGGCTGGGAGGACGGGATTGATCGAGATCGGCGATGAGTGGCAGCTGGGGGAGATTGACGACGACTGGGCCGAGTGCATTCCGAGTCTGGAGCAGTTCAACTACGAGAAATACGGCATTGAAGTTCCGACCTAGATTCTCCCTGATGGAGAACTAACTTGGACCGATTCTTGTCGCAGGACCATACGGCCCGGTCACTAACCCTGAGTGCGAGGAGCAGATATAGGGTATAGCATGCTCAATCACACACACCAACCACTTCCCAAGACGTGCCCCCTGCCAACCAATCAAACGGCACAGCAGCGAACGCGAGACTTTGCGACAACAATGGGCGCGTCTGGCCAAATATTTTCTCAACAGTGCGAGAGAGTGAGCTCGATTGATGAGGCGACGAAGGATATTTACCTGGATATACGTGGGTATGTTATCCTTTAACTTCGGCCGGAAATGCGCAGACTGGGTGGAAAGCAACAACACACTCATTGAAGGATACATTCTTGACACTTAATGTATCCTCAGATCAGCAATCACTTCGGCAGCCCTGATTTTCCTGTTCCATCCCCTTTACATCCCGACAAGATATCCCCCCTCGAGTCGATGGGTGCTGGTCTATATTGCCCAATGCCCAACGCCCACATTCCTTGCTTCGAAACTCCCCAGCTCGCACGCCTTGGACAGTCGCTCACAACTGCGGCGTCCGCCTCACCCTGTATAGGAAATATCTCGTGCTTGGAACCAAGGACCCCCTCGAAGTCCAGCCCTTATACGACAAAGTAAAGGGAAGGGAGGAATACTATTCATCGAGTAAAACGGTCATGTCATATCGCTAACCTATTGCAATGCACGAGGTCCTGTCGAGGGCAATCTCACAGCAGAAGGCCAGCCACAGCCAGTCCCAGAAGCATGCCGAGCTCGAATGGCGGAATGGGTCGCTCTGCACGATTCGTTCCCGTCGTAGGAACGAGGATGCCGCTTGCCGACGTGGTTGAAGAGGATGTCGTCGAGCTCGGCGACAGCGCAGGCGTCGTTGGCGTGACGACCATGGAGCGTGAAGAATTGCCCAGAGACGTTGATGGGGATGGTGGTGGTGATATCGAAGTCGACTTGTCCGAAGAAATGGTCAACCCGGGGCCGGGCTCGACGGTGGCCTGATAGGGAGAAGTGGTGACCAGTGTCAGCGTTGCCGTGACGGTCGTCGTGTGCATCGCCGTTGCAGAGACCTATCCTGCGTCAGCAAGGCAACCCTCCCTGATCGAAGACAGTACCGAGCAAGCGGGGAGGAAACAAACCTCACTCGTCGACGAGCTGCTTCCACTGATCGCCGTACTCGTGCTCGCACTCGACGTCCCGGAACAAGTCCAAACGCCGCCCCGCGTCGCGTCCGCCGACGCAGATCTCGCAGGGGAATCTTGCCCGACCACCCAGACCAAGTTGCGGTCCCACATCTGCACGCTCGCCTCGACGCTCTTGTTGCAGAACACGCGATCATTCAGCGCCAAGCTCCCATCGACGTGGTCATCACCCGCACCGTCACCGTCGCCATCGTCGCCGGCGCCCGCTGCGCACCCGCCGTCCAAGCACGCGCCCAGGGCCGCGCGGTACGAGCAGTCCGTGCAGATGCATCGGCGCAGCCTCGCGGAAGGCGGCTCATCCGCGGCGTCGGCGCCCGTGGTGGTGGCATTATTGCCTCCGTTGCCGCCGCCGCTGCCGCTGCTGGAGAGGATGGAGCCGCACGACCCAAAGGCCTGGAGGAGCGAGGTGCTGAAGCACGTCTGCGCGCAGGCCGGGAGCTGCGTCCAGTTGGTATACTGGGCGCTGACGGCCGGTGGTACACGTGGGAGGAGGACAAGAATGCCGCTGGCGGCGAGGAAGGTCTGGACGAGAAGCATGGGGAGAGTCATGGTATTTTTCGGACTGGGGAATGGGGGCTAATATCCGTTGTCTTCTGGTGTTTCGGGTTATTCCTGTTGTCAGTTTGATGTGGAGGTGGTTGAATGAGTATCGTTGGTGTATACCAGGTAAACAACCTGAAGAGATCTCCTGGGATTTAGATCCTCGATCAATCCAGTATTGTCACTTGTGAGGCATGACGGATCATGGGATGGGAGCATGGGAGCATGGGAGCATGGGAGCAATGTCACGGCGGTTCCTTGTTCATCACGCGCCATACTCAGTATCGTGATAAAGGCCGACATCACCCTTCGTTTGATATAGCATGACTCGACACCGAGCACTATTACCTGTGACTTTGTGACCCATTAAAACTTCTCAGCATGGTGCTGAACATCAACCCGAAAGCTCGCCTGTGCAAAGTCGTAGTCCCATGATTACCCTCATTAACCGAACAAAAACCATGCCCCAGATGACCATATTCATTCACTGCAGCTATTATCAAGGTGCCAAATGAGCCTCAACTATTGCCTCCCATTCCCGGCCTGAATGAATAGACCTCCACATTGAGCGTTCAGGTTGTCGGCCGGCTTCTCCTCTGGTAATCACAGACCAAGGATCAAGACCCAAATGGTCGCGAGCAGACATGTCGCAAAGATAGCTTCGAAATGGAAGTCCAACTCCCTCGCACCGCCTGTTTGACTTGGTAGTACGTTTGTGCTTGTACTTGTACTCCGGGTTGTCGGAACGGTGATAATGCTACTAGTACTAGTAGTAAGACTGGCACCGGAATGAGACGTGATGATTAAAGATGTAGGTTGGGTCTGCGTTACTGGACCTGTTAGGGTGATGAAGTCGCTGCTCTCGCTGCTGCCACTGGAAGTTCCACTGCTACCGCAGCCAATGCTGCATTCGATGCTTCCGTAGGTGATTCCACTATTGCTGCTAGTTGTTGCCCCGGCCGATGCCAAAGTCTCTTGCGTAGGATATCCTGGACCGCCACTATATGGCTGCCCGCTTGTCAGAGCTGTTGAAATGATGATGCTTGCTGTTGTGTTTTCCCAGTCTGGGATTGAGCTTTGGCATGACTGGGTGATGGGTGAGGACGACACGGGGTACGTGGGAAGAGGTCCGGGAGTGTTTGTAGATAACGCTGGCGTTACCGTTGTTGTTATGTAAGATGTGCTTGTGATCGATATGGTGATTGTCGTGTTATGCGAACAAGGTTGAGCCTCTGAGCAGGGACCTCCTGGGACACTGGAAACATAGGTAGTTGGAACGAAAGTAAAGGGAGGCGGCGGGACTTCTGGGCTCGTTGAATGAGTAGATGTAAGAGACGTTATGCAGGAGGTATCCGAGGCGGAGGCGAACGAGGGAAGGGGATAGGATAGGATCGAGGGTAGACTGAAAGGAGCATACGAAGAGGAACTGATGGCAGAAGTGCACGGAGAACAGTCCAGACCAGACACAATCGTCGAGGATGTCGCTGGAGAGGAAGAACTGGCACATGGAGTAGAGGAGGAGGGGAAACCAGGATATGATAGGGTTAAGTCACCCTTTACTGCGTCAGATAATGTCTTTCTTCTTTGACAATCACATACCTCGGTCACCGTTAGTCCCTTTGTATTCGTATTCGCCATAGTAGGTGATGCTGCCGCAGCTGCGCAGATGAGGTTGATACTCGTAGATGTGGTCGCTCCCAACGTACCACCCACAGACCATTCTGGATAGACATCTTCCCAGGAAACCGCTGCGTCGACAGACATATTGCAGAAGACTTGGTCGTTTGTAAGTAGAATTTTATCTGTGAGGTCTGGATCGCCGCAAGAGTTCGACGTCGTGAGACAGGATCTCAATGCGTCGTCGTAGGTGCAACTGGAGCAGGTGCAGAGGCGTATGGACAGCCGGGACTTCGAGGTTCCGCAGTGGCTGGTGATGGACATGAGAGCCTCGTTGAAGCATTGTTGCGCGCAGGAGGGAAGGTCGTCCCAACCGTCGAAGTGAGCGCATGCATAGCCCACAGCTATCAGAAGCAGCGTTAAGATGGTGGACTTTGCGAAGGCCATAACAGTACAAAGAAAGATAGCTGATCGATATGTTAGGAAGAGGGAACGAATGGTAAGTGATGGGGGAAGATTATGCACAAACAATGGACTGATGGCGACGGCCTCGATTTGGAAAACAACAAGAACTTATACACATAAAACTAGGTCGGATACCCGATGTCGGTGACGAGAAACACTGCCTGAGATTTAATCTGAAGATAGTGATACCGTCCGCTGCTGTGAATCCATGAGAATGTGTCATGCTCAAGTCGGTAGAACAAGCCCAAAAGGCCATTCGCTCGATCGTTAGGGGGCTGTTCATATTGACGACGTCGAAGGGATACTCGTCAGTTGTCTACAATGATAGTCACAGAATTTTTCAAGGTGTAGGCGGTGGCTCTCCGCCCGAGCAGCACCTAGTTTGATGGCAGAATACAACGAACTGGGAGACGGCGACTTCAGCTGGAGGGTTCTGGAAGCCTGGATGGCTGATGAGAACGAAATGCGTTGTCACTCAAACAATTTTGCACGATACCTTTGAGGAAGAAGCGTTGGACCAAGAAAAGCGAAGCAACCGCACAAAGGAAGGCACCGTGGTACCCATCGGAGATATCTTGTGGAACTTCACGAGACGTACAAAGTTATCTGTGTGACTTCGGTAGGCGGGAAGCATTCGGCCATAGCGAGCCGTTGATGGAGACTCCCGGATCTTGCAGCGGTGAGCCGTCACGGTGTTTTTGAACGTGCAACCCAAGTGCCAGCATTCAAGCAACAGTGTCGTTGCGCCTCTGTCCTAGTTGTCTTGCAAGACAAAGTCCGCTTCCAGCTGGTATCCAACATTCAGAGCACTTGATTATCCCAGGATGGGTTTCCGTATGCCGCACCCGAAAGAGAAAGTCGTTCTCGTCTCATCAGAATATCTTGCCAACAAGAATCCATGTCATTAAAAAGCCTGTCCCAAAGACACCGAAATCCCAGACGCAGGCACGAGGGGCGCCGTTGAAAGATTGCGCTGCGATGACGGTGGGAAAGGCAGACGCGGTCCAAGTGCCGTTCAACTTGCCGCTCGACGAGGCAGTGCTGGACAGTTCCACCACAACTGTCGAGGTGCTGGTAATCAAGCCTTGAAAGGTAGTTTGGGCAGAGTCGGAATCAGGGCATATGGTTGAGGTATTGGTTGGGTGGATTGTCGACGGGAAGATTGAGGACATCTGCAGAGGATTAGCTCTTCCGAACACGGGCTTGGGCTCTCAGTGTGGTAAAGCGACATGCCTGAGTTTGAGCGGGAACCGAGACTGTGGACGAAAGACTCTCGCCAGACGGTGTCCCCAACGTGGCCGTCGCTGCGCCCATGGCCGCCGTGTAATCAAAGCCGCTATCAACAGAAGTGTTGCAGAAGACGGTGTTTTTGAAGACCTCGACATCGTGATTGATGGGGTTGGAGTTGCAAGGTACGTTGGCTTGGAGGCAGAGGTCGAACTCTTTAGCGGCGACAGTGTTCCGGCAGAAGCAGTCAAGAGATACATGGGCGCAGGTCGCGAGAGAGTCGTTGACAGCCTTGGTGAAGCAACCTTGCTGCGAGCATAGTCAGTCTGGGTGAACGAACGGTTTCTTCTCGAGCTGAACTTACAGCGCAGTAAGGAAGCGCGGTCCATCTCTCGTAGGTCGCATTCACAAAGGGGGAGACGATCAAGGATAGAGAGCATAGCAGGATAGTCCGTAAAGACGCCATGATGGGTGACTGGGAGTGTGGTGTATGAAGAATTTGCAGGCAAAACAACAGTCAGATAATGGGAAAAGTCATCTAATTCCTCTGCTGAACCGCACCTTGATATAGTCGGCACTGTCACCGTCAATCACATGATTATCATTTTCCCTTCACTGGGTTAAGGAGTGATAGATTGGACATTCACATTTTTTGCCTTGATCAAACTGAACCTGGAGTCAAACAATAGTTGCAGTGATGGTCTCCGACCGCCTCCACTGGCAGATCAAGCCACTCGAAAGAGCAGGGTTTAACATACCACTGGCCAAGTAGATTCACGGTAAATAGGGTGCACTTTCGTCGATGTCGATATGTTTCAAAACATGTATTTGATAAAGGGTGCGGCATTGTCAAGGAGCGATTGTGAGCGGGCGAATGATGGAGTGAATGAAAGGTGTAGATAGGTGAGAGCAATGGAAAAGAACAGCCTTCCAGGTCTAATGCCATCGAGCTGCCTGGAGGCGCTGAGGAATCACCTTTTCAATCGAGTATCAGTGTTTTCAATCCTCATATTATTGTAGACCTTCCATTCAAATCGGGTTCTTTGACGAGACTGATACTTTTCTACAGCCTCTCCAGCCGTCAAGTAATCAACGACTTCTCCCACCATGCACATCTCTGGTTTGAGGTATCATCTTTGACCCGTGCAATCGTAGTCGAAATCGAGTTCATGCTGGCGTTCTGGCCCTGCATCGGGAACGGTGGGAGCCCCTTTCCATTCGGATTTCCCGTCATGATGAAGTTGGTCAGGTATGCTTGGAGGGTTTTGGCGACAGGTGCCACCATGTCCTGTGTCAGGTTGGTGGGTTGGCCATTGTAAAACGTGTATTGCACGTCATACCCATGGAAGCCCGGTGGAACGGCGAATTGATAGGCGTAAGTTTTGTTGCCGTAGGCTTTGTTGAGGAAATACGTGTTGCAGGTAAAGGACGACTCAGTGACGAACAGGATTGTTCGCTCGATGGGAGACTTATAAGGCTGGCTTCCATCGTAGATTGCTGGGTAGAGTGTTTTGACGATGTAGTCGACCGCTGGAGCAGGTGCCTCAGGATTGAGCGAGACGATCATGTTTTCCAGCTGGTCATCGGTTCGTACATTGGGTGGTGTGAAAGCAGGCCCTTCGCTGAGCATATGAGACACCATGATGCTCACGTTCTTTGCAAATTGTCCGGCATTGAGAAGGGTGCCAGGTAGCGCCGGCACAAACACCGCATCGACGGCTGGCCCATACGTGAATCCTCCATATGTGGATGCTCCCACTTGAAGAGCGTTGGCTTTGATCACGGCCTCAGAGGATACCTGCCTGGCTTCCTGGATTGTGCTGACATTAAGCAGCGACAGAAACGTCTGGGTGACGTTTTCTTGGACAAAATATGACGGTGTCGGAAGATAGCCAGGTGACTGTGGGATAGCTTGCTGAAAGGGGACTCCCTTCTGGCCTCCAAAGGCGGTGATCTGGTGGACGACCGAGCCTCCCCCAGCCGACTCGCCCATGACGGTGACACGGTTTGGGTCGCCACCGAACAAATGGATGTACTTCTGAACCCATTCTAGAGCCAGACGCTGATCATAAAGGCCGGCATTGGATACTCCTCCAGCGGCCTGCAAGGTTGGGCCAGCAAGCCAACCCATCGCTCCTAGTCGGTAGTTCATGGCCACAAAGATGATGCCCTCCCCTCCATTGGCCTGGCTAGCTTTGATGAGCCCACTCGGGTTACCAGATCCCTCTTTGGATCCCAACGTATACCCGCCACCGTAAATCCTAATACCGATAAGCAAAAGGTTTCGCGAGCATTCGGTCAACATACCAGACGACTACCGCGGCACCCGCATTTTGACGCCGCCTGATTCGACTCTTCGAACCGTCAAATACCTTCTTGGGCACGATCACATCCAAGAACAAGCAGTCTTCGGAGGTCCTTGGATCTGGCGGGGTAGGGTTGGCGTTTTGTAAGGCAATCTGAAGTTGCTCTTCGGCCTGAGTGAGGTTGAAAGACGACGCGTTCCCCGCTATGAGATATTGAACAAACTCGGCGGAGATTGGATACCATGCAGGAAGAGCTTGAGGGCATATTCTGCCCACGCTCCCGTTCTGCACGGCATTGTTTCGACCCGTTGGCGAAACAGGGGCAGCAAAGCGAAGGTCACCTATTGGAGGCTGGGCGTAACGTATGTTTGAGAAGTTGTACGTCTGTCCAGTTTGCTTTGGAGGAGTGTCAGTATGAGCGAGGTTCTGCTTTTCACCGTCTGAAGACATACGTTGAAACTGATCGCCTTGTGGATCTCGTAACCGAGATCAACCTGGGGAAGAGTAGCCTGTGTGCGGACAAGAGGGCACAGAAGCGTAATCGCCGCAAGCAAAGAAGTGGTGAAGGACAGCATCGTGCGACAGTCGAGGAGAAGGCTGCCTGTAGAGCACTCGAGAGAATTCCCAGCAGGAGATGCTCAATGGGGGAAACACCGACTATATGAAATACTTCTTTACCGCCACTGTCCTAGGGAAGCTTGGTTAGAACGGGCGACTGGGGTAATGGTCGACGCGGCTTTTGAACATGCATCAAATGATTGCTTGGACCAAAGTCGAGAGCATTTCGAGCTGCCAGATCAGGAAAAAGCTCCATCCTAAACACGGCAATCAACTCCACGGTCCGGATACGAGGTGATGACTTCAACCACAGAGATGGAAGCATTGCAGGGATGGAGGAGCATGATCTACCTCGGCAGCATATCTGGAGAGATGGGCCAATGCATTCGATCCATCAGCCCCTCTCTCGCGTCTTCCATTTGCCAGGAGAGGGCATCCCGAAGACAGCGACAGAGTAAGTTGGCTCGTCGACGTCAGTACGTCAAAAGCTGGATCAAAGCGGAGTATGAAACGTGTCCGTCCCCGGACGCAGCCCGGGCCTGAAAGGGTGGTTGGCTGCGAGGTTGAGCATCATGGTCTCCCATCAAACTAGAAATGCAACTAACGGAGCTGCTGCGACATCCTGTTTGGATGATGGGATCTGTCCCAGCAGGACTTTGTGGAGAAGCGTCGCCAAATACTGGAAATGAAATGCGGGGGGTGGAGGGGAATGGTCATGCAGTCTTCGGCAATGTCAAGGCAATGCTGGTCGGCCCATTTTCTGCCCGAGACACAAGATAGTTGGGCATTTGCCAACTCAATGGAGCCCCAGCAGTGGTGGACGGTGCAGACGGAGAGTGTAGACACTAGGAGTGGTGACGGTGGTGGCAGCAGGAGAAGCAGCTGAGCTAAACGCGGGCGAAGTCCCGATCAAAACCGGTTTGAGGCCTGCCAAGAGGACGAATCTCAATGGATCTTAATGATGAGCTAATAATACAAGAGGGGCAGCCAAACACCACCAGGGCAAGGCGCCAAAGGGAGGAGGCTGGCTATCAGACACCCACGGCAACCATGTCCTCCATACCACCCAGAAGATCTAGGAGGAGCACCGTATCCAGCGTATGCTCACCGCGATAATATCTGAACATCCACTTTGCGCGCATGGTTTGATCAGCAACATCGCTTCCTCCGCCAAACCTCGTCGGCGTTGGCCATGCCTTTGCTTTCGGGCACAAACACGACCACAAATACCGCCCAAAACACAGCCACGCCCACGAAAATCCACCATACATTGCTTTCAAGGATCTTGTTCAAGATAGGGAAGAACATGGCCACCAAGAACGTCGACAACCAGTTGGCTGCAAGTGCCCAGCTCGAGACTGCTCCCACCGCTTCTGGTCCGACAAGCTCACTTGCTAGTATGAATGGAATCGGTCCCAGCCCAATGCCGAAACTGGCCACGAATAGTCCAATGGCTGCGATCGTGAGGGCTTGAATGTGCTTCGCTAGTCCAGCGTACAGCATGCCTGATGCCGCCCCCATCCCAATAATCGAAATAAGAAGACAAGGTTTTCGTCCAATTTTGTCAGGTAAGGGCGCGGCCAGCAATGTGACGACCACATTTGCCCCCGAGACGATGACGGTGACAAGACCAGCGTGCTTGGGCATGATCTTACCCAGAATGGCGACACTGTACATGACAACGCTGTTGATTCCGCAGAGCTGTTGAGCCATCATGGTGCCCGTCACGGCAATCAATGGCCGTCGGTACTTGGGCATTTTGACCACGTCGATGATGGATCGGCCGGCATCTTTGCGTGGGCGCGGGCCTCGTGGGGATGCAAGGAGGCTTTCCTCCTCCGCCTCTCCCGACATATCCCAACCCTCCATCTCCTCCCGAATATCGGCAGCTTTTCCCCTCAAGCGTTGCAGGATACCCCGTGCCATCCGCGGTCGATTGTTTGCCGCGAGCCATTTGGGGGTTTCTGGCGTGAGCATGAGGCCGAAGAACATGAGCCCGGCAATGAAGCCGCCGGTGGCCAGCACCCAGCGCCATTTGTTGGATTTGGACAAGAAAAAGCCCAGCAGTTGTGCCACCACGATGCCCGAATTGATCTGGACTTGGGTAAAGGCCCCAAAGAAACCACGCCGCTTGGGGGGCGCTACTTCGGAAACATAGATGGGAGAGACGACGGTGGCTGCACCGGCCCCCAGTCCAGAGAGAGCCCTGCCCAAAGCCATCAGCCATATTTTACCCGCAAGTGCTTCGGCAATAGGTCCGCCCGCCAGGAAAAAGGTCGCCCATTTCAAGGCAAACAGACGACCAAATCTTGTGGCGACAGAACCGCTGACAATGGCCCCGAAAAGCCCTCCAATGGTAAACATGGACTGAACCATTCCCCATTGGAAAGGGTTCATTGGAATGCACTGAGGAAGTCCGAGGGCGACATATCCGGGGAGCTGGTCGACTTGGCAAGTGATGACTTTTTGAGGGGCATTGAGTTCTCCCTGCAGTCTGTCAGTCATGTCCCCCCATCATATCTTGAGGCCCAACAGCACTTACCAAGTGGTAGCCAAAGAGCAGAGGACCAAGAGTGACCACATAGACGGTATAGATGAGGAAGAAAGTGGAGCCTCTCGGCTTTGAACCGGCCATCAGGCCCTTGGGGGGCAGAGTTGGAGAGAGCTCGGCCTGTTTGTGGGCCCCGTAACCACTGCTGGCTCTGGTCAGTACAGCTCGACCCATGTTGAAGGAGACAGTTGGTGATGGAGGACTCGACCTGAGACGCTCCAAGAAGACCACGCACCCTTATAATATGGCCCCTAGAGACAATAACGCGGGATGCGATATGGGATGCGATAGGGACGCGATACTGGACCCAATGATGTCGATGGTGTCGTAATGATGCAGATAGACTGCGCGCAGGCAGACGGATTGTTTGGATTCCCCATGGTTGATTGAGCAGGAAGCGGCGCCCTCCGATGGAAGTATAGAAGGAGAGGACGAGGCGATTGGACGCAGGCAAAAGGAAGTTGCTGCTGGCTGCTCTAGCGCAGGCACGCGAACTGGGGAAAAGTGCAGCCGTGCCGTGGCCTCGTCGCCTCTCATTGGCCAGTGACCCAGTGCCAAGTCGTACATGAGGTCGACGGGCCTCGTACCGACAACACCCCATGGCAAGGCTTTCGTCTTCAACCCTCGCTTCCATCGCCCTTCATGTCGATCATTTCGCCTCCATGGGACTTTGGTGCTTTCCCGTCTTAATGTGCATCTGACTATCCACCGTTTTCTTTCAAATTCCCATCCAGGGTCCTGCTTCCAGCAGGGTCGACCTGTGTTCTGTCTTCAAGACGCTCCGTTTGCCCCTCGGCTTTGGCCACACGATCGGCGGCATCGGGCGGACGCTGCCTAACCATCCCTTGTGGGAGACAACCTCGCCGAGGTCATCGTGAAGGAGATGAACGCTGTGTCCCCGATGATGTCCCCAATGTCGTGCTAGGCGGGACGTTTGTTCAAGGCGCAGAAAACTCGAGATCCTGTTGGGGGAACTCGACAGAATGTCCATCCCTGGCATGTCGCGCCCAGGCACAAGTCTGAATATCGCCCAACAACTCCGCAAGTCTACTCAATTGGCTTTAGAAGGTATGCATGGTTTCTGAGGTTCTTCCCTTGGGCACCTATCCACCATTGGCCAGCACCACACATGGAAAGAAGCTGACGTAAAAGGCTAGATTCTGGCCGGGGTCTCGACAAAAAACAATCGGGCAACAACTACACAGCAAAGGTAAAAATTGGCCACAAGTACAACATTATCGGTTTCATTAGCAGCGGCACATATGGTCGAGTATACAAGGCTGTGGAGAAGAACCCCAAAGGTGATCCCACCAGTCCTGTAGGAGCATCTCCGCCGAAGGAATTATATGCTATCAAAAAGTACAGTCGTATACTCCATTTTCACCTGGATCTGTGCTGACCGCCCACAGATTCAAACCTGAAAAAGAAGGAGACAATGTGCAGTATACGGGGTTGTCTCAATCCGCCATTCGCGAGATGTCATTGTGCACCGAGTTGTCCCACCCAAACCTGGTTCACCTGGCCGAGATCATCTTAGAGGATAAGTGTGTCTTTATGGTCTTTGAATATTGCGAGCATGACCTGCTCCAAATCATCCACCACCACACTCAGCCGACCCGGCGGCCGATCCCTGCCACCATGATCAAGTCGATCCTGTTTCAACTTCTCAACGGCTTGTATTATCTTCACCAGAACTGGGTGATCCACCGCGACTTGAAGCCGGCCAACATCATGGTCACCAGCTCTGGACATGTGCGCATCGGAGATTTGGGACTTGCCCGACTCTTCCATAAGCCCCTGTCATCACTGTACTCGGGGGATAAGGTCGTGGTTACTATCTGGTACCGTAGCCCCGACCTCCTGCTGGGTGCACGTCATTACACGCCATCTATCGACTTATGGGCTGTTGGCTGCATCTTCGCCGAACTTCTCAGTCTCAGGCCAATTTTTAAGGGAGAAGAAACAAAGATGGATAGCAAGAAGACGGTGCCGTTTCAGAGAAATCAGATGGGCAAGATTGTGGAAATCTTGGGGATGCCGCGACGAGAAAACTGGAAGGGATTGGTGGACATGCCGGAATACCCTCAATTGCAGTCACTGATCGTTTCCCGTGGTGGTATGCCAGGAAGTCTTTATCCAAACCCTGCTACATCTCTCAGTCGTGGATCTGGCGGTAACAATGGGAGCGGTCTGGAGGCGTGGTATAACAATTGCATCCGGCATGCCAGCTACGCCCCGGAAAAGTCTCCCGGGCAACGCGGGTTCCAGCTGTTGTCAGAACTGTTCGAGTACGATCCCGACCTACGATTAACGGCGGAGCAGGCTCTCCATCACGAATACTTTAGAAACACTGACGACGGGCCGAACAAGGGCAAGATCTGGGTCAGCAACAACTGCTTCGAAGGACTGAACGAAGTATATCCGCACAGGAGAGTGAGCACCGAAACGAACGATATTGGGACAGGCAGCTTGCCAGGGACGAAAAGAGGGGGATTGCCAGATGACTCGCTTCTCCCGACGTCAAAGAGGAGATAGCGACTCCACGAACTCAGGAAGAATACACGATCGTCGATAACCCTCAATCAGCATGTTAGCCACCAACCAAGATCTATTCCCGGCTGGGAGAGTACCCGCTCGAGACGCGCCGATACACCACATCCCTCCAGCAGTCGGCCACCGCGGTGGAAAGCGTTTCAGCTGGCATTGGAGCGCGAATTGGCAATATTGGCCAACGAAGAATTGCAGGGGGGATGAAGTGTTCCTCGGCTTGCGGCGACAAGAAGACTTGGACATTCTACGATGAGTGGAGATGAGATATCATGCACCATTTGTGGCTGACTCGGAAGTCGTGGGAAGGATGGACGACTCAGTTGTGTACCTCAGAACCAAGAGTCACGTTGGCTGCATATTGGCCAAGGGAGGAGGGACGGGACAGACTGCGTCTCAGATCGATTGCTAGCATTTAGCATTTTGTTCAGGTTCAGCATAGGGCCAGCCAAGGGTATTTTTTTGTTGCGAAAGAAAATGCTTTTTGGGGGGATTGACCAGAGCTCATTTATGCTTTTCTTTTCCATTGGTCTGTTCTTTGGGTTTGTCATTCCGCCATTTTCGTGGCTCCGAGCACCTGTCTACCAGTGGAGATATTTCCCATTGATACTAGCCGTAGCCGTTTGCCATTGCCATTGTCATCATAGGGAGAAGAGCCACGAAACGTATGCACATGGCAATCTCCTCGCGCTCGAAATTTTCGCAAGGCAACCTCTCGAATCTCGTCTCGAAGTATTTTCGTGATGCATGGTTCTTTTCCCCTCGGCCCTCACGAGAAGACCACCCCGTTGAATCAAGCGTCCCCCGTTTCTCCCCCCAGATTCATCCCACACAGCGCGCATTAACAGTTCCGCAGGAAAGAATCCCCTTAAGCCTGCGCGGTCTTAGCGGCCTGCTGGGGGTTGACCTTCTTGCCGTCCTTGTTGTAGCGGACTCGCGGGGGCGGGGCGCGGTTTCGGCGGCCTTCGCGCGACCGGACGCGCACGATCTTGCCGTGGATGGCGCACGACACGCAGTACTGGAGCTTCAAGTACATCTTGGGGACGGCGTAGTCGGCGAAGACGGACGCATCGGAGATATCACCTGTTTCAATCCACACCGGGCGTCCACGTCAGTCCACAGGCACTTTTAATTCCCACGCCTTCTTGTGGTTTCCTTCGATAGAAATACGTACGGATTGCTGCCGACTCGACCATGTTGCGGATCGTGAATCTCTTGATGGCTTTATCTTTGGGAACGCAGCGGGAGCAGTTGGAACACCGCACGGGCTTGACTCGGCCTCTCCCCTTCTTGTTGCGGCCACTGGTGTTCGTTTGTCAGAGAGACGATACTAGATCGCAGGCACACGGAAGGATGGGCATACTTGGAAGCTCGTTTCTTGACCATTTTGGCGTCTGAATGGGTGAGGGGGTGTAGGAGGTGTGCTCAGGACCCTCAGAATGTTGTGAGGGCGATGGCGGAGACGGTGGTGGTGAAATCGATATGAAAGTTGCAGAGGAGCTGGGCGCTGGCAATTGCGAATAATCCCAAAAAGTGCATTTTTCGAGGTGCGGTGGGTGGGTGCCAAGTATCACACCCGCAGCTAGTCCTAAGATGGAAAGTGTGGCGGTGCATCTGGTGGCCTTGGCGAAAGGTCAAGCCTCATTTCGGTCTTGAACTACTTTCATCAAGTGGCCTGCTATTCATATTCACCATGCGATTTACACTCTCGGCTACAAGGAGGTCTTTTGGGCCCCAAAAGCACGCCCCGCATGCCTTATGAGGACGGAACCACTGTTGGTATTGTATCAGGAACACCATGTCCACATAGTGAGACTATACCCAAGCACGGTGGAGTGATTCGACCTTATCTCTCCTCTCTGGCTCAATCCTGGTCTCGATGTGAAACCAGAGGGCCAAACCAGAGTAACATCATCTTGCTTACCATCGAAGCAGTATCGGAGCCGGATGCTCCATGTCGGATTGAAATACAGAGCGATACCACCGAATATATGCCTGAGAAATTCACTCGCTCAAGCTTGAGGTTCCCCGATTTCAATGTCTGTTGACGTCCCTCCAAGAGATGTTCTTACTTCTTTCTCCTTTTAAACCCATTCCCCAGATCGACTAATGCTTTGGAATACATACGTAACTAGTTCCCAAAGGGGTCAGCGAGCCCTAAGCAATCTAGATATCAATCAAAGACAGCCTGGAAGAGAGCCAGTGTAAGTCTCATACCTCCTCGAACCTGCAAAGTCACCATTTTCGAAGTTGCTGTTTGTCGTAAACGAATAGAATCGTCAAAATAGCATCGGCAGGGTCGCCGTTGGGTTCGTCCACACTCATTTACAGGCTGGGCTGCTACGCATCAAGTTTAAACCCCAGGCCGGCGGCGGATAGTTATTAACCACCTGAGAGCTCTCGCCTCCCCTGAACGATGGAGTTGCCATCATAAATTATCACCTGGATCCATATTAGGTTCAGCGCGAGGCATTCTCACCTTTGTTTTCGGCGATGGCATTCCATGCGAATCAATCATGGCAAAAGTTGTCTGAGGTGCAAGTATTTCTCACCCCCAAGAACGCCACAACTTGGTTCCATGGCCGATTAACAGAGTACAATGGCACGTGAATCGTCACATTGAGCTATACTCCATTTGCATGGAAGGACGATTGGACCCAGACCAGCAAGTGTACAACTCCAGTACGGCGAGGCTGAGTTCCTTTTCTTGTTCAGGTAGATGTTCCAGGCTGAGCTAGTCCGCATCAGGCAAGGCGAACTTACCGCGCAACTTTCCCTGTGGTCGTGATTTTAGCTATTTGTCGACCTCGTATGGTAATTCTTTAAGCAGCTGTTACGGCGCTGCTCCCCCAGCAGAGACGGTGTTCGATGACAATGTCGCTGTCAATATGCACAGAATGCCTTTCGCGGCTGAGGCTCTCGTCGAACATGCCCAAAGGTCTTGCTGTCACCGCATCAACATGGACACAGACAACTTCCTTTCACAGCTCTGCAGCGCAGTATAAATCCCCCTTACTTAAAAAGAAAGTCTCCCAATCCGGTACCTCAGCACCCAGAGCTCGCCAATCCCAATCCGCGCGTCTGAAGAAGAAGGGTCGCGAACGTCCCAAGCTACCTCCGATCGGCGAACGCCGAGCCCAACGCCGCCGCATTGTTCTCTCAAACACCAATGCCTTACCCGTATCGGACATGGAGACATGGAGCAAGGAGAATGTGATCGACGAGAAGACTGTTGGACAGATGATGGCACTTGATGGTGGGCTGTTGGACCAATTGAGAGATTCGGGGGCCTTTAAGACGACCCAGAACTGGAGTCTATTTCGCAGGCCGGCGATTTTGATACGAGAGGAAACTCTTCGGATTGCGAAGGAAATGGATGATATAAAGCAGGAGGGTGAGAAGAAAAAGGTCGTGAAGCATTTAGTCATTGGCGAGAAGGCCAGTGGGAAAAGTGTTCTGATGTTGCAAGCCATGAGCATGGCGTACATGGATCATTGGATTGTCGTGAATGTCCCAGAAGGTAGGAGCATCCATACGTTCGTGCAGGCCCAAGGGCGAGATTACTGACATTTGACTCCTGCAGCGCAAGATTTTGTCAACAACACGTCTTCATACGCCCCTCTTCGACACGCGGAAGACGAGTCTCAACACATGTACATCCAACCACAGCTAACCCAACTCCTGCTCACCCGCATTGCCACTTCCAACGACTCCGTCTTGAAGTCCTTGAGACTGAACCACGCACATCCCAAACCACTCTCTCTCAAGAACAACTCCACACTACTAGATCTCGCTCAGAAAGGCGCAGGCGACCATCACCTCTCGTGGCAAGCATGGCAAGCCTTCTACAAAGAGCTTACGGAACCAGGACAGAACCCTCGTCCACCAGTCCTGTTTGCCGCCGATGGCGTGGACCACTGGATGGGTCCCACGGCATACCGCGACAGCGAGCATAAAATCCTCCATTCGCATCAATTCGCGTTGGTGAAGCAATTCATCAACCTCCTGTTCACAGGCAACACGTCGAAAACCTCGCCATTCATCAACGGTGGCATGGTCCTCTTCAGCACCTCGGGCTCAAATACTCCCGCTTACCCGACTTTCGACCTCATCCTCTCTCAGATGCGGGCTCGCCAGCTACACTCGATCTCTCCCACACACCCAGATTTTCCCTTGCCGAAGCCCTACAGCAAACCCGACCCGCGAGTCCTCGCTCTTTCTGCACCGGCCACTCGCGGAGATCTGAATCTGATGGAGTTGAAAGGCTTGAATAAACTAGAGTCGAGAGGCTACTTGGAATATTTCGCAAAGAGTGGGCTTTTGCATAGACGCATTACAGATGGCCTGGTGAGTGAGATGAGGGGTTTGAGTGGAGGCGGAGTCGTGGGTGAGCTGGCGAAACTGAGTAGACGCGTGATTGCTTGAAAGCGGAGAGCATGACAGGTGGCAGGCAGTGGACTGGGGTTATACAACACAACGGAAAGAGATCAGAAAGGATCGGAAGTCTAGGAGCATGTCGACTGTGGATGGGATGCTGCTGTGCACCAAAGGGCTGCTGGAAAGGACACCATCCCTGACCTCAATTGGCCTCTTTCCTCAGACGGAATGTTGGGAGCAGAGTGATCTGGTATAGCTGGCTCATTCACGCAGGGGGATAGGGTGTAGACTGAGCCACGTCTTGTGTGATATCAAGGAGAACGGTGTACGATACAGACAGATACTGTTGAAGAGCGCAAGCCTCCACATGCACATATCCAGAGGACTCGAAATGTTTCATCGCAATCATCAACGGAGGAGCTCGAGATACCGGGATGTCAGTGTCAGACTGGGATCAAAGTTCTGGTAGAGCCTCCGTAGCAGTAAAGAGAAGGAGTGGTGGACTCAAGGAGCCATTCGCAGCAGTCACTTGCAGTATCTGGAGCTGCGTCCAGCAGGTACATGTGTAGGTAAACACGGAGCATCTGATGAACTCTGTACCAGGAGATGCGCAAACTCCTTCCTTCTCGCCTGTCCTCTCCTCTTCTCAAGCCAGGAATATCATCACATCAGCCTTGCTTTCCTCCCCGACCTCCGGGCGACTCGGCCGTCCACGTTTCGTTTTCTCTTCCCTGCCCTCTCCCCCTCCCATCCCTTTCGTATGTCCTGCTTCTTCGCCTCACATCCCTCCTCTTCTACCTACGCCTCCTTCTCCGTATTTGCTGTGTGATCATTGGCCTAGAAGATCGCGAGAGCGTTCGGTGGGCTTCCGACTCCGCCGGGCACGTTCAGGGGCACGCTGGTCAAGAGGAACTCGTAGCGGCCGACTTTCTTGCAATGTTCGCCGAGGGCCTTGAGGTCCCAGAGCTCGCCGATGTTGAGGCCGAAGAGGGAGAGGAAGTACTGGTGGAGAACTGTAGAAAAGCCGTCGGGTTAGCGAAGAGGAGCTAATGGGGAAGGGAGGCAAGAATGCGGCGGTGGTGAAGATGGCAAATATTAAGACAGAACTACCCTGTCCTGCCTCAGCACCGGGGATTTTGAAAACTCACCAAGCTCTGCAATCGTGCCTGGCCGGCCGCCGTCCTCCTCGATCGAGGGAGGAAGCACCTCAAACGCGATCGCGTCTCCCGCAACGGCCGCGAAGTGGTGATTCCACACCCACTTGGCCGTCTCCTTGCACCCTTTGACGCCCACGGCCTTGTGCGTGCCCAGCATGCGTTCTTGCTCTTCGGCACCGGCTGCTCCAAGGTCCTCGGTGAATCCGGAGCGGACGATCAGGATGTCGCCGTGCTTGAACTTCGTGCCCTGGTGCGCGGCCACGGCCTCGAGATCCTGCACCGAGATGGCGTGCGAGTCAAAGCAGTCGTACTTGATGCCCTTGGCTTCGGCGTAGGCGCGGTAGTCGAGGAGGACACCCCGTCCCACCAGCCCGCCACGGTCGTGCCAGTGATTTAACGTGGGGAGGGTCTTGTCCAGGTCGACGTTGCCGAAGGTCTGGATCAGCTGCTCGCGGGCCGGTTTGGCGCCATTGTAGCCGCAGCCGCTGGGTTGATGGCTGTAGTGTACCAAGCTGTCCCACTGGGAGGAGCACTGCGTGTTGAACTCGACCTCGTCGTCGAAGCCGTGGAGGTCAAAGGGCCCTTCCTTGAAGGAGAAGACCTTGTGTTCCAAGCCTTTTCTTTGGAAGCCCGGCTTGTTGATGGCGCCGATGGGCCAGTTGAGGGAGACGGAGACGCCGTCGCGCGCTTCCTTGAAGGCCTCTTGGACGACCGTCGGGGTCAGGAGGTTTATGCAGCCAAGGTGGTCCTTCTTGCCATCCTTGTCGAAGATTCCCCAGGCACAGCCCTGCGGCATGCCCTCGACTTTGGGAAGCGAGTCGAAGTCCGGGAGGTTAGAATAGTCTGCCATTTTTTATTTGAGGGAGAGCAAGAATGGGTTCAGTGGACAACGAAGCTGAGGAGTGTTAGGACGAGTGGGAAACAAAAGGTCACACGGAAGGACTACTCGATTGGGGACCTTTGCACCTCTTTATACGAAGGGGTTATCCGGAAAGAGGTTTCCAGCGATCAACGAACCTCTCTTACCTCAGACCAGGTCCTTACACGCGACCTACTCGTGTCAGTCTCGTCGAGCAAAGATCCCCCAGCAACCTCTTCGCCCGAACGAGGGGCAGAGGTGGCATGCTCCAAAACCCAGTTGGAGGTGCCCGGCGATGGAGACCCCTCAAAAGCCTCGGGTAAAATACGTGACGAGCGAAAGTCGCTTGGGCGAGGATTCCACGTGGGGACGGTGGGCATGTCGTTGCAGCATCGTGTCCAATGGCCAGAGACGAACATGTTCGCCCAGACCATGCTCCGCAGAGGGGGAACGGTGGACAATCACAGTTGGCGTGGCACGTTCCGAGGGAGAATGAAAGCCGTCAATCGGGATCCTGGTACAAAGAAACCTTTAGAACAGGTCCAGCTCGAGGCGGGGGACTCGTGGAGCTATACCGAAAGAGTACTGCGCAGAGGCAGAGCGGATGCGCGTGAGCAGGAAGGAGAATGGTCTGTCTCTATACGCGGAGGTCGAGTGGGTGAGACTGGGGGAAGGGGAGGAAACCCTATTATTTTACCCACGGCTGTGGATCGACGACCGAGGTTGGTTGCCTCCTGGGGGCGAGGGGAGATTGGACGAGTGAGAAGCCACATACCAGACACACACTCACGCACCCTGAGAAAGAGAGGCACTGTTTGCTGACACGAGATATTACTGTACTATGTAGGTAGAGGTTGGTCGTAAAGGGGGTGCTGATGGATGGTAAGGCGCGCAAGGCTGACGAGGCTCTCGTGCCAGGGGGTTATATGGGGGCCGTCTACATACTCAGCGCCATAAACACAAGAATAAATTCCCATCCCCATCTTGGACACAGACCATCTATCCATACCCATCAATATAAACGAGCGGGTGATGTGAGCCCAAGACTAAAGAGGACATAAGTCCATCTCGACTGGATTGTAAACCCCTCAGCCTTGTCTCCAGCGTAAGACCCCGATGGTGCCTCTCAACCTCTCAACCTACCACGTCGGAGTCCATGCTGAGATCGCTCCACAGGTCGTACACAGTACCTTCTCGTTCAAGGTGCAAAATAAAGCATCCAGATCCGTAGGGTCAACCGTGGCAGTGCCTATTGTCGCGCATCTCGGATTCGGCGGTCTTTGGTAAGTACGAGGGCAAGCAGTCGGCACAAGGGATCTCGAGGCCTCCTTAGAGGAGGAATCTAGGACAGAAAGATTGAAACTGTGATTGCTGCTTGTTTCTGTCTTTTTTTGGGGAACCTTTCTTTCGATGCCGAGTTGCTAATCCCCACGGACAACATCGAACTCCAATCACACACTCATAACTATCTTGAAAACTGAGGATTGAAACATATACTACGCCAGAGTGTATCTTCTCCAAAGATCCAGAAGCATAATTCGATTTCTTCATGCAATGCAGGAGCAATCAATATCACAGAAATCAGCAAGGGCCAGATCCATGTGTCCCGTTGTAACCCGAGCCGAACACAACAACCTGACACGTTTTCTGGCAATACGCGGAAATGGGGCTGATCAGACAGAAGTCGCCGACCCGAAAAGAGAGGAAGGCAATCTTTGCACCGTCCTGTCCATATCATGGACCCCTGCCTCTCAATCATCGTCACCATCACCCATGTCCTCGTCGTTGTCTTCGTCGCTGTCCCCGGCTTCAATCCACACCAGCCGGGTTCCGTTATTCGCAATTTGCCAGACCTAGAATCCATGAGTCAGTACACTGCTCACCCTCGAGAGCAGAATCAAAAAAGTCATGAACATGAGAGGCGGATCGAGGTCACTTACGTCCAACAATTCGTACTCCTCGAGAGTCCGGACGAATTGGTCACTTGTAAACCCTTTCGCTGTCACCAGCTCTCTGACTCTCCCGAGACTCAGCTCTCCCCTGGCACCCCGACCCACACTCGCCGCTCCCGATTCTCTGATGCCGCGAATCAGGTCGTATATCTTGGAGCTCACGGTCTGATCGCCGTGGGCGCGCTGATCATGGTACAAACTGGCCTTGGATACTTCAATCAGGCGCAGTGCTTCATCAACATCTTCATTCACCACTTCGTTGCTGAACCGCAGACGCGCGAGCGCCTGCGACAAGCGCAAGACACCGAGCAAAGTACGTGGCGAAGTGTGTGTGAACTGCTTCTTCGATCCCTCATCACGCTTTTGCTGTTGGCGCATCCGAACATACGCGCCGACCATATAATCACTCACGGATTTCGGCACATTGGGTCTGAATGTACGCGCTTGGGCGATATACTGTCGGACTTCGTGAGGCGAGAAAACCACGCCTTCCCCTTCGGGTTCCGGATGCCGATTATGCATGTGCACGTGGCAGACATGCTGGGCGAGTTCTTCGTCGGCTTCCCGGGAGGGCGTGTCCAGAATCAGGAAAAGAATGTCAAATCGTGAAAGAAGGGCAGCGGGGAGGTTGATGTTGTCAACAGGGGAGATCCGAGGGTTGTATCGGCCATAGAGGGGGTTGGCTGCTGCAAGAATCGACGTTCGTGCGTTCAAAGTGGTAGTGATGCCGGCTTTGCTGATTGAGATGGTCTGCTGTTCCATGACTTCGTGGATGGCGGTCCTGTCTCCATCGTCCATCTTGTCGAATTCGTCGATACAGCAGATACCGTTGTCTGCCAGAACGAGGGCACCACCTTCAAGAACCATCTCGTCGGTGACAGGGTCGCGCATCACAGCTGCCGTTAAACCGACACCACTGGATCCACGGCCGGTCGTGTATACGCCTCGCGGTGCAACTTTGGTGATATATTTGAGTAATTGCGACTTAGCAACACCAGGGTCACCCATCAAGCAGACATTAATATCTCCACGGATGCGCATTCCATCACCCATCTCTTTGGTCACGCCGCCAATGAGTAGAAGGAGGAGTGCCTTCTTGACATCGAGATGACCGTAGATTTCGGGCGCTATGGAACGAGCCAGGTATTCGTACATGTGTCCAGATGCCTTGAAGGACTCGATCTTGCGGATGATACGTGGATCCGTTTTCAAGTCTTGGTAAGCCTTTTTGTGTTGTGTGATATGTTGTGCTTCGAGATAGGTATCCGTCAAAAGACCAGCCCGGATAGCTCTGAATCCGGTGTACGGAGTGGGCAGGAAAATGCCGTCAATGTCGACAACATCGCCAGGATTTAGCTGTCGCGCCAGACTGCCATTGCAGTGAATGGTTAGCGTCCTTGGAATGTGACCGACAGGAACTTGGTCAGCCATCTCCTGGATTTTGACTTCCTGAAATGGTAAGAACTTTGAGGCCCGCGTCGATGGGAATAGTTGACCCTTGGAGTCGTTCTGCTTGCATTCTTCTGATGGACACATCTGCAACGGTGTGAATTGCTTAGCAGATACCGGCTGAAAAATTTCTGAACCGCAGCGATCGCAGGTGTATGCTTGAATTCGTATGCTGGGCTTGACGTCCGATACTCTCGTCGTGATGCCTCGCACGGTGATCAAGTGACCTAGATGTTCTCCTCGTACTTGTCGCACCGCAAGAGTCTTCTTGCTGACATCGGCACCTGTGGGCGTCACGGGTTTGAAGTTCAGCGTATACCTCCTGGTCAGTTCTGGCGGAAATGTCGACACCGGAATGGCAGCTTCCGCATCTGCTTCGGCGACAGAGGCCACAGTTTCGTTTCGTTTAGCTCGCTGCGCCATGATGATATCCAGGACATCGTCCTTAAATCTAATCGCGTATTAGACCATGAACTCGTAGAAGCGATGCAACTGCATACGATATCTCCTTGCTTGCTTTTGGCATTATCTTGTCCACCGCATCCGAAAATAGATCGACGTAGTGCTTGGTATTGTTTGTAACGGATTCAACAAGTCTCAAGTTCATATCGTCTCCCAAAGACTCTTCAAACTGTGTGCCTGTCAGCTGCAGGCTGTCACCAATTCATTCTGACACGCACCTCTTTCAGATCGTCCAGCTCTACCACAATATTTTGTCGCTCTCGATCTGCAACCTCTTGAAGCATTTCCATGTACTTCCTTTTCGGTCGCCTCCGGGATCTGCTGTGGTCTTCATCGGCAACATCATCCATAAAATCATACTCGTCGCTAGTGTGATCGCCATCGAGGTGCAGGTCGCTGATAGCTTCGGCAGCTGAATCAGAGGATGTTTTCGAGGTTTCGAACTTCTCTAGGAAGGTCTGGAAGGCCTCTAGCTGCTTCTCGTAGTCAGCGAGCGCTTTATGTTGTAGGAGCGCCATGTTGGTGTGCGATGCTAAAAGAATTGGGAAGATGCCAGTGTTGCGGCGAGTTGAGCAATTGAACAGTCTACAAGGGGGGTTGGGCAAAGCCGCAAATGCAAAGCGCGACGCGTCGCGCGTTAAGTGCTACTGCGGAGCATAAAATCGTGAAAGCGAATTTGGGCCGCGAGAGCGCCACGGGCCAATGAGAGTAATTATCTCTGTCTGACAGACAGTATCAGTGCATCCGCACGTCAACTGGCTTTCTGTGTCGAGAATATGCCAGTCAGACGCTTCCATCCTCTTTGCCGAGGCTCGAGCAGTGGCAATTGGTCTTCGGAAGGACATCTCTCAACAACCAACTTCATCCGTTTTGCATATCACCATAATACGTTTCTTTACAGGAATAGACTTCTTATTGTATATCTTTGTTCTTTATCCTGAAGCCGTGAAGCGCCTCTATGTTCTCAAGAATCGGTCTGTACGGATTTTGCGAAGCCCGAACACCACCAGCTGGAGCTTGCACCCTTTGCTAAGCTTCTACTGCGATCCGCGAAGATGCCTCCCCCCGTGCGCGCTGAGGTTGCGCTGGTGTCACTCCAGAATTGCCTGGTCAACCTACCCCCGGGACTGATTGCGCTGATCAGCAACACCAATATAGTAAGTTATCCATTCGGAAAGCTTTCTTCCTCTGCTCACCTTATACAAGCCAGCCCAAAATGTTGTAGTCGAACTACAATACCGGTCCCAGACTCTATCTTCTGGGGCCGTCTCCAGTGGAAATAGTGCTGGGTTTCAGCGATCTGCCTATGTTGGCTGGACTGGGATGCCTAGCCGGACAAGACCGGCGTCACTATTGAATAACGACCGAGCCCGACCGGGAAGCAGAGAACAGGATGCTCAAACTGTCGAAATAGATGCGACATTTGCGAAATTGCTTGGGCTCTCGGAGGGCCAGAAGATTGGCATTTTGGTCCATCTTGACCCGCCTGTCGCCCACAGCATCAATATCGAGCCGCTGACACCTGCGGATTGGGAAGTCATTGAGCTGCATGCCACTTTCCTTGAGTTAAACCTTTTGTCTCAGATCCGTGCACTTCCGAATCCCGCGTACAGCAGCAAGACTACCGTTCAGGCAGAACATACCCACCCCTTAACTCTGCATCTGTCACCGACGTCGACCGCGAATATTGTCGTCACGTCTTTGGTACCACCTGTCCCGAATACCATCCCTTTCGCAAAGATAGCTCCCGATGCCGAAGTCATTGTTGCACCCAAAACTCGGCCTAAATCTAGTAGGAGCGATAGGCGGGATGCAAGGAGCACGGCAAGCAGGCGAAGCGGCAAAAGTGGTGTCAGCAATGTCCGAAACAAGACAGGTCTAGCAAGGCCTGCGCTGTTCATGCGAGCAATCGATCGAACAATAGCAGGCAGCTTTTTCGACGAGGATCGGAACGTATCCCAAAACAATAAGCTGTGTATATGGCTCAGCAACGAGGTGATTGAGTCTGAGGGTCTAAGGGCGGCAACGTGGGCAAACGTCACTATCATTAAACCGGCTGGTATGCGGGCTCAACTGGATAGTAATCAAGTCAACCGACTTAAGGAAGAAGAGAACAGCGAAGTTGGAAGACCGGCTTCTAAAGTGGTCGCCCAAATCCTTCCCTGGCACACACCAATCGACAGCAATCACGCAGTTCTATCGACCTCGCTTTGCAGCATGCTTGGTGTAGAAGGGATGGTTGGGATCATTGTTCGAATTCAAGCCACTGGGCCACCATTGCCCCGATACTCTATCAAACGGTTCCAGTTCTATCCGTTTCTGCCCGCAAACTCGAAAAAGAAAGACGGCCTGCAATTTGGCGGAGATTCGAAAGCAGCAAAACAAGCACTGGCTGACAAAATCCGACTGACATACGCCGGGGAGGATGGACTGCTGGCTGGGCCCATCACTGACGGAATGATTCTTCCAGCCTCTGGAGACTCGTCTTCTGTGGCATCATTTGATGGTGGAATTCTGAGATTCCGTCGTCCGGCCGAGGTCGAAGAAGACCATGACAGTTCTTGTCTATGGGTACTAGGACAAGAACAGGACCATGAATTCGAGATCAAGGCTGAAGTAGCCCGGCCTGTGGAGCTGACGACCATATTCCCCAGCTTCGCCCACGGAATACCGAGCAAGCTTCCCAACTTGATTGGCGTCGATGGGATCTTGAAGCAATGCTTATCAAATCTGACCCTGTGCTCATCCGTGCTGTTGACCGGCGGCGTGGGGTCGGGCAAGACTTCGCTCGCTCATTGCATATCACAAAGGCTGCGGGAGGATTATGTCTTCAACGTGACATATTTTGATTGCCAGAAACTGGTCACGGACGAAACCCGAGTCTCTACAGTGAAGGAGACTCTCACGAGGTTGTTCATGTCAGCATCTTGGTGTGCAAGACTAGGCGGACAATCAGTCGTCGTCTTGGACGATCTGGACAAGATTTGTCCCGCTGAGACTGAGCTAGAGGTCGGTAACGACAACGGTCGCAGCCGCCAGATCACCGAGGTCCTTTGTGCCGTTGTACGCCAATACTGCAGCATCCATTCTGGAGTCACTCTTCTGGCCACGGCACAGTCGAAGGACTCGCTCAACAGTATTATGATTGGAGGACATATAGTAGGCGATATAATCTCCATAAAGGCTCCGACAAAGGAAATCCGCCGAGACATCCTGGTGTCTCTCACCAATGATGGGTCGCAAGTCGACAACCGTGGCCACAACCGAAATCAAAGCGATACCCAAAGCATGTCCGAGACCTCGTGGATGGATCCATCAAACCCGTCATCAAGACCAACATCTTCCGCTTCATCACCACCGGTGGAGGGCTTCCGCGTTGCGCCCAGCCTCGACCTACTCGATATCGCCGGAAAAACCGACGGTTACATGCCTGCCGACCTCGTACTCCTCCTGGCCCGTGCCCGAAACGAAACCCTGACGCGCATGATATCAGAAAACGACGACTCAGACGCACCACCCACTCTGACAAAGGTTGACTTCGACGCTGCGTTGAAGAACTTCACGCCTTCTTCCCTCCGCAACGTGACATTGACTCACTCGACTACTACATTCTCCTCCATCGGCGGCCTACACGGCACCCGCAATACTCTCCTCGAGACCCTCCTCTACCCGACGAAATACGCGCCCATCTTCGCCCGCTCTCCACTCCGCCTCCGCTCGGGACTGTTGCTCTACGGATACCCGGGCTGCGGCAAGACACTCCTCGCCTCTGCCGTAGCCGGTGAGTGCAACCTCAATTTCATCTCCGTGAAAGGCCCGGAAATCTTAAACAAGTACATCGGTGCTTCTGAAAAATCGGTTCGAGATTTGTTCGAGCGCGCCCAAGCTGCGAAGCCATGCGTCTTGTTCTTCGACGAATTTGACAGCATTGCACCCAAGCGTGGACATGATTCCACTGGCGTGACAGACCGAGTGGTAAATCAGATGCTTACGCAGATGGATGGCGCCGAGGGGCTGGAAGGTGTGTACGTACTGGCGGCGACCAGTAGGCCGGACCTGATTGACCCGGCCCTACTCAGACCCGGACGGCTGGATAAGAGTCTATTGTGCGATATGCCGGATATGAACGATCGGATGGATATCTTGAAGGCAGTCAGCACGAAACTGCGACTGAAGCCCGAGGTTGAGAATCGGTTACTCAGCGTTGCGCAGCGCACCGAAGGCTTCAGCGGCGCAGACCTCCAGGCGCTCATGTACAACGCGCATCTAGAGGCGATCCACGACTTGTTAGGCGACAAGCCCTCCGACCAGCAAAAGGGTCGGGAATTGGTCAACGGAACCAACAGCAGCAACGGTGGCAGCGGCGCTGGTGGAGGCGGGAAACGCCGCAAACGCCACAGCACCGCAGGCAAGCATGACTTCTTCCACTTTCTGTATTCGCCTGAAGAGGACGCGCTGGCAAGGAAGTCACTCGGCACGGGCGCCTCGGCGATGGAGTCCAAAGCCGCCATTGCCTCGAAGATCGACGAGCTGAAACTAGCGCGCAAGCGCGAAAAGGCGGCCCTGAAGAACAGCCTTGCACGGCGCACATCGTCCTCCACTTCCGTACCTCCCAACGACGGCGTGCCCGACGGAGACGCAGACGACGCGGAGGCCAGCGGCGCCGGCAAGGACGAGGTGGTGATCGAGTGGCGACACATGGAGAAGTCGCTCGCGACGACGCGCAGCTCCATCAGCCCCGAGGAGAAGCGCCGCTTGGCAGCCATCTACCAGGAGTTCGTGGTCGGGAGGAACGGCGAGATGCCCTCGGGCCAAGGCGGGAGGGAGGTCGGCGGCAGGACGAGTTTGATGTAAATCAGCAACCCGAGTCAAGATGGGGATTCGTGTCCAGAAGAGCTACCAATCCACTATACCATACTATACTGTACGAACCCGTGCCGTACATCGTCTGATATAGTGTCAAGAGACAAAATTTCCAGACAGTCGGACGAGTTGTGATATATCCGCAACTCTCCCATTGGAAATTGAGAACCGCTTTAGGTTTCACGCAAGGTGAGATGTGTTAATATTCTTCCTCTCGACAGAAACATATACGAGGGCGCATGCACCAGGGCGGGAAGAGAAGGCAGGAGCGAAGAAAAGTGCAGAGAAAATGGCCCAAGCGCCTCACGCGCATAGACGGAGAGGAAGCCGGCGACGAGGTTCGGATTCTGGAGAGTTGAGATTCGTACGTACTGCGTACACGGGCGGCGGCCCACTTTTGCCTTTCCTCTATTCATGCCGCGTGGTCCCAATAGCCAGCCAGCCCTCTCTTGCGTGGCTCTTGCTACCTAGAAGTCGAATCTGCTTTGTCCGCTGGTGGTGGTGACAAGCTGCGCTTGCACTTTGAAGTTGGAAAATAGGAGCGGAAGAAGGATATAAACCAATACAGGAACTAGATAAGTAGGTTAAGTAATCTATGTTCCCTCGTCAAACCTGCTACCGTAGCAGCATCGAAATCAAGTTGAGAAGTTGCCTCTTTCCCGTCGTAGTGAGCAGGCTCCGTAATTAGAGAGTCGAGAATCTGAACAGCCAAAAAGAGCAGCTCCAACACTGGCAGCATCGGAGTCATGGGGTATCATTCTTACTTTGCCGTCGCGCGACTAATAGCAAAAACACCAACAATAACAACCGCAAGCGTCACAATGGCACCGGGAAGAAGCAGGTCATTCGGCACACCGGCAATGATCTCGGGCTGTTCTTCCTTTCGTTGTTGCATGACAGGTGGTGCTCGTTTCGTTCGTATCGTCTTCGCTATGGGGGCGGTCTCTTCTTCTTCCTCATCTTCGTCGCCCTCCTCCGCAGCGTCTATTGGCGCCTCCTTGAGTATGGACTCGGGAGGGGTCGGCGGTTTCGAAAGCTGAGGTCGCGGGTCGATAGTCGTGGCAATCGGCGGTTGAGCAGGGTCATGTACGAACAAGTCGACTTTGTCCCTCTTCCCTTGTCTCGCTAGCAGTATTGCGTCGAGGAGATCTTGATCCGTCGTGATAGAGACGGTATCGCCCTCATTGTCCAGGTAACTCAATGCATAACCTGCTTTTCCCAACCTACCTTCCTCGACAGTGGCTTCGCCGCCCACGGATTCCACCTCACTACCTAATTTGGCAGTGACTTGGTTGACCAGTTCGGTTAAGCCGCTGCTAGCCAGGACTTGTATCCGATGGACTCGTCCGCTGGGGGCTTTGAACTTGAATGGGAAGGGTGCCTCTTCCGGCGATTCGACAGATGGAAGTACCTCAGAGTGAACATCGTCTCCTCGGTGCGAGGCGGAGTCGTGTGGCATAACGCTGTCCCCCCTTTCAAAACCGGGGCGGCCAGGCTCTGACTCCATCATCGAGCGGTGGCCAGGGGTGGTTGGGCGATGACTGCCTTCGCCGGACATGATTGATTCCGTGTCATTGTCCATTGATAGCCAGAACTTATTCCATGCCGGACCCTCCGCTTCTCCGGAATTCATCGTGTTGATCTGTTCAAGCGTGGCATAGGTCAATTTGAGGACGTCGACCATGCCGACGATTTCACCCTCGCCATTCATGACAGGGAGGTTGAGGTAATGTCCATCTATAGCTGTGAGCACTTTCACCCACACCCGTGGAGAACAGACTCACCGTGCATCTTCCGCAGAGCAGCCTGAATGCTCATATCCGTGGGCGCAAAATCCGGGTGAGGGGTCATGACCCTTACCACACTGCAGTTCGAGGGATCAAGACCGGGTGCAATGACACGTAATACCACGTCCTTGCTTGTAAAAATACCAGTGATTGACCCTTGATCCTGCACCAGCACGGCCGTTGTGTGATTTTCCTTCATGAGCTGAGCCGCCTCTTTGACCGACGTCCTGACAGACACGGTAGTGGGAGGAAGCCCATTCAGCACGGATTCCAATGTAGGTCCCGACATCTTCTGCCTCAAAGCCTCGACATATTGGATGATCTGTTGGGGCTGGCTGGAGCCAAGTTCAGATTGTACGCCTTCGAGGGCATCGTACAGCTTGCGCGACGAACTGTATGCACGTTCCAGCTTTTCCATGGCTTCGTAGAAGCATTTTGTGATATCGAGGATACCAGAGATGTCTTGATTCTCGTCCATGACAGGCAGATGTCTGAATCCTTTTCGAACCATTAGGTCCAATGCATCGGTGGCACTCGTATCGGTCCTTGCACACAGCGGGTTTTTGGTCATGATCTGTTCAATGGTGACTTGGCTGGCTTTGATACCGGCACCCACAACACGGAAGGCCAGATCCTTCGCTGTGAAGATACCCGCGATCCTATCGTCGTCATCTGTAACCAAAACGCAGTCTTCTCTCTTTGCTGCCATCAGCTGAGCAGCCTCGGCCACAGTGGTGGAGGGCTTGATCTGTAAAGCCTGACTGGGTTTCAGGGCCAGGACGGTCCCGGGTGGTGCCTTGCGGGTGTGTCGAGCGCGGGCGGGGGCGTGCTTCTTCTTGCTGAGGTCTGCTTCCATCTTGCGTCGAATGGCCTGGACTCAATCGCCAGATGTGTTAGGCACAGGGGAGCCTTGAGCAGCGTTGGGATGTGATCACGCACCTCGTCTCTCTTACTCTGCTTCTGTCGACTGGCGGACATGGTAGAGGTGCCCGACATCTCGCTGGGCGTGGTGTTACTGGCAGACTCCAACTTGGGACGAGGGATTGCGGAAGGAGAGTCTGCAAATGGGAGTTGACCACGCCGGTTGGGCGTGCCTCGATATGTGCCGCTGACGCCAGACATGGTTGATGACATGGAGGAGGTGATGTGGTTGACCGTAGATGGTCTGTGTGAGCAAGGGGTCGCGAGCACAGATCGGTTGTTCCGTGAGGGTGCAACTGATTGGGACGTGATTGAGAGTCTCGCAAAGCCGGAGAATTGATGCAAACCACTGACCCAAGGCAGCGCACGAGGCCCGCTTGGTTGCCGGAACAGAATCGTACGTAAACAAACGATCAGGTGACTTGGCGTGCTTGGCGTGCTTGGCAAGCCCCTCGATCTCCCGAGACGGCGACCAATGTTATCCCTGCCTTATTTGGTATACACTATCATGAGTGTCCGATCTCCCAGAGTCCATGCGGCGAAGGCCTTTCTCTACTGGCGCGGTTTGAAGATTGTGCCAGTCGCGAACTGCAGATCTATGGTTCCAGGATCTCTATCCACTAACCCACCCATGAGAAGGCAGACCCTGCCCAAGCTAATGCAACGTGCATATACGCCATGTTGTTTTTGGTCCAGTACCAATGAAGAGGATCGACATTTGCATGAAATCAAAAAGAAAGCTGGCTGCGTCCTCGACATAGACGTGCTTCGTGACTACGAGTTCACGCGTTGTCTGGCGAAGAATTGGCAGAATTCCATCTTTACATTGCCGACCGCCTCGCCAATGAACCATACAACCTCATGCACATATTTATCACCCAACTGAATCATCCGTGACAAGATGTTGATATTCCGGGAACACTAACGCGTAGACGCCGTACCTGGATTTTAACTCAAAGGACTGAAATTCACCTATATAATGACATGGTTAGTAACTTCCGCGGAAATGTCTTCTATACTTACATTGTTGCCGTTTCGGATGAAGTTGCCCGCAAAACACCAGTTAAGGTATCCTCTACCAGAAGGAACGTCAGTGGAAAAGGCCTTTTCTATCATGTGAATCATGGGTTTCAGAAGAGCCACTAACCCGTCACCCTGCAGTACAAACGGACCCGAATCGAAGACGTAACAGGAGTATGTCAAGACGGAGCCGCTGTTGGGACACGTGCATTCCCGAACAGTCATTTGGCGGTTGATGAGGCCGGACGCGTCGTGCTTGGTGAAGACGCACATGACGTTCTTCCCGGGGTTGCTGGACGACATGTCTCCGATTTGCACCTGCGTCCACGAGCTCCGGTAGTCCTTGTCCGCGCCCGTGTCCCAGATTGCGCCAACCAACGCGACGCCGACGTCGACGATGCCCGCAGCTATATCAGCCACTACCTGCGCCATTGCTGCTCTCTTTCGTGGCAGAGAGTGTTGTGAGTGTCGAGGTTGCGCAGTGCCACAGCAGATTGGGGTCGTCCTAGACTCTGAGATGCTACTGATCGCAGAGATCCGGTAACTCAAATGTCGTTGCCGCAGCTTCACGCAATTTATCTTGCAAGGGCCTGCGAACTACTGTAGCGCCCGTCACCCATTCTCTAAGGGCCCCGAGTTGAATGAAAGCCCGTTGAGCTATGCACTTGGGACCACGGACCGAGTATCGATGCATTCGGAAAAGGGGACAGTCCTAAGCTGACTGTGCCTATGGGACACCTGCTGACTGGGCTCTGTGTATTCGACCAGATTGCACTGTGAACAAAAGACCTTTCCCGAATCCTGCGACGAAATCAGTTTCTACCCTTATCACTCAATGATTCCCGAGACAGTTGCGATTGGTGTTCCTGAAAGTAGTGATCGCGACTACAACACGGCTGACCCGCAAACTCTATCTCAATCTTGGATCCGGTAGCGGTGACTAACAAGACCCTTATCCTGTATAGGCACTATAATCAACGGGTATAAATAAACCCTCTATTCGAATCGAGATAGCACGTTAGCGTAACCTGTACCTCATGTAACTCGCCGGCGTCCGAAGAGTGTGATTTCGCCCGCCTCCTTAGGTGGGCATCTCGATGGCCTTACGTCTGTGATCCTCAGATTGAAACGGAGTCTTTTCTGGACTTGTGGTACAGCGCAAGTCATACACTCTATACATATAAAGACGGCCACCCACCTCTCGGAAGCACTGCCTTTCCCCCACCCTGCTTTTCCTGAACACCAGCTATAATAATGCATGGACACGACGAAAGCTACGGACTTGACGGCGGCGAGGCCGAGGGCGAGGGCGAAGGCGACGACAGCTACGACTACGCCGACCAGCAGGGCGACGACGGCCAGGGCATGGCTGCCGGGGCCGTGGGAAACGACCACGACGCGGCATCGCTGATCCAGCTGGTCGTCAAACTGCTGCTGGACCCGCAACCGGGGCCCTCGCACGTTCCAAAACCACAGCACGCCCACTCGAGATTCGCACAGGATCCCCGGCATGCCGAGTCCATGCGGCTCCTCGATAAGATTGCCTGTGAGACCCGGGTTTTTTTTCCCCCGCCTTACCAGCTTTACGGCCCCCTTTTTGTTCTCTCCAGGGATACTGACGATAGTCATAGCGGAGCCGATCCATGAAGCTCACCTGGAGAGCATGATCCACGTCGGGCTTTTGCTGCTTGCTCGTATGGCCAAAAAGGTCGGGATGACGGCAGGCCACGAGGCTCAGGGTCCGGACGCGGGAGAGGATGGAGGACACGGCGAAGATCAGGCTCACGGCCACGGTGAAGATGAAACCCACGGGCATGGAGAAGACGAATGTTGCTAGGCCGGGGTTACAAAGGAGACCTGAAGCAGAAGTCTCCAGTCACTGACTCACTAGCACGAGAACCATGGCCAGACTGTATAGAATTCAGATCAGCGGATTCACGGTTAGCGACGTGTTGGTCTGAGAGAGGTCTTCCTCTAATAGGTGCTGAGGCGCTCATGAATGGAACTGGACATATTTGGCTGCAAGTATGTACTGAGGTCTTCATGCATACTGGCCACGTTCTGGGAACGCCGCACAAACGGTGTCAGCCGGCGCCCAGGGGCTATTTGAGACTCGTCAATGCTAGCCTGAGAGACCAACGGGCGTGTCCATCATCAGCAGGTCTCATTACTGTCCAGCGACGATATCTAGACCTTTATTTCAACCTGTCTGACTCTGTTTCTCGTGCTCTGGCTCTGGATTCTTGGTATCATTTTCCTCGAGGGCCGTGGATTTCCAATAGCGGTTGATTCCACCAGTAAGAGAACTGTTGGTCGTCGGTTCCCGAGGATTGTCGGCAGCATTGATGTGTCTCTCAAGCTACTAATCGCTTTCCTCCTTAGTTGTCGCAGATCGGCGACAAGATAATGGCTCCGCAGAACTGCGTCCTCCGCGTTTTTGAACTCAGGACTGGTCGAGATGGATGCTATGTCCGCTCCATGGACCAATACAGTCTGGACCAACATGGCTGGTCGTGACTTATGGACACATCCATCGTCAGCGCCACGTATTGTATCCAGTTAAGGATCACCAATTCCAGGCTTTGATCAGCTTCGCCACCAAGTTGGCGGTAGGATAGGCCAGATTCTCCTCAAGCATCTTCAAGAACCAAACAAGCGCCTCTTGCTCTACCTTGTTGTCAAAATACTCCCCGCACAGCATGACTGCTGCACAGGCATTGAGGTGGATAGGTGGCGCTTGCTTATTACTGAGTGCCATGCCACAGAGCTTGACACAAGCAGTCTTTGATATCGCCATGACCTCTCGTTGGCTGGCCAGATATCCGCTCCCCAGTTTCTTCCGCCCTGGGTCAAATGTGACCAGCAATATCCTCGTAAGTTCGGCATACGCTGCAGCCGTGACATGGTAAGTGTCGAGGTACAAGATCTCTGGGAACAGTCGAGTAGGTCCTAGACAGCCTTCCTGCTCATGGATAGGGATGAAAGAGGCCGGTAAAGACGATTGTAAGAAGTCGGCCTGTTCTTTCAAGTTGAGCCATCGTTGGCGATCAACGCCAAGATTCGGTAGGATCGTGTAACAGAACTCGAGGACATCGGCATGAAAGATGACAACGCGGTCAGCCCAAACGGCGTCTATCGCCGGGGAAAAGTCTCGGAAGGAATCAAACTTGGACAGCGGGAATGTGAATGCCTGTTGAGTCATGAAGGAAGCATGAAGCTCTTGTCGAAGCGCAATCCAGAAGCATGCCTGCCTGAGTCCATCTGCTTGAGAACCGTGAGCTGTGGTCAACAGCTCTCGAGTGGTTGGACTGAGAGGGGACTTGGGACGGAGGTCTGATCGCTCTTCTGCGACTTCGCCTGTCGTCAGGACCCCTGCTGAATTTGTGGCCGGCTTGATGCTGTAGATTTGCGGGGAACTGTGCGGTATCGCGGCCACCAGAGGCGTCTGCGCTTCCATGAATGCGCCGGTGACACGGAGGAACACGTCCTTGGGAGTTTTGCCCTCGTGGTAGGGGGTGTCGATTTCCTCGTCGGTCCGCAGGATGATGGATGCCGCCAGCAGGTCAACATTCTGGATCTGTTCAGGATCGATGCTGAACCTTAGAAGGTCTCGAATGCATTCGTTCTGGTATTCCCACACAGAGTCTTGTTCGACGTGCGGTAACAGCAGACCGTTCCACTCGAGAGCGTCATCGGCTTTCTTGTGTTCCTGCAGTCGAACGAGATGCCTCGCCGCTGCCGTGCATATGGCGTTCAGAAGGGTTTCTGACGTTCGAGCTCTCTGCGGCACCACCTGACCGAAATGCCTGTAAGGATCGCAAAGATCGAACCACGGTGAGAGCTCTTGCATGAAATACCTCAGGAATATAGCTCTGTCACGGGCCGAGGCGGCTTGATTCCCGACATTTCTCGACGCCGGCGCGTTGTCCTCGTTGAGATGAATGTCGAGCAATTTTCCCGCCGAGTCGTCTGGCTCGGTTACATGAGACATCCATTGCAGATGCGTTTGATCCGTTCCGACGTTGGAGGTATATATTGTGAAGGGCGAGCGTGACACGTTGGGTGACAACCAGTTCGACGATATAGCAGGTTGATCCTGATCGCTCTGTCCAGTGTCTGTGATGAATGTGTTGTGCAGCAGGAGGCGCTCGGAGAGTGCCTCCCCTGTGTCACTTGTGGGTGGAGAGCCCTTCTCCCAGGCGTTTTCAGTATCTGAAGCATCACTCTGGGATTCAGGCTCTTCTGCAGTAGCCAGTTCTGCGTAGTCGGCTTCATTGTCGCTTTCACCGTGAGTGGCGATAATCTTGCCAGTCTCGTCCACGTATCTAAGTTGCCCTAAGATAACATCTGTCAGTGGGAATGGTTTGATCATCTTTAAAGATATATGTGTGAAGCGGACTGTTCGTCTCAACCCATGGCTGGTCTTCCTGAAAGCGAATCTGAGCGTCGACCTTTGGCGTCTTACGAAACCGGATCTTTGGGTGCGTGCGATCGCAGTTGATGCCTTTGCGTCGACACCTCGAACATTCGATTGCATCGTAGTCACCTTTTCCCTATCAGACGTGTTGCATGGAATGGATGCTACAGTCTTACACCTCAAATGTCGATCTGTTCAGAGCCGGTCAGCCGGTGAGTAGGTACACATGGGAGGGAAGCCTGTAAACTTATCTACAATTGAGGCATGGCCTCAGCTTGTGCCTTTTTCTCTTCTGGGCAGCTTTTGTTGACGCCGATGTCTCCTCCATCTTGATGCGAGTGGAGGTCTGTTCGCGGGAGGCGGGTGATTGCGCTTTATATGTGGACGTAATATACTTCTCATCACTTGGTCAAATGGTTTAGCTTTAGGCTGGAAAGGGCCTAGGACACGGTCATCGACCCCGCAGCTTCTATCAACCTACATCAGAGAACTCAGAACACACTTAATAGACCTCCATTTCTTGTAGGGACATAGTTAGGCCTGCTCAGTGTAGTGAAATCCGCGTTACTATGAACACTATGCTTATGTTGGATGAAGACATTTCGAGTGGCAAGTAACAAGTCAAGACGTCTCAGCGATGGAGGCAGATCTATACATGTAGATAGCGTGTTTGAATTCTTTCCCTTCTCTAACCATTCCCTCTGTTCAAAATATCGGATCAACAGAGTGTTTGCTAGCTCATCAGTGATTTGTGTGCAGTCACACCCTGCTTTGCTCGCCTTCACCTTCCACAACGTGGACAGTGCTCCTCCTAGCATTCTCGAGTGCCTGGGCAAGGAGAGCCTCCTCTTCAGCAACGGAATTGTCCTTGAAGACCACCGCCAACTCTTCCAAACTCCTGTTCTTCGTCTCTGGCACAAAAAAGTAAGCCCACAGACCCGCGAGAAAGCACATGACAGCAAAGAACACGTAAGTCCCGTATCCGGCGCTCTGGACCATTGGAGGCACGGAGACGCCGACAACAAAGTTGCACAGCCATAGGAAAGCGGTGGCGAGGGCAACCCCTTTGGACCTCGTCGCTGTGGTGTACGCTTCCGCTGGTAGCGCCCACCCGAGGGGAGCATAAGTCGAACCATAGGTGAGAATGTAGACAACTGCACACCTGGTTAGTTTTCAAGTTGACGTTTGCCGCAGGATTGATACTTACAAACCATGGCGACGCACGTCCACGCCGCTGCCGGGTGAGCAGTCCAATTAGAAGAGAATTTGGCCACCAAGATTGACATGACAATGTACGGCATCATGGACCCGAACCCGCCGAAGATCGCAAGCGGTCGTCTTCCCACATGGTCAATGATGAAAAAGCAGAGAATAATGGCGACTAGTTGCCAGACATTCAGTATGCCAGAGATGATCAATGACATCTCATTCGACTGGCCCAGTGACGCGAATAGGATGGGCGCGTAATAAATAAACGCATTGATTCCAGAAAACTAGACACATTGTGGTAAGCTTTTGCTCCCCGAACGACAATCGATCCTAGTACTCACCTGCTGAAAGAAGGCAACGCCACAAGCGACAACAGTCCTCCTCCAATTCTTCTTGCTGAATAACTCAAGCCATGTCAATGCTTCGAGCGTAAAGCCTTGTTTCCCTGGGTAATTCTTCTCCAAGACGAGTTTTTGAAACTCCACCTCTGCCATGATACCGCGCCATTCGACCTGGACCTGCTCGTCTGTGGCAGGCAGACGCCGCAGTCGAGCGAGGCTGTGGAGTGCGTCATCCGTCCGTCCAACCAAGGACAGCCAGCGCGGCGAGTAGGGCAGAAAGTGGACGCATGTCCCCAAGACGGTGGCACATATCATTTGGAGGCCGAACGGAACGCGGAAAGAGGCCTCTCCCGCAATATGCCGCGTCCCGAACGTGATCCAGTAGGCCACCACAATCCCAAGGACCACCGAGACCGATTCCAAAACCAACAAAGCACCCCGGAGGTTCGGAGGAGCAATCTCTGAGATATACAAAGGGGCACCCTTTTCAAATGTCAGTCAAAGCGTCACCGTAAGCAGAGATCAATACGCACCATTGCTAAGGTTCCAACGCCAATACCACAGATGGTTCTGCCGGCGACGAGAGTGCCGTAGTTAGGCGCTGCTGTCTGAATGATGGCCCCGATATTGAAGATGACCGTAACCACAGTCAACGCCCATTTTCTAGATATGGTGTCGGCAAGCTTGGGCATGAAGAAGCAGCCGAGGAAAGCGCCAAGCTCGAGCATGCCGGTCATGAAACCAGTGTAGAAGCCAGAACCCTTGGTCGACGGGTCCGTCTCTGGAAAACGATGGTGGAACTGAGGCATGACATTGATGATGGAGATGACGCCCTGGTCGTAGCCCCAGGAGAAACCGCCAAACGAGATCAGAAGCGCCGCGCCGAACACATATGGAGACTGGATAATGCCTCTGATGCCGCTGTGGCCGTAGGAAACGTGGCCAGCAATTTCAGAAGGTCCAGCCACATGGTCGACGTGCACTGCTGTGTCAGACAGCTGTTCGCTTCCGAGTTTCTCATCAAGACGAGTCTCTTTTGTGGTCCACGTTGGGGGAGCCATAGCTCTTGTTGTTCCGTCGTCGGTGCACGAAGTAAAGATATTTAGTACTTTGGAGTTTTAGTTAGGAGACAAGTTGGTTGAAAAAGACCCGTGAATCTCAGGCGACATATAATGCTGTTTGCTCGAAGGGTCGCCAGATCTTTATAGTCATTCGGTTTTCTTGCGTGGACAGCGTTGTTACCGCCTGCCCAGTTCTAGAATACATAGTTCAGGTGGCCTACCGAAGGGAAGAGCGCAAGGAAATTTCTCGTTTCGGATGAAGCCAGCCTCGAGCCAATGCATATTCCATGGGGGACATTCCCGGGCCCTCCATGCGGCCTCTCTCCGCGATTTTCATTTCTCCAGACGCTTACCCTCCGTATCTCCATCTAGTCTCCGTCTGGGGGACCAAGCTCGGCATGAGCGTGGCGCGAGAAGGGTCGTTTTGGCGGCTCGGAGCAAGAAATCACACTCTGCCACCTCGTCACTCGTGGGGCTGTCTGGGATGCAAGGGGCGTCGCTCCCCGCGGCAGAGCTTCGCAGCTGTTTTGCCCTATCTGGATGCGTCACCTAGTCCAGGCGGGGCGAATCCTTGGCCCTATGCTTGTGATTGGATGGTTCATTCTGTATTCACCAAATTGGGCAATTTTCTTGCGATAGATATGTTCCGAAAGAAGTTAAAATCCTGCGAAGTATTCTCGAACAACTATATCCTGTCATCGCCGTGAACAAGTGGCCGACGAAGAGATTTAAACGTGATAGAACACATAGAAAATAGAAAGCGAGCACTAAGATGCTGTATGAGTTTTCTATTTCACTTTCCGGGCAATTTCCTTTGGTGTTTCACCGGAGAGACGAGTTTTACCCTTGCCAAAGACAACTATGCTTGCACTCCTGCTATTCACGATATCTACCGCCGGGTTTACAATCTATTTCATTGCTCTTCCAATATATCAACACTTCCAAGATGCGAAAGGTCTGCGCAAGTTTCCCACATTATCAGCCTTCTCAGGGCTCTCGGACCTCCCCTTCATCATCGAAGCCCATAAAGGTTTTCGGTCGTCGGCCCTTCTAAAGGCACACAGAGACCACCCGGTTGTCCGCATCGGCCCAAACTCCCTGTCATACGGGGATCCACGGGCCATCAAGTACATCTATGGGCATAATACCTCATGTTCCAAGGACCTGTTCTACTCGACACTCTCGGGTTCGCACTATCACCTTGCCGATGTCGTCGACAAGTCGGAGCATGCACGCAAGCGAAAAGTTCTCGCGAGTGCTTACGCCATCAAGAACCTCGAGGGATGGGAATTCAAGGTCTCTGATCTCACGCGGCGCATCATGAAGGCCTTTGACGCACGGTGCACCGCACCGCTCCAGCCAGGCTCCCTACCATGTCCGGACGATCTGACAGTCGATTATCGCCATTGGACCAACCTGTTCACCATTGCCGCCATCGCGAGCATTGGTCTCAGTGAGGATTTGAAGCTCTTGGACCACGGCGACGACATTGTAACATCCGAGAGAATGGACGGGACAACGAAGCTAGCCCACTTCCGTGACTGTCTCTTCGCCACTGCCTGGGCCCAATCGAACCTGGTCTGGGCGTATAGTTGGTACAAGGCACTGGTTCGCATCAGCGGTCTCGTATCTTCAAAATACCGTGAGTGCTGGCGCCTCAACAAGGACTGGGACGGGATAGTCTGGAGCCGGGCGATGACGCGCCGCAGGCGGTATCAGGCTGGTGAGAAACTCGACGATTTCTTCTCTGCTCTGATGGAGGACAAGTCTGGCCGTGAGAACAACCTGGAGTGGGGTGAAATCGTGGCAGAAATCTCCATCATGATGAATGCCGGCTCAGATACTGTAAGTTTGTGGTTCCACTTTTGAAATATCCTTTACAGTTGCTCTCATCGGAGCTGCAGTGATTGATGCTAATGCTAACACTCAATAGACCGCGATTGCGATGAACAACGCCATGTACCTGCTGCTCAAAAACCCTGGCGCTCTAGCAAAACTCAGGGAGGAGCTCGACGCGAATCTCGACGAAGAGGACGTCATCCCGCCGTACGACAAGATCAAGCACCTCCCTTACCTACGAGCGTGCCTTGATGAATCCCTCCGCATACTTCCACCGGTCTCGTTCGGCCTCCCGCGTCGAACACCCCCGGAAGGCCTCCAGATCCTGGACGACTGGATCCCCGGCAACACCTCGGTCAGCATGTCCGCGTACGTCGTCCATCACGACCCGAGCATTTTCCCCGAGCCGAATGTTTTCAAGCCCGAACGTTGGCTCGGCGAGTCTGGGAAGGACTTACAATCGTATTTCATCGCTTTCAGTACCGGCGCCCGGGGCTGTATTGGGAGGAATATTAGCTATCTAGAACAGAGCGTCGTGTTGGCGTTCATGGTCAAGAGGTATGAGTTCAGTTTGCCCCATCCGAACTGGGAGCCCACGAGGAGGGAGAACACAACGTTGAGCCCCGGGCCCATGTTGTTGAAGATCTGGAGAAGAGACGCATCAAAAGCACTCGTCAAGGCGTAGATCCCTCCTTCGAATACCTGCGTTGCTCCTTTCGAACAGACAGGTACAACTTCCTAAGTCACATGTTTGTGCGAGCACAGGTAAGGTGGAGTATAATGGATAGATGGATGCGAAAATGCCCAGAATGCAAGAGGATAAGCGTGAGGCAGATAGCAATTCTCCAATATCATGACAGAGCCAAGTAATTGTGATACAGTGCGTCCGGCTAGCAGATGCCCACAGTCTTGTCTAATACACCAAGCACAGTCTCTGGAGTCACCAATCTCAAAGACGAGAACCCTTTCGCCATTCATGCTTTTCAAGGCAAACCTGTTGAGATCTTATCGAGGGCGATAGCCTCGGAGATTGGAAGATTGTCCACCCCGTGTACGGAGTATTATCAGCCATGAAGTGACGAGCACTCAAAGGCGGGCGTGCGGCCCATGCGCATCCACCCTCTTCTTCCAAGACCAGATATCAGCACGCCAAAGCTGTCTCCCAAGGGGTATAGCAAAGCCATTTTGACACCATCGAGATGCTTTGGCTGGATTTCAAAAGCTTTTCAAACCTTCCCTCTTACGGTCCAATAATACGGACGTACTAGTACTAGCTCAGCCTCGTCAAAATTTTGGATGCGGAGAAGACGGCATTGTGGGATCCTCGCTTTTTCCTCCGCAAACCATTAATTTTTTTTATTTTTTTTTTGGATACGGACGACACGCCTAGCAGCAAAAATGGCCACAGATACGACTATGGACACGAACATGGATGTGTCGATACCGACCGCGACGGTTTCGGAGCAGGCACAAACAAAACCAGAAAAATTGTACGTCTCTTTGCTTCCGTCACCAAAAGGTGCAAGATTCCACAATTCGACAGTTCAACTGTACTGACACAGGTTCTCTCCAGACCGACGACCGTCGAGAAGCCTACTCCATACACCTATGACCTGGGCTACCTGACAGCGACGGACCCAAACCCTCTCCCCGCCACTTCACAGCTCCTCGCCCAAACCCTCTCCGAGCGCAACGAGTCACTCCGACTGATCGCCCGCGACGGGGCCCAATCGCTCCTCAACACCCTCCTCACGACGTGCGCGATCCAGTCGACGCCGGAGGGCCTGATCATGACCCTGCCCACGCCGCAGCAGTACCTGCCGCGGTGGAAGCCGCTGCCGAAGCCGAAAGCGCCGACCAAGTGGGAACTGTTCGCGCGCAAGAAGGGCATCGGCAAGTACGGGGGCAACCTGAAGGGCGGGGCCGCGCAGGAGGAGCGGCGGAAGAACCTGGTCTACGACGAAGAGAGCGGCGAGTGGGTCAAGAAATGGGGGTACCAGGGCCGGAACAAGAAGGCCGAATCCGAGTGGCTTGTCGAGTTGGACGACGAGGCCGTGCGCAAGGAAAAATCTGCCGCCGATGGTGGTGGCGAGGAGGGCAGGACGATCCGGGGAGAAGGGAGGAGGGAAAGGAAGGAGAGGATCAAGAGGCAAGAGAGACGGCAGAGGAACAATGAGCGGCGAAGCAGGAAGGGCGGGAAGACGGGTTGATCAAGGGCGGCCAACAGCAACAATGACTTCGTCATCAACAGTCAATCATGCCAATTGTTATGTGATACGGGAAGAAAACTCCAAACCGGGGCCAAGGGGTTGCATTTACCAAACAGTAAGCCAGCCATTGAGTGGCTGCGTCAACCCGCTTCTGATGCGACAGAAAGTGATGGTACTGCCATTCGTCTGTTGCGCTACATGGACGTATATCTGCACTACTGGGAGCTCGAGACAGTCGAGCGCCAGCCACGCCGAGCCGAAGAGGACCAAGTGGCGGAGGCAAGACCACTCCGGAGAGTCTTCAATTCGCGGAGGCCATGTCTTTGGGAGAGGTCAGGCCGATGACGGCGTGAACAGGGAGATGTTGGGAAGATGATCAAGATGCTAGAAATAATGGGCTTTGACAACATCTGACAGTTGGCGTCATCTCCAGCCGCCGTCTGCATTCGACTCGAGTGCATCACAAATCTATGGTCTCAAATGTCACTTTGCCTCCCCTGCTTCAACCTCGTCGGGGCTTTCCCGCCATGTCCAGTCCAAAATCTTACATACGCCTGTTCATACAAACAGAGCTTCACTCTGTATCATTCTCTTGCAGTCTCTACCTAGGTTATACCATTCCCCTCATGAATCTTCATCAATGTTTCGAGGCGAAAGCCAGAAGAAAGCCACAGTGCAATGCAACCACAAAAGACACGATGCTAAGTAGAAATCAAGGTAGATAGATAATACAAGATATGTCCTAGAGCCTTTCGATGCCAAACAATCGTCATAGGCAGGCGTATCCAAGCAGGGCATCAAAAGGAAAGGGAGTATGCTTCAGTCCATAACGTGACGCCGCAGCAGGATGTTGGTTCTAGAACTCATCAGGCCGACGACACATGTCCGAGGACATCACATTCTGATGGGAGAGAGCCCTGTCAGCTCTGGCAATTTTTGGTCGAGCGACAGTTTCGGAGGCTCTGGCGTCACCATCCGTGGTACAGCCGGTACTGACTGACTAGGTGCATGGGCACTGTTGGATCTGTCTCTCGCACTTCCACCCTGAGACAGACTTCTCTGTTTTGTCCTGGGCGCCATTGATTTGCGCTGTGCCGCTGCATCCGCACTTCGAGGAGGAGCAGGCTGCTGTGTTGATGCCTGTTGAGCATTTGATGGCGGTGGCGGCGGCGGTTGTTGCTGTTGTTGACTGCTGCCACTGGAAGAGATGGCCCTCTCATCGATGGCCAAGTCTTCACTTTCATTGATCGAACCTTCCCGCTCGTATCGGTATTCTTCTTCCAGGTACTCCTTTTCAGTCCAGCAGCCCTGCCAGCAATTCTTCCAATCCATGACAAGAAATTGAAAACAAAAGGCATCGATCTTGAGACAAGGCTGAAAGCAAATGCACAAATTTCGATAGTCCATTTTGTTCCTTTCGGCATAGCTGTTGAGCAGGCTGAGGTGGCATGTGATGGCGAACAACAAGTAGTAGTTGAACGGCGGTAAACGTGACAGTTCGTCCTTCAGCAGTTGAGGCGCCGAAGTCGCCCCGGCGCACTGGGTAGCAATCTTATTCTGGACAGCTTTGGGAAGGATTTCGTCAGGCAATTCTCGCAACCAGGATTTGAACATTGACCCGATGGTGTTGATATCGTACAGTTCTGGTTCGTCGAAGAGGTTGATGTCGTATTCGGTGTCAAAGCGCCGCTGCCAGTGCTTCACATCTCTGTTACTGCCAGGTATCCGATACAGGCCTTCTTCTTCGGCGCCATTCATATTCAGGTAGCTGTATAAATGGTTAGTTAGGGGAACAGAGAACTGAGGGATCAGCATACTCAATGCAGCGCCATGGCAAGGCTGGCATCCAGAATTCGGTCTTATCTTTGGATGACTCCAGACGTCGTGCTATCCTGGTTTTCCGGGTTTGCTTAACGAGTGGCAGGTTGATTGTCGTACATACGTAGTTGTCATCCGTGACCGTTAGAGGTTCGCGCTCGTTACTACTCCCACTCCGCGTGATCTTGCCAAAAAAGCCCTTCCCAGCTTTGCCTAGCCGGTCTCCCATGCCTTTGCCGGTTTGCCCTAGGTTGGATAGAATTTGAAGGGTCGATCCATCTCGGAAGGAATGGGACACGGGTATATTACCGGTCTGCCGATCTCTCCTCATGGATTGCGAGTCATCACGGGTTTGTCGATCTGCTGAGCGGTTTCGAACGGTCGCGCCACTCTCTGGACCAAATGCCCTATCTCGGTGGTCGAACTTGATGGGTGCAGTCCTTGGAGATGTGTCGGCGTGGTCATTGCCTGAGTTAGAGGTGTCTAGTTGCAGATGACTTGGCGGCGGATGCTTCTGTTTCGGTATGGCTTCCTCCATTTTCACAGTCTTGGTCCTTGCGAGAATGCCGCCAAATTTAGACTTGGGCTTTTTGGCCGCTTGCACAGGCTCCAGAGGGAGTTGAGAAGGGATCGACTCCGACTGGGCTGGGACCTCGTTGTCACTGCTAGGGCCGTTGCTTGGAGCAGCCTTGGGCAGCTCTGGAGTCGAACCTTGCTTCTTTACTGAATGGAGAGACCTCTCTTTGGAACTAGCCCGACTTCTTGCGTTAGGCTTTTCTCCGTTCTCTGGAATACTAGTCTCCGAAGCATGCAGTTTGTGGGAGGATTTGGAAGCCATCAAGTTGGAAAAGAAACCCTTGGACGGGTCTCGAGCGTGCTTTGGTGATTGAGGAACAGGTGAAGGAGGAAATTCGGGCACTGCTGTTATCCGCGGAGAGCTGGGCCCCGTACGCGACCCATCGTGTCGACTGTCTTGTGATACAGACGCTTGATGCGACATGAAAGAGGGCGGAGGGCCTTGCAGATATGGGGAGGTCGGGGCCGATCGGGGAGTGTGAGGAGAGCCCGTCGAGCGAGGGCTCAGCGTCGCGGGGGTCAACCCATTAAATTCTTCATTGTTGTCAGGAGCCAAGTTGAGATGGGGCAAAGCCGGGGCTTTTGGCATATCTGCAGCTCCCTAAAATGTCATCCACAGGGCCGACTGCAGGTAGCCGGCCGTGTTTTTACAGTTGGACAAAGCAGCAGCTGGCGCCAGATCACCGGGACCTGTGATGTTCTCCGTCGGATATATCGACTCCCTGTACCACCTCCTTTGCAATGACAGATAGGCCTCTGACAGTTAAAGTCGAACCTTGGAGAAGAGACACGGGATCAAACAACGCGCAGGTGTGAAAGCCTTGGTATCGCGTAGAGGACTGCTGGGTTTGTCGAGGCGTCTGCGGAGATGGATCCAATGCCACGTATTCCAATTGCCGCAGGCTTGCAGCCAAATGTCGGCAAGCAATTTGTGTTTGATGAGCCCGTGATGTCAAGTATTCTGTTCGCTATCCAACAAATGTTCTGTAACAGAAGGGCTGGCTTTCGATGTGTAGAATTCCAAGGATAGTTGTTGAAGGAGATGTTGAGCCAGGGATGTCTCTGCGGCCGCATTCAAGGGTTCGATTCAACTGAGGGACACGCTCCTCATCGGACAGCTCTTCATTGCCAGGCGTGCTCGTGTGACGGGCTGACTGCCAATATCGCTGAGTGGCTTGCGAGTAGGGCGGCTAATAAAGGAGGAATCTAGGAGGATCGAAGGAGTGACAGCAATGATCACTCGGGAACAGGACAAAACTAAGGACTAAAAAAGCACGAAGAACCAAGCCCTCAAAGAACCTCGACCGACGGGCTATAGGTGTATAAGGGTGTAGAGTTGGTGTTGTTTAAGGAGGTATGGTGCTCTCGCAGTTGTGTGGGATGGGATGGTGGTGTGCAGACAAAAACCCAAGGACCGACGAACGCACGACACGACACACGACGGGACTGTGCCAATGGCCGCGGTGGGTGGTCGTGGGTGGAGAAGACGGAACCAAGCGGTGAGAAGGAATGAGGGGACCAGCCTGTAGGCCTAGAGCACGACTGAGGGGCCAGGAACAGGAATCGGAGGTCAAGGGGGGGGGAAGGGCCTGGCTGCCTGGTTTTGTTCTTTTTGTGAGGTTGGAGGTGTCGCAGCAGGCGAAATATCTAGGGAATGCCTAGCAATCACTTTGGGGGAGCTGTTGGCGTTGGCGCTGGTGCTGGTGCTGGTGAACGGGCTACTAGGCACCTTGGGTACTAGGTACTGTAGGCACATACATTAGATAGGCTGGCTTGTTTGGGTCAATGGATGTGCCAGAGAAAAGAGGATCACGGCCACCACCACGACTCTACACGCCCTGCACCACCGTTGCCAGAAGGATTCCTAAACCCTCTGAATGCGCGTCGTCTAGCGGCAGGCCGATGATTTTCATGGTTGCCCTGCTACTGCATGCTTCTTTTTTCCTCTTGGTGCAGAACTGAGTTCAGTCGGTTAGCGTGTGCATCACGCAAGCATCTGTGTGGGGGGATGTGCAGCTGATGCCACAGCCCCATCCTGTCACACGGAGTTGACTGGCCATTTTAGCGGGTTAATCCTTGAGACGATGGTGGACGATGGTGGACGATGTTGGTCCATGGGGACGATGGCGACTTCAAACACGGCCTCAGGTGGTGGTGAAGCAGGACTCGCTTGGATGCCATGTTTTGGCGGGTTTGGCGCCGATAAACTGAGGTTCGGTGCCCACCATCTGGGTTTCACCGGCGAAGTTACTTGCAGGTGGGCCGGCTAGGGAGCCCGCTAGTGAGGGCCTCGTAGTGAACTAACCCTGGAGGCCCTTGACAGTGAGGGAGGCCCCTTGAGTGCCTGTGAGGGGTCGCCAGGGGCACAGAGACCTGCAGAGACATGCAGGCGGCTGGAGCCGGGGTGCCCAGCGAGTCAATTAGGTAAAGCCCGGGAGCTAAGCGTGCAGGAACAAAGGGCAAATCGTCCACAGGGCTTGAGATGTGCGAGATCTGGTCTAACTGCGAAGGACCCAAGTACCTCAACCTCTTTGCAGACACTGAGGCATTTTCAAATATCCTGCTTACTCGTTGGTGCACCCTAGTACTAGGTGCTCTATCCCTGCGAAGGCACAGAGGTAGCTGTTCTGTGAGCGGTCGTCATATGCTCCGTTCAGCAGTGAGACGATCAATTGTGGTGCCTGGTGTGCCCGATATGCCTGAGATGAAAAGTTTACGCCTGCCAGCGCCAAGCAGATCCGAAGATGAAGCGCACCTCGCATGCGCCCTCCCTAATAATCATCCTAGTGAACCCCTTGCACTTCCTCATCTACCTACCGCGATCACCACCAACCTTCGCATTCAGGCTTGCCCCATTCTCCACCTCCTCTCTCACAGCAATATCCGTCTGGTCCGCCCGAAAACATGTCACTCGTCGCAGGACCCGGGGTAGGAGGATCACACTCGGTCTTGCCGACCGATCTCAGCCTGGTGGTGGAAAAGCATGTCAAATACATCCAACTGTTGGATACTGTGCGTCCATGTGAGTGCTTTACACTGTGCCAGATGTTGATTCTGTGTGCCAGCGAAAAGATGAACTCGACTACTGGTTGACCGAACACCTAAGGTTGAATGGCGTATACTGGGGCCTGACGGCACTTCATCTCCTGGGCCATCCAGATGCATTACCTCGTGACAAAACGCTACAGTTCGTCTTCGCTTGCCAGAACCCGGATGGGGGTTTTGGTGCTGCTCCTGGCCACGATTCCCACATGCTGTACACCGTCAGCGCCGTCCAGATTCTTGCCACAATCAATGCGCTGGACGACTTGGACATGCCGGAGAGAGGAGGAAAGGAACGGACGGCAAAATGTAGGTGATCTCGCAACTGGCCACCTCGGGTCTGCAATTGCTGATTACCCCTTCGTAGATATCGCAAACCTTCAGAACGCCGACACGGGTACTTTTGCCGGAGATGAGTGGGGTGAGACAGACACGCGCTTCCTCTACGGTGCCTTCAACGCCCTCTCCATCCTAGACATGATGCACCTCGTCGATGTAGACAAGGCCGTCTCCCACATTCAAGCCTGTGCAAATTTCGACGGAGGGTTTGGCCGCTCGCCAGGCGCCGAGTCTCATTCCGGCCAGATCTTCACTTGCCTCGGGGCTTTGACTATCGCTCGCCGACTGGACATTGTGGATCATGATCGGTTGGCTGCTTGGTTAAGTGAAAGGCAACTTCCCAACGGCGGGCTCAATGGCCGCCCAGAAAAACTTGAAGATGTGTGCTATAGCTGGTGGGTTCTCAGCAGCATCGCAATGTTACGAAAACTGCACTGGATCGATGCTACCGAATTGATCAAGTTTATTCTCAGATGTCAAGACGCCGACCAAGGAGGATTTGCGGACAGACCTGGCGACATGGTGGATGTCTTCCATACCGTGTTCGGCCTCGCAGGATTGAGTTTGCTGGGTTATCCAGGCCTTGTCGAGGTTGACCCCGTATAGTAAGTTGCTCAGAGAAGAAACGTTCTCCTACACCAGACTAATTGGCCCTGGTTAGCTGCATGCCCCGGGCAGTCACCAAAGCCTTGCCATACTGGCAAACATGAAGACCATATATCGCCCAGGACATTCCTCTTGCAATCTAATAACCCACTTGAATTGGCACTTGAAAGATGGGATACAAGGCAAGAGAAGAGCAAACGTTCACCACGGCCTATATCCGCTTCATCACTCTACTGTCCTTTGCTCTAGAGGAAGTATAGACCTGGTGGCACAATGGGAGGTTGTTGTACTGTTATTGCAGTCGTGGAGACGAAGATTCAAGTCGAGTCTCCCAAGAACCGCAGCTAGCTTCCCATGGTGATTCAATAGACCAAGATGCTAGCTACCGTAATTGGAGGGTTCTTGCCTTTCCGGCGAGGCGATGACATGGTGAGTGGCTCGTTGGTTGGAGCTGCCTCTTTTTCCACCGGTGCGCTGCACCATCTTCTCTCTTTCTCACTTCCCACCTCCATTCAATGCACCTCTTGCTTCCTCACGCCTCCACCACTCCCCTGCTGGGTCATTTCTCTCCACACATCGTGCTCCCTTCTCTCTTTCTTGTTCACTTATGCATCCTGTCTGAAGTGCAGGAGGGAGATACCTTTCCCCGCATTTCGTCCCGTCTCTCAAGACTCGTACAGCAGTTTCGTTCTTGTCGCTCCAACTCTGCTTCACCATTCCCCTGCGTTCCTGCTCTGTCTATCTTCTCCCAGCAGCTACATGCGCCGTCATGGCTGTAGCCTTGCTAAATTGCAGCATCTGCCCAGGCCGACCCTCTTTCAGTGACACCTCCCACCTGCTCACCCACGTCAGTTCCAAGGGACACCTTTCCGAGTTTCACAAACTCCAGGTACGGAGCTACCAGGACATTGCCGCTGGCGTGGAACTGGCCACGTACAGCCACTGGTATCAGCAGCATGATATTGACAGACTGCTCTCAGAGAGAATGCAAATGAAAGAGAACAAACAGGCTAGAAAGAGAAGAGCTACTGCTGCAGCACGAAACGCTTGCGGACCACAGCCAGGAATATTTGACCATGCACAGCCAAATCCACCTTTGCCTCCAAGACGACCGGGGAGACAGAAGACCCAGACCCAGACCCAGACCCAGACCCAGACCCAGACCCAGAAGAGAAGCACTCGAAGCAAACAGGCAAGACGAGCTGTTGATGACAGTGACTCGGACTTCAGCCCCGTCAAACCTTCCAAGTAAGCACCGCCCCTGCAGATATATCCCCGCGGACGCTGACCAGGTACGCTAGACGCAGAACAAGTCGACTTCCAACTTACTCTCCTGTCAAGCGGGACCCCTTCTCTGACGACGTCTTCCCGGCCCTCGATGACTGTCCCGTTGAGGACGAACCGCCACGTCCGATTCCTGCAACACCTGAGCACATGAAGCTGAAGGGAACAGTATGGCCAGGCATGGATCTCTTTGATGCTGCCACGCAGGAGATGCAGCAAAAACGAAATCAGAAGAAGGACGCTTCTGTTCTGAGACGCATGGAGACACTGGCTGCCTTGGTTGAGCCCACCGAGGTCGTCTATTCACCTCGCGGCACCAATATCCTGAAAGCGAGACACATTGATGACCTTGAAGATGCAAGCAGTTTGGTGGAAGAGGAGACTCCGATTCCAAAAATCAAGCAGCCCCCTCGAACTCGCAAGAGAAAGCCGCTCGCAGAGAAAGACGTCAATGCCCCTCGACTCGTGAAACGCAAGGCCAAAGCCGGTGCCCCAAAGAGATATACTGATCTTCCTTTTGCTCAGGGGTTACCTCCCCTTCCGCATCTGCCCAGTTCATCCACCGGTGACTCTTATGGGCTGGGGTCTCGCTATTTCCCGACAGAAGACGAGGAGGAGGACGTTAAACCACCGATTCAAGCTTTGGCCCAGCGCAAACGGCCTCCTCCGTTCGAGGTCTTCGCCGACGGAAGCCCCACCTATCATGGAAGTATGTCGAGAAGCGCGAATCGGAACCCTCTTCAAATTGGAACTCGAGGCTACGGTAATGCCGCTTTCCAGCAACTGCCCAAGGTTTCCACAGCCTGGCTTCAACCACAGTATCAGTCAGCCTTACAATTTACTGACCCTTACACAACCTACCGACCTGTAGCTCAAGAGTATCAGGCATTCTACGAAACACATATCGAACATGAGAATATGCCACCATTGGCTGGACCTCCGGCGTCTTTCCGCGGAGCAGGTGCAAACCCTTTGGTATGGAAGTCTCCCATCCGACTGCCGACCGACCCTGGACTTCCTCCTTCCGACTCTCCTTTTGGCAATTTCTTTTCCATGTTTCCCGGTGGATCGCCAGGCGATGACCCCTTTGTGACGACCAAGAATCCTCTTGCAGGGGCGTCGCCACACTTGGAAAGCGAGCAACAACATGTCCTGGTCAAGGAGAAGCCAATATCACTGGGAAATGCGGAACTTCAGATGACGCCGAAGCCTAGCAATCGGAAATTGTAACCTCTTACCGAGAGGAACGCAACAACTTGTTACAGATTCCGCGGAAAATGATCTTGGTCTTCTCTTTTGGTGTCAACAACTCAATCAGCGAAGCAGAATATATGCGGCATAGGTACCACGAAATGGCCCACACTCTCTTGGAAGCTCTACTGAATCTCGCGTATCAATTGGTTTGGACCGCAGACTATGTCAATGGGAGTTCAGAAGATGGTGGCACGGGAGATAGATGTCCTATGAGATATTGGACGGTAAAACTCTTGATGGTGCATGACTTTGATATTTGCAGCGGGTGTATAGATAGCCCAGTGAGTTTGCAGCCTCTGGTAGCATTTTTGTAGACACGCAATGCCACCTAATTGAATTCTACATTGCAATTATAAATCATGACTCGGGTTGTATGTAGTGCTGCAGTATTCTCGGCGCAGTATATCCCTTGATATATGGACATAGTATGGGCTATTGCAGCGATCCAAGTGAGCTCCGACTTTAAGCAGGTTTTAGTATTCCAACAGCTGTTGCTCTGACTGTCGCGCGTGTTCTACTGGTGTATTGTCGGCGCCCTGTTCTGTAACCTCTTCCTTATCTCGGTACTGCTGATTTTAGTCTCAAACCCCTTCTTTTGCTCCTCCTTCCCTGGCGCGTCCTCGGTCAGATCACCGTCGTCGTCGTCGTCGTCTAATCCGACGCCTGCATCCAAGACATCGACCTCGAAAACTTCCAGTGCTTTCCAGCCTCTTTCTGTCCGCTTGTCGTTGACAGCTTTCCCGCCACTGCGCGTTTCGGCAGAAATCACCAGCGCAGTGATATCGGGGTCTGTGATGGTGGGCCCAAACGGATCGGAAATCTGGGTGTAATTTATCGTCATGTCTGCCATGTTGGTGCTTGCGGATATGGTCGGAGAGTTTGGGAATTGATATTTGACACGGACGACTTTACCGTTTGGTCCGGGCTCATCGATATACTCGGTCGTCGAGAGACTGTTAGCGGTTGCGGTTGGGGCTGTGCTCGTACTTGACTTGCGAGGGTAGAAGGCCAGAATGGAGTCAATGAATTCCGCGGTGCGTTGTTGTCGGACATCCCAGTGTTCGACCAGGGAACCGTACTTTTTGTTGACGAGCAGTTCGTCTCCGGTGATACCGACCGTGATCAATCGAGACTCTTTGGGGTTGGGGGAAGGAGACTGGGCTGGCTCGGCGGTCAGAATAGTGGCGGTCAAGAGCAGTTTGTGGCCAATGTGTAAGTGGTCGAATGTACCCCCTACAGCAACAGAACGGTGGATTGTAAGCGGTCCGTCTTCAATAACCGGTTCTGAGGGATTCCGCGAGGAGCTCTCAGGATGAACAATCGCGGGACCACTCTGGAGGCGGTGGATAGGCGGTAGCGGCGGAGGGTTGGACTTGGAGTTCCATATTCTGATGACTTGCTGGAGGGAAGCTTCTTGAGCCTCGCCTTCAACGGAAAAAAGCGCCGTATAAGACCGGTCGGAGAGGGCAAAGGTCTTGATGTCCACTATCGGTCCGGACAGATACTGCTTGCCAACGATACTCTCAGGGAGTCCATCGAGCCGAGCTTCCAAAATGAATATCCTCACATCGATACCGCCAGGAAAGTCGAGGTCGATCTCTTGCTGGGCGGCGACGGAGCAAATAAGGCTATACGTCTTCTTTAGGAGATTCTGAATGAGGGGAAAGACGGTGGCGCGTGAGGAGTTAGTGCTCAGGGGGTAAGAGGGGGACAGGACCAAGCCGATGTCCAGACGAGAGGTGGACTCTTTGTCGGCAGGGACGAGCTTAGGGAGAAGGGACTCAAATGTGATCTTATAGGCTGATTTGAACGAAGACGACGGCGAAGAAGGTGCCAGGGCCGGTAGGAGAAGCAGAGAGCTGGCCTGCGCCATTGTTCACAGACTCAAAGGGCCGAATGCGAATGTGTCGAGAGAGAACGAGGGAACGGGTGTATGAAAAGGAATGGCTCCGTGCGAGCTGTCTTCTTATAGCATCATCTCTTAAACAGAATTCTGTCGTCGCCTTGACGAATATACCGAGGTGAGTGAGAACCGGGGGGGGTCTGTACATGACTTGAAGTTGCTTCCTGCCCAATGACTATGCGGGCAACCTGCGCCCCTCCTCTCCTCCTGCGCCTTTTGCACCCCTCCAACCTCGCGCTTAAGCGGCTGACAGGGGGCCAGCCCCGAAGCAGGCCCGTGCCCTCACAAACACACGCTGCCGCCCTTACGCCTTGCGCCTTACGCCGTCTGGACGGAGGACAGGTTGTAACTGGACTGATCCTCACCAACGCACGCAGAAAAGACAAATTCGGTCCGCATGTGCTGATACTCTGCTCGCTGTTCCCCCCTGACTATTATGCCATTCCACATCCCTCGCCACCAGCACCACGTCTCCGACCCTCAGTTCACCCACGATAACTACTACAGTGCCGTCAATGCCATTTACTCTGCTGGCCAGACTGTGACCTCTGTTGGCGCTACAAACCCTCAATACCTGGACCACCACCCTCATCCGCCCACCACGGCTCCCGAACCCAGATCCTACCTACCTCAGTCCCAGCCAAACACCAATGGCAACGGCACCGTGATCCCATACCGCCCTGGCCCTCCTCCGTCCGCGTATACGAGTGTGCAAGAGGCCCAGCCTGGCCAATATCAGCCGGGTCTGAGGCGGTCTCTGACCATCGGTCGCCAACAGGCCGACGAACTGCATTTGAATCAGCAGCAGGGAACGGCCATGAGCGACGTCCACCACTATGGTGCACCGCCAGCCTATACAGGGGAAGGACTGTCTATCAAGATCGAGCCCTCTACGCCTCAGCATCCCAGCAGCGTCGCCAGTCAGCCCGTTCCCGGCACACTGCAACCAGGTCTTGCGAGCAGACCTGCGACTCTAGCGGCCAGCAACACCGCTCCCACTCTCCCTACTTTGCCTCAGATATCCACTCAGCAGCAGCAACAACAACAGCAGCAGCAGCAGCCTCCTCTTTCCGCAAGACCAACAACGCTAAATCACACTCACTCCTACTCTCGGTCCAGTCCCGGCGCCATGGACCAACCAAAATACAAGCCTTTCTCAGATACTCCCGATCAGAGCAAATATCCATCCGCTCCAATCTCATACGCCCCGCAAACTCCTCAAGGGCCGCCGTCATATTCTCCTCTCGGTCTAGCGGACATCAGACCGAGGACAGACCCGACGTTCACAGACATACCCTTCAGTCCGGGTGTAGCGCAGGAGAATGACATTGTACAGTATCCCCAGAATAGCAATTATATCGCGCCTTGGCCTATCTACGCGATGGATTGGTGTAAATGGCCTCCCCGGTCCAACAACGGTTCGGCGGGGAAAGTGGCCATTGGCAGCTATCTGGAGGACAATCACAATTATGTGAGCATGAACCATTGCTGGAGAAAAATCAAGAGAGACTTGGAATACGAGGCTGACATTATCTGGGCAGATTCAAATATTGGACACTCAAAGATCGCAAATAGACCCAGACAACCCCCATGGTGAGCGAGGTTTGGAGTTTATCAAAACCGCAGAAGCTACACATGCATATCCCGTGACAAGGATATTATGGGAACCACCTTCGTCGAATAAGCAGACGACGGATTTATTAGCAACTTCCGGCGACCATCTTCGACTGTGGTCTCTGCCGAATGAGCAACACGCATATCAGTCGAACTCGGTCACACGGCCGTCGACCACCAAGACGCCTCCGTTACAAAAGCTGTCACCACTTGCCTTGCTCTCGAATTCGAAATCTCCCGAACACACGGCCCCCATCACGTCGCTGGATTGGAATGTGGTCCAGCCGTCGTTGATTATTACATCTTCGATCGACACAACCTGCACCATCTGGGACATCCCTACGCTTACAGCGAAGACACAGCTCATCGCGCACGACAAAGAAGTCTACGACGTGCGTTTTTGCGCGAACAGCGTGGACGTGTTTGTCTCGTGTGGTGCGGATGGAAGTGTGAGGATGTTCGATCTGAGAAGTCTCGAACACAGCACGATTATTTATGAGCCGTCGGAGAAGCAGCAGCAGCAGGAGAAGAATTGTAAGTTTTGAACTACCATCACCCTTGCCTTTATGCTGACGTCCGCAAAGCACTTGGCGATCCTCTCTCCACTTCGCCGACACGGGCATCAGGCTCGGGCGGCATATCAACGCTCCCTTTCCCACCTCCCTTACTCCGCATCGCGGCGTCTCCCCACGATGCCCACTTGCTCGCGACATTCAGCCAAGACTCGAACATCATCCGTGTTTTGGACGTCCGACAACCCGGCCAGGCCTTGCTTGAACTGAAAGGTCACGGTGCCGCCGTCAACTGTATCGATTGGAGCAACTCACAGCGCGGCGTTCTGGCTTCTGGGGCAGATGACTGTTGTGTGTTGCTCTGGGACCTCATGGGCTCGAGTGCGTCAACCGGACAGAACAGTGTAGCAGGTGGCGTGTCGAATAGCAGTGGCGGAGGGCCGGGACAAGGACAAGAAAGAGGCCCATCTGCGGTCTGGGAATGCAAGTTTGAAGTGAGCAACTTGAGTTGGGCTCCCGCGGCGGGAACGCTCGGTGTTTGTGGCGGTAGAGGATTTTGGGGCGTGCAGTTATGATGAATGAATTCCCTTGTCTTCATGAGGCTATATTTGAATCCAGGGGGCTTGGTAGCATACACGTGGGCGGATATGCGTCTCATTATGGAACGAGCCGAGGATATCATGAGTTGAGATGTGGGGGAGACGAGACGTGATGGTGCTGCAGCTACGGGTATGTGGAGAGCCCATTCTGCCTGTTGTGAGTGACATTACTGATGAGAAAGTCATGTGTGGGATAGGACAATGTGTTGGAGCCGAATTGAAAACGCGTTTGAAAGAGTCCAAGACAATAACTGCTTGATAACGACAGCACGCGCGTGGTACCATCCCAGACTGATTGGCGTGTCTCATTTGAGACTGCTTTTTTGGCTCTATAGATGAGAGATGTCTAGATGTCTAGGTGTCTAGGTGTATACGGACGGTATACCTCGTATGTACCGAGTGCTATGCAGATATCCAAACGTCCCCAATCTGGAGCGCATCCATCTATCCATCTATCTATCCAGCCTGCCTGCCAGCCTGCCAGCCATAAATCCATGCATCCAGCCATGCAATGAAGAGAGGCGAACAAACAAATAGACAAGAAGCCGCCCGGAACCCAACCCGTTACATTGCGTCGTCTTTTCTGTTCTTTTGGTCTCCGTTCCAGATCCCATCAATGCAAGATGGGTGAGTAAGTTGAGTGAGTGATGTATGATATGTCTCTGCTTCGGGTTTCGTTGGCCACAACATCCAATTCAATGTATGGTAAGAGCTAATGTCACATGGAACCAAAGGGCTTGGTGGGCCGGCCTCTCTCTCGCTCTCGCTCTCGCTTCCTCTCAATTCGCCTTCATCTTGCCGTTTGCCACGAACCCGTTCCCTTCCCCTTTCAAGCCACTCCCACCCGACACACTGGCCCGTCTTCTCCGCTCCGACTTACAATTGACGTAGACGGCCCGCTCGATCGCCTTGAGGACCTCGTCGATCAAGATGACTGGGGCCGAAATCCACAGCACCGCCATCCACTCATCCCACCCCAGGGCCTCGATCGAGAAGACGCCCTGTAGAATGGGCGTGTACAGAATGGCAAAGTGGAGGAGCATCGAGAGACAGATCGCATAGATGAGTTTCATGTTTTTCCAGAGCGGGAGTTGAAGCAAACTCTCCGACGAGCTGAGGGCATTCATGGCGTTGAACATCTCAATCACAACCAAGATGGACAGTGAAATAGTCGAAGCGGTGCGCGTCGGTGTCGATGAGGGAGAGAAAATGGCACAGCTGACATTCTCGAAGATAGCATTCGTTGGCGAACATTTATGGAAGCTTCGGAGTTGCGTGAAGCTGATTTGCGGGCCCGAAGGGTAAAACATGAACCACCACACATAGCCAAAGACAGTGGCGGCGCCCACATAGGTGCCGATGACCATGTATCGGAAGAATAGCCACCCAGAGACGAGGGGCTCGTCGCGTTTTCGCGGCGTCCGGCGCATCACGTCGTGGTCAGCCGGGTTGAATGAGAGCGCGGTGGCCGGGAGACCATCCGTGACCAGATTCACCCAGAGAAGTTGGACTGGGATCAACGCTTCCGGTAAGCCCAGGGCCGCGGTCAGAAAGATCGAGACTACTTCACCAATGTTGGACGAGATGAGATACCGGATGAATTGCTGGGTGTTGCTGTAAATGGTGCGCCCTTCCTCAATGGCGAGTTCGATGGTGGCAAAATTGTCGTCCGCAAGCACCATGTCGGCGGCCAATTTCGCGACATCGGTGCCGGTGCCCATGGCCACTCCTATGTCAGACTTCTTCAGCGCCGGGGCGTCATTCACGCCGTCGCCTGTCATGGCTACCACTTCGCCCGCGTCCTGCAAGAGATCAACAAGTTTGGACTTATGCGTGGGCTCGACGCGGGAGAATAGAGATGCTGTCTTTGCAGCTTCGAGCTTTTCGCTTTCCGTGAGGGAGTCAAACTGGCGGCCGGTGAAACTCTTGCCGGTGAGATCTTCGTCTTGTTGGAATACGCCAATCTGTTTGCAGATGGTCTCGGCAGTGTTCTGGTTGTCACCAGTGATGACAATCACTCGAATACCGGCCTCTCTGCACTTCATGATCGACTTGGCCACCTCTGGCCGAGGCGGGTCGAGCATCCCGACAAGCCCGATCAAGGTCATGTTCTGCTCCAACTCAGCATATGCTTTGTTGCTCTTTGCGGTATACAGTAGCTCGTTGCCACTAATGTTTTCCACGCTGGCCAGCGCAAGCACGCGAAGGCCATGCCGTCCATATGCCACGAGCTCCTGAGCGAGGAGGGCCTGATGGCGCTTGTTAATGGGAACTTTCTTGCCGTTTGACCCCAGAATGACATGAGAGCAGCGTTCGATGATCGATTCAGGGGCACCCTTAACAAGAAGCTTTTGGGCCTGGCCAGTTCCAGCGAGGACAGACATACTTTTTCGATCTCTCGAGAACTCGTACATTGCGTGCAGAGGAAGTTTTTCCTCGTAGTACTTACTGGCGAAGTCTACTCGCTCAGCGCCGGCCAAACTGGCTCGAGTGGTGTTCCTCGCTGCGTCATCGGTGCCAATCTTCTCAACCAGGACACGGAGAGCTCCCTCAGTAGGTTCTCCAATGCTTGAATAGGTGTCGTTCTTCGCGTCATATGACAAATGGGCCTCATTGCAGAGCGCCAGAACCTCTGACATTTGCTTTATGGTGTCCGAAGTTGCTGCGGGATTTTCAAGTTTCTTGCCATTGTGGATGAGGTCCCCGGTCGGGGCGAAGGTGGTTCCTGAGACTTCGATCTCCTCTAGATCATCTCCAGACTCGCTGAGATAGACGATCTTTGCAACACTCATCTGGTTGGTCGTGAGAGTACCAGTTTTGTCAGAGCATATCACACTGCAGCTACCCAGGGTCTCGACTGAGGGCAAACTCCTAACGATGGCGTTTTTCGCCGCCATTTTCCTCGTACCCAAGGCGAGACATGTTGTGATGACCACGGCGAGACCTTCTGGGATGGCAGCGACCCCCAAAGATACCGCGATTTTCAGGTAGTAGATGGCACCCTTGGCCCAGCTTCCTCCGTGCGAGGGATCATTGAAATGCTGGATGTTAATCAGCCACACCAAAATACAGATTACTGTAATGACTTTGGCCAGAGTATCGCCAAAATCGTTGAGCTTCTCCTTGAGGGGCGTGGGCTCCGAAATTTGCGAAGTAATGCTCTCGTGGATGTCGCCAATCGCTGTGGAACTACCTGTAAGAACGACAATGGCGGTAGCGTGTCCCGTCACCACTGTTGTGCCAGAGAAGAGCATGTTGACCTGATCTTGTTTGACAGCCTGCACATCGTCTATGGCTTTGCACTCCTTGCTCACACTCTCGCTTTCGCCTGTCAAAATGGCCTGGTCGACTGCGAAACTGTTGCTTTGGATGGACAACAATCGACAGTCGGCCGGTATCCGATCTCCAATGGCGACAGTAACAATGTCTCCTGGTACAAGCTCGTCTGCCTTGATCTTCTGGACGTGTCCATCCCGAATCACCTTTGCTTCGTTTGCGGAATACTCTTGCAAGGCTGCGATGGCCTTTTCAGCACTGCTTTCTTGCGTCACACCCACGATCGCATTCAGAATGAGGATTGTCAGGATCTAGAGCCAGATTAGTCTCGAGCGGCTCGTGTTGTGATCCGGTTCAACCTACCACCACAGGGTCGACAAACGCAGTCCAGTCATCCGACTCTTCAAACAGGGCCAGGATAAAAGATATCGCAGCCGAGCCTAACAGTATGAGGACCAATTGATCTTTGAACTGTTCCAGAACGAGTTGCCATAAGGGTGTCGGAGGGTCTTCGGGGAGAGCTGTTGCGCTCGTTAGCATTCCATGCTTGATCTTCACGGCGGATTAACCAATTGCACTCACAGTTGCTTCCATATTGTTTTCGGGACTCTGCGACTTGCGCAGACGACAGACCGGCTGCTTCGGTGACATGGAAGTGACTCAGCACCTCTGATGTTGAGCGCACATATGCTTGTTCCATGTCGCGATGGTCGGAAAGTGAACGACTATGAGGTGGAAAAGAAAAAGAGGTTGCTGTGAAACGACCTGGGGAGATCCATGCACCGCCAACCGTCTAGACAAAACTCACTGAATACCGCAGGTAACAACGAGGGGTTGGAATCTATTTAACAGGTCTATGGCGAAAAGAGCGACTGTGGTAGTGACTGCGATAGAAAATCGATGCCCCACGTGGTGAACTGGACACGGTGGACACAGTTTAATCATCGAAAATTCCAGACGCAGGCCAAAAGAACGCAGCCTAGGGCGAAAATACGAGCCCGTTTGGAGGCGTTTGGGGTACAGAGCCCAAGCAAGCAGTAATAGCGTCCATACAGCTTATCCAGAGTGGTTATTCAACAACTCGATTAGCCCTACATCACAACGGTAGGAACTACGTGAATTAGGCGAAGTTGCTGTGCCGACGACTTGCAAGGTTCGGAGGGACTACGGAGTACGGACCACACACAGGTAGAGGACCAGGTGAGAGTTGAACAGGAGGGCAGTGAGGCACGTGAAAGTCCGAGCACCTAGAGAAGAGTATAGAGTCCCGTGAGTACCTAGTTTGGCTCTCCGGGGCGTCGTTGCTCCCAGAAAAGAGAAGCTGCATAGGCAGGAGAGGCGCAGAGTGGTGAATCCTGAAACCTGTCACCCAGGGTTTCAGGCGCTGGCGTCAAACAAAATCAGTTGTTCGTCACCTCCCAGTGGCAGGCCTCAGTGGCCCTCAGTGGCCCTTGTGGCAGGCAGCACCCAGAGCGGTTAGTGCCAGCAGTGCCTGGGCGACTTAGTGATGCTCTAGCCCTTTAAGCATCAAACTGCCTTATGAGCCATCACTCACAAACCATCAATCTGCAACCCAGGCCCCGTTTCCCATCACCAGATATTCAACCCGTCCTTCGATCTTCCATCCCCCATCTCCCAATCTCTTTCCTTGTCCTCATCTGCACAACCCATCGACCACTTCCTCCTCTCGTCATCAAGTCTCCCGATTCTTGACAATGGCCACCGACGTAAGTGCTGCTGCCCCCGCCTCCAGATTCAGTCTCAGCTGGCCTTCACTGTCCAACCTGAAGCCCCCGATCTTGTCATTGATAAGACGTTGTGCTGACTTGAATGCGACTTGTAGCGCGAAAGGTATCACTGCCTGATTCCCCCCTCGAATCATCGATTCACTGATGTCCTTCTAGTAAAACATTTCTTGCGAGGCTCTGTGAGCAGGCTGAGCGCTACGATGAGATGGTCAGCTACATGAAAGAGGTGGCCAACGTACGTCGATACCCTTGGACAGATGACCGTGGACCGACCGGGCTGACTCGTGTTAGATGGGCGGCGAGTTGTCTGTTGACGAGAGAAATCTCCTCTCCGTTGCTTACAAGAACGTCGTCGGGACCCGACGTGCCTCCTGGCGCATCATTTCCTCCATTGAGCAAAAGGAGGAATCCAAAGGCTCCGACAAACACGTTGCCACCATTCGCGAGTACCGCCAGAAGATCGAGAGCGAGCTTGAGAAGGTCTGTCAAGATGTTCTCGACGTCCTCGACAAAGCCCTCATCCCAAAAGCCGAATCTGGAGAGTCCAAGGTCTTCTATCACAAGATGTACGTCATCCTTTGGCTCGGAGAATGCTCGAGCTGAAACTAACACGGTGAACAGGAAGGGAGACTACCACCGATACCTGGCTGAATTCGCTTCTGGGGAGAAGCGCAAGGTTGCGGCCACTGCCGCTCATGAGGCCTACAAGGTATGACAGTTATCCTTCAGAACACACAAGCAGTCCACTGACCCCCGCTTGCAGAATGCCACCGATGTAGCACAGACCGAACTCACCCCTACCCACCCCATCCGTCTTGGTCTTGCCCTCAACTTCAGCGTCTTCTACTACGAGATCCTCAACTCCCCCGACCGTGCCTGCCACCTTGCCAAGCAAGCCTTTGACGATGCCATTGCCGAGCTCGACTCGCTGTCCGAGGAGTCGTACCGCGACAGCACGCTTATCATGCAGTTGCTCCGAGACAACCTAACGCTGTGGACGTCGTCCGATGGTGGTGAAGGTGAAGCTGGCCCAGCCGGCGAAGCGCCCAAGGAAGACAAGCCCGCCGAGACCGGTGCCTCTGCTGAGCCTGCAGAAAAGACAGAGGCTGCTCCACCTTCCTAGAGAGATTGCCAACTGGCGGCTGTGCATTCCTTTCCGCCTTTGGCAACTCTGGCTTACATCAACTCTCTACGATTTTTCGGGCAGGATTATTGCGCAAAATGGCAGCACTCGCACTGGCCTCTCTGTGACGAGCTCGGATTCTAGGTATTGCACTGGAAGGCGCGTGCAGTGATTTGTTCAGGCGGGCCCAGATAAAGGCAGAGAGAGAGAGAGAACTACCAAGACTCCCAGATCCGGGCAGACTACCTACCCCAAACTATTCCCCCAACCATGTCGAATGCAATCCCCCCAGGCAATACTGATTTCTTCGTTTTATTGTCTCCTACGATACCACATAGCTTTTAGCTCAGGTGGATTGATGAATGGAGTTAGCAAGCGCGTCGCGGAAAGGTCCACAATCACACTTTGACATCTGCAACCGTCGTTTCTGGTCAGTGTCTCTTCGTCTCCTATCTGCGTCTCCCGTTCATCGACTGCGTTCATTGCTCTGCCCTTCACATGTACGCAGCAGTCTCAGCCCACGCCAATCTCACGCAGGCAGACATGTGACCCTTACCTCATAGTTCCTTGGCATCGTGACAAAGGCCACCGAAGATTGATTTGATGGCGTCAAAAGTCATGACTTCATTTCCGCGTCCTGCCCTTTAGGACCTCAACATCACAGTGGTGACATCCCGTATTATGATGATGAACTTCCGATCGTCCTCTCTCGTAACGGAACATGCCTGACTTCACGCTTGGGCTCAGATTTTGGCCCTTAGCAAGTGTTACCCGCACATTACCCACGCCTCGTTGTTGCGTCATGCATCAATTGCTGTCGTTTACCACAACCACCTTTTTTTTGGCTTTGCATTTTGAGATATTATAGTAGCAAAGCATCCTCGACCAAGTGGAATATCTTCAACCTACTTGAAACCCTGGTGACAGTGCTTTCTACAGGCTTTCTGCTCTTGACTGTCTTTCTCGTGGAACTACTTACCTTACGAACAGCTCAGCCCTCTGCCTATTTCCTGAGACGCTCGAGAATTTTCCCAGCATAACAGGGAGGTAGTGAACAAGCGCCCACCCTCCTTCCAACCAAAGCTCCATTGATCGAACAGCATGTCTCCTGGCCGACGTATAGCCCTCGGTGGCCTTGTCGTTGGCGCAGCACTGTATTTCTGGCCGCAAGCCTCGCCAGGAGTCCCGGGAGCCCCGATCACCACCTTCAAAACTACTGGTGTGCGGAACATAGAGAAAGCTTATGCGAACGGCGGTGCTACATCCACACATACCAAGGCCTATGGCGGCACCGTCCAGGGACAAAAGGAAGATGCACCGATGAGGGAAGGCTCGGCCACCAACAACCCAAAGGGATATCAGCAAGAAGGAATCGGAGACGACCAGCGGCCGAACGGACTCTTGAAGCCTGAGAAGTGGTGGAACAAGACGATGTATGGCAGTGAGAAAGGCAAGTGAGGAGGGCAGATGGCCCCCTCTCGTGAAGATGGAGCATGATTTTACGGAGTCAGAGCCACAACAAGGGAAGGGATCAAAAGCAAAGCAAAGCATGCTCATCAGGAGTAATTCATCATTGACGGTGTTTGGCCGACACTGCAAATTGTTGTACATATGGACAGGGGCGAATCCCGACAGAGTCTATATAGACCATTCTTCACCAGTTCCGACCTTGACTCGATGGGCGGGATGGCCTCAAATCTAACCCCAAGCTGGCTCTGAAAGGTGCTGAGAGTAGAAAGCCTTGAGACTAATATCGTGCTCACGGTGGGAAGGTATCGAGGTATGTAGGAATGGCTTTGTAGGCAGGGAGTGGATGTCCAATCGGAATAAATGAAGCCCACGCAACGGCTTTTGATTGTCCCTCGTCCCTGTTCTGCCGTTGCCCACGTCGAAAGTCCAGAATCGATGCGGGGAGCAGTCGCTTGCATTCCTCTTTGTGGCTTGCGCCGCGCAATCTTCGCTGCGGTCTATCTTCAGAGCCATGTTGCCTTCGGCCATGAACGCCTTTGTTGATCAATCGACTCGACTGAAGCGTCGCACTCGTGGCATGAGTTCTATCTGCGATCGATCATGAGCCCTGCATCAAGATAGAACCAGCGAGCTCGCTCCACGCCGATTCAGCTGCTCCACCAACGTCAGCGCCCTTAGCTAAGCAATGCCTCTGGGGATTCTTGAGCCAAACGTCGAGCACGTCCCGGGAACGGTGTATGTGTATGAGACAGAACAGCGACATGCCGAGCTCTTGGAGACTGCTCAGCATCTGAAGAAGGACAGTACGGGGCGAGTCATCCTTGTCCCCCAGCCCTCGGATGACCCAAATGACCCGTTGGTGCGTGTTTCTCTCGTGAAGCACTCCAAGAGCATCGAAACTAACTGGCGCCCCAGAATTGGCCTATTGGGCAACGCGACCTGATTCTTGGAATCCTGTGCTTTGTCTCTTGCCTTGCCACGACAGCCTCTCCTCTCCTAGCCGCAGACTCAACAACTCTCGCAATCGTCTTCAAGATAACCTTCCAAGATGCTGCCCTTCTCACAGCCTACCATCTCTGCGGCGTTTGTGTGGCGGGATGGCTGTTCGTCGCATCCGCAAGAGTCTGGGGCAAGAGGCACCTTTTTCTCATTGGAGCGTTGCTCATGGTCGCAAGCTCTGCCTGGGGAGGTTCTACACATATCGGTCACAACTATGCCAGTCTCTTGTGGAGTCGTGTCTTCCAAGGAGTCGCGCTGGCGCCTTTCGAAGCCCTAGTCAACGCCTGTGTCGGAGATCTATACTACGTCCATGAGCGTGGAGTTCGAATGGCGATCACAAATACATGTCTTTTTGGAGGAGCCTTTTTGACACCAGTATTCGTGGGCATGATCACTGCTCATATGGGCTGGCAATGGAGTGTAAGTTTACGTCGGTCTCGTCTCTGTGTTGGGCCGGATGTAGTTGGTGGTTATGCCATAATGCGCAGATTCACCAGTCCTGCGTCCTGAGCAAAATCACAATCGTTGGGACTTGCTATGTCTATCTGAAAGATGTGCTAACCTAGAATCACACAGTTCTTTTTCCTTTCCATCTTCATGGCCTTGGGGTTCTTCCTCGTATTCTTCTTCGTGCCTGAGACGGCTTATCGAAGAGCACATTCTCTCAACCTTGATCTTCTCGCCGAAGAGGACTCGTCGAAAGAAACGATCGGGAGGCCAGAGATGTCAACTACGAAAGATGCGGAAGAAAAGCCTTTGCACTCTTCAGCAGTTGTCGAACCACCTCCACCAAGAAATTCCTACTGGCAACGATTAATGCCATTCAACGGTCGGAAAACCGATGAGTCCTTCTTCAAGCTCCTCTTTCGACCATTCCCACTGTTCCTGCATCCTGCGGTCCTGTGGGCTTGTTTGATTCAAGGTGTGATTATTGGCTGGACTGTCATGGTCGGAGTTATACTCTCTCTCATCTTCCTGGGCCCGCCTCTCTTCTTTAATGAAGAGAGGGCCGGGAAGATGTACACCAGTGCGTTCATTGGCAGCATTATCGGGCTGCTCGGTGCCGGTTTGTACAGCGAGTTCACGACGCGATTCATGATCAGACTCAACAGGGGCAAGTACGAACCCGAGTTCCGCATTCTGCTCGTCATACCGACGCTTGTGTTCTCCTGCATCGGTCTATACGGCTTTGGTATAACGGCGAACAACGTGGCTCGCTACGGCTGGATCGTCCCCGAGGTATTCCTCGCTTTCATTATAATCAGCATGGTTATGGGATCCATCGCCTCGGCCCAATACCTCCTTGACGCGCACCGCGACATCGCAGTCGAGGCATTCACGAACCTCATCATCTTCAAGAACATCTTCTCCTTCATACTGGCATACCATGCCTTTAATTGGGTATTCGCGATTCGCATCAACCATTTATTTATTATATTCGGCAGCATCGAGATTGCTATCTGTGTGCTCAGTGTGCCCATGTACATCTTTGGGAAGAAGAACCGAGAATTCTTCCACCGGCACGATCTATTGGAGATGACGAAGCTCCGATGACATGATCGCTTTAGGGCCATATAGAAGATATAGTTAACCTTGTATGATTCAGCTGGATGCCCCGTCTGTGCCGTTTGCCAGATTTTCCTTATGTCAGAGAAAGGGATGAGGGTCTCCGCCTCCACTTTTCGCTTCCACAGACCTTGTAGATGTCAGGGGCATTTTTGCTGAGATTTGGCGGTCCCCAAAAAGGGAAAGAAGATCTCCCCACGCAGCGGCAAAATGGGCAGAGGATGACGAGTCGAGTGCAGTCTCTCCTTGTTCCTTTGCCACGGGCAGTTGAGGATCGAATTCCCACTGGGCGACGATAATGATGCAATTCCCAGAGGCGCGAATCACTTTGAAGCGCGTCGCTATCATTTGAAACGAGCTTGGTTCGCGTGGCGCTGAGTTCCGCCCGCATTCGGAAATTAAGAGGTTGGTGCTCGGGTCGAGCGGCGACGATCTCAGGAGAAACACGTCTTCACCACGGTTTTCTGTGACGGGCCGCCGAATTTTGAACAAGACTGCCTTCGAGGTTGTCCAGAGAATCGACTTGTGCGACCAAGAGCATGGACAGTGGATGCGACTGTTGAGGATTTTCAAAACCCAAACATTAACATCGAGATGCCGGGGGATAGAAGCGGGAAACGTCACCACAAGAATCGAACAGCGACGTCGCCATCATGTCAGAATTAACGCCCAGCACGCTCTGCACCGCGTGTCAGTCCATCTTTGAACCAAATACGCAGAAGTCAGAGGAAACAGGGGAGATCCCGCATCATGGCCTGGAAGAACTCGCATCTCGGGCTAGCAGCTGCCATCTATGTTTGACCGTGTTCATGTCCATCGACCCAGACGCCTATAGAAATTTTCGGAATCGAGGACTAGCCATCGACTCGGTGGGATTCGCCTGGATATCGCCCATTGCGAGAGACCAAGCGAGGCTGAAGTTTCGATATGTGAAGCCTACGAAGTCTGAGGCGGACAAGGAGAACCGCGGACCTACTCCGAGCAGTAGTGGCTCGAAGGCGAGTCTGTCACTGAATTGGGACGAGACGGCGGGGTTAGTGGTTGAGTTGATTTTGATGCATCCTCGATGTAGGTACTCCTTTGAGCTCTTGTCGGCCTCTGGTTCGAGATTCGATACGGGGCCCTCAAACAGGCTGCTAACTTGCTGGTGTCTCAGTTGCCGTTGAACCCGGAGTTCGAACCATCGACCCCAGATCCGTGAGTACAGCGTCGATAGAAAGTCTCGATCTCGCCAAACAGTGGATCCAGGACTGTTCCTTCAACCACATGAAATGTTCCGTGACGTCGGCCGCCGACGCGACTTGGAAGCCTACACATCTGCTGGACGTTTCAATCCGAGGTCCCAAGGGCACTCACGGAGTGAAACTGGTGGATGGCATGTTCGTGGATCCCCTGAGCGAGTACGTCACGCTCTCCCACTGTTGGGGGAAATCCAAGACGATCCGTCTGCACAAAGGGACGCTCGCAGCCTTGAGGCAGGGCGTCAGCGTGGCGAATCTTCCAAAGACATTTGCCGAAGCCGCTCTTGTGACGGACAGGCTAGGTTTTCGATACCTGTGGATCGATGCGCTGTGTATTCGGCACGATAGCGAAACAGATGTGTTGGCAGAGGTGGGACAGATGCACCGTGTCTATTCCGAGGCGACGCTCAACATAGCCGCCACATCCTCGAGGGACGACGCGAGCGGATTGATCTACAGTCGCAACGTTTCGGCATTACAGCCTTGCATTGTCCCCGTCCCCTTCGGCTTGGGGATCGACGAAGGCATGTACAAAATACTGCGCTCCACCTTGTGGCACGATCTGGTTGACTCGTCACCCCTCAACAAGCGAGCTTGGGCTTTCCAAGAACGCTGCCTTGCGAAGCGCACATTACACTTTACTCGCAATGAACTCTTCTGGGAATGTCAGCAGATGTGTTGTTCAGAGGTGTTTCCCAAGGGCCTTCCCGCCACCATGGGCCCGCCTTCATCTCAGGAGAGTGTGGAATTCTTCAGCAAAAAGATTCATCACCAGCGCCACGGCAATTGGCATCAGCTGGTGAAGATGTATTCCCCCAAGAAGTTGACGTACTCGAGCGACAAGCTGTTGGCCATCCAGGGGTTGGCGAAGCAGTACATGGCAAAGAACAGACTACATACCGACGATTACCTGGTTGGCCTATGGAAGCCGCAACTACCGCATGCGTTGCTCTGGCGAGTAGAGGGCGGGAGGAGGCCAACGAAATACCGGGCCCCAACATGGACCTGGGCCTCGATCGACGGCGAAGTCAAATACCCCGAACCGGCGTCCTCGGCCCGGGAGACTTGCATTGAGATCATTGAGCTTGATATGCAGTACAATCCCTCGGGCGACAATTTCGGCTTCGTCACGAGCGGCAAAATGCAGGTCCGAGGATTCATGGCAAGAGGGCTGCTGAGACGAACGCGTGATTATTGGGGTTCTACGCCCTGCGTGATCCAATGTACCAAAGCCCAAGTTGAACTTGAGAAAGCAGCCTTCGACGACCGCCTCCCGAAACTCTCCGAGGCGGGCAGTGGGATGCTCTGTGAAATGCTCGAGATCTACCTCTTACCCGTCATCGACGTGGTGGACCGGGTGGAGGGATTGCTCCTGTGCGCGACGATGAAAAAGGGCGAATTCAGGAGGATCGGGGCCTTTGACGTGAGTCGTTATGACCAGGCCAATTGGGACCGGTTCCGCAGCGTCATGAAAGGCGAGGCCGAGATGAACAATTACGTGGAGAGACTGGACCATATGAACGGGTATTGGTTTGCGAGTGACTATACTTATACGATTAATATCATCTGAAGACCTCGGAGGGTTGTGTGGTTCGTGGTTGGTGGTGGAGTTATAGGATTGGGGAAAAGTCACAGCGATGTCTCGAAGAGCGATGTATATATGTCTTGATGTGATGGGGGTTTTCCAGGAGCGAGCACGATACGGGATAAGAACGTGGATGGGTACATGGGATGATTGATGGTGTGGTACTGGACTGGGGGGATGGATCAGGAGGGTTGGACCTAGGTATTTCTTTTGTGCCGTGATGCACTCACTCACAGTGTAGCAAGGAGAAAGGTGGTACAGATCAAATTGTGTGAGCCAAGAGAGTGTGACCAGATGGCGTGTGTAATGTTTGATAACGACATAATAGTGAAATGAAGAGTCGATGTTCTGCATCTGTCCTTGCCCCTGCCTGAGACCTCCATCCCAATCCATGCTCAGCCTCGCGTCGAACGTCCAGCCTTGCTCGATCGATGGCTTCCCCTTACTCCAATGGCACAGGCTGCAGCTCGTGTTGCACCGACCCTGCGGCGATTTGGATCTCATTTTCCACCGTGCTTGCTTGGCTTGCGCCCAGTGCTCTGAAGAACCAATCCCGCCCCCCAGTGGCGCACACCTCAGCCAGCCTTGGAAGCCGTTGACTGCGGATTACCCATTTTGGGTGTTTCGTTTTCCCTTTCCCCATTCGAGGTGCGCACCCACCTGGCTGTCTCGGGGCCAGATCAAGCGGGGATCAAAATGCCAGCATGAAGAGGCCAGATCCAGTCTACTTTGGTTGTTTCACGGATCTGATCTGGCACGCAGTTCAGGTTGAAGTGGGATCATCTCGATGTGCAACCAACGAGGAGCGGTGACACCTGTGCGACACCAATGGACGGGGAGACCGAGTTCGACATAATTTTTGGGGGGGGACGGCGCGCATGCTTGGGCCAGACACTTTCCCCAAACGACGGTGTAGCTTTGGTAGCCTTTGGAGAGCCAGCATCCAGATCCCGGGACTAGAGAAGCAAGACGATGGAAAAGAGCCGTGCGCCAGAAGAGCGCAACGTGCAACAAGCAACCACCGACCGAGCTGCCTATTATTCTTTATCCTTCTCTCCCTTGCTTTCGTCCATTCCATCCGCCCGTCTCTCTTACACACTTCCCTGCCATCGATTCCCTGTCGCCGTCTCATCCAGCAGCTCCTCGCACTTCTCGGCCCTTATCCCATATCAATTGGCCACCGTCCAAATCGCGGGGAAAGCTTAGGGCACCATGCTTCGTCAGCTTAGCAGCATCCTTGCCGCCTCCACCCTCCTGGTGGGTATTGTCTCTGCGCAGCAGGCCCCGACTCTACCCAGCTGTACGTCCTCCGAACTCGTATTAATATATCTCTGTCCGAAAGATGTGCTGTCAAAAGAAAATTAAAAAAAAAAAAAAACAGATGATCCTGGTTGACTTAGCATTGATGGAGCTGACGTTCCTCGACACGCAGGTGCCACTAGCTGCGTGAGCAGTCTCCTCCCCGCCAGCTGCAACGGCAATCCAACATGTCAGTCCTCCCCTCTGAGGTGTCCATCACGGCGACAAGAAAGAAAAGGACGGTCACAGGCTGACAAGTGAGGATCAATAGGCATCTGCAACACCGCGTCCTTCCTCGACGGAATCGCCTGCTGCGTCTTCCAGGCATGTGATCCCGCAGATCAAACGGCCGCCCTAGCCTATGCACACAGCATTTGTGACCCGGTTGGAGCTTCGTCGCTTTTGGTACGTTCCCTTGCTTTCAATTGCCCTCAGTTGCCGTGTACTCCGCGGATGGATTTCTTTCGGTCCGTAGCGGTGAATTCTCTACTATGAGGAGGGCCGTCCTCAATGTTCCGCTCCCAATCCATGCCTTGGACACGTCTCACTGAATCTTCTGCTCTCTACAGCCCGCCTCGGCAACCTGCATCTCGACTTCAAGCGGCAGCGCAACCTCCTCGGCTTCCGGGTCTGGCTCTAGCACGGCCGGCGCCACAGGTGGATCGACCACCTCAGCCGCCAGCAGCGCTGCCAGCGAAGCCTCCTCTGCGTCTGCCGCTGCCTCTAGCGCCAGCGCCAGCGCCTCCTCATCGTTGAGCAGTGCCTCTGCGTCCCTCAAATCTGCTGCGTCCAGCGCCAGCGCGTCCCTCTCTTCGGCCGTAAACAGTGCCAGCCAATCTTCCTCTTCGACGACGGCGAGCCCCACGGGTGCTGCCAACCAGTTGGCGATCGGGTTTGGTGCCGTCGGCGCCGGGATGTTGGGGTTGGCGGCTCTGTTGTAGGTGCGGATGGCGAGAGGAAACTTATACCGACGATCCTGCTTGGAGAGGAGGGCGGGTTCAAAAGTTGGAAATAGTTCGGATGTAATGCGGCCAGATATGTGATATCTGTTTGGATCTACCCTTTTTGTGACCTAGGAGAATATGCACAAGCATTTCATTAGCATGGCCACCACGCAGGGAGAGATAACTTGTGCTGTGTTGCTCGGGCCTGTACCGGTCAAGCTAGGTGTTGTTGCCCTTATTACACAGCTCGACGGTGTTTCATTCATCGTCTTCTGCCTCCCTGCGTCTGGCCAACACTTTGGCAACCTCCCGCCCCTCCTCCTTCAAGACCGTCCACAAGTAACCCCAAAACAGCATATCAGCCAGCCCAATCGTGAAGACGACTCGATTCGCTAGCAGATTCAATCCTGACAGCAGCGACGTCCACGACTCAGCCGAAGCTGTTGAAGATACCGGCTCGGAAGCACCGTGCGAGTGGAACATGTAAATCCAAAACACCAGCGCCGACGAGGCCAGCACGTGGATCGCCGAGAGCGTCAGCCAGCGTGACTGGGCAGTCAAGAGGGTGTGCAGTTCTTCGGCGTAGCGCGAGGGGGACTTTGCAGCGGCGGCGGCGGCGGCGAAGGAGGAGTCCAGGCGTCGGGCGCCGCTCGCCCTGGTGCCCATCGAGGACGACGATGCAGTCGTGGCAGCAGTGCCCTGAACCACGGACAAATCCCCGGCAAAGAGGAACTGCGTGACCGCGTACACCGACACCACCAGCCCCAGGAGCGCGAACAGTTCCCTCTCAGACTGCGCGACGACGGCCCCTTGACCCTGTCCCGGTCCCGATATTAGCGGCCCTCTCATGGGCATGCTCGTCCGCGAGCCGCCAGCTCCTGCACTGCCCGACGGGCCCGCGCCATGGGGTATGCTTTCCGGGGCGTAGCCTGCGGGCCGCACGCTCATGCTCTCCCCGAGCAGCCAGATCGGGGTCGAGGACAGTAGCTGGGTGGGCGAGGTCAGGAGGTAGTAGGCGCAGGTCAGGAGGGTGAGGGAGTGGGTGCGCAGGAGGAGGGTGGAGGAGAGGAGTGGCATTGTTTTCTTTTGGCCGGTAGGTAGGCAGGTAGGTAGGTAGGTAGATAGGTAGTAGGTTCAAGGGAGAAGATTGCAGACAAGGCCGGGTGTCAATTGTCCATTTGGTGGCTGCTTGTGTCCATGAAAATCGTCTGGGGGAGAAACGTGGACGAGGCTGCATGTTGTGTCTCTGTGTGGATTGGAGATTCGGCAGCGGAGAAACCGTCCTCCGTCTTGCTGCATCACCAGTGTCTTTCTTCCCCAGCCAGCGACACCGCGAGCCAGCTCTGATCACATAATAGTACGTTGTGCATGCATATATCTGTTCCTCAGGCCCTGCGTCACTGTCTCCAAACCGACATGGCTCGGTCCCCTCGTGTCAGCAAGTCGCGTTCCACAAACAGGTAGTCCTGTACGCGACACCCTTAGCAGCAACTTGTCCGCGCACCTCTCCTCTGAGAATGCAACGCAGCGCACCAACTGGAGCTCGGCCCGCCTTGGAGGCCTTGTCCCTTTCAATTGCGATTGCCGTAGCAATTGCCAGACAGAGTTATAGCCCGTTGCAATGCTGGGGGCAAGCAACTTCCTCGCCAATGGCCCGCGGGAATTTTCTGGATTCGGGCTCGAGCCCAGGACTATGACTAAAGCCACCACGACGCAATTCGAGCACACGAACCGCCGACCCCACCAGGGCTGTGAACATGTGGTGTTTCCCCGCTGTGCAGACTGGCCCTAACACGATGTTCTCTGGGTTGAGAGCAAGTCTGGCCGTTCGAATCGACTGCCCAAGCGAAGTTTGTTACTTCATCGACGGAAATCTACCGAGGTTGTTATACGCTCCCTGGGTAAGCTGACAACGGTCTTTTGCGGTAGAGAGATATATAGATCTGGATGGACGAGTTGTAAACATTTCTAAACCTTCAGTTGATCAAGGTCATTTTGCCTGTGGTAGTTTTCGACGTTATCCCCGCAGTTTCAGATATTCTAGGTCAGCAATACTCGTCTGTCCTAACCTTTAGCCGTCCAGTCACGCCTGTCATCATGGAGCCATATACGAACACAGGAGCCGTGAATTGTAACGTGGATATTGATGCGAGCAATGTTAAGGGCAAGACTGCTGTCGTTACCGGCGGTATGCTTGAGTTGACAGAGGCACCATACTAAAACCTTTTCTGATGTGCTGTCCCAGGAGCCAACGGCATCGGTGAAGCATATGTTCGCGCGTTGACAGGCGCTGGGTATGACCCTGTCCTTTACATACCATCGGGCGTGAGATTGACGGGATTGCAGGGCTTTTGTCGTTATTGCAGATCTTGACGCTGAAGAAGGCGCAAGACTGGAAAAGGAATTGGGCAGGTCAGCGTCAAAAGGAGCTCTTGCCGATGTATAAACCATCCTATTGACGCCCTGTCCACAGCTCAGTCAAGTTCGTCAAGTGCAATGTCACCGTCTGGGCCGATCAACTCGCCGTCTTCAAAACTGCGCTTTCGTCTTCGCCGTCCGGCAGAGTGGACATTGTCATTGCAAATGCCGGCATCAGTGGAGCCGATTCAGTCTTCTTCAACGATGGTAAGCACAAGGTGGAATGGAGCCGGGTAGAATCTAACGGCTTGCCTAGTCGAGGCCGAGGAGCCGGAAGAACCAAAGCTCAACATCCTCAACGTAAATCTCACCGGCGTTATGTACACCGTCAAACTGGCACTTCATTACTTCCGCCGACAGAATGCTTTGAACAAAGGGGCTCCCCTGGATCAAGTCCTCATATTGCAAGGCAGTCTGGCAGGATATCTCGACCTCCCTGGAGCCGTTCAGTACATTGCCTCCAAATTTGGCCTTCGCGGGATGATGCGGGCTCTTCGCAAGACAGAGCACCAACACAACATTCGAGTGGCATATATTGGACCATGGTATGGAGACGAATGTGGTCGAGTTTCATTTTAGCTAATTGGGCCAACCCAGGTTTGTCGAAACCAAGATTTTGAGCAAGGCAGCCGTCGAACATCTAACGAAGTCGGGCATCGAGTTTGCCACGGTCGAAGACGCTGGCCAGTGCGCACTGAGAATCGTGTCAGATCCCAAAATCAATGGTAAGCAGGCGCTATACTGCCTGTAAACGGGGTACTGATAGAACGGTCTTAGGTCGAGCATTTGCAATCCTTCCCCGAAGTTGGGCGCCTCGTGGATATGTGGATATCGATTACGACGACTATCCCGTGGGCACATTGTTGGAGAAGCTGCAGAGTTCTGCCACTGGAAGCGACCATCGCTCAGCTGTAAGTCAATCTGCCGGTTTAGAGATTCTGGAGGACAACGTCTGATGTCACTGCTTTCCAGCTCGACCCCGAAAAGCAGAAAACAAAAACTCAATGGTCAGCGTCGGCGACAAATTGAGCACCCAGACGAGGTGTGCGAACTGAAGGATCGCCCGATGATATATGTTCTTTACACACTGAGGTGTGCTATAGCTCCAATCAAAAGGCAAAAGCGACCTCCTCGTGTCATTGCAAAAAGTATATTCTCTGAGGCCTCTCGCCAAGTGTTGTCTCTTCCACCCTCCTTCGTTCTATGTGACCCGTATCCGGATAGTTCTGCTAGTGACGTGCAGCTCTGATGGTGTCATTCGACGCCAAAGTGTGTCCGGGCCGGAAGACAGTGTTCCGCGTCGACCAGTACTACGGCTGTAGTTCGTCAAAGGCTTTCTTCTGGATGAGTCGGAAGGAGGTGAGTTATAGAAGTAGGTGTCAGCTCGCAAGGCTGGACATTCAACCCTGGTGGAACCACACTCTGGCCACTGTGATTGGGTTGAATATAAATAGACATCGACCAATAGAAGCACCAAGTCAACAGCTCTAGCGGGCTATGTCATCTCCACCCATCTCCACTGGTTGTCACTCACCTCCACATTTGTTCGCCTTGCTGGCGCTTAGACGCTGTCGATGGGTCTATTCGCCCACAGCCCTTCACCACCCCCCTGCATCCGATCTGTCTCATCTTTTCCCGTCATCCAATCCTCTTTCGCTTCGAAACGCCCGCATGCCAACGACCCCAATGGCGACCAGCTATCCTGACATCTCTGCTCGCTTGGGGAACGATTCACTGACGGTCCCTTGCATTTCCAAGCCCGTATCTGGCTTCGCTAACCTCAAGGGCGTCGGATGGCTTAACGCGCTCATCAGGCGACAGGCAAGTCTAGAGCCTCCCTGCTATTATTGTTGTACCACGTCTGCAGCTCCTTTTTGGGCACGCACTATCACGAATGCAAAAATAAACATTGTGAGTACCTGCCTGTCCTTGCCTGCCGTATTTCTACCGCCCTGTGTCCCTCTTGTTACACCTTCCTTCAACCCAAATACTTTGGTTCAACAAGTATCATAATCTCGAAGGATAATTATAAAAAGGCACCCGGCCTTATTTCCCTTTGTGTGGGTTTCATATTTTTGGGGGGACAGGCGCCTGGTGCGGCCTTCCACTACAGCACCTGTGAAGACGGCTCAAGCAACTACACCCAGTCCTTTCAGCTCAGGGCTTTTCTTTTGATACAGGCGTCTGCCCACACATCGCCCCAACGTCAGATCAACCCTCGCCCTTCCTGAAGTCTTGACTATTGCTGTTGATCGGCCATGGCTGGCGTGCTCGAAGGATTGATTTCATCCCGGCGTCGACCGTCCAGGTCCCGATCAGAGTCCGCGAAGCAAATGCATGCCCGATGGGGAGATGTTTCAATCACTGCTCCCACCGGCGGATGGACCCAGCATTATCTGGAAGACGACCTGAACAATGTCACCTACCAAGCCCACGGCAGCCCCGACTCCCAGAAAACCCTCGTCAGCAATTCCCCCGACCTGACTTTCAAGGACGAGATCGAAAAGATCGGTGTCGAAGCCATCATCACGCAGTCTCCACCGCTCATCCAGAAGGAACGAGCTGCAATCACCATCACAATCCCTTTGCCATGGAGCCGAAAGTCACATCGAAGATCGTCCTCGGCGAGCAGTCATCCGCAGCCACAAGCCCAGCCGGTCCCAGTGCTAGAGAAGCTGATTACAGTAGAATCACGGCCTGCTCATGCCAATATCACGAGCACCATTGACGAAGTCATTGTCGCGGAGTCCAGACCAGCTACCGAATCACTTCGAGCAGACTCACCCATTGTCCACACTCAGTCACCGGTATATGACGATGTCAGCACGTTTTTCACAAGGGCTGTCTTCCCAGAGAAGCATCCTGGTCATCGGCTGCCACAGATCCAGACTGCCGTCCCACCCAACAAGAGCCAACCCGCTTCAGCGGTTTCCCTTCTGAGCCCGGTGGCTGAAAAGTACAACGGGCTTTCGGAGAGCAACAATGGCACTCCTATGGACAACACTCCCATTGCTGAACGGATCGAGTCGGCCATTCATAATAGTCACGGTGAACAGGTCGACGTCGCAGGATTGGTTGGTCGGTTGGAGAGCCATGTCAGCACGACACCTCCGACCCAACCGTTCCCTCCGATTCCAAGTTCAGATGAAGCTCCGGACTCGGCAGTTGAGAGACCAGACTCGCGCAGGACTCCCAAACCATCTTCCCGACCGTCTTCTCGAGGTCCCGGCATTGGTGAGGTGGCTTACATGCGAGCCTCCTCCCGAGGAGCCTCCGAGCAAAGCAGTGGCCAGCGGTCTGCCTCGCGAGAAAATGCTGGTCGTCGGGCTGCCTCCGTGGAACGGGCGCGACGAAGGACTCTCTCCCGAGAACCAATTGGGCGACGCGCCGACTCTCCTCCGTTCCAAAGCCGTCGAGCTCTATCCCGGGATCCAGCTCTCCGCCGCGCAGACTCAGCAGAACCGAAAACCCGGCGAGCCGTGTCTCGTGAACAAGCTGTTCTCGGGTCCGTCTCTCCAGAGGCAAACACTCCTCACTTCGTCACGGACGACGTACCGCTTCGTCCTCGCGCAGAGTCTCCCGGCCCATGGAACCGGCGAGCACACTCCCGCGAACCCGCTGTCCGCCGCGAGGCCTCCCCGCTCGTCTTCAGCCGCCGAGCCATCTCTCGCGAGCCGTACTCGCGCCGCCGCATCTCTGGTGACTACAGTCAGCGCGCCGTGTCGGTCGACCCCATCATGCGGCGCACCAGCCCGAGGACCGACGGCGTCTCACGCCACGCCAGCCCGCTCGACGACATCTTCGCCCTCCGCCAGGCTATCCCCCGGGAAGACTTCGTGCCTCGCCGGGGCACCCCGATCGTCGGCACCCTTGCGGAGCGGGACAGTCCAGGGGTTGGCTCGACCCCTCCGGCCGAGCCGGAGCCGGCGCCAGACGAAGCGACCGACATCGAGACCGAGACGGACGAGATGTACTTTGAATCACGCAAGGGCTGGAACGGGCCGGCCGTGGCGGGCACCTCCAGCAGGGGTTTCTACGGCGACGTCGTCCAAGACTACAAGCTCATTGCGCGCGACGTCGAGGCCGAGCTCGCGGCGTCCGAGGCGCAGGCTTCGGCCATGAACATCGTCGCCCTGATCAAGAAGGAGAAGGAGAGGGAGGCCCACAAGCCCAAGGTGGAGGCCACCAAGGAAGAAAGGGTGTACGAGGGACCAGACCTAGTACCGCCCCAGGAGGAACTCTGGGGATGATGGTGACCATGTGCCAACATCACCACCTCCACCTTCAGCATCATTTGTTCTACCCTTTTGAACGCGGAACAGTATCCAGAAGACATCCCAGAAACCAAATCAATCAATCAAAGAGACCGTCGACAGTCGACCGTCGACTCCCAGAGCGCCTTGCGGGCTACACTCACTCAACACACATCAAGCTACGAGGCCAGGAGACGCGTCCTATCCAAAGCAAAAAAACTGGAACTTGCCCCGTGCAAGAACATCCCACCAACACCAACACAAAACCACCAATCCATCAGAACAAACACCGAGAATGACCACCCACGCACCGACACACCACACCACACCTACACCTTCAAGGCCAGGATCCACCACGTCGACACTCTTTGCAAGAAGCTCAGGTTGCTCTCCCATCTGTCTACCTAACCACCAGTCTGCCTAGCCGCTGACCCTCCCTCCCTCCCTCCCTCCCTCCCTACAGTACCTGCCTACCTACCTACCTACCTACCTGCCTGCCTGCCTGCCTACCTAGTCCCTGCCACAAAGACATGAAACGACATGCACGAGTTTTCTTGTATCTAACTTCCATATTCCGCGTCCGTATCCAGACAGCACGGGCCTTTATTTTTACTATCTTCATTATGTCATCTTAGGTAGTGGGTTACAGCAGATAGTTAGTTAGTGGGAAAGGAAGTCTTCTCTGTGCGGCACGGAGGTTAAGGATTGGGTGGGAAATGAAATACATTCATCAATCCTTCCCTCCACCCATCCATATTTATTTCCTCTATAATTCCATGAATCTATACACTCTAAACGCCATGTGTAACTTTTAAGCCCATGTTCTCTGCATATCAGACAAGGGAAAAGAGACGTGAACTTTTCGGGACCAGACTTATATGACGCAGAGATTTGAGATCCGATCTTTCCGCTCTTCTCCTTGAATCTGTTGAATGGACTGCCTCTACCCAAGAAGTCATGCTTCACCATTCCCTACTAGGGGCGTCAGTCTATCTTGATCCATAAGGTCTCAGAGCACTGCTGGTACATGTACAGCAGAAAGGTGCGAATGCTACTTCTAAACAAGCCATGGACACTCTTGAGATGCCATCAATCCATAGCCCAGCCCTGTTTCTGCCACGTCTGCCCTTCGCCGGTCGCCTTGTATCAATTGTCCCCTACCCATCAGCCTCTCGCCGTCACTCATCCCGTTTCCTCTTCCCCATGGCGGAAAGCCCTCCAGAGCGTTCTTGTCCCTTCACCGCTGATGCCGTGATGTTCGTCTCATCCAGAAACGTCAGGCCGCCGGTGGGATGGACGCCGCTGTGATGATTGTTGTCGTGTTGGTCATCGTCGTCGTCGCTATAATCCACATCCTCAAAGTCGTCATCTTCGTCAACCTCCTCGTCCTCGTCCAACTGGTGAAGCCATAGCCCCATGCCCAAGTATCCCGCCTCGACCAAGCGCATCACCGATTCCTCGTCCTCCCGCATCGCCCGGCGCCGGGCCAGGACCCGGGCGACAAGTTCACGATCCTCGACAACTTCCCGGCCAAGGTAGTACACCCGGGCAGTTCGGACCGCGGAGCGCCCGACGCGCTTGATGGCCTGCCACCACGTGGTCCTGAGAGAGCGGGGAGGGGCCACGGGCGTCTCGGGGAGCGGCACGACCACGCGGTCCGGACTCGCAAAGTACGCCTCCGCCGTGACGAACTCGCAGTCGTCCCACGGGGTGAATATGTCCGGGTACCAGTAGTGGCAGCAGTTGGGGTTGGTGTAGTGCCCGCAGCAGTGGTACAGCCGGGTCTCGCAGCGCCAGAGCGGGTCGGATCGGTAGTGGCATGGGATGTTGTCCTGGTTGATTCGAGACCAGAGCTGGGCGAGCATGACTGTTTGTTTTTCTTTTTGGGGAGGCAGATGTATTGGATAGAGGATGGAAGGGCAAGATTGGTGTGATAATATTGGATGCGGTAGTGAATAGTTGTAAGAAGAGGTTTGTGCTGTGGTGGGAGCATCTCTTGACATTCATGTGCACGGTACGCAATATATAGACACGGACAGGCGTCAAAGAGGGCAGTCAGAGTGAGACTCGTTGGCACGTTGTTTGGATTCCCATTGAAGATCCTGAGTCGCGAGAGAGGGTCCTTCTTTGACATTCCCAGACATAAAGCATCATCTCACTGACACGGTGGGTAACACGTACCTACAAACCTCTTCTTGCGTTGTGCATTGTTGAGACACTGCGCTGAGACATAGCCTCAGGTCCATCCTGCCTACGCGCCACTCAACAAAACAGACATAGTGGCCGGAAGTTCTGTTCAGGCTTCAGGTTCACGGTGAAACAAATCCATCTGTATTGGACGATGGAACAGCTGATCTGGAAAGCGGGTGGAACAATGCTGGATTTGATACAATGCTCGCCAAGCAACCGGCCATGCCGCTCGACTAGCCCCTATTATACAATTCCTAGGCCTTCTCGGCTCACGACCAAGCCATCAAGAATGAGAAAGCAAGAATTCCGGCCCAGGCTCGTCGTCTTCGCTTTCAGATGTCGTGGTCCGATCCGGGGGCTTTGGCCGAACGCTTGTCATTGGGACTGGTGCCGAGTTTGAGACAAGATCAATTCCTCCACCGAAAGCGTCAGAAGGAACGGGAGGACGAGGCTGTGAACGTCTGGGACCGCCTACAGGGTCAAGCTCCAGGCTCCGGATAGGGTCGTCCTCTTCCTTCTGCTTGCCTTTGTTGAGCGGATTGCCAAACTGACGTAATGTATCTTCCAGACTCTGATTGCTGCTCTCGCCTGGACTCCGTGTTCTGCTGGTCGGAAGCATGTCATCCCTTAGCAGATCCGGGGGGTTATCATGACTTGTAACCTCATCGTGTGCAGGCTGATTCCGATCCTCGAATCCGTTGACGCTGTCACCATCACTCAATCCACCATTGGCCGTTATGGATGATGCGTTGGCGGTGCGCTGGAGCAGATCCCGGGCCTGCTGGAACGCCGCGAGCTCAGCACCTATCGCGCAGGTGAGAAGATTCCAATTCTTGGATTCGGCTAGGTCAAGATCCTCCTCCAGAGATGAGATTAACGTGGAGAGGTTTGTCAGGACCAGATGAATAGACGGATCTTCAGTAGTTGCCGCCGGTGCACCCCCAATGTCGGCTGCTCCATTCGCGCCGGGCCATTGGAGTTGCGACTGGGACAGCTCACGCGTCTGCGCTTTCAACTCTCTCTCAAACTCACCAATCCGCCTTACAACATCACGCCATAGTCTTGAACCCTCTTCCAGTGCATTCTTCTCACTCTCGGCGCTGGCCTTTCTTTGGGCCAGCATCTCCACTTCGTTCGTCCATTGCTCCTGTGCCATTTGTAGCGTCCGCCTCTCTGGCTTTAAGGCGTACATCCCTGGATCTTGTCCAGAACTCAGGCACTGCGGGATCGGTGGCCTACGCAGAAAAGATTTGACCTGGTTCTCGCTCAGTGCCAACGACTCCATGTATGAGCTCAACTCGGAGTCCCTTGAGCTCTCGGTCTCGCGGAGCTGGTTGACCAAGATTCTGTGCTTGGACCTCAATTCCAGCAACGCCGTCTCTAGGTGTTGGATCTCCTGTTCCACGGCCTGAATCTCAGAGCGTAACCCGACAGGTCCTTCTTCGGTTTTGAACCTGTGTATCTCATCCTCAAGGAGTTTTCTTCGATTTCCCAGGTCGGAAGCCTGTTTCAGGGCGCCATCTCTGGCCACAACTTCTCGGTCGATCAGGGACAGTTCCCACTCTCTAAGAGCTGCAAATTCCTTCATGGACTTTTCTAACCCGCGGCGTGCACCTCGGAGTGTGATCTTTTTGGGCTTTGGTTGGCGGATTGGTATGGTCCGTGGTCCTCTTTCTGCTGCTGTCCTTGTAGACGTCGAGAGGACAGATGGAGTGGGCGTGGGACTTCCCACCGAAGACGAGTCATCTAGCTCCCCCGTCGCAATGCTGCCGGCACTGAGCCCTTCTGACTGCGCATCGAGGAGGCTCTGAAAGGTCCGCTCAAGAGACTTGGCTGCTCTCTCTACCGGGAGGAAGGGGTCGTTGTGGCGCACCAAGGACGAGCTTAGCTTCTGGGGTCCTTGAGCAATCGGGGAGATCGACGCAGTCCGTCGTCGGTCGGGGGACGAAGATGGGGTTGCTGCATCTTGTAGGAGAATGCGAGGGGCGGTCACGTCAGACCGTGATGACGCGACTGAGTAGTCATCTTCGTATTGAGGAAGTGAACTGGTGCTTCCTGGTGGGTGCGGGAAGATGCGCTCAATGAAGGACTTCCTCATGGTTTGACAAGGGAGAGATGCGCAATGGCCAGAACCGTCGCGAGCTGAAAGAGAGATAATGTCGCTGTCGCGTCACAACACCGTACATAACGGAGGTAAAGAACTCTTCAACCTTCAGGCAGACAGGATTGTCTTCTGTTTGCACAGAGGCAGCGTGACACGATCATGTGTGCTAGACTGACACCCTAGAATGCCAGAAACGAAGTCATCGGTCGCAAGACATGTGCCGAAGTTGACCCATGCGGCAACTTGGATGTGATTCACAGCGACGACAGCGACGTAGCTGCCTATCTACGGCCAGGTTCCTGCGTCCTAGTGTCAGGCGGACGTGCGAGGAATAGAACAGTCGACGCTTCGCAGTTCAGCACCGATTAGTCAGTTGTGCAGCCACACATTGACCAGATACAAAGCTAATATACACAACCTAGACATGTGCTCGGCGAGTCGGATCCCAACCAAAACCTCGTTTCTAATCGTGCTGGATCCCAGCCTTGCCATCTCATGACGACGTATATCATAGTATTATGTAGACAGGCTAGAAGCGCTATCAACTCACTGCTTTTGGACGGAACCTGCGCCTTGTAGAGCCGATGATGCAGCTCGAATGAGGCCGAGTCGTAGAGCAGACGAGATCCAAGGCAGTTTGAAATCGAAGCATAGAGGAGCGATTCTCTGACTCTGCACTATCATTCCGGTAAGGTAGTGTCGACATTCCGCGTAACCGGGGCACGGTAGGCGTATCACTTAGGCCGTATAGCACAACAGCGTCGGGTAATTTACATGAGCAGGCGCCAGGCACCCAAAATGAGTGCTGCTGTTCCCGTGCAGACGCCCCTGTCACACTGGTTAGGATCACTTTCCGACGGTCTTCGAATGGAGCCTGATACTTACATGAGCCACTGGAGGGTCGAGAATTTGACCGCTTCGACTCGTTCGCGGAGACTGGCCACCTCTTGCTCGATGCGGGCTTCCGTCTCCTTGATCCGCATCTCTTGTCCGTTCGCTTCTTCTCGTATCCTGCCCTTTTCGAGATTTAGGTCTAGGCGAACACTGGCTTGCGTCCGACTAATCTCGTCCCGCAATCTCGAGTTTAATTTGGCCAGATCACTGGTCAGACGGTCGTGGCTTGACCGTGTTAATTGTGCTTCGGTGCTGTCTGCGTTGGACAGTTCACTCCTCAACTTGGCAAAATCGACCTTCTGCGTATAAGTGCTTCTCTCTGCATCCTCCTTCAAGACCATAGTTCGAGTGAGGTTCTGGATCGACTCCTCTATCACGTCGTTGAGGACCCGCATCATAGCCACAGCCTGCTCTTCTGTGAAGCCTTCATCTTTCAGTCTTTGCACGAATCTCAGCGTGTCAAAGTGGTGAGCTTTGTGGTGCACAGGTGTCGTCGAGAACGCTCGACGGGCTGGTTTGAATGCAGAAGCGTAGACCCCATTGTGGCGGATGGGGGCAGAGTCTGGAGGAAGTGATTGAACATAGGTCCGGGGTCTCTTGCGCGAGTGCGACGAAGGGTTCCTCACGGTCAAGGTCGTAGCAGCACTCGTATGTATTGCCCTGGGCCTCGACACAGACTTGAACGCAGGCGCCTTCAGTGTTTGAGTTACGCAAGGTCGCTTAGAGACGGACTGGGGCGCTGCCTGGACGAGGGCGGCGGAGGTCCAGGTCAGGCGCAAGAATCGTGGTATTTCGGCCACAGGCTTGGAGCCCGCCATGGAGGGCATAGGGATTCGCAGTACCCAGCTTGCGAGCCTCAAGTGTCAGGATAGTTGATCCAGTGTAAGAAGTTCTCCTTCGCTAAAAAACCAGGAAGACGTTGTTGACATAGGCCATGCGCAGGAGGGGAAAGAAGCACTGTAGCTGACGGGATTTTGTATGGTGCTGTGAGGGAGCCTGGCGCAGGCAAAGATTCAGCCAATCATATGGTGCCTGATTCGGGGGAATTCGCTTGACCGCAGACACCCACATCACCATACTCATCCATCCTCTTCTTCGGCCATGGAGCCAGCATCCAATATCATACGCTCTCCAAAGGCATAAAGTCCACCGTTATCTACTAAAATAGGCGCTGATGATCCTGCTTTTGCGTGCAGAGCTGGGTCTAGTTTCCTCGGAGTCAATGTAAACGCACCGTGGATCATCCAGCCAACTCCACAAGCTTTGACAAGTTCATGAACGCAGTTGGTCGTCGAGGTGCTATATATCTCCATGAAGCCTGAACTGGATCTTGAGCACACTGTAAGGCACCTTTTGTGCCTCGCTATCCTTCGTCTGTGCGAATCTGGCTGTCCAATTGCCAATCGAGGTACGCCGCTGGACTAATGTGCTGGTCCTCTTAAACTTCAGCAGAGTCGACACGTACGATTGTCGGGTCTGGAATTGAAGCCCCTTTCGCGTGTTCAATCTCTGGAGTAGCAGCCGCACCCTGAGCGGCATATCTCTGCTGCTGTGTGCTGTGAGCAAGGATGGCTGAGGACCTTAGATTGGTGGCATGTGCCATCAGATCTGTGACTTCAGACCCCCTCTCTTTCCCCGATGTTGAACTAGTATGACATATGGAATGATGCGTCCTCATTGTGACACGAATCGACTCTGTTGTTCCACTCCGCTGTCTGCGTTCACAGACACAGACTCGCTCGACAAATCCAGACCGCAAGCGAGCCAGAATTCCGTGCCGACTGTGATCTAGCAATTCCATTCCATTGCCTTCCGTCTGCCTTTCCGAGACAAACGATGGGCCAAGCCTGCTTTCTCCACGTCCGCCGCCTCTTACGTTCCGGCTGCTTCAAGATCGTAACCTGAGTTGAAGGTCGACAAGTCGATAAGGGAGGCATACCCGGTCAACAACAGAAGTACGCCTTCAATAAAGGAGAACAAACACTGGTAATCACAGCTCCCTCTGGCTCGCCTTGACCACATCCGAATCGGCAACTTTCTCATCCAACTCGACGACCTTGCCGTTCGCTGTTGACGGCTTCGAACTCTTCCACCCCAGCGCAGCCAATCTTTCCGCCAGAATGGGATGACTGTAATGATAACTCGCATACATCCAGTCGGCATCCATAGTACTCAGATTCTGCACTTGCAACTTGATCAGACTCCGTGCCAACTCCTTTTCGTACCCTAATCTAGTGGCGAATGCGTCGGCTTCGAATTCGAATTTTCGAGAGAGTACATTCATCAAAAGCTTCACCACGGCGTCCATTGGAGCGAGGGCGTCCGAGAACAAGATGAAGCCGATAATGATGGGATGAGAATCGTAAAAGCCAAAAGAGGAGTAGAGCGAGTTGTTGTCGATGAAGACGCTGAAGAGTGCGAAGATATAGAACATGTGGAACTAGACAACAGTCAGCTTGGACTTGGAGAGGACTCGACCGACATACCTGGGCAATGGCGAACAGTTTTGTGGTATGCGCCAAACTCCAATGTCCTAGCTCATGACCCAAGACCGCCACTACTTCTTGAGGCTCACTCTTTTCGATCAAAGTATCGTAAATGACAATGTGTTTCTTCCACGGGAGCCCGAAGAAGTACGCATTGCTATGCGCACTCCGTTTGCTTCCATCGATGACGTAAAGCGATTTCAGGGGGAACTTGAGCCTCTGCGCCAATGCCTCCACTCCAGATTTAAGTTCTCCAGGTTCGAGAGGAGAGAGCTTGTTGAACAGAGGGAGGATAAAGATCGGATAAATCGTGATAGCGAAGAGTTGCACGACAATCCCAAAGAGCCAAAGATAGTAGAAGAACCTTGTGCCCGTCACCTGGATGATCTTGAGAAAGGCACTGAGCAAAGGCGTCCCCAATGCGACCATCAACGCCTGGCCCTTCAGCATATCCGTGATCCACAACTTGACAGTTTGTTTATTGAAACCGAACTTCTCTTCCAGAACGAAAGTGCTGTAGTACGAAGGCGGCAGCGCCAAAATCTGAGAGATAAAACTGAAGGTCAAGAAGAAGAGCACCGAATGGGAAATCTCGCCGGAGAATCGACTGGGAAAGTAATGGGCCAGCCAGAGACCTGTCAACGACCAGAGCTTAGGTAAGACATCGTATTGAATGAAGAGGACGTTTTGGATTTGGGAGTAGAGGCCGGAGACGAAGCCAAATTTAGCCTTTGCGCGACCATATGCCTAACATTGACAGTCAGCGAACCGTGCATTGAGGTGGGAAGGTCAAGAAGGGTGCGCATGTACTTGACTTTGGTCGAAAACATCCTGGGAGATTTCATCTTCCAGCGTCTTCGGCGGCTTCTTCTTTTGCAGCACCTTGTACTGCCTTAATGAGAGGAGACCTTCGAGCACATATTGACCGAGAGAAAATCCCAGGATCAGTCTCTTCCACGGGAAGCCTGGGCGGTCAAGGAACACCGCAAGGCGCTGTAGATAACAAAAGGTTAGTGAGGGGAAGACAGGAGGTGGAGGGAATGGGCATTGGGAAAACGAACACGAGGGAAGTCGCCGAGGGCTTGGAGGAGAGAAGCCATGATCCTCCCACGGTTTAGTCAGGAGTAATGAGAGACGAATGCATGAAATGCGATTCGATATATGAATGCGAGTTGGCATGCAGGCCGCAGGAACATGTGTCTTCACAGAGGCCTTCGTTGGCTCGGCTGATTTGGGCAAGTGCGGCGAGCATTCGACGCAAATCACGACCTTTGGCGAGGCTGCAAGCGGAATCTACGAGGTAAAGATCACTCTTTGTCCCTTCAGAGCAACTCAATCTCAACGGCCAACACCTACCCCGTACTGGGCTTGCAAACCCTTGTGGTGCCCACCATGTGCCGACTCTGTGGCCGCGTCGTGAAATGCATCTTTGACAGTATGCCTTCAAGGGTGAAGGTCCACCATGTGCCGAGTCGAAGGTGAGCTCAATATGGACTGCAACATCTTCTCTGGCCAAGTACTGACTGTTACCTATCAAGAGCATTTACCACGACCAGACGGGTACCTAAACGGCCGGCTTCAAGTTTCTCGAGAGCCACATACGCGCCAGACTCAACATCCCTGGTCACTCGAGCATTCAGCGGCCTTTCACTTCGCACACCAAGTGCTTCGTTGCTGAGACCAAGCACATCTCCCTTATTAGTACAGTCGTCGTTTTCGTCACCAATTCAGTCGCAACTGTCGAGAATCCTATGTCGCTCTTTCTCCACGACGCCTACCCTCCTCGGTTATCGAAGGAGAAGCGACACATACAGCCCCTCAAGACGTGTCCAGAAACGTCGGCACGGGTATCTCACGCGGTTAAAATCCAAGGGTGGACAGGAGGTTCTTAAGCGACGAAGGCTGAAGAGGAGGAACGATGTGACTTGGTGAGCTCGTGGCAGTCAAGTGAGACCGGTTTCTGAAGCAGGATAAGCAAGCGATATCTACGGATGTTGAGGAAAGAGATGTGGCAAGGAAACAGAACGTGAGAGGTATTCCAATCATGGGTGATCATGGGGCATTATCAACTTGTATCGGATGATGTTCTGCTTAACTTGGAGCTTCGAGTCGGTCGTTCCGCTCATGAATTTAAATAAAGTTGTGTACAAGACATCGATTGAAGGACCGTGCTGGTAGAGCTGCCGAAAGCGATTCCACTGATCATAAACTGTGCTTGGGTCCTTGGGAGGCAGGCTTTTATGCTATTCCCATATATGCACAGTCTATTCTATATCAGTTTTGTCTATTCACGCCCCAACTCCCTTCTCAGCCGCCGCGCTTCCGCCCTTCAAATGCACGAAACTGCTTGCCTCGAATTTGGGCTTCTCCTCGACCTCGACTAGTTTACTGGCCTCGGTCTGCATTGGCGACAATCCCCACCGCTCAAACATGTCCTTATCCTGCTCCCACCCATTGCAATCTGTCGTCAACATCTTTTCGCCCGTGAAAATGGCGTTTGCACCCGCCATGAAACACAGCATTTGCTCGCTCTCGGGCATACTGACCCTTCCGGCTGCAATACGAATGATTGTTCGCGGCATGACCAGACGAGCGGTGGCGATGCAACGGACCATGTCTTCCAGCTTAACTGGTTCTTGGCCGAACATCGGCGTTCCTTTGATGGGGACCAGTTTGTTCACCGGGAAAGATTCAGGGTGTTCTGGCAGAGTGGCGAGGGTGTGGATCAATCCAACGTGGTCGGTTGCAGGCGTCTCTCCTAGACCGAGAATGCCACCACTGCAGACGTGTATGCCCGCTTCCCGCACGTTCTCCAGCGTTTGTAATCGTTCGTCGTAGGAACGTGTGGTAATCACGTTAGGGTAATGTTCCCGCGAGGTGTCCAGGTTATGGTTGTATGCTGTTAACCCAGCCTCTTTCAATTCCCGAGCTTGTTGCTTGTCCAGCATGCCCAGAGTTACGCACGCTTCCATACCTAGAGAACGGACACCTTTGACCATTTCCACGATATTCTTCATGCCTCGCGTCCGGCCACGCATGTCGCGCCACGCAGCACCCATACAGAACCTGTTGGAACCATTCGCTTTGGCAATTTTCGCGGCCTCAATGACGGAGTCCACGTTGGAGAGTTTGGTGGCTTGGAGGTTCGTCTTGTAGCGGGATGACTGAGCGCAGTATGAGCAGTCTTCTGTGCACCCACCGGTCTTTATATTCATGAGGGTACATAGTTGGACGGCCGAGGGCTTGTGGAATCGACGGTGTACAGTGCCCTACAAACATTCTCAGTTAAGGGCATTCTAGACAACGGATGAGGGGTGGTATGTACTGCGGCGAAGGCCAGTTCCATCAGAGGAGTCTGGTGAATCTGAGAGATCTCTTCTTTGGTCCAGTTATTGCGTGCACCGGAGGCATTGATAGCTTGCTCGAACACCGACTGGCCTTGAGGTTGTGGTGGGGGAGGAGTTTGGTTGAGACTGGCAGCGGCTCGAGGGACATCATGCACAATGCTGTAGAAGCGAGCCGAAGAGACTTTCCTCGTAGCTTTGCGAGCCACGCACCGGCTCATTGTTACCAGCTCCATGCTGCAAGCACACGAAGCAGGAGATTGAGCTGTGAATTGTCTTCTGACGGGGTGTTGAGGAGGGTCAATGGCACTCGCCGAAGTAGGAGCAATTGAGAAAGGAGTGATTGGTGGGGGAGGGGGCCTCGTCGGTGGAATTCTCTCGGGCTCGGCATTCAACAAACCGCGGATGGACCCACCTCAGCCTTGCTCCTCGGTACTCCTTGGGGAATATCAATATCGGGTGGAAAACCAAGTGTTGCGGAAGCCCAATATTTGGTCCTCCTCTTTGCAAGGTGTCTGTCACAGCAGAAGAGCTCAAGCTCGTTCAGAGGTGCTCGCGTTTTGGCTCCCAAGACCACCGCTGACAAAAACCACAAGCACAGCCGCGTACGCAGCACAGGCTCCAAATATCTCGGACCTTCTGGCGTTGGTTACAAGACTGATACACAGTGCAAAAGCAGTAGTGTAGCCGGCTATGAGTCCCAACTTGATTTTCTCCTGCTCCACATAGTACAGGTTGTAGATCGCCCCAAACAGGAATGCGGCAGCAAGCAACACATTGATAATCCCAACCACAAGAGCAATGCGCTTGGTAGAGATGTAGACAAGGCGAGAATCGCCTTCAGGATATCTTTCCAGAAACAGAAGGGGACAGAACTTCCGCAGAAAACTTGTCAATCGATCCTCTTCCAGCGGTCGTGCCAATGAACTGATGGCGCGCCGGTCATTGTAAAGCGATGTGCTGCTGGCCCCGAGGGTAGGGAATGCTCCGTTATTAGCATTCATCCAAACTTGATCAAAGGCTTCAAAGGCTTGCTTGGATGGCTTGCGGAGTGCCAACATATTGGCGTCCAGCAAGACAGCCTCCTCTGGTCGGGTTAGTCTTTTCTGGAGCCGGACAATTTCGGGGCAGCTTCTTGCTTACTGTATTCTTTGATCTTGATTCTGATCTTCATGACCAGCGCCATTCTTTTTGCTGCTTTGCTCCCTTGAACCCTTGCTGCGCTCTCAAAGGCTTCCCAGCTCCGGGCAGTGTTTCCGGTATCGGTCTCACCATCAAAGAAATCTTCACGATCAAGGTCATCCTGCTGGCGTTGAAGTGCGGCAAGCTCGCTTTGTAAGTAGAGAAGGTTTCTGGTTGACATGCGATCAAAGCGGTTGAACATCATCATGCTGCGATCTTGACAGCTTATCATGGCTGAAGCAAGCGAAGCGAAGCCCACGGCGTGGGCTTTGCAGCCACCATTCTCGCAGTCCTCAGCCATTTCCTTGTATTTTATCTGTACAGGACGCCAATCATCTGAGAATGCTTCAGGTTGCAGGAACTGTCAACAAGATTCTTGCCAGATGCGAAGTATCTACTCTCCACAACTGAGCGTGAGGCTATGGTTTGGGCATCAACATATCTGGTCAAGACAACCACTGTGGCTGGTCCATGATAAGTCTTCACAAGAGTCGGTGAAGGATTGCCCTGCTCAGCCTCATTTCCATGCCTTTCACTTCATATCTACACATTCTGCTTTTTTGTCTCCCTCTTTCTCCTTCAAGTTCTGTGGCAAGCCTCTCGATGGTGTCAAACGCAACTCGAGCGGACTACAGTAGGTGGGAAGGTAGCATTGTAGTGCCCCGGTAGGAGCTTTCCCTCTGAAATTGCAGGTCATGACTAAAACCATTTAGTTTGCGCTCGGTGGGACATTTGAGTCTATTATCCAAGCCGAAGGAATCGAACCGAAGCAGAACATACCGGAGCTCAGTTGAAAATAACTCTATCACTTGGAAATTTGCCCTTTTCCATGACTTTGCTGCAACCCTCAGATCCTGGGTGTTGAAGGCGCAGAGGATAGTCCAATCAACGCTTTGCTTCCGCACCAATCCGAAGCCCGACACCATTCAGCTGCTGGTCAACGGGCAACCGCTCAATGCCTTCAAGGACACAGGTTCAGAAAAGAGCTGTATAGATCATGTGAAAGCTCTCGAGCTTGGTCTGGAGCTTTCCTACGAAACAGATGCACAAGCAAGTTTCCGTCTCCCCAATGGAAAAGTCATATCATCAGTCGCCGTGACATGGGCCGACTGTTTCCCCGCCGACAATCAACCACATCTCTGCTTTAGAGGTCGGTTTTTTGTCTTTCAAGCACTCCATTTCCCTATGATCTTAGGAAATGATCTTCTTGACAAAGCTGGAGAAATAAAGCGGAGTGAGCAGGGCAAGCTTGGGGCTTTTGCATTCTATGCTGCCCTAGGGAGAAATGCCCGTTACTTAAAAGCCATCCTCGATACAGGAACCGAGGTGAACATGATATCGAAAGAGGCGTTGACCTCTCTGGGTGAGCAGCCGAATTCCGCACTGGCGGCTCCTTTCTTTATGGCGAATGGCCGGCAGATCGAGTCAATAGGCCAAGTGACACTCAAGTTTTGCTTCCCTGGGGAGCAAGCCTCTCAGAATGCCAAGTTCGAAGTTTTCGAGAATCTTACAGTGCCTGTCGTGGTTGGTGCAAAACTAGCTGATCAAAGAATAAAATTCCGTTGGGTTTTCCGGCCCAAGCCATCTGATCCCCTTGTCACGCATGTGGCCAGGAGAGACCATCGTCCAGTGCGTCTCTTCAGGTGCATTGTCAACGGGAAGAGGGAGACGGCCAGTGCGGACACAGGCTCAGACCTGAATTTAGTCTCCCCTTTAGCGGCCACGAGACTCGCCAACGCCAGTTCGATGGACGAATGCAAGCTCGACATAACCTTGGCTGACGGATCGAAGGCTGCTATCAACGCCTCTTTCGCAGCTGAATTTTCTCCATATTCTGCTCCGGAAGAGATTACAATGGAGAGATTTTATGTTTTGGAAGGATTGGCACCTGATATCATCATCTCAAGGACCACTCTGGAAACGATCGGCGCCTTTACGAGGAATCAAGCCTCATTTTTTGAACAACCAGAGAACTCGCCCCTCTACAATCTGAATGTGGCTGCATACCTATCCAGGCCAGCGGCCAGGTTCTTGCGCTTCTTCAAGACCGGCCGGCGTGCGAGGAGCACGACCGATACCTCTTCTTCAAAGCCAACCTTGCAGATCCTTCCGTCACCCTCGGCCACTGACAGCGAGTTTTATTCAACGCTCAAAATAGTCGCTGCATACATGACCAACCTTAGAGAAAAGGCAAAGAGAGAAATCGCTCACTTGACTGGAATACAAAGGGCCGTCGCTGAAGACGCGGAAAATTGGAGGATAGACCGTTACGAAGCCGACTTGAGAAGGAGGTTAGATGAACGGAGGCAAGCTGCTCGTAGTGGCTCGTAGTGGCTCGTAGTGACTCAGGAGTTGAAATTGCTATTGTGCTCAAATGTTCTCTTATGCAGGCTATAAATGCTGACAAGTTCGTTCTGGCGGTGGTGGGCGATGCCAACGTGCTTGGAATCCTCTCGAGTCCGCCTTGTCACCCAATTGAAGCCGTCATTGACTGCTTACCTTCGTCATTTCTCAACTTCACAGTAGTTAATCGGGCCTGTGGCTTGACTGAGAATGGTATTGAGGAAAAGCCATCTCCGTCGAGAAACACAAGAAAGATGATATCTCAGTCGCCTCCACGGGAAGGGTGTTTGCTGTTCTGGGGCGGGACGATACTGCAATTCACCTTGTCTTTTTGAGAAGGCGCTGACTTAGGAGTTTTTCCGAAGTGAGAGAGGTGATATCTACAGTCTAGTTGCTTGGGCTCCTCAAGGGACTGGCCCTGGCGATGTTTAGGTTTTGCTTATAGGCTCTGTCGAGGCATTTCTTCTCGTCGATCAAGTGCGAGGTAGCCGCGTAAGGATCTCTTCATTGTACTTAACGCCGTGTTCCATGCAGAGATGAAGAGCTGGTTCGTGGAGGTTGATGAACAAGGAACCGTGGGATTGTCCTTGGGTCTCTTGTCAAAGTCCTCAACAGCGTATCAAACTTTCCTGATGATTGGTGAAGTTCATGCTTGCATGCGTGGTTCTCGAGGCGGTGCCTGGTCCATGCCCCGGGACAAGGATCTGGAGTCGAATGAAATTCAGTGCTGGAGGATGAGATTGCCTGCATGCTGTTAACTTTCCAAGGCGGCTCGACTTGTTGTCCTGCACGTCCTGCTTTGCCAGAGGCTGAAGGGAATGGTGCTCCTTTTTCTGAGGTCGACAGACCCAGCCTCGTCACATATAAGCGCCAGCAGGCGTCATCCCGCCGTGGAAGTCACAAAGGAGCATCCAATTAGGGAGTCGAAGTATATCCCAGTTGTTGTCGTACTGACGTCAGCGAACCGGGAGAGTTGTGTTATCTTGCTACGTGGGCAGCAGCTTGGCAACGGCGCTTGCGGGTGCAGAGGCTCAACGAGATAGTGCTCGCCAAAGGAGCACCAATTTCCTGATGAAGTCGGGTTGGGTCGACGTCGCCAGACCCCATCCATCCTTGTTTCGGCCAGCGTCATCCATATCAAAGAGCAGTAGGCAAAGCCAAACACAATCCCATGTGAGAATGTCAGAACGTCCACGTGTCGTGGTGGGCGGGCGGCTAAGAATCCTTTCCTCCTTTTGCAGAAAGCACATTTGATTTGAGTCGAAGGCACACAAGAGAAAACGTGTCGAATAGAGGGGTGAGAGATTATCGAAGGATTCGCTTCGGATCCCCGAGCATGTTGGAGGGAGAAAGGAGGTCTAGGCCATCCAGAACCCGAGAGCCCCGATTCAGCATTATCCTGTTGAGCAAAGGAAACGTTAGAACACACCAGTGCTGAAGGATTCAGTCGCGCGATGATGTCGTGCCCGGCATAGACTTTCCGCGTCAAGCCGTTGCTGATTGTTGGGTCCTGGGGAGCAGCTGGAGCCTCAAGGTCCGCTGACGTAAAGACATTGGAGCAGTCTGCATATTGTTCATAACGTGCTCCGGAGAAGCATACCAATGACATATCTCGATGGGACTGAAGAAAGTCTTCAGGATATCCACATGTCGACTTCTGCAAGTCATGAGCTCAGCTCCCCACAAATCGAGCGCTGCGCTTCATGCAAGTGTTTTTTTGAGTCAGTGGCAGGTTTGGATCGCGATTGGTCAGCCTCCAACGCCGCTCCCTTCCGAGACCAGGGTAACGAACTCATGGTTCATCGACTCGGCCGGGGTGGTCTTGATCGCAAGTGTTGAGGAAGACCATCATACATCGTCAACCTAGTGGAAGGGGCATGACATCTTCCTCCAACCGAAACGCTCAAATCAAGATTGTTATACGTTCAGTTCCTTGAATTTCATCACAGACGTTCTGGAGCGGCTCTTCATGAGAATGGAATCCTTCCTCCAGCAGGCACCATGCTGATTGGACGAATCAGATATGACTATCTGAGACAACTGCAACTTGCTTCAATGCGCAATGACCAGATTGAGGCCATTGGATCCCGAGGGGATTGCGCGCGCTCGAGTATGAAGCAGTCGAAGGAGAAGGGGATTGAAGAATCTGAGCTGTCCAGTCAGTGAGTGGACATGCCATAGCGCCCAATTGAGGTCAATGACATGATCAATCATCCTTGGGAGATGCCGCGCGCTCAAGGCTACGAAAGCTGACCAGTCAGCCTTCTGGTGTGCTTCCAAGCTGGAACGAATCATAAACATGACCGAAAGTGTAGAGCAGCCTGCGAGCCCAGCAACAGTCCCGAGCAACTGGGACGGCCAGGTGGCCAGCGGCTTGCCAGGGTAATATTAGTAGATAAATGGAAGCTCTGTGCAGGAGCTTTGGGGAGGCCATTGACCATCTCTCTTTTCCATCTGGACTTCCTCGCTTGTTGACATCTCCCATTTCCCAGCCTGTGGACGGCGTCTCCGACCGCGCTCAGCACGGCACAGTGGGCATCGTGCAGCAGCACCATCGAAAACAAACTTCTTCACCGGAATACGGCAAGCCCCAGGGCCATCTGGACTCTCAGCTGGGCCCTATCAAGACTCAGCCCAGCGAGCTGACCACAACGCCGGCCAGTAGAGTCACAGGCAGCAGAGCGCACAGCGAGGGAGCGAGATCCAACATCCAGCTGGCTTGTCGCCTGCAGTTGTGGTTGCAAGTCACAGCGACAGGGAGCCCTGTCGAATCAGCATTGCTCGTTGCAGGTAGTCGACGCTGCCACTCGCTGAGGCTGGCTCCGCCTCTTTACATCCCTGGTCGTCCCTTGTCGTCTCCACCGGCCTCGGCTCCACTTTTTGCCGCCCGGCGGCAACAGGGCCCCTTCTCTCGCTGTTTTAACGCCCGCCCATATCGAACTTCCCACCCACTGACGGGCTTCCCATCTCTCTTCCTTCGCTCTGCCTCGACCTGTCTCTATCCAACCATTCCTCCTCTTGCAACGGCCCACCTGGAGTCGGGTCAATCGTTGCTTTGTCGTCGGGCGCCTCAGTCACCCACTCTCCTTGCAAACAATCGACCCTCGCACCACCCCCCTCCCGCGCCAGTCCCTCTCACGGATACCCTTCTGCTACGCGCCAACGAGCCCTCCAGTCGTAGCTCCCTTGCTGCCATCCAGCCGACGACAGAACTACTGCACCTGGCACACGCTCCGGTGACAGAGCTGGTCTCATCCTGGTCAAGATTTGTGTACCAGTGCAAGAGGAGTTGGCGCTGCTGTGCAAGCTGCTCTCTCCCAGAAATAGATTGCACTTATTCTACCCGTTGCCTGCCCTGCCTGTCCCATCCACCTCTCTCCCTCCCTTCTCTTCTTCACGGCACGACCCTCTCCTCCCTTCGCTGGTGTCCGTCAGGCTCTCGACCATCATTTGCCTTTTCGTTGCACATCAACATCAGCCAGCAAGGCCTTCCAAGATCGACTCTCTCGTTGTCGACGTCAAGATGCCCGCGGTGACCAGACCAGTCCTCCCTCCTCTCCAGACCCCAAAGACCGCCTCCTTCCCCTCCGAGATCGTCGCAACCCCGATTTCATGCGTCTCTGCCGTGGTCAAGCAAGAAAATGCCAATCTGAAGACACCCATTACACCTCCAGTTGCCTACACCGAGTTCCTCAAGGCTCTGACTCCTGTCCTAGCCAGTCCTCCCGTCAGCAGCGGCCTTCAGAGGTCCATGTCGGATGAGTCGACATGCACAAGGCACTCTTTGATATCCAACGGGTCCACGTCTTCTAGTCTATCCTCCAGCAGAAGCGAAAGCCACAAGTCGCCATCCAGTTCCGTCCCGCCAACTCCGTACTCTCGCAAGACTCCCACTCACTTGAGGCGGCTGCGGATACCGCATTCTCCAGCGTTCTCCCCATCCACCTCCGGACCCTCTCCACGGACTGCCATGAGCGGCATGAGCACTGGCACCATCTACTCTCCGTTCTCGCCAGCGGACTGGAACTGCGAGAGCGCAACCCGACGGTATTTCGAGGCGCCCAGGAGTGCATGTTCGAAGTCTGTCAATGTTCGATCTGTTGTGACGAGGACCGTCACATACAAACGGTCCCCGCCCCTCGACCCTGCGCCCAAGGGCAAGAAACGCAAAACCGACACTACAGCTATGCCACCGCCACCCAGCGCAAAAGACTTTGCCGGCATCAAAGCAGTTGATTTCCCTTCAACGCTGATCGAACCCCACACAACTGTCATGAGTTCGCCTTCTGCGTCTGCCAGCCCCAGTCCAGCGGTAGTCACTCCTCCCCCGACTGCTGTCGCGTGAGATGATCATCCGGATGGCCTTGGTATGATGGCACATTTAATGGGATTTTCGCAGAGGCTTCACAGATGATGGTTGATCTCTGTGGTCCCCTGCGAAATGGAATATCACGGGATTTACGACATACTTTGCTATCAGTTTTTATTATACGTGATACCACACTACATGTTTCTGCGAAGGTGCTCGGCGTTTAAGAAACAGCAAACCAACAGTGAACCGAAGGAGTTGAACTGAGAGGCTGAAGCACGCATTTGGCATCTTCAAACACTGCATGAATGGGATATGGCTGGCTATTCTGGGATATTCGACGAGATTTCTTCAATTCGGGAGGTTGGCTACGAGGCGGATACTTTGAAAAGCTCTGAAGATTTTTGGTGGGACACCCATGTTTGACTCCGCAGCCGGATCCTGCGGTCAGAGCAGGGCAAAGGATGCTCACAGATCCCGCAAGATTCTGGGCGGAATCCGAGCAAGCCATGCTCTTTCCCGCACACTTGGGAAGCAAGACGCAAACCAACCAATAAATGAAACTACCTTGAAAAAGTTTACATTCTGGAGTCGAGTGTTGTCAGCCAGTGCGCGTCCTCCATCGCGGCCCTCCAGGGCGACGGACGCAGAATAGGCTTCAGAAAACACGTGGCACGAGGATCTCCAGCCGCCAGTCATCACCAGGTGCTCGCAATATGAGTGGACCACGAGTGCTGCTCGATCACCGATCCACCTGGGCGGTATGGCCATGGGAGAACTTCGATTCGCTGAGGGTGGTTGCGGGATTACGTAGGAAAGGCTCAGCGAGCTCTGGAGGAGCTATCGAGCTCTGTACGAATATACTATGTATAACATCCATGAAATCCCCACGGTCAGCCGGGAAGACCGTTTCCATATCCCCATTGGCAAGATAGCCGCGAACCTCAACGGGGTGGTCGGCCAGTCGGGGCGGTGATGAAGGGGGGGGCTCAACCGGAGAAGGGCTTTTGAGTTCTCTGTACTTTTGTGGGATAAGAAATCCCCCACAAACAAGCCAAACTCCAAGAAGGACGCCGTATTTGACCGAGAGAAAGTGAGCAAGACAGTTCGTGCCGTCTACGCCGGAGGGTTCGAGGACACCAGGATTCTCAGGGGGAATTGTCCACGGCACAGGAGAGAGATGGCTCGAGGTTTATGCCATCTTGGGTCCTTGGGTCCTTGACCAATGCAGGGGGCTGTTGACGAGGAGTACCTTGGCCGCAGATGTCACAGCGGAAGATACAGTAGTCGAAGCGACGGGGGATCCGGGTGAAGGTCGACTTCGTCCTTCTCCTGAATCCGAAGTTGGAGGGGGGGGGAGGCAGAAGGGGGCAGCAGCGAGAAAGGGAGAAAGGGAGGGGCGCAAAAGCAGCGAGAGGGCTCGTTGCGGCGCTGACATCACCCTCGTTCCCTCCTTTGGCAGCTTCTCGCCTGGATTCCAAAATTGCCAACGCACCGGGCTGGGATCAACACGCCTAACGACCAACTTCCAGACACCGAGCCTTCTAGCGTGCTTCGAGCTGGCGTCGATTGGATGGTGAGACACGGGAGGAGCCCGGACGCCCCGCTGTACCGCAACGCTGGAACTGCGCTAGTGGCAGGAGATTTGTTGATTGGTGTCCGGCCGCAACGTGGAGTGAAGCTTGTCCAGTGGGTCGGGCGCCTACTCGAACACTCGTGGCCAGTCATTCCAAACAGGCACTGGAGCCTGTTTGACACCGGTCAGTGCTGCGTCGCCATGATTGGACGATGCCTGAGAAGGCCCTGCCGTTATTTTTAGTTTTATTTGCCCCCCGAAGAGCGCCCCTCAGCCAATGACGAGAGGGGTTTCCCAATACAACTGTATTTGAGCGGAGCCTCAATGGGCTGTTCTGAACGGGGGCCGGGCGCTTAATTTCCCCCCTCTGGTCTTCACTGCACCTCCATCTACAATGGACTGTACGTCGCATGAGTATTCACGAGGAGGTCGTCTTAGCGACGTCCTGAAATTGCTGTTCGCCACCGTCCATCCACCAGCCAGCAGAGGAAGAAGCAGGAAACATGAGGATGTTGATCCGAGATAGATAGATCGGCAAGTTTGTGTGATCTGCTCCCTGATAGCAGGCCAGTTACTCGTAGGTACTGTACGGAGTAGTATGTGACATGTCCCGTCCAAGAGGCAAACAGCGCGGGGCATCCCTCTCCCCTTCCTAGGACCAAATGCATAGCTACTCGTACTGAAGGTGGCTAGGTCACCTAAGATAAGATGCCGGGCAACACAGACGTCCCGCCAGCAAGCTCAGGTCGGGGGGAGATGAGATGAACTTGTTTTCCCCCAACGCAGCCGAAGCCCAATTTTGTTGTCTCTTTCCCTCTTCACGCACAGGGTCTGTCTACCGACATCATTAATTACCCGCTCAGAACAAACCGCATACGGGTAAAGCCTCCTCCAAGCTCCTCCGGGAAAGTCTCCGCCTTTCCTAAAAGCAAGGAAACACGGAAATTTGGAGAGGACCGTCTCGAATTTGTTCTTGTCGGCGCCCCTGGTCTCTTTTTTCCGTCTGTTGTGCCCGACGCGGCGCGTGTGTGGGCTGGTTGCATGCAAGTGGGCAGCTGTGCTAGCTGTGGGCAGCTGTGCAGGTGTATATGGGTGTGCTGCACTCGGCGACCAATGACTCCCCTACTAACCGGGCGAGCTTGTAACCCGTCCAACTCGCGCTCGTACGTGTGGTTGATGCCCTTGTCCTGTTTGCATGAATGGCTGAGAAGTAGCGGATTCCATCCCGCCATGCGAACGCGAGGGTGTTGAGGTTCAAAGGGGCCAGGCATGCAGACCTATAGTACCTGACCCATCTGTGTACATGATACATGCGCTAAATGTGGCCCAAGGCTGGAATCTCTCGTGCCCAGCTGCCAGATCCTCCGGACTATCGATATTATGCATATCACCAAGTACAAGGGGGTGGCTGCTTGCTATATCCGTCCATTTCCCCCTTCCAACCCTCTTCGACGACCCGTATCAAAAGCCGACTGAAGCGCGCCTACACACTACACTACACCTCAAAAGCATCACCCACCCCTCTACAGGCCTCGCCAACAAGGGGTTTTCAGAAGCGTGCATGTCGCACATACCGCTTCAGGCCTGGCCTCAAAGTCCGCGTGTGTGCGTCCTGTGCGCCGTGCCATTAATAGATCGCCTTTTTGGCTGCCCGACTGATCTTGATTTCACGCTGGCCATCGCATGCCGAACCTGGTGACCTGGCTCGAACCAGCCCAAGCCAAGCCGAGATCTTCGCGTGCCATATCCACCGTTCCCCAACCTGGCCCCGCTGTGATTGAATGTCGAAATGAGAAAGAGCGTGACTGCAAGGAAATAGTATGCATGGAGTCGTTTCTTTTCCTGAGCCGCGCCTTGGATGGGTTTCTTCGAGTTCCGGCGGTGGTGCCGCCGAGGATTGCCGTCATATCGGGTTGAGGATCCGGAGAGCCGTCGCAAGAAAAGTTATGGAGCTTGATGGACGATACTGCGGACAGGGAATGCCCACAAAGGCTTCTCGCTCGCCATGGCGACCTCCTTCCGGATCGATTGAGGTGGAGAGACACCCGTGCCAAAGACATAGCCACGCCGCTTTGCATTGCCGATGAGTTGACCTCTTCGTGGGCGATATGTCTGTGGTTTGTCTGGATCTGGGAATATATTCTTCAACTTGGTGCGCTGCACATGCTTGTGACCCAATTGCGGCCTTCTGGACGAACTTAAAGTGCTGCTTGAATCGTCAGAAAGGAAAGCCAAGCTTGTGATCTTCTCATTTTGTTGACCGCGACCCCCAGACCAATATTGAATGAGCTGTAAGGAGACATGCACGGCCTCTTGTTGACGCTCTGCTCAATCAGTCCATCTCCTTTATCATCTCCACGGAGTAGAAGCTTTGGGCGTCAGAGTTGATGTCGGTCTCATCGTCAAAGTCGTCCTCATCTTCTTCCATCTCACTATCACTGCTTTCAATCTCGTGAATGCGCAGCTCTTCCGGTACAGCCATTCTATAATATTTTTTGTAAACTGATGCCGGACTATCGTGTTCTCCGATCTCGAGATTAAGAAGCCTTGACTTTCTCACCTCGAGATACTCCGCGAACGTCAGTAAAGATCGCCGCTGTTCCTGTTGAGAGATGTCGTCGTCCTTGGAGCCGGGATTGAGGACATTTGATACATCGTACCCGCACTCCTCTAGAGCTTCCTTCCACTCTACGCTGTGACCTGTCTTCAGTGCCATCTTCGAAACACTCTTTCCAAAAGCATTCACAGCGAAGACGTCTGCACCAGCAGTAATGAGGAGCATTAGCAAGTCCTTTAACTCTCCGTCGTGGTTTTTGGTGACAAGGCTTTCGTACACCCCCCCGGGGCCTCGATCTCTCACTGAATTAAAAATTTGATGGAGGTAAGTATCTCCCTCTTTGCTGCGGTAGCACGGATCGGCTCCCCTTGAAATCAGGAACGCGATTTTGGAGGCTATTTGGAAGTTCCACTTATCGAAGCTGGCCAAGATCAACATTTGTATGGGTGTCCACGGATGCATGGTGCCCGTCACAAATGGCTCACCGTTGTCGATTATCACCCGGAAGGTTTGCTGTTTTGAGTGAGTGTTGTTTCTTTGCTAGATCCTGCCTAAGAATTTCGTTTCACTCACTAGCGACGAAAATATAAGTAACATTCCCAACACAGGAAACCGATCTTGATCGTCGTAAAAGCCGCAAAGGTCGGCCCCTGCCTGTGAAATAACCTTCATATTATCAGAGTAGAGTAGATCCTGGCTCGAAGAATGGTTCAATGCAAGGTTTATTCCCTGCATAGCTACGGAGCTGCAGTCGAGACATCAGCTCTCAGACCAAAACCAGGAGAGCCGACCTTGAACTTACGCGTAAATCAATTCGCCAGACTCTTCGCGGGGTACGTGCAACGCTTCGAATGAATCAATATCTGCACCGCAGGCGATCAGATATTTGACCATATCTCGATTTGCCTGGCGCAGAGCATACTTGCAAAGTCAGATCGATGTTCAATAAAAATTGCTGTACTTACGCCAAGCAGGGAACGGCCATATTCATCGCAATCTGTGATTGAGGCCTCTCGATATTCGAAGAGCCTCGCCATCTCTTGAGGAGTGCCGTATTGTGCTGTGCGGAATACTTGTGAATCGCTCTCCCTGATTGCTTTGAACGATAGTGCTGTTGGTTTGAAGAGACGTCCTTCGAGGTAATGCAGCTGCTCGCACTGAAATGTGATCATATTCTTCTGTGCAAGACTCATTCCTGGTAAAAGCGACACCTTGGCGAGAAACCGGAGCTCCGAGACATTCCCAGAGGCCTCACAATCAGCCGCGTATGATTCTGACAGCCTGAGAAGTAGATCGAGACGCCCAATCGATGTCTCCAGGCTAATGAATTTTGTCTTCACCAATCCTCGATTTGAAGAGGAGATCGGTGTTGGAAATGTGGTGTTACTCGGTGATATAACAAGATCGTCCTCGTATCTCTGTGGGAAATGCCCATCCGCTGCTTCACAACATTAGTGGTTCTGTTTAAGGCATAAATACATGGGAGATAGGGGGCATATGCTTGACTAACCACCGGAATCTGCAATTCGCAACCTCTGGGTCAGCTGAAATATGCTTCGCACATCTTCAAAGTCATCTAGGCCCCATCCGTCGCGTTTCAACCCAGGAAGAGAGACGCCTATCTCTACCAAGGTTTTCATGTAATCCAGGATGTGCATTAGATCTTTGACTGTGGCCTTCAGTCTGGCTGACGATATCTTGGTTACGGATTGCTTGGTCAGTTGAAGGAGACGGAGGAAGCTGGCTGCAAAGGCATCGTTCTTCTGAAGTAGTGAAGATGAGGATTCCTGCGCTGTAATGTTGAGTTCGATATTCTCCCGCCTTGAGACTTTCCGATTAAGGGCGTCAACGTTAAGTTGAAGCTCTTTGATGCCCACGCAAATTTCACTCAATATGCTTTGGTCCTGTTGTGACATGCGCAATGTTTGTGCTGCGTTTCCTCGTAGATCATCGAACTTAGAGTGAATCTCCGAAAATGCTGCAAGAGCGGTTCGCCGATACTGGGCCGAGTCGCCAACATGCTGTGATAGAATCTGCTGGATACCACGGATCCTTTGGCCTTCTCCCTCTTGATTTCTTGCAATAAGATCCACAGTTGTTTTTTGAGATTGGAGAACCATGTGCATTGATGGCAGCAAGGCTGTGGACGATTGAACGTCGGTTAGCTGGGAAGAAACTTGAGCAAACTGTGACATTGCGGCGTTTTCAAGGGACCCAATACGTCTGTTCGAGTTCAGGCGATTCTCATTCCTGTTGATTGTATAAGTAAGATCTTTTCAACCACATCGTTTGGCTTGTATACTTACGTGCTGATTCTCGTCAAGAGGACAGAGAAAAGTTGGTTATAGTATAAGACTTGGTTCCACCAATTATCGATATCTCGGTCGTGGTTCAGTCTCTTCACGGCCTTTTTCAGCTTCGACCGAAACCCTTTGTCAGCGGGACGGCCGAGTTGCTCCAATTTTTGCTGGATTTCGGATAGATCATGTTCGCATTTCTCCACCATCTCCTTGGAGTCTTTGAAAAGTCCCCTATCAAGGTCTCCATGATCCTTGAGGCGCGTCTCGTCGAGACTCTTCACATACGTGATGAGACGTTCAAGTTCGGACACAGCAGAAGCCAGCTTTGCCAGCGCGGGTGGACATTCACCATAATTCCTTCTCAGTTCTCTGATGACGGTGGAGACCTGGATTAGAGTAGATGCCAGGGTCAGTAGAGATGCAGCGAATCCTACAGCTTCCATGTTGATTTTGGTTTTCAGGAGAAGTATGGGTCAAGCTCGAGAGGAAGAGGGGAGGAAAGGAAGAAAAATAAACCAGGCTGAGAAAACCAAATGATGCTTAACCAGTCTCAGCCTCCTTCGTCCTTTGTCGTAAAGGTGGGGGCCGTACAGATTTGCTGTACCTGGTATGCGACGCCCATTTGCACAGCCTTGTTCCTCGCTGCGTGGAACCTTCTAATTGGTGGGGGAAGCGAAGGAAGGAGACGCATGAGGCCCTATTCGTCAGGGCCGCTGGAGTCGCGGCCATGCCCTGCCACAGAAACATCTCAAGGCACAGACAAGGGCGAACCGCCCCCAGACACAGGTCGTTGTCACTGCCTGTCACTTGATTACCCAAGGAGAGTCGCCCAGGAAGTTGTAAAAACGACACCCCATCCGGACTTCGGATAAACACCCCTTCCGGCTCGGCAGCCTTATCGTTATCGCGCGCCACGGTTTGTCGAGAAATCAAATGCAACATCATCCTGCAGCAGATTCGGTCGTCGAGCATTTCCTGTGCCACCTGTGCGCTCGCTTCCTAATCCCGCCGCAGCTCTCCGTTTGACTATCTCTGCATAAATTCGAGGCCTTTTCGCACCGTGAAGGGCGCGCCAATTCATATTTTCTTCCTTCAGGAGAGCCTTGTCCTGCACCTTGATACGCATTGTCTGGGAATCCGCAACACTCGGTTACGAGCATACCCTCTCATACATTTCACGGCAGCGTGTCCACAATAACGGGAGCTGAGCTGTTGTGCAATTGCAAACTGCATTTGACCTCAAATTCTTCATCTGTCTCATATTGTGCGAGGAACTCGGGTTTGCGATCACCAGTTCAATCAAGATGCCTTCAGTCTCCTTTGCGACTTTCCTCATCATCTGCCGTAAGAACCACCCAAGTTTTCCTCCGCAGGTCCCCATACGAGAGCACTGACATGTCCGTGATGCAGCTGTCTCCTTCTTCCTGGGCATCCTCTTCTCTCTCTTCCCCTACGACTACCCACTTCTGTGGTCCTCACTGCCAACACCACCCTCTCACTTTGACGCCATCGAAGCGCACCTAAAACTTCTCCACAATGCGCCGAATCTGATTGTGCGGATTCTACATATGATGCTCGGAGTTGGCATCTTGGGTCTTATCATCAAACTGTACAAGCCTAGTGAATCGAACATGCTGTTTGACGGCGGCAGTTTGGTGTTGTACATGGTTGCGGTGATTGTGTATATCGCGAACATCGTCAAGGGACTGAGGATTGTGAACGAGGGCATCTATGGATTGGGCGTGGAAAAATTGACGCAGGATGAGCTGGACGACATCAATTCGCGTGGATATGATGTTAACAGTGGCGACAGTGTGCTTGGGCGTGAGGACAACCTGAAGGTGTTGGCTGCCAGCAATACCATCCTAGCGCTAGTGCTGGTCGGTGTGTTGGTGTTGCAGTTCGGCCAATGGTATGCGGACCGGACGGATGAAAATGCTCTGAAAGAGTTCGAGGCGAAGGAGAAGGCGGAACGAGAGAGGAAAGAAAACGAAGCCTCCAGTCCCACGGTGAAAAGGCAGAGTAGTGGAAGGGAGGGAAAGAAGACCAAGTAAAGGGGACGATGTTGAATGAGATGCTTGGAACGTGGGAAAGATGTCTTTGCCATCGCATTGAGCGCTGTAACATTCTTGCAAACTTTGCTGCAACCACCTGGATATTTCTGTGAGTCGATCAAGTACTTTCAGGAATATGAGCTCATAGGCGATAGCTTCAATGTAAATCAACGTTATTCTCGTTAGTTTCGCTTCGCATGCCGCCATGTGACGAGGGTGGGGGGCGGCGCCTTTATGGCTTTTCTAGTTTCGAACGTGCTGAAGCCCCATATACTCTATACTCGAGCATCCCCTTGTTGGAACAATCGATGCATTGGACGGGGTTGACGGCTAGACATGGAATACCCGAGAGCAGACGACACAGATGTCGTCGCTTTCCGTCTCCGAGCTCGTAGCGCGGAGCCGGGTTTTTCTTGGGGCTGCTCGATCGCCCAGCTGCCAGCCTGTGTCCCATTTCTACCGATTCTTGTTCCTCTCTTCCCTCTCCCGTTGTCTCTCCTTCTTCTCATCCTTCCGTCGCATCTTCTTCATTTTCTTCCTATCCTCTTTACTCATCTCCTGCTTGCCTTTTACCCTCGTTCTCTCAGCCATGACGGTGTCCGTCGCTTTCTTTTTCTTGGTCTTCTGCTCTCTGCCCTCTCCATCTGCATCTTCATCACCGCCTCGTTGCTTCCGTTTCCTTATTGCGGTATGACTCTGGTTCTCGGGCTCACTGGAACCGTCAAGTTCTGTAGCGTCCTGTTCTTCGAACTCGTGCTCGTCGCCTTCGACTTCGCCTCCGCCCTCGAGTTCAGATTGATCTTCGGCTGCGGTGGGCTGGTCATCATCCAGTAATTCGGTCTGCGCCAGCGCATAGGTCTCAGCGTCTTGCCAGTCATCCTCCACTCGATCCTGACCTAGCGTGTCGGCTTCAACGTCAGCGCCCACTTGCGGGTCCTCAACGCCCTCTTGATTGACAGAGTAGATGATTTTGCGTTTCTGTTTCTTGGATTTCGGGGTTTCGGGGTTCTCGTCCTCGGCCTCATCTTCATTCAGGGCGCGTTTTTGACTCCCTCTCTTCCGCGGTGTCTGACCCTCGTCTGAGTCTCCCGACCCTTCAAGCTGTTCGTCCGCAGGATGCTCGCCCTTTCCTTTCGCTTCCTTTTCTAGCCCGAGGCTTCCACCGATACGTTTTCCCTCCATTCCACTCAAGATCCTCTTCAAATGACTCAGCGTCAGATTGGGCGTCGATCCACTGGACAGCGCCTGGGGACCACGTTCCGTCAGTGTGCTGTCCGGTCTGTATGCGGCGTCATTTTCTGCACGGTCAAGGAATGCCGAGAGAAAGGAGTGCGCTTGAGAATGCGTCAGACGGGTTGTAGAGTGGTGCACTGAGGTAGGTAAAGGCGTCAGGCCTGCTGAAGAGGCCATGGTGAGGATTGAGACAGTCTCGAATGCAAAAAGCAATGCTATTGTATCTTGGAGAGCGATCGGTTTTGCGGCGCTGAGACTTGGAGCTGAATATGGAATTTAAGGCAGCTGTTCAGCTCATATTTGACGCCAGAGAACAGAAGCACAGAGTTATTTTCGTTGTGTAGCGAGATAGTCGCAGATTGAAGTCGTCCGCGAGCCCAGGGTCGAGAATCGCGGAGAGAAAACGAAAAAGATTCTGCGATAAGATTAGATCCCGCCGTCTCCAAAGCCTGATGAGCCCAGCCCCCCACTTGTATACGGAACAAACGGATTGCTTCCCTTCTCCAAGGCTGGCCGTGGGCCGAGGCTCTTCATTGTTGAACATCAAACTTTCCGTGATCGAGTAATCGCGATTCAAGGTAGGTTCCCAGATTGAAACATGGCATAAAACCCTCTGCTTCTTCTCCTCGCATTGCTAATCTCCTGCCGCTGTGCACCTCTATTCCCTGCTCCTCTGTCGGAATAGATCTACTCGCTCCAGGAGGATAGAGAGTTACGGCGAAGTCCCGTCTGCGCGAGCTGGATTTGTGAACAATGCCTCTCGCGACCATCCACCTCGTGTCGCTCTCTCCTTCGACTACCCTCCCCGACTTCCTCGCCGCCGTCAAGTCCTCTCCGCTCAAACCACTGGTCATCTCCAAGGTGATCCGCTGGATCATCACGCCCACAAAGATCGACGCCGAATCACTCCTCCACCCGAAGAAGCCGTGGGATGTCCTCCTCATGGTGCTGGGGAGTGATCCCCTCCCTCCATCACTGAAGGAGAAGACAGTGTGCCACTGGACCTGCTCGACGGGGATCCCCAGCCGGTTGACCAACGACTTCCCCGCGCGGAACGATCGACTCCTGCACCCCCCGGCCTCGGAGGTTCCAGCACTGACGGGTTCGCTGGACAGGCCGCGGCTGGGGACGTCGTCGCAGACGCTCGAACTCAGCGCGGACCTGCAGTCGTGGATCCAGCAGTTCTCGCGCACCACGGCGGGCCGGTCCCCCCTGTCCATGCTCAACCTGCTGGCCTTCAAGCCGGACATGAAGCCGTCGTACCTGACGTACGGCGCCGCGTTCGCCGACTCGATCGGTTCCCGCCGCGGCGGCAACGCCAAGCTGGTCGGCAACATCACGCACCAGACCCCGCCGGAGCAGTCGGGCGGCAAGTGGGACGAGTTCGCCCTGGCCAGCTATCCCTCCATCATGCACTTCGCTGACATGCTGGCCTCGGAGGACTATCAGGCCGTCAACTTGAAATACCGCGTCCCGGCGCTGGAGGACACGTTTATCCTGTGCACGAGCGAGATTGAGATTGAGGATCTCGTCCAGGGGCAGGGGAAGCTGGGGATCGGGAGGAGAGCCGGGGGTGGGAAACTGTAGGGCCATGGGTGAGAGGAGGCAGAGGCGAGAATAAAGTCTGGCTGAAGGCCGGGGCATAATGCAATTGAATAGCAGTAGGGCAACAGACTGGGACTTGGAGGTGTTCTGTGTGTCCAAGTTGATGGGTTTACGAGGAAATATACACCGATATCGATTCGAGTATCGTTGAGGTTATCGAGGATGGAATGGAGCCAAAGCGCTCTCTACAGAACCTCAGTATTGCAATCCTGATATCTGACCCACCACCTTCTTCGACATCAACTGAGATGTCTTCCGGGATATCCTCTTTCTCGTCCAAAAGCCTGGCGGTTCCTTGCCTTTGAAGTTTTAAAATGTCGACTGCACCGTCCGAGCTTCCAAGGCACCGTCGACAATGTCAATAAGCCTATATCCAATTGCTTCATCTCCGTCGGCTCCGTCCCTGGGGAAACGTCTGCGCCACCGATTTCCCGGCCTTCACAATGTCTGACAATGTGACTTGCGGAATTGCCGTTATTGCTAGGCCAGTCTCGCCCAGCTCAAGGCCTGCTCTGCTCGCAAATTTTCGGTCATCTCCCACCACCAACATCTCCTGTGATGCGAACTCTAGCACGTTCAAAAGCTGGCCATTGAGACAAGTCGTGTGCTCGGTCGAACCCCTGTGTCGACATGGAAGGATTGGGGAGTAACGTAATATCCCAGTTTCGCCTCATGTCTCGAATTCTTCGCATTGGATGCGTGTAGTGGAGATCGACGAGAGTCCATACCAACATTTCTCCGCAGAGGCATCCACCGGGCCAGCTGGTCGTGGTTGGATTTATTGTTGGTATAGGTGACTATACAGTCCCTCCGTCCGAAGTCGCCTTCATTGAAGCTCTGCAACCGCGATTTCTCTTCTTCGGATAGAGCTATGCGCATCACGGTACAATGTTGTGGTTCTTTTGTTGGCTCCCTTCTCTTGACCCGACCCCATTCCATCGATATTCAAACATTGGCCACAACACCCTTGGCCAGCAGCTGATCAAGCACACCCGGTTTCAGTCTCATCTGCCTCTCTACCTCTTGAGGGGACTTGCCCAATTCGTCTCTCAATGTCAAAGCCTCTTTGATATCTTTGACGCTCAACAGCGTCCTGCCGCCAAAGCTAGGCCGGCCTTGGTTTTCTAGATCCGAGTCCCACTGGGCAGCGATTCTTTTCCTGGACTGGACAAGCATCATGGCTGGGTTATTGGCGTCGGAGGGGAAGATGTTCTGGCCGGAATGCATGGGCTGGCTCGAGGTCGGGAAGGTGTCTTCGTCGGGTCTTCTCTCAGTCACGGGCCTGGCTGCCCCGACCCGGCGCAACGCAGAGCCAAATTGGGGATCCCGTGCGTCAAGCTCTACGTGATCAGACTTTTCGCCTGCAGGAGGAGCAGCGGCTGGGCTGGGACGGACTGCAGCTGCGGGCGTGGGTTTTGTTGCTGCATCAGTAGGTGAGGGTGCGGAGTTGACCATAGAGGGCGTCGAGGGGTATTTGCGGCGAGCTGCAGCTCCCCCGGCTCTGCCAGCGACCTTGGAAGCTGAGGAGCCCATCGGCACAGGCAAAGAATCAGTGTAAGCTGGTGGGAAGCGTCAAAGAATTGGGAGACTGACCACCGTCAAGTCAATGACTTTACTTTCTGCAAATGGACGAGTCTCCACTTGGGCGCAAGGCTGAATGCGTCATAGCTCCGTCGGTGCTGCAGTGGCTTGGACCAACCAATTGAAACACACATCAAGGGCATCTTTTCATCTCGCGGTCAATGCGTTGGTAGAGATCAAGTCACCAGCCTGGATGCGTTTTCCCCTTTCGACAAATCTTTCTCTCCATCCGCCTCAGCCATAGACGGTGACATAACAATCCTTCGTCCTGAGACCGGGCAATACCGTCTGCCAGACGCCTCGCTTTCATATCCTCTTCATTAAACACTGCCCCTCCCCCGCCCACCGCCTCTTTCAGACATGGAACGGAAACACAAGCCCACCTCCATCCCCGTGTCTCCCCAGATGGCCCAACCCATCGTCGACCTCTCAGACAACGTGCTCACGGCGCGGCTACCCAGCGGTGACTCTGTGACGGTCTACCTGTACGGGGCCACCGTCACGTCGTGGAAGACGTCCAACGGGGCGGAGCAACTCTTCCTCTCCTCCGCGGCGGCGCTGGACGGTTCCAAGCCCATCCGCGGCGGCATCCCACTCGTCTTCCCCGTCTTCGGGCCTCCTCCCAAGTCGCACGCCACGGGCCAGCTGCCCCAACACGGGTTCGCGAGGAACAGCTACTGGGAATTCCTGGGCAAGAGCAGCAGCGAGTCTCTGGGCCGCAAGGCGGACGACAGCGTCAAGTTGGACTTTGGGCTGAGCTCGGCCATGCTCGACGAAGGGGTGCGCAAGAAGTGGCCCTACGAGTTTGGCCTGGTGTACAGCGTGACCCTGGGCAGAGGGAAACTGGAGTGCCAGATGCACGTGCAGAACAAGGGAGACCAGTCGTTTGAGTTCCAGTGTTTGTTCCACACATACCTGGCTATCAAGGTAAGAGGGCGACTGCGAAGGCCGTGGTCATAGTTTTGACTAACTGTACACAACAAAGGACATCCACAAAACCGCGGTCCGAGGCCTCCAGGCATCGCCGTACGTCGACAAAGTCCGCGCCGCGCAGACCTTCACCGAAGACTCCTCCTCGCTCTCCTTCGCAGGCGAGACCGACCGCGTCTACACCCCTCCCGCAGACCCCAAGGCCAACACCCTTGTGGCCCTGACGGTGACGGAGAACGGAAAGGACACCTTCGTGGTCACGCGGGACGCGCTGCCGGACGTGACGGTGTGGAACGGGTGGGAGGACAAGATCAAGGGCATGGGCGACTTCGAGCCCAAGGACGGGTGGAAGAGGTACCTCTGCATAGAACCCGGCACGGTGAGCTCGTGGACGAAGCTCGACGCCGGCGACGCGTGGGAGGGCGCCTGCTCGTTTGAGAGCAAACTCTGAAGCGGCCCAGGAGGTTGCGGATAGAGTGGACGGGGTTGGTGAACGGGGAGTATTGCAAAAGCCATGTTTCTATCCATTCGAGTAGTCAAGACTATCGCTTTCACTTTCGCATGGGCGTGAGGTAGAGCCCGCTCTCGTAGGAGAGCTTTGAGGTTTGGGACTTTGAGGGTTTAGCATCGAGCGAACCAAAGAAAAGCTCTAGAGAAATGTGACATGAGATGAAAGCGACATTGGTGGCCGACGATGCGGCGCACGTCAAGTGTGCTTTGGCTCGGACACGACAAAGTTATGCTCTGGGTCAGAATCAGAGTCAGAGTCGGTCAGAGTCAGCCAGAGTCAGAGTGTGCCTCCTCAGCATCGTCGGGGTATGGGAGCATTCAGGGCGGTAGCATGGCGCGGAATAGACATCCTCTTGAAAGGCCCGTTCTCGTTGCGATGGGCTGGCTATGAGTCGTGAGTAAAACGCTTGAGTAGAGAATTTCATCATCCCCAATCCGCTATTGACTACCTAGGTATGTCATAATCCCTCCCCTAGTGTCATCCATTCACGTTTCCGTTCCGTTCCATTCCATTCTGGAGAGGTCATTGCACATCTTGCACATCGGTTTTCTCTCCCGTTTGGTATTACGCGGTCTTCAAGGCCGGGGAAGTCGAGATCGAAGTCAAAGGAAAGGACGGTGGAGGTCCATTTTGTCTCGCTCGTCTCTGATGCCTTGGTTCAAAGGGCACAAAAATAGACAAGTAGTCACACCAATAGGGACTGGGACCAGGGAGGGCGGTGGTGGTAGAGAGCGGTTGCATCCGGACCCAACGTCGATGTCAACAAAGAGGTTGGAGGCCCTAAGTAGGAAGGACATGTATGGTCCAGCCTTTGGGTACACTCTCGTCGTATCAGGCATTCCTAGATGGACGGACAGATGGATGGGGTTGTTGTCTCGACTCTCAAAGATCCAGGCGGTACTTCTCCCTCAATTGAGCAATCCGTGCTGTCTCGCCTGCCCAGTGCCTGTGAGGCCGTTCTCTATTTCCGATCGTGCTGCCCCGGCCCTGACGCCGCCGTCGAGGCTGAATCATCTGGTCCCGGCGCCCTGGCTCGGACGTCCCGGACTTTCTGCAGGTACGCCTGGTGTTCACGGTCTGTCAATCACCACCCACAAAGGGCGAGGTGTGTTAGCAAATACCTCGTACGAGTGTAGAGACGAACAAGGCAGGAGCCAGACGGAGGGATAGAACAAGCCATGAACTTCAGCCTCGCACATGAAAATACTCAAGAAAGAAACGTGAACTTACACCGCTCCCACAAGAAGTAGCTGCTGACGATGGCAAAGGGCAGCGCCACCACAAACGTGGTATACCGCGTGGACGCCTTCCGGTACCGAGGGTCCTTCTTCAGCTGCTCGAGCGGCAGCTCGGTCAGCTTGGGCCCATGCGGCACCTCCGGAGGGATGGTCGGACGTGGTGGCATCGAGGGCCGGGATCCTGGGGTGCCGCCTGTGCCGCTGCCGTGCTGGCGGGCGGCGAGGGCGATGGTGGTGGACATGGGGAGCGCTTTCGTGGACGAGTATGGACGGACTTGGTGCTGGGTGTGAGCGGCGGCAATGCCAGAGGACAGCAAAGAGGGCGGTAGGTGAGTATGGGGATGGGCTTGTTGTTGTTGCTGGGTGAGGGAAGGAATCGTCTGTGTTAGGGATGGATGGACCGTTTCACTTGTCAAGGTGGTGTTGTGGCTCGCGCTCGACGCTGCGCTTGTTGCCATGCTCGGTGGCCCGTCTGTCGAAGGAGGCATTGACGACGTTTCATTAGCTGGCACGGGAATTGCGTCTGGCTCTGAAGAGATGTGTGATGCTAGTGTGGGTGTCTTCCCGTTCTCAGATTCGATGTGCGGCGACGATGGAGGCCGGCTATACGCAGCTTCTTTCTGGCTGATGAGCTGTAGGATATCCTGCTGCAGCTGATCCGATTGCTTCGAGAATGCTTTGGTGTGCCCCAGGATCTTGGAGATGGATGGTTTGGGATATACAATACCAGCTGGCGTCGTAGTTGGCTGGCTCGTTGGTGCCAATCGCGTCTTGCTTTCCAATGCAGACGAAGGGACAGTCGAGGAGGCTTCTGTGCTCTTAGCTACAGCTTTTGCCTTTGTCCTTCCTTCTGACACGGGGGCAGACACATCGTGTTGACTGGCGAGGGACTTTGCTGGAGTCTTGCGAGACTTGGACGCAGAGGGAGCTGCCGCATCTGGCGTCTTGATCTTGATGGCCCCGGCCGCTTTCCTCTTGGCCGCCGCCGACGCTTTGGGCTTCTCTCGCATCACATCCTCCACCTCACCGACAACTTTCGCCCTGCCCGTCCTCGCCGCTGCCGCCAAAGAAGCCCTTGAGGACGACGAAGCCGGCCTGCCTCGCGCCTTCGGGGGCACATCAGTCTCGTCATTTTGCTGCAACAGCACCTCGTCCAGCGGACTTTGTTTCTTCGCAGGGCGGCCCCTTTTCTTCGTCGTCACCTCGGCCATGGTGATTCCTGTTCGGCCTACAGACAGCTGCGTGTCTACCTGGTATTGGAAAAGCCACAGGAATATTCTAGAAAATAATAGGCCATTCCCTGTCTACATATGCAGTACGAGTGATCATTGTCTGGCGGACACACGTTCGAGACGCGACTCCGAGTCCCAAGACGCGCTATGGAGATTGGCCTCTCAGAGTGGGGGGGAGAGGAACGTCGCAAGGTTCCCTCAGGGACCAATACGGAGTGACGAGTCCATAACACCTCGAGGACAAGCTCAAACATCTGGCGTCGCAGAAGAGAAAAACATGGCTCGCTCGATATCTGGACTCTGCTGTAGAAAAAATAACCATATTGGTGCTATACTAGTATCTATTCTAGACAAGGAAACGTTTCTTAGACGCCTGACGGACCACAAGTCGAGGCGACGATGTATCTAAATACCACAATTGGGCTTTTCCATTACCCTGAGAACTCCACAGCAGGTGAATATTGGCCTATGGAATGCAATCCCATACCATATCCCTCCCGAAAAAAGAAACCGAAAGACATGCTTGTATACATGATGTGTTCAAAACCAGCTCCCCTCAGGACTTCCAGTCTGGATGCCATCCGACGCTATGCTCCATTGCCAGTGATAGCCAATATCCGCTCGATGCACGCTCCCGGCCTACCACTGCCCGTGCTCAAGGCTGCTCGTGTCCATGTCCGTTCAATCTTTGACGCTGTTGCGCTCGTCTTCCCCACGTCTCCATTCTTCTGTCTTGTTCGCGCTTCTGGTACTCTTCGAACTCTCTCATCGCCTTTCCAAGAGTTTCAATCCCCGTAGCCTGTCTCATGAATTCGGCATGTTGGCGGATCTCAGTCATGTTGATGATAGTGCCTGGCCCGGGAGATTCTCCTCGCAATCCCCGCGGATCAACTCTAAACCGTGAACTCTTAGGTCGACTTGGTGATGAAGGTCGACGACTACGAGAAGCCTTCGGTGGGGTGCCGTTCTCGACAAAGCTGATATTGTTGGGTGTAGCATTCGGGGTGAGGGGATCTTGAGCAACCTCCGCCACTCCGTTAACTGCAGCAGAAGTCGCAAAACTGGTTTTGCGCCTCTTTTGCCCGCCGCCACCTCGTCGCGCCTGGTGTGTGCCTCGGGGAGGCAAGAGGACTCCAAATCCACTGGGTGAGGGTTGTGATCTGGGGTATCCGTACGCACGGTCAATCACATTCTGTGGCGGACTCATCACCTGCTGGCGGTACTGAGCGGGTTGATGCAGTTGCTGTTCACGGTCTTCCGCTTCCATGATGAGGGCATGAATATCGTCGAACGTCATATTAAAACTCCACGATATCCCGCGAGCAGCGGCCCTCTTGCGGATGTCGGTCAGGGCGTTGTGGTCGTCTATGAGGCGCTCCTCGTACGTCCGTCTCGTTGCGGTGGATGGCGGTATCGAGTACATCGATTTGCGACTCTGGTCGTCATAGAGTGGTACAGAGGGCTCCGAAGGTCGATAGGAGGCACCAGCTACAAACTCGTCCTGGGTCCTCATGCTCCCTGTCGCTGGGGTGCCGTTTGTGGTGTGGCCTGCACTGTAACTGGGAGGGCCAGTATACAACTGGGAAAGTCTCTCGGCATCGGTTGCGCGGAGAATAGTGTTGACAGGCGTAGACAACAGTTCAACCTCAGGAGTTTTGGATGAAGTCAGATCAACTGGGTCGTAGTATGTGCCTTCAGAGACAGGGTTCGGCATCAACGCTCGTGCCAGCTCGGCCGAGTCTGTGCGCTCAGACTGGAGCTCGCGATCTTTGTCACACCGGCACCAGACCTGCGTGTACATACGCCAATCATAGACGCTCCCAGGAATAGTTTCTTCGTTCTCGTCTTCCTGATCTGGCATCTGAAAAGCAATTTCTGCAAAGGCCAGTAGCCGGGACGCTGGGGGAAGACAAGACAGATTGCATGAACCAGGTATCTCCACAGCAGCGAGATCGGGCTTTACTTTGGCGCCTTGATTGGTGACATAGCCGCGTAGGGCTCTCCGTCTGGATCTTCTTTTGGATGAAGGAGGGCTGTTATCTGGCTTTGGCGGAGGGCCAAACACTTCGGCTAGCCGCTTGGACTTCAAGACAACAATCTTGGATTTCTTCGTTGATGGGATTTCCGGTGGTGGGGCCCTCTCTACCTCAGCGGCATCACCTGCGTCACTGTTCTCAGCAGAGATGGAGTATCGGAGCTTTGATGGGACTCTGGCGCCCGAGTAGGAGAGTCGTGCGGATTTGCGGGGAGGAGCGTCTTGTTGGTCGTCGGTGGCGGGACGTTTCTGAGATGTCAAAGACTCTGATAATACCTTTGCAGTGGGTTTCCGTTCCCTCTGAGAGGTTCTACGAGAAGGGGTCTCGACAATAGCGGCCGATGTCTCCTCTCCAGCAACTTGTGCGGGAGGTGGCGTTTTGGGTCTGGCGAAATTTGCTGCCGGCGGAGTTTGCAGCAGCTTGAAATCCGGTGGTGCTTCCTCAGGGGCATCTTTGGGTAAAGGCGAGGTCGTCGAAGGCCCCTTGTTGGACGACGGGCCGAACTTTGGTGGCGAGGGCTCGATTATAATAGTATCCAGCAGTGGCGGCGAGTACCGTTTACTGTCACCTAGAGCTTGGGCTTTGGCAGTAGGCTTGCGCACGCGACTGGAAGCTCGTCGGCTGCGAGCATTGGCGGCTCTGTCTGAATGGCGGCGAACGGTGGAGTTGATGGTGGTGGTGACTCTGGGCCTCATGGTTGCTGATGACGCGGGTTTGATGGTGGCCAGAGTGTCAGCGTAATCATCCGGGTCGCTCACCGACGTGGCACACTCGGCCGACGTGCTGGTGTCGTGGGTCGACTGCGTGGGACTGGGCGTTGCCGAGTCGGTGTAAGAAGCAGCAGCAGACGCCTTGGAGCGAGTGTGGACGGTGTTGAGGCGCATGGAAGGAAGAGCCGGAAGCTGAGGGAGTTTCCTGAGGAACATGGCCGTTTGACCAGCGAAGGCCACGGCGCGGGCGGGGTAAGGGACGCCGGCGTGTCAGGAGCGAGGCCAACGCGCGAGCTTCTCAGCAGGAGGCAGATGGATGGTTGTTGATGGGCGTAGAGCAGAGCAATGTCGAGGGATTGTTGAAGGTCCTTGGTGTAAGTCAACAGCGAGGAGAAGAAGGTGGCTCAAATCTTGTGCGGGTTCCTTCCCAAACAGGCTTAGTGTCTTTTTCTTCCGCTGCTGGTGGAACGTGGAACGACAAGCGACAAGCGCCTCGGACGAGCGACGATGGCCACCGGATGGACGGGGAAGGCAAGAGATGACGAAGAAGACGAGGGAGGATCAGTCAAAGAGGGCAAACGACGATTCTTAGTCAAAGGCCTCAGCATTGCAGGCACAATACCTTCTAATCATACCCAACCACCTCTATTCAAGCAGAGACACCCCTGTCTTTACCCATTCACCCATTGATAGAGACAACCAAGTACATGGACATGGCTATCAATCAATACAATTGTCCTCTTTTATTGACTATGCAGACCCTCCAATCATTATCCTTTGTTATTCTGCATCCCCCGGGAGTAAATTGCCACCCTCTGTAGCAAACCCCAATCAACATATCTGCCTCACCGTGTCCGCTTCTCTCCTCGTCTATACCCAGAGAAATAGGGAAGAGAACTCACAACTCCAATACTACAGGCCCTTTCTGCCCCTTCAGCTCCCGCCTGACATCCTCCAGTCGCCGCCTCTGAGTCCCGTCCTCACCAAAATTCCCTTCGTCCAGCCACTCCTCAAACCCCCGCTTCACACCCCCCTCAAACCAGTCGTCGTCGGTCATGGAAAACCAGCATGTGTCCCGAGACCTCCCCTTGTAGACCATGTGCTTTCGAAATATCCCCTCAAACGTGAACCCGAACCTGATTGCTGCTCGCTTGGAGGGCGTGTTCAGGTTGTCGCATTTCCACTCGTACCGTCGATAATGTAGAGTCTCAAAGACGTATTTCGCCAGCACGTACATTGCCTCCGTGGCGGCCTTTGTGCGCTGCAGCAGCGGGGAGAAGAGGATGTTCCCGGCTTCCACGACACAGTGTCTAGTGTCGATGCGCATGAGGCTTATCCAGCCGACCGGCTTTGCGGTTTTCTGGTCGACGACGGCGAAGAACATGGGGTCCTCGGATTGAGATTTTGCAGTCACGGCTTCTTGAAAGGCCGCGAGTGACTCATAAGGGTTGTCAAATAGGTATGTCCAGAGCCGGTGGTTGTTGTCGCCTTTCACAATGTCGTAAAGTTCGGTGGCGTGGGATGGCATCAATGGTTCGAGTATCACCGTTGTTGCTGTCAGAGTGATACGGGATGGCCGAGGACCGGGAGCACAAGAGACTGGGGGGCCAATCTTCTGGGGCATTTCTACCGCTTCGTGTCATCGCTGTGATTACCTAGACAAGGAGACCATAGGATGAGGATTACCTTTTGACTTGATCGTGTCTTGAACCTCTGAGCTCATTTTGCTTGATCTGAAGACCACCACCAGAGTGTCGAGTGAGTTTCCTCGGTAGGTTTCTTCTGCAAGACTTCGGGTTACTCACCACCAGTCGAAAAGATAAGGAGGCTCTCTGCACGGTTGGAAGGATAACTTCACCCACGGTAGGACCTGAAGCAAACTGCGACGATAAAAAATCCCTAAATACTCTCCAGGAAAGATTATCTGCTTTCCCACTTCAAATTGGCGGGAAAGATTGGAAAGGGCGCACTGCTAACAATCTCAACAGAGTGGAAGGTAGGGTTTGCCCTCCCTAGCTACACGGTTTGTAGGGAGCAGACAGAGCCTTTGGGTGGGACTTGGATTAGGCGATTAGGGAGTTGCGAGGCCCGATCCGTCGCCACGGAATCAGCCAGACATAGCGAGTGGTTGGCGTTGTTAGGCTAATCACTGCATTTGTTTGATTTTGGTCAAGTCTTGGGCAGTAGAGAATTGATAGTGCTAAACACACTTCCTATATTACTGTCACCTATATAGTATGTATATATATATAATCCCCGAACGATTGTCCTTCACCACTCTTATGCAGACTAATCTTCCGCTGCTTTGCTCTTGCGCTAGCCACTATTCAGTCGAATCGCTCCCAGAGATCGGTTCGACTGGCGCCTGAAGTTCTAGCCAGAACATACAAAGGGAGGGACACATGGCGGCAACGAGCAAAGACCGAAGAGACAGCCAAAACCGGTGGGAGAATCATAGAAATGGGGCGACTGAAGGGTAGAGAGTCCTGAGATGCAAAGATACCGCGCCTTGCAGGGCTCGTGCTGCATTCTACGGTTGTCGGATGCCAGCCAATGGTTCGCCTCAAAAGCAGCGTCGGGAGATGCACTCTTCTGGGCTGGCTTCCGCCCGCCCGCCTTGCCCCTAGAGTGATCAAGAGTTGCTGCCTTTACTGCCACCTGCCGACCGCCTACCACTTACGCCCTGGGCGGCCAATTCTGCCTTGCGCGCTCACGCGTGCGCCGCAGGATAAACACAGGAGAAACACCTCCTCGCTCCTTTCACCAGAGCCCACGATCCCAAGAAAGATGGCCCAGCGTCGCCGCCCTTGCGCCCCCTGGCGCTCCAGCTTCGGCTGAGTGTTCAACAAAGCTGCCGTTCGCGCGATCATCGCTCAAACCGACGCAAGCCCGACTGTCCCCTTCCCACAGATTGCTGCTGCCGACAAGCCTTCCACCGTCTCTGCTCGCTCCCTTCATATCTTTTCGCGCCGGACCTCGTGATGCCCTGGCCTCTGTACTCGTGAGTGTTGGACGTACGTCCTGTATGGCCAATTTCAGCCAGTGGAATGTTTCCAATCCCTGATACAGGTTCTGCTTCGCCGCTCGCCCAGCTAAAGCATCATGGCCCCAAAGTCTGGCACAGCAACGTTTTCGTATCCCTCTGCGATCGATGACAAGTCAATACGGCTTCTTCGCTTTGTCCATCGGCCGAGAGTTCTCGCCGCCTTCGCATCTAAACGCCCTGAGCTGCTTATCGAGACCTGTCCACTTGACAACCTGCCACCGTACCGGGCGTTGTCTTACACATGGGGCCCTCCCGAAAATGCGACGCTTGAATACAAAGAGGCCGATAAATGCCCAATCCTATTGAACGGACAAGAGTTTCTGGTTTTTCCGAATCTGATGGACGCGCTGAAAAGATTGAGGCGCACCTGGAACTTCAAGAGTGGTCCGCAACATCTGTGGATAGACGCGATATGTATCAACCAGGTCGACAAGATTGAAAAGTCCTTCCAGGTAGGAAGATTGGATAAAGTGTACCGTCGCGCCTCCAACACGGTCGTCTGGCTGGGAGAGATAACCACGCAGCCCGCGAAGCTAATGATATTGCTTAAAAACATTCCACGAATTCAGGCCCAGCACAGCGCAAAATACGGCATGCCGACCGCCGACTTTCTGAAATCTATCGGCTTGCCAAATCTTGACGACGCCGAGAGCTGGCGACCACTGGTTGACTTCTTTCGTCGGACGTGGTTCACCCGACTCTGGATCATTCAAGAGGTCGCCCTGTCCGCCCGGATCCAGGTCTTCTGGGGCGAGCATTGCATGCCATGGGAGGAGTTGGGTTCGTTGATATCCCACATGATCTCGCAAAGCAACCTTGCGGCACTTGTCTTTCTTCGATCAGTTGATAGTCACCGTAGAAGTGACGAAAGGTCGGTGGAGCCAATCAGTGCAGCTGGTGCCCTCAATGGCGTTAGAGAGTCGTATCTGCATTGGGGAAATCTGGACAACACGAACTACACCGTATTGGCGGGAAGAGTCAAAGGACAATGTGGTTGTGCTACCGTCACTCCAGCGACGCTACTGATGTTTTTGTGCCTGGCCCATCGCAACGCTGGCGCCCAAGACCCGCGGGACAAGGTTTTTGGCTTTCTCGGAATCGTCAATGAGATTGCCAGAAAGGAAGGTCTCGGACGTTGTCACATCCAACCAAATTACACCACCACCACACCCGAGGAGCTCTACATCCAAGTAGCCAAAGACGTCCTCGAGGAAACAGGCAGCGCGGCCATATTTGCTACTTTCCAAGATCCGCCTGGGCGTCGGAAGGGTTCTATGCCGTCCTGGGTGCCGGATTTGCGCATCCAACTCGGTGTGCCAAGGGTTATGCGTCTTATAGCAATGGGAACCTTCAAAGCGGGAGGGAAAGTATCCCCCGTTGCTCCTAGTGTCCGCATCAATGGCAACTGCGTTCTTCTGCGCGGCCACCAAGTCAGCCAGATCCGTTCCCTCGTTGCTCTCGCCCCAGAGTTTCTGGACGCGAGCTTAGATCCGTGGGTGGGACGACTAGCCCAGCTATGTAGGTCTGGGCGGGTCGCAAAATCCAGCGCTGTTGAAGACTTCTGGCGGACCCTGCTGATGAATACTGTCAAAGCCCTTTACCCGGCAAAATGGCCCTATAAAAGGATTGGCGACGATTGGCTCTGTGCCAAGGCTGGCGACCATTTCCGCTGCTACGTCGCCTTTATGGTCTATCGCGGCTGGAGGGAGACAGTCCCAGAGGAGGCAGATATCTCAGGAATGGACGTATATCTTCGCTCCCTGACCGACTACCATACCCTGGCAGGAGGAGGGACTGGTCATATGCCCGACCTACGAACCTTCAACTCTTTCATACAGAGCATGGTTTGCCGCCCCGATTTTGCTGGGTCCGGCTCGGCCACAGCGGTTGAAGGTCACAGGCTGACTGTGAAGAGGTATTTCGAGTTCATCCACGAGGTGCAGGCGACCATGGCAGATCGCTCGGTTGTGGTGTCTACGCGGGGACAATTTGCAAATGTGCCAGCTTGGTCACAGACAGGCGACCACATTGTTATCGTCCAAGGCTGTCCTTGCCCTCTGATCCTTCGTCCAAGCAAAGATGATCCCTCCAGCTTTACCCTCGTCGGACATGCTTATGTCCATGGAATTATGCATGGCGAGGCGATCAATGCCACCACTCGATGGGAGGAATACTGTTTAGTCTAGGCAGTTGCGTTTAACACATCTGATTTCCAGGACGTCCTGCTGAAGATTGCCATGAGACGTATTCCCTGCGTCACATGCAATGTACTGAGAATGGGCGAAGTACAAAGCAAGCTGCTGGCATAGGTTCAAGGGTTAATTACGACGGTCGCCATCACGAATGGACAAGGCTGGACGACGCCATGTGACGTGGTCGCGTCCATCCAGTTCAAACGCAGGCAAGTCTCAGCTAAGAGAGAAAGTCGGTCACAATCCAAGACCTACATCACCAATGGTTCTCGCAACACCTCTACAAGCCATTGTACAACCCAGGTACAAGAGATACCATGGGAGATAGGGGGAGGCTACATTAAGCCAGCTCATCGAAAAGCACGGGCATTACGAACATCCCTTCTCGCAAAGAGCCATCGACGATGCTCTAGAGCTTGCAACATGGGAGCGGCGAGAGCAAGGACAAGAATCAACGACCAATTTCCTGCTGTAGAAGGCCATCCTGCCCAGAGCTCAAGTTTCGTCTTTCTGCTTCCAAAGACAACCCATGAGGATCTATTCGAACGGAAGAATTCCAGATTGCCGGTCAATGTTCAGTCAAAGGCGGCTCGGTTTGACCGAGTTGCATGTGAGCTCAGAGCAACTTTGCTCCTACTGGTTTTGGCAAATCCGGACGGATCTTAATCGGCGCAGTCGGGCAGCCAGGCACGTGGAAATCTAGCAAGGTGCTCGGGTCTGTCTGATATTGCTTCAGGCCACAGGAATCGTACCTTCGAGAGTGACGGCATCTGGTATTCCCGTCACCCCCCATTAGTGTTCGTCATTTCCATCGTGTTGTCGTCATTGATCAGGTGGATCGAACACTCTGGAGCTGTGAAACTCCTCACAGCAGCCAATTGTGAAGTGGTTGTTTCTTTTGTCCTATGACGTTCATGATATCTTGTGCCAGATAGCCACTGAGAAACGCGACCACGGGTGTTGTATCTCTGATCCAATCGAAGACGGAGTAACGCATGTATGTACTCAGGGTACGTGAAGAAAACAAATCATCTACAAATCCCACAGAATTTGTATGGGGATGGCGGTTCCTCAAGTCTCTCGCAGAGCGGGAATGGCAAACTTGAAATGTGGGTGCTGGAGATTGTAGTCCCCTACTCTGGTATTTTTCGTCCATTTTACAATTTTATGGCCTTTTAGTATACATTCCTCAAACACTATCACGACCAGAATACCATTACCAAATCAAAAATATAGCCTTTTTGCGCGCCAATTGCAAAGAAACTTCGACACCCTCTGGAATAGATTTATTCGGTAGCTTCGTTGGGTGGGTAGAACGAATGGCCTGTCAATGCTATCATTCTTTCCTCGATGGCGAGCCAGATGCTAGGCCTTGATTGCAGAGTTGCAATGACCGCGTATAATTGATGCTATAATGCTCTAGCCTTTCCGCTACGAGCAACTACGTGGACTTACGATCACTTCAGGGTTGAAGATCGGCTCAACCGACTACACCGACTACACCGGGCGAAAAGGTAGAGCAGCATCAGCCTCACTACCTCCAACACGTTTTTGGTGCCGCGGCCAGTGCATCTGGAGGGCCACAGAGCCTTGCAACGGTCGATTATCGAGATCTGCCAAAATCAGTGGAATACAACCGCCGTCGCCGTCTGGCCGCCCCAATCTAAATCTGTGCTGTTGATAACGGTGCGGAGCTCACCGGTATATGTATCAAGCATTTTTGCATTGAGCATCACCGGTGTAGGTGGATGCATTGCTGTTGTTCACGGTGGGTAGCTCACCGCAGTCCCCAGCACCCACAACGACGAGGGCGCGGCGCGGCGCTGGGGACTGACTAACGTGGACTATCTGACAAGATTTGCTGGTTTTTGTGACGGTGGAGAAGCTCACCGTATGGTTTAAAACACGCACCAAATCTTCAAGGCACGCAACGTCGTTTGCTGAAAAAGGCACAGAATCGTGGGTGGACGGGTTGGACCTCTGGTACTAATGGGCCGGAATGGCCACCGTCGGTTTTACCGGGGAAGATAGATTCCAACAAAGGAGGGAGTGCTGTTTTTGGGATGGGGCTGAAGCATCCCCAGTAAGGCGTTGTATGTTTGCAGCGTTGAAGGTGACAAGAGTCGGTTGTAGGACTCCCTGATTCCGGTTCAGTGTTTCGCTGTTGAAGCATCTTGTCGCTCCCCCACTGTCCCTTGTAAAGTGTGACTGTCCGGTTGAAATGGTTGCACGACGAAACCGCGCGCCCGTCGGGGGTGGAAATTTTGGATCAGGACGACAGAACACCGAAGAATCAGGGAGTAAGACCAGGCATCTCAAGGCTTCGGTTCTTCTTTCTTGAGGCCAGTGATTGTCTCCCTGTGTTCCTTGGAGAGCTTGGTCTTCACAACGAAGAAACTCGCAAGAACCCCCAGAGCGCCTAGACACGTGAACATGATGAACATGTTTCTTATGCTCCAGGCGAACGCTTCCTTGACGGCAAGTTCTTGGGCGGGCGGAAGCGACTTTCCCACCATGACGTTGGCGCCGGCGTTTCTGCCCGACAGCTCTTCCACGATCGAAGGCGGCAAACCCATTTGTTGCAATGTCGAGCGTCGAAGATCCATACTCTGCTGAAATACAATGCCGCCTAGAATGACACCCAGCGAGAGCGCCAGGCTTCTAATGAAGGCTTGTGTCGACGTCGCAGTGCCGACGTTGTCTTGGTGGACGCCTTGTTGGATTGCGATGAGAGGAGGCTCAAACAGCAGGCCCGAACCCACACCCTCGACAATTTCAAACCCAATGATGGTGCCGGTTGAGGTATGTGCGTCCATCAAGATAAAGAGACCGGTACCCAGAGTCATCAGGATAGTTCCAACCCACATGGACGGCCTGTACTGGCCTGTACGATGTATGATCAGGCCATTGATGACTCCGGTGCCTGCCGTGGCGACAATCAGTGGCACCAAGAGAACGCCCGACCGAAGAGGCGAGGCTTCTTTGACGCTTTGGAAATATAGGGGTAAGTAATATTCGGCAGCAATGAAGACCTAGATCGAGTCTCAGCAGAGGGTTGGACGTATCAGCGGGACATACTTACCATCCCATGAGAGAACGTTACCAGCATCGTGGCAATGTTCCTCGTGCCGAAAAGGGACAGCGGAATCACCGGGTACTTTGCCAGTTTCTTTTCGCTGTAGATAAAGACAAGGACCATCAATGCGCCGAAGACGATGAGGCAGATGACTTTGGCTGAACCCCATGGATACACAGATCCACCCAGGTCAAGCCCCAGCAGCAGCATCACCGTTACACCCAGAATCGATACGCAGCCAAACCAGTCGATAGCCCTGACGCCATCCAGCACCGGCGTTCGAGGGTTGTGGACGTTGAGAAAGGGCAGCAGAAGCATAAAAGCGGTACCAGCAATGGGCAAGTTGCAGTAGAAGCACCACCGCCAGCTGACTTTCTGGGCAAAGGCACCGCCCAAGAGAGGGCCTACAGCTCCGCTTAGAGCCCAGATCCCTTCACACAGACCGAGCCACAAGCTCCTCTCGCGGACGCTGAAGAGATCGGAAATCCCGACGTTGACCATGCAGATAAGACCACCCCCAGCTGCGCCCTGGATACTGCGGCCCGCAATAAGCATCTGCATGTCCACGGCCACCGCACACACCACAGAACTGGCGAAGAAGACCACCACGGCGATGAGGAAGATGGGCTTGCGGCCCCAGATATCGGATAGTTTGACCCAGATTGGTGCTGCTGCAGCGTTGGCGATGAGATAGGCACCGCCAATCCAGATGTATCCAGCTGCTGAGTGCAGCTCGGCGGTGATTTTGGGAACGGCAGTGGCGACAATGGTTGCGTCGAGGGCCGCCACAAACAGCGAGAGGTAGAGAGCGATCAGAATCATGGTGATGCGAAATTTGCTGCGAGGCTGCACCTGCTCAGCCGGCTCGGGCAGCTCAGAGAGAGGTTCGATAGGTACATGGTCGGTTGACAGAGTTTGCATTCGCTGGGGCGGACCGATGACATCGACCTGTTGAGCTCCTTTGGTGTCCATCGGAGGTATTGAATCCCCAGCGGGATGTTGTGTTTACTTGGTTCCCAGGAATATAGCCACAACGGAGAAAGGATAACGTCAGAAGCCGAAAGGTCGAGAGGGCTATAGAAGGGAGGCAGAAGAGTAGAGAGAGAGAAAAAGTAGGGGGACAATGCGAGTTTATAGAGCCTAAAGGGACAAGAGCATAGGAGGGGTTCCGGCTTCTATAAGCACCCTAGGTGCCTAGGGAGCCCTGCTAGGGTCGATCCAGCCAAGTCGGTCAAAGGGCGGTGGGCGTCCAAGTCTAGGAATTACGGAATACCAGGTCGAAAGTCTGGATGGAGCGGATCCTAGGATCCTATGAGTCGAGCCGAGTCCGCAGGCATTGTACGAGTACGAGTTGGCCTTTCGTAATCTGAAAACCCTTTTGTGTGCTTGAAGACAAATAAAATCAGGTCATAGATCGTCCCGTTGTGGAGCCCTAGCGTTGCCGCTGCTTCGCTCATCTCCAAGACGTTGTAATGGTGACCCATAGGAGAGAAGGGTTTCTCTGTATATGTATGTACTGGGTGAAACGAATCGCCATATCCATCGACATAGGATCAGGCGTCAGAGAGCCCAGCTTCAATCACTCCATCTGGGAGCTCCGTCATGTGAGAATAGGTAGATTGATCCTACAAATTCTGCGTAGCATAGAGAAATTCTTGACGGCTCCGGAGACAAACGAAAACAAGATCTCAAGACGATGAACACAGCCTAGAGAACGGGGAGGTAGGTGTACATTAGGACAAATCTCAAACGAAGGAAGTATGAGTGTCTCTGCCAGGGCGTGCAACTGTTATGATTGGGAAGAGTATTTTGGAAAGATACTCTCACAAACCTCGTCGCTTGATGCCTGCGGCCTTGAATCTGCTGACTTTGCGCCCGTTCTCCTCCTCCAAAGGGGTTATCTCACCGTCTTCACTATTGCCTAGAAACCCGCCATCTTGGGAGAGTATGCGTTTCATCCTATGTTGTTGGTATTCCACCGCGATCTCCCGCTGGTGATCCTCCTCCGAAAACTCATCCGGACCGGGAGCTTTTGGAGCTTTTGCAGACGGCCGCTCCACGAGCTGCGGAGAGACGATTGTGGACGGAGGGTGAGGAGAAGAGTCTTTGTCCTTGACTCTTTCTGCTGGAAATGTCATTGGGGGAGCGAACTTGGGCGTCAGTGGTAGAGATTCGCGCGCGGCTTTGAACCTTGACTCTTTGGCGGCCTTTGGGGCCGGAGCTGCCGGGACAACAGTAGGCTCTTCCTCGTCTTGGTCGGTCACTCGCTCGACGACTGAATCTTTGATGGGTCGCAACTTTGAATCTTGAGCGTCTTCGAGGGCCGGTCTGTTAAGTTGAGGATTTGCGCTAGCAGAGGGCTTTTCGGGAGCAATATCCAATTCTGTAGAGAAAGCCACTTTCTTCTTGCTGGGCTTCTCCTTGATTGATTTATCGACTTCCGCAGACTTGCTCAAAGCGGTCTTCAACCCCCCCTTCTTCGATTTATCGTGTCTGGCGATAGCTGCCTTCCGGGCTGCTTCGGCCGCTGGCGGTCGTCCGTCATGCCTGAGTTGCTCAATTGTGGCTTCAATTTCTGGCAGAGGTCCAACATTCTTCAGCCCGAGCTTCTCCTGCAACTCCTCCATCTTCTTCTGATAACCGCGTGGCAAAGACAGAGCATGTTTGCTCTTACCAGATTCATCTTCTGACTCGTCCTCTTCCAGGTCCTCCTCCAGTTCCATCTCAGAGTCAAACTCCAGGCCATCTTCATCCTCGTCGTAAGAAAGATCGGATGCATTCTCTTCCAGCTCGAGCTCGGCGACAATAGCTCCGACTTCGTCCAAACCCCGTGAGTATTCAAGCATTTCTCGGCGTAGCTCAGCCTCAGCTTCCGTGTCATTCGGATTTGTCCGGAAGACCCCTGTCAAGGACTTCACTTCTTGATCTGTAGCGATTCCTGGTGTATTGCTATGAGCGCTCCTCTCCTCAGCCTCATCTTCCGTTCTATGCGACGCCGGCGACTTTCGATCCACGTGTTTTGCTGGGGGCTCGGTTTTCGTGATTGTGCCGTTCATCTCCTCCAGATCATGGACGCCAGCCCTCTTCAATACGTCTATTAATTGAGGAGCGTCGGCGCCTGGAGTCTCCACTTTGCTGGATATGACCTGTCCAGCGTCATCGAGCTCCTCAGTAATTTCGGCTAGAGGTAGGCCAGCCTCGTCTCGATGATCAGGCTCCTCTGCAAGGAGTAGAGCATTCCGCTTCTTTTCTGCGTCCGAGAGCTGCTTCCTTATTGTCTCAATATTTCGAATGACATAGTCCACACGTTTCGACAGCAAATCCACAAGCTGAGAAGGTTGGCGAGGCCGGGAATGCTTGTCCCTCAGTAATTCCTGCAACTCGTTTTCATCGATGAGGTCTGGCTTGAAGTCTCTTGCTGCTCTAAGGCAGTCATCGGCGGAGGCATCTTCAGGAATGCCTAGGTATTCTTCTTTAAGCCCCTCGTAGTCGATCTCAAGCGTCTGCCAGTGTCGCAGTGATTTGCGGAGTTTCGCTATGTTATTCTCGAGCTCGACCCGCTGCAACTCAACGCGGGCAAGCGCGGAGTCATCCATGAGATATTCAGGCCGACATACGCTGTAGAGGGCTTTCGAAAGGAGAAGGAAGAGTGGAAGGGGTGGTGATGTGTGTTTGAGTGGAAAAGTAATGGCAAGAAAGCCTTGCCGCCTGACACCTTCGAAACGCCACCGGGAGAAAATTATTTGTCATTACAAACTGATGCCTGTGGCGTTTAATCAATTCACTTCTCCCTCCCACTTCACCTCCTCTCTTAATCTCTCTCCCTCTCTCGCGCTCCTACGGTCTGTCCTCTCGAGCTGGCATCTTTGTATATTCGAGATGATACGGCTCGCAGTGGCGACGGAGACCTGGTATTATCGACATCGAAACGATTTCTGACCCAGGACGGGCTGACGACAATCGCCTTTGATGAAGGGAAATCATCATGGACGACGATGAACTAATCCGTAAGAACCCCAGCTTACAGAAGATGGAGAAAGCATGCTGACATGAATCACTCAGCTCCAAACAAGTGCCCGGTCTGTGGCAGCGATCCTCGGACACATCCAGGACTTCGCTTCAAGATCAACACCAAATGCTATCACCGGATCTGCGAGGGCTGTGTGGATCGGAACTTCTCAAGCGGCAAAGCCGAATGTCCTGTTGGGGGGTGTCACGTCAGTCTCTGGAAACGAGAATGGCGCACTCAGACATTTGAAGATCTCAAGATCGAACGCGAGGTGGAGATTCGGAAAAAGGTGACCAAAATGTATGTTCCCGGACCTCTTTTCTCACAATATGCGCTGACATAAGTAGTCTCGATCGACAGGAGGAAGAATTTGAGTCGAAACGTTATTACGATGACTTTTTGGAGCTCCGAGAAGAAATGATCATGAATTTGGTCCTTCGAATGGATGTGGCAGCCACAAACCGCAGGTTGAAGGATTACGCAATCGCAAACGGTCTCAAAGTGGATGCGAACGAAACCACCGAGGCGGGCTCCAAACCCTTGAAGAAGAAGGATGTTGATCCAACTGTTGCGGACCCCAGCGGTTTGATCAAGGGCCTCAAGAAAAAGATCATGCCGGTGGTGGTGGCTCCATACGACCCTTTTATGGGAATGCCACGAAACAGAGACTATTACGAAGTCAAAGACAGCTACGTGGCTCGTGCAAGGGGGAAGCCAGCGGAAGCCATGGTTGCTGCAGGTTATGACTTTGGACAATACATGGACGAGTGCCTTCTGCGGGCATTCGCAGGACTGGGAGTCTTTATTCAGGACGAAATGGCGGCAAAAGATAACGCAGCCGTGCCTGTGCCAGGCACCGGAGAGGTCAAGGGCGAAGATGATGTGTTTTAAATGGTCGGAGTGTGACTGCGGGAACGACATAAAGGGCTACACAGGCACGGCATTCTGAGAGAGGAGTCTCAGCGATCATCTAAAACATTTGGAATCATTGACAGTTTCACTCGAATAGACTCGATTGTCCCTTTCAATGCTGTTATTTACCAGTTTGTTACTCGACATATCTCGAGTCTCTCTCGCCCCCTACTGGTCTGGACACTCTGCCAAGACGCTAGTCCCAAACAGTCGATTTTCCGAACTGCGTCGCTAGCCCTCCAACACCAGTGGAAATCTTGGCGCTGGCGGTTGTGTGGCAGAAGCCACCATCTGGCACTCTGCGGGCACTCTGCAACCGCAATATCTGCAGCCCTAGTTGATTTGGGACAACCTTTGTCGAGGAATATATTTCTTCGCCTGTTCTACCTCTCCTCTGACCTTCTATTCTCTTCAAATCAGACCCTGGTCAAACACCGCCGCCAATGCCCGCGCCCACAAACACCCTTCTGATCGAAGGGACGTTCACCGAACTTGCAGAGGAACTCGCCCAGTATATCGATACACTCGCCAAAGCAGAAGAGGGCGCCGGAGTCCGAGCAGAGATTGAGCAACGACTCAGCACTATCAGAGAGTCCGAGCAATCACAAGAGCCGGTCGACGAGGCCGCAGTCCTGAACCAGAAAAATGAAGTCTTGAAAAAGATTGTCACCAAAGCCTCAGTCCTCAACAGCGCCCCCGAGAGAGGTATGAACACCTGCGGAGGCTGTCTCTATGGAGGTTAAATGCTGACACTTACTACCCAGAATTCTCCGCTGCGTATAACCTTCTCATCAGCCTTTCTTCTCAATCCTCCATCTCCGACGGACTGTTTTCTAGAATATGCACGTACCTGTCTGAGCAACCCGTTACCTCCTCCCCCACCTACGGCAGCAGCCTTGCCCTACAAACCCTCACCACGATATTCAACATCCTGCCTCCCACGAGTGAATCCCGCTACCATGTCTTCATCGCCATCCTCAAAGTCATGCGCCAGATGACTTCCCCGCAAGCCTTCGAAGCGCTCATCCCTCAACTCGAGACGAACATCCCGAACTGGCTGTCCGCATGGGAACTCGATGACGAAGACGCCCGCAACTTATACGTCGCGGTCGCGGACGTCGCTTCCTCAACCGGAAATGAAGACCTGCATTACACATACCTCCTGTCAGCCCTGCAGACAATCCCTCCCGAATCAGCGTCCGAGGCAGAGAGCGCAGAACTCGCACGTCGTGCTCTGCGGGTCGCATTGACAAACCCCACAATCACGGACTTTACGCCCTTGACTACGAGTGACGCCGTCGTCGCCTTACGGCGCTCAGATGGCAACCTCTTTGACCTCTTGGAGATCTTCTCCTCAGACGACTATTCGTCATATGCTGACTTCCTTGAGACGAACAACCTGGCAGACTTGGGCATTCCTGATTCGGCAGCGGAGACGCTGAGCCACAAGATCCGCTTACTTACACTGGCTACTATTGCTGCATCCTCAACAACTCGCTCCGTTCCTTACAGCACCATTGCCTCTGCGTTACAGATCCCCTCTGAAGACGTTGAGATGTGGGTCATCGACACCATCCGGGCCGGTCTCGTCGAGGGCAAACTATCCCAACTGAAGCAGGAATTTTTGGTCCAGAGAGCCACCTACCGCGTGTTCGGGGAGAAGCAGTGGGCCGAGATCCAAGGGCGCTTGATGGTCTGGCGACGGAGTCTGGAGAGTGTGTTGACCGTTGTCAGGGGCGAGAGGGAGAAGTTCTTGAGAGAAGGGCCGACGCCCAATGGCGATGCAGGTGCCAATGGCTATGGAGGCGACGGAGAGGGTCAGAGGACCGGAGGGGAACGCCAGCAGCAGAGAAGGCAAGGCGGTGGTGGGGGTGGCCGTGGACCGCGCCGCGATAGGGGAGATCAGCAGCAGCAAGGACCTCGGGAGATTGAGGTGGGCGGAGGGGATTAGGAGTCTTCTCACCGTCCGGCGCGGTCGTCCGGCAGAGTCGATGCCTTCCTGGACGCGCTGTTGCAGCGCCTCGAGGACCAGAGAGCCATGTGAGGCTCGCGAATTGGGATGACGGATCATGCAACGAAAACCTACCTCAGGGGGGAGCCTACTTTGAGGCGTCACCGAAGACACTTGATGTACTTGATATGCGCAACGCATAAAATAGCTTTGAATTAGAACATTGCTCTGACTTTCCGAGCATTCTTTAAATCTGCTATCTTCATTGCTATTGCTGTCTCCAGATATACCTTGGCGCGACAACGATCAGCGTTGGGTCCGTCGTGCCGTCCTCAGTCCGCGAACACTGGCCGAAGGACCCCTCCAGAATGGATGGAACTTTCCGCACGGACATTCCCATTTCCTCCCCAGACGTTGTGTATCACATCGTATCAAGCAGAACGTAAGTTGAGCACCATAAACCCCCCAGTAGTGACATGCGGCTCCGATGGCCATCTCTGATTGAGCCCACTACCAAATATCAAGTACCAAATAGATAGAAGACGAATCTCTTTATACAAAATTTGTGGTGATAGGGACAGCTCCATTTTTTCATGTCTGCATGCTCTGTGGCGCTTGTCGCGGGCTGCTCTGTTGCCCGGGTCCATTGCCATTGACGTTGCTCTGGCTGGAGCTTCGCTGGTCTCTCGGGGTAGCGCTGCGACTCATTTGGCCCTGGTTTCCATGTTGGCTCACGGGCCGAGCCATATTCATGACCGGGGAGTTTGCCATTCCATTGGGCATGCCGGCCATTTGCTGCATCTGCATCGCTTGCAGGTTTCGAGCCGCATGTTGCTGAGCTTGTTGCATTCTGATCCGCTGGTTATACTGTTGCAACTGCTCATTGGTCATCATATTTGGATGTCCTAGTTGTGCGGCAGCCGCTGCAGCGGCCGCGACGGAGGCATTATTGCCAGCATTCACAGCACCAAGAGCCGCATTCAACGCTGCCTGGTGAGGCTGAGGACGTTTGTGGTTCTGTCCCGCAGCGGCCGCCGTTGCTTGGTGTTGATATGTTTGGAGCTGCTGCGATGCAAGCCGTTGTACCTCCTCATCTGACAAGTTCGGATGATGCTCACGAATTTTGTTAGCAATTTGAGTCAGAACAGGAACATGTCCACTGGATAGAGCCTGGCCGGAGTTGGCGGTATTGGGGCGTGGAGAGCTTCCATTCATGTGGCCAGAGGGAGACGCACTCCCATTCGCGGTAGCAGCGGCCATTGCAGCTCTGTATGCGGCAGTATTCATGCCTTGACCATTGGCGAGAGCGGCATGGGGGTTGTTCGGAGAAGAATGAGGACCATTCTGAGCCTGAGCTTGAGCTTGTCGCAAGAGCTGTTCTTGTTGCGCTCTGGTTGCTTCCTGAAGCATTCGCATCTGCTGAGGAGAAGTTACCCCACCCCGGGCGGCGAGTTGCGCTTGCATCTGAGCTTGCATTTGTGGCGTAATTTTGGGTGCCATCATACCGGGTGGTAGCTGCATATTCCCTTGCATTGCGGCCATCATGGCCGGATGACGAGGGTGGCCATTGGGTATTTGGATAGCAGCATTGGGCATTCCAGGTACGCCACCGGTGGATGGAGCACGCATTCCCGGTCCAACAGCAGGCATACCATTTGGCAGTCCGTTGGGTTGACCATTTTGACCACGTTGTTGCTGTGCGGTAGCACGCTGATGTGCAATAAGTTGCTGTCGATATATCTCTTGGCGTTCCGCGAGCTTCTGCTCCCGCTCCTGCTTGAGCTGCGAGAACTCTGCTGGGGTCTTATAAGAGGGTTTGGGGACGTTTGCATCGTTGACTTTCCGCATGGCGGCGAGATCGGCTTGATGTTGTTGCTTCTGAAGAGCTGTCTCTCGCTTCTTGGCTAGTTTTCGCATAGCATCAAGCATAGCAAGATGTCGTTGGGTCCTCTTGCGTTCAACTCTAACGGGCTGTGTCGTCCTCTTGCGTGTCGAGATCTGAACGTTGGCGCCGGCTCTTCTTTGGGCCTCCTCAATCTGAGCAGCCACATGTCTTCCTGCAGCCTCAATTCTACCCGAGTACGTCTTGAAGTAAGCCGTCTTTGACATATCCGCGGGTAGGCCCTCCAATCCAATCCATCTTTCGAAGCATTCCCACGGTGTCCGTCTATCGGCGCCCGACGTATACAAGCTTGGGGGCGTAAGGCAGCTGGAAATGAGAGACCAGTTGTAGGAATAATCCTTGACAAGCTTCTTAAGTTCATCGTCTTCTGAAGGTGTCCATTGCGATGACGACCGCGTCTCGAAGAAGGCTTGTGTTGGCATTGGATGCTCTGACGGTGGACGGAAAGAATGTCCAGGATGAATCCTGTCCCGGATGGCTTTGTTCTCGGGCATGAACAACGCAACGTTGGTCTCCTCTGGTGGAAGCGGCTCCGACTTCTTTTTCGGCGAAGGGTCAGGCTCATAATCGTATCGACTTCGTTTCATTGGAGGCTTGTACTCCTTGACTGATAGCTTCTCAGTGGCCCACCTTGAAACAGGCACAATATCTGTCTTCCATTTCGCATCGAGCCGTTGTCCCAAGTTGGATGTAGAACTATCTAGCTCGACAATGGAAGGCTCGTAGAGGGGTAACTCATTCAAAAGCTTGTCCAGAGCAGGGGTTTTGTCGACGGCGAAATTGAAGTCAGAGGCGCCCAGCGAGAATATCGTAGCCGGAGCACTGGACATGTGAACCTCGCGAGGGTCTGCGATATCATCACTCGCGGAATCATCCTCATTGGAAGGCACCAAATCGGGAGTAGGGTGAGAAGAAAGAGTCGGTCCAGGTCCGTCTTCCATAGGCACGTCTTGAGATTCGTCTGGTTCAGGGAGAAGTCTTGGTGGTCGAACACGAACCTGTAGACGTTTTCGGTCTTCCGTAGAGCCTGCGACCCACTCCGCACAGCATTCTGCAAGTCCTTTTGCGGCTGCTAGCTTCCACTTTCGCTCTTCCCTGAAGTCGGTACGCATCCACTTCATATGATCAAGCAAGAAATCCCAATGAGAGGTTGGTCTTGATGCTTCATCGGCACGCTTGTATTGTCTCAGAGGCCAGCGTTGCTTCTCCTGCAGCTGGTAGAGTCGCTTCAATATCCTGCACTCAGCCGATAGCTCATACTCGATGAGGTGATCCGAAGTTGAAAGTGTCTTGTGGGCATTTTGAATGAGGTACGACATCGTGGTTTGCCGTGACATGGAATGGGCTTTATTCTCAAACAAGGTGTAGAGGTAATCTCTCTCACCAGGCCCTGTTCGGTGGGCATCACCGCCACCAATGCGGGTCAGCTCGAGGTTCTCCTCGTCGACCGTAGATTTCTGCGGTTTGGCAAAGACCACGGTCGATAGCCTACTGCGTTCCTTGTCGCGGCGGTCGCGGTCGGTCGCCCGGCCCTGAGGAGTAGTGCCACCGAAGGCATCGCGGTTGGTCGCTGAAGATGGCGATTCAGCTGGTGGGGTTGAGGTCTTTGGCGTCTCACCAAGAATTTCCGATACAGACTTCTTCTGCAAAACACCAGAGGAGATCCTAGTGGCACGTTTCGCGGGCTCCTGGGATGATGGCGTCGTCGGCACATTCTTCTTTGGAGTCGTACCAGTTATTGGGGCCGGACTTTCGACAAATCCTGCCCCCAGTCGTGCTTTGAAATATGAGTCGGTCTCTCCCTGTGTGTCTATCCGCATCGCGGGTCGCTCGACCTGTGAAGCGTTTAACGTCTCTGGAGCGAGCCTGCTATGGCCGTCAGAAGTTGAAGCGGTGGCTACCGCGTTGACCGTTCCGGTCATCTCTACATCATCAGAGGAACCAGGGCCTTTACTCGCGCTGCGCTGGTTCCTCGCTCCCGGCGAGAGAGATGATCGTTCCAAACCAGCATGGCTAGCATCTGAAGGCTTTCCTTCGTGGGCGAGTTCCGAAGCGATGAGTGGTATGTCGACACCGGGACTGGTTCCGGGCGAGCCAGCGGTTGGCGCAGGGGTGTTGGATGAGTCTGGTCCATTTGTGGAGGCTGGTGAGGACTGTGGCTCGGCAGCTGCTTGGGCTGGAACGAGAAGAGGAGGACTTCGGCTAGGTTGACGGTCAACGGTGACAGAGGGACCTGACTCTGCATCTTCCGACAGGCCAGAAGCGGCTGGCAGCGCGCCAGGAGGCTCGGGCTCAACGTTAGTTGTTTGTCCAACAGACGGACCCTTGGCGGACTGAGGTATTGGAGACCTCAATTCGCCGTCGTGCTTAGGCAGACTGGGAACCGTGCTGGCCTCGCTGGTCTGCGCGTCAGCCGCTGTTGTGGTCGCATCCTGGCGATCCTCCTCGCTCGGCTTGTCGATAACAACTGCGATGCCATCATTACCCTTGTTTTGGTCGAGCGACGTCAGCGCAGGCGCGGTTTGTCCTGGAGGTATCGGTTTCGGCGCCGCCTTGAAACCTGGAGATGACGGCGAGGTGGCATTTGATGCGTCTAGCGCTTGCTGTGCCGCGACGGGGGGCGACTTGGGTAGTGCACGCGGTTGGGAGGGCTCATGTTTTCGAGGTGGAAGGGTTATATGGATTCTGGACGGGAGTGTGGTTTCGTCGAAGCGACGCCCTCTGCGGAAGAGTGAGCACAACTAGACCAAACAAGCCTCATAATTCATGAAATTTGCAATGATGGTAGATAGAAGGCAGCGACAGGAGATCCGTACTTTTCTAGGTCATTCGCATCATGAAAGGCCTGGAGTTTCTGCTTGTAGGTTGGGTCTTCGACTGAGACAACGATAGAGAAGAGTTCGCTTAATTTGCGCTTTCTTGACAGCACCAGGCTCCTATAATTCATGATATTTGGTCAGTATGTTGCGGGAGGGATGATAAACGTCCTTGAGGGTTGTAAAGAATATTACTCACTGCGCTTGAGACTTCTTCGAGCGCAAGTGCTCGACGGGCATCTCATCGGCATCGGCGAGGTCGACAAGAAGGACGAGAAATCATCCGAATCAATTGCTGAAAAATCGACAGAATGCACAACCAGATGTGTAGAGATGAACAAAGGGCCCAGAATGAATTGTTTGGGCGCGTTGTGATGATTTGAGGCTCTTGAAGTTGGTCGACTGGTAGAGGATGTGGCCTCTGGATTTTGGTGTTCTGTGCAGAGTTGGAGGCACAGGGCGTAGCAGTTACAGAAGCACGGCAATTTGTTAGGCTTGCTCGGGCGGGGGGAGTGCACGGAGGGAGGGAAAGCAGCCTATTCCACCTCCTGGGATTCTTTTTCAGGCAGGGGGGGCACTGAGAGGGGAGACCACCACGACCACCACCCAACGCCATCACCACCATGTCCACCACAGTCCACCACCGCCAATTTTCTCAGAGATTTTGGGGGGGCGCAGCGATTTGCTAAACACCACACTAGTAAAATTTCCCCTTCACCTTTATTGCTGGTTCTTTACTGCACAGCGGATTTCGCAAATTCAGGTACAATGCCATATTAGGAGACCAAATTGTGTTATCTTCCCGTGGCTCTCTCTCTTTTTGCTCGAGGGAGTATTCCTGGTCCTGAGACACCAAAACTTGTGCTGCGTCCTCGTGCAGTGTTGCTCAAGCCACTGCCATCGTCCATGGCTTGTCCTTCTCCAAATTTACAAATTTACGAGTTAGTCCGCTAAAAGCTCCTCCTATGGCCAAAAGAAAACGAGAAAACGGCCCCAAGGCCGCCAGCACTTCGAAAGGAACGGTCAAGCCTACAAGCGACGAGAACACTGCTGCGAAGATCACCAAAACCAACGGGCATGTGGATGTCAAGACCACTTTACCCGTCATCCAAATCGTTGCAGGCTCGTATGAACGAGTTCTGCATGGCATCACCGCATCCATCTCGGACCTGTCGTCACGGGCCTCTTCTCCGTCGGTACAATTTGCAGACTCTTTCCTATTCAATGCACATGCATCCGCAATCAAATGTCTAGCTCTATCACCTTTGCCGGAACCCGGTTCTTCTGAGACCCAGGGCGTCTACCTGGCCACCGGGGGCTCAGATGAAAAGGTCAACGTCTTCAGCCTTTCCGCCTCGCCAGTCGCCGACAACGGGAGACTTCCACCCATGCCCTCTCTAGGCAAGAACACCATCTCAGAAAATCCCATGAATAGAGAGCTCGGCACGCTCCTTCAGCATTCCTCCCATGTCACGGCCTTGCACTTTCCCACACGATCGAAACTGCTCTCTGGATCAGAAGACAACACTATTGCCGTCACTCGTTTGAAAGATTTAACGGTAGTATCCACAATAAAAGCACCACGACCCAAAGCCCAAGGTCAACCCAGTGGAGACACTGCACCACCAGGCGCCACTCCCGCTGGGATCAATGACTTCTCTGTCCATCCTAGCTTAAAGCTCATGTTGAGCGTCGGTCGAGGCGAGAGATGTATGCGGTTGTGGAACCTTGTGACTGGAAAGAAAGCCGGGGTCCTCAATTTCGGCCGCGAGATCTTGCAGAGTGTTCGCGAGAGCAAGTATAGCAGTGGCGAGGGTAGACGAATACGGTGGAATCCCAACGGCAGCGAGTTTGCTGTTGCATTCGAGCGTGGAGTGGTGGTATTTGGGGAAGACTCGAAACCCAAATGCAGGGTTCTGCCAGAGCCCCTTACCAAGTTACATCAGATTTGCTATCAAACCATACTTTCTGACTCAAGCGAAGGTGCGCCCACTACACTGCTCGCAGTCTCGACCGAAGATGGTCGGATACTCTTCTATGATACAGACGCAGTCCCGCCGCTTCCGTCGAATGGAACAAACAACAATGACCGGACCGCCCCCGCATCCATTCCGGACGCCGCTCTTGTCGCAACAGTTGGTGGGAAAACGGCAGGGCTCACGACGCGTATCAAAGATTTTGAGCTGCTCTTCCTTCCCGCTAATGCCCACGGCCAAAAAGACATCGCCATTGTTACGGCGAGCAGTGACGGGACGATCCGCGTTATACTCTTGTTGCTGTCCGAGGTGTTGGCCGCTTTGAAGAGCAAGAAACCGATCCAGGCCGGAACAGTGATCGGGGCGTATGAGACAGGTAACAGGATCACCTGCCTGAAGGCCTTCGTCATGTTGCCTCCTCAGGATATCGACGATGAGGATGAGCTTGGAGGGGAAGATGAGGAGTTCCTGGGATTCGACGGGGAAGGAGAGAGCGAGCAGAGTGAGAGTAGTAGCGATGAGGATTGATAATTCAAGTTGTCAGAAGCATCAAGCCAATTATTGCAAATAGCATCATGGGCCAAGCCAAGGTATCTTTGATCACAGCGTAAGAATGGCCTACTTGGAGCAGTTCAACGCCGCTGCTGTGCATGGAACGAGGAGAGATCTCGATGCTAACTGGGAAGTGAGCAGTGTCTCATTTCGAGGGATGGATTCCCATATCTGCTAGCCCTTTCACCACATTCTCGTAGACATCTTTGACCCGCCCAACTGACGAGACTTTAACGACTCTGCCCTCCTTCTCGAACATGTCCACCACTGGCATACTTGTTTCGACGAATGTCCGGAATCTCTTGATGATGCTTTCCTCATTGTCGTCTGCTCGCCCACTCGTCTTCCCTCTATTCAATAATCGTTCTCTCATGACCTCCTCGGGACAGTCGAGAAACAGGGTGCACTTCGAGGGGCAGACTGACTCTTCGAAGAAAACGGCTTGGTCCATTTTTCTGGGAAATCCGTCGATCAAGAATTTCCCGGTCCCGTCGCTCCCTAGTTTTGAGCGCATGGCATTTTCCAGTAGCTTGACCGTAATCTCCATTGGGACGATGAGGCCCTCTTTGATATAATCTTTGATCAGCTGGCCATATTCACTGCCCTCAGTGTTCTGCTCTTCTCTCAGGAGATCGCCTGCAGAAAGATGTACAAAGCCGTAATCTCGGACTAGATTGGCGGACTGTGTACCCTTGCCGGAGCCAGGTCCTCCTAGGACATATACGACAGTAACCTCTTGTGGATCGAATGCTGGAGAGATGTTCGCTGAGGCGAGTGGCGCTTCTGGCTGAGCCAGAGGGGAAGTGCCAGACGTGGGATCTATAGCAGGGGTGGCCATTGGAAACCAGCCTTTTCGTCACTACCGCTCGGTGTGTGCTTTTCGTCGGGACTCGCTGGAGACGTTCGTCTGAGATTCTGTTCGTTTCTTGACCAACAGAAAGTAGGACCCGCTGCTAGCAAGAAATAGAATGAAGAAAGGGAAAAACCGTAGTCTGTCGCCCTGGCCCCCTGGTCGATGTTTGCCCACAGGACTTGGTTTCGAGGCAGGTTTGGCTGTAGATGCGGATGGCGGAGGTGCTGAATAGCAGCGTGTGAAGGGTGTTGGATATTGAAAACCAAGCGGCGACAACAGATGTCTGCTCAAAGAAGTATTCAGTCTACGCGCAATCATTCCTTGGAACGAGCGTGGTGAACAAGGTATGATCTAGGGTTAAGAGTGACGCTGCAGTGAACGGTAAGGCCAAAGCTCTGGGAAAATAAAATAGCCAGGTAATGACGAAAGCGGTTCAATAGGCATGCACAGGCATGCGCCATGTGCCTCCCAGCTGGTAACAAGCCACTCAAGCTCGCAACTAGGCACTGCCACGTGACAAAGCCGCCCCCAAGGTTGCAGCTGGCAGGCACCCTGCCGTTTAACGAATCAACAACAGTCCCAAGCCACCACGACGGACCTTCCTGCTTCTGGATTGCGACTCCAGAAGATCCGCTCACTTTCTCAAAAGGTGTCTCTACTTTCCAGGAGCTCATCAACAATTGAATCGATTACCCTTCAATTCCCTTCTTCCACTCACCACGCCACACTTCTCGTGGTCTTGTTCCTGTTGCCCGTTCCTCTCTCCCCCCTTCTTTCTACACTCCTTTGAGTCCGTGGATTTCTCAGTCATTTCGTCGGCCATCCAGCGAGCGATCAATACTTTTCCCCAGAGTGCATGAGGCCGCAAGGAGGCCGGTCGCAATCATGGCGCTTCCCATTCGGTTCACTGAACTGGTTCAGGTCTGTTCATAGCACTCGCAACTTGTGCTGATTCCTGACTAACTTCTCATAGTTAACGAATCTCGACATCGCGGTAAGGGCACGCTCCCTGGATCGCAGGCGCAGTTCAGCCTGAGTGCTGGCATATGCGCGATCTGATCAATTTTCCTACCTTGCATCTATAGTATCTACTGACACGTTTTCCCACTTTCAGCCAGCCTCTATATCCTTCAATACCTGTGTGAGTACATGTCCGACTCCTTCCACCCAACCCGGCGCTGACATTCTGCACAGACACTAGAATCGGATCACTACGTCTGCGTACGGCAGAAACTTAATGAGCAGGACAAACCTCAGGTCATAATTGTAAATCTCAAGAACAACAATGAAGTCATCAAACGCGCTATCAGCGCCGACAGTGCCATCATGCACTTCAACCGCGAGATACTGGCCCTCAAGGCGCAGGGCAGAACAATCCAAGTCTTCGACCTCGCGGCCAAATCCAAGCTGAAATCTACAATCATGAATGAGGACGTTGTCTTCTGGAAGTGGTACAACGAAAAAAGTCTGGGATTGGTTACCGACACCTCCGTCTACCATTGGGACGTGTTCGACCCTACCCAGTCTGCTCCAGTCAAGATGTTCGAGCGAAATGCCAATCTCAATGGATGCCAAATCATCAATTATCGCGTCAACGACGATGAGCAATGGATGGTGATAGTTGGCATTTCTCAAAGAGAAGGACGAGTCGCCGGTACAATGCAGCTGTACTCACGTAATCGTGGGATATCGCAGCCCATCGAGGGCCATGCTGCTGCCTTCGGCACCTTCCACGCAGAGGGTAATCCTGCCCCTTACAAACTTTTCACCTTCGCGGTCCGAAATGCTGCTGGCCAAGGCAAGCTCCATGTTGTGGAGATTGATCACAATGAGAACAATGCGCGGTGGGTCAAGAAGGCAGTCGACGTCTACTTCCCCGACGAGGCGGTCAATGACTTCCCTGTTGCCATGCAAATCTCGAAGAAGTACAGCATCATCTACATGATCACCAAGTACGGCTTCATCCACCTGTATGATCTCGAGACAGCCACGTGCATCTTCATGAATCGTATTTCGAGCGAGACGATCTTCATCACGACCCCCGACTCTGAATCCGCCGGCATTGTTGGGATCAATCGAAAAGGTCAGGTTCTCTCGGTCAGCGTTGATGAGAACACCATCATCCCATATCTGCTCCAAAACCCCGCCAACGCGACCCTGGCTGTGAAGTTGGCCGCGAGAGCGGGCTTGCCGGGTGCCGACAACCTCTATCAGCAGCAGTTTGAAACCCTCTTTGCCCAGGGTAACTACTCAGAAGCTGCCGAAGTCGCAGCTAACTCTCCCCGCGGGTTTTTGCGGACTCCCGAGACGATCAATCGATTCAAAAGTGCTCCTCAACAAGCTGGACAGCTTTCTGTCATTCTGCAATACTTTGGCAAACTCCTCGACAAAGGCAAACTGAACAAATACGAAAGTGTGGAACTGATAAAGCCGGTCCTTGCACAAAATCGTAAGAATCTTCTCGACAAGTGGATGAGTGAGGGCAAATTAGAATCCTCAGAAGAACTCGGCGATATTGTCCGACTGCACGACCTTGAATTGGCTCTGAGGATTTATCGTGAGTCCAACGTTCCACCAAAGGTTGTTGCAGCATTGGCAGAAACCGGCCGATTTGAGGAGATCCTTCCTTATGCACGTGAGGTCGGATATCAACCAGACTTCACCAGCCTGTTGCAACATATCGTCCGTGCGAACCCTGAGAAAGGTGCGGAGTTCGCTACTCAGCTCGCCAACAATGAGGGAGGCCCGCTGGTTGATATCGACAGAGTTGTTGATATTTTCATGTCCCAAAACATGGTTCAGCAAGCCACTGCGTTCCTCCTCGATGCTCTCAAAGAGAACCGTCCCGAACAAGGCAACTTGCAGACTCGACTCTTAGAAATGAACCTTCTCAACGCACCACAAGTCGCAGATGCCATTCTTGGGAACGAGATGTTCTCTTACTACGACAAGCCTAGAATCGCTCGGCTTTGCGAACAGGCTGGTCTCTTACAACGTGCCCTTGAAAATACAGACGATCCGGCTTCTATTAAGCGAATCATTGTCCAAACCGATAAGCTCAACCCTGAATGGCTTCAACAGTATTTTGGCCGCATGTCTGTCGAACAGTCGCTGGACTGCTTGGATGAGATGCTCAAGGTCAACATTCGACAAAACTTAGCGGCCGTGATCCAGATTGCCACTAAGTTCTCCGACCTTCTGGGCTCCAGCCGCTTGATTGCACTATTCGAAAAGCATCGCACCGCCGAGGGTCTTTACTACTACCTCGGCAGCATTGTCAATCTCAGCGATGATGGAGAGGTGGTTTACAAGTACCTCGAGGCGGCCGTTACTATGGGCCAATTCCAGGAAGTCGAGAGAATCTGCCGTGAGAATAACCACTACAACCCAGAACGTGTCAAGAACTTCCTCATCGAAGCTCGGTTGGCGGAACAGCTACCACTGATTATCGTCTGCGATCGGTTCAACTTTGTCAAGGATCTGGTCAACTATCTTTACCGGAATCAGCAATACAAGTCCATCGAAGTGTATGTTCAGCGAGTCAATCCTGCACGGACACCGGCAGTCGTCGGAGCATTGCTCGCTCTTGACTGTGAAGAATCAGTCATCAAGAGCTTGTTGGCGTCGGTCGACCCTACGGCTGTCCCCATCGATGAGTTGGTCAGCGAAGTCGAGACTCAGAATCGTCTGAAGATTTTGCTGCCTTTCCTTGAAGCCACATTGGCAGCAGGAATCCAGCAACCCGCGCTTTACAATGCGCTGGCGAAGATTTACATAGGTCAGTACCTGCTCTGCTTTCTCTCCATCCCTTTGCGGATATTTGATTCCCAGAGTGCCTTTTCGACAAGTATAGCCGCATGGAAAAGCATGTCTACATGGCCCAAGTGGCGAGCTCGACGGCTTTGGCGTTGCATACGTCCTTGATTTCGTTGCCATGGTTTACATTCATTATTATTGGTATCCCTGCTAACTCAATGAAAATAGACAGCAACAACAATCCGGAGAAATTCCTCAAGGAAAATGACCTGTACGACACTCTGACAGTAGGTAAATACTGCGAGAAGCGGGATCCCAACTTGGCATATATTGCGTACCGCAAGGGCCAGAATGATATTGAGCTTATCAACATAACCAACGAGAACTCAATGTTCCGCGCTCAAGCGCGCTATCTTTTGGAGCGCGCCGACCCTGAGATATGGGCTTTCGTTCTGGCTCAAAACAACACCCATAGGAGGTCTCTCATCGACCAGGTAATTGCCACAGCAGTTCCTGAGAGTTCAGAACCTGACAAGGTATCTGTTGCTGTCAAAGCGTTCTTGGACGCGGATCTTCCAGCCGAACTCATTGAATTGCTCGAAAAGATCATCCTCGAGCCATCACCTTTCAGCGAGAACAGCAGTCTACAGAACTTGCTCATGCTCACAGCTGCTAAGGCGGACAAGGGTCGCCTTATGGACTACATTCAGCGCCTGAATGAATTCAACACTGAAGAGATTGCCAATATGTGTATCCAACAAGGTCTCTATGAGGAAGCTCTAGAGATATACGTCAAGACCAATGACCACATCTCCGCTGCCAATGTCCTTGTCGATCACATCGTTAGCATCGATCGCGCCCAAGAGTATGCAGAAAAGGTGGATCTGCCTGAGGTCTGGAGCAAGGTTGCGAAAGCCGAACTTGACGGATTGAGAGTGAGCGATGCTATTGAGTCGTACATCAAGGCTCAAGATCCTAGCAACTACAATGAGGTCATCGAGACCGCTACCCATGCCGGCAAGGATGAAGATCTCATCAAATATCTCAAAATGGCTAGGAAGACAATGCGGGAACCAGCCATCGATACTGCGCTGGCTTTTTGCTATGCTCGACTTGATCAACTACCCGAGCTTGAAGACTTTTTGCGTTCTGCCAACGTGGCCGATGTAGAAGCATCTGGTGACAAGGCTTACGAAGAGGGTTATCACCAAGCTGCGAAGATCTTCTTCACCAGCGTTTCCAACTGGGCAAAACTCGCCACCACCCTTGTGCACTTGGGAGAATACCAAAACGCCGTTGACTGTGCTCGACGTGCGAACAGTGTCAAGGTCTGGAAGCAAGTGAACGAGGCGTGCGTCGCCAAGAAAGAATTCCGCCTTGCACAGATCTGTGGTCTCAACCTCATTGTCCATGCTGAAGAGCTGCAAGATCTTGTCAAACAGTATGAGCGCGAAGGTTACTTTGAGGAACTCATTTCCTTGTTGGAAGCCGGCCTCGGTCTCGAACGGGCACACATGGGCATGTTCACTGAGCTTGGCATCGCTTTATCGAAGTATCATCCTGACCGAGTGATGGAACATCTCAAGCTCTTCTGGTCCCGCATCAATATTCCCAAGATGATTCGAGCCTGCGAAGAGGCACATCTGTGGCCGGAGCTGATCTTCTTATACTGCCATTATGATGAGTGGGACAACGCTGCATTGGCCATGATGGAACGTGCCGCTGATGCCTGGGAGCACCACTCCTTCAAGGACATCATCGTCAAAGTGGCCAATCTGGAGATCTACTACCGTGCGCTGAACCATTACCTGCAGGAACAGCCACTGTTGTTGACCGACCTGTTGCAAGCTCTGACGCCACGCATTGATGTCAACCGAGTGGTGCGTATGTTTGAGAAGTCGGATAACATCCCCATCATCAAACCCTTCTTGCTCAATGTGCAAGGCCAGAACAAGCGCGTTGTCAACAACGCCATCCATGACCTGCTCATCGAAGAAGAGGATTACAAGACTTTGAAAGACTCGGTGGAGAACTACGACAACTATGACGCAGTGGAGCTTGCACAGCGCCTCGAGAAGCACGAGTTGGTGTTCTTCCGGCAAATTGCGGCACAAATCTACCGCAAGAACAAACGATGGGAGAAGTCCATTGCACTATCTAAACAGGACAAGCTGTTCCGCGACGCGATCGAGACAGCAGCGATTTCTAGCAAGCCCGAAGTCGTTGAAGACCTTCTGAGATACGTGAGTAGCATCCCTTCTGAGTGGGAGCGCACATACTGACATTTCTTCTAGTTTGTCGACATTGGCAGCCGCGAGTGTTATGTGGGCATGCTCTATGCCTGCTATGATCTAATTCCACTCCACACAGTGATGGAGATCTCGTGGCGGCACGGACTCAACGATTTCACTATGCCGTTCATGATTAGCTACATGAGCCAGCAATCCGCAACCATTGAGCAGTTGCGGAAGGACAATGAAGAACGCAAAGCCCGCGAAGCCAGTCAGCAAAAGACCGACGACAATACCCCGATCATCGGCAGTCGTCTCATGCTGACGCAAGGGCCCGCGACCGTTGCACCGCAACCCACGGGGTACGGCCACACGAATGGCATCACCCCTCAACCAACCGGGTTCCCTCGGGCATTCTAGCGACGCAGCCTTGTGAGTGGGAAAGTGGGAAAGCGCGAAAGGTGACCAAGCCCCGGGAATAGCCGGGTCAGATGGATGCGATGAAGGGGACAGGGACCGCGGGCGAGTCCAATGGACATCCGAGGTCAGGGAGAAATCGGGAAGTCCACAAGAGCCTGTGTGGAAATCGTGGAAATCAGTACGGGGAGGATTACCTGAAGGAGAGAAAACAAAGAATTCAAAATAATGCAGGATCTTGCCGGAGAAAGGTACCACTACTGAATGTCTTTTCCCGAGGCTATGGGTCTCTATGTTTGTATGATGTAGCTGGTGAAGTAGAGTGTCGCTCGGGGCTCCTTTCCTATTCTCCGGAAATCGGAAAGAGGCATGCGGCATGCGGCATGCGGCATGAGTACTGTTACCGGAGATTGTTCCTGGGGGCAGGAAAAAAGGAATGGGATTCTGTTTGATCACGGGCACGAGAAGATAAGCGAGCAGCGATGACTAACTCCATTCCTGCGCTCTTTCTCTGGACTTTATCTGCCCCGTGATTAGCATCTGCCCACTTAGAATCTTAGAATCTTGGAATCTTCAATGTGGGGGAGAGCGAGGCTCAGGTGGCGGCTCAGCAAAGCCTTATCTGCAGTGCTTGATCTCGAGGGGGTTCGTGAGTCGTGACGTGATTCGGCCGCCTTCCAAGGTTGCTGGGTGAAGACAGAAGAAACATCTGGCGCCACTGAACTTGAGACCGGCGATGATTTACCAGGGGGGTTGGATGGACGAGGGGAAAGATGTCCGTGGATGAAAGGTGATAATTCGGATGTCTTGCCCTTTTCAGAGCATGGCAAGGACATCACAGCGAGCATGGGCGACGTCGAAGACTGTGACTCTTTGCCTGACCCCACACGATCGACTGGGAGAGCGAGTTGGGATCTGGTGGTAGCCTGGTAGGGGGGGGCAGTTAGCAGCAGTTTAGCAGCCGTGGCAGCCCAGGCAGCGTCAACTAGCCTCGAAAATCCCCTGGCTCCCGGCGTCCCTATCGGCCAGCATCGGTTGTCTTGGGACCCGAAACTACACCGTGGCTTCCCTCCCCGCCCCTCCATCACCCACTGAATCCGAGGCTGTTCGGGGGCGCGTGAAGCTCTCCTTGCTGCTGCCCCTCCCGAGCTCTACAAGTAAAATATTCACTGGGAAGCAGCTTGCTGCTGCTGCTGCTGCTGCCACCTGCTGCCCACTGCTGCTGGTTCCCATATCCCCACCGCCAATATCCAAACCCTCCTGCCATCCCACCAATCCCTCCCACTGCTTATCTACCCACCACCATCTCCGTTGGTGCTGCCACACCAGAAGCTCCCAGATCCTCATTCACTGGTTGAATCTACCATATCTTTTCCCGCCTGGGCATCGACGTAACAGTTATTGTTTTTCTCCTGTCATCCGGCTCCACGCCGCTTCATTCAACAAAAACAACGTCCCTCCCTAGAGCTCGTTGACTGACCTACCCCAGCTTCCCTCCATTGACTATTTGATCCCCCCTCCATTTCTTCCTCCTCAGGCCCCTCTTCCACCCTTATTGTTGTTCCCTCAAAGCTCCAAGGAGCTCGATTGCCAGTAGCTGCCCTTGCCAGCAGCTAGGCTTCATCTCCAGCCTTAACCATGGCGACCACTGGCACTGACGCAGACCACGAAGATGGTCAATCCCACCACCTCGAGCACTCGGTCCACCAGCGGCTGAGGGCCAACTCGTCCATTATGCAGCTCAAGAAGATCCTGGTGGCCAATCGAGGCGAGATTCCCATCAGAATCTTCCGAACTGCCCACGAACTCTCCCTCCAGACCGTGGCTGTTTACAGCTACGAGGACAGACTGGGCATGCACAGACAAAAGGCGGACGAAGCATACATGATAGGCAAGCGAGGACAGTACACTCCCGTTGGTGCCTACCTGGCTGGCGACGAGATCATCAAGATTGCTCTGGCCCACGGCGTCCAGATGATTCATCCAGGCTATGGTTTCTTGTCCGAGAACTCCGAGTTTGCTCGAAAGGTCGAAGAGGCCGGCATTATCTTCGTCGGTCCTTCTTACCAAGTCATTAAATCTCTCGGCGACAAAGTTTCAGCTCGAAGACTGGCCATGAAATGCGACGTACCATGCGTGCCCGGAACCCCAGGCCCAGTCGCCAAGTTTGAAGAAGTCAAGGCATTCACCGACCAATATGGCTTTCCAATCATCATCAAAGCTGCTTTTGGTGGAGGTGGCCGTGGCATGAGAGTCGTCCGAGACCAAGAAAGCCTCAAGGATTCATTTGAGCGAGCTACCTCGGAGGCAAAATCCGCCTTCGGCAACGGCACAGTCTTCGTCGAACGCTTTTTGGACAAGCCCAAGCACATTGAAGTCCAGCTGCTCGGCGACAACCACGGCAATGTTGTCCATCTGTACGAGCGAGACTGCAGCGTTCAAAGACGGCACCAGAAAGTCGTTGAGCTGGCTCCCGCCAAAGATCTTCCATCCGAGGTCCGGGATGCCATCCTCAATGATGCGGTCAAACTGGCTAAATCCGTCAACTATCGCAATGCAGGCACTGCAGAGTTCTTGGTGGATCAGCAGAACAGATATTACTTCATCGAAATCAATCCCAGAATCCAAGTCGAACACACCATCACCGAAGAGATCACTGGCATTGATATCGTCGCCGCTCAGATCCAAATCGCTGCTGGTGCCTCCCTGGAGCAGTTGGGCTTGACGCAAGACCGCATCTCAACGCGCGGTTTCGCCATCCAATGCCGTATCACCACGGAAGATCCGTCCCATGGATTCTCTCCAGATACCGGCAAAATCGAGGTCTACCGATCGGCTGGAGGCAATGGCGTCCGTCTCGACGGTGGCAATGGATTTGCAGGTGCTATCATCACTCCTCACTACGATTCCATGTTGGTCAAATGCACTTGCCACGGGTCGACCTACGAGATTGTGCGCCGAAAGATGCTACGAGCATTGGTCGAGTTCCGCATCCGCGGTGTCAAGACCAACATTCCCTTCTTGGCCTCGCTTTTGACTCACCCCACGTTCGTCGAAGGCACGTGCTGGACGACTTTCATTGACGACACTCCCGAGCTGTTCAAACTGATCGGCAGCCAGAACCGAGCCCAGAAGCTCCTTCAGTATCTCGGCGATCTTGCGGTCAATGGAAGCAGCATCAAGGGCCAGATTGGAGAGTCGAAATTCAAGGGCGACATCATCATGCCCACATTACTTGACAAGCATGGCAAAGAGATCAATGTGGAAGAGCCGTGCACGAAGGGGTGGAAGTCCATCATCGACAAAGAAGGACCTGCCGCATTCGCCAAGGCAGTTCGAACAAACAAGGGTTGTCTCCTCATGGACACTACCTGGCGTGACGCGCACCAGTCTCTCTTGGCCACACGAGTTCGCACCGTTGACCTGTGCAACATCGCTAAACACACCAGCCATGCTCTTAGCAACGCGTGGGCTTTGGAGTGTTGGGGCGGAGCCACATTTGATGTTGCCATGCGATTCTTGTATGAGGATCCATGGGATCGACTCCGCAAAATGAGAAAGCTGGTCCCCAATATCCCCTTCCAGATGCTGCTCCGCGGAGCCAATGGTGTGGCCTACAAGTCACTCCCTGACAATGCCATTTATCATTTCTGCAAGCAGGCCAAGAAGAACGGCATGGATATCTTCAGAGTGTTTGATGCCCTCAACGACATCGACCAACTGGAGGTGGGCATGAGAGCTGTTCAAGAAGCTGGCGGTGTTGTGGAAGCCGCCATCTGCTACTCAGGCGACAGTACGAGTCTTCAATTCTCCCCCTTTGTGATTCGATACTAACCAATTTGATAGTGCTCGTAAGTTCATCCTTGTTTGCGTTCCGGCACTTTATACTTCTTTTCGTCCGTTGAAAATGGCAACTCGACCACCGACATTGTCAAGTCGTCTGCTACGCCGTATATGTACTCAGAGAACTCGGACAAATTACCGCTTGGGCTTCTCTGCTGAGGTGGAGGAAGCTCTCCTGGAGATATACTGCAGCGCTTGCGACGAGGATGCCGCATCGCTTTCACGACCGCTGGATTTACGACCCCCTTAGTGCTTCGTTTGCTCACTACCCTTTCGTCATTTTTGGTTGACTTCTCTGAGCGTTGACTGACTTCATCAATAGAACCCCAAGAAGAAATACAACTTGGACTACTACATGAACCTGGTGGAAAAAGTTGTCAAGATTGGAACCCACATTCTCGGAATCAAAGACATGGCTGGTGTTCTGAAGCCCAAAGCTGCTCGTCTACTTGTTGGCACGATTCGCAAGAAGTACCCTGACCTTCCGATCCATATCCACACCCACGATTCGGCCGGCACTGGGGTTGCAACGTACGTTGCTTGCGCAGAGGCTGGCGCTGACGCTGTCGATACGGCATCCGATTCTATGTCGGGTATGACGTCTCAGCCAAGTGTTGGAGCGCTTCTGGCTTCTCTTGAGGGCACAGACTATGACCCAGGCCTCAACGGCCACAACGTGCGAGCACTGGACCAATATTGGTCTCAGCTGAGATTGCTCTACTCACCATTCGAGGCTGGCTTGACTGGGCCCGATCCCGAAGTGTACGAACATGAGATACCGGGCGGACAACTGACCAACCTGATTTTCCAAGCCTCTCAACTCGGCCTGGGCGCGCAATGGCTGGAGACGAAGAAGGCTTATGAACAGGCCAACGACCTTCTGGGAGACATTGTCAAAGTCACTCCCACCTCCAAGGTGGTGGGCGACCTGGCGCAATTCATGGTGTCCAACAAATTGGACTATGAGGGCGTCAAGGCCAAAGCCAAGGAGTTGGACTTCCCAGAATCGGTGCTGGAGTTCTTCGAGGGGTACATGGGTCAGCCATACGGCGGATTTCCCGAACCACTGCGAAGCGACGTCCTCCGTGGTCGACGCAAGATGGACAAGAGACCAGGTCTGTACCTCGACCCTATCGACTTTCCCAAGATCAAGAAGGACTTGAAGGAGAAATTCAACACTAGCGCCGAAACGGATATCGCCAGTTATGTGATGTATCCCAAGGTCTTTGAGGACTATCGCAAATTTGTGGACAAATATGGCGATCTGTCAGTGCTCCCGACCAAATATTTCCTGAACAAGCCGGAGATTGGCGAGGAGTTCCACGTGGAACTTGAAAAGGGCAAGGTTCTGATCATGAAGTTGCTGGCTGTGGGACCATTGTCGGAAGCTACTGGGCAACGCGAGGTGTTCTACGAGGTGAATGGTGAAGTTCGGCAAGTGACCATCGATGACAACAAGGCTGCGGTTGAGAACACGAGCCGGCCCAAGGCTGATCCGGGCGACAGCAGTCAAGTGGGCGCGCCCATGTCAGGAGTGGTGGTGGAGGTTCGAGCCAAAGAGGGACACGACATCAAGAAAGGCGACCCAATTGCAGTGCTGAGCGCCATGAAGATGGAAATGGTCATCAGCGCTCCACACTCTGGCAAAGTTGGCGAGATCCTGGTCAAGGAAGGGGATTCCGTTGCTGGGTCGGACTTGATTTGCAAGATTGCAAAGGCGTGAAAAGGCTTGAGGACAGGGACCTAAATTGCACAGACTGTTCGGGAAGACTGCTAGCACTGCTTGGGAAGTCAGTATCGGGTTTGGTATCGGGGAAGGGAAGCCAGGCGGGGCGGGCATCCCTCATTATCGCCTAAGCAAGGCTGAATTGGACCGTATTGTTATTTCCTAGTTGCCAGGAGATGGCTGGGCTTCTTCCTATGATACACAACAGGTATGCTGATGACCCAGAAGCGACTTTCTCTCTCTTTCTGTGTGTGGGAGACATGTGAAAATGCCCGTGGTCCTCACTCCTCAGCGTTGGTGGCGGTTGTCTTTGGGCTGCGCCAACCAGACACCTTCCTTTGGTCTCCGTCGCTCGGTCCTTTACTCCCTCTTGTATCTGTCGCGCAATAGGTTTATACTATGACCTCAAGCGGGCATGACGGGGCCACGGCCCACGACGGCTGCTGACCATGTCCATGCTGAATCCACTCGTCTGCACCATTGCGCGCGGGGTACAGCCCACCACCAAGGCCCCGGATTTCAATTCCCCTGGTTTCATTGGGAGACATCGTTCTGCAAGCTGAGGGCTGCTGCCTTCTGACTGGCCCGTTGCCCAACAAGTCTTGAACTTGCTGAGAGTTCCCAGCGCCAGGATGAGAGCTCTGAGCATTGCTGACCAGGCCCCTAGCACCTCCTTCTGGGAGTCGAGTCGGCCTGATATCCCTCCTATCTGTCCTCTTGCAGCTCCTGTCCGTGTCCCTCACAGCGCCAAAGCCGGGAACGTGGCACGCGAGTTGTGCCAGGGTTACTCGACGGCCCTCGCCACTGCTCTGCTGCAATTAGTCGACCTCCTCTCCTCCATCGTTGTGCGCAGGTGGTTCGATCGGCCGAGACAAAGCTTCGGCTGAGCTATCTTATGGACGAGGGGTAAAAGGTGAATAAGATGCCAAAAGTCATGCAGGCTCAGTCTGGACCTGCCGGTACATAAATGGTCGTCCACACCCCTCCATCGCCCTCTTGGTTTCCCGGTCTCGAATTCTCTCGCCTCTGTACAAATCAAAGCGGCCAGATCAAGACTTCGAATCCTCGACAGACAGTCCACAATCACAAGAGCCTTTGGGGCCGCCTCAGTGATCCATCTGGTCAACTTACATCCACAGCTGAGCCCAGTTCCGCTTTTTTGAGCTCCATCTCGTTGATCCGTCCCTCGCCTCTGTCATCTACGTCACCATATCTGCGCGGCATCGATCTACACTCGCCCCTTTCGAGGCTGTCGTTAGTCGAAGAGTGATATAAGTACCTCTACCTGTGTCTCTCCCATCATCTTCAGAATCATCGTCGAGTGCTCGAGGAGGATCTGTATCTACATCGCCTTTTTCTACCGATTGCACTTGGAGAAGGTTTCCCGTGCTGTTGACATCCAGACCCACATTCAGCCTTGACCTGCACAACACCGAGCAACCATGTTTTTCAAGCAGTACAACTACAAGCCACGCAGCAACAGCCAGTCCTCGCAGGGCTCTGCGTCTGGCAGCGCGCTCAAGGAAGAAACCAAGGTCGCCGCGGAAGCCACCGGTCCCGCAGCCAGCTCTGGCGCCGCGGGGCGAAGACGGGTGAGTTGCATTCTTTCCATCCCTCCATCCATCCATCCATCCATCCACCCACACCGTTCCGCAGTATAGGGTGTATCTTGCATTCGAGATGGTCATGAGTCATGACATTGTCATCCCAAAAGACTTGATACTCCTTTTTTGGGGGGGATACGATTTGACCTGACGACTGACATCTCTTCTCTTGAAATAACAGTCCTCCGCGTCGGAAAAGTTCGCGGGTCTCACGGGCCAGAAGCGCAACAGCCAGGACGACCGCAAGGCCAGCTGGGCCGACCAGAAGCCCGGCCAGCCGGGTATTCTGGGCGGCATGTGGCAGAACTTCACCAAGGGGTCTTAGGACTCGTCAAGCTGCGTGGGAGATGTTGGGTGGGTGGGTTGGGGAGACTAGCCTGAGATGCCGAGATGGGTCTTTGTGGTGTGTTCTGTGTCTGTCTGTGTCAGGTGTATGGTGAAGTTGAAGGGCCGTTTGATTGACGGAGCAAGCAAGCATGCATGCAAGCAAGCAAACCAAACCACAAACAAATGCCGATTTCCGTGGGATGAAGTAGGCTGTGTTCGGGGGAAGCCAGGTTCGAAATCACCAAAACCACCAGAAAGTGGAACCATGGGTCGAGCAGAGGGTAGTACTTTATCTGTATCTAGGCCACTTCTGTTGACGGGAGAAACAAAGCGAGGGCGGAGGAGGAGGAGGAGGAGGAGGAGGAGGAGGAGGGGGAATGGGGAATGCCAGCAAGAGTATCTATCTGTCTATCTGTCTATCTATTCGCAAATCTATCCCATCTCGACGAGACAGGACACTTTGTCTAGTACCCATGGAGCAATGTGATAAGGCTCCCGTCCTGCTGTCCTTCTTCTTCTTCTTCTTTCCCCATCCAGGTAAGAAACATATGAGCATAGCGAGTACGAGTGGGGTGATATAGACACAAGCTCCCCCTTTCCCCTTTCCTCCTCTCTTTCGCTTCTCGTCTGCGGTTTTCGTCGTTCCTTCTCCACCGTTTTTCGACGGGAGAGGAGACGTCACGTGCATGACCACTACCGTATTTTACGATTTACGCCCTGAGACGGGATGACGGTGATGACCTCAGGTCCGACGAAGGGGGAAAAAGGGTATTGCGACTCCAGCACGGGGCGGGCTGGACGTTTTGCCCCCCCTAAACAGGGCGGACGGAGTGCGCAGGCAGGAACTTGCGGACGAGATAAGGCTAAGGTCCTATGGGGGCAAGGAGCTCTCTTCCACATATAATGTGCCCCTCCGCCGACTCGGAGCTGAGAGGGTTTAACGTACCTATGTAGGTACCTACGTAGGCGACGAACGTCAGAAGAAAAAAAAAAGGACAACGAGTTCTTTTTGTACTTCTCCCATTCCATTCCAGTCCATTCCAATCCAATCCAGGGGGAAGTCGGCGCTGTCATAGGAAAGGACAGCGCCGCGGATTTCCTGTGTACCAACTTCGAAACAATACCGCAGGGCAGAAGATTCCTCGGTCGTTGCCCGTGACCCAAAACCGCGGACCTCAGTTTGCGTACCATCCAGGCATTAGGCAGAATCCTGTTTCCTTTCTCCCACAGCCATCCACACTGCCCGACACTCCCCATCACACGTCTGCCTCAATTACGACACCGTCTTCTTCACCTCCTCCACAGCGCCCTGAACTTTGTCTTTCGTCTGGCTGGCAATCGAGTCGACGGTGCCCTCGAGCTCGGCTTTGGCATTCTCGGCCCGGATCTTTTCCCAGCGTTCTTTGCCAGAGCCACTATAACAGTTGAAAACACACGGGGTTAGTTTATATGCTCAAATGCTCAAATTTCATGGGGTCGGAGATCTTTGGCGATTTCCCCAGAGCATACTCTGAGGCGAATGCATGCCGGGCCGTGCACAATGATACACAACACAACGCAAGCCATGGACCTGGGGAGGATATGTGGAGAAGGATGTACTTACTACCAGTAATCGTACCACCGGTAGCCCTGCGTGAGCTGTGCGTTGAAGTTCACAAAGTGGCACGCGAACAGCAAGTAGTTCTTCGGTGTCACGGCAAGGGCATATCGCATGAAAGTCCCCGAGTATACCGTGAGCGCGGCTGTGAATTGTCCCGAGATACTGCAGTCAAACACAGGATTAGTCACATCTCCTCACTGCCTCTGGGGTTTGGACGAGGGGAACGGAGAATGGTAGTCGTGATCAAACGGAGGGAGCAGACAAGAACAGTGTGTCCCCGAGTCCATGTGCATGGAAGGTGCAAAAGGGAAATGTCGACATGAGAAACGAGGGTGGACCTACATCTCAGGATCCTTCTGTGTATCCAACACTGCGGCGATGGGGATGCCGAAATTCGAAGCTGGGCCCCAGAAATCTGCCCAGAAACCTCAGTCAGTACCATGTAGCCCAGAGTGTATGTGCTTGTATTGTGCGATTGCTTCGTCTTGCTCCCCTTCTCTTTTTGGGCGCGGCTCAACACTTTTTTTCCGCTCGGCGACATGCCAGGATTGTCGCACTGACAGCGCGAACAAGCATATCCTTCGTGAAGAGTGGACGTGGTGCTTTATACATAAAAAAAGGGCATTGCCGGGACAAAACGTACGTGTTGAACAAAAATAGTCGAGGACCTTGTTCGAGCGAATCCGCGCGTTGATGGCTTTGATAGTTGCGGCCATGGCTGCGGTACTTCTCTTTTTTCTCCCCTTTCTATTGCTTCCTCTTGAAATCCAGAACGAAACACACACCAAAAGGGAGCGACTGGCGCAAGGACAAAGGAGGGTGGCGCGAGGTTCAGGGCGAATACGAGTATGGAGGATGAGGAGAGAGAGATGAGGGTGGTTGAGTCAGAGGTGCGATGAGCTGCGACTTCGGGCTTCGGGGTGGTTTTGACGAAGGAGTCAATGCATAATAATGGTAATAATGGGGGGATGGGCGTGCTGAAGGAGCCCGGGCTTTAGCAGAATCTCCGCAAATTATGTCACGTGCCAGGACTCAGGAGGACAAACGTTCAGCCGCATATCCAAGGGGAAAAGGGACAAGCACCACCACCAACTGTGATAGCAAGACAGCGATAGAGTGTTCCCGTTGATATGGGACGCAGTTTGCTTTGCATGGGATCCTCATTATCATGTCCAAGCCAATATCAATAGCCTGTACCTCTCCTGTCCATACAATATCACTATCTTGCATTCCCATCACAAATAGGTAGCTCTCTACCATGTCCGTACACGACGTCTTTGCCAGTCAACAATCTCCTGGCTCACTGTTTAGCGTCTTAGCGCTGAGCCAGCACTTGAGCCTGGAACCGAATCTGAAAGCAAAGATCATCCAAAGTCCGCAAGTCTACATCTCCAGGCTCAGTTGACTTGAGCCGATTCAGCACATTTTGTAACATAGCATTTATGTTGGGCCGAGTACCTCCTTCAGCATTTTCCTTAGAGTCAGCCAACACGTCAATCGAGACTGCTGCCTCATCACCGCCCGCATTGAGCTGATGATCCTCCGTTGCTGCGTGCCCATCATCGCTCGAAGCTGAAGTCACTTGCACACTTTCTTGTCTGCTCTCTTCCTTCGAGCCCAAAGTTCCCGGCACGATAACCTTGATCGTGTCATGGTGATGAATCGGCGAGTGAGAAGCTGAACTGACATTCTCTGCCCTCCGCTGTTGTCGGCCCCTTCTACGCTTTGGGGCACTTGTTGATTCAATAATGCCCGTTCGTGCCGGATGTCCTGCTGCAATCGCTTGAACTGCCCTCGACGGAGCAACCACGATACAGTCCATTATTTCTTCTGGTGTATTGTGCATGGAACTGTGCGTGGCGACTGGTTGGGATGACGTCTGTGAAGAAGATTGTGACCTCCTCCGCTTGCTCGAGGTGAATCTCAGGCTGTTCGACTTGCGCTTGCGAGTTCGTCGCACCTGAGCTATTGGTTGGCTGTCTTGTCCCTGCTCCTCCAGGGGTTGCAAAGCCTCATCCTCGACTACCTGGCTAAGATGTTGGTCAAGGTCATGGGACAGTTGCGAGGCACTAAGCATGTCGATCTCGTCACTGTCAGTTCTAGGTCTTGCCATTGGGCTCGAGTCTGCACCATCACCCTTTGCGGCTGCGGTCGTTGCAAGCGAATTGATGGGTGATGAAGGAAGCCTCACAGCCTCTTCAGTGCTTTGATCTTGCATGTGGATATCCCTCTGTGCGCCCATGGGCTGTTGTTCACCCACTGCGGAAAATTGTCCCATTACATCTTCCGTTGGTGAAAGGTCATTTGCCTTTGCTGCCATCTGCTGACACGCACCCTGCGGCGGCGCAAAGGCAAGCTCAATTCTTATTTGGCCATCCTGGGCAACCACTTGTTGTGGGGAAGAAGTGATCTCCCCTCCATTACGGTTACCTGGAATTGACGGTGGTGACGAAGGTACATCGATGTCCCCTATATGATCTGTAACGTGCCGGGCTCGAGGGGTTGGAGATGCCGGTATTTCGGGTTCTTGATCATGACCTGTCGGCAAAGTGGGTGTTGATGGTCGTTGTGGTAGGGCAGCTGCCTTCCGCGCAATGCCACAGTTGCTTACACTTTGAGCCCTGCTATGTGGCCTCGGACTCGATCGAAGATCGGGAAACACAACGGCAGGTTCAGAGCGTTGCCGGTCCCGAACTTCTTTTTGATGTTCTGTCAGGCACTGTGAGTCTGAATCAGGTCCACATGTTGGTGACGAGTCAATCGGTACAAAGTGAACCTGAGAGTCATCATATCTCAGCCTGGGTCGTGAAGTTCGTCTTTCCGGGCTCGAGAAAACCGGGTCAGGTTGTCTGGCCACATCATCCCCGAAGTGCTGACTCCCTAGTTCCGGAGAGGGCCCAGCGCCATGTACGTCCGTGTTGGGGCTTAGTGATGTACGCCTGGACGTGGGAGTATTTGCTTCCTTGGCTGCAGAGGGCAATGTGGTATCGTTTGGTATGATTTCTCCACCAGGCATGAGATCGCCAGGGACATGGACGTCAATGCCGGCTTTTCGTAACATGAGCAAGGCTTGAGAGACACGAAGGCCGATAGTGACTGAACTCAAATGACCGAACCGCATGTTCCACATTGTCACCGCCTCGTCCCGCACGAAGTTGTTGGGGCTTTCGAACAGAGCAGCAAAAATGTCATCCAATTCCTCAATGGTCTCAACTGGACACTTAGAGAGGATATTCACGGAGAGGGTGACTATCTCCGTACAGCGTCCGTCCGGAGAAACCTTGCTGTGGCGCTCCTCACACTTGAGTAACACAGAAAGAGTCGGCTGAAGCAGTCTCATGAGGCGGACGACGTGTTCTCGAGGCATATTCCCGAGGTTCTGCTCCAGCTGTTTGATCCCAGACATTAACAACGACTTCTTATCAGCGGATTGTTCTGGTCGGAAGTCTCGGAGTAGTCGGGCGTTCAGGAAGTCGAGAAGTTCCTGGCAGTGACAGAACAATGCTCGGATTTCGCTCTTCAGTTCCTCAGAGGACGCACGAGTGTGGCAATCCTCTTCATTCTTCTTCAGTTCTAGCATGACAGAGTCTAGTGTATCAAAGATGACAAGCATCTTCTTGATGTCGCAGTTGGTCTCAAGTCCAGCCTTGATCAGATCATTCCCAAGTTCAGTGACGGCAGCGAGAGTCAAATGTCGCACTTGCGCTATGCTGAGTTCGTGAGTGCCATCTGCTCGATCTGCTCCCGCAAGACCTGAACACTCTTCAAAAAGGGACCCTAAGCAATTGATCACGTTGGTCATGGCATCGACTGTTTCAGGTGATGGTTTGATTTCTTTGCTGCTGGCCTCTCGCAGGGCTTTGAGAAAATGTGACCAGGCAATGGCAATGAATGCTCTGTCAGATTGGCCTGAGGCGCCCCAGGAGCTGAATCGCATCAAAACTTGAAACATATCGAGAATCGCTTTGGACTTTGCCCTAATCCATTTGCAGTCAATTGTGGGAAGCTCCTCCGGCTCGACTCGAGTATTTTCAAGAGCCCGTTTCTCGTTCCAGACTTTCGTGCTCTTTTTGGAGTTCCAGAACAATGACATGAAAATGCGACTCGCTATGTCGGCATTGGCAGTGCTTTTCTCAAAAAATGAGCTTCTCATAACCTTAACAATGTATTCATTCCAGACTCTCGTGTATTGCTTATGCGTGGCTGCTGGTCTGAAGGAATAATAGAGTAAGGTGCAATAACTGGAAACAGCGGTTGGGCGAGTGCCTTTGGTTGTCTGTTCTATAGACTGACGTTCCATTTGAGCAGTAAGGGGCTTTGCAAGCAGTGCCATCAAATTGTCGGAGGTTTGATGAGGTTGGATGATGTGGATGAAACGATCCCAGGCCATGTAGGCTTGTTGTTTGATTGCAGACTCGCTGCAGTTGAAGCATGTCTGGATCACTTTCAACCAGTCCATGAACTGTGGCCACTTGTCAAAACGAGGCCAAGGGCCGTTGGGGTCTCGGTCCTCAACGCCATTGCTGAGCATGAGTACGATGGTCCATATCTGTGGCACCTGTAGTCCTTCTTCCTTGACTGTGATCATCTTCTCAAGCCTGCGACACATGGCGGAGCTGAACGTCTTTCCAGGCGAGATCTCCGCGCCGAGGATAGTCTTGATGGTGGCTGAAATGGAAGAAGACGCCGGAAATACCGAGCATGCTTTCAGCCCCATGGCGATCGCCTTTGTCCTCACGTCTTTCAACAAATTCGTCATGCCTGTCAGCAGCTCCTCAACCCATAGGTTGGCCCTGGCTTTCATTGTAGGCCTTGCTTGGTCGAGGAGCTTCTGATAGACCAAAATCCTCTCTGAAATCACGCCATTTCCTTTCACGTGTTCTGTTAGAGTCTTCAACGCCTCAAGCAGTCGTGTAACACGGCTGTTGTTGACGAGTACTGGGCGGAAATTTTGGGTTGCTAGAAGGTGAAGGTAGTGAATGATCACGCCCTTGGGCGCAGCATGTTCAGAGATGACCTGGATAGCCCGATCAAGGACGAAAATGCGATACTCGTCGGTCAATAAAGAGGAATAATCCCGATTCCACACAAAAATGACGAGCACCTTCAATGCTTGAGTAACCAGGTTTGTACCAGCAATGGGCGGCTCGTCGGGACTGGGTTGCTTCTGCAGATCTCGTTTGATGTATTTCATAATCGTGTTTATCTTGACCTTCAGCACATCCTCCTCGGGTATGTCGTCGTACTCTCGGATGACCGAAGATAGGGTCTGATATGCGTCAAGGGACAACGATCGGTCGTCACGGGACAGTTGTTGCACGATGCTCTCCATCATTTCACCCATTGTGCGTTTGGCGTCTTTTGATCCATCCACAGCTTGTGCAGTATGCCCATCAACAGAGCAGGGTTTGAGGATGGACTTCAGAGCTGATTGAGAGCCCGAAGAAGGAGGTATCGGTCTAGTTGTACTGGAGGGTGGGTGGCTTGCGGAGGAAGGATGTCGAGAATGTGTACCAATCGAAAACCCCACGCGTTTTTGATTTGATTTGTTCGACGAGCCTGGGAAGGATGCGGGCGAGTCTGGAGAGCTCGTAGGTTTGGGCGACGGATCTGGGAAAAACACTTTACGGCGTGAAGAGGTAGAGGGTGGACTCAAAGGAAGAACATCAGGAATGGACATGATGGCAAGGAACCAGCATTAGGCTGCACGGAGATGCCAAGTCACTGTGTCAACAAAAAAAAGAACGTGATGGTACTAAAGACCGCCTGCAGTCGCTCATGACTCAAAGATTCTCGCAGATTGTTGCAGGAGAGGTGCAAAGAAGCATTCAAAGCCGGGGAAGATAAAGAGGACGAAGGGCTGTGGACACGCCCAGCCTCGCTGCATTGATGGAACGCGTCGAGACGCGGATCTCGTGTTTTAATGGAGGCCTTGGGGGCTCTGATTGGTGGGCCTTGCTCAGCCTGACCAGCACGATCTAACGAGTACTGAAGCGGGATAGCTCCACTCACGCCACTCAAAGACCAACCCTGGAGATGGAAGATTGTCGAACCATTCCACAGTCTTGTCATGTCATACGTGCTCAACACATCGTTACTTCAAGTGAATGAAGTCCCACACTCCCTACGCCGCAGCACCTACCATCTCGGTCCTTGAAGGGGTATTGATGGACTAACAAAGGATTTCTCTCCTGGTTCGGGCCGGACACTGGAACTTTCTTTACCGCATATGCTCCTCTATTATGGCGACCCAGAATCAGCAGAATGAGGCAAGAGCCTTGCTTACCCTACTAGCGAAGGACCTGGAAACCAAATCCCTCGAACAGAAGCGACTCGAAGAAACCTTGGCCACCCTGAAAGTCTTGGGGCACAACGCCAATAATGTATCCAACGTCTACAACGACGATGGGATCAAGACACTGGGAAGCTATGGTTTTGGCGATTTCTCTCGATCAGTTCGTCAAGAGGCCTTGAGATGCATAGCAAACGCGCTCCTCTTGATTCCAGCAACCCGAAAGTCCTCACTTAAAGCCGATCTCGACAAGAAAGCAACAGATGCACTTCATGAAGCAGACGACGATGACGAATTTCTGCTGTCGCGGATATTGTTCCTGTTGACTTACGAACCTAGCATTGACATGAGGACCTTGATAGCAGATCACAATCTGGCGGACGCCATCGTGAAGCATCTTTCGCGTCACGCAGATGGGGCGAGCAAGTCTCCAAAGAGCCCAGTTGGTCAGGGCACTTTAGCCTTGATGGAAACCCTCAAGCTTCTTTTCAATGCCACGAGTATCAAGACCGATCAATTCACAAAGTTTCAACCTGCTGTCGTCGAACTCTTCCGCCTTCTCATCCTCTCAGACATCCCGTCGCCAGCGCTTCAGCCGCCGATAAGCCTCCTTGTGAACGCTTTGGCCAACTTGGATATTGGGCCGGAGGCCGTGAAAGCCAGTGAGATGCAACCGACAGTGGACAAGTTGATGACGATCCTGGAACAAGCCATCCAAGAGCACTCTTCAACGGAACTGGACACGATTGCCGTTCCTCTATTAACGGTCTTGAGAAATATCAATGAGACTGCAGATCCCAACCTCCGTGAGATGATGAAGGCACGGCTTTTGCCTGACGATAAGGAAAGAGACCAACCCCTAGGGAAATCATCTTCGTTTGCGTCACAGCTTCTGCGACTGACTACGTCTTCGGGGATGTTGAACTTGTCTGAAGCAATTTCAGGGCTTATGTTTGAGCTTTCCGACAAGGACGCCAATCAATACGTCAAAAATGTGGGATATGGCTACGCTGCAGGATACTTGATGACCCATAAGATCCCCATCCCAGAAAGTGCGAAGAAGTCGCATATTTCAGGCGAGTCGTCCACCGAGGTCCCGATCAACCCCATTACAGGCCAGAGGCTCGACAAGGAGCAGCCGATTGAACTGCCAGAAATGACAAGAGAGGAAAAAGAACGGGAGGCCGAAAGAATGTTTGTGTTGTTCGAGAGACTCAAACGGACCGGGGTGGTGAACGTTCAGAACCCGATGGAGGTCGCAAATGATGAAGGCAGGTTTGAGGAGCTCAGTGATTCGGATCCCGAATGATTCGAGACCAGAAACCCTCCATGCTCTCTGCGCTTTGCTTGTGCCAAAAGCTGCCCTCGGGGACGACGATGCCAGAATTGGTGACAGCGATATCCATGGACCAGCATGTGCGAGTATTTTGCTACACTTGAGACTAGACCTAATCAGCCTCTTTCAGCCAATGGCTCTTGTGTCCTCTGTAATCGTCTCCTACGGCACTGGCCTGTTGTCGCTGGCGCCACTCGGATAAGGGAGTTCGCGGGGGCTGCCCACCCGGCAAGCGGGGCGAGAGAGTGGCCCGTTCCTGCATAAACTTGCAGTTAGTGGCCCCTTGGGCCCTTAAACGATAAGCTTAACTGGCTGCACCCTCCGCCCCGTCGTTCGACAACATGTTGGCTGCGCTGGCAAAAATTATCTTCCCCCGTCTTTCTCACCACCTCACCCTTCCACTTGCCCCAACCACCACCACCACCACCACCACACCGTTCTTTTCACGAGAGTTGGCGCTCTCGAGCGCCCTTACTCACATTGCGTACAAAGGGCCATGGTCCATCGTGTCGAGTTAGCGATGAATGGCACTCCCAAAGTCAACGGGGTCAACGGGCTCAATGGCCACTCAAAGGATGGCTTGGTGCGCCGGTCCCTCTCAGCACGCAAGTCGTCGTCGCCTATGGCCCCCGCTTTCATGACTTCTGCCCCCGGCAAAGTCATTGTCTTTGGAGAACATGCCGTTGTCCACGGCAAAGCAGCAATGGCCGCGGCCGTCTCCCTGCGATCCTACCTCCTCGTTACCGCGCTCTCGAAATCGCATCGGACGATTCAGCTCGTGTTCCCAGATATCGGCCTCGACCACACCTGGAATATCGACAATTTGCCTTGGCATGTCTTCACAAAGACGACGCGGAAACCCCGATACTACGACATGGTGACATCGCTGGACCCTGAGCTCGTTGCCGCCATGAAGCCGCATATCGAAACGGTGTCTACCCATTTGAACGGAGACAAGAGAAGGATTCATCAGAATGCTGCTTCTGCTTTCTTGTATTTGTTTTTGTGTCTTCAGACGCCTGCTGCGCAGGCTTGTATCTATACCCTACGGTCTACACTGCCGGTTAGCGCGGGCCTCGGATCGAGCGCGAGCATTTGCGTTTGCATCAGTGCTGCCCTCCTCAAACAGATCCATGTCTTGTCTGGACCACATCACGATCAACCAGAGGAAGAAATCCAAATACAACTTGAGAGAATAAACAAGTGGGCTTTTGTCGGAGAATTATGCATCCATGGTAACCCCAGTGGGGTGGACAATACTGTCGCAACACATGGAAGGGCTGTTCTGTTCAAGAGGCTTGACTATTCGAAGCCCCCGAGTGCCACGCCACTAAAAGATTTCCCCGAACTTCCCTTGATGTTGGTCAACACAAAGCAACCCCGCACAACCGCCGCAGAGGTCGCCAAAGTCGCGGCCCTGAAGAAGAAATACCCAGCTGTGACAGAGGCGACTTTGGACAGCATTGACGAAGTCACGATGTCAGCACACGCTCTAATCACCTCGGAAGAATTCGATCCTGCGTCAGAGCAAAATATCGAGCATTTGGGTGATTTATTCCGCATCAACCACGGATTGCTGGTGTCACTCGGGGTGTCTCATCCCAAGCTGGAACGCATTCGGGAGTTGGTGGACTACGCCGACATTGGCTGGACCAAACTCACTGGAGCTGGAGGCGGTGGATGTGCCATCACGTTACTCAAGCGAGACGTTGACCCAGCTGCGATTGTCGAGTTGAAGCAAAAGTTCGAAGCTGCAGGGTTTGAGGAGCACACGACTACGCTAGGAGGTAATGGCGTCGGCATGCTCTACCCTGCAGTCCTGCACAATGGCACAGAGGAAGAAGGAGGCGAAGAAATTGACCAACAGAAGTTCCTCAATGCTGAAGGTGAAGAGGGAATTGAGGCGTTGGTGGGTGTTGGCCTTGATGAAAGGCGACCTGAATGGAAGTTCTGGAGGTAGTCCAGCTACGGACCCGTTCCTTGATGTTTTATTAGCGAAGGCGCAATGCATCAAAGTTCCAGTGGGAAGGGCTATCTAATTAATGAGAGAGCAAAAGTTCTCGCGCTTTATGTATTATATTGTTGTCAACGACCTGATTATTGCAGCACGCAAAGAGAGACGATGTTTGTTCTGTATCACGTGGAGGAGTCGGAGCACAGTCCTCGAATTCCTCCGAAGCGGATTTCATCTTCGTATTGTTCTCTTCATTCCGCCCAATTTCAGTCAGATGGAGTGAGTGCCCTGATGTGAATTGGCTTGTCCCTCTATGCCGGCCATAAAACCGTCTGGTCAAACCGCATGACATGGTCGCGAAGTTAACTCATCTTTGACTCGGCGACCTGATCTCAACCCGGCTTGATTGCAGCCAGCCAACGTGTATGAGGGTTGCTCGTCGCTTGTCCATGCCTCTTCGCTGAAGCCTCCCTTCAGACGACTGATTGCCAGTTCACAACATGGCTGACGCTGCTGCTTCGACCGCGATACCCAGAAAACCTAAGGCCAAGTCCAAAGAACCGTTCTACGCCGTGTCGCCCTTGTGGAAAGATGTCGTCCCCATCCCCCTCATCGACGGCCCGCCAGGCCAGAAGGATCCCGGCCCCGCGCTGGCCACCATCGCCTACTCGGTGCGGTACAGCGAGGCCATGTCGTACCTGCGGGCCGTGATGGCCGCGAACGAGTTCAGCCGGCGGGCGCTGGACTTGACCGAGGACATCATCGGGATGAACCCGGCGCATTACACGGTGTGGCTGTATCGTGCCAAGATCTTGAGGTCGCTGTGGGACAAGGAGGGGGTGAGTGTCGAGGATGGTGTCGGGGAGGAACTGGAGTGGTTGGAAGGGGTCAGTGAGCGCAATTTGAAGAACTATCAGATCTGGTGAGTTGTTGTCTATCTGCAAGCCCATTTATTCCCATTTTTTTTTCTCATACGGGCAAACCCAACCGCTCCCTACCAAAGTAACCACATAACGTCCCTTCATCCCTGACTTATACCTTGTCCTTCTGCAGGCACCACCGCCAGCTCCTGGTCTCCCTGCTGCCGACCTTCCCGGCCAACGAGCCCGAGTTCATCACGCACATCCTCTCGTTCGACGCCAAGAACTACCACGTCTGGACGTACCGGCAGTGGCTGTGCCGGCGGTTCCCGGACCCGCTGTTGACGACGGACGCAGAGCTGCGTGCGGTCGACGCGCTGATCCACGAGGACGTGCGCAACAACTCGGCCTGGAACCACCGGTACTTTGTGTGCTTCGGCGCCGAGGAGCTGGCGGCGATCGAGAACTCTCCGGGTGGCGGGATCCGCAAGGACGTGCTCGCGAGCGGCGGCGGCGGGCTGGTAGTCGACGAGGACGTGGTCGCGCGCGAGGTCAACTACGCAAAGGACCACATCGCCGCGGCCCCGCAGAACCCGTCGCCCTGGAACTACCTCCGCGGCGTACTCAAGCGCGCCGCCATCCCCGTCACCGACCTGCAGGTCTTCTGCGAGGGGTTCGTCGGCGGCAAGGACGCGGACCTCCTGAGCGACTCCGGCGCCGTGAGGAGCAGCCACGCCATCGACTGGCTGGCTGACATCTATCGCCTGGACGGCAAAGTCGAGAGGAGCAAGGCCTGTCTGGACGCGTTGGGCAGCAAGTGGGATCCCATCCGGAGGAAGTACTGGGATTGGAGGGCCAAACAGCTGGCTACTGACTAGACGGTACGACAGATGGTGAGGAAAAGGGCCGTGGGGACGGAATTGGATTGATTACAACCAGACTTTGCTTAAAGCGCCGTCTTCGAGTCTGCTAACGTCTTCTATGTCTAAGCGATTTCTACATTGATACCTCAAAAAGGGTCTAACGCTGTGAAGGGGCAAGAGTCGATGCCGAAATGTTTCATGCACGAAACCACAGCACCGCAAAACTCTCTTTCTCCCTCCGGTCTCTAAATCTTCTCATCCTTGTCGTGCACAATGATCCTGATCCCTTGGCTATCCAGCTTCACCCCGGCCGTGAACAGATCCCTCGTGGGCGTCGCATCGCTGTCGTCCGTTTGGTACATTTCCAGATTATACCTCATCACCATGGCGGCCACGGACATGTACAGCTGCGCGTACGCCAAGTGCATGCCGATGCAATTTCGGGATCCCTTGCCGAACGCCACGATGTATTTGTCCAGACGGCTGGTGGTCTTCCCCTCGGCGATGGCGTCTTCGTCCAGCCACCTCTCTGGATCGAATTTGCGGGGTTGCGGGAAGATGTTCTCGTCGATGAGGACCAGGTGCGGTGTCATGGCGACCGGCGTGCCGGCCGGGATGGTCCATTCCTTGTACTGGATTGGTTTGTCGTAGATCCGTGGCAAGCGAGACAGCATTCCACCGGCCATCCGGACGCCCTCTTTGATGACCGCGGTCAAGTAGGGCATCTTTTCCAACGACGTCCAGGGAGCCACCGGGTCACCGGGCGGGATCTCGACCTTGGACAGCTCCGCGCGCATCTTTGCCAACACGTCCGGGTTCTTCATGATGTGGTACGTGGTAATGGTAATAGCCCAGGCGGTTGTCTCAGAGCCCGCGGTGGCAATCAAGACGCCCTCGTCAATCAGCCGTTCATCGCTCAGTTCATCCTCGGGGAGATCGCTCGACAAAATCTGCGCGAAGATGGTGTCCTTGCGCCTCTTCTCGGTCTTGATGGCCTGCATTGTCTCTGGGTCCGATTTGATCTTCTTCACTTGGATCCCGACACGCTGCATCCAGGATTTCATGAAGCCGACCGGTGGAACGAGTTTGATCGCCACGGAGAGAGGCATGGACCGGACGATGGCCCCGATCAGTGGGAATGAGCGCACAATAGCCGCCGAGGCGCGTCCGCCAGTGTTGACGAGCTTCCAGGTCATGGCCCATTCCGGGTGGTGGATGTAATCGTACGTCCAGCCATAGGAACACTGCGTGAGCACATCGGTGGTCAAAGCCAAATACACGGCCTCAAGGTCCAGCACCTCCCGACTCCCCTTGATCTTGTCTAGTCGTTCGCACATGACGGCCAATTTCTCCTGGATGACGGGCATATTCGCGACAATGCTGGCCTTGGAGAAGAAAGGATTCAGAGCTCCTCGCCTCTTTCGATGGATCTCGTGCTCCACGGTCATGCCTCCGGCCGTGGGCACCGCAAAACCCCGTGTCCACCACGCCCACTTGTCAAGCTTCAAGCCGTACAACGCGTCGAAGAAGTCCGGATCATGAATGTGCACGTCGTCCGGATTGGTGCGAATGATCGGCCCATACTTTTCGTGCATTTCCTTGATCTTCCACACGTATTGATGGCCCTTGAAGACGTCGTAGTAGGTTTCATACCAGTACGAGGCGACGGCGAGTTTGGAGCCCGGGAATCGCCGAAGGGGATGGAAGTAGATCCTGTAGACGGCTAAGACGAGATCATAGGCGACTCTGGCCAGAATGAGGTAGCCTAGCAGGCCGAGCCATGTTGTGGACAGGCCGAAGCTGATGTCTTGTGGCGAAACCATACTTCCCGGCGCGAAGGTCGATCTTTTGGCTGATCTTGGGATCCGAGAGGCGTCCAACGCGCAAGGGAACGACCTGCTCCCAGTGCTCGAGGACAAGTTTCTCGAGAGACAGCAGCACTGGGAGAGGCGGTCTGATGTACGATTGAAGTGCGGACTTTGGGTCCAAAAGAATAGGGGTTGAAGGACCGGGGGGCGCAGCCGCCATCAACTCGGGAGTCGGCGAAAAGATAAGCCGTCATTACATCGTATTTTCGAAAGGCTCTCGCGCGGACAGCGGTGTCCCTTGCCCGAGTTCTTGGACAATGCCAGAGAGCAATACCTGGTATTTACAGCAGTAGATCACCTGGAGCTCGCACAAAGCAGTTGACCTTGCATATGCAGGACGATCACGATTTGACAGGATGGCGGACGTCGGAGCAAGCACCGGTAAGCGAATTTGAACGGCTACCCAACTACCATAAGAGGATTAGAGGATTGTCTTTGTGACGAGGACGCATATTGATATCATGTCAGGGCTGACCGGCGGGGTTCCAAGAGATTCGGTGTCAATTGGAATTGTTCATGCGTGTCTATGGCTTTTTGAGGGGGTATCCATCATCAGTTGAGATCTTCCGCACTGAAGCATCTCCTTCGACATGTAGGTCGTACTGCGTCGTCGTCGTCACATGGCGTTGAGGCCAATATCCGTCTCCCCCGTCAAATCACTCGTTCTGAATCTCCCCACCACTGTTTCTCACTGTTGGGCCGAAAAAGGTTTCAGTGGTGAAACAGTCTCGTGCTCTGCTCAATGAACGTTATCCCCAGGTTCTCTGCTGTGTCAAATACAGCGCCATCGTTCTGCGAGCCGGTCGGGGCAGCAATGTATTTCACGCCACTTCGCGCGGCTCGGTATACGTTGTCCACGAATGGGAACTGACTCATGTTAGTTGAAGAAAAGAGAAAAATCAGTGAGGGCAAAACAAAACTCACAAAGGCATCACTTGAAACCGCCACCTCGCCGAGTTTGCCCAACCATTGCCGTCTCTCCTCAGGAGAGAAGGGCTTCGGCACACACCCTTCTGCAAAATTGCTCTCATAATCTTTCGTTTCGAACTCGCTCTGGGGAGGCACTTGGCCCGAGCACAGCATGTCAATGGCATTGGATTTTTCCGACCGCTTGACCCCCTTGGCCCATGCTATCGACAGTGTGCGTTCATGAAACCGCATCCACCAGTTATCGGCCTTGTCGCCTGCTAGTCTCGTGCAGTGAATGCGACTCTGCTGCCCAGCACCGAGACCAATAACTTGACCGTTCAACGCGTAGCAGACAGAGTTTGACTGGGTGTATTTCACCGCGATGGTCGCCACAGTAAGGTCGCGCAGCGCCGAGTCCGAGAGCTTTGGAGAATCTTTCGGCCGGATAACGGAGTCGAATGTCTCGTTGGGCGAGATTTTCACGTCATTTCGTCCTTGCGTTAGTTGGACACCGTACACGGTACGTGTTTCTTGTGCGGGAGGCTCATAGCTCTCGTCCATTTGGAGGACCAGATATTTACCCCCTTTCTTCTTCTTGAGAATCTCAAGGGCTGCTGGCTCATACTCCGGCGCAATGACTCCATCGGAAACTTCTCGGGAGATGATCCTCGCGGTGGGGACGTCGCATTTGTCGGACAGAGCAATCACGTCGCCGAAGCTCGACATTCGATCCGCACCCCGCGCTCGAGCGTATGCCTGCGCTAGACCCGAAATCTCGATCCCTTCGATGTCGTCGACCATGTAGACTCGTCGCTCCTTTTCATTCAACGGTACCGCAATAGCGGCGCCGGCAGGAGAGACATGTTTAAAACTTGCAGCAGCTGGAAGCCCGAGTGCTTGCTTGAGTTCTTTCACAAGGGGCCAGGCATTTAGACAGTCAAGAAGATTGATGTAACCCGGCGAGCCACCTAAAACTTTGAAAGGCAGCTTCCCGTTGCGCACAAATGCAGCGGCGGGCTTTTGATGAGGGTTGGCGCCATATCGAAGAGAGAGCTGTTGCACACCATTCCCGGCATATTGTTTGCGGAAGAAGTCAGAAATGGCAGCGTCATAATCAGCGGTGTGTTCGAAAGCTTTCAGAGCATATCTCTGGCGACTCTCCTCAGGGATGTCGCCTTTGTCCAGTTCCTGAAGAAAGTGGTGATAGTCTTCGGGGTCGCTCAGAATAGTAACCCTAGCATGGTTCTTGGCTGCTGCTCTGATCAGGGTGACCCCTCCAATATCGATTTCTTCCACGGCTTCAGGGATAGTCACGTTGATCTTCGCAACAGTGTCTTTGAACGGGTACAAGTTGCAGACGACATAGTCGACTTTGTTGATGTTCTGGTCAGCGAGATCCTTCTCGTCAGAAGCGAGATCTCTAGCCAAGATTCCTGCGTGGACGGCCGGATGAAGGGTCTTGACTCGACCGGAGAGCATTTCGGGTGCTTTTGTGATGGCGGAGACATCTCTAAAGAGCATTAGCACATTCGGAGGGTTTGGCAAGGTAGGAAATCCCGCACTCAACGGCGAACCCAGCCTCGCGGATCATTTTCGCCGTCCCGCCAGAAGCGAGAAGGCGAACATTCTGCTTGATCAAGCCTTTCGCGAGATCGAGTAGGCCAGTTTTGTCATAGACGGAAAGAATGGCTAACTGTGTTAGAACGAGGTGTGAACTGTGGAGGGTCACGTGGCAAAGGTGACATGCCTATCTTCTGGGAAGCCATTGTATCGCAGACCACTCAATGCTTGGAGTTTGGAGACTTGGAGGAGGAAATTGCTGTGTCGGTGGATGAGTCGTCTACAGAACAAGCCACATTGACTGATGGTGATTAGCGATAAGTTCTGCAGGAAGTCTTGCAGGGCGAACTTCAAGGTGATAATTTTTCCACCTTTAACTCCCGAATATGCAAAACATGCGATTGGAATCATGCAAGAAATTTCAAGATTGCACTTCAAGGTCTACGTGCTCAACGTAGTGCCAAGTCCTACGGGGAAGTATCTGTATCATTTCCTCACCTTGGCCCAAACTTGTCGTGCTTGTCCTTGTTGCCCACCCGCAGAGAAAAGACGTCCCCTCAAGCATTGATTCCACTGCCACGTCGTTGACTCGACCGCCGAAACCCTTCTAACCGCGTCCGTGTCGGCGAGTGAGCATGTGGGGAAACGTGCCTCCTCCGCAAGACATATGACATAAGCGATACGGCCTCGCATGTGGGTGGCAATCACCGAAGAGGCGGCCGAGGTGTCGCGCCGTTGTCAATGACATCAAATATGGAATATCGTCAGAAATCGCCAGATCGATCTGCGACAAGGGGATCAACCCTTCTCTGCGGCCTTCCAGTGTATAGTCCCTCTCGAAGCACATGTATCGACCTTGATTGTCTGATTCGTCCAATCTGTCGAAAGAGGATTCGGTTCAGCCTGGTCAGAAAAGGAGGTATGCGTGAAGAATGATACATGGATTGCAGTGCGAGGCCACGAGAAAGTCAATCCCGACGTCATGCCCTCCCTTTCCCTCGTTCCTTCCGCTCTTCCTTGGACATGCACAATGGCAGATATAATCAACAACCCTCGTTCTGAGGGACCTATCCATCTTGACACCCCAAAGCAGTCTCCAGCAGAGACTTTAGTTGAAAGCGGTCTGCCTCCGTCCACATGATCTGTCACCATGCAGAACCAAGAACACGAAGAACCCAGGCAGGATTGGGTAGCGCCCACAGAGAGGGATATCTCCTTCCAAGGTCTGCCACGCGAGCACGAGTCCCTCCTCAAGGAGACCTTGTACCCCGATGATGCATTCAAGGGCACGACCTACTGGGCTGACCTACCGGCCGGAGAACGTACCAAATGGGTGAACGACCAACATAGCTCGGAGGCCAGGCGAGAACTAAGGGACGTGTGGCAAATGTTCAAGGCTGACCCTCTGGATCCAATCAACCGATATCTTCATAACTATGCCGTCACCGGCGTCGGATTCTTCACCGAGGGTTACGTCTTGTTCTCTGTGGGGAATGTCCTACCCCTCCTGGAAGTCGTGTGGCCTCAGTGCTGGAGGAAGCATTCAGTCTGCGACAAAACCATGGTGCAGGCCATCAGCTACATGGAGATTCTCGGTATCATCTGTGGGCAAATCCTAGTTGGTATCACTGGCGATTGGATTGGCCGGCGCTGGGGCCTGATTCAAGACGCGCTCATCATGTTGACCGGGACCATTCTTCTGACATCAATGTGGGGTGTTACGCTGTCCGGGTGGACAGTCATGTATGGAATCAGCCTCTTCTGGTTCTCGGTTGGAGTGGGTGGCGAGTATCCCATGACCTCGTCCACCGCCATGGAAGGTATCCATGGCCAAGCAAGCTCAAGGAATGACCGATTGCATCGGGGTCGGTCGGTGGCGTTGGCATTCTTGATGCAAGGCTGGGGGCAACTCGGAAACCAGCTGGTACTTATTTTGGTCATGCTCATCTTCAACCACAGCCTCAATCCCGGGTACGGCAAAACCGCGGCTCAGGCGACCTTTCGAATCTCGTTTGGTATTGCCGGACTTTGCCTCCTTTACTTCTTGTATCTTCGTGTGTACAAGCTGAAAGGCGTGGATCAATCCCTCAAGGCCTCGAGAAAGAAGGGCGAAGTGACGGGATATGACGTGACGTCGTTGAAACTGACCATGAATCACTATTGGCATCGACTTCTGGCTACGAGCTTGTGTTGGTTTTGCAATGACTTTCCTTTCTACGGCAATCAGATCTTCAGGAATGTCTTTCTTCAGATTGTCACTTCCAGCTCCAGCCAGGTGGGAACGTTGTGGCTCTACAATTTGATCAACATCGGCTGTGAGCTTGCCGGTTACTACCTGGCCGCCCTCTTCATGGATCACAAATTCTATGGCCGCAAAAGAATGCAAGCCGTGGGGTTTATCATGTCCTTCATTCTGTTTATCATTGCTGCGGGGCTTTACCCAGTGTTGGACGTCAAGGGGCCAGGGGGGAAGGCCTTTGAATTTATCTACTTTTTCAGCAGTTTCTGGATTCAATTTGGACCCAACTCCACGACGTTCTTGGTGGCAGGCGAGGTGTATCCTGCTCCCATTCGAGCTACTGCGCATGGGTTTAGCGCAGCGGTTGGCAAGTTGGGGGCTCTCTGTGCAACTATCATCTACAACTACATCGGGGGCAGGACCAAGTTTTGGGTAAGTTATGGGTCAGCTAACTTCTGAGAAGCGGGTACTAATGGATTTGACAGGTCGTCAGCTGGTTTGGGCTTATCGGCTTTATTGTCACCATTTTATTCATCCCAGATACAACAGGTCTTGACCTTCGTGAACAAGAGCGATACTGGTATTTCGTTCGGGAAGGACGATCTCAGGATTATCACGGCATCGCGATTCATCCCAGACATCTCAGTTGGTACGAACGAGTCGTCTTGAAGCGACACCACCAGTATAACCCAGAGCTAGATCGTCTCGCTCGGATCAACGAGCTCCGGGAATTGTACGAGAAAGTCGAGGGTGTCAAGGGTGCCGAAACAGACGATGAAAAGACTCTCCCGGGAACGAACCAGGGTGATCTGGACGACAACGTCAGCAGATACTTCGACATGGAACGGCGAAGTGGGAAGAAAAATAATGTGTAAATGTCCAGGCGTGTTGGGACTGGACGGGGTGTGGTTAATGTCATTTTCTTACCAAAAAGTCTGGACACACAAGATTATGGAACGTGAATGGTTTATCACTGTTCACTAGTGCCTAATAGTTGTTTTGATGGATGCAATGTACTGTAATAGCAACTGGGAAGATGCTTGTTTTCTCGGTCACAACTGCTCTACCGCAGAACCGCAGAACCGCAGAACCGGGTAAATGTTTTTCCGGGCTCGGCACTGTAAAGGGGTCAGGGGCTCTCGCAACCCCTGTGCCAGCCTTGCATGAGCCCACAGACGTCTACTGGCTTCAAAAGGGGCTGCTCTCGAGGATCGATATCCTTGCTGTCCACTGTAGCCGGGAGCTTCTTTGGCGGCTGCAAGTTTGTCAGAATCTTCAGGCAGCAAGCGAGGAAGGATTAGACTCTAGTCATGCTGGGGAATACCACATCCGAAGAGTTCCACAGCCTCCTATTGATACGGCCCACGTACGCACTGTATCGCTAATAATGTCCTGCCACCGCACCTGCTCTGGAGTGCGAGCAGCGAGATAGACAGTCAGCGATCTGCGCAACTCCAAGAGCACCGGTCCCGACAATCTTCGCGGCGACACGGCTAGGTTGGGACGGGTGTCTGTGGATCTCGAGATAGCGTTCGTCTGGAGATCCATGGCTAAAGCTTCCTTCCACCTTGTTGCAATCTTCTTATCACTTTCACTTCTATCTCACCACAGTCGAGGCTAGTTCGGCAGCTTGCTATTGTGGTGATTGAAGTGGACGTGTCATTGTCACACACCTGCCACCGGTCAGGCACAATTCACTTCGTGCTTCGTGCTCATCCGAGTTGGGGGATCATGTGACGGACGGGTGCCTGCCCGATTCAGCGCAAACTCAATATCAAGATACAACTGAACGTCATTCTCTTGTCCTGGTTATTACTAGTTCCTAACGGCTCCTACCAGTTCCTACCAGTTTCCTTCACACAGACATTTTTCAGAACGAACCTGAATTCTCACACCCGGTTCCCATCTCAAAAAGATTCTCTTGTGCGTCCCTCTCGACCCAAGAATCTCTCTTTCATCTCATCCAACCTCTGGCCCACAAAGTATCTTCTGCATCACTCCTCGTCCAGGCTATGCTCATGCAAAGAGCAAAGCGCCATCATGTCATCGTCAAAGCGTAACCGCATGCTTCCTCACCGTAACCGCCAGCATGTCCTCCGCCCTGTGCCTCAACCTCGAGGCCCGCCTGCTCCTCGTCCACAAGCAGAGACTCGTCGTCCACCTACTGCGCCCATCGCCAAAGCCCCCAGATCTGCACCCTCCCGATCTTCGAAGCCTTTCTCCTTCTTCAAGCTGCCCGGTGAGATCAGGAACCGGATCTATGATCTTATCATTCCCGAAGCTCGAGTGATCATCTCGGCCAACCACCCCCAAAAGGAACTTCAGCTGATGAAGCAACGAGAGCCCTTCAAGAAGCACAAGCCATCACCTCACCGTCTGCTCGGCCAGTTCACTAGCAACGCCACCGAGATCGGCCTTCTCTTGAGCTGTCGTCAGATGAACCGTGAAGTCGTCAAATTCATCTATTCTAGAACCACGTTCTGCTTCGACCGCATCGTCGTGTTGCGAAGTTTTCTCAAGACCATTCCCGCAGAAGCTCACGCGAGCATCCAAGCCCTTGAGATCACCCACGTAGGGTACGCCGAACCCAACTGGCTGGCTGACCGCCGGTGGAAATTGAGACACGATGCGAAATGGGCCATGGTTTTACGACAGATCCGGCATCAGGTGACCGCGCTTCGGCACCTGACCCTTGATGTCACTTTCTTCGACTGGCCGTGCCGGCTGGACGTCTCGGAGAAGTGGGCTCGACCTTTTCTGGAACTTGCTGGGGACGGCCTGCAGCGCGTGGATATCACACTAACTCACGAGCGATTCCATCCATTCAAGGTAGCAGCGACTGCCAAAGAGCTGGAAAACAAGATGGTGAGTGCAGAAGCAAGAAAGACGAGAAGACGGGACGAGAAGCTCAAGATGGAGATGGAAAGGAAGCGGCTGGAGGAATCCAAGCGTAAAGCGACCAAGGCGTTGAAGATCAAACTCCCGCCTGGCGACAATACTCCTAGCTTGAATATGGGTAACAAGAAGGTGGTGAAGAGCAAAGGCCTGGAACAATACGCAGTGGCACAACCTCCTGTGGCATACTGTTGAAAGTCGAATGACTTGGCGCCGAGGGTGGGCATGAGACCGATCGGGGGAGGGCGTTGATATCCACAAGGACACAGGCTGATTACGGGGGAGGATGAAAATAAACGGGGAAAATATGGTCAAACTGCATTATTGAAGGCTGTTTGGCATCAGGCGGCTCGAGCAAGGGATGAACGGAGCACGGAGTAACGTGACAATCTTCATCCAGGGCAGGGGATAGTGCGTATTGTTAATGACGGGTGGACCAAACGAGCAACAACAGTGCATTTCTGCTAGAAGTGGGCGTGCATTATCTCTGCAAACGGAAGGGGGTTAAGCGCCAATCACAGATTATTCCTGGGAGACATCAAAGGATAGCAATGGGCAGAAGAAGTACGGAATAGAGCACACAGGTCGGTAATTGTTCCAAACATAGAAAACTCTAGGGTTGATGATCATGGGCACTGACTGGGCGGCTGCAGGTGGCAGCTTGCAGGCCCAAAAATAGCCAATGAGCCGAGTGACCTCTAGTTGGGCATTACTATTATTCTTTAGGCCCTGCGTGAGGGGAAGGGATCCCCCACTGCAGCTCGGCAGGCCTAGAACCTGCAGGGCGCCCGTCACCCACCACGGGGATGATGTGCCACCCCGAGCACCCAGGCCAGGTCAGGTCGGGTCAGGTACCTCCGACTGCTTCTTGCTGCCATCCTTGGGGGGCACCTGTGAGTGCTATACTGAGTACTCCGTACCTAGGCGGCGACTGAGCTGCAAGTGCTCGTAGTGGCTACTGCTACTGCACGGGCACCTCTCCACCACCACTCGTCCTTGGTTCCCTGGGCCCTAGGCCCTGGCATCCGGTATCCGATCTTCCACAGTGGCCAGCCTGAGATAGAAACATCCAACATGCGCCAATGCACAGCGTGCAGCGCATCACTTGGTCCCCAGTGGCTGGCAATGTGATGGCCCAGTTCCTTCGCAGCTCATTCGCCACGGCGCGGCGCTTCCTCAAGGCCTCGTGTCCAATCAACCCAGAATTGATCACCTTGATCACCTTTGCTGCCCCTCTTGGCTGCATTCTCGTCCATCTCAACCTCCCGCAGTCTCTCTGTCTCTACACCTGTCGCTCTCATCCTCAAGCGCCCAGGTCAATCCACCCCTCCCATCTCGGAAAAGAATGGATTTCATCTTAACATAGTCAAGTCACCGTATGGGAAACAGAAAGGTAGGGTTCGTCAAGAAGCTTCATTTACTACTCAACCCAGGTCTCGTCCTCGTCCTCGTCCTCTTCCTCTTCCTCCTCACCTTCACCTCTCCCTCCAGCCTCGATCCTTCGCCCTCTCTCCGGCCTTATATTCCCTTTTTCCAAAGCTCGCGCAGGCTTCGCTGAGTCGTTGTGTCTTTTGTCTTTGATCTTGGCCCATTGCCCCCAAGCACCGCCCTGCATTGCCCGCCTGACCGCATCTCCTCCGAAAATCCAAGAGAACAAGAGGCCGGTTGACCGACCTCAAAGCGCCAATTGCGACCACGCTTGTTCCACCCTGCATTTCGTGGTAGTTTTCGAGCCCATTTGCAGACTACTGTTTGCCCGCTACACCCTTCGAACAAGTCACACTTGGGCCCAGCGAAGCGCCTCGGGTTGTCAGCTCACAAGTCCAAGTCGACCAACCTAATACTCGACCTTCTCGCCCATCAGCCTCTTGTGTCTCTCTCACTCTTCACTCAACCACCTCACCACCTTCGGTTTTTTTTTTATTTCTCTCCCCTAAGATCTGAGCTGGTTCTCGATAATATAACAACATATTACTATCGTATAACTCTCTGCCGGATCTCGAGAGAATACCGCCTCCCGCCTGTTATATCTGTTCCCGTCTCACGTCAGCATCGGCCAACTGCCAGTCAAGCCTCCCGACTTACAAACGAGCATCTGCACTGCAGCACCCAGGCGTGCTCCGATCAACTGCCACCTGCGCCTTGGGGAATCCCTGTCCCACGCTACCCAAAGACTGGGCTGAGGTTATCGCCTCCCCGATAAAGAACAGGCCCTTTCCCTCCCCACCATGTCACCATCAAACTTCGAGCCTGTGTCTCCCATCGACCTCACCGTCGATTCGCAAACCCGCTCCCACCACACTCAACGCTTCGCCAACGACCCAGACCTAGACGAGAAATCCGACATCAAAGCAACCACTCGCTCGATCCGGACAAATTCAACGGCCTCTTCACGCTCTTCCATCACCGCCGGCGGCAACAAGCGCCCGAGGCGGGCTCGCTTTGCCGAGGCGACCTCTGTCTTCTCGCCCGCCTCAGGTCCTGGTGAGAATCAGTCACCCTTCGCCGATCCTCCTGCCACCGGCAAGATGGAGGACGGCTTCGGCAGCGTGCAAAGCGCCAAACCATCAGATGTGGGATTCGGCTACATCGCAGACAACCAGCCCGTCGAGCAGACCGTATATATTCGATCCGATCCCAATGGTGCCGCGGGACAACCTCTGAAATCCGCCATGAAGACACCGGGCACCGCATCCAGAATGTTGAACCCCCTCTCTCCAACGTTCCGAGAAGAACAAATGCTCGAGAAGGAGGAAATGAAGACCGAGATCCAACAGGCCAAAGATCTGGTAGGTTCTCTCCAACCACCCCCAGTGGTCGCTTTCTAACCTGTAATGCAGAAAGTCAAAACCCGCGTACGCATGGCCAAAATGGTCCTCCGAGGTGTCAACTTCTCCTGTTCCCTCATCGTGCTCGCCATGCTCTCGACTGTCTTGACGATTTTCCACGCCACCAAATCCATACCAGCGCGAAACAACCTGCCTCCGTGGGCGGCGGGTCAAAAGCTCTGGCCGCAAATCGTCGTGCTATCCATTGCTTGCGTTTCGCTCCTCTTCTCCATCGTGGTGATTTTGGCCTACTGCCGTGGTGGACACAAGCGCGCCGAGAAGGTCGCCGTGTATTACACCATGTTTGCGGTGGGGTGGTTCATGTTCAGCATTGTCATGTGGCTGGTCGGCGCGGGCATCCTGCATGGCAGCAAAGCCTCGGGCAACGGCCAGGATCTCTGGGGCTGGTCCTGCAAGGACAACAAACGACGCCAACTCTTCGAAGACGATATCCACTACGCCCTCGTGTGTCGTCTGCAGGATTGGTCCTTGATCTGCTGCATCATCGAAGTCGTTGTCGAAGTGATCGTGATCGCCATCTACGGCATTGTCTTCTACCGATTCTGGAGCAAGAACCGACTCAGGAAATCCATGGACGCGCGCGACCGCGCCCGAACCGACCTGTACCTCGCGCAATTGAGGACTCAGTCTGCGCCCAACACACCGGGCTTCGCTCAGACGCCCAGAACTCCCGGATTCCCGTCTGCACTTAAGTCACCGCACGACATGTACTCGGCGGCAGAACGAGGCACCTCACCGGTACAATTCGCCTCGCCACACAGCAACACCACTCCATCAACATTCAAACTCCAAGCCCCACCCATCCGAGTAACGAAAGCAACTCCCGTCTCCACCGCGACGGAGGGCATCAGCTCACCGAGAGTATTCTCATCGTCATCACCGCCTCCTCAGCCGCCCATGTCTCCTCCACCGGAAGAGCGGGTACACCAACACATGGGCGCGGCGCCGGGAGAACAACAGTACGATGCCGTCCCGATCCCTGGGGCGAACTACGTACCACCCAGTCACAACCAAGGACAGCCGGGACAGGCATATTAGAGGGGAAAAAAAACCAAGATGCCCTGTCTCGGGAGAAAGAGGAGAAGAGACTCGTGTTAATCGGATGATATTGTACAGGACTAATACAGTGGGGCTGCCTCTCCGGAGCAGGGAGTACGGGATGTATACCTCGTATGTTGGGATGAAATATCTATCATGAGCGCTATATTTAACAATTTTTTTTTTGTTACCAAAGCTATATTCCCAGCCTCGAGAAGACGGGAATCAGAAAGGGGGGAAAGCCAGGTGCCAGGACAAACCCAACCCAAGACTTTGTCAAGTCGAAAGCCATTTTCTTTTCTATTTCTCTCGAATTAAACAAAGACACCTTTTCATCATCCAGCACGCCCTTTCTTTTCTATGCTCGCTCGTGGAATAGGGGGGCGTATATGTTACTGTGCCCAAGTCGCCAGATTCAAGGCTATCCATTGATTGATCCATCCCCCCCCCCCCCTCTCTCCCGGGTCGAGGCTCTGAAATTAAAAAAAGATGTCAAGACTTCGAGCACTGAAGACCGTGTACTGCGTACCTACTACGCAGGTAATGGTCATTGCCCACTTGAACACCTACCCGTTTGCACTATGCATGTGCCCTAGTACACGCTTGTCTCTTTGCCGTGCGTCATGCCCACGCCTATGCCCTTGCCCATGCTTATGTCCACCCATGGCCTCAGCCCTGTCCTTGACGCCAACCTTGGCCTCCAAACCTCAAAGTCACGCTCCTCGTTATTTCCCCCCTTGCCCGCCGCTCGCCGGGCCCAACGCCCATCCATCTCCTCGACACGCGACCAGCTAGCTACTCAGCACCCACAGTCCGTATTTCTTCAGATCGGGATCTGGCTTTAGATTGCACGACGAGCTGTCAGCCATGGCGCCGTCAAATCTCCGCTGTTAGAAAGGGAAAGTTAGGGGGGCGGGCATGGGGTGGTTTCCGAAGAGCATAGGGGTCTGTCTATCGGTCTGTCTATGTGTGCAGGGAAACGAAGAAGGGGGGAAAAGGCGGGGAGAACAAATGCAATACTGCAACAGAGCCCCTTCACAACCAACACTATGGTGTGTGGTGAGTGGTCTAGCGGGAGTACAGTGTAGATGGGAGGATGGGAGGGAGGGAGGGAGGATGTGAAGCACATGGGCAAAACAACAACACTATTTGCATGGATGGATGGGCCTGAATATACTTGTACACGGGGAGTTGGATTGGATGGAATTCGTGGGGGTTCAATGAATCATTGAGACCCATCAATCAAAAAGGTTCCAAGAATTATTTCACGCACCTCCAGCTGGCCATGCTGGCTCGTTCCCAATCGCTGTCCCAAGCCCAGTGCCACGGCCTCGTGGCATTCATGTCGAGAGTGTTGTTGTCCGCGTCCGCGCCCGTAGTTGCGCCCTTTGCCCGGCCATTCCGTTTGACAGTCTTGACGGGTTTGTTCGTGTTCGTGTTCGTGTTCATCATCCCTAAAAACAGACCATAAAATACAGACCACGCCTTCACATCAGCCCGCCGTACGGATCATCCTGCCTCTCGAAGTAGGCGCGCTTCGTACCTTCTCCTGATGCCCACCGGTGCCGCGGCGCGTACGACGTCGGCGACGGCGAGATGCGCAGGCCCAGAAACCTGTACGACTTGGACAGCACGTCGGTCGGGGTGGTCGAGGACGACGACGACGACTTGGGCTTGGCGGAGTGGTGGTGGTGGAAGCGGGAGGATTTCGTGCTCGAACCCCTTCTCTCTGCGTCCGGGGCGGCAGCAGCAGCACTCCTCGTGGGCGACGACGCAGTCGGAGACGGCGTCTGCGAGGGCGTGTAAGGCGGCGTCGTTGTCGTCGTCACTTGCGGGCGGTGTTGCTCGAACATGGCTTTGACCTGCTCCATGCTCCTCGCGTGGCTGGCGTAGTCCAGCTCCAGCACGTCCTGCTCCCCCTGCTGCCCTCGCTCGATCTGCGAGAGGTACTCCTTGACGGCCTCTCCGGCGAACGCCAGAACCGCGTCGGCGTCGAAGTTCGGGGACGGCTCGAGGATCCCGGCTCCCACCAGCATATCAATCGCGGCAAGGAGCCAGTCCTCTTCGGGCCCGTAGGTCGGGGTCCGGTAGAGCAACGTCGAGACTTTGGACGCGAGCTTGGTGACGGGGAGGTGATGCGTGCTCAGAAGCATCCGGAGAGACAGGCGGAATGGCTGGTTGGGAATGTCCGAGCTGATGTCTGTCGTCGTCACCTGGGGAGTCTCGGCAGCAGCGTCCGCGTCGGATGGCGACGAGTCCGATTGCTCGGCGGAGTCCACCTTGGCCTTCACGGGGACGGGGTACACCTGCTGACGGAGTTGGTGATTGTGCATGTCATAGAGAACCGTTTCAAACGGCGGAGCCGCAGGACTGCTGGTCTTCGACAGGAGCCGCGGGGTCGAGAAGAAGGACTTGGCCTTCGGCCTTGGTGCAGACGGCTGCTGGGCACCACGCTGTTGGGCTTCGGTTGCTGGCGTGAGCAGGATGGCCCAGTGAATAGCATTGACCCCTTGTTCGGCCGACCGCGAAGGCGAGAAGCCCAAGACTGTGATCTGCGACATTTCCTTTGCCCTCTCGTTGACGTCCTCGGAAAATGGGAAAAACCACTTCCACCGCTCTTGACAAATTCAATTGTCGTTCAAAGACCTAAAAGTGTCCTCTCGGAAAAAGAACCAAAAAAAAAGAATCCCAAATCCTTCAGTGGGGAAAGGAAACAACAATCTGTGAAAAGATAGGACCTGAGGTTTCTATATTTCCTCCCAGAAAGCTTAGAAGTGTCCTCACAAGGATGACGATAGCGCTGGTGACGGCGGGTGTCTGATAGCTCTGTAGGAACTCGGGGCGATAATCCTGCCGGTTCGGGAGTGCTGATGTTGATGACTGTAAGGCTGATGCCCCTGACAGCAGCGGTAAGGATGAGTGATCCGGGGCTGATGGGTGAGGATGAGTGATACGGCAAAATAAGAGGGATGGCTCTCTCTTCAGTATCGGGTCCTCGATGGGGTAACTCGTAAACAAGATAAAATCTTGGATTTCGTAACGTTATGCTGGTCTCTCGACTTTGAGGACTCTTTGAATGGAACAGGGACAATATATCTCGTCTTGAAGAAGGGCCTTCGAACCTTTCGCTTTTGCCAGGCCGTGTGATGTAACAATTCGTTTAGTCCTCGCTGTGAGCTTTCCTTCCTGTCTTGGACTTCGTTTACTTATTGACAGGTATTGCACTTCCCTCAGCTCATAGAGCGCCTGACTTTGTGGTGGCCTGCGGGCCTAACTTGAAACGACCAATACAGTGTCGACTGATATGCAAGGGACCAAGGAGCAGCTAAAGCCCAATAGCTGCCTAATTGGACGTCTCTTCGTGTTCGTAATAGTGATGAGACAAATGATGCCCGGTGAGAGCCTCGGCTACTGTGGCATCAACAAGTAATCAAGGCTGCTGGGCGTGAGATTCAAATCGGATCTCAAATGATTCGTCGAAAGGAGACTGAAAGGACGGTGGTAGGACAGAATGGCCTTGGATTTCCGGATTTGGAAGCTGGGAAGAGCGGTCCAAGATGTTAGGGGAGGGCAACAGAAGAGCAGGGCTTGATATAGGGAGAAAAGGTCTCGTGGTTCACCATCACCTGGTGGCCGGTTTTATGCCGGCTTCCATCCCATGTGCCTCGAAGCCATGAGAGAAACAGGGGATGGGGATGGGGATGATGACATCTGGCATGGCCATCAAATCACGCATGCTGTCTGTATTTTTTCTTGCATCTCCTGAAGTTTCCATCGTCAAGTGGATGCTCGAATCATCGTTGCGGCAATTTGTCCGGGGATGATCATTCTGGCGTCCATTGTCAGCCTCGTGGTTGGTTGAAGCCCCTTGCACGTTGTTTGTGGCCCTCCGACGTCTTCCATCCAATGCCACGACGGCCTTTGCTGACTCACGGGTTGTGTCCGAGTCTTCGCCGATTAGGCTGAGTTCCATCCGGAGCCTCGACGGCGACCCATGGAGAAGATTGGTGCTCGCCGGTAAACAGACCGTATCCTTTTTCTCGTATGGTGCTCTCGAACGCGGTAGACGCATACGTAGGGCGTGCATACGAGGGCGATCTGGAGTAACATCAGAGCACTAGTACTAGCTTAATGTACCTCTCGTTTCGGAGATGCCATCAAAGGCGCATGTGGCGTAGCAGTCTCGGGGATTCCTTATGATGCGGCGGTGAGGCTCTGCGTCAGAGCCTGGTTGAAAATGCAGCGTCACTGCCACCTATATCATCACTAAACTTAAGAGAGGAACACCTTGTGGTCTCCACGGTAGTAGTGTAAGGCGATACTCGATTGAGGGATAGAAGGTAGGGGATGTCGGCGTAAATTTTGTCTCGGGCAGCATGGCTGTACTGTGCTCAATGGAAAGTAGCAGCGTGAAAACTGGTCGTTGCCAGAATCTTAGATGCCATTGTTATCGGGGTCGGAGCAAGCATCGGTGCAGAACCCAAGGCAGATATTCACGCGAGAAGATCTCTACTCGTCGAAAAGGAAGCGAACGAAGGTGGTGGTGACCTTCAGTCAGCTTAGCGCGACACTCAAGACTAAGGAGCGAGTCATTGACTGACACAAGAACACGGCAGATATTCATTGAGTTCGAGCAGGAGTGGTCTTGTACAAAACCTCACTTTGTCACGGGAAGCTGCACCGTGAGGTGAAACACACAGAGGGAGACCGCTTGGGTCACAAGACCTATTCTCAGATGCGAAAGCTTGGGTGGAAGGGTATCATTTGGAATATAGTTGGATCTTGTCATATCGGAGTGTCAGTTGTTGTACAACGAGGGTGATAACTGAAATGTTATTACACGAGAATGATGGCTTTTTCGAATGTTCATCTGCACAGCTGACAAGGTGAATGCCCATGTTGCCTTGTTCTAACGCCCAGTCCAGCCGTGCTTTGGAGAGTCATCACCATCAGAGAACTCGGCCACATTAGCTCGAGGGAAATCGCTCTTTGCCATACATTGAATCCTTTGCTGCAAGCTTTCCGCAGCGATCTGATTGTGACGGCCCCAAACACCTCTGTTCACATGGTTGGGGGATAGCTTCCTCCCCGCTTCCTGTTGAAAGCACGCTGGTCTTTGAGCCACCGTCGGTAGCCAGCCACACTTCCCACTTTCTCACCATAGAAATCAGGTACTGGATTGTTGGTGCTCGCGCCACTTGGGTTGACTCTGTGTTTTTTGATCCTTTCAAAAAATTCTCGCTCTTTTTTGTTGAACTCTGGCAGACGACTTCGATGCAACAGTCTCCAGAGAGTGTTTCCAAAAGCAGGGCCAATCAGCCAGCCAAAGAATGTGGCTCCAAATGTTGCAATCCCAATACCAATGACCGGATCGGTAGGAATGATTTTTGTGATGTTATCAGCAAAGGCCGGGATTTCGGAAAATGCGACCAACGCTCCGGTCGTAGAAGCAAACGACGTAATGATTGAAGAGGTGAGGGCGTAGCGACGCCGCACAGTTCGAAGGCGGAAGAAGGTATTCCAATCTAGAGCAGTGGGAGAGGAGGACGGCGGCGGAGATGTGGAGGTTGTGGAGGCGGAGACATTTGAGGATGTCGATGCATTCCTCGTCCGACACAGAGAGGGAGTAAAGAATGAGGAAGGCGTCGTGGTTGAGGACGGCGGATTTGCAGCTAGAGGTGTCAATTTTGATGCTGAGACTCGGTGATGGCTTTGGGCAATCGCAGCTGCCGACGAGATCTCGCGTCGTGATGTCGACAAGGCTTTTTTCGTCGGGGCCAGGCTCGCACGAGTCTGGATCAGCTGTAGACCCAACCTCGCAGACCTGGTGGACATTGTGAGTCGGATCCCAGCTGGTTGCTGATGGCAGAGGATTGAACAAAAGTTTTCGGACCCAACAGGTGATGCCCAAGGTGTCTCGGTTCAGGTTATCAGATCAAAAGCGGGAAAGACACTGGTGAAGATCCGGCCCATGTACCAGATGGGACCAATAGTAAGGGCTAACCAGCTGCTCTTCACCAATCGAGGATGGATTTACGAGAGCATTCAGCCACTTTGCAATTATTTGGAGTCGTAGCTGATCTGAGACGGGACGCAGCTTTGGTGATGGTGGTCGAAACCCTTGGGCCGAACACGTGCCATTGGGGTGCCCGGCCCAAAGTCCCTCACTAGAGTGCCCTAAACTTTGCACCCACGGGCACCACGGGCACCACGGGCGCTCCTGTGGTGCCCCCTAGCTAGCACTTAGTTAACCAAGGTGATGGCATCGGCTTGTTTACTTAGGCGCAGTCCAGTCCCAGCAAGAGTTACGGTACGCTCACTGCGCCATGCCTCGCATCGGAGGGGTGCCCAGTGCCCAGTGCCCACTGGCCCGTGATCCGGGAGTCTCAAAGTCAGCATCAACTGGTTGGACATTATTGTGGCCCGTGCATTCCGCAGGAAGAGGTTCTCAGTTCAGCTCGGGTAATTATGGACCCCCTCTGGAAGTCCTCGAGGGTTCTTTCTCGATGCAGCTTTTAGCACAGATGGTCTAGCCCTCGAGTGTGTTCGGAAGCTCACGCCCGGCTCACCATGTCCACCTCGTCCGCCTTGTGCGCCATTGCACCATCCGGCCAGGCAAAAAACAGTGTGGTTAGAGTCCTTGTCTAGCCTATTCGTTGCCTTTGACTCGCCCAGAGCCCTCGCCTGGGCCGCCTGGGAAAGGCTCAACACTGCGCCTCTTTTGGTTAACCTACCAAAGACCGATAAACCTATCAGTGTCTATTCCATCCCCTTTCTTATCCAGAGTTACCTCGAGTTGGAGGTTGTGTGGTCATGGCACGCTGTCTGCCGTATCCTCCCCGCCTATGCCGCTTTCGCACCTGAAGCCAGCGCCAGCATCTCGCCAGTCCCAAGTGTGTCCCGCGTCGGCGGTCTTCGAGTTTAACTAGTCCTCGCAATCCTTTCCTCAAACTTATCTACTTCTCGTCGAGAATGACTCTGAGATGACCACTTCATTCCACACCCAGTCCGATTCCGTCTCCGCACAAACGCTGATGTTGCTGTCCCACGACCATCACCGGTGACAAGTCTCCGCCGACGCCATGCCGCGCCCAAAGAAACCCGACCAGGATGGGAAAGAGGTCAAGAAACGCTCCAGGAATGGTTGCTGGTTGGTCCATACTTCCTTACAGCGGCGAGCTCAATAACTCATGTTTCCTTTGCGCAGGCCTTGCAAGTCGAGGAAGGTCAAATGGTACGTTGCTCTTCCGCTCCGCCTGTGAAATGGCTGGTTTCGTGCTGACAAGGTGTATTCCAGTGGTGAGGAGAAGCCAACCTGCGCCAACTGTCAGCGACAAGGCGAAACCTGCGATTACAGTATTCGATTGAATTGGGATGGTCGGAACAAGAAGAAAGAGGAAGGGAATGCAAAGCCTGGCGCGCAGATTCTGTCGTTTAGCAGTCCGCAACCTCCCTCGAATGGATACACCAACGGCTCCCTCGAGCAGAGTCCCAACATCCACGACCAGATCTTAGCCCCTCCAGTCACCATCCAGGCTCCCGACTATGCAGTCGACCAACCTTCTGCAGACTCCGGGTTGCCATCGATTAATCATTTCTCAAACAGTCTCGCTGTCCCGGCGACGACCGATTTCAACCCTGCGATCCTTCCACCTCCGCCGATGCTGAGAACTCCCCAGTGGGGTGACAGCACGAATGTGAATCCTCCCTCTATGCCCGACCCGACTCTCATCCCACCCTCTGTGCGACATCCGCTGTCGCTGCCACCCTATCCTTCTCCGTCAGAATCTGGATTTGGCAGTCCGAACCTCGGCAACGGCATGAACAATTTCAACGGCTATTCCATGCAGATGCCTCCGCCTATGCACACATCTAATCCAATGACTTATCAAGAATCTGTCAATTCACCCTACAACCCAAACAAGAGGATGAAATTAAGTCCGAGAACAGACAGTTTCGGGAGGACGGCCCCCAACTATCAACGAGCAGGATCCTATGGTCCGAATGACACTGAAGAGGTCGGCCCGCGTGTCCAGTTCAACCCACACACGCCCACTTTCTTTCCCTCCTATCTTAGCAATCCCTTAACACCAGCCACTTCGTCCACCTCTCAGACGCAAGACAACGAGGACAGACGTATCTCCGTGAGCTCGCTGCTCTCCGAAGATCCGGAGCCCGAGGAACGCAGAGATTCTAAGCAAGATGATCAGAACGGCATGGCCGATGAACAGATCCCACGACGGGGCTCTTTACACCAGCGGATGATATCATACTCGGAAACGGAGACTTACGGTCAAGACCGTGGTAATGTCGACCTCGACATTCCCCGGAACAACGATACCATGGCCATCTCAGGCATGTCACCCTCGGAACACAGCGACTTCGAGTCTTGGTTGAATGACACAGATCTGGGTGTCCCCGAGTTTGGCTTCGGTCTGGTCAGTCGAGAGACTGTGTTTGCAAGTGGAGGATATTATGCCTCGCCTGTGCCCATCAAGATCCCCCGAAAATTGGAGCCATTGCCTCGCACTCTGTCGGAGAATCCGATGAACCTATTATACTTCCATCACTTCCTCAACCACACGGCTAGAATCCTTGTCCCCCACGATTGTCCAGAAAACCCATTTAAAACGATACTACCAAAGAGTATGTTTGAGATCTTTGGATGCTTCATGATTGTCTTCATCTTCTGACTTGAAATAGTGGCCGTCGATAACCCGAATCTGCTGAATCTGCTGCTCGCGTATTCAGCATGCCACCGAGCTAGGCTTTTAAACCATCGCGAGCCTGCGAACCGCATAGCACACTGGGTCCGGGACGTCTTCCCTTCCCTGCGGCAGACACTGGATAACGTGTCAAACACCGAGGTATCGAACGCGAATTTGGCGACGGCTATCATGCTTGCCTCATTGGAAATTATCTCGCCCTCCAGTTTTGGTGTGTCGATACCATGGCAAAATCATCTCAGCATTGCTCGGAGCATTATCCGCGCCCGCACAGGCCCGCATTCGATTTCGCGCAAAGACCCTGTTATGTATTTTTTGACGAGGTGGCTGGCATACCTCGACGTGATGGGCTCACTGTCCGGGAGGCGCAATGAGGAGCCCCTGTTTGCAGGTAATTATTGGTCGAGTTCGCACGAGGACAGCACCTCAGCCAAAGAGTTGTCCTTGACCGATGATGATGGCGATGATGAAGACGACTATACGATCGACTGCCTTCTCGGCTTCACTACGCGATGTGTGCAAATCCTGGCTCAGGTGGCTCTTTTGGCGAGAGAATGTGAAACGGCGGGCAGAATTGATCCAGACACAGGACAAATCAACGAAGACTGGAAACCCTCCAAGGACATACTCAAAAGGGCGGACAAATTGCGTCAAGATCTTGAACGAGCTCGCAACCATGAACAGATCCAGTGTGCGCATCACAGTCCCCAGATGACCAAAGCATCTCTCTGCGGAACGCACGGCACGCGGCGTAATTCGGCTTATGCCGAAATGTCGGAAAAGGATGTTGAAGAGTCGCTGGCGACAAACTCTGCCTTTCACTGGGCGGGGCTGGTGCACCTCCTGCGGCGAATTCATAATCTACCGCGCGGGGACCCGGAGGTGCAGACGGCAGTCCACGAGATTGTCAAGGTCCTACAGCAGATCCGCGCTGGCGGAAGTGCCGAAGCATGTTTGCTCTTCCCCATGTTTACCGCCGGAGTCGAAGCGGAAGATGCGTTGGATCGCGCCGAAGTCTTGAGTCGAATCAAAGGAGCTGAGGGACTTGGAATGTGTCAAGTCAGTCGAGCTCGGCGGATTATGGAGGAAGTTTGGAGGACAGGATTCAGTTGGGAATGCCTTGTAACTGGCGAGTTCTTTGGATGACCTACTATTTGGCAGTTTGAAAGGAGAGATTTGATGAAATGAGTCTTTGCGGAGAGGAAAAGGCGGCCAATCTACTTCATGTCTCGCCTAGTTTATGTCCACGGAGCACCTTTTCTTGAGCGTTGGAGTTGCGGGCGTCGTGCAAATACCCCAGATTGTCATCACATTCCATCGAAATCTGGTATATACCTCCCAAAGGTGACAAATACGATGCTGCCTTTTGATCATTTTACATGCCAGACTTTAAACGTAGCTCTGGGAACCACTGGAGATGTTTAGGGCTTGTTCGCCGACCTGTTGCAAGGCTGCGAGGCTACGAGGCTGCAAGGCTGAGGCGGCCCCCATGATAGTCGGAAGTCAGATGCCACCAATGCGACCAGTCCATTTACGTCAGCGTCCATCTCACTCCTCGTCGTTCTGAATCTTTTCTCTTTCTTTCTCTCTTACTTTGCATGCATTATAGATCGATCGGGACGCGCTGCGTACACGCCCGGGGACATTTCCACTGGACGCTCATTATTGTGAACCCTGTCTTTTCTTGTCTCTTGATTTATTCCTTGGTATATTAGGTTGCAAACCGAGCGGCATCCCCAAAACCGTCCACCTTGTACTCGCCGTCCCCCGTTCCCATCCCCGCCGAGCTCTCTGCAAAAGGCTTCGAAACGAGCCATAATGGCCGCTCACCCACAGTCTCCGACCCTCCGCATGGACAAACTAATCCAACGCCACCCGCTCCAAAAGCTCCATTCGCCGTCGCGAGGAGTCTCGGCACTGCTTCACTCGGTCGGGCTGGCCAGTTTCAGCTACAGCTTCAACTGGCTGAGCACGCACCCGAACCACATCAACAGCGCATACGGCTGGCACTTCCAGTACCTCACCATCATCGGCCTGACGCTCGCGACCGTCACGTTCGTGCTGGGCCTGCTGGCGGACCTGACCCTGTCGCCGCGCCTGTTCGCCGCCAAGAACGTGCTGAGCATGTGCTCGGCCCCGATGGAGGTGCTGGTCAGCACGCTGTACTGGGGCCTGCGCGCGATCGACCCGGAGCTGGTGGTGCCCAAGGAGCTGGCGCTGCCGCTCCCCACGGACGTCAGCTTCCACCTCACCCCGTCGGCGCTGCTGCTCGTCGACCTCCTGCTCTTCAGCCCGCCCTGGACCATCACCGTCCTGCCCGCCATCGTGCTCAGCACCGTCATCGCCTTCCTGTACTGGTTCTGGATCGAGCTGTGCTACTCGTACAACGGGTTCTACCCCTACCCGCTCTTCGGCATGTTGGATCAGACGCAGCGGGTCGGGCTGTTCGGCATGAGCGCCGTCGTCATGGCGGGCAACACGGTCGTGCTGAAGCGGGTCTATGGGTACCTCAACGGCTTTCAGAGGACGGGGGTAGAGGTTCCGGGGAGGGTGAAGAGTTAGAATCGATTGAGAAGACGTCCAAGAAAGGGTTAGAAGATAGAAATCTGAACAACAGAAGATGGGCATCCTTGGGGAGGGTGGCCCGGTCCAGATTCTGATATTGTGAGTGGGAAAGATGGAGGTTGCAGCCCCTCCGTTATACGGGCGTTAGAATGATTCGGAGAAGGAAGAGGCTCCGTCAGCGCTGCGATGAGGATCAAGCATGTTGGGGGTCGCAATCTACCTGGTCCGTCTGGAGTGATTGGGTGCAGAAGGAGGAGTTTACAAGGCCATGTGCTCCCGTCACACTTTGGATAAGTGATTGTCGAACTTCTGCTCCGGTATCCCGGCGTGAGACTGATAGATAGATGTGAAGCCTATGGTATTCTACGAGGACCTCACTCTGAAATGAGAACGAGATCTCGTGTATTCAACAGTACCACGTTCAACCTCCACGGTTTGGTCCGGCAGGAGCAGAGGCAGGTGCCAGGCTCTTCGAAAGCTGTACCTTCTGCAAAATAGGTACATAGACTCTTCTCTCACTGAATCTCTGAATACGCGCTGAGCGCCAACTGTCCACCCAGGTGGGCATATAGCACTTTGCTTCCTTCCGCAATCTCCCCCTTCCTGATCATGTCAACCATCCCCGCGAGACTCTTGCCCTCGTATACTGGGTCCGTGATGAACGCTTCTGTTCTGGCCCCGAAGCGGATCGCTTCGAGCGTCGCCTCGTCGGCTAATCCATAAGTGCCCGCGTGGTACCGCGTGTCGAGGATGATGTCGCTCTCGTCGATATCTGATTCTTTGAGTCCGATTTTGAAGGCCGTTTGTCGAGCAATACGGAGTACCTGGTCGAACGTCTCCTTCGGCTTTGCGCTGGCGTCGATGCCAATGATCTTTCTCTTCTTCCCGTCCGACTGGGGATGGAGGCTCTCGAGAAGTTTGAACCCGGCCACCATGCCCGCGAACGTGGAGCCCGTCACGGCACAGACGATGATGGTGTCGAAGAATTGACCGAGTTGTTGTTCCTGGGCGTGCACCTCGAAGGCCCATCGAGCGAAACCGAGACCGCCCAGAGGATGATCCGAAGCTCCAGCGGGGATATACTAGCACCGAAAGCTAAGAGTCAGCGCTTGCCATGGAAATGTAAACTAATGGAGGGGAGCAGGAGTTCGACTTCAAGCATTGCCTGTAAGTCTCACTTATGATCCAAGTCGAGGCATTGACCTGCGGTGTTTAGAGATGAATCAGACTCACATAAGGTTTCTCTCCCTGCATAACGACTTCTTCCTCCAGCTTCTTCAGCGTCTGTTTGTGTTCAATGCCAAAGCCGGATCGATCAAGCCTCACATCTGCGCTCATGAGTCTCGACAACTGAATATTTCCCACCTTATCATATCCAGCATCCTCATGATCCACCCACTTCTCCTGCACGAGCTTACACTTCAAGCCCAACTTGGCAGCAGTAGCGGCAACCTGGCGGGTATGGTTCGATTGGTAACCGCCGATGGAGACCAGTGTGTCGCAATTCTTGGACAGGGCGTCGGGGATCAGATATTCCAATTTGCGGGTCTTGTTGCCACCAAATGCGAGGGCCGAGTTCAGGTCTTCCCGCTTAGCATACACACTAACCTTGCCACCTAGGGCAGCGGTCATGTTAGGCAGAGCATGAATGGGAGAGGGGCCCAGAGTGAGGGGGTATCGCGGAATGGAGCGAAAAGACTCGGGGAGGGAGATGTCCTCGGACCTCAAAGGAAGGTTGTTGTTTGCTGCCATGTTGGGATCTATCTATGCGTTCCCTTGCCAGTGCACTTTGCTCGGATTACGCTTACTGACGAAGTTGTTCGTATTGGGGGGTTGAGAACATTTGTAGACGAAGAAACATAGCCTGAAGTCCGCTACAGCCAATGGCAATGTTATTTCACCGACGGAAAAGGGACTTGGCAATTAAATGCGGTTCGACATGGTGAGGAGGTGTTGTCCGCCGTCTTCCCAAAGCCGGAGAACGGCTATTGAAGACACGTTTGAGGCATGTTGTTTTGTTCGATATGGCGGCTGTGGATACTCGGGAACTTCAGATTTTGATTAGTCCAGATATCTGATGCCGAAGTTGATTTCTTCGGCCTGCTATTCCCCTTTTTGATAACGTGTATCTTGTGGAAGCAGACGGTCCAAGCTATTCTGCCACATCACTCTCAATAGGCGGCTGGATAGTCGAGGTAGGATATCGCCAAATGCTCTTGAGCCGGGTCCGTTCAGGGTCGGATGAAAGTCGTCTCAATGTGTTGATCTTTCTTTGGACCAAGAACTTCATGGAGAGTGGTCCAGGAGAAGAGAGAGAAAGGGGAATTCGCGTCAGATCGTTTCAATGTGAATGAGTAAGAACTGTTGTAAAAGTCTTCAACGCAGAGATGGCCTCCTGTACCGTTGAGGACGAGCCTCAGTTCCGACTGCGAATCTGCGGCGTTGTCGAAAGGGAGGTCGATCTTGTGGAAGAGGTAGTCAATGGTCTCGGTCCCTGGCTTGGTGAACCAGATGCTGATTGTGTAGGCATTTTCGGCCCTTGACAAACGCCAGATGTATTTCCTCGAGAAGGTGAAGGTGGGAACGCTGGCCAGGTTGTTGCCGACGGCCTTCATCATCTCGAAGTCACCCTGCTCATGATACAACAATTCTGCATCGGCAATGTGGAGTTTTCCATCGGCATCAAGCACAGGTGATGGAGAAGGGGTCTTTGTGAATGTCGCTGTGCCTGAGCATCGCCCTGATGGTTCCGAAGGATCGGCGCTTTGTAACTTACGGTTGAGCAGCCACGTGCCGGCGAGGTCTTGGAAGAGACGAGTGAGGAGGATCGAGGAGGATGAGATGGGTTTCGACATGCTGGGCTCAGGAGTGCGTGGACGGTACGGCTGAGCGAGGCATGAAACCTTGTGTAGCAGTGGACTGTTGTGTGTAGAGGTAACAGGTACCTCGTACAGAACATGGAGTTTGAGTGCCTGAGGTGCGTCTCCACCTCCCAGCCATGTCTTTTTGGTGGTGAGCAGCCGAGCGGCGGCCCCCCTTCCTCCCCAAAGGAGCCAAGGCTGGCTCTCGATGGCCCCTACGCGCAGCCCCGCCTAAACTTTGCCTGCTGGGTGCAGAGAGGTCCGCCCGCAAATGAACTCATCTGCCCCCGAGGGGCCTGGATGACCTATCTGGCGCCTAGCCAGCCCTCCCTCTACGGAACCCCGGTGACCCCCCTCGCCCCCCAGCACTGATTTGACAGGCCGCTAGCTGCCGGGTCGAGAGCTTGCCGTCGGCTGGCCAATTGCAGCTGGCTCTACCTGTCACTCTCTGCATCGCAATCCCTCCACCAACCGTCCATCCCGTCCTCCCTTTTCATCCGCGCGAACCTGCGTTATGCATGTTTCCTCAAGCCTGCCCTCCTTCTTCTTACCGGCTCGCTCGTTTGCCTTTCTGGAACCGGAAGTCCCAATTGAATAATGCCTACCGAATCCCCGCCGGCAATGCTAGCATGTCTTTTAAGTTCCTATTTCCACTCGCTTTCAATTCGCCTTGTTTCTGTGCCCTGCTGTTGTCCGTCTCCGACTTAACAGCATCTTCACTCGTTTGAATTGCTGGTAGATGCGGCGACTCACCATGTCCGCCGTTTGCTCACCCTAGTCTTGACCACGCTCCTCTACCTCCAACAGTCCGACCCATGTTCGTTCCCTTCGACTACAACATATGCGCTCGCGAATTGGCCTCTATCAGTACCCTGTGAACTCGCCCAAAGCGCGCGCGACACAGGTCAACCATGATCAGAATGCGCTCCTCCTCCCTCCTGAAGTCCTCTGCTCTCCTGCTAAGCCTCCTGCGATTTGTGTCGGCTCAGAGCATCGTTCCGACGTCGTCCTCCCCTCAATTCCCCAGCTGCGCTGTCAATTGTGCTGTCCTACTCCAAGCGCAGACCGCTTGTGTGCCCCCAGCTGTCCCGGCCACAAATCAGATCACATACGAGAATTGCTTCTGTCAGAGCAGTTTCCTCCAGGCACTGTACAGCACTCCAGACGCAATCTGCACTGCCGAGTGCACGAGCGAGTCTGACAGAGCATTGCTGCAAACATGGTTCACAAGTTTCTGTCAACAGGTTGGTAGCGGTGTCGATCCGTTGGAGTCCACGACCTCCATCCTGCAGCCGAGCTCCACAACTGTCGTGACTATCACGAGTTATTCTACTCCTGCTCCGACAGCTACAAACACGGGGACAGGAAGCGCATCTGCGCCTGCTCCCTCATCACACCAGTCCTGGTAGGTCCAATCCGGGAGATCACTTGGCGAGATGTTGACGGAAGTTGCAGGATCGATGGACATTGGAAGTGGATCCTCATGCTTGGAATTCTCACAGTGGGATTCGCGCTTCTTACGTGGCTTGCCATCTGGTTCAAGCGGCGACAGCATAGGAAGATTGAGGAACGGAGAGCGGCGGCTTCAGGATTCCCACCAGCCGACGACCGGAGAGGGGGAGCCCGCTCGGCAACTCCAGATATCTGGGGTCCGCATCAGGTTGGTCTAAAGTGGTAAACATTTGTTGCAGCGATCTCGCTAACCTGCTGGCGAAGCATATGCATTATACAAAAGGTTGGGAATACCACAATGACCCAGCCATAATGGGAGGCAGCGCGCTTGCTTCTTCCAACAACAAGCGTGACAGGAGATCCAAGAGAGTCTCTTCTCAACGCAAACACCGGGACATCCCCGAAATGACCGAAGTCGTTGGCGGCAGACCACCCGCATCAAGGCAGCACTCATCATCTAAGGGTAAAGACAGGGCGACAGATGAAATCTTGCCGGTTGAACCCGAAACGAGACACGCGGATAGAAGCCGAAGCAGGAGCACAAAGCGAAGAGATCTCGATAGTGATTCGGAAAGAAACCAAGTCGACTCGGAACACCAAAGACGGCTCCGCGAGGTCAGGGGATCACGACGGAAGAAAGGTACGGACCAAACTTGAGGGTTCCGGCTAATAAAGACGTGATGGTAATATCGACGAAGCGTGAAGGCATACACTCCGGGTTGTGATGCATTCTGACGGATGGACGTGCATCCGTGAAGCGGCAACAATGTCGATCTGGTTCTCGAGCAGGGTGTTGAGGTTTGTCTATCTGGATACTGTGTGACATGAACATTGGATGCTGCGTAACGACGGACTTGTAGAATGACGCTCTACGTGCTTTATGTGCCCAAGTCAGATGACGATGAGATAAGTAATTTCTATAAGAGGCTGTACATACGACGGATGACCACCGGCGGGAGGCCAGGAGGAACCACCATATAATCTCACAAGGCACGGAGACTGAGAACTGGTATTCTCAAGTACGACTGTAATGCGGCGTGAGCACGAGTGATGGTTACTCCATCAACGGCTGGCATAGCTCCTATTCTGGACAATATGGCCAACGTCTCCGCAAAAATACTCGATTCGGCTAGTGTGGCCACAATACGAACAATAGATCCTTCATCCCGCCTCTAATTTTGTTGACACGGACTCGGTCTAAGTTCCTTCGTCAGAGTGAGTCCTATCCTTGAATTGGCTATGGGGAATGTGCTTTGTTGTTGTCGAGTAGACATGTTCGGTCAATTCAATATACTCTCGGTGCCAAAACATAATCTCCTCGTTGGCGCCGTTGAACTATAACCGACTTGGTGCAAAGCTTCGCTCGGCTTCAACCCGCCCTAGGATACCAACTTTGTACCTGACAGTTTGGTACGGCCTCCCACATCTAGCGGGGAATCCTTGTACTACTCATGGTTATTCCCTTTAGCCTTTGAAAGGGCCTCCCGAAGAAGAAGCTGAGATCTGCGGGCACTCCTGGATTCGGCTTGGCTCTATATGAAGAATGCAGTATATCAACACCGGACGGCAATTGTCATCTGAGGAATCTGTTTCGGCCACCCGTCATGCTTTTAATCTCGATCGACCATTGTCTTAGCTATTCGAACTCTCCGTTGGTTTAGGCAAATGATATGCTGGTGGCTTGCTCTGTCCGAGCAATGAGACCGAAACGACCGTGAGACAGCCTCGTCCCGGACAGGCTGCACCCAGAGTTGGGGTATATCGTTCTCATGCGTCAATACTTCCACCATCGAAGATACCATACACCTTGACCAAGAGTGGACAGCTGTAACTTTCCATGACAGGATGCCTGGACCTTTTCGATTTCCACCTCTGTTTACAACACAAATATCCAGTAAGTGGGTGGCTTTGTAGCTCCCCTTGCCATACAGGACTATATAATTCTCGTCGAAACCCGATCCGAATGCCCAGAGCCCGGCATCTCTTGCATCACTTCATCTCTTCACAAGTTCTTCAAAGTCCTTGAACATGGGGTTCGTCTCAGTCCTGCCTTTTGTCCTTCTGGCGCTGTCATCCAACCCGGCGGCGTCTCAGTTCTGTGGATATGATGGCACCAGCAGCACTTCCTGCTCCTCATTCTCAACCTCTTGGTCCACGTCGTTTTCCCCTTCGTGGACCACCTCTTGCTCCTCCACCTCTTGGTCGCACACGACCATGACGACTTCCACCAGCACTTCCAGCACTTCGTCCGCGGCCGTTTCCCTCGCGGCAGCCCCAACAAGCGACTGCGTCAATGGCGAACAGTACCAAGCCGACGAATACTGCGGCTGCACCTACACCACGCTTTGCAGCACCCACCCGACGTACCCGGACGACACCTTGCTCCTGGGCATTTACGGGCTGGCCCTCGTCACCGACAACCGCGTCGAGTACTGCGCGGACAAGTGCGACGTCGACTCGCTCTGCGTGAGCGCCTTCGTCAACGTCGAGGAGCAGCTCTGCTATCTGTACAACGAGCTTCCGACCGGCGGGGTCGACGATGCAAACTACGACTCGGTCCAGAGGGTGAACAACGGGGCCGATTCGTGCGTCAACGACACCAACGGCATCTGTCTGGCCAACATACCTGTTTAATTGGAGATGGTAAAAGCTCGGCTGAATGGTGGGAAAGGAAGGGAAAATATGTTGGTTCTCTTCACTGGACTACGTTCCATTTATTGGGGGTCCAAGACAAGTTGGTTTGGAGGGGAGCATTAAAAAAGAGGAGTTTTTATGGGGAGGTGGGCGTCGTCGTGTATTCGACGGGCGCAGCGTTTGGAGGGCTGATTGTCATTTTTTTTTCCCTTTTGTTGGCTTCTCTCCCCAGTCAAGAGAGATTAATGTGTGAACATATAGACGTATATGTGGCTCTCTTCGACCTTTTGGCAAAATCCGTATTTTTCATTTCCCAGTTTACAATGGCTCGCGATTGTGAATAGCATAATGATGCTCTCGAAGTTTGACAGACATTGAACGAGAACACTATCACCCGGTTGTCCTGCTTCATTCTCAGCCAAAGTTCTTAAAACTTGTGTGGCCGCGTTATGCAGCCCGAGTCTCGGAATGCTACACCAGCGCCGGGTGACATCCGACTGGTGTCTTTTCGATGCTGCTTGTCCAGAACGGGCAGTATCACGGTTCATATTGACTGATGACAAATATCGGGAGGCTGCCAGTCTGTAGCATATGAATTCGGTGGGCCGTCCAAGGCCCTACGATGAACGTAAGAGGAGAATGGTTCGTGAGAGTGGACCTCAAATAAAAAGGTCTACTGTTCCTGAAGCCAGACCATCAATGTCATATCAGCGAACCTTATAGCGCAAAGACCAAAACGCTGGACCTTCACCTTTCATCTCTGCGGATCTATAGACCTTCGATCCGGAGCATAGTGCCAGTTAAGGTAGGCGGTCGCCTGTAAAATAGAAAGCAGTCAGAAGAGGTTGTGCCACCAGCATTTAGCCATGACTCTGGCAAACTCACCTCCTGAAAGGCATCGTAGCCAAAGAGAAACGGCTGGAACTTTGAGTCGTCCCAGCGGTTTGGATTTTCGCTCTTGGAGACCGACCATTTCTCATGGCCAGCCTGGCGCATGTGCTGGTCGCGTCTCTCCTGATCCGGTCCGTCGGGAAGGTGCCACATGTCACCAAGCGCCCAAGCCTCTCGCTGGATCCGGTAGCATCGCTCCCGACGCATGTCTTGGAAATGATCCATGAGGACGGGAAGGTCTGTCTGATCGGTTGCCCTGCCCACACATTCCGCCAGGGCGGCGGCATCCTCCAGAGCCATAGCAGCGCCCTGGGCAAGATGCGGAACCATCGCGTGGCTGGCGTCTCCAATGACCACTACCTTCCCGGATTTTGAGACCCATGTAGGTTGCTCCTCGATCTCGGCGAGCTGCCATTTGAGAGGTTCCGGGACCAGGTCGATGAGCTGGCGAACGATGGGGTCCCAGTCGCTGAATCTCGCTTGGAGCTCACTTAACGGCACCACTTTCGGGACCAATCCCACCGACGGCGTGCTTGAATCACACAAAACAAAGTTGTACAGAGTACTGTTGCTGATATGGTATGCTATGATGTGCGCTTTGGGTCCGACCCAATATAACGCGTCTACATTGTCAATCAGAGGCCTCAACTCCGGATTGCTTCGTAATGATGACGCAGGAATCAGGGTTCGGTAGACGCAGCTCGGGGAGAAACGTATGCTGACATCCTGGCCATTCAAGACGGCTTTTCGCACGTGCGACTTGAGACCTGTCGAATGAGCATAGATCTGGGATACTTGAGCCAAAGACGGCCATACCGTCTGCACCAATGATCAAATCCGCCGTCAGTTTCGTGCCGTCCCCAATAATGACCGACGGCTCAGCCTCGTTGATGATGGAGACATACGTATCCAAGGTGATCTTGACCCCAGCTTTGGACGCCCGGTCAAGAAGGACCTCGTGGATATCTGCCCGATGAATCAACAAGTATGGTTCGCCATACCGCTGTTCGATGTCAGGCTGCAAAGGCGTCTGGACAACCACGCTCCCATCTTTCCACCGCTTCAAATAGATCGACCTTGGCCAGCAAGATAATTTCGCAACCTGTTGACCGACGGATCAGAAAATATGCGGGTCTTGGGGAGTAATAGGACTTGCCTCATTGCGAACCCCAAGTCTTTTCAGAACGTGCATAGAATTTGGTGGAAGCTGAATCCCAGCACCCACGGCTGCTAGCTATTTGATATCGGTAAGCAAGTGCCGACGACAAGGGGTGGTAAGCACAGAAACCTTTGGGGCGGCTTCGAGTATAGTGACATTATGGCCCTTTTCAGCTAGAAAGATAGATGCTGCGAGCCCGGCGATCCCGGCTCCGATAATGACGACGTTGAACGGTCGTTCCCTCATAGTTGGCCAACGTGTCTCGAACGAGTCAGCACAAACAAAGCCAATGGTAGGCGCACACTGTATCCTTCGCAATGTCACTGATCATGCCCGGGGTAAAAATGATCGAAGTTCGGCCCAGGATTGAATTCTAGGCTAGACTTGAGGTCTGAATCCAGTACATAATTGGAGGTCAATCACTCCGCTGGAGAAGCAAGGACTTTCTCCGCAACGCCACAAGTTGGTCTGTAAGCACGGCGACGCCACTTCCGCGCTCAGGCTCTGGGAAATAAGCTCCTTGATGAGCTTAAATCCTCCCACGTGAGGCTATGTCTTCAGGCTCCCCATCTTCCAATGTGCTGGTTCAAAAACATCTCCACGGATAGAAGCTGCATGGCAAGTTGGCTGGAAATGGCTCTCGCATAACATGCTCCTCGCTTGCGAGGAGCATGTTATGCAGGTAAGATGACCGTCATTATGTGTGCTTAGATCCATCAGGTCGAGAATGATCCAGCAAATCTTCAAGGTCTGGGGAAGCGAGGCCCCTGGGTAGATATCTTTCAGGCCAGACGGGCACACGTTGATCATGAGACACTATTTCACCTTGTGAGACCGCCGGATGTGAACCTGTAGGACGTATTGAGATGCGTCCTGCTAAGCAGGGAAATGGAGGTCAATCATCGGAATTATGAACCTGACCATCGTTGCACATGTGAAGAAAGGTCTTAGAGTTGTTACGAGGGCTGACATTGACTCCTGAGGGCCCTCCTTGTTCGAATTGACCCAAGACTTCTTTGTGAACTTCACAGCTCTCTTGTGCACCATCGACAGCCCCCTTGCTCGCGCACGGCTTCGGAGTAAGTACGTCGACACATGAATGGGATCGTTGGCCGAGCACTAACAGCCATATCAGAGCCTGTTCCGGGCTCCTTTCGCCAATGCGTTTGGCATCGGGGTTTCTTCTTCTCCTCGCCTGAATCTCTTGAGCCGCAGATCGTCGCTGATGTCTCTTACCTACATTAGAGGGCCACTGTCACGAATGTTTTCACCTTCTGGCGGTTCGCGGGGCTTCTCGATTGTTGGCTTGATTGGCAGCTTTGCGACATTGAATATGGTTGTCATGGGCTTCGGAGCTTTCGTGCGAGTCTTCTTTATGCCAACGGAAACCACCTATACACGAGAATGACGATTTCGACCGGGAGATAGGAAAATACTAATGGACCACTTGGATGTCTACCGAATGACTTCAAGCGGTTAGTGCCTTGGCGCCCGCAGCTGCGACTTTGTGCCTGCGTTTCTCTCTTCTCCTTTGTCCACACAAGTCCATCTGCCATCAAATCCATCCCTTTCACACCGTCTGCTCCTTGTACATAACGTGGAGTGACCAGGCAGCGCAATGCTTCGGCCCGTCTCCAGTCTGTGCCGGGGTTTCCGAAGGGATCGCTGGTGCCTTATCGTGCGATGGATTACCGTCTCTGGATTCAAAGTTGCCCCTCCGCAATGCAACCTAGGAGAAGCTCTAACCTGCCCATCGAGGAATAGGTCGACTATCCACATCACAAGAACCTTGTCGAGATCCTAGTCAAGCCAATCAGCCCCTGTCAGATCATTGATACTGACTGTTATTCTTCCTCTAAGCTCCTGCGAGTTCCTGGCGAGTCTGCAAGTGCCTGCACGCTCCCGCAGAGCTGCCGGAGGCAACATGAGTGGACTTGACGTAACCTGTCGCCATCTGTAGCACGACATCGGCCATGGGCAGCTCCCAAGGTAACCTACTTCAGCCGCGTGATCAGACGTCGACATTCAAGCTCATCTCCCAGAAGCTTGTTTGCTCTGCTTGCTCTGTCTGCATTGGAGTGCGTGAATTCATGATGAAGACCCTCAGAAACATCGTCGTTGCCTTTGCAGCCAGCATTGGCATCGTTGCGGCCCAAGTCGGCCCTCTAGATGAGGACGGAAGACCAACAACCTATACAGCATATGAGTTTGATCAGCTCATTGACCATTTCCAAACTAGCTCAAGATATGCGCCAAACACGAATGCCACTTTCAAGCAAAGGTATTATTTCGACAACACCTACTACAAGCCTGGAGGTCCGGTCTTTCTCTACATCAGTGGCGAGACGAGCGGACCATCGCGCTTTTCGAATCTTCAGACTGGGATCATCCAGATTCTGATGAACGCAACCGGCGGACTGGGTGTCATTCTTGAGAACAGATACTATGGTGAAAGCTACCCGTTTTCGAACTCTACGACCGACAATCTGCGATTTCTCACCACGGAGCAGACTATTGCTGACAATGCGTACTTTGCTCAACATGCTACCTTCCCCAACATCACTGGTGGAAACAACCTCACGGCCCCGGGTCATCCGTGGATCTTGTATGGAGGTAGTCTTGCTGGTGCCCAGACGGCCTTTTCACTAGTTCAATACAAAGGATTGCTGTGGGGCGGCATTGCTGCTTCAGGTGTGATTCACGCTGTCCTGGGCTATCCTGAATGGTACGATCCTATACAAGAGAATGGGCCCCAGGATTGCATCTCCCGCATCAACAATATCATCGACAAGATGGACTACCTGATTCAGCACAACAACACAAAAGCTATTCAGCAGTTGAAAAATATCTTTGGGCTTGGATCTTTGAGTGATCTCAGAGATTTCGCCATGACTGTAAGTGAGACCTTTACTTTGACCAGGACTTCTATCTGACTTCTCAGATTGCCTTTCCACTGGGCGGACCAATGAATTATCCTACCAGCACCTGGCAAGAGCTCAACTGGTATCCGGCCTACGACAGTCCGGATTTCTTCTGGTTTTGCAACAACATTACCAACATGGACGCCCCAGCAAACATCACGGCAGTTGACATGCAATTGGCGAACTACACTAATGGCTCGGCATGGACGGGCCTGGGAGCATATGCGAACTACGTCAAAGAAGTGATCGTCTCGACTTGTGACAGTCCAGACTTGATCGATACGACTGAGTGCTTCTCCACCCAGAATGGTAAGTTAGCGGATCGAGATCTAGGAAATGTGCCACTACTGACGGTCGAGCAGCTACTTTCTACGCCGACCCTACTAATTCAGCCAGTCGCTCCTATCTATACAGTACATGTATCGAGCAAGGCGCATACCAACTCCCGCAACCGTATGGCAAACCATCTCTCCTTTCCCGCGTCATTGGTCTCGACTACACCCAACAATGGTGCACGTGGGCATTCCCGCCAGGCCCTCTCTCGCCTCAAGCTGTGCCATCCCCAGACGGCCCAAACCTAACATGGTACAACAATTACGGTGATTTTAACCTTACAGCGCCGAGGCTGGCGTTGATTGATGGTGGAAGCGATGTGTGGCGGGATGTATGCTACCATGGTCGCAATGCCAGTACACGATACGGGGCGAATCAGATGCTCATCACCGGAGGCGGCCACCACTGGGATAGTTCGGGAATACTGAACATTAGTGCAGAGCCGGACTTCATCAAAGCTGCACATGAGTGGGAGCTGCGGCAAGTGACGGGATGGTTGGATGAATGGGATTCGACTCATGATAAGAAGGTCAGAAAGAGGGATGAGCTATGAAGAGTATGTGAGGAGTGGGTTCTGAATCGGTGTCTTGAAATAGAAAGATTTAGAATCTACAATTTCCCAAGCCCTCGCCATGTGTGGCTACGTGTTCTGTCAAGAGAATGGATTGTGTCACTGTAGCCACTCGCCAGGTTTGTAGTCCTCGTATCTGGATATTGTTGCGTCTCAGTTAATTGACTCTTGGCGGCACTTGTGCCTCCAACTCCCCAACTCCCAACTCGTTGTATGCAAAGCCCTACCACGAAATTGTTCGTGCATCCCTCCTACCATCCATAGACAGCTCGATGCTCAGGTGACTCGGTAGAGGAGGACGCGTTTGTATCAAATGCTCCAATGGTAAGCTGGAAAGGCCAAAGCTGCGGGATTAGGCAGCGCTCTCGATAGCCCACCATGGCACTTCCAAGACCACACTGCTCTTTCACCATTCCCAGCATCCACGACGACGTAGAGCTCGACTGTCGGATATATTACCCTCGACGGACGGAGAAAGGGTCGGGTGTCTTCGGTCGAGGTTTCGCCATTGTCGCACATCCCTATGCACCGCTGGGTGGGTGCTACGATGATCCTGTTGTGGCCCTCGCGGGCAGTGTCCTGCTCCACGGCGGTTATTTTCTGAGCACGTTCAACTTCAGGTACCGGACCCCTGCTCAGTTACACGCGTTCCCATTCTCTCCCACTGACTTTTGGCCCAGAGGTGCTTCGGGCTCGGCGGGGAAGACGTCTTGGACGGGAAAGCCCGAGCTGGGCGACTACGTGTCGGTCTACGGGTTCATGTTGTGCTACATCGACGCCGTCGTCGCCCGTCGCCCGCCTGGAGAGGACGCGCCCCCGGCGAGTCCCCCGATATTAATCCTCGGAGGCTACTCGTACGGGGCGATGATCGCTTCCCATCTGCCATCGGTGGAGGTCGTGGGTGAATTGTTTCGCGCGCCCGCGACAGGCTCGGCGGAGAGCGAAATCAGACGGCGAGCTGCAGACCTGGCGCAGGATGCACAAGCGTACCTGGACATGCATTCGGGCTCGGCGACACTGACTCTACCACGGGCTCGTGGTGCGGCGGGAGAACCGGCCAGGAAGCCCAGTCCTGGGGTCATCATGGGAGGCTATGAGTCGGACACCGCCAGCCGACGAGTCAGCCGAGAGAACTCGAGAAAAAGCATGGATAAAGAGAGGATCAGACAAAGCTTAAACAGGATTCATCACAAGCTCAATTCCCAGCCAAACAGCCCGGCTGCACCAACGGGAAAAGCTCCAGCAGCAGAGGATGCCCCGATACTGCCAGAGGTCGCCTATGTCATCATATCCCCAATATTGTCGATAGCTGCTGGGTTTACTACAATGTTCTCAAAGCTCAGATTTACTCCGAAGGACCCCGAGATTACCTCTTCTCCAGGGCGAGAGTTCCACGAGCTTACGCTGCATCCGTGTTGTTGTTGTTACGGAACACGCGATGCCTTCACGTCTGCGAGCAAGTTGCAACGGTGGACTCAAGACTTACAATCGAAGCCTGGCTCTCGGTTTGTGACGGTCAGTGCGGACACCGGCCATTTCTGGCATGAAGCAGAAGGGGTTGTTCGACTTCGGCAAGGTCTCGCCGAATTCCTGGAAACCTTGGGGCGACATAATCTCCCCCTGGACCAGGTCGGAGAGACCGTTGAAGGTGGCCCTAGCAGCCTAGGCAAGCATACAAGAGCTCCAGAAGACGCAGCTGCCCAACTTGCAATCGGATGATTCGTTTGTGATTGATGCGGAGATTGATATTAATGGAGACGGACGGTGTGTCCGAGTGATCTCGAAAATCTCACAGTGACGTCTGAGGGGTAGTCGAGAGAAGTTTGGGCCTCCAATCAGGAACGGCGGCCTCGAGGTCTGGATGCTTTGGACTCTTTTCCCTCCGACTGTCAAGTGGCAGACAAAGACGGTCCGAGCTGACCGCAAGTACGGCATTGGCGAAATGTCGGCAAAAGGTTGCGAGACGCATGTGCAAAAGAATTTGCTTCGGAACACATGCTCGTCCGCAGGTTCTCTCAGGGCGGACGTGCGGGTCGGTTGGAGCCGATCGTGCAGCAGCAGCCGTGCATCTCGTTCGATGGTATTGAAAGGGATACGGGAACAGGACTCGCTGGTTGGGCATGGACCCCTCGACCGAAGGGGGAATGGTGGCGGTGAAGGCTAGGATCAAGAACCGAGAACAGCAGGGGAGGCATGCCAGGTGCCAGCGCAGGGTCTGCGGTGCTGGTCAGGAACCCAAAGCATCAAGGGCAAAACGCGGGACTTTGCATGTGATCGCGATCGTGCGTAGTGCGTTGCAACTTGTATCAATGCGGCGTCTGGGGGGCGTCCTTGTTAGCCTATAGCTGCCTTCTCATTCGACGAGATGAACAAGGGGGACATCACGCGCTCACCTGGAAAAAAAGAAACATGACACCCTCAGCCATGACAGGAATGCCAATCACCCAGTGAGGCCGTCCGCAGCTGAAGGATGAAAGCGTGACCTGTTTGTTTTCTCCAGCTCGTTTGATCTTCCCCCAGGAAGTTGGAGTGGCGAGTGTGGGAGAGATGGAGGAGTCGGCGAGAGAAAAGGTGGGAGAGGCGCAGTTTGGAACGAGTCATGACCTGGGTGGACGAGAGTAATTTCCGTGCTCGGTACTAGAGACTTGGGCTGGTCGTCACCAAGGCATCTCGGTGTAGACAATTGGGCAAATGTACGATACGCTGTGCCTGGAGCATCCGCGAGTTTCCAAGGTTTCCATGCCTTCAACTGCGATTGTCGATGTCATGGTTCGCCCCACAGCCATCTCTCTGTCCCTCTGTGTCCCTCTGTCCATTTGCTTCCCGCCGTATCGTCACTTCCACTCTCCCGACCATAGACGGTGGATCGTGGATACTGTTGTATGTACCGAGTACCCTACGGAGCATTGATGCCACGAATCCGTTCTTTGTTTTTTTTCCTGCGCGGTCATGCCATTCGCTTTCTCGCATATTTTTGTGGGTGTCTGGCTTCCTCACCACAAACACTCGGCTACCGACATTTCGGTCTTCTGCCGGCCTGAAGTGCAATCAATCGTATCATCTGCCACGCCTGGCATAAGTTGGTTGGTTTGGTGATCTGTTGTTGGCTCTCTTACTCTTTCCTCTCCTCGCGGGGACCTTGTTTTGGCGATCTACAACGGAACCCAGGTCACACGCTTCAGCCCCCCATGGAAGTGGCCAACACCTCCATACTTGATGACACAGCCCTCTTGATTCAATAGCAGGACCGACCATTCCGCCTGCCTGTCATCACCGTCGTTTGCTTTTGACAGAATTTCACTCACCTAGACTGCAGCTAGCATTCATATTTCCTCGAGTTCTCACCTACCTATACCCCTTGGTGGTCAAATGGCCACGACCTCACCATCGACATGGCCGTCCTCCTCTCCGTCGTCCCTACACACACTCCACTCTTCTGGTCATGTGTCGGCTTGTACGCGGACGCGGTCAAGCTGCTCTCTCCGAGCAGGAGGCTGCAGAAACTCGCCGAAGAGATAGCCAGATACAGCCGAAGACCTCCAGAGACACACGAACAAGCCCTGTTAAGACGCATGCACCAAGCCGAAAGTTTGGCCGAGTATGAGAACTGCACAATCGACTTGGACAATCTGCAAGGGCACGAGGCATGGAAGAAGGAGAAGGAGTCCGTTGAGCCTGGGTACAATCCCGACGTGATCGAGAGCCAAGTCATCCGCCTCAAGAATGCCGTGGCCGATAAGGACCTGAATGCCATGCAACACCTCCTTAGAACGGGGCTCAGCCGTGACCTGGGTGGCATGAACATGTTACGACTCTACAAACATTCGTGGTTTGGCACCAAATCCCTGATAGACGACTACATCAACACCGTTTTAGAAACCATCGAGACCTTTACCGAAACCAGCATCCACAGCAATATCTCTACCGCAGAAATTCGACATCACCAGCAATCGTTAGAAGACGCGTTAAAGTTCTTTGGGCGTTCAGCACTGACTCTGTCTGGTGGAGCACTTCTAGGAATGAAGCATATCGGCGTTGTCAAGACGCTCTGGGAAGCAGAGTTACTCCCCGAGATCATCTCGGGGGCCTCAGCAGGAAGCATTGTGGCCGGCATCGTGGGCAGCAGCAATGACGAGCGCATGGCGGAAGTGCTTGACCACTTTCCGTTTTCCGACCTCGCCGTCTTTGATCCACCGGGAACTGGCAGGGCGGGATGGCTCGTACAGCGGGTTCGCACTTTTCTGCGAACTGGGGCTTTCTTTGAAATGGACAACTTGAAGCGAGTTATGAAGTCATGGCTGGGTGACATTACCTTTCGAGAAGCACGCTATAAGACCGGACGGATTCTCAACATCTGCGTGTCCAGCGCAGGCACCGCGGAGCCACGACTCCTCAACTTCGTGACCGCTCCCGACGTGTTCATCTGGTCCGCTGTCTGCGCATCCTGTGCTGTGCCCAACGTCTTCCCACCTGCCAACATCTACGAGAAAGACCCCATCACCAAGGAGGAAAAGCTGTGGATGCAAAATGCCCAGCAAACGTTTGTGGATGGGTCCCTTGACCACGACATTCCCATGAGGAAACTTTCTGAGATGTTCAACGTCAATTTCTTCATTGTCTCACAGGTCAATCCACATGTTCGGGTCTTTCTGGATCAAGAGGAGGTCTTTCGCGGGAAACAACCCACCGCTCCCGTGCCTGTCCGGAATCCTCTTCAAGCAGCCAAGGAGTTGCTCAGGGAGGAAATCATCCATCGCGCTCAACAACTCTCGGATCTTGGTTTCCCTCAGGGATTTTACAGATGGGCTTCCCTCTTCAACCAACAATACACTGGCGACATCAATGTTTTGCCAGACATCAAGCCAAGCGAGTACCTCCATATGATGATGAATCCCACACCGGAATTCATGGTAGAAGCTACAGTGGCTGGAGAACGGTCCACATGGCCCCGTATGTGCCGCATCAAGAACTGTGTTGCTATCGAGCTGTCTCTGATCCAGGCCATCCACACGCTGCGAGACAGAGTAAACTTTGGGCCCGAGGCTAGGGCCGCTCGCGAGCACAAAAGATCCAACAGCAAGGGCCGGCCAGGTCGTGGCCGCTCAGCGCGCCCCTCATTCTTGAGGAGGCGTAGCCTTAGCATCGAGTCCCCGGTGAACAGCGACAATGCATTGATACCGCCGCAGCCATTGAAAGTCCGTCGTAATGTCAGCCTGGGAAACATCTCGGTGAGGCCTAATTTCTCAATCACGACACCGCGAACGACGCCCTATTTATCACCTCAGGTTGGCGTCGATCAGGATCTTTTTGGTGAAGGCTTGGCCATGACACGCACAAACTCCAACTCCCTTGATGGGTCCGGAACAGATGGTCATATTGTGGAACTGTCAAACATTAGCAAGCGAAGAGCCCCCTTTTAGAGAGGCAACACGCGGAGGCATGACTGGATGGTGGGTGGAGGACTGCCAATGGAGTCAATCAGCGATGCCTTTTTCGATCTTGATACCCCTTTTTGTTGTATGCCTTGAGACTTGTAGCATTAGAGAGAAAGCATAGCATAGGAAATCAAACCGTGTGAAACCCCAGATCCAAAGCAGAATTGAGGTGTGTAACAATTGTGCAGAAGGAAGTGATGGGTGGTTGTCATTACTGGGAGTCTGCGGAGATTCTACCAGGGAGAGTCAAGAGTTGTTGGAAGGTGGCATTGGCATGCGGCCAGTCGCGCGCCGCAGTCGACAGAAATCCTGACCTCCATCTTCCTACCCGCTGGCACTGCACACATCCTGTGCCAGCGACAAACGACGAGTCCACCCACGGACAACTGATTAATTGATGGCCAAATCCACGCGCTGTTACACAGCTTCACGCCAGAAGCAATATTGGGGGCAGTCATGGACCTGAAGTCGATGCTCAACGATTCTTCGACACAGCGACACCAACACCACCATCAACCTCAACCGCACCCTCCGCCTCGACTTCACACACCACAATCGTCCTACGAACACACCCCCTCGTACGAGTCTCATCCTCCCCTCGAGCGGCCTGCATTGCCATCGTCGTCCTCGTCGTATCATCAGCCGGCGCCGCCATCAAATGAATACCGCACCTCTGCTAACGGCTCCTATTTTGCGGTGCAGTCACCCCAACAACAAAACTCGGCCTCCGCCTCAGCGTCGACGCCAAGCGCAACCGGTCAGCCCTTTTATGCGCAGAGCCCTGGGCCGCATGGACAGATACATACTCCTCGTGAAGGGATTCCACCTTCGCATCCGTATCAGTCTCCCTTTGTTCCCTCACCGTCTCCGTCTGGGCCTTACCCTCCAACCCCAGGATCCGTCCACCACTATCAAGCCGCTACACCTTCGTCTGCCACAACATATCATCAGTCCAGCGCGCACCCTTCCCTGAGCGCCCAATCTCCTACTCCTAGAGACGACTACATTTCTACAAACGGTCTTGCGCATGCCCAGCAGAGGCACGTTTCACCTCAGGCTCAATTTCACCCTCCTCCAGTCACTCCCCTCGGTCCACCGGTTACCTACACTCGTCCATCACCTTACCCTCATCGTCCGACCTCCCATGGCCACGAGAGTGTGAGAAGGTCGTCTGTCGGCTCGGTTGGTTCAGTGCAGAGCAGGGAATACAATCAGCCTCCATACCCGCAAGCGGAACATTCTCGGAGTGCCAGTGGGAGCATACAAAGGACTTATTCTGGGGACTTGCGGGAACGTGAACGGAGCATCGAGAGTGTCAGTCCCAAGACGATTCCCAAGCCCCCACCGGGCCGTCGCCAGAGTGTTGGGCGGTACCAGGAGTCCATGTCTGACCCGTATCCCAATGCTCAGCCTAATCGGGCGTCCATCTCCAACTCCATCTCAAATGCTCAATTCCACACCACGCCAGATCGGAATATTGAGAATCACAGTCATGAGACGACGCCCAAGTCCTTTTCCATGTCAGCTGAGCCTAAACCTGGGGCCCCGTACCCAGATCCCCGCCCGAGTCCTGGTTTAGGTGCTGCGAACCAATATAACTCAACAACACCTCATCTGACAAATTCATCTCTACCCGCACAACAGAGTCCTCCAGCAAACGCTCCGCCTCAACCTTCGTTGAAACGAACTGCAAGTCATTTGTCTGATGTTGCAACCACGCCCTTACCCCCTAAAAAGAGACCGCGTCGAGACGAGATTCCCATATGGGCGCACAGCGCTCGTCGTAACCTGCCCTTGAGATTCGGTGAACCCATCGATTGGAGTCCACCACCACGGCAGGCCGTCACGCCAAGGACACCTGGGTCGCCGAGGAACGATATCGCGGTGAAGAAGGAATCCGTGGCTTCACAAGCTGTTAATGGGCAAGTGCAACATCACGCGGCGACGCCACCGGGCGAGCCTCGGTGGGAGCCCTCCATCACTGGCGATTCAGCATACGATGATCTTACCCGTCATGTCTGTGACTGGATCTATTTCGTTATCGGCAACGCTGATGCCCCTACTGGTGGAGCCATGTTCGAGATCGAAGCCAAAGTCGGCATGATATTTGACGAGCAGGCGAGCTTTCGGCTGACTCTACCTGTGGAAACGGAGACAGTGTTCAACAGAGAAAAATTTAGGGGAAAGACGAGTTTCAAGAGTTCCATGAACATGGTGAGTAGTTTCGTTTTCTATTTTCCCTGGAACGTTTATGACTAATGGTGAATCAAGGCTCAGCACCAGGCCATGAATAAATTTCTCAACGGCCTCGTCTGGGAGTCGTACCGGGCATCCCAGGCATCCGGAGAACCGCCAAGGGTTGATTATAGTCACCCCCATGAGTACGACGAATTCTACGAGTTGACAGAAGTCGGTCGGAAAAACCTGCCACCGTCCATAATGACATGGCTCAATCCTCGACACACACCTCGAGTACGCCGTACGATCGACGAAAAAACGAACACGGTCAAGGCACAGATCATCAAGTCACGGATTGCAGACCTGGAAGTCTACAATCCTCGGGCTGATTTCGACTATCGCATCTCCATCTCGATCGAAAGCCCATGGGAAGGAGACCCAAACTGGCTGGCTGAGATGACTGAAGGTGGCCGCGACAGAAAGAAGGACAGAATGAGCTACAGGCACTTGGCGTACCAGATTGACCTGACTCAAGTGAGTTACCCCAACAGCACGGTTAAGGAGCACGAGTTGGAGGTGGAGATTAGCACGGAGCAGGTCCGGATCGAGCTGGCGAACATCAAAGCCAGCCAACCTAGCAAGTATGAAAAGCTCGTGAGAGGGTTCGTTGATAATGTCAGGATATTATGTCGGGAAGGGACGCTTCAGAGGCAGCCCAAGTGAGGGCTGGAAGCATTCGAAACAGGTCAGGCTGGGTCTACGCTCCGGGAGGCTTCGAAGAGACATGAGAAATATGTTTCGCTTCTCCTTTTGATACCCTTGTAATACCAGAAACACAATTCTAGTTGCTATGCTGCTATGAAAGGTTTATAGTTGGTTCTGTGGCCCTGAAGACGAGGCTGCGGGGAACTCTTGTCCACGTGACTTTGTGGTGACTAAGCGTGCTACCCATCCAAAACTCCAGGCTGCAGAAGGTGATGCAAACTGCGACCATCGAGCCATCGCCTGCAGACACGTCAATTGCATCTGCGCGAATCCTTTCCCTTCCCTTTCCCTTCTCAACATCCACCCACCGTCGACTGATTTCTCTTTTATCCCCTGCTCCTGTACACTAGACTTTCTTCTCCCCGACCGTCTTCACTCCTTCGATTCCCGAACTCCTCATTCCCGTTGTGTTGCGCCCTTTTGCCCCTTCTCACTGGCAGATCAACAGTTCTCCGAACACCACATCCTGCTTTGCCCGCGCTGCGCAACAGCCCTTCAACAAACATGGTTGGCTTGGTGTCCGCTGCCGGCCTTGTCGGCTTCTTGTCAGAACCTGATGCGGAGCTCAGAAGCTTTGCTCTAAAGCAGCTCGACAGCCAGGTTGATCTATTATGGACCGAGCTTGCCGATTCCGTGGGCCAGATGTATGTTGGCCGCCCGCTCTTTTTCATCAGTCTGGTAGACAAGCTAACCCTGCCGTTCTAGTGAAGCGCTTTACGAAGATGATTCATTTCCGGAGCGCGAGCTCGCCGCCATCGTCGCATCCAAAGTGTATTACCACCTGCAAGAATATAATGAGTCCATGGCGTTCGCCCTCGGTGCCGGAAAGTATTTCAGATTGGACGACCCCGGAGAATTTGAAGATACCATAATCTCCAAATGTGTAGACACGTTCATTGCTCTATCCGCCAGTCGAGACCCAACGCTGGCTGCTGCCAACGCTGCCAGCCAACCCCAACTTGACACAGCGTTTAGTCAAGGAGGAGACGGCGCCGCCAGCATGTCTGCCAGCCTAACATCTCCTGTCACGCCATTCTCCCAATCCGTCCTTCCGTCAAAGTCCCTTCTGTCCAGGCAAAACACTTTAACCTTCGATCCTACTCAAGCCGGTGTCGAGCTCGGCGAGGTCGGCTCACCCGAGCGAATCATTCAAGAGCGCGGTCTTCAGAAAGCCCTTACTCGTGTCATAGAGTCTCTGTTCGAGACATGCCTCCGAGAAAAGCGCTACCGCCAGGTTGTAGGAATTGCTTTGGAGGGACGCAACCTGGACATTCTGCGTCGCGTGATCAAGAGAGCGGCTGAGGATGAGCGAAAAGAAAACGGTGAAGCCACTAAGAAGGGCGAAGAACTGATGGAATACGTCCTGGATATCTGCATGAGCGTGGTACAAGAGCGAGGCCTGCGAAACGAGATCCTCAAGGTCATATTGGAATTGCTCAACGAAATCCCCTCACCTGACTACTTCGCCATCGCAAAATGTGTGGTTTATCTCGACCAGCATTCTATGGCTTCCAATATCCTGAGACAATTGATCGAAAAGGGCGATGCCCGGTCTCTGGCTGTGGCATACCAGATCTCCTTTGATCTCTACGACAACAGCACACAAGAGTTCCTCCGAAAGGTCCGAGAAGAACTTGCCGAAATGCTGCCACCGGAAGAACCAAAGCCCCAGGATAGTGACAAGATGGAAACCGATACACAGGCCAAGACAGAAGAGCAGTTACACCAAGAACTACAGAGTTCTGCGGGTGCGCCTGCGCCCTCTGGCGAGCCGAAGCTGTCGAAACCCGAGCAGCGAGAAGCAGTCGAGAAGATCAGAGATATCTTGGATGGTCTCACGTCAATACATCTGAATATCGAGTTCCTGCACAAGTCGAACCGGGTCGATCTGTCGATACTGAACAAGGTCAAAAATAGCCTGGAAGCCCGCTATTCCATCTATCATACCGCCGTCACTCTTTGCGCAGGATTGATGCATGCCAAAACTGCAAACGATACCTTTTTCCGCAACAACTTGGAGTGGCTGGGCAAGGCTACCAACTGGTCGAAATTCACTGCCACGGCAGTCTTCGGTGTCATCCACCAAGGCAACATCAACCAGGCCCGTCGTTTGCTGAGCCCGTATCTGCCTAAGCCTCCCGGGGTTTCCACCTCTCATGATTCTCCATACAGCCAAGGTGGTTCGCTATACGCTTACGGACTATTATGTGCCAATCACAAAGGAAAGGCTGTCAACTTCATCCGAGAGAAGTTCAAGGAGGCCACTGAGGAGGTTGTGCAACATGGTGGTGCTCTTGGCCTCGGTGTTGCAGGAATGGCTTCCGGCGATGAGACCATCTTTGAAGACCTGAGAAATGTGCTCTGGGCCGATTCTGCCATCAATGGCGAGGCTGTGGGTTTGGCAATGGGCCTCGTCATGCTTGGTTCGGGCAATACCAAAGTCTTGTCGGACATGATCCAGCATGCTCACGACACTCAACACGAGAAGATTGTACGAGGTCTCGCGGTCGGTATGGCACTGATCATGTACGGCCGACAAGAAGGCGCGGATGAGCTCATTCAAGGGCTTCTCAATGACACCGATCCTACCATGAGGTATGGTGGCATCTTGACCATTGCCATGGCTTACGTCGGCACGGGCAGCAACAAGGCCGTCAGAAAACTGCTCCATGTGGCTGTCAGTGATGTCAGTGATGATGTTCGACGAATCGCCGTGCTCAGCTTGGGGTTCATTCTGTTCCGAAAGCATACCAGTGTGCCGCGAATGGTGGAACTCCTCGCTGAATCCTACAATCCCCACGTCCGATACGGCGCTGCCATGGCACTCGGGATCTCCTGTGCCGGCACGGGCCTTGCTGAAGCTATTGACTTGCTTGAACCGATGCTGAAAGATCCTACCGATTTCGTGCGCCAGGGAGCCCTTATATCCCTCGCCATGGTCTTGATACAGCAGAACGACGCACTGAATCCTAAGGTTGGCAGCATTCGCAAAGCGATGCTCAAGGTCGTTAGTGACCGACACGAGGATGCAATGTGCAAATTTGGCTGCGCTATCGCCATGGGCATTCTTGATGCAGGCGGGCGAAATTGCACGATTAGCCTACAAACCCAAACGGGCAACTTGAATATGATGGGAATCGTTGGGGCTGTGGTCTTCACTCAGTACTGGTACTGGTTCCCATTGGCACATTTCTTCTCGTTGTCATTGACGCCCACGGCGGTCATTGGGGTGGATCAGAAATTGGAAGCTCCAGTCTTCAATTTCCACTGCAACACGAGACCTAGCCTTTTCGACTATCCTCCCGAGCAACAAGCCAAAACTGATGAAGCACCTGAGAAAGTCAAGACGGCCGTCCTGAGTACCACCGCACAAGCAAAGAGACGAGCGGCGAGAAAGGAAAGACAACAACGAAGGGACAGCATGGATGTTGATACCGTAACGCCCGTGACGCCCAAGATTGAGAAGGGGGATAAGATGGATACTGATGAGGTCGGTGGGACTTCTGCAGTGAAAGATGATGCTGAAGGCAAAGAAAAGGATAATGCCAAGGAAGACACGGAGAAAAAGGACGCTGAGAGTCATGGCGAAGGGAAGAAGAAAGCAGAGAAAGAGAAGATTGGCTATGATATCAGCAACATGTCCCGTGTGTTGCCGGCACAACTGAAATACCTAACGTTCCCGGATCAGCGATATCAGCCTGTCAAGCGGCCTACAGGAGGCGTGATGGTTGTGCTTGATACCGAGCCGGAGAAGGAGAGGGAAATTATCCCCTTGTTGGTTAGCAAAGTTGAGGCTCCAGCGACCACACAGACCGGAGGTCAGACCCTAGGCGAAGGGGTTCAGCTTCCTCAGACTCCAATTGGCCAGAGGACTGGACAGGAAGCAGCCGCAGGTGTGGGCGCTGGTGCGGCGGCAGCGGCTGGTGTGCTGACGGCGATCGATGAGGATGAAGAGGGAGTGGAAGATGCACCTCTGCCGAGGGAGTTTGATTATGAGACTGAGGGGGAGCAAGAAGAGGGAGAAGAATAGGCGACGTGCCATTGCTAATAAAGGGGGCATGCTGTAATTTCCACCATCCAGGAATTAGGGACCAGGTTGGAGCTCTTTTTCTTTTTCTTTCTCGGAACTCGAAGACAAAAGGACAGAATGGCAAAGTCGTCTCGTGCGGTGCGACATGGCTACAGCGGTGGTGGTAGTAGCAGCAGCAGCCTCCAGCCCCCAGATGGGCTTGGAGCATTCGCGAGAGGTATTCTGCTTTGTACCACAATCACACCCATAACCACAATCAAAGATACACCAATAGCCAGACGAGGGCCATGTTAGAGAACTGCTTTCCGTGAATTGCGTCGTTGTACCCATGTACCATACTCGAAGTAAGTAAGTATTGGAGGAGTGACTACTCGGTGCTAATAGACTGAGTGATCACTGAACTGCGCACTGAGGACATTGGGGTAGATCTGTCGGATTACTTGGGAAGACGGTGATGGCCTCGTTGCATTTCCCCTTCCTCTTGAACTATCTATGCTCGGTATATCAGGGGGGCAAAGTTCGGGGTATTAAGAAGTAATGTAACTTTTATTATACAACACAACACAATCCAACCCCAGTCAATGGCCTATTCGATGAACCCCTAACCTGATAATATGATGAACGATCGCTTGGGAAAGAGTCGTGCATTTTTGATACAGGGATATATATACACAGGTACACGATGACATTTGTGTTGTGCATGCATGTATGCGGACAGGCATTTTTGTGGATGCGATGGCGAAAAGGGCGGCTTTGTGGTGGAACCCGGGAGGAAGACGAGAGGATGAGCATGAGCATGAGCATGAGCATGAGCATGAGCATGAGCATGAGCATGAGCATGAACATGAGTATGAGAGCCAGGAGAGGGAGAGACTGCGTGCGCGCGTACGTGCGTGCCCAAATGTTGGTTGGCCGTCGTCTTCGGATGGATGAGCTTTGATTCCGTTGATATACAATGGCCGCTCAGACTCGTGGATGTCGTCGAGGCTTTTGGGACTTTTAGCAGGACGGACTTTTCCCTTGGGTCTGTCCTCTTGAATTCCAATCCCGTATTCGCGGAGACGGTCGAAGAAACACGAGAATGGATACTCGGCGCCGGTCTCTGCTGTTGTCTCCCACCGAAGCTCGTTCGAACTCCGAGGCGTCTTCGTCCTTCCATTAGCACGTCAACCTCGACCTCGTAGCTCTCCGATCCTAAGGAGAGTGCCGTTCTCCCCGAGGGCCCACTGCTCTGTTGACCCTTGGCGATGTTGAACACGTCTTCTCAAAGCGCCGGGTGAGGATAGTGGTGGTTTGCCCGAGAGTCTGGCGGCGGCGCAGTTGCTTTTCCAGCGCTGACGGGGACAGAGCTCCATGGCCTGAATGCTGCCCCGATGCCTGAACCCCGTAAGTGATCGTACTCATCCCCGGCACCCAACTCTTCCCAATCGTCACCCTACACCGTTTTGATTCTTCTGCCTTGGTTATCGTACCCGACAGATCAGCATGCCCCCGACCTTCCGTTCCACACACTCTCTTGCCTCCAGAATCCCAATGTCCGTACTGACATACATGCACTCGCCCGGGCGTGTCATCCCCTTGACATATCCACTCTTCTGACCCAACACAAGCTTCCTCAAGCCTGCCACATCCATCCATATCCGCCTCGTCGGTTTGGAGACGAGCTCCATCTTCTCGATTACAGGTTCCGAGTTCCAGTATTTGAGGCCGAGCCAGAGGCGACGGGAGGCGACGTTATGTCGCGTGACGGGGTCAATAGGGTGTGATGGGTCGGACGACGAAGGATGTGATAGTAGGTTGTGTGCTGGGGGTGGTGTTGGGCCTCCACGCACGACGGTTGATACGAAGCCCGAGTTTTGCAGTGCGAGCATCAGCTTCAGGTGAAATTTTGTGTCCGGGATGGAAGTCAGCCCGAGTCGAGCGCGTGAGGCATTCTGGAGATGCGAGCAGGTATTTGCCAGGTGGACAAGGGACATTTTTTTTTTGAGGATGCTCTTGTACTGCTTCAACCTGCGAAAGGAGACTGTTATGAGGAAGCAGATGGGAAGAAGACCGAGGACGTGACCAGTCGTAGAGGTTTTCGTTTGCTGCTGGTGATCGCGGATTGTCGTCCTCCTGAAGCTGCAAACGGGAGCAATCAAAGTCTCAAGGAGCGTAAGGCAGGATTTGTGGGTGATGCAGAATACATTGAGCTGTCGCGACGACAGGGTGTGAGGGTGCAGTCTCGGGCCAGAAAAGTTGCGCAAGCCAATGCCAAGGGGAGTGAAAACTGGGTGGAGCTCGCCTCCCCTTTCGGGACGGGTTGACGCTGCCCTGTGCGCACCCCAGTGATGTTAAAATACATCAAATCTATCATCAACTATAAGATTAAACGTATTGATCTTGAAGATTCGTTGTAATACCGAAGCCTAGGAGCCCCTAACGTACCAAAAAGCACGCTATAATACTAGCATCTAGTAATTTGAGATGTAGGCCCTGGTGATGAATGATCAAAAGCCACCAACTTGGACGACAGGGTTTCGTTCACGACAGGAGGCCGTGGTGCGCTCACCATTCTTTGGGGTTTGATCACGACATTCTCTACATTCACTCGACCGAGTTCAAGGATGGGAGTGTGCTGACACATTGCAATTCAGGCAGTCGGATGCGTTAAAACGTGTAGACAAAGTTATGCAGACTCGAGGGGCCCAGTAGGCTGTTCCTCATATGTGCAACAAGGAAGTTGAACAGAAGGGTTAGGCGGTGGACGAGATTCCTCGATACAGCTGCGAAGTCAATCCCAAGAGGAGATAGAATTTGAAGAGGCGGGGACGTCCATTCAAGCTCATGCTAGCGTTGTTGTGTGTTAAGCGACTTCCTGACCATGTTCCATCTTGGGCAATGGGCATATATACTGCCGGAGGCAAAGATGCTCCATTCTCTTTTGCCTCCCCGCAACTTATTCCTGGTGGCGGCTTGCTCCGAGACTTCAAGAACGGCCCGGGGTGTTTCCAGACTTACCTCAAGAGGCAAAGGGTGCTTAGTACCGAGATGGAAGGTGGAAGGATACTGTGACATGGTTGGCATGGAAGATTCATTCAGACATGCAGGTGTGGTGCCTTTTCAGAGGTCTCTAAGCATCCTGACTCGAGGTGTCGCGTACGTGAGCTGTTCTTCTCTCCCTGGCCCACCGGTTCACTGCATTTACGGTTGTATTCTGCAAACCAGATGGCGGGCTTACGCACGTATCCGTCTCTAGGACTCAGGTCTAGAGTGAACGTGAGTGAGGGATGTAACCTATCTAGTGAGGAGGAGAACCCTGAGGATAGTGTGGAGGACGATAGCAAGGATGCGGGCATACCCACTTGAGTACGTAGGTAGCACAACATAGTGTATACACGGCGATACACGAACGTCATAACGAAAGTGGGCTCCTGTCTAAGTACCTGCCTATACTGGGTAGATACCCAGGTATGTATGCTTGGAAGTCCGCCGGGTAAAGGGGCGGCCGTCGGGAATACCCGCTGTTGAAAATGTTTTTGTCGGACAAAAAGATCCACCGCAGGGCGAGAGGGATATCTCAGACTTGGTCAGGAGTTCTCACGAGAGATCTATCCCTGTCTGCATGGCCGATTCTGTTCTAGATGCACGATTCCTACGTTTCTATGCAGGTGGCTGGTACCTTATCTCTGTGCTAAAGGCCCCTGTTCCTTTCGTCATCCCAGATTCAGGGCCGGCTGCCCTTGCCACTCTCCCTCTACGTTTGCCTGTTCTAGTACATGTAAGCGCAGCCAAGAAATCACAAAGAGCACTAAGTACATAGATACATGAATGGATCTACAAGAGCACGGGAATACCTCCACATCCAGACCTTATCAGCAACTTGCAAGACATTCACCTAACGTCATACGCCCCTCATGAGTTACATCGGGGATCCAACGGTGCTGGATGCTCCAGTAATGAGAAATCCGTCGACTACTGGGTTAGGAAGGCACTTGTACCAATGGGAGCTGCACGCAGAGAGCGACCAGGAGTTTTCCGATACTGTTTTCAGATTTCGAAGAAGTCTCTCCCGGGGATTCTTTGCAACTCACACTCCCAGGTCCTGCCATGGCCCCCTCTACTCCTTTCACGCCGCTCCGAGTCTTCATCTGCGCAGCCATCTTCTTCACAGTAACACTGTTCATTTTCCATGACAATGTCCTCAAGACTGTGGTCGACCTACATAAAGAGAGTTGTGGACATGTTAATACAGGGAGCTCCCATGTCGGCCATCAAACTTTTCCCTATGTCTTCACGCCAGATCCTGAGCTGGGAAGTCTACAGCCTGAAGGCGATCAAGCATGGGATCGTCTGAACACGAAGAAAGGGGGCTTCCTCTGGGTTGAGTACAACGAGACCCTGGATGTGGCCTATGGGATCTCGATGTTCCACGGTATCCACTGTCTTCAGATACTTCGGCATGCGTTCCAAAGCCAACTGGGCATCACGAGTATGAAAGGAGATCACGGACACCACTCCCGCATGGAAAGAAATGAGGGAATCCAGCATGAACATGGTCAAAAAGACCGCGACCTCGGCCATCTGGGACATTGTCTGGCGTATATTGCAGAGGTATGGTCAAGGCTCCCTTGCTTACCTGACATTCAATTCTCTGACCAGCTCCGAAGATGCTTCTCTGCACTGGAGACAGCACCATAGAGCACCCAGTAACGCGGATCGATGAGAGAACGGGCTTCCTCATCAATGATGGCATCGATGGCCGCGGGGCTCAGCATCAATGTCGAGATATAGATCACCTATGGGCAGTTGCTCGTTCAACCGAGACGAAGGCCGCAAATATGTGGGATTATAGACCCGGGGACACGGTAGAGTCGGTCTTTTTCCAGTAACACAACGCTATTTTACATTCCATTGATATTAGCATGTCCACGAACCGAATAGTCTCTGCGAATCAGTCAAAGTAAGAAGTAAAAGTAACCACCATCTTCGTCTCCTGCTTGTACCAAAACACCTTCTCCCAACGTTTCAAAGACATGTGAAGTCAAATAGACGGCATTACATCGTGAATAAAGCACCATGGCTTGGGATCCACTTTCTCCCTCTGCGAGCAAGATTGATTTGAAACACAAAGTTGGGACACTGGCAGCGAAGCAGGACATTGGTAGACTCAATGGAGCAGACGACAACACGAAGTTTCACCACATGAATTCCCCTCTTCAAATGCTATTGCACCAAACTACTCTTCAGTAGCCTCACTATTTCCGTCTCCAAGACCGCTTCACCCCCACATCACTTCTCTTCCCACAGCCTTTTCCTCTTTTCAGATGTCGATCCAGATCAGGTAGCCATCTTTCACGTTCCAGTTCTAGTTGCCGAGGACGTTGAAGTATCCAGTCTCAGGCTCGCGCTTCTTGTTGCCACTGACAGCAATATACCCAGTCTCAGGCTCTGGCTCGCGCTTTTTGTTGCCGAGGACATTGAAGTATCCAGTCTCGGGCTCGCGCTTCTTGTTGCCGCTGACGGCAATATAACCAGTCTCAGGCTCGGGTTCACGCTTCTTGTTGCCAAGGATAGCAATGTATCCAGTCTCAGGCTCGGGTTCGCGCTTCTTGTTGCCCAGGACGTTGAAGTATCCGGTCTCAGGCTCCGGTTCGCGCTTCTTGTTCCCACTGACAGCAATATACCCAGTCTCAGGCTCGGGTTCACGCTTTTTGTTGCCGAGGATTGCAATATACCCAGTCTCGGGCTCCGGCTCCGGCTCGCGCTTCTTGTTGCCAAGGATAGCGATGTATCCAGTCTCAGGCTCGGGGTCCCGCTTCTTGTTGCCGCTGACAGCAATGTACCCCGTCTCGGGCTCTCTCTTCACCGCAAGATCTCCACCCCGAGCAACAAGAGCCGGTTCTGTTCTAGATCATGAGATCTCCAACCATCCTTTCATCCTCGAGAGCTTGGACTCACCAATGACTGGAAATGCCTGAGATGCCGCAGCAAAGAGCATCAGCCCAGCTAGGAACTTCTTGGAGAACATGGTGATCAAGACTCGAGCAACGATGTACTCCTGATGTTGACAAGATGCGGATCCTGGGTGAGAGAGTGGGAGAGGTGGAATTGCTTCTCGAGCTGCAGATACAACTTTCTGATATTTGGATCATGAGATACCTGGGGAAAGCCTTTATATTATCCCAGAGGTGGTTGGATGCCGTCAGTAGTCCTGAGTCCTGTTTCTTTCAAGGTGAGCCGTTTGATTACCACTAATTCTAATGACAAAACTGATGGTCGATCGGCGTCTCTGTCATGGTATGAAGACATACCAGAGAAAGATGGTTTGGACAGCCGATCCTCGTCCCCGACCTTCATCCCCATTGCTCTCGTCTCTCTCCCTGCGTAGGTGTTGTCCGAACTGCTGGTGCCACAAGATGTCTCCACCAACTCGGTCGGATTCAGCTGTATTGAGCATACATCAACCGACCGGTGTGTTGTCAATTAAGAGGACGGATGCAACAACATTCCTTCGGGATGGGATCAAGATGAAGAGCAGTCTGGACTTCCCATCGAGGCAACTGGTTGACGGCAGATGGCCCACACGTCAGCTGTGAGGTAGTATTGAATGCATTAGAGGATTCTCATCATCGAGATGGCGCTCTCATTTGCTGTACACCCCCTGGATGAAAACATCTTTCTTCCGATGGAAACATTCTCACGGCAGCTCGCCGCCCAAAGATGGGAACAAATAGCCATGACGTTGATTTCACTGTGGCCAAGGTGACTGAAGATCACCACGAAACCGGACACAAAATCAACCGCCTCTTGGCCGTCGCTTAATGTCTCTACACCGGGAGTAGTGGGAGATCTGGGGAGTTGATATTACTGCGGTTGGACTCTTCTCGTGCCTATCTAGGGTTGCCTTTCTCTTCACTTGATTTCCTTCATAACTCCACGTCAAGGGGTGACTGCGTACCCTCCAAACGGCATGAAGGGCTCATACGACCTGGTTCCGGGGAGCGAGGAGGAGCAGGTAAGTTTCCACACAAAGTGCCAAACGCCATGTTCTGCCCATGTTGAGAGAAAGTGATATCCAGGGCTTGATCAACGAAATAGCAAGGGCTAGAAAGAACAAGTCGTGGAGCAAGCTCACCATCTGCTCTATGCTCTCCAATGTCATTCTGTTGGCGGGGATTGTCATGATTGCTGTTTTCAGAAAACCCGCCGACATAGAATGCTTGAGGAGAACCAACGCTTTCTGTGGGTTTTCCGCAAGACTCTTCTCCCTTTGGATTTGCTTCTCAGACCGCAGCTAACCAAGCATCTCCCTCCAGCGCCCATTTTATATGATGCGGACATCCCGCTCGAACGCGTCAAGCTCAACGGGACTTTTTTCCCCGCCACGCAGCCGGCCAATTTCTGGCGGCAAGAGCCCAATCCCGCGCTCGACGAGGCCTGGGACGCCCTCGCGGAGACACCGGCGTTCCTCGTCACCGCCGACGAGGTGAGAAAGGCCGGACGCGACCCCGAAAGGGCGGTCCGCGTGCCCGAGTCCTGGGGATTGAGGCCCAAGGGCGACCCCGTGTACTTTGCCCAGATGGATGGGCAGCACTCGATCCACTGCCTCAACGCCCTCCGCATGTTCGCCTACTTCCCCTACTACTTTGGCCACAAGTGGAAGTCGACGGCCGAGATGCCCGTGTACCAGCAGAACCACCTGAACCACTGCGTCGACATGCTGCGGCAGAACCTGATGTGCTCGATCAGCACCGACATCGTCACCTACGAGTGGGTCGAGGCGAACGACACGCCCCAGCCCAACTTCAGCATCGAGAAGGTGTGCCGCAGCCGCGACGTCATCTGGGACTGGCTCCAGAGGCACAAGCTGCACCTCACCCACGACCAGGACTACCACACGCCCAGACCCCCGCCAGGGCAGTACCAGGAGGTCCCCGCCAGCCCTTACTGGTTGGACCTGATCAAGGCCTCGCGGGCCAAGGGGGTGGAGGTGCACAACTATATCGAACAGACAGAGATTTAAGGAACGATGTTGCGAGACATTATTACCTTTGGGTGTACTCGCCCAGCTAGACATGTAGATGTTGTCACGACTGAATCGGTCTTATCAGTGAATACCTAGTTTCTCCACTTTTCTCCGACCACTCCCCCCCGTCCCATTGTGGGTAAGCTGGAGGAAGGAAGAGACGGTGGTTATTGACAGCTTTAGCGAGTCTTTTGCTATCTTGTGGGTCGGGATGTCAGTCTCGCGCCGTGGGGTCTTGCGTGAGATCGACATAATGGTCAGGCTACATATGGACAAGAGTAGCGATCCATCGACTGGAATCAACCATAACCCATGACCGACCAACAATGTAACATTCAATGGGCACACTTGTCCCAACCCAGGCATGGACGACGGCTGGTCGAAGGAGGACCTCACATCGGTGATCACTCATGTTGGCTTTACCCCAGAGGAGAATTGCGTCGGGCGAGATTTCGCCAGCAGGCGTTCCCACTGGGGCTGCTCTCAGCAGTCATCCCTGATACTGCTCACGCATGTGTGGACATCGCCTCGCTAGGAAGCATTTGCCTTGGTGGTAATTATGTAGCATTTTAGCTTGGATCCTGTAAGGTGCCCACATCGCCATAACCGAATGACTTGGGCCCTTGGGGTGAGTCGCACGTGAGCTCTCCGTCGCTTTTACTCTTCCAGGTTGAGTTTTGTGATTAGCCGGATCGGGACGAGGATGGTGCCGCCCTGTTGCTCACCCGTCACCCAGGCGCTCGAGTCAAATAACACCACCTCACGTTGCATCTGACATTACTCTCAGGGTACTTGAAGATGTATAAAGAATATCTTTACAGAGAGAGCCTATCTGTCTAATGCCTCGGCCGCTCTCTCACGCTTCAAACCCGGCAAAGCGCGCACGGGCTGAGGAGGTCATCGAGCAGGCTATTTGACACTCAATCCTTCTACCAGGTCGGGCTGAGCAAAGCCCAGTCTCGTTCGGGGTCCTCTTCCGATTACGCCGTACTTGACCTTGGTATCTCCAAACTGAAGCTTCAAATGTTTTATACCGCCTTTAATACTGGTAGATTCGAGGATTGGCGCCCCGAAAGCGTGCGATATTTCCACGGGGCTCAAACTGACATTCCGTCCAAGTTCCCAGAAGCCATAATATGAAGGCAGAATCAACAGTGCGCATGTAAGCATGGTGGCCACAGCGGCAGCTGCGTACGCCTTGTTCGTAGAATACTGGCCACCATATCCTTGCTTGGTTGCTGAGATTTGCGCTGGGCCGTATTGGATGGGCTGGTTCCACTGCCAATCATAAGGGTTTGTTGCGCTGGGAGGAGCGTTGACGCTGAGGAGGTACGTCCACTGGTTGAGTGCCCTGACAATATCGGGGAACGGATCATTTGTCTCGTAGAAGCACAACTCGGTGGCATTCTGGAAACCTTCGCCGGATGCCCAAAATTGAGCAGCGTTGGTCTTGGGCATCCTCCAGTTGTCCAGAGCCCAGCCTGACTTCTCACGTATCATGACAGCCTCCATGGCGAATGCATCGTTGAGTGCAAACTGTATTCCGCCGATCGTCGAACCGGATTCAGTGCCGTCCTCTCGGATGTCAAGGTGCGAAATGACTGCGACCTCAGACAGCTGATTCCCTGCGATGGACAAGCCCATCAAAGGCAATGACGCCGTGGCACTCGATGAGGCCGAGGTGTTGGTTACGCTCACGTCGGCGAGCTCGATGATCGCCGGCCGGAGTTCGCAAACCGTCGCCACATATCTCACATAACAGTGGCCATCGAGTCCATCTTGCTCTACGGCAAAATCGCTCGAAATTCCGGCACCAGTGTATATTATGCTTGTGTAGTCTTTGTCTCCCCCAGCCCAGCTCATGGCAAAGTCAACACTCCATGCGCGAACATTGTCCCCCACCGGTACCGACGACATGTTAAAGACCTCGTTTGCGGTATCCTTGCATGCAATTGAGAACCCCAGAGTTTGAAGCGAGAATGTGCAGGAGCCGGAGTTGCAGCCACTGTAGGCAAAGGCCGAAACTCCAATATCTCCACCGACTTCAATTTGCGTGGCCCAAGAGAGGAGGGAATAAGGCTCCGTCGGCGCTGAGACGTTTCCGCCAACAACATATCCCGTCAGGGGATAGCTTATTGCCGAACGAACGTCCAGGGTTGTGTCTGTCGAGTAGTTGTCGCTGCCAACTACGAGAGAGGTTGCTTTTTGAAGAAGAATCCCATCGGCTATCGAGATCTTGGTTGCGAGGGCGACCAAAGCCGCGAGGCTGTAGTACCTAGGATGGCACCAAAACGCAAGTCCCGAACTCGAAAAGTACCACTGTTGGTGCAGTTGTTTGACGGTGGTTCCGCGAACCGCTCTTCTCCACCAGTAGATGGCAAAGCCTTGACCAGCAGCAGCAAACAAACAGATGTTTGTCACCGCGTTGATGATTGCGAGCAACACACTGGGAGGAGGACATTCGAGGCGGATGTCCACGTGTTTGGAGTGGACGGTGGTCGCACGCTGCCATTGCGCTTGGGACTGGCCATCTGAGAGCAGAAGAACGGTCAATGCCCCGGCAGCACCGGCAACGACTGTGAGAAGGGATATGAAGCCAGCCCACGGGAACCTAGCCGACAGCCCAGGGTGCCAGGGGATTTGCACCAGCTGCTGCTCCTCCCCACCGTCATCATACTCGTGTGATATTTCTGTCGCCACTCGTTCGTAAGGCTTGCCGGCCATGTTGCAAGGAGGGATTCGGAAGACGCAGGTCTGGTGCGACAAGGCTGAAGAAGTCAGACTTGAGCAACGGGGAAGAATGGATTGGGCTCACCTTTTCAAAGAGAACTTGGAGCGCCATGACTGCCGTCCAGACCACTCGATCGAGCCCATGATGGCCGCCGGCACAAACTCTAGACGGCGGTGGACGGGGAATACGAGCATTGAGTGCGCAAAACTTGTGAGAGTTGAAGTAGTGGGCGGACCAGAAGCTGAAATCGCAAGCGAGAGGACTGCTAGGCTGTGTCGCCTGGTTTAGGAAGAGGCATAGTGTGATGCTAGATTCTGAGTGCTCTGCGCCAGCCTCACAGGCGTGTCTTGAAATCGGGCGTCGAAGGAGATGTTCTAGTGCCCCCTCGCACCAATAAAGATTGAAAGGTTGTAAAGGTTGGAGGGGTGGCGTCGAAGATACAAATTAAGCCTCAAGCAGGCGATGCGTGCCTAGGCCTCACCAGCCTTGGCTCGACCTTCGACCGCCTGCGCCGCCACTCCATCGCAGTCAAGCTTCCTCCCCATTTCACAGCCTGGAGCTTAACTTAAGCGAGTGCCAGGCACATTGGACGCTGCTCGAGATGCCAAGGTCTAGTTCAATCAGCTTTGCAGACGAGGGAGAGTTGCTTCTCCCGTACTCGGTACTTGCACACTGTTTGTTGTCTGCTACTTCTTCCGCGCGCCTCGCTCCCAATACATGACCTGGATTGTCTTTCTCATATACACGAGGTAACCACCGTCAATGCCATCTCTGTCAGAGGTTGCTAAGGCGTCCCTCCTAATGGAAGCGAGGCAGCGAGGCAGCTGGCGGTCTTGGCCAATGTAACGCTACAACCTCGTGTGGCAGAAGGCCAGGCTTGTGCTGGTGAGCCTAAGCCAAGTACTAACTACATACCTTCTGCATGATTGTGACTCAGAGGCCTCCGTCGGAATAGGAAGACAGAAAAACGGGTGCCGTCTTCTTCTTCCTCCTCCTCTGGCTTCGCCATCATCTATTGTATCTGCACTTCGCTGCACCTGCGCACAGACTTAGCGACAAAATGCACGTTCGACCTGCCCGGAGGACAGATCTTGCAGACCTGGCCACCATCGCCAGAGACGCCATGTTCGATGATGAGTTGACCATCTTTCTAGCCCCTAATCGTCACCGACATCCGGAATGTCTTCGACAGGGAGTCCTCAGACGTGTAAAGAAGCGCTTCTACGACGGACATCTCGTTCTTGCTGCCGTGTCGGATGAGAATGACGTGTGGTGGGACGGCAAGGAGAAGGTGGTTGGCTATCTTTCTGCTATCTCTACTAAGAAAAACGCAGACGAAGACAAGGAGAAGAAATCCTGGCTGCCGTTCTCCTGGAATGGTATGTCTTACAAGTTTCCCTAGTCCAAAGTCCTTTGCACTGATCATTTCAACAGCACTCGAGCTTCAGCTCCTTCGTCTCGAGGACCTCTTCCAATGGTATGCTCACGCCGATAGATCACTGTCCCGAAAAGCCTGGCTACAATTCGTCAACAGTCCTCTTGACACTAGACCATTTGCAGACCTCAAAGAGTATTGGCACGTGGACCATCTGTCCGTCGACCCGGCTCATCAGAGGAAAGGTATCGGATCCGCCATGATCAAGTACCTGCAGAACATAGCATCGGAGGACAACTTACCCATAGCTCTTGTGGCAAGCCACAAAGGTAGGCCAATGTACAAAAAGTCAGGTTTCGAGGATCGTGGCCCTTGCCAGATGGCATGCCTCGTCAACGAAGCAATGGCATGGTTTCCCACTGCCCTGGCCACCTCGCGTTCACCCGGCGAGACGAAGGATGCCTACTCTTGAGCATGACACTCACGACTCATCGGTTTTATCACTGGGTATCCGTCCGAAAGACTGTCCATCTTCACCAGTATAACGTCTGTCCTCGACTCCTTGAGAATGTATCTCCTCATCATTCCACAGCACCATAAGCTGTGAAATGTGCACTTGTTTGACCTGGAAGGCGAGAGTCCCTGTGAATGTGACATTACAACGGAAGCGAACGAAATCTTGGTCTTAAAACCGGCTGAGATTGCTCTGATATTGGCCACGCCCGCGAGTGCACTCGATCTGCACAAAGCAGGCGATTGAGTCAGCTCCTCACCGCGGCAGAACACCCAAAACAGATTTACCAGATGGCCCCGTCGCAGTCATTCGGCTTGAAGGACGCATCTTGAACCGATTCCGTAAAAAGAGACATTGGGAATTGAGGCCTCAAAAAAACCGAAGGCTAGCCGAGTCTCCCTAGCATTTGGGACTCGGGCCAGACTCTATGGTCATAGCGCACCAACACACGAGGAATTTAACCGTGCCCACAAAAGCATGCGCAAGTTGGTCGGGTACAGCCTCCTTGGTCAGCAGTACACTTTCTCATCTATTGGTTCAGCGCATATACGCACGGATCGCTTCTGATGTGGGTCCAGAACCATGGCATCGCCGCAAACAGCCAGCGGTTCGTGCTTTAAACAATGGGAACGTCGCTTGTGGCAAAAGGCCTCCAACTGCAACCAACAACATTGTTGGGAGCGTCATTTCACCCTTACGGGACGGAGTCCTCGAAGTCGTTCAACTCGAGAGGACACCCTTTTCGAACTATCGAGCTTGAAAACTGACCAGGCTGTGTCTCCTTGACCATCCGAGCGCCTTTCATAGATATAACATCCAGTATGGCTAGTTCAGCATACTCCAATGGACCACGGCGTCCAAGCGGATCACTCGAACAGGCAGCAGAGCAGACGAGCACCAACTCGACGACACCTCAATCGCCGTCTCAAACGTCGATATCTAGTTCGATTGACACCTTTACGACCAACAGAGACGCTGTGATCTGTGCTACGCATTTTGGCATTGAGCTTGAATTTGTTCTGGCCTTTAGGGAGGATCGATTGAAATCTATCATATCAGAATACAATCTGGATGCGGACGTCATTAGAACTCTCGCAGACTATGAACATCGCTCCCTTATTGAACACGACCATATGGGCACGAATCCTTCCTACGAATGCCGATGGAGACACCCGTCATGGGCACTCCACGTCCCGGAGACGGACATAGTGTGCACCTCGAACCTCCACAAGGGCATGTTTTTCAACAAGGTGGAAAAGGGGAAGCAATGGGTGCGACGATATGTCGTAGAACCACTTCTCATCGCTCAAGACCGCCTTGGAAAACAGGGACTCCCATCCAACGTTGTGGGATGGCTAGAACCTGACCCAAACAATCGACACTGTCCCGAGGCCGCAAAGATCCTGCTACCGAACCACGATTGCACTGACGAAAGAGTCGTACTCCGAAAGAGTATGATAGACTACACAGAGTGGACTTTGACCAACGATCATACTGTCATTGGAGTGCTTCGAAGCCAACTCCGAGAACACCTGTTGGCTCGAGGATTTACGCAGGATGATGTTCCGAAGTGGGATAGCTATGGAATGGAAATGATCTCGCCAGTTTTTGAACTTGGGAGAAAAACGGAAGCTTTTTCTCAAGTCGGAAAGTATCTAAGAGCTCTAATCTCGACGGAAACTTCAATTCTCGAGTCTGTATGGGCTAGTGCACATGTGCACATCGGCTTCAACTTCTCGCACCCTGATCAAATGCCCATATTATTGCTTCAACATCTGGCATACATCCTCGTCCTACACGAGGACCTCTTGTCGAAATGCCACCCTCGGAGTCGCTGTGGCATTCGACTTTTGGACTCGATTTCCGAAGAAGCGGAAGTCGAAGACGCCAGCGACGATGAAGAGTTTGACCCTGATGCCCCTTACGAGCCACCGCCCCAGCCGTCCGAAGACGAGCTAGAAGAGTGCAACGAACGAGTGGTGGTCGCTTTCGAGGCCAAGTACACTGGAGCCGATAATGTCAGCTCTAACGCTCGGTATCTACGAAAGCAACTTTCACAGAAATCCATACAATGCACAACCGGAGCGATCAGAGATGCCATCTTCAAACAAGACGGCAATATCTTTGATCTGGTGGGTCTCTTACAACAAAACGATGAACACGGCAATCCATGTCGGGGCTACATGTACAACTTTGCGAATCTGGTTAATCTAGCACGCAATATGACGACTTGGAAGCAAATTAAGCCGACAGTCGAATTTCGGCAGCATGCGTGCACGTTGGATGCAGGTGAGTTGAATCGATGGGTGACGCTATTGGAAAGGATTGTCCGTGTGGCAGAAGAGAATGCACAAGCAACAATGCAGTCTGATCCCACCCAACCTACAGACCCGGAACTGCGGAGTTCTTTTGCGGACAGGGAAGGCAGCAAATATCCCTCGAGCTCGACAGCAGGTACGCAGTGGCCCTGCAGGAGCATGAGTGGGTTTTGTGTCGAGTTTTTGGGCATGAACTCGGAGGACGGGCAGTATTGGCAACAGAGGTTTGAGAGATACAAGGATGACAGGCCCGAGTATGATGATGATGATTGAGAGGACAACCTGGACGATGATATGTGATTGGTGGCTTAGTTGACTATGTGGAGGACGCTCATATGATGACGGATAGGCAAACACTATGGACGATCGCTCGTTGAAAAGGTCGCATAGCGGTATTTGGCACGCTGCATATGGTTTGGTAGAGACTCGTGACTTGAATACCCTCGTTGGATGCTCCGATGAATAGACTTAGATCGAAGACTATTGGATACAAATGGATATTGACTGCTGTAGCACTGCCCTGAGCTCTGCTGTCGCTGGCGAGGCACGCGGCGGAGCTTTAGCGATCCCAGCCTGATCAACGCTCAGCCTCGTCGCTGCAGCCTCGCGAGTTCAGCCTCGTCGGCCGCTTCCCGTCGGGTGGAGCGGCATGAAAAAAGCGACTCGCTCTTGCACGCAATTTGTTGCCGGCTTTGCGTCTTGCCTCCGTCATATCTACAAGCTTCTTCCTCACATCCTTGGTTTTGTTGACGTTGCACATCACTTGCTCCCCATATCTTGTGCTGACTATTGCTCTGCGAATTATATCTTAGCTTTTTTGTACCACGCACACCACGTACAAGCTTTCAGATTGCCGAGTCTGTGCTCCACATGATAACCTCCGAAGTTGACCCCAACGAATGCCCTCACCGCCGTTGAACATTCCTGACGACCGAGCCAGGCAGAATGTAGAGGGCGGCAATACCCGCTTTTCAGATGTGTCGCTGACACACGATGGAGCCGCTTCAAGCACGGAGTATTTTGACAAACTGGATGGAAAGAATGATCATCTGGAGAATGCGACTGCCAGCCCATCCGCCAAACACCCAGCCAGACCGAGCCTGGCCCCTGGGATCTCCTCAACAGCACGTCGGCCTTCGTTCATAGACGAAGAGGAAGACCCCATAGCGACGGCGACCGCTGCCACTAGACAGCCTGAAAAGTCCGACAAAGAAGCACCGGTGACATGGATGTCCTTGCCTAAGAAGGGACAATTGGCCGTTCTGACCTTCGCTCGACTCTCCGAGCCACTGACGGAACGGTCTCTTGCGGCATACTTGTTCTATCAACTTCGGTCTTTTGATCCAGACCTTCCGGACAGCACGATTGCAAGTCAAGGCGGGATGCTCACCGCCTCGTTCGCTGCAGCGCAGTTCGTTACGGCAGTCTGGTGGGGTCGGGCGGCTGATACGCCCTGGATCGGTCGCAAAAGAGTCTTGCTGGTGGGGTTGTTTGGTACCTGTATCAGTTGCATCGGAGTCGGCTTCTCAAAGTCATTTGCTCAAGCATTATTCTTCCGAGCATGTGCTGGCTGTCTCAATGGAAATGTGGGCGTCATGAGAACCATGATCAGCGAAATCATCAAGGAGAAAAAGTACCCTTTGCGTCTTCCCCTTCGCCCCAGAATCATATCATCTAACCAGCCGAACAGATACCAGTCGAGGGCATTCCTTCTTCTGCCCATGTGTTTCAATATCGGTAAGTTATGCGAATGAGCTCTACATTGGCTCCTTACTAAATGCCTCTTAGGTGTGGTCATTGGCCCTATCCTCGGCGGTTTCCTCGCGGACCCGATATCCTCGTTTCCTGCCGTCTTTGGCCCGGGGTCTTTGATAGGTGGCAAGGATGGAGTTGGCTGGATGACCGCCTTTCCCTACGCTCTCCCAAACGTGGTGAGCTCCATGTTCATCCTGGCCTCTGCCATGCTCCTCGTGTTGGGTTTGGACGAGACCCATGTCGCCTTGAAGGACCGACCGGATTATGGCCGAAGGCTGGGTAAGTATCTAGTCAGGGTTCTCTTCCGTCGGGGTAAGCAAGAATACGAATACTCTGAACTGGGCAACCAGGTCGAGTTGCAGGATATCGACGAAGACGATCATTCACTGCAAGACAGAGATCCTGAGTCGTCGACGCCCACGGCCACCAAACCCGCTTCTTGGAAACCAAATCTATCATTCCGGCAAATTTTCACCAGGAATGTCATTCTTACGCTCATTAATCACCACCTCCTCGCTATGCATATATCGGCATTCAACGCGCTGGTGTTCTTGTTCCTACCCGCGCCCCGGTCGAACAACGCCCATGCAAGATTACCATTTCTCTTCACCGGTGGCCTCGGGCTCAGTTCCGACCGCGTCGGCCTCGCCACCGCCATCATCGGCATCATCGGTTTCCCTCTCCAGATTCTCCTCTACCCGTCCCTCAACTCGAAACTCGGCACCTTACCGAGTTACCGATGGTTCCTCCCCTTTTCTGTCCTCGCATACGCCATCATGCCATATCTGGCCCTCCTCCCGAACAAAGCATACTTGGTCTGGCCCAGTCTCACCGTTGTCTTGGCTTTCCAAGTCATAGCCCGGACATTCGCTCTGCCGGGCTCGACGATTCTTATCAACAATTGTACCCCGCATCCGAGCGTGTTGGGCACAATCCATGGCTTTGCGCAGAGTGTCTCTTCTGGGGCAAGAACTCTGGGGCCTACCCTTGGAGGATGGGGATTGGGCCTGGGATTAGGGGGAAATTGTGTAGGGGCCGTTTGGTGGGTTATGGCGAGCATTGCCGTCTTGAACTGGTCGTTGCTTTGGGTTATATCGGAGGGAGATGCTGGTGCGGCGGCGGCGGCTGCTATGGGCGGCTGAAGTTGAATTCAACATCTTTGGTATCGTTTTTGGTTTGGACAAGAGATGTACATGGAGAGCCGCTGGCCCCGATGTACATACATTGTGGATGGAAGCGATGAGACCGGGGGCGTTTTGTTATTGGCTCGATGCTCCTGGGTATTGCGAAAGTATCCTCGACGGGGACATGATTGATTGGGTATATAGACACGTCGAGCAGACTTATACATTCACAGGACGAGTGGAGAAGTTAGGGGATGGATGGATGAAATGGAATGAGATGACGACAGAGTGTCTTTATGCAATTCCGCCTGCTGCGGCATGTCGTTCTCATCCAGCTCGTCTGTGAATTCCAAGCCTCGACTTCCAGTAGTGGCAGGCTGAGGGGACACGAATGAATGGCCCGGAAGCCAGCGGAGTATAGGTAACGATGAGGTATTAGGGGACCGACCGAATAATAACCTCTCCCTGAAACACACACACACTCCCGACCAAGGCATTATCTATCTGTACAAGCCCGTCCCCATGCACGTCATGGAATCCTGGACACCGACACCCGTTGCGAATCCGCGGCGCACGTCTAGTCCAAGCCAACAGCTCGGTTGGTATCCTTATGATGCTGTGGAGGGAGTCGCAGACTACCGACGAGACAACGTCCCTTTGCATCCTGGAGGAGCTCTTTTCTCATCGCAGGCAATTCAGTTACCGGTGGAAATTGAACCAGGTGGAGTCCAAGTAGTCAAAGTCGCTCGCAGAGATACGCTTCTCAAGAGTGGCGCCATCCTGCTGCGCACTGCCGTGCTCGCCATTTCCTCCTTCGACGGGAGGAGGTTGGACGGCGCCGCTCATCATCTCGCCTTCTCCTGCGGCGTCCATGGCTGCGCGCTGCAGGCGCGGGGACTGGTCTGGGTAGTACTTCCCGCCCGGGTGGAGCGCCTCGAACTGCGACTGCGGTTGCGGGTGCGCGGGATACTGGTCGTCATCGAACCCGTACGTCGTGTAAGGTGACCGTTGGAGGACCTGGGGGTCGTGCGCCGTCACCTCGGGCGCATTTTTCCACTGCGGCGCGCTTGCGGGGGGGTAGTCCCACGACCCGGCGTAGCGGTGCTGCGCATTCTGGTCCAGCTCCGAGTCTGCCCACGCATCACTCGTGTTGGTGGGCGCATAAACGGCGTCCATGTCGGGGAACTCAAAATGCGACGACTGCTGATTCGTGGCACCCTCGGCGGGTGCCTGTCGATTTTCTTGTGCCGGTGCCGGCGTCGAGATGGACGTCGATCTGCCGGTTTCTTGTAGTTCGTCACCTTGTACCTCGACCTCTCGGTCCCGGATTTTCCGCATGAGCTGCAGAAACTGGCTGTTTTGGAACTTTTCGCTATTGTCGTGTGAGACGCTGGTGAGGAGTTGGCCTGCGGTGCGGGCTAGTTCGTCAGCATCGCGCGTGTCTTGTTCTGCCGTCCGTTCCACTTTCTCGCGGTAAGCAATGGCGTCGCTGCCTATGCGCACGGTTTCTCCCTCATCAGGTCGTGGCATGCCCGTCTCAGAGATCATGGCATCAGGATCTGAAGACAGCGCGCGTTGCTGGTCCATCTCTTGAGCGTGAGCGAATGCGTCCGCGAAAGCGGCTTCGAAATCCACGTCGGAGATTTGGACATGTTGCTCCATAGACATCATTGTTGACTGCTGCATCTGTGGCTCTTGCTGGAACCCGCCAGAGTATGACTGGTACATGGGCTGGGAATAGTCCATCATGGACTGTTGGAAAATGCCGCCATTGCTCAATTGTGGACTATCCCGTACTGCTTGCTTCCCCTGCGCAACTGGTGTGCCGGCCCCCGACCGCTGCCGCATGAATTCATTTTGCCATCCGCCGAGCGTAGTGGACTTGATCAGCGGCGCCTCAGTGCGAAACTGCCCCGCCGGCACAGGCTGCTGCTGGGATATGGATAGCCGTTGAAAGTCGGCAGCCCACCCTGCCGGAGCAGAAGGGCCATGGCTCTGAGGGTGAAATAGTTCAGGCTGCTGGAACTGGAAAGGGTGCGGCGTGGAGGTCTCAAAGGCGTGAAAGTCGGCGTCGAGGGATCCGGCTCGAGGGTCGACGGTGCGGAAGCCCTACAGAAACCACAAGTCAATGGTGAGCCGAAGACAAAAGCGAAATGATTGACTCACCTGGCTAGGCGACTGTCTGTTGCCAATAAGACGGTCTTGCTGCAGCGTCCGATCTACCTGGGTGTGTTTTTGCAGGTTCTGAAGCGGGTTCGATGGCCCGCAGAGAGCGTCTGCCATCGTGAGCGAAGTGGGGGAGTGTGTCAAGGACAGAGGTCGGTTCGCCTGGTGAAGGGCATGTCTAAATAAAACGGATAAAAAAGACAGGATAAAGGTCGGGGATTGATCGCTCTCGGCCGCAGACGAAGACAACCCTCGAGCCTTTGACGTAGCGTGCGTAGGTAAGTAAGTGTTGGCTGATGAGCAATTCCAAGTCGCCCTCGAGGATTTGGAAGCCGAGGTTCGCTGGGGTTCGGATATGCCGGACAAATGTTTAGCCGGGGGGCGAACGGGCAGGTGCCCGACGAGGCTGAAGGACGTGCCCCAGAATGGGGCATCAGAAAAGACTACTCTGCACGCTGTGATCACACTCTTTGCAGATGGCGGAGAAGGTTATGGTCACTGGCCATCCAAACTTCAGCACCGAATCAAATGCGAAAAGAGATTTTCTTGTAGACGGCCCAAATCCAACGACACTCGAAATTCTGTTCCCGTGATATCAACGCGCCCCCCATCTATGCATATATTGTAGCAGGATGTTACAGACAAGCCAAGTGCCCGCGCCGGGACTCCGTCTCTTGACCATCCAAATCAATCACAGCATCCATAACCATGCGCCAGCGATTCCTAGAGCAAGTCCCGCAACCAATTCTATCGCACTCCCACGCACTTCATCTAGACCAGCCGCGGCATTGGCTGCAGAGCTTGTACTTGCACTCGCACCAGAAGAAGCCGATGCCGAAGTGGCCGCACTCGTTTCAACCGATGTTGTAGCAGCAGTCGCAGTTGCTGGGCCGGCAGAGCTTGAGGCCGTGGAAGTTGAACTGGTAGTGTCATTCACCACGCGGAACCAGTTGGCCGCAACCGGTTGTCCCAAGCCAGCAGCCTCGGCGAAACCAGACATGTTGAAAGGATATCTCGCATTCGTATCGGCAGGTGGACTGAAAGAGATATACGCTTGTGGCACGGTGAAGCCTTCTGGCTGCGGATAGAGCAGCAGCGTATATCTATGTGGCCCATCTCCTGCAGGCGGAGAGGGAGTCAGATACTCCGCTCCAACCGCCGTTGTGGCATTTCGCGCCTGTGGTTGAACCGACAATTCATGGTTGATGCCGACAAGGTTGGGCTGGAAGTAGTGAAGCAGTTGCACTCGCGGACCATTTCCTGTATTGACGTCCTCGTCGACCATGAACAGTATGTAGGTGGCTTCTTCCGTGGCGTTCTGTGGTCCATACACTGTCGGGCCATATAAAACATCTGCATATGTTAACAACAGGTATCATGTGAAGACAGAGCGAAGTCCACACCGTCTCTGGGCAGCAGAATTCCAGCTGGGCTGACGCTTGTAGAACTATTGAGGAAGTCGACACGCAGATTGTTGTCGACTTGGACAGGGAAGTTTGGTGCAGATTGGGCACTAACGAGTGCGGCCAATGTTGGCACCGCAAGAACTGAGAAGTATTTCATGTTGGCAGGTAGGTTGGTATCAATCGGAGATTTCGAGGGCTGCCGACTTCAGAGAAAGGTGAGACTTGAGTTGTTGGCCGACATGACCCAGGACCATATCCTCAACTTAAGTACTCATCTCACATCGTCGTCATTATGTCGATCGAGGGAGCCAGCCTCGAGTCGGGTTGGTGCTTTGCTTCATTCGGTGCCTGTGCCAGGCGCCTCCGCCAAGTCAATCTAAAGGCCTCCAGCAACGGCCAGCGTCTTCAGGAGGCATCAATCATCTCGTCAGGCGCATGAAACACTTTGTTTTGCTGACGAAAGGTCCGGTAGGACAGAATCTGGGACGAGGGTGATTCCGAATATGGGAGCGTGTGCCCCATTCTCCATAGAGCTAGACAGAAGTACATCCTCGATTGGGAAACTCTCCTCGAGATGGGCGCATTAGTAATTCGGCGGGTCATCTCAACAATCATTCGCTTGTCACAGCCCCAACCGAGCCAAGTGGTTGGCCTGGAAAGGGGCTGAAATTGCCAGCGTTTCCAAGAGAGGTCGAATTTCTGCCCCTGATCGCCCAGCAGCCAAACACTGGAAAGGCATGTGCTCTTCAATAATCGAGAAAGGCCTCCAACCTGCTTCTCACAATTTTTGTGTATACACGAGTGGCTGTCCGCTGCAGGGCGTCTTTCAGCTCGTTCGACCGGAAACAAGTTGCACTGTAAAGTCCCGGAAAGTGTTCCGTCACTCAATTCCCCTTGGACTATCAGACGAGTCGAGCACAGCCCTGTGCTTATTAATTGAGCACAGATAAAGCTCTTCTCTGGCTGGGATGCCGACGTCAACAGTTTGTCAGTGGCTTTTTGTCAAGGGCATTTTGCACCGCCCTGGAAAGCGCCCCAGAGGCCTTGAAATCGAGCGAACAGTGTGGTGAAAGAGCAGGCCCGGGCGGAAAATTGTCGGGAAGATGGGTCTCCATTTCTTTGAGTATAATTCCCTTGAACTCATTTTGACCAATGGTCTTTTTGGCAACGATCGCTTTATGCGGACCGTGTTACCTCGAGCACTTGAGCACAGAGGTCATCACAATCGGATAAAGCTCCTGGATCCTGTGCATGGATCCGGATCATATTAGGAGGTTGAGATTTCGCCAACCACGGCTGACCCTGCGGGAATCGGAGGAACAAGAAAGCAGTAGTCGACTCAGTCCCTGGGTCTGTCCTCTAGCTCCCACGGTTTAGGAAATCCTCATCCAGGTCCAGTTGCGAATCTTCCAGCTCGAAGTTCCTCTTCTGTCCTCCTTCTCCAGGAGTCGGACACTCTGGTCCAGTCCACGTCGCCCAGGCGTCCGAGGGCTCGACAACCATCGCAATCGACGTAGTCGCTCAGGGTACAAGAGGCATGACATGCGGGACAGATGTCGTGCACTTGCTTGTGCCAGCTCGCGTTGTGAAAGTTCCAACCGGTCTTTTGGATCCAGAAGTTGCTGATCTCGCAGCCAACGATAGTTTCCCAATACTCCTCGCGGCGAGGTCTATTGGTGAGGCAGTGGTTGCATAGACGCAAGTCAGCCGGCATCCAAGGCTTCAACTGTGTCATGAGCTCCGGGACATCAAAGACAGTCCTGGGGAGAAACCCCGCGTATTTTGGCGAAGTGGGTGAGAGAAATAGCTGTACGTCTCGTGCCACAACGGCCATGCGTTTACAGGATAAAGCAAGAGCAACTTGCGATGGAGCATGCTCAAGACTGTCGTATATGACGAGAAGAATCTCATAGGGCATCGTTAATAGAACAGATTGGCTCTTGGGCAGGGAGTCAATCGACTCCAGGATCTGCAGATGTCAGACCCTTTCTCGCAGGGCACAATGAGGACTCAGCTGCACCTCTTTGGGAACGATGAACCTGCACGAAAGCTTCCGCTCGAAATCATGGCTCTTTGCTTTACATTTGAGCGGCTTCCGAGGCACCAGGGGTGCGTCCTCCTTCAGCTTCAGTCCTGTGCCGGCGGGAAAGCCGGTCCAAAGAGCCATGGGCGCAGTCTGTCGACGATTTGGAGGCGCTCAGAAGATACAAGGAGCAGGTCCGGACGCTGCCACGGGTTGCGTGAGCGCCAGTCCACTATCCTTTAACCGTCAACCATGAGGTGCAAGCTCTTGAACGTAGGTCGGTGAGGACTTTCTGCAGATAAGCGACGAGCGCAGCTGCATCCGGCAATTAGTAGATAAGCTAAGCAGCTATCCCTTTTCTGTGCTAGTGAGACGATTAGATCCGGCAGTATCCACTGTGAGGCCTTGGCATTTATCTCTCGACCTGCCGAGCCGATGTCAAAAATAAGTGGCATGGTCTGACGTGAAATAGTACAGAGAAGTCATTCACTGTTGACCTTAAGGTGACCACCATTAAAAAGGATATTAATTCCGTCCTTAAGAATAGCGTTATCCTTATCTTTATCAATAATATTAGCTATATTTGATCTGGCGATCACCTCGTCACTATCGAGTGACTGGCTAGATTCTGAGATGGCGTCAATTCTCTGTCAGACTGTGCCATTGTTTTCTTCTGGAGGCTTGCTGCCACGCCTGCGCACTTTGTCACTTTCTCACACTCTCACCTCCTCACTTCCCCATCTCAATGACGATTTTCCCATTCGTTTTGCCTTCCCAGATATCCTTCAGCCCCTCAGCAGCCTCCTCCAGAGGCAGCACTCTGCCAATATACGGCTTGATACCGGCAGTGGCCACAAAATCCAGCAGGTTGACAAACTCCTCCCGCGTGCCCGTATAGACCCCCGTCAAGGTAATCTGATTTGCCATCAGATGCATAAGGTTGATCGTGATGTCTGTCGAGGCGCCCTCCGAATGAATCCCGCAAGACACAACCGTTCCACCTGGTTTTACAGAGGCTAAAGAGTGGGATATCGTCGATGCTCCCGATGTGTCGAACACAGCATCCACGAGATATGGCAATTTTGCGCCAGGCTCAAACGTGCTTTCCGCACCAAGCGAGGTTGCGAGATTGCGTTTCGCTTTCGCCCGGCCGGTTGCCCATACTCGGAGGCCGGCGGCAGAGCCCATCTGGATCAGCGCCGTCGTCACGCCTGTATGTCGTGATGTGTTAGATCTCATCACGCATGATATAGCCGAGGCAAATCCAAAGTGCTGGGTAGAGTGCTTACCGCCGGATGATCCTTGCACCAAAACAGTTTGGCCGGCTCTGACTCTTGCCTGGGTGAACAACATGCGGTAAGCTGTGAGCCAGGCAATCCCCATCACGCTTGCAGATCTCGCATCTAGCCCTTTGGGTCTCGGCACAGCGTTTCGTTTGGGGATCATGGCATACTCAGCGAGGTTCCCTTGGACAAGTTCGCCGAATACATGTCTTTGTGGATCAATTGTTTCGTTCCCTTTCCAGTCGGGATCACCCATGACTGGATAGATGGCAATCTCTGTCCCATCCTCAAGCACCCCGGCACCTTCATTACCCAAGATCATTGGATAGCGGATCTCATGCATCAGCATTCCTCGCAAGGTGAAGATGTCGTGGAAATTTAATCCCACCGCCTGCATCTTGACCCGGACCCATCCTTCCCTCAGCTCTGGGAGATTTCTTAGGCCCACCCGGACTGATGACAACGGATCTTGAGGGCTGGCCACCGACGCATAGACCGCCCGCATCGTCGGTTTATTGGGATCGACATCGCCCATATTAAGATGTATTATTTTGTCGTTTTTGACCGTGGCGACAAGGAACAGGTCGAAAGGTTCGTGAATACCAAATTCCTTCCCGAAATCTCCGTCCATCATGATGTGGGTGCGCGTCCTGCCGTCATTTTGAACCGCTTGCTCCAGCACTTTGACTCGTCCCTGGTGACCGATGATACCATGTTCGCACAGGGCCGTAATTGCATCTCCAGTGAAAGACTTTCCATCATCGATGACCTCAGCATCCGATGCAAAAGCACTCAACATTAGTTCGAGGTTTGTGGTATTGATACCTTCAAGAAACCGATTGACGGGTGTGTAAGGGGACGCCATTGTGAAAGCTGTTGGATCTATGAAGCCGTTTGGGGGCTTTTCGAGCTGGAGGTGAACGAGGGCAGTATATATCCTACAGACGAGGCACGACAATGATGTCTGTGCTCATTGCCTCCCTGGCCAATGGAGGTATAGGGTGAGGAGCTCCAGCCATAAGCCAATAAGCAATGGCAGGGATATTAGGTAAGTCATTGCTGGCTGATCGCACGTGACCGTCAGCCATTTCGTCCGCATAAGCCAGATCAAAGCTCATCTTCGTGACGAGTTGTCGCGCTGAAGAGTAAGCCATGCTATGTGCAAAATGGCATCATGCAGACAGCAAACCTAGTGTATGGCAGGATCCAGCGTGACCCACTAGCATTGGTTCTTGCCAGGAATGATGTCTCGCAAAGCATCAACTTGCGGGGGGATAAGTTCATCCAAAGCGATGCGGGAAGTCGAACTTTTGCTGGAGGTTATCCCTTTCTAGCCAGGAAAGAAGCTCATGGTATGTTCGATGATCATATGATGGCAAGTCTGTGCGTTCGGCACTTCCGTCAGTAGATTCAGATCGGTATTGATGGTGGGACTCTGTGTAACTTGTCGGGCTGGTCTCGCCGTTCGGAGAAAGGATGATTGAAGAGTTGGATGGCAAGCCATGTGCACGGTCGCGTACGTTCTCTATTCGGGAGGCCGTCCTCGACAGATCGACATTTTGCAATCTAGCCATGAGCGAGTTGAAGTCGGTTAGAACCCTGGCACAATCGGTTGCGTACTCTTTGTTGCTGCTTTGGTCCACCTCCAGGATGGAAATGACAAAACCCACTTCTTCATAGTCTTCTTGTGCCTCGTTATGGCCCAGAAGCTGATAAAGCTGCAGCGCGAGAGCAGCATTGAACAGATAATGCACGCTGGAAACCGACAGCCTTGCCGGCCGTTGCAAGTTTAGAAGTCGATGCCACAGATGGACGTTTCTTCTCGCAGCATCTGCACAGAGATCGAGTTCGGTCTTGTGCGATATCTCATGACCTGTGGTTCGACCGTTCAAAAGCATGTCCGCTGTGACTCTCTTGACGTTGATGAAAAGTAAAGGTCGAACAGTAAGGATAATAAGCTACGACGTCAGCGAAGTTGTCCTTGGACCTTCTGGTCACCTCACCTGATTGTGCGCCATGTGCAGTTCCCCAACTGCCCGGTCTCGGCTCAAGTTCTCCTCTGTGCCTGCAACTGTGGCTGGGAGACTTTCCGACCAAGATCTCAGCAACCTCAGGGACTTCTGGATGCACAAGGTCGTCATGACAGGTTCCTCGGTCTGTCGTGCAACATCATAAATGTTTGAGACTATGTAGTTTGAGACTCTGGCAAGCTCAATATGAGCCCGAAGACCATCTGCGGGAGGCAGGTCACTTTATTCTGTCAGTCCATTGCAGGTACGATTCGAGAAACACTGTGCGAACCTTGAATCTCGTGGCATGTCTAATTTGATCGCCTCGTCGGATATAAGAGCTGGCCTCCCCATTAGACAACTCAACCAACTGCGACTTGTTAGCGAGTCTGAAGACCAAGGGTCGAGCGCTGGATTTACCGGTCCAGGACGTAAACGGTCCAGAACAGCCGTTTGCCTTGCTCGTCGACCATCCAGGCACGATGAACGCCATGGACGATCAGAATATGCATTGCGACGCTGACATAGATGTATGCAGCATCACGTCGATTACTGTTAAGCAGGTAGAAGCCTAGAAGAGCTAGGACGGTTGCATCGTTAATAATTGAATCGTCAAGTGGATTTCCCAACAAGCCTTTTGCTCTGGCGAAAAAAGCCTGTCCAAATCCGGTCTCCCAAGGCGGTGCGCACTTTGGGTTAAATTGGCAGGCAACAGCGAATGCGGCATTGGCGGTCACGATATTGGGGCTGGCTTCGAGCGTCCTTACGCCGTCAACATAAGCTCGATATTCATCCAGCACAGCCTGGACATCGATCCAGAAATAGATGCCACCAGAAGCGAAAGTCCCTTCGCCATCCTGGGCAGAGTGTTGGAATTCCGAGAGCATTGCCGCAGCCTGCTCGTTCGTCGCCGATATGAGAGGGTCCACCGTAGAGCTTAGCAGCGGACGACTATCATGGGTTTGATATTTTCCCAGTGCCGAGATGAAAGCTGTCGCATCGGGATTCGAGGCGCCTGACCAGGAAGCTTCAAAAGCCTGTGGGAACACCGTCGCCATGTATTCTCGCAAGTGGTTGAGAAAAGTGGCGCCTGAGGATTCACCGAGATAGCGAACCGTGCCATCCGGATCTTGGAGAATTCGCCCTTCCCGGAACTGTTGAGTGTCTTCGGCGATATCCTGACTAAAATTTGGGGGAGGTTGTGATCCGTCGGGCGCATTGTGCTTTGCTTGGATATGCTGCATCAACTTGTCCCTCTCACGCTGCGAAGGGATGGCTTCTGCGAGTGCTTGTTCCAGCAACGCGCATCTCGCTTTGAGCGCGTCGTGCTCGAGGCGAGGAATCGAGACGGTCTGCACAACTTCAGGATACAAACACTCGCGCGACGATTTGCGGCATCTCTCGCATGGCTGGCCTCCGGAGCATTTCGCGCGCTTAACATTGCAATTATTGCATCTTGATTCAAGAAGCCGAGAGTAAGTTTCCAGGCATGCAAGCAATGCAAGAGGCAGGGGAGGGATCCTACGCTTGGGCAACTCTCTTCCGCAGCTCCGGCGCAATTCTATGCCGCCGCGGGTTGACTGGCAGGCGTTCCATAGGCGGCGGCTGACATGACGCGTGTTGGATCCAAGAAGATTGGCAGCGTGCTTCTAGAGGAGACTATAGCACGCATCTACCCCACCTCGCCTTCATCCTCCGTCTGGGCGCTGGTAGAGACTGAGAATGGACGAGGAGGCTTGATGGTGACAGCTGGTCAAGGAAGAAAAGATGCAGTTGCAAAACGGCTTGGTCTATCAAAGGAAGGTTTGCCGGGCCCCTTAATTTCTTCACAGCCTCCCTGCAGACTCCATATCCATATCCTGTCACCCTGTCTATGTATTGCTCCCCCAGCATCCCTCATCCTGTTGGACATTGACGTCCTCCACGAGATGATCGCCAGAGGTACCTCTCTTTGACGCCTAGCTGACTCCATCTCCTATCGCCATCCCTCATCCTGTTGGACATTGACGTCCCCCACGAGATGATCGCTAGAGGTACCTCTCTCTGGCGCCTGGCTGAAGCAACCCGCTCCCAATCATCGACCCAGGCCAACTAAACCAGGCTTTGCTTGTGCACTCTCCCGAATCACGATCGATAGCTTCCGAAAACGTCCCATCCCACAACATCACACCACAGATCTTCTGCCAAGCAATAGCTTCCTCTTGAGTATTGCCAATCATCTGAGCATACTTCCATTGCTGGAAATATCCCAGGGTCCACGGTCCTGGCGTGTGAACGCTCCCTAGACCTCCAAACACCCCGTCTCCATAGTACCCTCCTTCATTCGCAGCCGTGAACGCAAATTCCATGGTGTTGTGCCATGCTTGTTTCTCATTGCTGGTTCTAATGAAACCCCACAAGGGAGCAAAAAGCGTCGGCAGGTCATTGGCATCGTGATAAAATGTCCGGTGACCAAACCCATCCACCAGGTACGAGAAGGAGGGCGGCCCTCGCTTCGAATCAGGACACAGGAAATGTTTCAACGTGGCGGTACGCACATCTTCGGCGAAATCTGCCAGATGCCTCCCCAACGGAGAACCCGTCACCTGCGTCGTTACTTTCGCAAGCCTGGACAGCGCGTGCCATAGCAAGACGTGACTCGAGAAATGGAAGGGGTATTCCACGAGATCATCGCCTGGCGTCTCGTCGGTTGGAAAGAGTCCTGTGGACGGATCTCTCTTTGACTCAATGAGGTCCAAGACCTGAGACACAGCATCTGACTTGAGAATTTCTTCCACAAACGCCTCCTCTTCTGGAAATGTCTCCCAGAAGTCACAGATCTCCAGGAGCGGATAGCACTGTTGGTCTAGCTGGAAAACTGCCCCATCTTTGGGCCGGCCCGTCGTGAGGTACGACCGATGCCAGAAATGGTGGGGTCGTTGTGCATATCGGAATATCCAGGTCAGATGGCCCTTCGCCGTGGCTTTGATCTCTTCAGAGTAAGCAGCACAAGTTTGTGCCTCCGACAGTCGACCAAGGTTTCGATACACCTGGATCAAGAATTGAATCTGCCAACTTTTTTCGGGTTAGCAGCGACAATCAGGACGTGTTGATACTCACTAGTTGTCTCTCATCCAACCGAGCGGCAAAGCAACGTGATCTGTGAGGAGGCAAACGGCATGCTTGGAGGCCGACAGCGGGACGGCGCAATTACCGAGGATATACTCAAGATTGCGGCGTACGATGAATTTGCCGGTAGTCTCTTGGTCTCGCCAGAGCAGCGGCAATCCGACTGCAGGGGAGATGTTTGAGTCGCGAGAGGTCTGAGGACAAATTCCTGGTCGGAGGTTGAATTTTGCAGTCAGCGTCCTTGACGTTCCTGGCGGAATTTCTAAGGCCTGAGAATATGCCCCTTTTGCAGGAGAGTTCACGAAAGTGGCTTCTTGGATAGACGCCTGCATATCGACCCGCTGACGGTCGCTTTCCAGATGTCCTTGAAGATGTGCACCAAGGGGGACGTTGACGATCAGAAAGCGCTGGCCCTCTTCGACGAAGCTGAATTTGTTCTCTGACTTGGGCATGGGGATCGGTCCACCTTCGGTAAGTTGCCCATACTAATTCATCGTTAGCAGCGGCGAGCGGCTATCCGAAACACGGAGCATGCGAAGAGCTTCAGAGCTCCCGACATTGCGCCATGTGTGATGCGAGAGACTTACCGATGCCCGGTTGACGCTGATACCACAATCCATAGTGTACCTCAAATAGGAGGTCGAGTCACAAGAAGACTTCACCTCGGAAGATTGAATGACCTCTCCATCTTCGGTGACGCGCAGAGACGTCGTTATTACAAGTCCGTCAACAGTGCTGTACGATACTGTTGCTCGCCCCAAACCGTCCAGGGTTGTCGTCGTGTCTCGAGCCTCGACATCGAAACGCAGCCCAAAGCCTGGAGTGCCTGTCTTGACAGACTTCAGCATTCGAGCTCGGTACTCTCTTACGTACGGAGTGTCTCTGAATCTCGTTCCGTCGAACTGCTCGTAAGGCTCCGCGAGTACAATTCCATGCTTGGGATGGAACGCGCTTATTTGCAGGACCTGGCCTCGTTGTCAGCATTTTTGTACCTTTGAAGCCCGGAAGTCACCAATACCGTCCCACGAAAGTCCGTCGAAACGGAAACACCATTGAAGCCTATGTCGAGAGTCTTTGATCGCTTCCCAGGATCCCCGTTGTCAAATGCCATCGTGGTCGATGGGTAGATTGCAGCGAGTTTCTATCTGAATAACCCGGCTCGACCCTGATGCCCCGGCAGCCGGGGAACTCCCTGGTACTTATGGAGAGGAGCATTTTTAGAATGGAGCATCTGAACCACTCCTATTATGAATGACATGCACAACCACGGGTACTCTAACCGCCTGGTTGATCAAGCTGAGTTCCAACCCCGCACTGCAACCTTGTCAAAACTGGATGGCTGCTCCTGTCTGGGGTTCCTTTGAAGATGGACCGACCTGCCAAGCCTTGTGGAAGGAAAAAAATGGCACAGTCTGACGCACTCTCGAGATAACAACGAGGTAGCCGCCAGATCAAATAGCTGATATCGTCAATTGAGGATAGGGGTATCCTTGCGTATAACAATAGAGTACATGTCTTTATAGATGGTTGGTATCTTGGAGCGAATAAGTTAGAGTAACCACTATTAGAGAACCCTCTTCTCGCGAGACTGTGCCATTTGTTTTTGACATCACTCTTTTTACCCCAGCTCTCTCCAACGTTTCGATCGCCAAACAGGTGGGATATAGACGGCTACCGTACCCGCGCACGGAATTTCACCATCATGTCTATGGGCATCTATAAAAGCTGGGCCACTTGCTTCAGGTGAGGGCGGGATGTGTGCTTTCGTATGAACAACTCGGAGTCACAGTCCTGCTCGATCACTGGTTCTGCAAAAACATCTCCCTTGTTGATCCAGATGTCTGAAAAACACCAGTCAGACCATGTCGAGGCCGGTTGGTCTCCCGTCGAGACCGAACCTCAAGCGAGCGCAAATGTGCCTGCTGGCCACGTTCCCATGACAAATGAGGAGAAGGCTTTGAGCCGGGCGTTGAACCGAAAATTCGACATCGCCCTCTTGCCTTTTCTGTCGTTGCTGTATCTCTTCAACGGCCTGGATCGGGGCAACGTGGGAAATGCCGAGACACAAGGTACGTCCATATCGCCCACGTCGTTTTTGTCAAACTCCCTCCTAATCCGTCGTACCAGGCTTCACCAAGGACATTGGAGCTCAGCCAGACGATCTCAACCTGGCCGTGAGCTTGTTCTTCATCACTTTTGTGCTGTTTCAGCCTCCCTCCGCTGCAGTCGGAAGATACCTTGGCGCGAAGAACTGGGTGCCTGTCATCATGGTTTGCTGGGGCATCCTCACCATCTGCCAGGCTTTTATCAAAGGACGAGGTTTGACGGAGCAATCAACGGCTGCTGAGAACAATGTTGACCCGGTGCTAGGCACGCTGATTGGTACGCGACTACTCATTGGCCTTTTCGTAAGTCTTTCTCTTATGGCTTGGACCGGCGCCGGCGAAACCGGGATAGGCGATTCCTGATAGACATATTTCATACTAACGCCGCGGCAGGAAGCAGGATTCTATCCTTGCTGTAAGTCCACCCTGAAGATTCTCTCGGCGCGCTGTGCAGCGGCGATGTCCTCACAATGGACGACGTTACCAGGCAACGCTGACATTATACGTATCCCAGGTGTTTTCTACTTGTCAACTTTCTATACGCGCTTCGACCTCGCTGTACGCATTGGCCTCTTTTACGGACAATATGCCGTCGCCGGTGCATTCTCTGGCTGCATTGGTAAGTAGGCCCCCCCCCCTCGGGGGGCCCCCCCCCGAGGGTGTATAGCAAAGGCGAACACCGGCTGACGATCGAAAAGCGTATGGGATTTTCCACATCAAGACCGGTTCGCTCAAAAACTGGCAATACCTCTTCATCATCGAAGGGGGCGCCACGTGCCTGATCGCCATCATTGCGTGGTTCTGGCTGCCCCTCGGCCCCGGTAGTGCGTGGTTTCTGAAAGAGAAGGATCGCGCGTACGCGGCGGAGCGTATCCGTCTGGATAACGCGATGTACGCGCAGCACACCTATGGCGACAGCGGGGTCGAGAAGGAGAGGTTGACGCGGCGGGATGTGATTGAGACAGCATATGATTGGAAATTGTGGTTCGTGTTATTCTTCAACATTCTGGCCAGCGTCCCCGGTCAAGCATTCTCGGTGTTTCTCCCTCTGGTGGTTGCCGGGCTGGGATATTCCTCCATCGAGGCGAACTTGGTAAGCGGCTCACCGCCCTCGTATGCGCAAGAAAAGACTCTAATCCCAGCAGATGTCGGTGCCGCCATATATCTGTGGAGCAGTTGGGCTGTACATCTTCGCCGTCAGCTCCGATCGAGCGTAAGCGAATCCCTGTCAGTTATCTGACGACACCATTGACGCAGTGTCTCAGGAAGGAACGGGGCTATCACATCTTTGTCGGGCTCCTGATCACCCTCATCGGGCTGATCATCACGGTAACCGTCCAGGGCCACGGCGGGAAGTACGCTGGCTTGTGCATCTTGCTGTTTGGCAGCTACATCTCTGCGCCCCTGACCGTGGCCTGGTTGAGCGGGAACACTCCTGGTACGTTCGGGGAGCCCGCCCATCCCAAAGTTTTGAGGCAACTCTTGCTGATAGCAGGCACCCCATCTAGAACCCGGCAAGAGAGCCCTCGTGCTGGGCGTGAACGGGTTTGGGAACCTGTCGGGGGTCATCGGCTCACAGCTCTTCCGGGCATCATACGCGCCCAAGTACTTGGTGTTAGTTCAAACCCCATTACACCTCCTACTCTTCATACGAAACCGCCGACTTACCCTTTTTTTTTTCTTTTTACACAGACCATTTTATGTGACACTGGCATTCATCGCCGTTGCGCTGGCCGGATACCTTGCCTACCGTTTCACATTGGCGGCGGTGAACAAGCGACGGCAGGCCAAACTGGCGGCCATGAGCCCCGAAGAGATCGAAGACGAGAAAGTCAACCCTCGGCGATATGCGGACAAGAAGTACACGTTCATTTACGGCCTGTAACGCCGTCTCCTCGTGGGCAGGGCTCCATTATGGCCCCGGTCGGCGGGCCTCGTCCAATCGTTGTTGGTCCACGATATCCCTACGAGTCACTGGGATCAGCAAGGACACTTTGGTTTTGGTGTCTTTCAGAGTTCGTTGGAGATTCCGGCACATGGCGCAAAGGCGCTCGGGGTTGGCATGCCGCGGTAGCATCCAGAGCATCCAGGAGCAGGAGCACGTAGAGAGGGCTCTAATGATCAGATGATCGGAGTGGTGACAAGTCACGTTTCCTGGTGGTAACTTGTATCAGCGTGTCCTCTTCAATGGCCCATCTGTCCGTCTCGCTTCCTGATCACATGCTTTCGAGTGCCATCGAGCACTTCCCGCAGTATCGTACTAAGCTACCAAGAGAGTCAGCTACGCAGCGGAAGCTGTCCTCCGAGCAATCGACTATACAGGACTGTCCCTGCACCTCAGCCGGGCACTGGGTTCAGATAGTAAGCTCTTTTACCCACCCTAGCTGCTCTATGCTCTTACGCTTCTGCCTAACATCTCCATTGGATGGCGCTTTTCTCGCGATTCATAGCACCAACGACGCATGGAGTGCGATTCTTGTAACCTTTCAACATGGGGGCATCAGTCCTGTTCGGCGGTAGAGCGACCACCACAGTTACTTACCTCGTTGATGGCTGTAATCCAGCCCTTTCCGCGTTGAACGTGGCTAGGCTGTGCCGCTTGAGCCGCGGCTTCTGGATCTCTGAACCTTTTGATACTGCTTCTCTTCGATGAGTCGCTGGATATCCTTGTGGTTTGACGCCTGCGCCCAGTCACTAGCACCTCTGCCTTCTAAATCCACAGCCGGGATATCTATTTCCTCCAAGGCGAGAAGCTCCTGTACCACGCTCGTACGCCCTTCGTCGGCTGCCCACATCAAAGCAGTCTTGCCTTTGTCGTCTCTGGCATTTACATCCACCCAGCCCGAGGACACCAGTGTTCGGACAATGGCCGCATGGCCATGCTCTGCAGCCAAGAATAAAGCCGTCCTTCTGGCAGATCTGTATCTGTCCCTCCAGTCGGGGTTCAAGCAATGTCGTTCAAGCACGATGCCGAGGGCCTCATCTTGTCCCTTTGCGGCCACTTCGAGGAAAAGTTCCGAGATGAGATCGCGCCCGTCGTGATGAGACCGTTTAGCCATCGCATCTAGGATTTTCCCCGCTATTTCGGCTTTCTGTTGCGCTGCTGCCCACTGGAATGCTGTCCATTTTCGCTTTCGATCGGTGTCGGCGAGATCAATGTCTCTGCAACGAAGAAGTTGATCCACCACGGGGGCGTGGCCACTTCCCGCTGCCCATGACAACGCAGCCCGACCATCGTCATCGTCTTTAGCATTGGGAGAAGCTCCGTGCTCCAGCAAAGCCGTCACAATCTGTACATGGCCTTTTCTTGCCGCAGTCGCAAGAGGGCTGGGACCAAGGTTGGGGTTTGCTATTCCTTCGACGACTTCACTCTGTTCCAAGAGGAGCCTGACGACATCCTCGGACCCAGACGTCGCAGCCCAATACAGACAAGTACACCGGTGTTGATCACTCCACGACACCTTGGCTGAAAACCCAGGCCGAAGGAAAATCTTGGTGACATCTGTGAATCCCTTCCAGGCGGAAACCATGACCGGCGACATACCTTCATCATCTCGGGCATTGAAGTCGACGCCTTGGTCGTTCAGGAGCAGCTCGACCATCTCGACGCGATTCTTTGCAACCGCCCACCACAGTGGAGTTCGACGCTTTGAGTCCCGAGCATTGAGATCGAGGTCGATTTTCCCGTGCTGGGAAGCCGAGAGCGCCAGTTCCGTGACGGATGTCAAATTGTGGTGAGCCAGAATATGGAGGAAGGATTGGTTTTGGATATGCTCTTCATGATTGAAGAACTTGTACACTTGGAAGGAGAGCTCTCTGCAGCGAGTGACGTGCATGGTTTTAAAGAGAAGTGGCCACAGCGTTCGCAGTCTACTAAATCCTACCAGCTGAACATGGGCTGGCCAGAAAGCAGCCGCGTATTCGACAAAAGGCTGAGTGTCGACCAGGACTTTGTATTTAGCGGCACATTTGGCCTTTTCACTTTCACGAAACGGATGATATGATTCTCCAGTACTTGTGAGATACATCAGGCAGGTTTCGGCAACCTCCAGGTGCAGCTGCTGGAATTTGTCCTCGGGCCATGTCTGGAGAAGGTAGTCTCTCAACGAAGGGTGAAAGAAGTGGATTCGATCACCTTGGATCTTCAATGCTTCTTCGCCCAAACGGATCCTATCACGGACTTCATCACCAGTGCTTCCCAAGCTGATGAGGTTTGCCAAAGGACTTCCCTTGAGGTTCGTGATAGCAGCCAGTTCAGCAGTGCTCAGGGGCCGTTGCACCACGGCCACGAGTCCGAGTAGGGATAAAGTCTGGGTTTGAGCTCGCGCGACGATCTCTGCAACCATTGTCTTCATCTCGGCGGGTATGCTCTTCACCAGATCGTTGTACTTGTCAGGCGCCTCCTTCCTAAGCAGATGGATCATCGATACTGTCCATCTGAAGTTTCCAGCGGCCTTTTCGACCAGGTCACCCTCAGTGGTCATTCGTTGGTTCTCATCCATCCGATAATGTCTGAAGCCCCGGACGTGGTCGGCGATGTACTGCTTGATGTCGGACTCATTCAGTTGTTTGCCATCCGTGTCAGTAAAGTGTACAATTTTGGCATTCTCCAGCTTGCAAATCTTGGACCTGATTGCTTCACAGGGCCTGCTGGTGATGAAGAACCTTGGTTTCTGGTAGTGGTTGTTAGTGCTTGCCTGAGGCTTCTCAACCAGGCATTTGAAGAGCTCCGTGGTCTCTGTTTCATCACAGTCATCCAAAGCATCGATGATACAGTACCACTCTTCCGGCCCAGGATCAGACATCATGTTGATGAATATATTGCTTAGCCCCCAAGTAGATTCTAGCAGTTTTGGGCCCCGCGTCTCGTACTCTGGCTTGCAATGCCCCCATCCGAGACGCGAAATTTGCAGCATGCACTGATGGATCAAGCTGGTCAGGATGGAGACTACTTGGGAAGTTTCTTTCTTCCTGCGATCGCAGAAGAAGTATATCGTCCGCTTGTTCTTGTCCTCAAGGGTGGTGAGCAAGTGTTTGGCGAGAACTGTCTTGCCAGCCCCAGGGTTGCCCACAATCCAGACCAGGCTGGATGAGTCGCTCAACCAACTCTTGATATCAGGATGGCTCTCAGACCACCCAAGAGTCTGGCCATGTGGGCACTCGACTTGGTATCTAAACCCATCATTGTTGAATTGGCCAAACTGCTGCATCATTTCGTTATAGGAGTTGTCTGAACCTAGTCGAGGGTAAGCCTTTGTCCTGCTGGCACGCGGCCTATCGAACTCATACCTGTGCCAAAGTTGATCTGCTCAGCGTGGAGCGACTGATTACCGAGGACTATGTCGGAACCATCAATGTTGCCATATTGCTCAAAGCTAGTCTGTCGCGGTGCCATGTCTGCCGGGTGAGGCTGAGAAGCCCAATGAGGCTGAGTAGAGGTAAAGAGCACGACCACCAAGAACCCGGTGGGGGGTTAGCATCAGATTAAATGCCTCGTCACTTCCATCGGGCACGCATGCATCCTTGGTCTGGAAGCCACGAGGCAACCAAGCAATCAACTGCCGCAACAAAGGACTTCTCAGCAAGCCCGGGCTCGGGGCGCCAGACTCTGCGACCATTTCTTCAGCATGCAACATGCCGCCCAGGTTTCACAGCCTGCTGGCTCTAGCCACGTTGGGGCCGCCCAAGATCTGATGGTGTAGATGGATGGTCTCCCAGTGGGTGGATGCTTGACAGCCAGCAGGGGCCAGCATCGACATAAGCATGGGAGCTACCCAGCTACCCAGCTACCCAGCTACCCAGCTGCTCGCTATTGAGCCTCCTATCTCTTCTCTCCGAATGAGTCGCAGGGTTGCCGACTCGTCCGCTGCCTCTTCAACCACTTTCTCTGCATTTGCCGCACAATCCTGGAGACATCACTCGCATGGACCTTATTCGCATGTGCGTGTGAACGCCTCCCCCTGCTGCTCATCCAAACAGGCGTTGTCGCTTAAGGAGGGCAGTGCTCGGCGTACCAGCCAGCGTGGATCCTCTCAATCAGCAAAATCCGCGGCTCTTGAGTCTTTCGCCAACAAAGAGGCTGACACCACCTCACTGACTTAATGACATAACAGCAAAAATGTCTTTCGCTCTCCGCCGCCCCTCTGAAGGACAAAGCATTCCAGGAACGCTGGTTCGCGCGGTAATTTTCCCTCTCGGTGGCCACTCAATTTTCTCTTCTCTACTTCTTCCTCCATCCATCCCCTCACCAATGAAATCTCATATCATTGTTGAACTTCTGCTCTAATTCAGGGTCCCTGCTTCAGGAATTCGAATTCCCGGCTGTCCACATTCACTCTGGCTATGGTTCTCTAGGGTCTCGAAGATAGTTCATGATCTCGTCTACCGCACCGGGCTTTAGCATATCATAAGCCTTCGGTCTTCTGATCCAGAGACCGAAGCGCCAGCTTCAACAAGGTTTCCATTCACAACAATAATACAAGGCATAATGGCATGCTTCTGGGAGAAACTTCTATGTCACTCCGATCACTCCGAACGCCGTCAACATTCAAAGAGGAAATGGCGATTCCATTTTGGCGGCCTGGGCAAACGGTCTCCGACAGACGAACCAGGAAGACGCCAAAGTCAGGGCATCGTCGACTTACCAGCCAGCCTCTCGAGAAACAACACGGACCAAGCTTCTGCCGGAGCGACGACACCCGCCCAAGATGAAATCTTGTCCACGGCTAGTCTTCCCTTGTCAGAAACGGAAGCCCGGTTCATATCATTGTCGGAATCACCAGGAGCACGTTCTGACGGGGTTGCCAAGTTGGTGGTGGATTTGCAGCGGAGGGTCTGGCACTTTGTTCAGAATCTTGACCTGGAAAATAATCGTGCGCGGTCCCGTACTCGTTCACAAATCTATAAGCCCGTCCTCGACTTGGCACAGCGTGGGACGAGAAACTCTCTAGATCGTAGGTTGCGAGGAGGATAGAATCACCTTGGCTTGCAAGCAGCTGACACAGTCAACAGACACAGACGTTGCGAAACAGTTACAACAACTCCTCCCCCTGTCACCCTCTTCGAGATCGAATTCGGATTTGGTTCATATTTGCCAATTCGGGGTGGACATCAACGAGGCTCGGCGTAGGAACATCGGTCACTATGATTTCGGAGAGCTAAACTGGGAACGAGAGACTGAAGGGAGACGAACCGAGTTCCCTGAGTTAAAAAAGGACGGCTGCAGACTCCTCAAAGAAGTCGAGTATCAAGAATGCGGCGACGACCAGGTTTCAGACACAGAAACAGTACAGCAAGCGGCATAAGGATATGCCCTAAAAAATCCTTTGATTTTCTTTCAGGTTCGGCTTATCGGCTTTGGTTCTTCAGACGGACTAGAAAAGGGCGGGGGAGTGACCTTGATATCCACGGGCGTTGTGCTACAGGTGTACACTATGGAGCACAGGTGCTTGGGCAGACTACAGCTGCCTTTGGTGCACAGCAGGGCGGCGAGTTGGGAACTAGACCGCGAACTTGGACTGGATATTGGCATGCATGAAGAGAGGCGCAAAGCAGAGTGTGACGAAGCTCATGATTATCACCATGAGCTGGACAGGCTGACTATGATCAGGCATCAGGTGAATACTTCGCCTCCGAACGAAGGACGGGAAGGCTTCGAGTGAACGACGAACACAAGCGGCCTTCTGAGCTGGGAGGTGCCAACGCCCACGCCAATGCCATAGCTGGGCGGGCACATGCCTAATGGCTTATCTTGCTTCATTCATCCTTGGAGAGCCAGTGGCGCCAGTCAAGAGTTTGGGCGATGGGCTAGAGGAGTAAAAGGCTACATGTCTGGATGAATTCAACGGTTGGTGAGGCAAAGGCGGCCCAAAAGCTGCATGGGGCAGGCATAATATATCTACTTGTATAAGTTCGTATCACGAAAGGGACGTCCGGGCGTCTGACGGTCGGTCACGATGCCCAACGGCAATTACCAGTCCGTCCAACCCTTTCTCTTGGTCCATGTCAGAAGGCACCCGCTTGGTCAATCTGCCAGCTGCCGCATGGAGCCGGTAGCAGTTGTTGACGTGGCAGTGGCTGTGCCGCATGCAGGTGTGACCGGTTCTGACCGGTGTGTAGTAACATCCAGTTAATGGCATCCCGGGAGCAGCCACTCAATTTATCGACGCACTCGATCCGACCTTTGCGCGAGATCTTGCTCGATCTGATAAAACAAGAGAGAAAGAAAGAAAACCTATCTTGGCCGCCGTTGACGTTGACTGTATTGAACGCGGGCACTTGAGCAGACGATATCACCATTCCGGGCTTCATATGCGAATCCAATTTCTTCACCAGCACGGTGTCATGGCCGACCCATTCAGCATGGCTGCGAGCATATTGACGGTCTTGCAAGTGGCCGACTCCATCATCACCTTTATTCGAGACCTGAAGAACGCATCGGACGAGCACAAAAGCCTGCTGGCCGAGATGGAAAGCCTACACAGCGTCCTCGGCCAAGTGTACGAGGTAGCAGAAAACGCAGGAAACCCTAGGGCCGGCGCCGGGAGACCGACATTAGCGAGTATCAAGGAGCCGCTTAACCGTTGCCGGTCGAGTCTGGAGGCTCTGATGGTCAGGCTGGACCAGATGCACGGGCTGGATAAGGCGCGGAAGGCCCTGGTGTGGAAGCGCCAGCGCACCGACACCAGAAACCTTCTCGCAGACATCGAACGGGAGAAGACTTTGTTGATGCTAGCGCTACAGATCGAAGCTCAGTCCGTTTTCTACTCTGGGGGGGTTGGCCGCCCGTGTAGAACGCTCACTGATTTCTGGGGCAGGACTACCTGTGTCACTAACCAGCAGTTGTGCCTCGACACCCACAATACAATCACCGAGATGGGCATGGAAATCGCCGCAATCAAGTCTTTGATTATACCTGAAGGCAGAATGACCAACTCGGCAGTCACCAGCACGCAATGTCAGTCTCCGTGTGAGCCTTTGCAGCATGACAGAGTCATTGATATAACATGTCCTGGCGAGATCATAACGTCGTGCGAATCCTTCGACACCATGGACAGGAGACCAGCAGAGTCCGGGATCCTGCCCGAAGAGGACCATGGGGTCAAGTCGAAAAGAAGGCGAAAAGGTGAGATAGCTGAGACCTCGGATTTGGCACTCTCAATCACTGACACTGACTCGGTGGAAGCGCCCAGCCGTGCACGCTCTAGAGGTGGGGGTCCTTGGGTCACCATCAAGCATTATGGCAGCAATGAATCAGGGTCAAACGTGGTATACGGAAGCAGCCAGGTTTTCTCCAGTGCGACCGTCTTCTTTGGTCGGGCGTAAACAGCTCCTCGTAGCAACCACCCTCACATCTTCATTGCGGACTCTCATTTGTTGAACCGGTGCTGACAATGGGCGCCGGCTTGATTCCTTGAGCCAAAGGCAAGTGCAGGCTGTGTGATTGCCCCAGAGTGCTTGCATGTCTCGGTCCTTTGAGAGGCCAATAGTAACATGCGTCACGCCCAGAGAGCGTGACGCCTGATGTGTCGCTCGCTAGTGGTCGCGAACTGCGACCGGTGACTTTGGGACCCCCTGTTTGCAGAGTCTCAAGAGCCGCAGGCAGCAGTCCCCAAGCGAGCGACACCGCCTTGTTCTACCCGGACAAGACATCCATCCTCTCGTTTGTTTTGTTGTAGGACCTGTTCCATCTCCAGAGCGCCTGTATCCTAGGTCAGCCTTGGGCAAAGACACAGCATAGGAAACATCATCATGGATAGAACCCAAAAGCTTGGGCCCTTCATCCCCGTCCTGTTGCCAGTAAACCCCGCGCCGCGCCACGTTCCTCGTCAGGCGCCAGAGGAAAACCTCGTATCTGTTCATTCGATCGAAGGGAGAAAAGGCGCCTATCCCATCCCAAATGCAGCACAGGCGACCCCAAATCAGCCTGGAGTATGTCAATATGTTCTTTTCTTTGCCCTGGCGTGGAGATTGGTGCTTATCCGATGGGACAGATTCCAGAACGCCAGCGCCAGCGCCAGCGCCAACGCCACAAATATGGCGCGGACATCCAGCAGAATGGCGACAATACACATGGAGCGAATGTGTTACTCGGCCGTGGGACGCAACGGCTCCAAAACTGCTCGGTGACCTTTGGTGTGACCGTGCCTATCACTAACCCAGGCATGAATGTCCACCGCACGGCACCACCTGTGGCCAAAACTCCTGCCGGCCCAGGACACCGGGGTCCCATGACCGAAGAGCCGCCTGATGAAGAGACCCGGCGTGCCAGCCCACAGGTAGGAGAGGACGGGCCCTCGAAGGGGGGCTCGTGAGCCTTGTGGTGACCCGCAAAAAGCCGAGAAAACGATACACTAACGAGAGCTTTCCCAGGCCGAAGAATTCGATTCGGACGACGACACTGGCGAGGACACTGAGAGCGAGGACAGTGAGCATCGGGACATCATCAGGCTTAACGGCAACAACAGACATGGCGCCAATGTGGTTATTGGTGGGAGCCAGACCCTCCTCGACTCCCAGGTGCATTTTGGGGGTCGGAGCGGCTGAAAAGGGTGCGGCGGTGATCGAGGCATGGAAGCAAAAGTGCCCGGCGAATTGATATCATCCCCTATTTTTGGGAACTTGTCCTCCTTTGTTCCACCTCAAGAGAAGGGGCAGCAAGGGCACATGGGACAACGAACGATGCTGGAATCGTCCCAACAGAGTGCTATGAGTGGCGAGTCGAGCATATTGCCTTTGGAGTATGGCTAAGGGGGAGGATAGGGTATGTACGCAGATACCCCAAGAGACGGATTTTTTCCATACATCGGTGTCGAGGGAATACCAGCGCCGTCCCACCACAATCGAGCATATGGAGTACGTGGTATTAGGGAAAGGACTAGCACGGGTATATGTACCTGCATAGGTAGTTACATGGGCAAGAGGACACTTGTTACTTACCAAAACACCTATTAGAGCGCGTGGAACTTTTCTCCCCTTCCGATAAGCGGTACAGAGTACAAGGACCCAAGTCCTCCGCATTGCTCGGACCAAGAGTAATCCATGGAATGGCCCGCGGGATGGTCTCGCTCCTCTCCTTGTCTCACTAGGTAGCGAGCCACATAGGTACCTACCGCTACTACCTAGCTAATTTGCAAATGGAGCCGCCTACACTGGCCTCTCGGATAAGTACTTGGTTACCAAACAATGGTCTAAGGTATAACATCTAGCGTATCTAGCCCTCGCTGCCTAGGTAAGTACAACGAGTAATTATGGTTAAGGAAACTTGTTGTGCGGGGCATGTTTCGCTCACCTGCCTGGCGCTGGTTATACTCATGAGCAGTTCTCCCACAAGCCGAGGGCAACCAACCAACCAACCAAGCTGGTAAGGAAGTAAGGAAGTAAGGAAGTAGGCAGCGTGCCACGGCCTGGCTGGGCGACGTGAGCCCATTGGAAGCCCACCGGCCTTGCCGACCTAGCAACTAAACTCGACCTCTTTTGGCCTGGGGATGACTACTCGTACGATACTCCGTCCATGTACCTAGGTTCGTAGGTTCCTTACTCCCTAGTTCCCTAGATTCCTCCTGTGTTTGCCGAGTCCCCTCATGCATATCAACCTATCGACCTACATATCAAAATACATACCTACCTAAATACCTATCTACCTACCAACGTACCTGCCTACCAGTACCTACATACCTACACAACGCAGCAAAACCCATGTCGACCAACGCAGTCCCCAAGACCATGCTGGCGTGGCAGAAGCATTTCGGCAGCACGGAGCCGGTATGTGCCTGCCTTTCCTTCTTTCTTCACCTGTCCGAACCATCCATCTCTTTCTTGCCGAGACCATGGTCCTAGCGCCCGTGTCTTTGTTATCATGATTTGCCTGGTCAGTCAGTCAGTCAGTCAGTCAGTCCGGACGTGCGCTGACAAGCCAGGGAAACCGCGCCAGGTCCGCGTCGAGGTGCCCGTGCCCGCGCCCGCCGAGGACGGGCTGCTGGTCAAGGTCCACGCCGCGGGAGGTGAGCAACCGTCGCGACGGAGGGACATTTCTTTATCCTTTCTCCTAGGAGACGTGTTGTTACACGGGGGTGGTGGTTCGTGAGAGGGAGGGAGGGATTGGATGCTGACGCAATCTTTGATATATTTAACAGTCTGCCACAGCGATTTCGCCCTGTTGAATATGGCGGCCAGGCCGCCCCACTATCTCGACAAGTATACACTGGTAAGAGAGCCACCCCCCCCCCCCCTTTTTCACGGCATGGCGGACCTGCCTGCGGATTGTCTGGGTTCCTTTGTCTCTCAAGCACGCCGGAACCACTGAGTCTAGCTTTCTCCACAGGGCCACGAAGGGTGCGGCGAAGTCGTCTCGGTCGGACCAAAAGTCACAAAGTTCCAGCCCGGCGAAATGGTGTCCATCCTCTCAGTCCCCGGCTGCGGCACCGCGACCTGTCGCGAATGTTCGGGCGGAGTGCCCCAGATCTGCTCCACCGGCGAACACTACGGCATCGGCAACGACGGCTCCTTTGCTCCCTACGTCGCCATCCGCGAACGCGCCGCCGTCAAGCTTCCCCCGGGCGTCAGCGCCGCGGCCGGGGCGGTGGCGACCGACGCCTGCGTCACGGCCTATCAGGCCGTCGTGCGGAGGGCCAAGGTCAAGAAAGGGGACACGGTCCTGCTGTACGGGCTCGGCGGGCTGGGCTTCAACGCCTTGCAGATGATCCTGCACATTGGCGCCAGGGTCGTCGTCGTGGACAGGAGGCAAGCTGTGCTTGACGAGGCAGTCCGATTTGGCGTCAAGACTGATGATGTTGTGCCCGTGGGGACGGCCAGTGTGAGCGAATGGGTGCAGGCCAGAGGTCTGGTGGTGGACTCGGCGATTGATTTCGTCGGAGTGCCAGAGACCTTCAAGACGGCCATCGAGAGCGGTAAGTCCCTTATCGAGATGATGCCCTTTTCCTCCTTCGTCGCAACGAGCACCCACTGATCAAGTGTCGCCCTTTAGTCCGCATGGCCGGCACGGTCGTCCTGGTGGGTTTGCTCCATGGCGAGTTGACGCTGCCTTCGTTCGTGGCGGTGCGCAAACAACTCGACATTCTGTGCAGCTACGGCGGCACAGTCGAAGACCTCGTGGCGAGTCTAGACCTGATCTCGCAAGGCATCATCACACCCCAGGTGGAAACGGGGAGCATGGCCGACTTCCCCCACATCCTGGAGGATCTGCACGCCGGGAAAATCAAGAGCAGGATCGCTCTCGTTCCGGAAGATTTGCAATGAGTTGAGCCTCACCAGATGCCACGAGGGAGAGGGGAGACGCACCCGTGGCCGGTCTTCCAAGCAATAGATAAAGTGCCAGACTGCACAGAGTTCGCCGTTGCAGCCTCACAGTGATGCCGGTCAGTGGAATGATTGTTGACCTTGCCGAAGGGGACGGTGAGAACACAATTCGATGCATGGGCTTGTAATCGTGGCACCTGACGGGACTGAGCTCGAGTTTTGGGGCCAATTGTGACTGCACGTTTCATCGAGAGGACTCCACGCATAGCTCGGATCCTGTCACAGCATTCTCCTCCAGACGACCGCCTCAATCATTGGTGGGTGCCATTTGGACTCGTCAAGGGAAGACCCTTTTCGCAAGAATGAAGTAGCCATCGCATGAAAAGGAGGTGCGCTTGTCTAAGAGCATATCAAAGACGGAAATATCATTGACTCGGTCACGCTTGCTAATGTCGTAAAAACTCGCCAAAAAACAAAAGCCCTCGCAACGTCCCAGCCATAGCCTTGTGTGTTTCTTCCCTTCACCCAAAGTTCTTTTCAATCTTCTTGATCCACTTGCCAACGCCCTTCTCAATCTTCTCCGCGTGCGACGGCTTGTGCTGCGAGCCTGAGCTCTTCGCCGGTTTGTGGTGGTGTGATTGGTGCTCCGCCTCGGTCGGTCGATAGACTTGAGAGTGAATGTCATAAGCTCCGGCGGCAGGCTGGGTTTGCTGGGCCTGTCCATAATTGTAGGTCGAGTACCCTCCGAGAGGCGGAGCTGGAGCTAGAGCTGGAGGTTGCCCAGCGGCCAGGTAGTCCGGATACTGGGGCTGTACATGCTGTAGTGGTTTATGGGGTTGACCGTTGATTGACTGGTAGAACTGTGTGCCCGGTGTTTGCGCGTTTTGCTGACCGAAAATATGTGCATTGGGGTCTTGCCCATGAGGCATATAGGTTTGAGCCGCTGTTGACGGGTGGCGACTGCTGTCAGAACCGGTTGCACTGGTGGGCGGAGGCCCGAAATTGGTTGATACAGAGGTCCGTGGGGAGGTCTGGAGCGGGGGTGAAGCTGCGTGCGGCCCAAAAGACGGCGGCACCGTTGCCGCTGCTTGAGGTCCAAACGATGGCACAGGCGAAGTAGTGGCATGTGGTCCAAATGATGGTTGTGGTGCCGCGCTATATTGTCCGTACGCGCCAGGTTGAGCAAGTGGAGGGCCAGCGAATGTTTGCGGATGCCGCTGCGGGGCGTAAGGGTTGTCATGTCTTGCTGCCGCAGCAAGCCCTGTCCCATCAACAGCGTCGACTGGAGGAGGAGTGTCCTCCCTATGGGCGATAGGTTCTGGAGCCGCTGGCGCCGCTGGGTTGTACGCGAGCGGAGTGAAGTCTGTGGCCGGTTTTGAGTCTTTAACTGAAGATCTTCCCCCAATGCTGGCCGTGACTGAGTTTGGCGAAGCAGATGTCGCAGGACCGCTTGGAGAAGCCTGAGAGACAGCTGGAGGCGGCGGAGCAGTGGGCAGCTGCACAGGATGGCTGTGCTGGGCCGCAGGAGAATCATGCTGCAGCTCCTTATATGCTGGATCTGATATGGCCACATGCTCTAGGTTTTGAACCACTGGGCTGACCATGTCATGGTGATCCGGTTCCTCATGCACATCGTCCTCAATGTCCAACTGTCGGGGTTGTAGCAGCCTCTTGAAGATGTCCAAGGCCAACTTGGAATCATCCTGATTCCAGAAATAGACATCGACCGTGTGAATCCTGTATTTGGACGTGCCAGGATCTCGAGGATCCGAACTGGCTAGACGCCATTCGTCTGGGTCTCTTCCTGAACGGGGAGACGAGGGGGAGGTAGCCGGGGGGCTGTCTCCATCAACGACGAGTGTCACTCTTGTTGGGAATCTGTGGGAATTGATCACCTTGACCCCGTCAAGGAAGCCGTGAAAGGCTGTCTGATCCGGCGTGCCAGGATTGATCGCCGCCTCGATGCGACTGGTCTGTCTCGTGGAGTTGTAGTAGATGTAGAAATAGGAGGCTTTATCGAAGCGATGGAGAGCCGGTCGAGGCGAGGGCGCCGTGAAGTAACAATGGAGGTCGGCATACCTGAGGAGCAAACCAAGAGTCAGACTGTTGTTGAGACAAAAGTCACAGGCATGGGGCTACAGCTTACTTACACTGTAGCTAGCGTCTCTTCCCCGGGAAATGGTGGCATGGTGATAGATGCGGTCAGTCGTTTAGAGTCAGTCAAATTTGGGTCCGAAGCACGACAGCAGCGAGGTGCTGAGAAGGTTCAAACATCACCAAGAAACATTGCACTACCTCGAGCGAAGGTATGTTATTGACTAAATTGTTCTAAGATGTCATCTTGGACATTAGCTTAAGTCGAGGGTCGCGGATGAGATGTGAATGTCTGCAGACGGGCGGCTATTGCGACGTGATTCATGGCTGAGATGCAAGTTGGGGTGGTGACCATCCAGTGTGGCTGAGCTGGGTGAGGGGCGTGGTCCTTACAGTCAGCCACATATGACGTCGACAAGCATCTGGGGCGGTTCAGCAGCAGGACATGAGAAGCAAGAACGTCTAGAATCGAGTCTAGGCCACGGTCTTTTCTCGTAGCCCGATTGCAACGCGTTCATGCCGAGGGATGAGTCCTCCAGTCTACCCACGCATGGCTATCACCACCGACAACCAGCCGTCTGCATAGCAGCCCCATCTGGCTAGCTCTTCCAGGTGAGTGCTCATAGGGACGGGTGCACCATGTAGAAGCGGTGTGGCCAGGATTGGCGTCCTCCGAGATGGAAACAGGCTGGGCACAAGCTGATGCAAGGCCGTCCCCAATGTTTGAGGTTGTCCTGCAGGAGCGCCTCGCACAGCGGTAGGCAAGTTCTGGGTTCCAGCTGCGGCGACAGTGGGTGGAATGTGTGACTGCAGCACTTTGACTTGAGCTTTGCTCGGGTCTTGGTCCGGTGCAGAGGGTAAGTACAGTCGCAAAGGGATATGTCTCATCTGGCCCGGTGTTGGCACCAAAGAGCCATGGATCCTCGTGAAGGTTGGCAAATCGTTGTCTTGGGTCGAGGTCCACAGAGCCTTGCTCTCCTGAGCGGACAAGGTCATGATGGGTTTCGCGGTGCCAGATCTCAAAAAGTCGGCCTCTTTGACGGAATTGATAAAAGAGTCATGCAGGACAACGGGGCTTGCATCTGGCAGCATTGGCTTGTCCGGGTCGGCCGAAAAATGTAACGTTAGCTTGAAGGGTAGAGGGTCGGAAGATGCTGGATCTGGTCGGGCATCTTGGGTCGACACCACGTAGACATCGTAGAGCAGCCCTAACGGAAGATGCCATTTCAAGGGGACATTGTCAAATGTGAAATAGCCCGCGTAGGGTGATATTGTCTCGGCGTCGGCGATCAGTGAAGGCGAAAAGAAGGTGTGAAGGCGCGGCAGAAGCAGTGGAAGATACGACAAACGAGGAAAAGCAATCTGCAAGCATATCGGAGTCAGTGCGATGGGCTTTGCACGCTCAGGGGGCCGAGTGCACAATGACAACTCACCAGGTAAGGGTCGGCGCCGTCAAAGGTACGACATTCTGAAGCAGCTAGTCGAATCTCCAGCGGCAGTCGGGCTTGCCAGATGGTGCGCTGGAGGGACTGTAAAGCCTCGTCCTGGGCCATGATTCGAGATGGGTGTTCTGAGGCGTGTTGGTGCGGTGTAAGTGGGTGGTTTCGGATGATGTCGCTAGCCTGGGTGCCACATGCAGGAGGAATTGGCGAGCGGAGAGGAAGCGGAACGTCTCGCCCGTCTGAGGGAGCCTTTTCCTCGCCCAAGTCGGACAGGGATTTGCTCTTGAAACAGGCCGAAATGGATCGACCAGCAGTCAATAATAATGAGACGGAAGCCCGGATCAGAGTGGTTGTCTATCCACTTTCCGAGCCAGGCAGATTGAAGACGCTGGGGAGGGCGATCCGCCTCGGCCTCATCTGGCCTTTGTTCCACTGATGTTCGAATAAGCGAGCGAGACAACGCAGCACGGGGCGTCTTACTCCTTTTGCTGCGAACCCACGGAGGTCTCGTAGAGAAGAAAGAAAACCAAATCAAAAGGAGGCCAAGGGGGCCACGAGGTGTTGGGGTTGTGCTTGGGCAAGTTTCATATTGTGGTAGGGCTGACCGGAGAATCGCAGGCAGTCGAGTTCCGCGCACACATTTGGCCACAACCACCCCAAGAATATTGAACAGCAGGTCAGTGTGTTCCCAAAAAAGCACCCTCCCCGACTGCAACTAGAAAATATCGCCGTCTAGCGTCGAGGGAGGTTGCCGTCGCTCAAACTGCGAGATGGACTTCTAATTGAAGATGGTGGCTTGCAGGTTTCCAAACCTACTCACTCGACTACTACCTGGGAGGCTCGGTACGGAAGACGGAGAATACAAAGTCTATTGATAATAATGGGTACTACCTCCAACCGCGCGGTTGATCTGGACACAGCGGAAGATGCCTAAGGAGGTGATGGTGACTCGGCATGGAATCAATGGAGCTTTCCCCCTGCAGAAACCCCAGAGACTGGAACGACCCGACCTGTTGTGCTGCCTTGTAGGTGCTGTAGGTAGAGGTATATCTTAGGTCGGTGACACAACAGCGCGGAACAGGAATACAGTGGAGCACGCCTGCTTTCCTCCCGCTGTCAGGTTAACTTCCTCATATCGGCCTTCGGGGCAATCTGGGACACTCGTATTATACATACCTGGCAACAAATACTGGGCCCGGGACGCCGATACAAGTTTCAAGATCCAACACCGGTCAGAATTGTTTAAACTTTGTAATATGAGGTGAACGGAGGGGATCACTGCAAAGACAGGAAGGTACAGCAGAGGGTCAACGGCCACGGGATCAGTCGGAGACCAGTTTGCCGTCGGGTTACTTTAGGGCTGACGATAGCTCTGCGTCTTTGCTCAGAAATTGGCGGGAATCCGTCACATTGTCCGGCTCCTTCATGGTCTGCGAGTAGAGCCGCGGCGTTCTCTTGGGGGTAAAAACAGCACCAGAATGAGGCCGTGATGAGCACCAGCTCGCATCCCGCTGTGTATAGAAGGCTGGCGAAGGGGAGGTGGGTGGTGCCCAAGCCACCGATCACGCAAAATCGAACGTGTCATATTTTGGAACAGGGGTATGGCTCCCACAGCGGCCCAGAAGGCTGCATTTGACCAAGTCGGGATGCACGTCCCAACAGTGCTAGCAGCTTGTGCCCAATGAGTAGACTCTTCCAATTTGCGGGGGGGCACTTTGGTGCATCAGCTATGTACCAGGCTCATTCATAGGCCAGATGGAGTTTTGGCGTTCGTATCCGTTGTTTTCTTTTTCTCTTCTCGTAGGCTTGTTGCAGCGCAGCGCAGCACTCTGTATCTGTCTTCCTGCTGGGGGCTTTGCTGTCCCGTCTTCCGCGCCAGCAAAAGAGGGGGGAAGAAAAAGGAATGAAAGGATCATCATTCGCTGGCCATGCATGGCTTCGAAGGGCGCTTCCCTGCTGGGAGCAAAAGACCATTGCATCTAGTAGTCAAGAGCAAGGAGGCAGTGTTTGAGGGTCGCAAGAGGCTTGTCGTGCGTCAGCGTTGGAGGGACTGCGACGCATGATTTCCTTTTCTTTTTCTTTTTCTTCTTCTCCTTTCCGTTTGATAGCCCCCTTGTTTAGTTCATCGTACCCTCATTCACCCCCTCTTCTTTTGCGTGGATGGACAGATTGTCTTTTTAAGGCTCGAAATGATGGGGGCGTGACGGGTTACCGCAGATGGAGACGGGAGGACTAAGAGATGGTGGAATGTGGAGGTAAGCCTGCGAGCCAGGCCAGCACCAGGCCAATTTTCAGGTGTCAAGGTGGAGGAGGCATGGACTCAGCTCCTCCCGGGAAGCTGATTCCAGCGCGCTTTGGGCTGTCAAGTTTGGCGCCCCCTTGGTTCCCCGTACCAATGACAATCTCGCTTTGGGGGGGGCTTAACTAAAACAAGGCTCGTGCCCTGTTCGCGCCGTGGTGGGCTAGCAAAGGAACCACTGAGAGGCTGCGGGCGGCAACCCCTAAAGCCCTTGGAACCCTAGAGGCGAGCGGAGTTCGCTAAACTCCCAAGCTCGGAGACGCCCTCCACGTCGCTGCCCGTAGGCACCTACCTAGACGGTGCTCGAGCAGCAGGAATGAAATTTCTGACCCCCTCCCAGTCTCTATCGTGGTCTTCCCTGCCTGTCATCTGATTTCTCCCCGTCACCCCGTACGCCGCGCGCATATTGTCCGTCCCGTCTCGTCTCTTCTCGTTCTTTGGTGTGGAAATGTTACCCTCCTGCCTTGTTCAGTACTTTTTTTCTCCCGACCAAACTAGTTTATCCTTTTCCACCTGGGCCATGGCACAAGCCGTCCCTTCCGAATCCATCGCCGATCCCCGCGAAAGGATCAAAGTCCTGGCTCTGGCCACGCGAGACCGTGGTGAGCTCTGTGCAACCAGTGGTGACGTCGAGAAGCTGTGTCTTGTTCGCTAAAAGCCAGTCTATTTTCCGCTCAGATTAGATCGACAAGCTGGGTGCTATTGGCGAGAGACAATGTCACAGTGGACACGGGTCTCGTCCCTCCCATCCAAAGAGCCCGCGTTGAAGCTAACATGCAAGGAGCGCGCTCTCTTTCACTCTGCCTTCGAGGACGCAGTCCATAGCTCGAAACCCTGCATGCGCCTAAATCCAAACACCAACGAGGGCGGGCCCCCCTTTGACCAAAACGATGGAAAGGTTGGATTGAAACCCTAGAGCCTGGAAAAGAGTTGAACTGTGGCCTAGTAAAATGAGCCGCCGAACGGTCTAATGAAAGCATTGCAGGGAGCTGGGGCCTTGAAGGGCTAGCCACAGTCAAAGCTTGGATCACGACTTGGAGCTGCCATGCAACACTACGAGCCTGGGACACCCCGGCCGGCCGCGGAGACCCTTTCTCGCATGAAAAGGGTGCCCCCTTTGGTGCCTCTGGGAGCTTTCTGTGTGGCCGGGGCCAGGGGCTAGCAGGGCTAAAGCGAACCACCACAGCTCCAAGACGGCCGGGCTCTGAAGCCAAACTCCATCCTCGTTAGTAGCGGTGCCCATCTCCGAATTTCAATGACGATCCAAAAGGACGGGTGTGTCTGGGACAAAAACACCCTCTGGCCGGCCATCATCGCACCCCATGCATCGGCCATGGGCTTGCCTGGCTGCCACCCTCCTTGGTCCTTCTGGGGGCCTGGCTGAGCTTGGCCACCCAATGGCCATCATATCCATCATGGAACATGGTCCATCGCCCACGGCTCATGGAATGCCACCAAAAGAGCCCCCAGCTTTCCTGCACCAGACATGCGCGCACCTATCGACCTATCGAACCCATCGCACCCATCGACCCCTGGCCCTGGCTCCATCCCCCTCCCACCACCCTCCCCAGAGAAAACAACAGGTGTGCCCATGAGCCTGAAATCCATCGAACCTGATCCCGTCCTCTCAGCTTCGAATTCTCCATTCCAGCCCGGCATTAAAATTTCTTTTCCCTGTGTGTGAAAGAGAAGGGTTTCCATCCCGCTTGTGTCAAAACCACCACAACCCTGTCCATTCCACCTGAACCCTGTCCTTCGAACCGAGTGTCTGTTTTTCTCTGCATGCTCTGGTTCTCTCTCACCAAACTATATCCAAGTACGCGCCCGTCAAGAAGAGAACCACATCTGCCTTTGCCTTCTTGACTGGCCTCGTCGCTGCATCCAGTTCGCTCAATTGTTTGGTGTCGGCTGGCTGTCTTAATTCTCCGGAGCAGCAGTATTCGCGTCCCACAGCTCCACCAACACGTTCTCGACCTCCCAACGATATCCATCCCTCAGCTCCTCTATAAGTGCTGCATACCTCGCCCCGCTGACGGAGGACAACCTCGCATATTTCTTGCTCCTCGATTACCAGGCAGAGAGACTCTGGACGCTTTCTCATCCTCACAGGCGCAAGACCATCAATTGGTAGTCTTGTTGTTCTCGTCAGCTTTGGGCGGTTCCACAAAACTCGACATCGGATTGTCTTCCACCCGACCCATCCCGTCACTTGTCATTGCCGCTCCACAATCGAAACGTCTTGCTCCAGGTCGCAGGTGAACCCACGGGCACCTGCGTCCGAGGGTTGAATTGTTGCGAAGAATCAACAGAGCTCGTGTCAGCTCATCCCCGGGCCCTCGCGACAGATTGCCAAATCAACTAAAACATTGGGACCCTCTTAAGTGTCGATAGGGCTGACAGGCATATCACCGTGTGCTGCACAGTGCCCCCCTGACCTCTAACCGCCTTAGCTTTGACCTGCCTTAAATCTGTTGTTGCTTCTTGAACCCTATCATACGTCAGCCTGATGCCAGTACTTTATATCGATCAGGTCCTCGCTCGCTACCTCGAGTGTCAACGAAAATCGACCACCCAACTATATGAGTTGATCTCCAGTCAACGAAACCATGATCCCATGGGCCGCCTTCGGCACAAGGTATCTCTCCCTTTCCCCTGTTCAACCTCATTTAGAGATGCTCATATGCTCCAGCGCACACGAGCCTGACTGGCGTGTTGAGCTGAACGCCGAAAATGTCTACTACTATGTCGAACATGGTCCAACCCAACATAAACGTGCCCTGGACTCTCCCATGCTAGGCCTGGCACATGAACGGCAATTTGCCATTTCTCAACTCGGGACTAGAAGCGTCGGGTTCGAAAGGCAACACATTGCCTTGATGCAGCAAGCTCTTCGGCAACTCAACCATCATTTCGCCGCCCACCCATCCAACGAGTCCTGTCGCCCGACCTCACCTTACTCGGATTATCTGACAGATTGCCGGCAGCTGGTGGACGATTACAGTCCCCTGCCACCGCTTGATATTTCTGACGAGCCCAGCTCCGAACCATCGACGCCTTCGCCAGTGACAGAGCTGGAAAGGTCTTCACGGTCCCCCTTGGCTTTGAAGGAGCTTATGAACCCTGTGCCCCTGACCCCCAAGAGTCTGAAGAGGAAAGCTTCCGATGATCTGTTGCCAACTATTCCTGCCGACGATGAATTCGAACCGATAGCTGATCTCGAAGTGGATTCTCTTCTTGAGCCGGGTTCTCTCAGATATGCTCGAGCAAGCCATGTACTAGGCACAGGAGCAGCCAGTCGGATGCGGCGAGGCGTGAGAATGCGAAAAGCACGATCCTGTCAAAGGCACTATTCGTCTCAAGATTCGCTAGAGATGGACCAATTTGAGAAGGAGGGCCATCTGCTACTCAACTTGGCACAGAGCCCAATGACGATGGGACATTCTCCTTGAGGAAACACACCACCGAACGACCACCACTGAAAACCACTAAATGATGTCGTGGATGAAATCTGTCCGCATTCCGATAAAACACCTACGACTTCTGGATGTCACTGAACCCCTCGACGATTCCCCTTCTTGGTATTACGGCGTATTATCCTTTCGAGTCATCGTCATCGTCAGACGTTCTATCTCGCCTCTATTGATGCAACATACATGACCCTCCAACCCTTGGCGGGGACCAACAGCACCGCGGATCGCCAACCCTTGGACGAAAAGGCTGTCATAGTGGAGTTCATTTTTGGTTGTTTGCCTCCTGCGTTGAGGATGACTTGGTTTTCGTATCCCGGCGTTGGATACTAGTAAATACCTGTGATGGCCTGATATCCAGAATGTCTTGCATGGAGTTAGATGCAAAAGGATTTTGTGCTGCGGGTTCCTGGAGCTGAGAAGTTTTTAGCGACGGCGCTGGAAGGACTCTCCCGTTCAACCGCCATTTTTTTTTTCTTGTTGGGCGGATAATGGAAAACCTTTGTTATTGATGAGCTATGGAAGGAGCCAAACTACGTGCAGGTCGGTGAATACGAGGCGAGTCCTCGTGGAAGGAGGAGGGGAGCGAAGGATGAGGGAGCAGCGCAGGATGGATGGGCTTTGGTCGGCCACATCGAGGTCCACTGATGCCAGGTTTGGGAATTGTGCACATATGCCCCGCTATGCCTATATACATGTCGAACTCATGGAGTCTCGCCACTCAATGAAGCGATGGACTTTGTTGCTGTTTTGGATCTGAGTAGCCGCCACTCTCCTGGCCAGTGTTTCCTGATTCTGACGCCCCTACTCATCGCCCTCCTCCTCCGTCTCAGTAACCGCACGCTGAAGGAAGGGCAGAGGTTGCAAAAGGCTGATTATTCACGCTGGACCACGGTTGCTAAGCGGCCAAGTTCCGATCCGCAGGGCCATCTGATCTTGGGCAGCATCGGCATCGGTATCGGTATCGGTATCGGTATCGGGCCCCCTCAAGGGGTGGCTTGCCCCATCCCGATTTCCCTACAAGGCAGGAACCCTATGAGGAAGAGCCAGCAGGAATAGTAATATGGGAAAGACAACAATGCCAGCATCTGTTTGGGAATCCTCGTAAGCGAAGGACAGCGTCACGGCTGTGCGGTGGGTGGATGTCGATGTTCATCTCCGGCGCGGCCGCCCCGTGTGGCCCGTTATGGCCCGTTATGGGCTCCCCCATCTTGCGACACACTAGAGACACCCGGACGGATGTGATTCCTGTTCGGTGCGGGCGTGGAGTGCTGATTGTTCGTTCGAGAAGGGAGATCGACCGGGCCCACGCCGACGCCGACGGCAAAGTGTGGGAATGGAAAGGGACAGGAAGAGTTAGAGGATAGGGAGGGAGGAGTATTTTCCGGGGGGAGGGGGGATACGAAACACATGGATGGACAGGACGGACGGCTATTCATGGGCGAGGCTGTCCTCCACCGATTAATTGATTTTGACTGGCTTATTATCGCTGCAGACGGAGGGACTCGTAGTAATTACGAGTGGTGGTCGTAGTAGTAGTCGTAGTAGTAGTCGTTTGATCCACGTCGGCCACCCTTGTAGGGCCCTGGTGGGTTGATGTATCAGGACTCAGGAACGATCCAATCGGATATCACCAGGCCGCCTGCCCAATGCGTCCTCGCGTGCGTGCTGACGAGCTTACCTGCTTCTTCTGAGGAGGACCCGGTCGACGCTGACGGACCGGACGAGCAGGACGAGCAGGACGCGATGGACGAGGCGTTGCCCGTCTGTCGGTCGGAGGAATCGTACGGTATTCACATAACTACGAGGCAGGGATGGGGCAGTATATACCGTGCCGAGAAGTGGTGGGTAGGTATATAGGGATGAAGGTAGGAAAATGATTTCTTCAGGCACCGAAACCTCGTAATTACGTAGTACACTACTGTACCGAGTACTGTACTGTAGATAGATAATCCATAGAGTCTCCACGCCTGTTTCAGCACTGGCGATGGCGGGCGATGACCACCAGTACCACCACTACGGCACACCGGAGCGAGAGCGCCCTCGGGGGATTTGTAAGGACGCTCTCTGCATCCCTGTCGGTCCCTACGAGTTGGTAAGGCAGACACCCCCCTTGAGGTACCTCGTCCTGGTGGTGATGGTCGTGATGATGAATTTGTGCGTATCTACCTAACCTAACGCCTTCGGGAAGGGCGGCCACTGTAATTAAGTCCGAGGCCTCGCTGCCGAAGCGTCTCAGCCTCTCAGGCCCGGAGAGCCAGGGAGCGAGGGAGATTTGATTGCGTAGGTGCTACCAGTACTAACTACTACTACGGAGTAACTACTAGGTACTACCTACAGCAAATGTACCGAGCTACCTACCTGGGTAGGTGTTAAGTTACATAATAGTAGTTATGGTCCTTACCACCGAATACTCCGTCCACGTTCCTGCGCAGGTACTCGGTACTTCCCCTCAGCAGTAGTTCTGATGGGGGGGGGGATGTACCCTTTCTTCTCCCAAGTGCCGTCTGACACAACTCACAAACGCTCCCTTTCAACACCCATTCACGCCTGTTACGGCAGTTTGTGGCAACCCGGTGCCCCCGCGGGTACCTGAGTAAGGTCAGCCGAGGGCCAGAAATAAGGGAGGTGGCCACCTACTCTAACTCGTACGAGTTATGTTTGTGGTGGTGGAGCGAGACAGACAGCCAGAGTGACCACAGCAAGCAAGGCCGAGTTACTCGGCGGGGTAATTGCTATTCGTAGAGGAGGTCGGGCGGAAGAACGTTCCTGGTGCGTCTGGGCGGAAGCGAGACAGCGAAAAGCGAAAACGTGAAACGAAGGGCAAACCGCAATGAGAGCCAAGGCAGCGACGAGAGCAAGAGATACCACCCAATCGTACAGATAAAGAGCTGTCCTCTGCATGTACTCGGTACACATAGTACGAGGTACAGCGTAGGGGTGACAAAGGATCGATACTGCTTCCATCGTTCGAAAGACCGAGGCAGACAGACAGACAGACAGACAGACATCGATGTTGGGCTACACATTCCATACTCGGTACTCCGTCCTGCGGCTGCGACAGGCGGGAGCGTCATTCGAGATGACGCCGCCCGCAGACTCGTGATGGCCGATCGTCGTTTCGATATATTTCCTGATCTAGTGGTGGCTAACAACTGGGGGCGGTGAATTGCCGTTCAAACGAACGAGCCATTACGGATCATCATATGAGAAGGGGGCATGCATAATGAAAGCAACGAGGACGATCTTTCCAAGGCCCATACAAGGGGAAAACCGCAAGATTTTGCTTGCAATCCCGGCGGCCCCATCATTGTCACACACTCTCCTCCGCAAGACTGCGGGAATTCTTTCCCCCTAGCCAAAGTACGGGCAGTCACTTCCAACGGTCGTGGCGGGGCTCTCGTGTGCTCAGATAAGGAAGCGAGCTGAGATACCGCACTCGAGCTCCGTCCGGCGGAATCAAAGGCAGTCACCCTTGCGGTGATGGGAAGAGGTCCTCGCCTGGAAGAACGAGGACAGCCGTCGCCGTCGCCTGATGGTGATGTCGAGTCAGTGGCATCGTTATTGACGTGATTCGTTCGATCATGGCAGATTGCTCAGCGACCACCAACAGCTCGATGGGGTGGTGTGTTAGTGCTCTGCAAAAGGACATTCACCACCCCGAAAGGCGACAGGTCATATTAATTATTAGTGAAATGCATCAAGCCCATTTTGGTCGAACCGCGTGCAGAGCCCATTGGTAATCATGCTACCACGGGACAGGCAGCTTTCAGCCATCCGACAAGCCCTTCGCTCTGGCTTCAGAGGGACGGCGTGAGGGAAATTGGGGAATCTTGGGCAGCACGACAACCCGACCACCCACACACCACACCGACGGGCTCGGATGGTGAACCGTTGCTGGAGCGCAGGGGCCGTTCGCGTTGGTGTGCCAGGGGAAGCGCGGAAAACGCAAGTCCGCATCGGGCTACCCATCGAGGCCAGGATGAGATGGGCTCCAAGTGGCTCCAGGTGGCTTCCGCCCGTTGGAACCCAAACCGGTTTAACGGCGACCGTTGAGATGGCCCTGTCGAATGGCTGCCGCATGCATCTCGACGCACGGAGCAAAGAGTACATTGCGCAGCAGTCACGCGCAACCGCACTGATAAGAAGGTGAGACTGAGGGTGTGGGAGAGTAGACACACCCACCTCCTCGGAACTGGACTCGGTAGATAGGAGAAGGGTAGAAAGGGCCGTGGGTTTTGTCTGATCCCTTTGCAGCTTCTCGCGAGAAACCACAGTTCATTTCTTGTTTGCCGTCCTCCTCTTCCCACAATTGCGTCGTCGCTTGTGTAATAATGGAGTATATCGTGACCATGTGCCGAGTAGCCACGCGGCTTGCCTCCAGGGGTCTTGGTTCCAGCTGCCCTTTTCCCTACCCAATGTCATTCACGTTGTGCAACGCGGATCCCCTTACCCCCCCGTGTTAGTTGTCACAGGAAGAGAGCGTAGGGGTTGCTTGTCTGCTTGCACGCCTTCTCCAATACCGTCTCTTCCTCCTTCATCGCACGGAATAAGGAAAGTGGCCCCCCCTTGTCGCAACTCGTGTTCTTGTTCGACCGATAGCCAATTTCATGCTGTGGTCGCGACGAGTAGACGGGGGGGCCGATAAAATGGGCGTGCAGAGGGGTATTAGTTGAAGGAGCGCAGTTGGCTGTCCGTTGTCCGCTGTTCGCAGCTCGAAGATGGTGAGCTCAGTGGCATGGCGTTGTGAGCGTCTACAGAGGCCCTCGAAGGCTTCCAGTTGGCGATGGACGGGGAATGCATCGTGGGATGCTGGAGTGCAGAGTCCAGACAGATTAATGATGAGTGCAGTGATGCAGTAATTCAATTCCGTGCGAAAGCGCCCCTGCATCCGTAATGCCTCTCTTCTGCTCGAATCTTGCAACTCACCCAGGCTGCTGCATGATGTGTTCTTGCTCTCGATGCTGGCGTGCCTCGAGACACGCTCTTCACCTGGAGCAAGCAACTACATAGGTATCCAGTGCGCTCCCTTGCATGGCCTCGCAGCCCAGCAATTGACCCCGCAATCCTGGTCAAATCCCCCTACTTCCTTTTGGGCCACTGACCTTGTCCTCTCCAGAGGTGAGAGGGGCACCAATTGGCCGAGCCCTCTACCCAAACCCACCTGACAAGCTTCTCTTGGGTGCCCCTACTGCTTCTACCGCCCCTCCTGCCCGCCTCAACCATGCCTAGACACCCCCAACCAACCCCAACCAAGCTTTTGCCCAAGCAAACTTGCACCGGCTGAGCAGCCAAAATCCGGGGTAGCGACCCAGCACCAGCACCCCAGCACCCCCCAGAACTCCACTATCCGGGAGTATCAGAAACACTACCGTGCGAATGTGAACGGCCTTACAGTATGTCTGATAAAGGGCATTTACACGGTCTACACCTCCTAAAACCAGGGTACTCCAGGTAGGAGAACGGCCTGTCGATAGGTCACAAGAACCAAAACTCATCGACGGCCAAGTCATGCCATCCCATTGGTATGTTATCTGGTTTTCCACGGCCTGGACGTCATCAACGCTGCTGTGTCCTCAAGCGGGTTGGTCCCCCGCTGGATGCTAGATACAGGTCCAAATCCTCATTGGTTGCCGGCCATGCTCTGATATCTGGGGAAATGTCCTTATCTCTGTCGCCTCTGTCCTCCTCGGGAGGAATCAGAAATCAATCCGCGGGTCAAACAGCGCGTGACAATCCTGTCGTCACGCTTGCCTGAAGAACGCGCTTCGGCCAGAGTCGAACAACACCTTCGCCGTGTCAGTGATATACGCCCCCCACCTCAACTGAACTGCCATCGCGAGTTAAGAGCTACGCCCGACGTCCGCGACAATGACAGCCCACCCTAAAGATCAAGCCTACGTCCATTTCGGACGCGGCGGCGCAGGTCCTCCCCCCTCCCTTTTGTCCATCTACTTCTCCGCCTCGAGAACACTAACGAATGCGATCAGGCAACATCGTCCACTCGACAACCACAGCAACCCGCCGTCCCTCGTGGATCGCCGACTCGCAATCGCCGTCGACCGCCACTGCTCCCGCAGGATTCCCCGCAGGGAGACGTTTCTCTACGGGAATCGGTGGATGGGGAAACGCGTCCGCGGCAAATAAATGCAAAGACACACCCGAGGCCGATGAGGAGATGGTACGGCTGTTATGGGACAGGCAGGCGCCCGGGATTGTGCTTGTGGAAGGTGGATATCACACAGGACGAGGTACGTGACAGGTGTCGCATCCCCATTTTCTCGGAAAATCACAGGTGGACGTTGGTTGTGGCCGTCCCAAAAATGTGCTGAGTCCGAAACAGGTGGAGCTGCGAACGTATGCACGAACACCAACTTGGAAGATCAAGAAGCGCGATCGAATAACGAGAACATGCGACGCCAGAGTGTCGCAAGTATGAACCAGCGGAGACAAAGTCTGGCCAGTCTGATGCCATCAAGTGGCGAGACCAGTCGAAGGGGAAGCATAGCCTCCGTGAGGGACTACCTCATGAAAAGGAGGGCGAGTAAGGCCTGAGCGTGGCTTGCTCGCGGTTCTGTATCTGGCACAAGAGCATCCGGACGAGAAATCAGATTGCACGTCGCGGTAGCTGCTCCCAGTTCCCTTGAAAGACCCCACAACCCTAGCTGTGGAAGCCATGCAGCAATTGAGCCTAGCTGATGACCACTTTTTCATGATGAGCGCCCCCGCCCTCTAGGGTCTTAACAGTAGATCCTCACTTGATCTCGGCCCAGTCCCTGCGCCCAGATGTAGAGCAGTCAAGTAACAATGGCAGGCCGAGTAAAGAACTTGAGCGGCGGCCACGGGTGGCAGACATAGCCTAGCCACCACCTCAAACACGAGTGCCGCTTCTCATCGAGGGCTTGTAAACTCGGATGAAGCAGCACACATCTCTACCCGCCCGTATATCACTGCCTTCGCTCGAGAAGCGTAATAGCGAGCTTCAGCCTGTCCATGGGTGATACGCGACCACATCGCAGTCTTGATAGACGCGTGTTGATGCAAAATTTGGAGCTCGATCTTCCATCACCTTGGGGACGCAAACTCTCCATTGGGTCTCCTTGCCTCGGACGGAAGTGTTTCCACGTGTTCCAGTCTTGCAATCTCCAAGTCGAGGTCTGGGTCCTGAGCGTCTGCCCTACTTCCCGTCTTGGGTCGCCGTCGCTGAGAAGTTCTTGTCACATCAGTGCAGACTTTTGTTAGATCGACAAATTCGGATATATCGGCCCCTCCATTCAGAGCAGAAGAGCTCCGCTTCTCGTCTTGTGCGAATGGCAGCGATGAGTTTCTTCCCCCCACAAAGTCGACCAGCTTTCCGAGAATGGCAAATTCGAGCTTCAGCTTGATCGAATAGAAGGCAGGCTTAGTGATTGTTTCAAGGATGTAGAGCGAGGCGCATTCCAGACCCAGCAGGCCTAGATCTAGGGTGATAATCAAGACGTTGATCGCCAACAGTTGGTACATGAGTCTCTTGGTATTCGGTTGCACCGACGAGCGAAGGATGCGGATGGCTTCGATGATATAGATCGAGGACAGAATGACTTCCTGGAGAAAGAAGCCACACATCTGGACCTTCTCCATGACATTGTACCCATCCACAAAGGCCTGGGTATGCGTGTCGGTGTTTGATCCGATGGTCAAGACTGTCGTCGGGATATGCAGAACAATCGCATTGATGATGATCATCCACTTCGTCCACCTGAGAATATTGTCTCTTCTGTCGCCTGTCAACAAGAGGTGGAGCCTCGAATACAGGACAACGGCTTGCCCTGTAATCATGGGATACCAGCCGATGCTCAGGAGCAGCAGGGAGAACCATTTTTGATGTGTGAGGATCGAAAAGTATTTGAAGATGAAGCCTATCGAATAAGGTATAATGCCGATGCTGGAAATGAGTAGGCTCCAGAAGTACAGACCCCTGAACCTTTTGAAGGTACCGAATATGAGAACCTGCAGCTCGAGAGCGTTGTACAGCGATAGACCGAGGAAGAATGCAATCATGACTTTGATCGTGAGGCTGTCGCCAGTGTATCCCCCGGTTATCCCTTCGGCTGCTGACGAGAACGAGCTCGACGAGGCACTGGAATTGGATGCCATGCTTGGAGGAAGGGTCTCAATCCAGGGCAAAGAGCGCCTCGAGTGTTCCACCCCATGGAGATCCTAAGTTCGTCTGGCACGCGCTTGCTCGTTGATCGACCGACACTGAACCAGCTGAGGACATAGCATGGACGCAGTCTGCAAGGAGTCTGCGCACGACGTTGTTTGAAGCTCTACTCCACATTTTGAGAGAGGGAACGGGCGACGACTGAAAAGTGCGACTAATTGATCAACTAATGTCGATCATACTGAACCCCGCGAAGGCCTTTCGGACGGGATCTCTTCGGCGACGCAGAGTGCGCGCTCCCTTCTTATTGGATGATCTGACTGCCGTTTTGTCGAACGAGCTCCAACGTCGCTTCGCTCGTGCCGCCATGCGTGGCAGGCGAGCTTGGGGAAGCAAAGCCGATCAGGCGCCCTACGTCATTCTCAGACGCTTCTTGATCAGTTCCCCCCAATGCGAGTAGTTGAGCCTCGGCCAGGTGGCTGTTTACCGATACCTAGAGGGCCTGTCTGGTGGATTGGCGGACTCGTGGGTCGGCACTGTGTAGGAGGCTTGTGTGGACAAGACGTACCGCTGCTGTGCGGCGGCTGTAATCTGTGGATGTCGGACTCTCGATATGTACAAGAGGGTCCTCTCTATTCTGACGTTTGATAGATATATCTTCTATGTATGAAAGAGACGACGTTGATGACGGGGGTAAGGATGTCTCCCTGTCTTTTGCGACACCCAGGACCATATTTGCTGCATCGTGTTATGTATACCTGCGTTTGGCTGCCTCCGGAACTGGTGTCAGTCTTAAAGATCGCATCGTCGTCTCAAAATGTGCCTGGGGCTCTGCCTCAGCGTTAGAAGACTTGCGCATTCTCTTGAGTCGACACTTCTTCTGACGGGACTGTGTTTCCCAGGTCACACTTCTATCAACCAGTATGCAGGAAAATTGAAACTCTAGTGACGATGCTCCCAGCATCCACAACATTCCCATCCTTTGCCGGCTTATTCTCAAGCTGCGGGTGTTTTTTTCGGAGCCCAAGATGCTCACCAGTGGCCAGGCCGAGGCAACTCGTCCAGGCAATACCCCAGGTTAGACCTTTTGCACATAGCTGTGAAGCGCTGGGCACACGAGTGGCGACGGGCTCCATCCAGGATATCGCCCTGGACTTCATTGAATCTTTGGGATGGTAGCAGAGGTCTTGTGTCATGTTTTTCGAGGACTCGGTTGGAGACGTTGTCAAATAGATTGCTTTATCCGAGTCCTGGATGCATTATCCTGTTTGGATTGTGCTGTCTGTTGTTGTTCCTATTCTGCACAATCTGCGTTTCTTGCTGGAGCACTTCAAGCCAATTGCTAGTCATGACCGGATGTTGCCAAACTGCGTCTCTATCACCCTCTCTTACTGCGGCGGACAAAGACGCCGGGCTTGGACTCCTGTCTGAGTACGCAGGCAGAGTGGTCCGAGTCCAAATATGCTCAAGGCTTTCTCTTCCACTTTGATGCGTTGTTTCGCCGGTTCGTGCCGCGGTCAGGTCCGTCAGTCGGGTCGACGGTATCGAGACAACGGAAGAGCGAGGTGATGCAGGCGGGGGCGGATGCTCTTCGTCTTCCACGGTTACTCGAAAGTCTACGGGGATAGATTTCTCGTCTATGGCCGTTGGGGGATACCGGACTACCTCGCTATACTGTGGAGGGCGGTCGTGGTGAAAGCTCTGTGGCTGCACATGGGGACCTCTGTAGCGGTCAGGTCGGCCATCGGTGACGGCAATGATGCGGGCATGGCGGGTATCGGCGGCGAGTTTGCTTGGGCGGTCGCTGGAGGCGCAGCAGGAAAACAAAGACGCAAGGATGGCCATTATCCCTTCCTCCCTTTCGTGTGCAAACGGCGATCACGCAGTTGAACTGACGGGACCCAACATTGAAGATGTGGCAGATGGGTTTCTTGCAGATGGCTGCGGGTGTGACGGCGGGCCACAGGCAGAAAGTCGTCAGCCTCAGCAGGCACCAGGCCATCAGCCAAGGTTTGAAATGACGACTAAATCTAAGACAAGTTGACACAGCCACCCCAGCCTTCCCCCGACCAAGACAAATCGACACAGCCGTGCTGGCCTTATGCATGCGGAGGCACTGTATTCGAGGTAGCTGATTCAAAGCTTTGCGCCCAAGTCTTGCCAGGTACTGGGAAACATGTTGCAGAATGGATTCTCACTGCAGACGGTACCGCAGGATCCGATCAGGTTTACACGCCCAGAACACACCAAGATAGTCTGCATTAATGTGGTCTACCAAACATTCTACTCTCTCCAGCAGTATTGGCTATGGGATGTTATACCATTCAGATGCCAGCGTGCCGTCACTTCAAGCAGACTCTTTATGGTTTGCCACGATAGTCTCCTTGGTCTCAGCCACGACCTCGCCCTCACTTGGCGGCGACGCAGTCATGTCGACACCAACCGCCATAAGGCGCTCGTCAAGCGCGCGCCGGCGCTCCTCGTCGAGATGTGAGATGTCGACGGCAACTTCGTCACCGAACTTTGCGGCAATCTCTTCAAGCGAGAGCCCATTGGTTTCGGGGAGGCGCCACAGGAATGGCAGGCAGGCAGCCGGAACAATGATAAAGACGAGGTAATATCTACGACTCATTAGCATAGTGATGGGAGACAAGAACAAGCCGGGACACCTACTTCCATCCAATGTCAGCGAATGCTGTCGGTGCGACCTCCGTGTAGAGTAGTGTCGACGCAAAAAGACCGGCAATTGAGGTGCCCAGTCCATGGGCGCGTACACCAGTTGGAAAGATTTCGCTGCAGTAAACGTAGCTGCTAGCGTCCTGGCTGCCACCATAGAATGTCACGAAGAGAAACAAGAACAAGACACCCACGGCGTTCCCGCCCTTGTTGGGTGTTCCTGCATAAGTGGCAACCATGGCAGTCTCGACAATCATCATGCAAATGCAGCCGGTCAGGCCGAAGGTGATGATGGGAATGCGTCCGAGGCGATCAAGCAGCATGGCGTTGATCCAATTCATGAAGGCGGCCCACGAGGTGTAGATGGCATAAAGGAGGAGGGGGAGCCACCCGTACAATCCTAGGTTGTTGTACAGGAGGACTTGATAGTTGTTGATCACGAGGACGCCTGTCGACTGAGCCGCGCACCTGCCGAGGTGTTAGTAGGCACCCGCCGTCCACAACGAAATCGACAACGTACTGCACCAGGAGGCCCGAATATATTCGCTTGCGATACGAAGCACGCTTGAGCATGCCCCAGATTCCATGCACACCAGTCGCATTCTCCAGCTCGATCTGTTTGGAGATCTGGTAGAATTCCTCCTTGGCTGCCAGGCCTGATGGATCATCTGGTCGACTGTGCAGTTTCTGGAGAATCTCGAGCGCGTGCCGCTCTTTGTGTTTTGAAATGAGCCAACGAGGGGATTCGGGCAACCAGGGAGAGCCAATGAGAAGGATCAAGGGCGCAACAATCTGCAGACTGAGACATAGTCGCCACTGTACTTGAGGCGCTGCAAAATAGCAGCCCAGACCGGTGAATGCGGCCGACCCCTGGAGGCTGAAGTTAGATTCCCACTATCCGGGAATGGATTGCAGTTGTATACTTACGTAACCACAGACAATCAGGACCCCGTGTGAACCTGGGACAAATCGTCAGCACGACGTCGAAGCGGAATGTGGCTCGGAAAAGGCTGGTTACCCGTTATTCGACCTCGTTGCTTTGCAGGCGACAACTCCGACTATTCCACTCGTCAGTCCCAGTTGCACCTCTCAAGTCAAACTGAGCACACTGACCATGTACGCAGGCACGGTGACTTGCATCATGCCGACGCCGATGCCATTCAGGAAGCGTCCAACGAGAAACATAGCAATATGAGCCGCGCCCCCTTGGATCGCGGCCGAGATAACACAGATGGCACAGACTATCTGAATGGACCTACAACGGCCGAGTCTGTTGAGAATCCAGTTGACGATGAGAGCACCGATTATGCCTCCCCCAGCGAACAGACCATTGGCAGCTAGTTCTCTTTATCAGTCGTCTGCAAGGCCTGTGAACTTGTTTGCGCTTACCGCCGATTATATCATTTCCCTTGTTGGCATTTGGTCCAGTAAGAGAAAGGTTGAAATAATCCCAGAATGCGGGCAAACCAAAGACGGAACCGATAATGGATGAGTTGTATCCGTACGTAAATGAACCTAATGCGCTGAAGAAGACGACAGTAAAGTTGTACGTGTTGGCCTTGGCCGAGTGCGACGCGTTGGCCGCTTCCCCAGTGCCATGCTTGAACACGCCCATGCTGAAGAACGAGGGTGGCTCGACAGGTGGATACAGATACAAATGAGAAAGATCGAACAAGGCACAAACGACCTCGCAGGGCCGATCAGGGGTTTATATTCCCTTTGCACTGGCGAACCACGAGGCGGCCACGAGTCGAACGTGGATCCTTCTTGGAGTCGAACATGGTGCGGTACCGAGTACTTGGAGACGATGTTAGCGGAGAAGACTGAGCGACAATTCTTTGTAGGTCATCATTGTGTTGGAGAACACGGCCGTCAGGCGGTGAGAAGCAAGAAGCGAGACCGTGTCGCACCATGATCGATGGCGGCCAGCCTGGTCGCTGGTCGGCATCAGGACCGGCGCTGTGTGAACCAAGCGAGATGAAGCATGCTGGCGTGATAAGCAGAGGGCAGTTTGTGGGGGAATCATTCTGGACTTGGGGAATGGAGTTGGAGACCTGGAGCTCTCCGCGCTGGGGACGTGCCACTGCGCCATGGAATAGGTGGAGAATGGTGGTTGTCATGGTCAACGCAGAAGGTATAAAGGCGAATTAGCGTGGAGCCAAAAGGCAGAACTCCGACCGGTACATGCTCATGGCTCATTGTCAATGCCGATTCATCTTCCATTAACCTCGGGTATCGTGTTGATCTATACTCTGGCGAGGGGACTGGAGCTCAAGGCGGATTTCGACGTGGAAGGGGGAGGGACGATGACTCTCGTGGCCGGAGGAAAGGGACCCACTCTGGGTCCTAGGAACCGGGATATGTTGACCGACGCGTTCGGGATCTCCATGATCCTTAGAGAGGACGCAGGCTTACATGACGGAACTGCTGGAGAATGGGGCCGTGACGCTGAGGGTGGGCCAAGAGGGAACGAAGAGGAGCGTTCGAGGTGAGTGTTAACAGTGAGTGAAAGGTGAGAAGAAGTCAGAGGAGGTTGAAAGACGAGCTGGCTCGGTGGGTGGTGGTAAAAGCGGCGTGTTTGCGGTGAGTCGCAGTTGCAAACCAGGACGGAAATCCGCCCTCTCAACCCTGGTACAAGACTGCAATCATCATGGCTGGTATCATTCTCCATCATTTTGCAGCCTCGCCGTTCGCTGAACGCATTCGCCTCGTCTTCGGACTCAAAGGTTTATCATGGCAAGGAGTCGATGCCGAGCTCGTGATGCCGAAGCCTAAATTGACCGCCTTGACCGGAGGCTACCGCAAGACTCCTGTAATGCAAATTGGGAACGACATCTACTGTGATTCACGGCTCATTGCCTTGGAGCTTGAACGACGGTACCCAAACCCAACCGTTTTCCCGTACAACAGCCGAGCATCGTGTATGGCTCTCTCAGCCTGGACCGACTGCGATTTCCACATGACAACTTCCGCCCTAGCGATAGGGGTGAACAAACACCTTATGCTGCAGTCCTTAGTCGACGATCGACGTTCCTTTTTTGGGAATACCCTGGATGTGGACGGTCTAGAAAATGATATACCACACCTGCGCACTCAGTTGCGTGCTCATCTTGACATTGTTGACCAACATTTCTCGGATGGACGACACTTTTGGTTTGGGGACCAGCCCAGCATGGCGGATTTCCAAGTTTACACTAGCGTCTGGACCGTACGCACAAACCTTCCGTTCGCAGAGTCTGAATTGTCACCGTTTCCTCATGTGGTGTCTTGGGAGACGAGGATGAAGAGGTTCGGGTGGGGTACAACGAGCGAGATCACTGCGGAAGATGCAATCAAGCTCGCTCAGGCGTGTACGTCAACACCAGTATTCGATGTTGACGGTGCCGACGCTTTGGGCCTCCTCCCTGGCGCGCCGGTGGTGGTCACCCCAACGGACTATGGATGTGAGCCAGTTGAGGGACGACTAGTCAAGTTGACGGTCACCGAGGTTGCAATCGAACGTCACGATCCTGACGCAGGAACACTGACTGTGCATTTCCCTCGCATTGGATTTAGGGTGTCCGCAACATCGCATTAGGCTATCGAGTAAAGCATGGCAGCTTTCTTCCTTGGGACGATTTCGATCCCATTCCACGAGTCTGATACGCCTTTGCCGGCACCGACCGACCAATAAGGACAACAATAAGCACGACAGTGCTACCAAGTAGGAACAAGGTAGGCCTGTAACAGAATCTCTCCTCTAGAATGATATGTACCATCATTGCCTCTTTCACATCGGGACTTTCAGTAAAGCTGCATCGGTCCCCAAACATCGCCGTTGCCCACTTCAACGGAACAAAGATATCCACCTGCCTTTTTCGCCCCGCCATGTTTGCAACGTCTGGTAGAGTCGAGGAGAGTTTCTGCGTTGGTCTTGAACGACGTTTGCGACCTAGCGGCAAGCCAGTTGATGGGAAGTGAGGGATAAGTGGCAAGGTGAGTAGCTTTCCCGTCGTTTTTGCCGCCTGCCTAGTCACTACTTGTACCGAGTATGGTTCAAAAGATTGTCACATTGGGTATAAAATTAGCACCCCCTCTTGAACACATGATCGGAGCGAGTGAGGAACGAATATGGGTCGTGAATCCGCCTATATTCACTTGAATTGCCTATGATGGTGGTCCCCGGGCCTTCTTGAACTACATCCTGGAACCGAGTCCAAGAGATCTCATCGGTTCCTCAGCTCTGTATGACCCTCCGTTTTCAGGGGTGGCAACCGAGTTGGTCCGAAAAAAGAAGCTCGATGATGTGAATGAGTATCGATGTATTGCATTTGATTTGCCTTCGCCTTGACTGGGTGACTTGTAATCCAGTCCTAGACCAAATCGTCACCTGGGGAAGACATGCCGAACAAAACAGAGCTTGGTGAATCCAGCCAGATGCCGTCTAAGCACTGTAGATGACCCTTAGAACTAGCCCCGTGCAAACATCGGAACAGACCGCGCAGGGTCCCGCGGAAGCCAGGTCACTTGCTTAGATGGCGATTAGACACCCGAATTCCTGAAAAGCTCCAGCTTGCTGACCTGCAAAAATGAGATCAAAGACAATTGCTCCCCGATCACAGTGGCCGTGTGAAGACAGTTCGAGGTATTGATGGTACAGCTGGCGATTGACGCTGATGCTTCCGCACTAAGGGTTACAGCAGGGGCGAGTACGTCGGGAGCTGATTTTCTTCTGACCAGACGGGCGTCGCATGCAGTCACCGTTATCTTGTTGGCTTGAGGAGTGCGGATCGAGGAAGTTTGCGACGCAGTTATGCAGGCGGTCAAAGGACTGGTGAAGATGATGGTGCTCTTGCTAGCGCAGCTTCTGGTTGAATTTGCAACAGTATGCTTCTGCATCGTCGCTTCCCGCTTTTGTCGTCGATCATATCGGTGTAGGGTGTTGTCGGAAGTAACCGTGGTGTAGCAGATCGAAGCAATGCTTATACCCCGAAGATATCGAAGGGCCGGTACTAGTGGCATCTTCAACAGACATACGGGTTTCACGAGCCCTGCTTGAAATAGGTCCATAGCTCATAAAATGACGACGAGCTTGCCAAAGCACGACTCAGCCTCTCGACAAGGCATTTTCCTGGAACCAGTCAAGGCCCACAAGTCTGGGCGTCCGTCGTCAGGTGTAGAAAGGCTTTTAGCCTCAGTCAAGATTGAGAACGCCCACTACACCGCAGCGAGGACGGGGACGACCATTCGTCACAGTTCTTTTTGCAGCGCTTCCTCCAGAGGCTTGAGCCCATCGATCATTACCTCCAATTTCTCGTCCATCTTCTTCAGCTCATCTTTCTTCCTGGTATTCTCCTTGACCAGTGCATCCTTGATCTTGACCAGCTCCAATCGCTTCTGCTCCATCTTCTCCCGCTCTTGCTTTTCATATTCGATTCTTAATGGCATTAGCTCCTGCTCTGGTAATTCTGCCTGATCCGGAAACATCGCGATGTATTCATCCAACGGATGGAGTGGTAGGTGCATGTAGAGGTGATCGTATGCCTCGCAAGTTCCAATCTCGCCCAGGAGGTGTCTCTGTTCATAGTATAAATTCTGCAGCTGTAATAGCAGTCGATCAACTTCCTGTCTTGCCTCTGCCGTCTCCTGCTTAGTTGCCCGGGCTCCGAAGGCTGCTTGTCGATGTTGGCCTCGTAGCTTGGCCAGGTATGCATTCAGCATTTTGTGTTGTTGCGCTAGCTCAAGCTTTTGCTCAAGTGTAGGAATTGAAGTCGTCGCGTTTTCCTCCAACCAGGTCAGGACAGAAAGTGTCTGCGTAAGGGTCGCGTGGGACGTTTGCAGTAACGGCCGCAGGACCGGATCTGTTATGAGATCGTCAATCGCCATTTTGGAAGCTGCACTTGGTTCCGGCGCCAGACGAAAAACGGAAGAGATCATATGGAAAGACAAGAGTAAGGTGCAGTTGAGGTTGTCATGGTTGATTTGGGTCGTGAAACGCTCAGCCAATCGGAGGGAAGGTTCCTCCGCACTGCGAGTTGAATATTTCGAAAACGGCCTTGTCGCAGCCTCTTCCCATTCAACAAACCCCAAAGAAATGGCGCCAGACAGGGGGGTCGAAGAGGCGATTGCATCGCTCGATCTCGGAGCTCAACATGGCGAGCTCGTTACTGAGACGAAACCGGCTACAGAGACAGTTCCATCCCACTTGTCGCATGATCCTGCCACGAATGCGAAGCAGTCAGACCCTTTTCAGTTCGGGCAACGATTTTTGTCGGAAGACGATGATGTCTTTGCCTACAATGCATGGGATCACGTAGAGCCCGATTCGGCACACTACGAGTACTGCGAGACCCAATATGCTGCGCAACGCGCTTCTCCCGTCTCGGACTTTGACAGGGCACGCTTCAACGAAAACCCAGAGAAATGGTGGGACCTATTTTACAAGCAAAAGACAAGTACATTTTTTAAGGACCGAAAATGGCTGGTTCAAGAATTTCCTGTTCTAAGCGAGGTTACGAGTCGAGACGCCGGTGAGAAAGTGGTTCTCGAAGTCGGCGCGGGAGCTGGAAACACCGCGTTTCCAATACTGAGAATGAATGAGAATCCAGACTTGAAAGTAATTGCAGTGGACTTCAGCAAGAAGGCGGTTGAGACAATGAGAAACGCGAAGGATTACACAGAGGCGAATGGTGTTATGGCAGCTGAAATTTGGGATGTGGCAGGAGAAACCCTACCACCAGGTGTTGACGAAGGGAGCGTGGACATTGTGATCATGATCTTCATCTTCTCGGCACTCAATCCCAAGCAGTGGCAGCAGGCTCTGGCCAATATTCAGCGAGTCCTCAAACCTGATGGGGAAGTATTGTTCAGAGACTACGGCAGGGGAGATCTCGCACAAGTCCGCTTCAAGGCTGGGAGATGGATGGAAGACAATTTCTATGTTCGTGGAGACGGTACAAGGGTATATTTCTTCGAGAAGGAAGAATTGGAAACGCTCTGGGGTGGTGCATTCGAGGTATGCAATCTGGATGTGGACCGCCGGCTGATCGTCAACCGACAACGGCGCATCAAGATGTACCGGTGCTGGATTCAGGGACGGTTTCGAAAGAAGGAGCGTAGTTGAGAGAACGGCATTCTCGGCGGCCGGGACTGGTCTGGACTGTCGATCTCGTAGGCGCTGCGAGGGGTCTAGGGCACATATTAAGGCTGCTTCATCGTTCGACCAATCCAGAATATGAATGGGAAGCGTGGCTGGCGGATTGAAGTGGAAAAGGCAGCCAGAGAAGCACAACGTCGCGCTGGCTCCAAACAGCGAGCCACATGCTCAAGAATGAAAAGCATAGATCCGACCCAAATTCAGCCAGTGTACATTCAGAACTGCAGCGGATGGGAGAGGACAACCACCAATTGGACAGGACGATGCATTGCATGTGAAGATTTCCACAGCGGTGAGACTCGAGTGGTGTATGTTTGAAGAGCTCCGTAATTAGCACTTGTCGGACGCGTCATTTGAACTGTACACGAGCTGACTTCCGACCAAACGGAGCGTAAAAATCCTCCAGCATTAGATCAAATGACCAAGTCCGTCATCCTGCGCCTCGTCTTTTCTGCACCCTTTCTCACTGCACCCTCGCAACCTCGTCCGTTGCCACCCTCTCAACCAACTCACCAAAACCCCACCTCGAGAACTGACATTGGCATGGTATCTAAATAGTCATAGTATTCATTCTTTTCCCTTCAGCGTCAGTCCTTACCGATCTCTACCTTTTCCTCTTGACCAGAGTGTTCCTTGTCTTCCTATACCAATCCTATTGCCGCACGCGACACGCTCCCTACGCCACTTAGCAGCTTGCCGTCAGACGCCGAAAACGCCTCTTGTTTAAGCCTTCTCCCTCCTCCTAGTCTTCATCGACCTCTGCCGTCTTCCCAAGCTGCCGAATGACGTCGAGCTCCAGAAGATGTCTTGTGCAACACAAACAGTGACCTTCGAGTCCTCTTCTTCCAGCCGTGAATCCAGTCCTGCGAGAATCGATGAACGCACCCAGCTCCTACCCCGAGGCCGCCGGCATTCTTACAACACCCTTCCACGACGACGGCAGTCGAGCATCTGCAACGCCGATGCGATCTTTGTGCGAGTTGATCTGTTTCTGAGTGAGCTGAAAAGTAGGCTTGACAGACTAGAAAAATATCGACAAGACAGTCTCCTACAGTTTGATGCTCAGCTGGAGCGAGCATACCAAGCCCTGAGCGATGTACGGGATTCATGCGCACCTTCTCTTTCCGGTGAACTGCTGTGGGGTGCTGCAAGGCACCGGGCTCTGATTCTGGTCGATACTCTGGAGACGCGGTACAACGACATCATGCCGTCAAGGGAAACTTTGGAGCACAAAGCACAAGAAGGCATGCGGGTGATGGAGTGCTTCCTTTTAGAATTGGAGTCACGGATGCTGGAAAGGAAGAAACAGTTGATTGACTCGGGATGGAGGAAGGTCGACGACTCTCTCAATGCTACCCGAGAGATGCTAGAGGATGGTCTCGACAAAGCGCTGCGGGCGAGAGACTTGCTCGCCGAATCCGTCTCCCACGCTCTGACCCGAGCTGCGGAGACAAGGTTGATCCATTACGAAGATCTCCCCACGCCCTGGAGGAATAACCCTCATATCCTGAAGGGTTACCGATTCAATAAGACACAGCTTGAATGCGTCACCACCATGTTTCACGCGCACAATGAGATGGTCAACATTTGGTCTCACACCATCGGCTTGCTGATTGTTCTTACCGTGGCTTTTTACTACTATCCTTCCTCGTCGACATTTCCCCTCTCGACCAAAATGGATGTTCTGATAGCGGCCTGTTTCTTTGCCGCCGCCTGCAAGTGCATGATCTGCTCCACAATGTGGCACACCATGAACAGCATCTCGGACAAACGACTGTTCGATCGATTCGCTTGCGTCGACTATACTGGCATTTCTCTTCTGGTGGCAGCGAGCATCCTCAGCACCGAGTGGACGGCCTTTTACTGCGAACCCATCTCGCGGGCGATTTATATGACTCTGACAACGGCGCTGGGAATAGCTGGAGCGATCCTGCCGTGGCGCGAGAGTTTCAATCGAGTCGATATGGCTTGGTTCCGGGTGGCGTTCTTCGTGACGTTTGTCGTGGTTGGATTCGCCCCCGTGCTGCAACTGAACTACACGCGAGGGGCGGCTTGGACCTTCTATTTTTACGCACCCGTTGCGAAAAGTATCATGGTATACTTCACGGGAGCTGTCATCTATGCAAGCCAAGTGCCTGAAAAGTGGTGGCCTGGGTCTTTCGATTACATTGGATGCAGTCACAATATCTGGCATGTGGCCGTGGTCCTAGGAATTATCTTTCACTATTTTGCCATGTTAGACTTCTTCCAGGGAGCATTCACCCGTGCGAGCGATGGTTGTTGCTTGGGTTGATGGGCTAGGAAGAGCAGCTGAAGCATAGCGTGGCCGTCATCAGCGATGCATTGACTCCGGACTGGCTTGCAATTTTGGTTGGCGTTGGGCGTGGTTGACTTTGGTTGCATATATGGAGCGTAGGGGGAGAATGTCCAGCTAGATCAACAGAAGGGTGTGTGTGGGAGTAATGTATCTTCAACATGACCTGAGCATCCATTCAGTTCAGATTTGGTGTCAGTTTGGTACGCTGAGTTGGCGAGAATATCCCGGATACATTGTTGAAGCCTCAGCCCAGACTGAATTCGACCTCCAGATCCGAATACGACAGTTTCCTTGTTTGAAAAGTCAATGCTTAAAGCAAGTCGAAAATGATGTCAAGTCTGACAGGGAGGTTCAAGGCGTGGCCTTTGGAGGCGTACTATCAGTGCTGTTATATGTCGCTGTCAGACTCTTCACTTTTCTCTTGGTGCCCGCTCTAGACGCAGGAGACAATATGATCCCAAGACAATGCGGCAGCCTAATGTCGAGACAGGCAAATATCGTATCGACCCTCCTTCTATTCCCTCCATCTCCTCGCGCCTTTCTCCTAGCATCGACATCAACACTGTGGGCGCCAATGTGGTGATCGAGCAGACTTGAACATGGCACGAGGCATCCCCGCAGGCCCACGGCTGCAAACTACCCAGGAACAACAAAAGGTTATGCAATCCGTATTCAGAGTCGCCCTTGCATCCGCTCCATCGGTTCATGTCAAATCGTCTATACCTGAAAAGACAGCAGTCCATACGAGGAGGTCCCACAAAAAGTCGCGACATGGCTGCAAGACGTGCAAACAGCGACGAATCAAGGTAGTTCTCGCTCACGACCTTCTTCTACAAGAGGCTGGGGCTGGTCTAATACGGTGCCACTAGTGCGATGAGAACCGAGAAGGCGGGTGTCTCAAGTGTCAGAGTCATGGGATTGCTTGTGATTACAACAAAGGAACACAGCTGCAGGACAAGGCATATATCATCTTGCCCAGGGAAGCGAGGAATAGTCCTGCTACGTCTTCTGGGTCGAGTGACAACGGATCTCGATCTTTGGCAACAAACAACAGTCAAAAGTCGAGCCCGATGAGCCTGGTCCGCAATCCGCCTTCTTCTTTTCCATTCGAAGTTCCTGGTCAGATGACCCCGATGGTCCAAACATTCAACCATTTTGGCACAGTCACTTACTGCTCTATGGGATCTGATCTGGGGCAGGAGATCATCCGAGCCACTGCTTTCGATCTTGCCCTCGAAAAGCCTTACTTCATGCATGCGGTTAATGGCGTGTCGGCTGCACACCTCTGCCATCTTCTTCCCGCCGCTCGACATCCAGTCCAACATAATCAGAGTCAGCTTGCTAATTTCTACCACTTTCAGAAAGCATTGCAGCTATTTCGTGATGAGTTAGCCGCTGGGGTCACGAAGGACAACATGAATGCCCTGATATCAACTGTGATGCTGATCTGCGTCCATCAATTTATGCTCAACCAACCCCACCCGGATCCTGGAAAAAGTTTCGTGTACGCACCAGCAGGACAGCGGCGGGAGTGTCTGAGATGGTTGACGATCCAGCACGGGTTCAATGCGCTATATGCTGAACTAGGTGAAGTGATCTGGGGATCGGTCTGGAATCCAGTTTTCACGGACTCGGACTTCAAGGAGCTCGCATCGATGGTCATGACTCCAGAGGCAGGCGATGAAACTCATGCCTTGTTCCTTGAGCTGTGCGAGATCACCCCGAAATCATCTACCCAGAACAACCCTTACTACGAGGCACTGGAGTATCTCCTCTTCCTACGTCAATTCAAACCCAGCATGAAGACGTTCAACAAACTGGTCACGTTTGTCGCGGTGGTTGAAGGTGACTTTCTTCGATTGTTGCTGTCCAGGGAGAAGCGAGCACTGTTGATCCTGGCGCATTGGTTAACATTGATGATCGGGGTAGAACAGTGGTGGAGCAGTGGAAGATGCAAGAGCGAGTGTATAGCCATCACGACATTCCTGATGCATGACCAAGATGAAAGGGTCAGAGCCTTGCTGCGGTTTCCAGCAGAGACTGTGGGCATTGATCCAACCACACTAGAGTTATTTGACGGATGAAGTATCTGTAAGAGGGCCAACGGATACAAGTTGTTGGATGCCTCCTGCAGTTGGAGTAGGCTGTATGACAAGTGCGAGCAGTCCCTATTCGATGCCGAGGGTGTCTTCTTGTGTAGTGTACTCCGAGAATCTAACGGTGTCTTGCACAATACTCCGTAACAGTGGTGGTAGTGGTTATGGGCTCTACGTCATGGGAAAGGCTGCCAGCGGGTGGTGCTTTGCGACGAGGGGTACCCTAAGGGGCACCATAAGGGGCCACCTACCTACCTAGTAGGTACCTACGGGGCGGCCCAATGCGTTTACAGTGAGGCGCCACAGGCGGTGCGAGGCACCAACCAAGACCCGAGGGCCCCAGCGATGGTGCCTTCCTCGTCACGTGGAGGGGAGGCCCATGTTCCAGCCTGACCTGCGCCCTTCTCAAATCAGCGCCCGACTCGTCTTCTCTTCAACAACCCGGCGAGACTTCACTTATTTGCTCATCTCATTGCAAATCAATTGCAGATCAATGTCACGGTCGTGACAGTGCATAGATGATATTCCTCACTCGCGCCTCAAGCACGTTGATCGTGTTTCTCTCGTTTCACTGAAGAACAAAAATATGTGTTCGGAGTCTTCGCTACTCCCAACACTATTAACCCGTTGTACATGATGGCTGTTGCCCCCGAACCATTACAGTCCTCCTTGCCGGTAATTGGGTCTGTCCGAAAGGCCCTCTCACCATTCGAACTCTTGATCACTTGCAATCCGCCCATCCTCGAGTCGCTCCTCGCTCAAGTGCCGACCGAGACCATCTTCAGGCTCTACCAGACTTCGCCTTACCTCCGAGACTTCTTTTCGAAATCTCCTACGTCCTGGCGATATATCTCATGGCGTCTGCACCAACCCGCGGTCACTACCGCCACCGTCGGCGTCAATGCCGCTGGAAACGGACCCAGGCAGTCGAGCAACTACGCCCTCGATCAAATCATCCTCACCGTCATTAACCCCTTCAGCACGAGACTCGTTAGCCTGGAGTTGGACAATACGGCTGTTAGTGGGACGACCTTGACGTCCACTGTGCTGATCTTGAGGAGGGAGACTCTTCGCCACGTCTCAGTCCGCGGCTGCAAGAACGTGTCGTTGAAATACCACATCAATCCATGGCTACAAATGCATGCGTTGGCTCGCGAGTCTCCAGATACCAGAGGGCCCCCTGGCTTCGAGACACTGGCGCTGAAGAGCTTATATACCTATCGATGCCGCCATCATAGGAGAAGGCCGTATTTGCCCAGTAGTCTCGCACGCAAGGAGAGCGATAGTGAACCCACTCATGAACTGGTCCTGACCTGCCACAAACTAGGCATCTGGACAGACACAGCTTGGTGCACCACGCCCGGAGCCAGGTGCTATCGCCGGAGAGGCTATGTGAAGTTGCGTATGCCGCAGGATCCCAGGGAGGTCTGGGTGGTTTATGATCGCTTGTGGAGGAGTCGAAACTGGATGGGCCCGCTTGAGCAACCCAAAACCTATACATTCAGCAAGAAGCGAAAACGGGACTGCAGGAGTTGGGAAGTTGACGAGGAGGGCATGAACGGCGAAGCCATGGGCACTGGTCCAGAGGGCAAAACAACACCAGCGCATCTGCGAGCATCTCACCGGAGATTTGTCGAAAACGTCATTTGCCACAACTGTTCGGCGGAGATCCTGGAGCGATGCGAACAGTGCTCAGTGATGATGCACTGTGTCGGGTGTAGGAAGACACTATGTGCCAGTTGCGCCTTCGACCGCCCTTATCTGCGAAACAAGAACGCCCCCGAAGAAGAGAGAAACAGGTTCTGGTGGGCTCCTGGATGTGCAGTATCTCCTTGTTCCATGCAGGACCAGGATCTGCCTCCAAATGGGGCCGCCAACGGAAACCAGAACACAAACGCTAACACTCTTCCCAATATCAAATTCAAATGGTGTTGTACAGAGCCAGTGTTCTCGGGTGGCGGTGGCATCACCTTCAGCAACAGTGCGAATCGAGACAGTGATCGCATTCGTGCAGCACCACTCCCAATTGGACAGGGATGGGAGGATCCGGAGTTCCTTCGTGATCCTCCCAGCCTCGTCAGCTATACAGCAGATAACATTGTACTAAGGGAGGGTCCTGCAGGCCGTTGGCCATCCATCAATGCTTTGTTTCACACTGCGACATATCTGAGCGGCGCAGACCATCCCATCTTGTCAGTCCCCAGAGTCTTGTGTGATGAGTGCTATGGCTCTGAGATTTGGAAAGTCAAATGCAAGGCTTGTTCGACACCGATTTGCATCAAGCATGATGTTGGTGAGCGTGCCAAAGCGAGGATTTGCGGCTACAGAGAACTGTCTATCGAGAAACAAGAGTTCAAGTCGAGACAGAAGGCTATGAAGCTGCTTGCCACATTGATGCGACAACGAAAAGAAAAGGAGACGGCAACAGAACAAGGGGAATATGCCGAGGCTGGGACGACTGCTAGCACACCGAAAGCTGGGAAAGCTGGCGTCAAATCGGGACCACCTTTCTCTCCACTGTCCTCGTTGTCGGTAGCAGGCTCTGTGGGTCCTGAAACTCCCTTCCACGCGGAGGTTGGAAGCAGTTCGAGACCGATGCGAACACAGTTAGCAGAAGTTGATCGACCCCAGCGTCCCCTGTCACCCGCTTCGAACAGCACTGGGCCCCCATCTCGATCTACGTCCCCCTCGCCGTCCGCACATTCAATAACCGCGACGCCTGAGCCCAACTCTGCGCCTCGACGACCAGCTCGACCCGAAATCGACCCAGGTCCCAGTTGGCGAGGATGTCAAACACTCTTCTGTCCGCCGTCACGTTCCACCCCAGGCGACCACAGACGACGTTGTACAGCGGTCATGAAGGCCTGTATGGAGTGCAAGATTCACGTCTGTGGCGATTGTGCCAACGCTCTCGAACCTCCGTGTCCTTGCAAGGGGTGTCGATCTCCACAGACGGAGGAAGACAACAGCGTATCTACAAACCTCCCGCCGAATCCGGTCTCTTCTGAAACACCTTTGTTTTTCTGTCCTAACTGTCGGTGGGAGAGAATGCGATCTGGAAAATGCAAAAGGAGGTCACCAGCATTTTTGGCTGCCCGGTCGTGGCATAGCAAGAAGCAGAAGAAGCGGAAGGACAAGATGCGTAAACCTCTAGAAGCCCGACGGACGAGCGTAGGACCAGGTGGGAATCCCTCAAGCACAGAAGAGGCAATCGATGGGCTGGTGGAGTTTTTCGCGAGCCTGAATACTCAGTCCCCCAGCTCCGATCATCCCCAAACAGAAGCAAGCGGGCCGTCACGGTTAAATAGTGGTGGCCAAACAGGGGCCGGAGGCAACCAGCAGGACATCCAAGAATTGGAAGACATGGGCGCTCTGGCTCGAAACTTGATCCACCGAATCCAGCGCTTGAGAGAACAGTTTCCTCCGGGTTCGTTGGCTGCTCTTGCACTGCCAGATATTCATATTCGTTTGGAAGAGGAAGCGGAGGTTGCGGCCGGCATGGTACGCAGGGCGGACGAAGCAGCTCGCACGTTTGCGCGCGAGGCGTTGGCAATCCAAATGGCGGTCGAGCTCGCGGAACCTCACCATCACAGTGTGCATACCGCCCTCGCTTCCCTACCTTTGCCACCGAATGAGAACAGCAATGTCAGTGGCACTCAGGCTACTTTCGGACAGGCCGAGCCCGAGACCCAGGGTGCGACTGAGGATGCAGCCGCCGCTCCTGAACCAGCGGAGGTGCTCGGAGAGGAAGAATTGGAGGACGAGGATGACCGACACTTTGAGGAGCGGGAATCGAGTACAGATTAATGACATATAGCGAACAAGGTTGTATGGCTGGGAAAAGCATTGCGCGATCCTGGGATTGCTGGCTTTGATGCATAGCAGCGAGTGATCAAAAGGATGGGAGTTAGACCAGGGGAATGGATGGGTTGGGAGTCGCCTGGATCTGTTATGAGGAGTTCTCTCTCTCGTTTGGCAATGACACGAAATGACAATCATCGATCACTCGAGCTCGGGTTTCGAAACTTCAGCTTCTCCCATCCTCCAACCGAGACAACCTGCTTCTTTTCGAGTTTCGGGTGCCATGGTGCAGCGGCAAAGACAATGTGAAGGAACACAGGTGAGCACCACATGTCCTTGCACACAGGGAGCCCAAATCCGAGGAGAGGATCGCCAGCAGCCCTTGTGGCAGTGGTACCCGTGTCCCTCTCATTCGTTGCCATCCATACTTCTGTCGGTCTTCGTTTGGTACCAGATCCTTCCAAGCATGCGGTTCCCGGGTCTAACACGTCCAACTTCTGGTACACCCACGGCGAGACATTTGGTTCAGCGACGCAGATGGCATGGAAGCTTATACTGGCTTCTGGCCGAAACCTTTGTCGGCGGAGGTCCTCGCGCTGAGGACCTTTGAGGTCTGTCAACAATATAAATGTCCAACGCAGACAGCTGCTTTTGAAGCAACTCTATACCATCTTGATCTTGACTTACACATCTCTCGCAGGCCCTTGCATATCAACTAACTGACTTCCAGACTAACCCTTGTCTGCAATCAGCAACAACCTAAGCTTTACTATGGCTATCAAATCTCTTTTGTTTGGCGGTCTGCTAGCCATTGCCGTCGTCTGTGCCAGTGCTGACCCATATCCGGATGGAAAACCCATGACAACGATGGTAACGCTTGTCACCAGAGTGGCACCACCCCCATTACCGACAGGAGTCTCGCCCGTTGCAGTCACTATTCCCTGTCAGGGTGATTGTGACAATGTGAAGGCTAACCCTCCTTCAAGTCTTCCCCAACCTCAACACACATGCGTTCGCGAGGCTCTTGTTGCCTTGGCAAACTGGCGCATGCATTGTGACGGAGGCGGCATCCCTCCCCCGAAGTGCTGGACGCGGGCCCCGAGTGTGGAACGCTGCTGCGGCAAATGGGTGGGCGTCAACGACGAGCAGTACAAGGACTATCCACCCGTCCGGACGCCTAAGGAAGTCCAGACCGGAGAGACATCGTGGGAATGGCATTGGGATGCCAAGGTAGACAAGGGCCGCCGGGAGGTCATTCTACAGACCATGGACGAGTATCACTCCGACAAGACCGAGTGCGGTCGCTGGCGGGCCGAAAATGAGGTTGTATTCTCGGCCTTTATGCAGCACCTGAGCGAGTATGGGATTTGCGATGCAGATAGCAGTGGGAGGGCTCTCGACAGCGCCGTGCCCAGATACAACCCTGAGGGAGGAGGGTATTACGACCAAGGCAACCCGAAATACCCGTCCTTGCAAGACGGGCCGCCGTTGGGATGGTAGCGGTGCCTCATTCGACCCGTGTTTCTGCTCCGGATTGTCAAATGCTCTGGGGTTTGATTGATTGCCAGCTAGAGGCCGATCCGTTTCTATGCTCTAGTTGCCCTGCCATATCCCCGCTGGTCACTTTCTCCACGATCTGCTTCCCCGGGTCAGACTCTCTTTATTCTCCTGTCTCACGAGTAACAGCCGACCGTGCCGCCTTTTACAGAGCAGACTGACGACAAAATGACTGCATTGCGGGCCCATTGTCTCGCAGGAGACACTCAGCTGCGTGGCTGCGGGAAGCCGGCTCAACCGGTCCGGACGGCTGGATGCTACCTGCTCGCACGAGTCGCACGAGCTCTCAGTATGTGGACGTCACATGAAGCTGTTCAATGCACCCGAGGAGTTTGCCAGAGCCGGTTTCATAAGAGAGTCATGAAGTCGAGCGCCCACTGCTGCGGCAACTGCTCGGTGGACGGTCAATTCGACGACTTCATTGACACGGCAGGGCTCCTCTACCAATATCTTCATATGGAGCATCACTCTCCAAAATCATCACGCATTTCACTGCTCTGCATGTCAGAAGATACCATTCACACGACACATGACGTGGTGCTCGATAGCTGAGAGCGATCCACCATGTCGCTGTCAATCTCGATCTCCAACGACGACGGGAAGCCGTTCCTCCCAGGCTCGCCCGTGCTGGGGGTCGTCAAACTGGTCACTTACGACGACCAACCGATCGGCGAGCTGTGCATTACTTTCCGGGGACGGGCGTCGGTGCTCCTGATCCATTCATATGGCGACATGACGACGTCGAGGAAGGACTACCAGTCGGTCGGCTACCTCTTCTCGCAGCACCTCAACCTCTACCAAGGGAAATACACGCATCGAAAGGGCAGCTACATGTGGCCGTTTGCCTTCTGCATCCCTCTCTCCGCTGCCCCCAGGGCCGTGGCTCCGAACTCGACCGACTTCTTCCATGCCGAACATCCATGGAAGAATGACCGCCCGCTGGGATCGCACCCGCTGCCGCCGAGCATGAGCCATGGGGGCCGCTTCCACTGTTCCATCAACTATACCCTGGAGGCGACGCTGGCCCAGCCGGCCCGGACGCCGCTCTCGTTGAACAAGACTTTGACCGCCAGCAAAGATGTCAAAGTCCAGCCATTGCCCAGCCAGATAGACTGGGATCTGGGCGATGACTGGCCGTATTCCAACTATCGGCACAGGCTACAATGCACTATCAAGGACATGTCGGAACCCTCGCCGCGGGGATTGTGGTCCCATCTGGGAGATGGCTTACGGGGTACCAAGTCGAACGATCGCAAAAGACTGGAGATATGTATTTCTGTCCGGGTCCCAAAGAGGGCCTTTCTCACCGAGCAACCTCTCTCTCTCATCATCTCTGCCTCGGCCTGCTCCATCGCAAAGGACTGTCAGCCCGAGAACGTCTCGCTGGGCAATCAGCTCGCGATCAGGGAGTTCAAGATATCATTGTGGCAACACACGCACGTCCGCGCAGGGCGGCATCACTCCTCCTCGACCAGGCGGGTCTTTGTTCGGAAGTCATCTTCGCGACTGGTCGTCTCCGAGACTCCGTCTCTGGGCTCGTGTCCCGGGGCAGACACACAGGCGCAGCCTGGCGAAGTCACCGCAACCAATCTGACCGACATCGCGGACCTGTCGTTGCCCACGTCGATCCTGGTCCCGGACTTTTCGACCTACAACATTGCCCGGTCTCACTCCTTGGAGATGACGTTTAAGATGCAGTACGTGAACAAGAAATTCAAGTTTTGCCTGGGCAACATCCCGGTCAGACTCCTTCCGGCGAAATGCGTCCCAGAAGGGCCCACGGACATGCCGCCGAGGAGCACGTCGGTCAGCGAGAGTGAACTTCGGGAGGGGTGGACGGTGTTTTCACCTGGCGAAGATCTGGCCATCGACGACGACGTGGCCCACATCCTGTTAGAGGAGCCGCCTCCACAATATAGGGCTTGACGATGCTGTTCTCGCTCCGTTAGAGGGATAATGGAGTTCTGGCTGGGAAGGTAGTTAGCGAGGTCTTTGGCTCGACGCATTCTTGCTCGAGACGAGGTGTCTACTGGGTACGCCAAATGCAATATTAATGTATTGATACTTGTTCAAAACCACGAGGACGGTGCCTGCTCCTCGACTGGCACATTTGGATGACCTTGACACCTGATTCGACCACGTACAGCCCCCTTCTCTTCCATAGTGGTTCGCTTTCCACCTCGATGAACACACTGTGGCTAGCGAGCCAGACCAACCACGAGTTCTCCCCGTGATTCCCTCGGTATCGTGAGAAAAGAAACCCGGGTGTTCTGTCCGAGGCCATTCGTTCATGATCGAAGGGACTTCCGATAGCCCGGGAGGGAATAAAAAAAAGGGGTAAGCCTCGTTCTCGACCAACGACACGGTGAGGCATCGCGATGGAAAGGGGGGCAGTTTCGGCCCGGGCGGCTGATGGATGGGATCAATGGGGCCCTATCAGTCGTCCATTTCAGGTACATGGCGGAGAGGAGGGGACAATCCACAAGGGGGATAGGATCTTCTCTGCACGAGGCCGTCACGCGACGTCGGCGGGGCTTAGGGTTCCTTGCACTGAGGCGAGGGAGTCGTGACGTTTGTATATAAACGGCTGCATGGCGCTGGGGAAGAGGTTTGTTTTCGTTGGATTGAGGAAAGGGTCTGGCTGTAGTTGATATACATTGACAAGACCATACCAGACCATACATACCGAGTCCATCTTCCAGCAAACCCGGGCAATAACACAACATGCTGGATAAATTGTTCCACAACAAGGCTGAGAGCAAAGTATGTTCAAGCAAACAATCAACCGCCCATCAAAGTCCTTCCTTCAGCTACACATACTCTCTCTATATCTGTGGGATTTTGTACCTGATTCCGCCCCCTTTCTTTGACCCGCTCGCTTCCTTTCAACGATGTATTCTTCTTCCCTGATCTAACTTCTGACACACGCCCTCAAAGACCCAGAAACACGGCCCTGCCGAGGAAGTCCACGAGATTCCAGGAGATCAAGCCAGCAATGCACGAAATGCACCAGCACCTGCAGTTGGCCCCAGCGCTGACCCCAACGCTGACGGAGATGCTGACCGGATAGAGCCTGCGCCGCCTGAACCGGCGCACCAGGACGCCGCCACCCCAGGCACTCGCGACGGGAAGTCTCGGCGGCGCCGGTCCTCGGTCCTCAACGCGATCTTGCGCCGACGCTCCGTCGCGAGCGACCAGGACGGTGGTTCAGACAAAAACAACAACAACAACAACAATCAAGACAATAATACCGCTGGCGAGGCCCATTCGGATCCAGAGCCCGAGCCCGTGGCCGGCGCGGCGGTCGTCGTCACCACCGCGGAGCCCAAGCATAAGTTCTGGCATGGCTTCACCGGCGTGGGCACGGGCAACGGCACAGGCAAGGAGAAGGTCCGCGAGGCTGGGACGGCGAGCACTTGATGAGATTTCTCAAGGGTTGTTGGGGGAAAGACATAATATGGGACGGGAGTGGTGTCAAAGACAGGGTTGCGGGATGGGAGAGATTGCTGCGCACATCTAGGACGAGATTAATTGATATCTAATGATAAAACTCCGTGAAACTTGTATACTGCGGAGATGTCTGGGTCATCAACTGTATTCTTGCCCAGTGACAGTTCCTCCTCACGGACGACGGCGACGGCGACGATTCGGACGCCCATTTCCGCTTGATACCCTCACAAATCCTCTAGCTCAGCGGTGGCGTTGCCGAAGAAGGGGTTGTACTGCGCGTTGACAAACTGCGAGGACCAGATCACCGGCTCCGACAGGTTCAGCGGCATCCTCTGCGCGCCCGTGTCGAACAGCGTCGTGTCCATCGACACCGGGTACCACTGGGACGGCGAGGGCGGCGCGGCCGGCACGTTCTGCATGCTCACCGCTTGGCCCCCGCCCAGCAAGGTGCCCGCCAATTCCCCAGGGAGGCTTGACGGCCGACCTGTGCTCACGGAAAGGTTGGGTCAATATCATTTTGTTTCCAAGGCGGATCAAAAGAGAGAAGGGGAAACAGACCTTGCGGATTGAGCCGGGTCTCCTTCAGGCCCTGCATCATCTTCTCCGCCAGCCGGGCGGCGTTGGAGTTGGTGCTCAGCTCCCGGAACACGGTGAGGCACACGTCGGCGTCCTCGTCCACGGCCAGCCAGTCGATGTCCTCGACCTCGCCCTCGTCCCCGCCCATGCAGAGGCTCGCGACCAGGAGGATCGAGGTCGCGCAGATCAGGCACGAGATCATCTGCCACCACGGGAAGTCGTAGATCAGCTGCTTCTTGTCCGCCACGTTGTGCAGCAGCCGCGCCGTGTGCTGCGCCGCCACCACGCACTTCTTCTTCGACTGCACGATCCGCGCTCGCTCGGCCTGGTAGAAGGCCAGCGGGTCGGGACACGATCGCAGGAATCGAGAGGGCGACAGCAGCGGTCGGTGGATCAGGGCTTGCAGGTTGTAGAATTTGATCGCCAACATGTTCCTCTACCGGTTTCATTAGCCCAGTGTCTCTTCCCGCCCACCCTTGTTTTTCATCTACGAGGCTGGGTAAACCTCCCCTCCGAACTCACCTGTCGTTTCAATATCGTCGACTTTTGGAAAATGTGAGCAAGATCAAACCTCAGCGCGCGAGGCAGGCTTGCCCTCCACTGCTGCAAGTCCTGGTCCAGACTCTGGATGGTCGAAAGCGCCAGCGCAGCGTTGTCGGTCCGATTGGGCCCGTAGAGAAGAGAGAAGACGCGTCCGATGATGCCCGAAAACTGAATCATGGCCACGAAGTATTCCCCGTCCGAGCACTCCTGGTCCTTCGCGGTCAGATTCCTCCGGGACTCGGCGGTGCCATTCGATATCGATATGTCGGAAGCTTTGGACGGATACGCGACCTTGAAGTCCTCGTCGTGGATCGCTGGAGGCCGGCCGAGTTGCAACGAGAGCAGACGGTCGAGGACATAGAGCGAGTACCACAGGCGGCGCCGGCTCTCGACTATCGAAACTCGTTCTAGGTTGTCCGATGTGAGTCGCTTGACGTCCTCTGTGTGGAGTCCAATACTTTGAGAGCTTCTGACGGCTTTCCCCAGAGTTGTCCAAGCGCTGTGTGACTGGAGTGAGCATATATACCGACAGTATGCAGCCTCAAACTCACCGATCCGTTTGACAGGTCGCCAGTAGGTAGAAGCACTGAGCAAGAAGTGCAGCAATATAGTCCATGCCCTGTTCTTTCTCATTGGATTGTGAAATCGAGACCGCTTGATCGAACCAGAGGTGGTGGTGATGAAGCCGGGAACTTCGCTCACACGTATCGGCAAACGTTTCATAGCATGCCCCAATGGCAAGGATTGTCACTGCGACACGGTGAGCTCGGTCCACCATACTATCGGGATGATGACCCTACGAAGCACTGATAGCCAGGGCCCACGAAAGCTCTGCAGGGAGTCAGAGCCCCAGAAAGCCTCATACTTCTGCCTGAAGACAGGCTCCCAGATGAAAGGGTATGCCATGTGAATGGTAGAAAAGTAGATCTCCAGAAACTTGTCCGCAATAGCCCGAGGCGGAAGAGATTCGGCTGCACTGTCTACAAAGGCCGTACGCAGGGCTCCATCTTGCTCGTAGCTGTCCAACTGACCTGTAGAGTTGTCGCCTTCAGACTGTTCGGCCTCGGAGCGGAGGGTGAGCGCCTGTTTCATCGTGTTGAAGAAGGCGATGTCGCTGGCCTCACCAAGGAAGCGGCGCGACAGGACCGAAGCCGACTCTTGGTCGGGGGAAGCTTGACTTGGAGTTGACTGATTGGTGATGCCCGAGTTGGCTGGTTCGGGCGACAGCGACGGCAGCTGGATGGCCGAGACGCCCAAGTCGATGGCCTTGCGGTCGTTCTCCGGGAGACTGTTGCGCAAACCTTGGATGAGGAAGTCGTACCGCCTGATCGCTTGCCTCAATTTCTGGATCTCGTCGTTGGCGGCGAGCAGGCTGAGCTGCGTCTGGCGGCTCTCGGACTGCCGCCTCCTGGTCGAAGGGACGTTCCAGCGACAGGAGTATCCATAGCCCGCGCATCGTCCGCAAACAGGGCGTTGGCCATCGCACTGCGCAATCCCAAGATTTAGACCTCTGTTTCTTTCGTATCGCTCAGGCACCAAACAACAAGCTACATAAGCACGGGAAAGGGATGGCTGGGCTCTCCCACCTTGGACTTTAGCACGCGACAACTGTCACAGGCGCGGGTGACACGTCTCCGTTTCAGTCCCTCCTTGATGTTTTGCTTGCTGGGGTCGGCCATGGCGACAAGTTGCGAGGATGCTGTCGGCCTCGAGAACTGTTGGGGCTGCTGTACCTTGTAGATGGAGCCGGTTGTCGCAGGCGTTGTCGCAAGGAAGACGTCAAATGGGAACAATCGTGATTCCAGGCCTTCGCGCCAGAATCCTCTGCAAAAGGGCGATGATATAATCGCACGTCCGACCACTCAAGTGAACATCCAGCAGTTCCCTCCTCTTGGTGTCTTTGCAGTCCTTCTCTTCAATGTGTCGTGTTACTGGCTTTCCGGTTGATCCGTCGTAGCCGCCGTTTCCGCCGTTTCCGGTTGTCGCGGGGCAAAATGCCTGGTGTAGAGGACAGGATGACCAACCGTTGAAGAGAATCGGAGATGTTTTCTTCACCGCTTGTAGGCGAGGCGTTTGTGGCGGGGTGCATGGACCTCTCTGATCTCGCCCAGCTTCGCCAGGTTGCTTGATGCTTGATTGCTCGGTTGCTGTGCTCGCATCAGTTTGGGTTTCGCCCAGCCCGACAAGATCCACGCTTTGCTTACTCATTCTGAAGTTGTCACTCGTGCTGTTGGGCCAGAGTCAGATCGTATCCCAAGATCGCTGTTTGATTACTGGCGAGTGGGAGGAATACGACTGGCAGCCCAGGCTGACGAGGCTTGCCTATCAGGCGTCCTCAAATGTGCTCCTTGGAGAGCAATCAGCCAGAGCAATCAGCCAGGCGAAGTCATCCTCTCCACATCTGCTGGAGACCTGAGGGCTTGTTGTCCTGTCGCAGAGCAGCAATGGATCGCAACATCTCCTTCATGAGGGATACGTGGAGGCTTACCACCTTCGGTACCAAAACATCAGCTCAGTCAAATGTCAGCAACAGCGGTGCAACATACCAGGGTGTTGGGATTGTTCCAACAATCTGCAACATTACAATCGCCTGAAGGTGGACTGTGTGTCAGAACCATACAAGAATATCACCTGAACCATCGAGTCCTCGTTCGGGATTACAGGCCAGATCAGTCCCATCCACCGTGTTATATATGCAAGCAGTTCTGCCATTGAGGGTTCGTGGCATTCAAGATTGCATTGAGATCACCATCCTCCCAGAGACTCCCCTTCGTTGAATCAACCCAGCTGCTCTGTTCAAATGGCTATCAAGGACTCATTCTTGGCCAACGGGACGGCCCACGTCGTCCAAGGTACGATAAACTACTACCTTGATCCTTCAAAAGGCGGTTACACAGAGTTCTACCCACAAACGGCGGGGTCCTTTCGAAGGAAATACGATCCGCACCCGGCTCAAGTCGCAGATATACGAGGCTTCGAGACAGAATTCAACCTCGACAAGCACGGCTTTGCGATTGTGCAGCACGAGAGTGAAGAGAAGGAATTCGCCGACGAGGAGCAAGTCAAGGACCGTCTTTTCTCCGAAGTTGCCGACCTCTTGAAGGAAGTGTAGGACATGCCCATCTCCCCCCTCTGTGTTCGTATCTTGCTGCTGGCTGGCTGACCGCGGACCGCAGGACTGGCGCCACCCAAGTGCGTCCATTCTCCCACCTGGTCCGTCGGCAACGGTGGGAAGATGCCCAAAATGCCGTGGAGGGGAAGGAAGACCACGAACTCGTCCGCAAAAAGGTTCCGGCGCGCTTCGCCCATGTCGATCATTCGTACGACGGCGCAGAGCAGATTCTGCGCGACAACTTGCCGGATGAAGAGCGCGAGCGACTCAGCAAGACGAGGTGGGCAATCATCAACGCCTGGCGTCCGTAAGTGCATCTGACCCCGAGTCCATGTCACAGAGAGTGGAGTGAACTTATTCAAACAGTATTCGCGAGGTCACCCGCGACCCTCTCGCCGTCTGCGACGCGCGCACGGTCGAGGAGGCGGACCTCGTCGGAGTGACCGCGCACACGCCGCCGCCGGAGACCGGCTCGTGCGAAGGCGTCTCGATGGGCCGACACTTTGAAACGTGGCACGTCAGGGCCAACCCGGCTCATCGCTGGTACTACAAGAGCCACATGACGCCGCAGGACGTGCTGCTGCTCAAGATCTTCGACTCGAAAAGGGACGGCCGCGCCAGGCGGGTGCCCCACACGTCCTTTTACTCGGACGAAGACTACGGTGACTCGAGAAACAGCGTCGAGACCCGGTGCCTGGTATTTTGGGAGGATGAGAGTTTCGAGTAATTAGTGAAACAGGACCACTCCACCGTAGTACCACTACCGAGTGAAAACTTTTCGCTCGGAAGGGGGCCGAAGTGAAAGAGTCAAGCGAGGGCACCGGAGCCAGACCAGGCGCCGTTCCAGAACTACTCGTCACTCAAAATGGGCGCGGAACAGTGAGCAACAGCTATTAGTGACAGAAGATGTTGTGGACGAAGAGGGCAGTCACAGAAAGCACATTATTTTGACCACAGACAAAGAAAAAAAAACTCCTAGCTGACAAACATCGAGATTGATCAACCAGGCTCCATTTGACAGAATTATGTTATCGACTATCGAAGAGAAAAAAAGCGGTGTTGCAAAACCTGCAGTCGGGTTTTCTTTCCCTGTTTTTCATGGGACCATCTCCGTCGTTACCACATGCGCTAGTAGTATGTCCAACTTTGCCAGGTAGAAGCCATAGAAATTAGAAAAGCCGGCCCTCCAAGAAGAGTTTACAAGGCAGCGGCGAGACCCATGAGGGCGAGGACACCGAGCTCGACCTTGGGGAGCGAGGCGGCGCCAGTGTAGGTGGCCGGGGCAACAGGGGCGCTGCTGCTGTAGGCAGCATAGCCCCAGCTGGTGGAAGCGGCAGCAACGGGGGTGCTGGTGCTGGTGCTGACGGCGGCAACGGGCGTCACCGAGGTCGAGGACCAGTCGGCCCAGGTCACGGCAGAGCACGAGGGAACAATGGTGATGGTGCTGGTGGAGCAGCCGGTCTTCCAGCCGCTGGTCGAGCAGGTCACGGAGGTGCTGGTGCTGGGACCGCAGGTGGTCGTGCTGGTGACAGAGACGGGCTTGCTGCTGGTCGTGGTCGTTGCAATGCTCCAGTCGCTCCACGGGTCAACGGTCGTGCTGGTGGTGGTAGTAGTGGTAGACCAGTCCTCCCACGCGCTGCAGAGGAGCGAATCCCAGATGGTCAGAGTGCTGGTGGTGCATGACTCCTTCTTGTACGAGGTGGCGCAAGAGACGGAGGTGGTGATGGTCGAAGTGCAAGTAGCGGGCTTGGTGGTCGTGGTCGTGGTCGTGGTAGTCGTCGAGGTAGTCCAGTCACTCCACAGAGCCTCGCAAGCAGTATCGGTGGGATAGATGGTGACGGGCTTGGTGACGCAAGAGTCAGCCTTGCCGCTCACGCCGCAGGACACGGTCGAGGTGGTGGTGATGGGGCAGTACAACGTGCTGGTGGGAGACGCCGGCTTCGAGGTGGTCGTGGTCGTGGTCGTGGTGGTCGTCCAGTCGGCCCACGAGGTGGAGATGGCAGAGCCAAAGGCAGAGCCGATGAGGGTAGCAACGACAGCAGTCTTCATTTTGAACGTCGATTGAAACGAGTGACGGAAGTTGGTTTGAGCAACTGGAGCAAGAGCAAGAGCAAGAGCTAGAAACGAATGACTGAAGTGAACTTGACACGCTTGGGGAAGAGAAAGCAAGAAGGACGAGGTGGCCGAAGATATAGACGAGTTCAAGTACTCGAAGCCACCCGGTCGGTATGGCCCAAAAGGGGTCGGAGCATCCAGAGGGCTGTGGGGAGGCGTGCAGGCGCAGCGCCATTCACCTTTGCCATCCAGCAAAAGCTGCTCATGGCAATTTCACCAGGGAAGTTGGAGTCGGCTATTCCAGCGCCCGCAACGCACCAGTCCTTGGTTAGGGGATGGGGACGGACAAACCTTGACTCACAGAAACAAATCGACTTCCGCCAGAGGAGAAATCAGCCTTGGAGCCGGAGATGGTCGTGGATCAGTTGCGAGTGGATCGGGGGGGCCAGACTCATGAGAGCTCAGCGCGTGGTATGCTATGTAAAGAAGGAGATGTGACATGATTGGCGCCTTGTATGGGAAGAGGAGACTTTGATTTCCTGGACACGAAGTAATTCCCTACCCGCAGGCAAGCCGTAGGCTGATTTGCCTATTGTTCGACTCTGGTGGATACGACCATAACCCATACGAGGTATTCTTCCCCCAACCGCCGTGAAGCTGTCGTCGAAAGTGCTCCTGCAGGGGCCCCGGCCCTCCGGTTCCTTTCCTGTTCCATACCGGCAATTTCTGGCCAGGAGGCACTGCATCCCATTGTTGAACTGGGCACAGGCGAGCATATTTCCCTGCAACCGTGGGGAAACGAGAGGCCAAGTGGGGAGGCAAAGACAAGCCGTTTGTATCGAAGCGGAACAAAGGCGAAAGGGCGGGAGGGCCAAAAGCGAGAAACGTCGAGAAAACGGATTAGTAGAGATGAGAACGTCCACTGGTCTTAAAGGCGTTGCATTGCCAAGAGGCCCATTCTCCGCCACGAGGCGGCTGCAGCCTATACGCGACGATCCCGAAATGAAGCTCAATTTGGCGGCCGTATCGATAGCGGATTTAAGGTTTGATGCTGGGCTGAGCTATATAAAGGGGGCCAATGAAAGTGGCCTCTCAGGGAGCTAGTCGCGCTAACTGTAATTGCTTAGCCACGTCCAACCATACATGTTCCCGGATTCGGTGTCACTTGCCTCATTGTGCTCTCCTCTACCCCTGGACACCCCATGTGGCCACCGGTCACCGCTGATCTGCCAACACGCGAGACTGCAGGTTCGCCGTCACGCCAGCCCGACAGTCCGGAGTATAACCCGGCAACGCTTTCGAGAACGTGCTCTTTCATTCGATAGTAACCGCCCGAGTGGAGATGATACACCGCCCGCATGGGACATCACCAAAGGGGATATTGGCTGTTTACCCGTGTCAACACTCTCTCACCGTGTTTCAGCGTGTCCTGCCTACACATCCAGTAGAGCAACTGTTGACAAGCAACACCAAGTCCGGAGATGACACTCGCATGTTTGTCATTGACTTGATTGCTGCTCTCTTCGTCGGGTCCAAGACTCGGAGAGCTCTGAGTCTGCGACTTGGCAAAACCGGGCCCTGCTCACTCCAAACTTGCTTTTCTCATCGCCTTTTGCTTCTTTACATCAACCTGCAAGCCTCTCTTATCTCTAGCTGACCTGTGGCTGAACAGCGCAGCGTGTCAGCGATGCATCTTACTACCAGATGCGCCCTGTTGACATCGTGGGAGAGACTCGCATCTATCTGTGGCGTATGGCTAGACCGATGACGTGATTTTGAGGCTGCCCCGGTTCGCGGCCGCTCAACGCCTTGTCATTTCCCCCTGAAAGCCTTTCAAGCATGGAGAACGCTCTATGGCATTCTTGCTTCGATGGCTGCCACCGCACCGCGGTGTTATTATGTGCTAACATCCAAAAGCGGTCAGTCCACTATTTGATCGGGCCTCAGCCAAATCTCCAAGTCTGCTCAGACAGGAGGAGTTTCGGAAGTCCCTCGATGCTCCATTCCCCTCCGTCAGTCTCGATGGTCGGTATCCTGTATTTGCTGATGTTGAAGAAGTTGTTGTTCTTGATGCAGATAATCAGAGGAAGATGTGAGAAAGAGCCTGCGCCGGACATGACTGCGTTTCGATAGGAAAACTGGTGCAACCTGGAGCAGTCTTTATTGTCCTTACAGTCACTGAACGGTCTCATCTATTCTCGGTGCTGACACCTTCCCCTCACAACACAGCAAAAGACCCGCGCAGTTGAACACTTGTACGCCGTCGTTCTTGGAGCTGCCCTCAACTTCCAGAGTCGGAGGCCTAGCACATCGAAGAACATGTTTCCTTGTGCCTTACAGCGCTTTGTTTGCCATCAATGGTGACCATCACGAAGTGTCAAGCTACGGTTGGGCTGATTCGAGCGCAGCAGGTAAAGAGAATGAAGGAGAAAGAGGACAGTCTGACATCGTGGGGCAGTGAATGACTGCAGTATAGCGAGGTGGGACTTTTTGAATTGATCGGGGAGGCTTTGAGGAGAAACGCAGCTGCTCAGCATAGAGTGGCCGCAGCCACCAGTCAATCGATCACCGAATGACGCCTCATCAGGAGGGGTTTGATAGTCTCATGGTAGCATAGTCCTGTATACATCAGTAGCTCCTATGCAGCTTTCATTTGGTGTCTTGTTAAATCCGATATCCGTGAGGATGCATGTCCGAACCATCATCCCCCCACCAGTCTTCATTGATAACCGAAGCATCGTCTTCCAACTTTCCAATCAGAGCCCATCTCCCCAGGCTGTGTGACTCACAGGTCTAGGCAGAATACGAGGATGAGGATTCCATCCAAGCTGAGCACGGGACGGGAACCTCCTCCCTTCTCCTGGCCGGGGAGGGAGAAAACACCATCTCTCCCTCTCCCCCAAATCCTTGAGGGACAAATCTCCCTCGAGAACGAGAGCAGTAAAGCATCGCTACATTGCGTGGCGTAAAGAATGGCCATGTCGTCGTCGTCGTCGTCGTCGCCGTCGTGCTGCCTCAAGAGCTTCGCATGGCAAGGCACGCCCAGCGGCCGGGTCGACAAGCTGGGCGCCAACGACAGCTATGTCACGGGCGACAACCCGGAGCGGGCGGTGCTCTTCATCCACGACGCCTTGGGGTGGACGTTTCCCAACGCCCGCCTCCTGGCCGACCACTACGCGCGCGAGGCCGACGCCACCGTCTACGTGCCGGACTTCCTGGGCGGCGAGGTGCTGCCGTTCGAGCCCATCCTGCAGGGCCGCTTCCACGAGGTCGACTTCGCGGGATTTCTGGCCCGCAACGGCCGCGAGGTTCGCGAGCCCGAGATCCTCGCCGCCGCCCGCCTGCTGCGCTCCCGGTACAAGCGCGTCGCCGCCGTCGGGTTCTGCTACGGCGGCTGGGCGTGCTTCCGGCTCGGGACGGCGCAGGAGCACCAGCCGCCGCTGGTCGACTGCATCACCGCGGGCCACCCGAGCCTGCTCACCAAGAAGGACATCGACGAGGTCGCCGTCCCCGTGCAGATGCTGGCCCCCGAACACGACCCGACCTACACCCCCGAGCTGAAGACGCACACCTTCGAGACCGTCCCCAAGGCGGGCGTCTACTTCGAATACCTACATTTGCCCGGGGTGGAGCATGGATGTCTTGTGAGAGGGGATCCTGACAAGGCGGGCGAGAGGGAGGCGATGGCTAGGGCCAGGAATGCTGCCGTGACTTGGTTCAGGCAGTTCTTACATGAGGGCTGAACGAGAGAGTATGCTCGAGCATGCGGAGCAAACAAGTATTGGATCCTATCATCCTCCACGTAATTCCCATCCGTTCATATCTAGCCAATATAACAACTATTTTCGGGCCGCACTGTCGTTGGGTACCTCCAGCAACGCAGTCTCAGACGCAAGGACTGTCACACAGCCGCTGTTTGATGCCGCTATTCTTCTTTGACACGATTTCCACTGGGACCCACATCTGCCTCACAGTCATCCACTGCGTGCCTCGTTATCCACGCCTCAGTCCCCAGCGTGATCCAACAGTACCAGTCCGAGACGAGGTAGAGTCTGTCGACAAGAAGAGCCGCCCACAGGTGCCGCCGGGCAAAGGGGTATTCGTTTGCAAAGTCGAGCAGACCGTCGATGTAAGTGTAAAGCTTGATAGAGAGCACGAAGAAACTATGAGGACTCGTTAGCTTGGTTCGAGAGAGCCAGGGTCGGCTTTAGGTAGGACCTTACGCAAACCACGGACAGACATGGAATATTCTCCAGAAGCAGTACAGGCGCACCCACAGCAACACCGGATTGAGCATTCCTTCCACCATCTTTCGTGTCATATAAGGACAAGTCTTGTACATTCCCACAATGCCGGGTTCGTACACGAGACACATCAATCGGTGTCGAAGGCCGCTCCGATACCATCGTTTCATTTGCCCAGCGAACCGTGCGTCTGGCATGATAGAGGTACCGACCTCGGCTTCCTTTGTAAGCTGCATACCAAGCTTCCATTGGACTGGTCTCTGCCCGTCGCTCACCGGGGATTTGAAGAGATGTTGGAAAAGGACCCATCGTGTGATGAAGCTGTCATCACCAGAGTTTTGTCGTTGGCCCATCCACATATCGTTCGCAAAAGCACGTTGGAACGACGGGTTGCGCGCGATCTCGGAACGGAGTAGCGCTGTAACACCGGAGACACAAAAGTTGATTCCACCATCCGCGGCATACGCACCTTTCATGCTTCCATGGCGCTTCCCACGAAGACGAATAGCGGCCACCTCCCAAGGCGTGATTACGCTGGAATTCTGTCTCTTGGTCGGTAGATATGAGCTGCCAAAGATTCCGTGTTAGCCTACTGCGACCGAGTCCGGCAGTTGAGCATCTACGCAGGGATTTCCCAAGCAACTCACTTTATTGGACCACCGACAAGTCCAATGTCTTCCTGCTGAAAAGGCGCCAGAAGATGTGTAAGCACGGTCTCATGTTTCCAGAACGCGTCATCGTCGACCAACGCCATAATACCTCCTTTGCTCTCGTTGATGCCTCGCAGAAGTTGATCTCGTTTGTTCGCCTTGAGCACCGTGAGAATACGAATATCCGTCTTGCCTATATTGGCTTCCACAGACGGAATATGAACAAGCTCTCGGATCCTGCCTTCCTCTTCTTCGGTGGTAATAATGATGATCTCGAGCGGTCTATTTCTAAGCAACCCACTGAGGCATTCAGAGAACGCCGGATCTGTGTCGACGGTGGGGACGATGATGCTGACATCAGAAGCGCTGTATGCACGGTCCTCAGGACGGGGTATGGGAAACTCGCGATACCGTTTGCGATTTCTTTCGGATATCCGCTGCTCGAGAACGTCCCAAAGGCTAGACGATCCAGCGTTAGAATAATCCGAAAGACACTCTCAGGCAGTTTACACGAAAGCTCCTAGGACAATAGGAGGAGAGAGCCATTCCAAGCTGGACGGCAGAGCCATGTGGAATGAACGTGCTTGGATATTGCTGAGGAAGCGTCAAAGTATCTTTGGTGTGTGGTAAACAAATGTGGTATGACAGCCAGGGGTTGATGAAGCCGATAGGCGAAGTCCAACTCTCTTAGCCGCACTCATATATAGATGTAGACTTTCAATTTAGTCTCAGCATGTTGTCACTTGTTTGAGCCAACGAAGGCTGTGTATCCACGGTCACAGCTACAGTGTTTTGCGGTAACAACGAGGCATCACACAAGCATCAGGCGGACACTGGTGACAGGATATGGGAAGATTCGGTCGCGGACCCTCTAGGGGACATAGTGAGTTGGTGATACCAAGGGATGTGAACCTGGTCAAGTATGCGGAAGTCTTTTGAATGACAAGAACCACCATAACACCCTCGTAGTTATCGGTTGAGTGACATGGATGTGGGTGGTGACATACGTGTCGCGCGCCCACATCGACAGACAGCAGGAGTAACAGCATTCAAGCCGGAAATAGGGCCACAATACCATTCCCTGGTCTTGTCACTTCTCAAAATTGGTGAGAAAGTGGGAAGAGCTGATGTATTGGCAGTAGTTGTGACTACAACCACCCTGGCGTCGCGTGGGGTTGACATTGATTGTCAATATAGTATACGCCCAATAGGTGGTTTGGAGTTTGGCATTGCAAATAATTTTGGTGGTGATTTTAGTCCGAATGCTAGAACATTTTGTCCATTTGAACCGAGAGGATGCGGTAAGATAGCTCGTCCTTGAAGTTGACCTTTGGTACACGAGGCTATTCCAAGAGAACTTCTTGCGATGTGAAGTTTCATGACGCAGAATTCACGTCGTCCTTTTGATCAAGTCTGCGACTGCCTTCTGGTGGAAAGCGAGCGAATACCAAAACCCCGAACCCTATCAATGCGACAGCCTGGGAAGTAGAGTCAGTAGTGTCACTTATAAGAAGTTGTCTTAGTCGAACAGATCCACATACCGCGTTGCACGTGAAAACAAGCTCCGTTCTCCCAATACTCGCAAACGCTGCAAAAATGACACCAAAGACAAACGTCGTCGACAGTCGAGCCATGTTTTCAACCAATGATACTCCGGCGAGAGCATCTGTACGTTCGCTGCTGCTAGCAGAACTTCCCACCATTTGAAGGACGGTCCCTTTTGCCGCCGAACCAGTTCCGGCGGCAAAGGGCAGAACTACTGCCACAAGATACATTTGCCAGCCCTGGCGAACAAAGGAGCAAAGCAGTGTCAGAAGTCCATCAGCAACCAGCGAGAATCTCGTGTACGTCAGATCAAAAGCAAACGTTTGCTCCTTTTGCGGTTCTTTGTCTTTTGAGTTGCGCATGCCGTTGGCGCCGGCTTGCTCTCGGTCTTCTGCCAAAAGTGGTGCACGTTCCGATGGCCTGGAATCTTCTGCATTTGCCATGTGCCGCTCGTCTCTCTTCAGCATCCACTTCCTTCCAATGGCGATCAACTTCGGAAACGCAAATGTCAAGAAGACGCCCCTCAGCATTGAGTACATAAAGATGAGGCCGCCATTCTGCTGTGTCCCAAAGTCGAAGACGTCTGTTGAATAGAGTTGTAACAACGTGGGCAGATACCCTTTTGCTCAATGTTAGTGACGATTTCACCCGGGGCAGATCAATCTCACCTGTGGCTAGAATTCCAAGAAAAACTCCCCATGCGAGCAGAAATGCACCGTACTCTGTTCGCACGATACCGTCTCTTGTGACGAATTTCCGGGGCGCAAAAACCATCAAAGGACCGAAGAACTTGGTGATGGCTGAAGTCATCTTTGTCTTCTTCGCCTTGATCGAGTCCGGGTCGACTTCTTTTGGTGGGGGCGGGATGTGCGGCAGGAAGACGAAAACATAGGCACAAGAAGTCAAAAAGAGCATCAAGGTTAAACGGAAAGGAGCCTTGATATCGAAAGCCTCGGCCACAACACCGCCCAGCAAAAAGCCCAGGGCAGAGCCAAACATCATGCTACCGGTCAGCCTACCGAGCGCCGCTGTCCGGCCCTCGTGCTCCACAACATCGGTAATGAAGGTGTTCAGCGCTAGCATATACCCACTGGGTCCCCCAACGATGGTGACGATCTGCGAGCACTGAATGATGATGATGCCTGCGGTGCCCCAGACCTCGACACCCACAATTTGTATCAGCAACCTGAGGGCAGGGAAGAACACCTGGGTCATCAATGTCGGCTTGACCCCGATGCGCTTGATCAAGCTGCCGGTCAGAAAGAGGTTCAATGTGCCGAAAACGGTGGTGCTGGCACCCAGCAAGGACACTGATAAGGCTGTTGCGCTTTCAATTGGATGGATAGAACATCTATCAGAGTCGTTTCCAGTGCCTGGGCTTGTCATGTGGACGGATGGTCCCATTGCTGCAGAGAGGACTGATGTCCAGGTTGCCGTCGTGGAGGACCGCCCAAGTCCGTGCACAACTCCAGAAGGATGATCTTTGTAGTAGGCGTCACAAGTCATAAGCCTGAAGACGTATAGCAGCGGCACTTGAGTTACGCCGAAGCTCAAGCTGGTCAGGAATGCACAAAGCAAGACTAGATACCTCACCGACCGCGGCCATGTTGCTGGTTCCACATCTGGAGTCTCGTCTTCAGTCGAGACTTCCTGGACAGCCACGCTCTCCACGACACTGAATTCCTGAGATCCGGTGCGATCAAGCAAGTGTGGCGCCGTTTCCTCTAGGTCTTCGCGGTGGACGGACGAGGCGCGTCGACTGCTGGTGCGGCGCGAGTTGCCCATCCTCGGCAGATTGGCAGTACAAATGGAATCGGCGAATGCAGAGTCTGATACCGGCAACTGACAGGTCCTGTTCCGCTGGTCATGCTTTGAGGATGGATCTCAGTATGAAGGCTGTTGAGCGACTCCGACGTAGTCCATCAGAGGGACACTGGCGACACACAGGAAGATGGGCAGTGGGACAAGAATGGTGGCGTGCAACGTTGCGGTCAAACCTCAAAATCTCGAATGCCACCATCGTCGGCTCAAATGCCGACTTCTTATCATCACGTGAGCAACTATTCCGCTTCCGGAAGGTCCCGGCGGAGACAACGCGATCAGCCGCCGCCATCGTCGATCCCCAGTTGACCGCAGCCTCGTCAGTATCAACATCAGCCTTCTGCCTCTCTCGTCTTTGATTTAGAGTAAGAAGGAGGGCTTCACTTCCTCTGATCTTTGCGGACCAGTGCACCTTGTCGGAAGGACGATACGGCCTGTAGAAAAGGGATAAAGGGCCATGATAATACAAGTGGAGATACATAAAGTACGCCGCCGATACCGAGATTTTTCGGCTACTCGGACCAGGATTTATCAAGCGTCCATACCGGACATCGAGAGGATGGATTCCATGTATGCAAAAATCTGGCATGTGATTCATACAGCCTATGCTGTCATGGGACTATCGAGCCTGTCCTGATGAAGCTCCAAGCCCTGACTGATAAGTTGGTGCCCATGTTGACCTAAACATGATATTTGTGGGCTCGAGTAGAGACGTTCCGCCCCATAATATCATCTATCCCGGATGGGATGGCTGCGACCACTCTATGCTGAGTTGCTGTGTTTCTCCTCACAGCGTCCCCAACCAGTTCAAAAGCCCAGCTCGCTACACTGCATTGTGGCCCCCTTTGTCCCAGGTCCCACCCCTTTGACCTTGCTCAACCTGTATCATTACCCTCTGATCAGACAACATGCTCAACTCAGGAGTCAAACAAAGCATTCAGCCCCTCGTCAAGTTTCTGCATGACAGCCTCTATCACCAGCTGCTTTGTGTAAATCTTGATTTTCTCCTGGATAATTGCAAGATCCTCCGGACTCAGAGGCAGGTGTTCCAATGATCGCAGATCCGTCATGCTAATATTGAGGCGAAAGGGTTTGTTATCCCGTAGGGGCGCATCGTTGCCTGCGGGTGCTTCTGGGTCGGGAAGCTGGAGGATTATGGCGGTGCTGCTGGGTGGAGGAGCTGGTTGGATTGACTCCACCTCTTGGGGCACTTCCTCACGAATTGCTGGGCTTTGGTTCAGACAGTTCTCCCTTGATCAGTTGCTACTCTTCTTCGTCGCCTTTTGAGGCATTGGCTTGAACACAGACGCTTCCAGTGATCGAGTCTCCTTCGGCTTCGAGGGTCTCGGCTTCCGCCAAGGTCGGCGCTCTGTAAAAACGTGGAGGAACATTGCAATCGAAAGCCCACCAATCTTTGATAGATTTCCATGGTTCCCCGCAATGCCTCCTCCGGCATCCTCCATCTTCGGGCATAGCGGCGTCTGTGTTGTACAGCACAATCGCGCTGATAGCCTCTGATGAGTCCGGCGGGCTTGAGCGATCCCTGACACGGCATGCCCGAACCGTAGTGTTCCACCAGGACTCGACATAAGGGGAGAAGGTCCAGTCTTTGTCCGACAAGATGGATGTGTCCGCTCGTGGACTCCATTCACGGCCAAATAGGCCTGCCATCTTTGTTTGGAACTGAGGTCCTGGAGGCAGAAATGCCCACATAAAGTTGTCGCCTTTTCTCCCTACGAGTATCGCAGCAGAGAAAGTCACTTCGCGATGCCACCAGCGCGCTCCCCGGTTAAGAACGATTACTGGGCCTTGGTACCTGCGAGGCCGTTAGCAAGTCAACATATGTCATGGGACCGGTGATTTACCCTACTACTTCATTTCTCCATCCTTTCCCAAACTCAAGCAACTCAATCGTGCTTGCATCATATTCAAGTCTCGGCGGTGTTGGGATGGTGTACCCCCAGGGCGGCGAGGGCGGTGTTGGGATGGTGCGCGTCAAGGGCGACGAGGGTGATGTGTCACTCAGCTTCCAGGCTTGATCCGCCATATTGAAAACCAGTCCTGGTGGATGGATGTGTTGGGTAAGGGAACCTGCAGGACCTGCCACAGGCAAAATGGAGAGTTGATTTGAAGAATCGCGAGTTGGAGAAAGGTCGGAGACCTTGGGGGTACAAACAGATGAGCGAGTAGGACTTGTGGTGAAGTGAGAGTTGCGGTGAAAGATCCCTTCACTGCTGTCTTCCCCGAAGATTCACATCGTAATCCCACTCTCATCTCCTTCTTCGCAGAGATATCACTTTCATCTAACTTTCCTCCGACATACAAAATAATTTTCGACGACATTCCATCTGATAGCGTGCTCTTGCTCCAAACAATAGTCGAACCACAGTGCAGAGACATATCCGAAACACAGCATCAGAATAAAGCTTCCTCAAGCGAAGCCCAAGGTCTCAACGCCAGAGTATTCATGAGTATCCATATCCCTGCATGGCGTACCTTCCAATCTCCCACCCTCGCTGCGACCTGCCAATCTGCTGCATACAGTCTTCCAGCCAGGATACTTGCGGGCCGCCACCGTCCTGACGAAACACAATGAGTGCCATGCGGATGGGAATGATCATCTGGATGCCATGGGTCCAGGAACCCGATGGCATCAGATAAAGGGGTAGTGTTCGACAGATGTCAAGAGCTGCTCTTCGAGCTTGATATACTAGAGATGAACTGGGTATCCTGGGGAGTTCGTCGTTGAGGTGGCCCTTCAATTTATCGGTGGGAAGGTCCGGTAGCCGCCTGATGTCCTCCTCGATGCCACCACTGAGACTTGTGGATAGTGTCATTTGTGCCTTCCGAAGCGTCTTCCAAAGTTCCAAAAGGATAATTACCGTGGTATTGTACAAGACGAACGTGTAGCCTGTGTCGGCTATACTGTCGAAGGCTAATTTGGATGCAAAGCCAAATTTCTGCTGCTCTCCTTTTGATAGAGGAACCTCTTCAACTTGAGGCTTGACCTCACGCTCCCATTTGGTGTGCCAGTCTCGCATACGTTGGAGAAGATCCATAAAATCCGTCTCGAGACTGATGTTCAGTTCCGCCTTTGCGCCTGCGTCTGTTGTTTTTAGGTATCGAATAAACTTCAGATATAAGGCAGGAAGCTCGGAAGCGATGTCAATCAAGTACCCCACCGGATTCTTCGGCGTTCGGGAAAGTATCCAGGGAATGGTCTTCCACTCTTCTGAGGCGAGACATGTTGGAGAACGGGCCGCGACGGCGGCGAGAATCATCGAAAATCGATCGGTCTGAAACGTCCACATGGTGTATGGCTCTTTGAAAATCTCAAAGCCTTGAAGCCGGAAGTATTCGGCCATGCCCAACATATGCTGAATCCACCCAGTCCCACTGGTTGCAGTAAGATACTTGGTCTTCAGTCAGCTTCTTTGCCCCTTGAAAAATCAACCATAACACCTACTTCGCACATCGTGAGGATTGCTATTGAGAGGACAGTGTGACCAGCCGAAAATGCCCCGGGTCGAGAAAGATGCTCGTTGAGTTCCCTAAGAGATCTGACATAGAGGTTCATTCCTTCCCGCTGTGCTTGTTTGACGTTGACTCTGCGGCCGAAAAATGACGCAGCGAATGACTTCATGCAACGCCGAGGAAGGCAGTCGGGCATACGAATGGCGTCGAAGCCAGGCCAACGGTCGTCGAGAAAGGCATTACCATCCTGCAACTCTTGGTTCATGAACGCGAAGTACAGGTCATCTCCCAGAATACTCAGGCTAGGCTTTGGCCCTGCCATGTGTAATAGGGCATCTTTTCGAGGCTGAGATCTTTTTCGCGGACGATACACTGGATTGTCGTCGATGAACTCTAATCCCTTTGGGTAGCCTGTGCATTCGAGCTCGCTTCTCTGGCATCGGACACATTCCGGTTTGGTCTCGTCTGGGTTTGGATCAGTATGAGTCAATCAAGAACGACGAACGACGCTGACGGGCATCCTACCACACTTGAGGCGTCTTCGGCGGCAGGTGAAGCACGCTTTTGACCGCCTACAGACCATCGTTAGTAGGTACATCAGGGATTCATGAAAAGGCATGGACGACCCACCCACCACGACCAACCATAGTTAGTGAATCATGAAGCGAGGGTGACGGAAAAGAAGGAGCATGCGATGTGTGCTCTCTAAGGAATCAAGCTGCAGGTCTTGTAGAGAAGTCTAGCAAGGAAACCAGGGAAATACTGTCGACTTTGTCCTTGTTCGCCAGCGTTGATGTCCGCAAAGGCATTGCAGGGAGTGTTGGTGGCCTGAACGTGAAGCGATGAACTTCGCAGCTGAGAGTGAGAAAATAGTGTGGACAGAAGGCAGACTGGTCGGAGAGAAGAGCTTTGATGAAGACAGAGACATGGAGATGGTGACGGCATGGATGGGAAAGGGGAGGATAGATGAGGCTGAGCGTGTTGGTGGCTCAGACCGTCGGGGGGCACGGGAGGTTCATGGGGTTTTGAGGCCATGAAACTTCAGTCGAAGATGGAGCGGTGGCTGCACCAGCCGCCGGCGACTGTGCGGACGGACCAATCGAAAAATAGACCGTTTTAGGAAAGGTCAGAACAGGTCTCTTACGTGCATCTTCACCTCCAACACCTCGTCCCCATCTCCCTAGCACCCAAACAACTGCATCTCCTCCCTGCAAGCACTGGTCTCTTCAGCAAGCACTCATCGTCATAGGCGACACACACAGAGCTACGTACCCAGCTCCCCAGCACGTACAGCGCCTCGCCCAAAATGAGCAGCGATCAGCCTCGAGGCCTGACTCTAGCCCTGTTCAGGAGGATTCCTCGATTGGCCTCAATCTCGCTGGGCCACACTGCGTCAGTTGTTCGATGATGGACACAGCACGTACACGTCTCCCCAGCGAGGGTATAAGAACCCCAGAGGCCACGTCCTCGAGTCTCGATCCAACACAACCTTCAAAGACATATCGCAAGACCAGCACTGTCTCTTATTTACCATGGCATTCATACGCTTCACTCCCCTTGCCGCTGTTCTGGCATTCAGCCTAGCGCATTGCGCACCCGTAGCAGAACCGCTGCTCTCCGAACTATCGAATACTTCTTATGGCCCCATTCCAGGCCAGTCCCCGCTATACAGTACCTATAGCGGCACGGCACCTCCGTTCCCTGGCAATATCACGGGTGCCATTGTCAACACCACTGCAGGGCCTCCTGGCGAAGACGACCTCCTCTTCCAGAACCTGCTGTCTGCCGAATGGGTCATCTTCTCCTTCTACCAACAGGGGGTTGAGCGTTTCAACAGCACTGATTTCATTGAAGCCGGCTTGCCCAACACCACCTACGAGCGTATTCAGCAGATCCGTGACAATGAAGCGGGCCATCTGCGCATCTTCCAGGATCAAATCTCCACCAACTCGGTCAAGCCGGGACCCTGTCAATACGTGTATCCCTTTGAAGACCCAATCAGTTACATTGCGCTCCAGACAGTCATTGAGATCTCCAGCATGGCATTCCTGACAGGTCTAGAGTTGCAAGCCAAGCTCACTTTATCAAAGGCGGCTCTTGTTGCAATCGCCGCAACCGAATCACGACACAATACGTGGTCGCTCATTGACAACTGGAAATCCACCCCTTTTGCCGGCCCGGCGGACACCGTGTATCCCTACGCGAACCAGATTCTGGACTTTACCAATGAATGGGTTGTCAATGGTTCCTGCCCGCTCGAGAACCCGATATACCCAACGCCGCGCCAGAATCTGCCACAAATAACACCCGGGGCGGGCACTACGGCCATCACCCCCGGTTCAACCATAGTGTTCAATTTCACTCAACCCGACAACCAACCCCACTTCACCCCTGACCAGGACTACTATGCCGTCTTCTTCCACGGCGTCTACAATATCTCCGTCCCCTTTAATACCACGACCTACAGCGCGGTGATCCCACCACAAATCGAACCGCTAGGAATCATCATTGCTGTCGTGGCTGACGAGGAAGGTGCACCGACCAAAGAGAGTGTCCTTGCCGGAACATTGATCCTGCCTCAGAGTCCTGCCGCACTCGCCGCCTCAGGTGTCTGAAACCGATAGAGATTGTAAACTTATAGATGCAGAGATTGGAAGATACGGTGTTGGGCGTGGTCAAGAGGGCGAGGCTGCGCATGTCCAGCTGGTGCAGGTCGCTTGGAGTTACTCTTATCTGGATTCACATAGATTATACACAATCAATTCACTTTCTGCGCATCTCGAACGATCCATCCGATCCCCAGATTCAGATGATCGTAACTACATCTGTCGCCAGGATTTGTTGTAAGCGATGTCAAGACGTAGAGAGCGGACCCGAGTTCCCGACTAGGTCTTCCGCCCGTCCATTCATTCACGTGGCAAGCTCGATCACTCATCCAGGTTCTCAAAATCCTTCCTCGCTTCCTCCGCGAGCTGAGGGTTCGTGAGCACGCGCAGCGCCAGCATCGCCATCCCCTTGGCGCACTGGATCGCCGCCCGGTGCGCCTCGTCCGTGGCCGCGTGGCCCGCGAACCGGGGGTGGTGCATGGAGACATGGGCGTCCGTGGGGATGGGGAACGCGCCGTGGAAGCTGGGGACCTCGAACGAGACGTTTCCTGCGCCGACCAACCGCCGTTTTGGTTAGTGATGGATGTACATAACGATAGGGATTTAGGTATCTCCATAGGTACCAAGGGGTGGTTCTTGACGATGGGGCCCTCTTTCGTGCAGTTGGCGTTGGTGGAGGGGAAAGGTGTCTTTTTCTTACCCATATCGGTCGACGCGGTGTACGATTCATCGTTCTTGACCATGATCTTCTCCCCCAGCGTCGCCATGTCCTCGACATACTGCCGGCACAGGGGCAGATTGACCCTCAGGTTCTTGTACGTAGGGGCGCTTTGAAACCGCGTCAGCCACCAGGAAAGAATACTTGCTATACAACCACGAAAAGTTGCCATAGTTTTCCTAAATGAAAGGGGGAGGGGGGAGTCCGACTCACGGAATGTACTTGATCTCACAGCCCGTCGCCGCGGCGGCGGCCTCGCAGCACTTGTGAACCTTGTCCAGCAACTGATCGGCCCTCTCCATGTTGGGGGCCCTCACGTACCAGTTCATGCGCGTGTAGGCTGTGATGACATTGGGCACGGTGCCGCCGTCCTCGACGACGCCGTGGACGCGCTCGTCGGGGCGCATCTGCTGCCGCAGCATCGAGACGCTGTTGTAGGCCGACACGGCCGCGTCGAGGGCGTTGACGCCGTTCCAGGGCTCCCCGGCCGCGTGGGCCTGGCGGCCCCGGTACTCGACGCGGAACTTGTGCGAGGCGATGAACTTGAGGCCCGCTAGCCCCGTGAACCCGCCCGAGAACTGGTGCGCCGTCACCGGGTGCGCCATGATGGCCGCCACGATGTCCGGCTCGCGGAACGCCCCGGCCTCGATCAGCTTGCATTTGCCCCCGCCGCCTTCCTCGGCCGGCGTGCCCAGCAGCCGCACCCGTCCGGGAATCCGCCCCGACGAGGACTGGAGCGCCGCGGCGGCGCCCAGGAACGCCGCGATCGAGGACGTGGCGATCAGGTTGTGCCCGCACGCGTGGCCGATTCCGGGCAGCGCATCGTACTCGGCGCAGATGATCACCAGGGGACCGCCCTGGCCGACCTCGCAGGTGAAGGATGTGTCGAGCCCGTAGGTCTGCTCCGTCACGGCGAACCCCTCCTTTCTCAGGAACGCAGAGATGGTCTTCGCCGCAAAGAATTCCTGGTACGCCAGCTCCGGGTTGTCGTGGATGGTCCGGTTGAGCTCCCTCAGCTGCGGATCGGCCGCGTCAATGGCGTCGAGCGAGACCTTCAAGGACTGTGCCACGTTGGCGTCCGACGCAGCATTGGACGACCCGGGCCCGGCCATAGCTGGTACGCCTCGCAACAGGATGACGGCAGGAGGGTGTGTTTCTAGTTGGGGTCGTGGACTATTACTATCTCACAAGGTGAACTGGCTAGGGATGAGGGTTAACGCGAGAACTGGGGCGAGCTCTTTTTCTTATCCTCTTCCTTTTTGTAGTATCACGCGATGGCAAAGAGAGAAAGTTGCCGAGAGAGAAAATAAGAAAAATGAGGAGAGACAGGAAATACCTTCAGCTGCAAGCTGCCAGCTGAGGTTACAAACTCTAACTCGGAGGTTTCACATCATATGGCATGACATGTCGGGGGCATGTATTCTGTGCAACCTCTTTGGCCCCGCCATCCGCCGTCTCGTCTGGCCCGGCTACATACAGTCCTGCAGACTTACAGGTCCCTACGTGAACAGGACTGCGTGCACTGAACACAGAGTCTGGTGTCAGTCTCGAAAGATGCTGCATGAAACTCGCCCATCTTGATCACAAGACCAATTCCAACGCCTTTCTTTGCTACGATTCGAAAGTCATCAAGGACGAGCGGTAGGGTAGCTTATCTTGATAAATCGAGACCAGCTTTGATCCAGTTTCAACCTTCTGCCGTGGAATGTGTCAATGATTTGAGCGTATGGTTATCACAAAAAAGCTGTCAGCATCGCCGTCAACAAAACACGCAAGGAACAAATGTCGAGACATCTTTCCCTGACTAAAGGGCTATCGCTATCACTATCACCGGGCGACCTCGAGTTGAGCATTAACCTTTCAGTCTGACCACTAAGACCATGTGGTGCCCGACCTAGGGGACATGCTTCAATAATGACCAACTAGCGTCCGCCTATAGACTTATCTTGTACGATTGAGAGCCAGAACATGGTCGTCTCCAAAGACAAGCTGGCCGCCATCGACCCTCCAGCGAAGCTTTCCCTGCGGTGGCCGAGGACGGAGAATCCGTCAGACAGGGTCGATTCCCTGCGGGAAGCTGGCCGGCGATAGCCTCGGATGGCCTCTGGAGGCTTTTGGTGCGGGGTACGGAAACCTGTGAAAAGCAGGGAGATGTACAGGTCGAGAGCTGCAACATTGGGAGTTGGTTATTTGGTCGTCACAGTCAGACACATCCCAAAGGACATTGATCTGACAGAATCGTCACAGTTGCGCTAGACAACGTCCAAGAAACGCCGTCGAGCATGCCCCAACAATATCTTCTCTGGGTCAACTCGCGACCACTACCCGATTCTGGGGTTGATGATGACCTGTGGGTGAAATGGTATATCGAAGAACATGTTCGTATCCTGACCGTCCCTTCTCAGTTTCAGGGGGCTCACCAGTCGCAGGTCCCGGACTTGGTGAACAGTAAGGCCACCGTGCGCGCGGCCATGTTTCGCGAGAATTTCGACTTCTCGCTTGAACCAAAGGAGAAGCACCCGCGCAAGTTCTTGGTTTTGTACCAAGCAGACTTTGAAGAGCCGCTCAGTTCCAAAGAGTACCTAGACGACGTGCGGCACTCTAGCGATATGTGGCCCGACAAAAAGGGGAACAGGGAGGTGGGAGATTTCAACGGAAGGAATTATAAGCTGATCCAGGACTATGATCCCGATGGAAAGGGGGAATGTAAGTGTCTAGGGCCACGTCCAACGATCTCTCTGCACTGTTGCTGACGCCGGCTTTGAGCTGCCCCTCCATTCTGTTTGACCGTTGAGATGGACCCCGTGGATGAACCCGACTTCGACAAATGGTACCGCGAAGAACATCTCGATATGTTGCACAAGTTACCAGGGTATCGACGATCGTCCAGGTATGTCATTGGCCCGAAGATGGCTCTGACTGAAGGCGATCCTCCAAAGTATTTGGCAATCCACGAAATGAATGATTTGCGTGGATTTATCGGGAAAGAGGCCGATGCTGCCAACGACACGCCTTGGACGGTGAAGCATATCAAGGACAGCAAGACATTCATTGTGAGAGGCTGGCAATTGATATACTCGCAAGGGTTTTGAATATATGTGGCTGAGGCGGTGAGAGGGCCGGTCTGATAGGGTGGACCTCGCCTCTCCTTCAGGCGCGATGCTTATGACGCGGACGCCATGATGGATTCCATCCAGGGCCAGATGCTCTCATTTGCAGGTGGATAGCCCATATGCAGCATTTTGTCGTAGAACCGAGCTTCCTTGGGGCGGCCGTAGTTCATGAGAAGGATGTTGTCCTCTATGGGAACAAGACCATCGTGGGTGCCGTTGATCAGGAGCAGCCTGCAGCAGGGTCCATTGACAATGCCGTTTTCAACGAGGCTGAAGTCCTTTTGGGCTTTCTCCTTCATCTCTTCCCAGTCCCTGTATCCGTACTTGGCAACATATGCCTCGCTGAGAACAAAGGGGTACTCGTGGTCGTCGACATGTTCCAGCCATTCTCGACTCAGGAACAGATGGCACCCAGCGCCCTGGGCAATGACACCAGCAAGCCGCGAGTGGTGAGTGTGTGCGAGTCGAATAGCACAGTACCCTCCAGCAGAAAGACCCCAGGCCATGCATTTTTGCATGTTGAAGGCCGACTGCTTGTCCATCCAGTCAAGGATCGACGTGAACAACCGTTCGTGAGACTTTGGGTCACGACGGGCGGCAGGGCAATCGGCTGTTCCTGGGATTTCCGTGATCACGCAGCCCCAACCACGGTCAAGAAACTCGTCAGTCCGCTGTGACGGTGTTGTCAGTCTGAACGGTGAACTGGTAATGCTGGTTAGCTTACCTCGGTGTTGTCTGGTCGATGTCCGTCCAATCCTGTAATCAGCAGCACTACCGGACATTTCTTCTCACTGTTCGCTCCCCTCGGAAGTCTCACAAACAATGGTACTTCCTTGCCGTCTTCACCTTCAGCAGCAGTGTGTGGGATCTTGACTTCTTTCATGGGAGCATCCCACAAGCTTGCACCTCTTAAATACACCTGTTTTTGAAGCTCAAACGCCTTTCTCTTCAATCCAGAGCCAGCCTCAAGTGAGGGAAATCGAGATATTCGATATACACACGCGGCGCGTTTGAAAAGAGCGGCAGCTTTGGCGCGGTCTGAGGCTTGGGCTGACATGGCTGCGTCGGTGAGCTTTTCGGCCGTCGGCATGAAATACTCGGTGTATTTATCTGTGTAGGCATCGTTCACGTTATCTCGGATCAGGCTCTCGAAGATGGGTTCAAAGTCTTCGAGCTTGCCGTCGTGGAAAGGGTATACCCCCAGGGAGCAGGGGAACTTCCATTTGGTTTCCCACAGAGCTTTGACCCCATCTAAATGAGGGTACCGCTCGTAGAACTTCTCGCCGAGAATCCAATTGACCATTTTGCTGGGCTTTAGGAGAGAGAATTGAGCTGAATGGTCAAGGAAGATGAGTGTTGAAGAGACGGTGAGGAACGCGGAGCCTCTGTCAAGCGGCATCGGTCAGTCGATCGCCGAACCCCGCGATTGCTCCAGGATCAACTACGCAGCCTTGCATCGAACCGTACGGAGCTCTACACAAGTTCTCGTATTAACCAAGGTGGCAGGCGAATACATCAAGCGTAAGCAGAATGATAGATTCAGAGGTCAAGCAGGTCTGCAGTGCCTACACATTCCAGAACCCCGGATCCCAGAATCCTCCCCATCAATGCCAACTGGCTCCCAAACCACTGCTTCCGCTCTATATCCAAGCTTCCAATACATGAAGCGATGCTGAGAGGCCAGGCAGTCAGACTTGCTACGTACGGGTTGATCTCGGCATCTGTGTTGAGTGTGACGATCGATTCATGTTCACCCTCACCGGTGACCTTGAATCTTTCAAGAACAAATGGTATACTTGAGGCTAGGTCATCGGCCGTGGCCATCATGCGTAACTGACACTCCTCTACTTGCTGACTGCAGACAGACTCGGCTGACCATGGCTGGGTGAGCTTGAGGATCTTCAACCATGCTCGATTGAGCAGCAACCTCGTAGCAGAGTAGTTCAGCCACAGGGTAGCATAGGCGATACTAGAATAACTGTAGACCTCTGGCGAGAAGAAGTGTCGAGTAGGTAGAGACGATACCGGATGTATGAGATGCCGGCGAGGGTACCAGGAACTTGGTATCTGAAGTGCCCAGTCTTGCAATGCATTGTCCAGGCTCTCTGCTTCACTGCGCAGTTTCTGGGCTGTCTGGAGTAGCTCCGGACTGAGTGCGTCTAGCTGGAAGCTATCCTGTTGAAGGGTCATGAGCCGGTGGCGAAGATTTGCAATCTGCACCAAGATGCGGTCGTATTCAAGGTCTCGCCCATGCTCGCCAAAAAGGCAGCCGTCTTCGAGCCATTCTGGCACTGCAAGGTACCGTAGAAGAGCTGATCGAATTAAGCCCTGCCGAGAATATTTGACAGTAGAAGTTGCCAGCTGCTTCTCTCTCGGACGGCGGTGTCTCCAGACTTTCAAAATCGCAGTTGCACCGTCATGATGCAAGTAGCTGTTGAACATGGTATTCGACAGGAATCCTCCCTCACCGCAGGTCGAGTCTTCATAGCGACTCATCAGGAAGACGGCCAGCAAGGCGGCATTGATATTTGTTTCGACCAGCGTGGACATCGTCTGTTGCGCGTGACGGAGCAACTCACCATACTGCGAGCAGGCTTCCACTGCGGCTGCTGGATGTCGCTGTGTCCGCGAAAAGACAACGAGAGCCATAGTCGACACAGCCAAATCAACGATGGGAATCGTTGTTCCCGAGACCCATTCAACAATGCTGTCTGAAACGCTTCCTGAGAGGCGCTGCACATTGGCTGGCATTCGCAGGTAGTAGTTCAGATAGTAGATGACCGCACGGGTTCGCAGGTCCTGGTGAAGGGTTGGCGTCAGGTTGGAGCGAGGGCCTCTCGGTCGCTTTTCTTGTCCGCTGGCATAGCGGTTTTCGATGTGGATCAGAAAGTCGACTTTTGGGGGAGTAGCTCTGATGCATATCCGGCGAGACTTGGTGCATCTCTGACACGTTGGCCGTGCCTCGTCGCACTGAAGGAAGGGCAGGTGTCAGCTGCAGTACAAATACTGCGAGAGGGTGTCTTGCCTTGATATGTCGTATTCTGCAGGTGCGACAACCAGCACTGTGATACGACATAGCGTTAGACTGAGGAGAGGTTGAGCCAGTCTAGGCGTAATGGAAGAGATCCGACCGACGGCGCTGCCACGATTGAGGGTTCGGGAGCAAAGGAGACGACCTGGGTGCTTAGGTACCTATAGATTTGGTGCGGGACTCGACTTGAGCGATTCTTTTGCAGGTATAGACAGAGACTACAAGGATGCTCTGTCCTGCATATGCATGTATATGTAGGTTACACTTAACTCCATCAACCATCAGACCTCTAGAGAAAAAATAGCACAGTCTGACAGAAAATAGACACAATCTCAGAATCTAATTATTCACTCAATAGTGACGAGGTGACCGCCAGATCAAATGTAGCTATACTAATAATGATAAGGATACCGCTATACTTAAAGATAGAATAAATGCATTTTTAACGATAGTTACATTCAAGTCAATAGTGAACCACTTCTCTGTGCTATTTCTCGTCAGACTGTGCCACTTGTTTTTGACATCGGCTAGCTATCTCCGTCAATAAATAAGGGAGCGAATCGTCCATCCTCGTGCTGTCGCTACTGAGCTTAAGTCCGTCGACTAGACTTCCGCAGGAATTCTCCGTCCAGAACCCATCCACCTAACGGGAAAGGAGGTTCTATCAATGTTGAGGCACAACGACCGTCTCGTCCCTATTTTGTTTCAAGAATGGGATCGGTAGCGACCCTCCTGTGCCTCTTTGCGGGGTGGCGGCACTGTCCTTCGCCTCGACTGCTGCAGGTTGGACAATAAACCTCGACACGATGATGACATGCTTCGTTCTCCATTTCTGGAACGCATCGATGACACTCTGAAAGGCACACCGTAAGTTTTTGTCTTCCGGGCGTCGCTCGATAATATCCCGTAACGAAGGCAATCGTTCGACTGCTTCGAGAAAGTCCCTGTGCTTCTTTGGCATATACGCCCTCATCTCAAGCAGCATTTTGGATTCGTGTCGAACGCCAAACATGTGATCGAGAAGCTGAAAGAGAGAGCTCTGTCCTGCACTGCCCCCGGCGCACTTGACGACGACTCGAGATCCGTCGCTTCGTTCAAGGGCAACGCCATTTGATAGACCTCTTTCTTCTGCGCCCGCGCTACCTCCGAGCATTGGGCGTATCTCTTGAAAGAAGAACATTGGCTCACAATTCTGGTGTAAGACAGACAGGGTTTCCCCCATGGCCGTCAGCGTTGTGGCACAGATATTCAAGATCGACGCCAAATCTCCTAATTCGCCATTTTGATCTGCGCCTATTGTATCGAGCATCAACTTGATGAGCTTGGCACCCTGGACCTCGACCATGACTGGCACGAGATTAAACGCATCTTCGTCCCTTGTGCGTGTAAAAGAAGCAAACGACTTGATGTCCTGAAAGTTGGCCAGAGCCTGCGACGGGTGCAACTGTGTATCTTGGTCTCTTTGAGCCCAGTTCCAGAGACAGAGTCCAGCATAGCTAAGGACGGGTCTCATCCCGAGATAATTACAGACATCGAGAAAGGGCTCGGCGAGGCTTGCGGGGATGACGGTCGAGGGTCTGCTTTTCTCCTGCCACAGGTAGGCTTGGGTCAAAAACCCAAGGACAACATATGCACGTTGCCAGTGCGCAGGGGTCGTGAGGTGGTCAGTGGCGAGGATCTCGAGACTGTCAACCTGCGCTTGGAGGGTCTTAGCCTGAAGCAGATGTGGCAGATCCGAGGCGAGTTTGCACCAGGGTGTATAGCGTTCTGGTAGCTCCGTTAACTTTGCAGACACGAAACCTAGAACGAGATCAACATCGTGATCTCGTGGATCTGGCAGCAACAGCAAGGAGCGCATGGTTTCGTGATTCGGGAGGATTGTACATAGTCATGGAAGTTCAAACCTTGGGGCACAGCTTTATGGGCTTGAGGTTCTTTCGTCGCAGTAATGGTTGACCACTCGTATCTGGGTCGTATCGCTAAATTGCTACGCCCTTGCCGTGACAATCCAAAAGTCTGGCATCTTTTGATTGGTCAAGACTCGAGGCCTGCCTCTACCTTTGAGCGTCTTCAAAAGACGATGGCCCTCTCTGGGGGGTCAATTCGACTTCCAGCGCCATGAGAGAAGAGCAATAGTCTCGACAGTGAGGGGACTTGAGGTGGGAGCAACGGAGGTCATCGATTTAGAAGAGGGGTTCTCCTGATGACCAGAGCATTGTCTGTCCCCCAGAAGCTCGAGTGTCGCTATATGCAAGAGCAGCACAGGGATGTCTTGGCCTAAGCCGCTGCGAGATTGGACCAAGGCGACTTGCAGCATAGAGGTAGTTTGAGACGTGTACAAAGCCCACAAGGGAGTGACGTTGGGCATATTGAAAGAGAATCTCTCTGGCGGGCCACTACTGCAGGAGGCGAAGTGCAGGCCCGCCAAGACCTGGCGTCACGTGTTAGCGTGATCCTTTAGGACAGTCGCGGGCACTGGCTTTAGACCATGCACCTCCATGTCTCCTTCACAACTAACTAACCTCTCAACTTCAGTACGTCGTACTCATAGTGATGATCAGTTCTTGTTGATCGAATTCTACCCTCCGCCGGCTGCGCTGACATCTACGACAAAATGACTTCGCGCGAGCCGTCTGCGGCACCTTCAGAGGGCGACACCATCGACGATCAGATGGAAGACACGAAGCCTGACCTTGCCGAACTTGATCAAGAGCAAGTCGAAACCGTCGAAGAACCACCTGCTGGCCCTACCCCTACGAGTGGCCGTCGAGCACCTCGACAAAAAGCTGGATCTACAAGAAAAGCAAGAGCCCGAAAAGGTGCAATTTGGATACACGAACAACCCCTCGAAGGTACCGAAGACGAGGGCAGCGTCGTCTCGGCACCTCTTTCACGAACCAAAAAGTCAGAGGCCACTCCCGAGTCGGAACCCAGAACAATCGGAACCGCCGTGGGCACGAGAAGACAGGCTAATGGCACTGTTGGCTCGGTTTACTCGGGGAGCAAGGTTAGACACATCAAGAAGCCCGACGGCACACCTCTCTGGCGCAAGGAAATCCAATATGAATTCCTGCGCATTGTGATTGAAGACACGAAGCCGGTTTTCACGCGAATCAGCGACGGCAAACATGATTGTCTGTTCTCCGACATATATGTGGACTGCATGGCGCGAAGTTCCAAGACAAGCAAAATTCTCAAGGACAGGCTGCAGGTTGATCGACAGGCAGCCCACAATATGGCAATGATATGTCTTCTTGTCAACGTGGGTCGCATGAACACGACATTGAACTTTTTCCCAGAGATGAGGGCGCAGCTGAGAACCTACCATTCCATCCCTTCTCTGCAAGCGTACAAAAGTCAAAGGGACTACAAGTCACTACAAGATGCTCCCAGGTTGAAAAGTATCCTCAAGGGCGCCAGTGAGGACACCGATGAACCTCGTACGCTAGCTGCAATCAAGGCCAAACCAGTTCCAAGGACGAATCCGGTCAATCTGATATTCGTGCTCTCTCAGTTTGCGCCCAAGATTAGTGAAATGCACTTTACTGACAAAGTTGATTTCTTTGATCTTGCCATGCGATCAACCATCTCATCCGGAACCAGGGCCAGAGCATTTTTGTGGCTCATGTGGTGGTATCTCGAGTCAAACTTTACGAAGGAAGACGCACTGCGGAATCCGTACGGTCCTGGGGAGTATAAAGACGACGAAGATCCCGACGATCCCGACACAGTACCACAGCTGGTACCGCAACTGACCACCATTACGGAAGCAGAAGGTGATGCTGAGAATGTCGACCCACCCGAGGAGATTGCCTTTGCAGAAAAAATGACACAGGAACGCCGGAGGATCATGTTGGAGAACGCGAATGAACCACCATTGGTTATGGCCGACCCAGGGAATCCAGACCACAAAGCCCTGAAACGTCTTAAGAAAAGCGCTGCATATGGAGACGAGGACTCCCTTATCTCTGACGCGGATTCGCGGGCAAGCCCCGGGGTAGGGCGATCCCCAGCGCCAGAGTCACTTGGTCAACACGGACACGTTATGGCCAGCGCTCTTGGGGGTCAAGCAGACAGCTTGGATGACGATTGGGAAGCAGTCGACCCACACCCTGGGCGCGGACGGTACAAGCGTGTCAGGGGGAAGAACACACCGACACGAAGCAGAGGAGGAGCTAGACAGAGTGACGGCCCAAGGAGCTTGCTCAAGTCAGGTCGCAATGCTAGTACTCCAGACACTCTGGATCGGTACCGAGGGACACCTCAACCCCTCCACCCTGGTACTGGTAGCCATCCAGTCATAGGTCAGTCCCGCACACACCGAAGCAAGAACGAGACTGACGTGATAGGGGGCCGACCTGAGCTGGGAGCTGGTGGCACTGGCACCAAGGCCAGGGCCAGGACCGGGTATCAGCGCGAATTAGAGGAGCATAGACAGCGTCGGGTCGAATGGGCCCTCCGGAGACGTCGTAGACAGGCCCTTCAAGAAGCACGGCAGTTGAGGGAGGGGTGCAGATGGCTGCTCCAGGCGGCTAGACGGGTCAGCGAGCTCCCTCCAACGTATGACAGCGAGGAGGAAGAAGAGACAGGAGGCACTGGCTTCGCCGGTGTGCTTGGCCGCAGATGGCATGGCGACGAACCCGAACCCGGACAAGTCCCTGTTGGCTACGAACCCGACGATCACGGTGAGGAAGTGGACACATGGTCCAAGGTCCTGAGGAAGACAGGGAGGCGCCTGGAAGTCTGGGGTGGAGACCGTGATCTGGCGGTATACCATGCCCGACTCCAACGCCACCAGGCCGCCGAAGATAATCTCACTGCAGCCCCCTCTCGACCACTCACAAATGGGACACGCAAGAAGCGACGCACGCGTGAGTCTCCGGCAAAGAAGCCCCGTCCTGAAGTGGGAAGGTCTGCGCCGCCTACCCGAACTGGAGGGAGAGATCTCAACGACGAAATCACCCAAGATCTGCTTGCTGAGCGCAGCGACGATGATATGGACGATGATGATTCCCATGCCGATGGAGACGGCGAGGGCGAAGAGAGTGATATGGATATGGATTGAGTAGCCTTCTCTGGCGGCCCTTCCTCCGCAGACTCTTTGCGGCTTTCGCGGGAGAGTCACATAAAGCGTGGGTGTGTCTGGCCGCCAACTTCGTCTCGGGACTTTTGGCTGGCGCCTGTATATTACTACGATGCGGCTGAATGCGACATCTTTCGGATGACAATATGATGTTGCACAAAGCTCTTTGAACCGCAATGAGAAGCTGTAGTGACCGTGCCTCAGAGATCTTTGCTCGACCTCGCGCAGCTCGGCCGTAGACGAAGGGATCAGTTCATCTGGGGGCTGAATTTAGTTTCTCTTCGCGCTCTGCTTGAGAGGCTCAGCGTGGCAAAAAACTCGTTGTTCGGGACGTTCAAGATCCGGGATGAACAGGCAACAATGATATCCATTGACCTCGATCGTCTCCCATAGTATCGAAGACAGTATCGCGAGAGATTCCTGGCCCCTTCGACGATGGCAAACTTCATTTCTTCTTGGAGCTGTGATTATGAATCCGATGAAGTACAATAGGATTTGTGCTTGGTTGGCTCCAAGCTCAAGGAGGCTGTGCCCAGCCCGAGTCGCCATTACTAATTCGACTTCGACGCTTCCAAGAGCGTAACTTTTGCCATCTATCATACAATCGAGGAAACCCCTTCGCATCTTGGGAGGCTATGTCCCTTACTGCTGACTACAATATTGTTCTGGCCTTGTTCGAGAGAATCACCTCTCCTAAGCGTGCGCGGGCCGCTTGATGCGAAATGTGTGCCCAGTCTCGATCAACCAAGGACTGCGGGAAACAACCACCAAAAGTGCCAGACTCGCAAGGATAACTTGGGAATGGAATCTCGAAATGCGACCCTACGGCTAAGAGCACTGAATGGGGATGGCGAATTGTTGGTTGTCCGTTACGCATCGTCCAATGCGAAGCCACAGTCTCAGTGAGGGCAGTCACTGACATGGTCTCGCTGCCCACCACCACCATCATGCTTGCATTCAGGTTTGTGTGTTTTTGATCTGTGGACACCAAGGTTCCACGGGTTATGATGCACACCATAGAGTTTGCATCCAGTCGAACATCATACCAGTGCCAATCACTGTCGGTCACCTCTTTACTCTTCTCGCCAGAGGCTTCGACCCCAAGGAGAGTCGACCCTTAAGAGCGACACCAGGCTTGCCACCTCCTGACGTCTCTAATGATGCCTAATGGCTGGAACCAATAGGCAATGTGATGGGGCTTATGGCCCCAGACCGGGTTGGCTATTAATCAAATACGAGTGCGAACATAACCTGCAGTCCGGCTCCGTGGAGATGAGGCGTGCTTGGATCCTAGCCTGCAGACGGCAATGCCCACGCTGCTGTGGCTCAGAGGCAGCTGCACACTGGTTTTGCATCGTCCTAGGAGGTTTGAACCCGTCTTCACAAGACTTGCGAGTCATGATGGCTCCAGCCAGTTCAGGGGCTAGGCTTTGGACGTGCTGCTATTGCGAATGTCTCTCACCGATGATCATTCAGCAAATTCAGCCTCTAATCCAAACAAAGGTAACAGACTCTCCATACTCCAAGACAGTTGCTTCCCGTGGGTGCCTCGAGCATATGCGACTGGCTCCTTCCATGCCTAAAACTGGGCAGTGGTTGCGTACATCATCCTCACTAGCAACGAGTCGTGGCAGAAGTAGGGCATCTGGTGCTTGGGAACTCAATTAACATAGGCCGAAAACGACATTTGACCACGCAATGATCCCTGGCGTTATCTCCTCAATCCAGCCAATGTCTCTTCTCATCTCACACACCAATTCATTGCCTCTGAACACAAAACTACGACCTGTTCGAGGCGAGCCTCCTTTGGGCAGGTGGATTTCGACCCCGTGCACGAAAACTACTGGGTCTCCTGTAAGTTGAACAGGCAGCTGCATCGTGAATATACTCCAACCCTGTCGAATGGTACTCTAGGATACAGACCCCAGCACTGCCGGCGTTCTATGAATTGGAGCTTTGGGAGATACTGACTTGGTCCTCCCTTTCTACAACAGCCCCTGTTCGGCAATCTGCAGAATTAGAACTAGGGGGATACTGAAAATGCTTTTTCATGAACCAGCCAACTCACAACCGTCAAGTCCTGCATACCTGGTCTCTTTATTCGTGTGGGGGGAGAACAGAGAGCAGCTTGGATGCGTCTTGTCGACAAATTAGGTCGGATCCAGGCTACACACTATCGGCATCATCATGGCTACTCTCTTAGCCATTTCTCTCCTACTACCCGCAAACAAAACAAAATACCTTTATACGTCGTCCTCACCACCGTACCCACGTGACCTTGATTTTGTCCTGTATACAAAGGGAGTTGTATTTAAGACGGTGCTCTGCTGACTTATCCTAAGCGACTGGCTGACTCATTTGGGGGAACGTTCTCTCATGCAGCCACGAAAATGATGCCGTCTGGGCATTCATGCTAGGCTCTTACAGGGACGGCAATACGCACGAGTAGTAATGAGCAGATTTTCCGAGAGAAAGTCATGATATCATCCAACGCACGTGCCCTACTCGGTTCTCAATCAGAGAGTGTTGCCCCTGCAAGTTGCGATTACCATTTGAAGACCTGAAGATCCAACCATCTCCTTCTCCTAATTCTCCTGAGGACGTTTCTGGCCATTGCCTATCCAGCTATCATTCTGGTTCGCGATCAGAAGCAGAAAATCCCTGTTCTGAAAGAGACAGGGACTTCTTGTCATGCCAGGCACACTTGCATATTTTAGTCGCCCGCAAGTGGCGCTTCTTCTCGTTTGAAGAAGGGACGATTCCCCTCACCTGCTCGAGAGAAACAGTGACCCTGGGCGCTGCATCTCATCGATACTAGGTGAAAAACTGCTGCACCGTGCTCCTGGGCTTGACCGCCACCTTTGATTCGATGTGCTGTGATAGGGCCGAGGACCCACAATTTCCACGCTAAACTATACGTGTGCCAATAAGACGCCTCACGGCGGACCCCTCGGTACCCACGTTAAGCGACGTACTGTCAGGTCCTCCGTACTTACCTATCAACCAGGGACCACGGAGCCTGTAATCAACACCAGAGCCAGACAAGCCCCAGAAGGATCCTCTGTATTGCACATCCCTGCCTCCACCAACTCCCCGGGTCATCACCGGCCTGTGCTAAAGTTCGAGGAACGGGAAAACAATTCTGGGACAGGACGCCTGATCCAATAGGTGGCCTATTTCGCCGTTTGACTCGTCGCCCTTGCCCAATCCATATGCTGCTGAGAGACCCCAAATCACTTTAGATAAGCTCTTCGTCTCAGCCCTGGAGTTTGGTGGCCATCGAGCAGAGGGCAAAAGCCCAAATGTTTATATGGCGGACTGGCCATCCACGTGGCTCCACTCCACCCAATCTCGACCCTTTTCCTCGAAGGGTCCCAAGGCGCGAATTGCTCTGAGTGGGTAGCTCCGACGAGAGAAGCATACCTTTTGCCTTGGAGAGGGGGAAAGAGTGTTTGTAGGAGCTATAAGCCTAGGCTTCATGCCTCATGCCTCATGCCTCATGCCTGCCTGCTGCAGGTCTTAACTAATCAGGTTGTCACTGGATGCAGGGTCGCATTTCTGCGAGCCCCCCGGGAAAAGGCACGTTCTTGAAACCCATCCTATCCCATTTCCTCTTCGAGATACCCTGTTTGTGTGATCCGTCTTTCCACCGAGACGCTTGCCGTCTAAGCGTAAGAGGCTGAGGCAAAAGGGCCGAGAACCAAGCTACACGAGATTGTCATCATCCTTTTTCGTTCTTCTTCGACTGACCTGTTGTCCTTTGTCTTCTGAAGTCCTGCAGCGGAGCTTCTCGAAGCGACCACCTCTTCTTGCACTACGCAAGGTTGCTTGGGTGAATTCTCTACAGAAATCTGTGCTTGCGCGTACGCTTCACGCATCGCTGACCGCATCGTACTACACCTTGGTGGTTGAGTATGCATTCTGAGTCCTTCCTCCCCTCTTTGCACTGCTAACGGCGCCCAGCTCGCATCGGCTTGTCGACGACCATGAGAGAGAAATCAGCCAGACCACGGGCGCAAGCACCTCAAGGCGCTCACAGCATGGACAGCTTCATTTCTGTCTTCCACGCCAGCAGTCTGGATACGACACAAACTCCGTCATTACCCCAAACACAATCGCACCAACAATCTCAGCAGCCAGCAAACAATCCATATTGCTATATACCGGGGCAGTACTGGGAGTCTTTGGACTACTACGACATGGCTATGGATATATGCACCGACTTTTCTGATGTAAGGTGGATCGCAGCATCGAGCCTACAACCAGGCCCGTTCCTGACAAAACGCATAGCTCAGTCAAATACCCCCCTCCTTTGCGTCGAACAGCAAAGCCCTTAACTTCGCAGACGACCTCACGCCACTTGACTCTCCACTCGATTTCGCGCCAGAGTCTTTCGGAAGTCCTGGCGACTCGTTGCAGCTGGCGCGTACCAACTCGGCTGTTCAAGAAAGCATCGACACAGAGGCGGAGTGTTCAGGTCAGGGACGATGCAACAGTCAGCATCTTCCTTGCAAGATCTGTGACAAGGACAAGAAGGAGGTCAGTATCGATGGTGGCGGGTAGTGTGGAACTACACGCATTCAGACCACGTTTCACCCCCCCCCCCAATTCCCACACGAGGCTCATTCGGCTAAGCCAACTCATCTGCAGAGGAGGAAAGAACAGAACCGAAAGGCGCAACGGAACCACCGATTGCGCAGCGAGGCGAAGCTCGAGCAATTGAGGGCAAGGGTCAAATCGCAATCCGACGAGATTGTGATGCTCCGAGACTTCAACCAATCGCTGCTGAAGCACATTGAAACCCTCGAGAGCAAATGCAAGGACGGCGGCACGGCCGATGCTACGGTTGCTGAGGATGCGAACACCCTTCGACAGCAACCGTTGCTCCCTCCTTGACAGGCCTGCGATTGGATGCGAGTACGACCGAACACGATGGACACGGCAGGCTGCCGAGTTGGAGCCTGAGGCTGAATCAGGCAGCGTAGCTGACGAAGACAGCTCTTCGTCCCAGCTCTTCTCAGGACAAATGTGCACAAGCACTTGGTAATTCACGAATCGTCATGACATAGACTTCTTCCCAGGCACACGGAGTGGCAAAATCCTGGGTCAATGGAACGGATTAAAGGCCATGCTTATGGATCAAGGGGCGCAGCTCGTATCCCCGAGAAATCGGAGCTACAGAAGGACCCCTGCTTAGTCACCCGGTCCCCGCGCACGTGATCGCTTATCGATAATCCTCGACACGGTGACTCGTGCTTTGCCGCAGTCCTGCTCGAGTTGCTGCCTTTTTCACTTTGTTGCCTCTTGCGCCTTCACGCTGCAGCCTCTCTCCATCTTCCACCCTCGTTTTGATTTGGTCGTTTTTGCGTTTTCGTTCTTTGAGTACTTGACGATGGAGGCGCTCGACGGGCCAGCCCCGAAAAGACGCAAGATTGAATCGAATCTCGTCCGGCCCTCTATCTGCCCCGCCGCGCCGTTTTCTGAGTACATCGTAGTCGCCCAAGCGCGCCTGAGAGCCTCGAAGGCCGACCCTGACCTCTTCACTGAGACTACCGACGATCCTTCTCTCGAGGTTACTGTGCTGGAGGTGACGAAGTCGCAGAGATGCTATGACATCCGATTCTCGGTCGGGCGAAGCAGGAGCAGCAAGCACATCCTGACCGACAGTCTGTCACCCAGTGATCTGCAGATCCTACAAGATGCTCAAAAGTTGGATTCAGCGGTGAGATACAAACACCCTGCAGCGCTGCCCCTCGCCTGTGCGTATGCCGTGGTGCAGCGGACGGGTCACGAGGTCAGCATACAACTCTGCATTTTATGGGAAAATACCGCCAAAGTGCGAGAAAAGGTCGATCCGATTCTGCTTGATATGCTAGGACGCCATCTCCCGCCCGTAGAACCCTTCGCGCCTTCATTTGAATCCTGGAACCCCCGTCAGTTTTATGACAATGTTCACGTTCCTGAGAAGTCGGATGCGAACTCCGCGGACATTCGGATCCCACACCTCGACTCGCAATTGTACCCCTTTCAGAGACGTGCTGTCCGGTGGCTACTCTCAAGAGAAGGTGTTGGTGTGCAATCAAATGGCGCTCTCGAGTCGCTGCCTATGCCGCCCGAGAGCCGGCTTCCGAGGGGGTTTGAAAAGCTTGAAACAATGTGTAATGAAATCTGCTTTGTCAATCACGCGCTGGGCGTTGCAACAACAAGTCTATCTGCGGTCGAGGAGCATTGGGCATCGGTCTCAGGTGGGATACTGGCAGATGAGATGGGTTTGGGAAAGACACTGGAAATCATTGCTCTCATCTGTCTGCATCCCAGGACAGCCTGGACGCCCAAGATTTCCGGGTTGAAACCCTGTCCGGCAACCCTGATCATCACGCCTCCATCAATTCTGGAGCAGTGGAAGGACGAACTTCAAGCACACGCTCCGACGCTAAGTGTTTTCCATTATCAGGGAGTAAGCAGCTACAAGAAATCTGGAGAGAAGCTCATCGAACAACTTCTCAGCCAGGACGTGGTACTGACGACGTACAATGTCATAGCAAAGGAAGTCCACTACGTGGCTGAGAAGCCAGATCGAAACCTGCGCAACAAACGTGAGGAAGCGCCGAAAAGCCCGTTGACTCAGCTTTCATGGTGGCGTGTCTGCCTGGACGAGGCTCAGATGGTGGAAAGTGGTGTATCTTCGGCAGCTACGGTGGCTCGCCTTATCCCGCGTCACAACGCGTGGGCAGTCACGGGCACTCCTCTTCGGAAGGGGCATCGAGACTTGTTCGGCCTCTTGCTCTTCCTCCGCTATGAGCCGTGGTGTCGGTCACCTCGGTTGTGGGACTATCTTATTAGTTACCACCGCCCTTTGTTTCGAGCCATGCTGGGAGAGATTGCCATGAGACATTCGAAGGAATTCGTCCGCGAAGACCTGCGACTGCCCCCACAAAGCCGACATACAATCACAATCCCTTTCACCGCTATCGAAGAACAGCATTATGCCCAGCTCTTTCAAGAATTTTGCGAGGAGTGCGACCTCGATCGGACGGGTGCTCCTTTGGGAGACGACTGGGATCCAGACTCCCCTACGGTGGTAGAGAAGATGCGGACTTGGCTTACTCGTCTACGGCAGACGTGCCTTCATCCTGAAGTTGGCGGTCGGAATAGGCGTGCTTTGGGTCGAAACACGAATGGTCCCCTTCGGACGGTCGAGCAAGTGCTGGATGTGATGATTGATCAACATGAAAGTCAACTCCGTACCGCACAGCGGAATCGATCGATTGCACAGATCAGGAGAGGGCAATTAAAAGAGAATGCGAAAGACACCGCTGAAGCTCTTCGGATTTGGAAAGGGGTCTATGACGAATCTGTTGACATTGTAAGGGAGTGTCGAAAACAATATGAAGAAGAGCGACAGTCATCGGATGCCAAGAAGGAGACGCAAGACGACGAAGAATCGAATCCACGGCTGACCACTTTGAGAGCCCGATTGCGGTCTGCTTTGGAAGTGCAGCACATCGCCATTTTCTTCATGGCCAATGCGTACTTTCAACTCAAATCCTCCCATCCCCCGGAAAGCGAGGAATATCAGCAGCTGGAGAAACAGGAGACAGCGGCGTATGAAGAGGCAAAGTCAATCCGTGGAGAACTGTTGAGAGAAGCCACAGGCCACGTGAACAAGATGATTACCACAGTCAGAACCAATCTGGCAAGCGGAGTGACGCAAATACCCCTGATGACGGAGCCCACGGGGTATGGCGGGATTGAAAGCAGGAAGATCTTTGAGAAACTCCATTACTACTGCAAGGCGATGGATGTTCAAGCCGCGCAATTCCACGAGCTGCGGCAGAAGATGGCGGACTTCTTGAGCCAATCTCTTATCGACGAGGACGAAGGCGTCGAACTTCAGGGTGATGAGTACGAGAGTTCGACCAAGCATCAAGATGAGATGTACGCATACATGGAGGCGCTCAGAGCTCTGTTTGCGGACCGTTCGGAAGCCATCAACGGTCAAGAAAACCTGCTCATTAAACAGGAGATGAAGCAGTTCCTGCGGATCGCCAAGGAAGGGGAAGGCCCGGCGCCTGAGTTGATGCTCCAATTGCTTGCTGAGCGTGAGGAAAAGCGGGTTAGGGTCAGTAAACTGGGTTGCCTGCGCGGGATCATGGCCGAAATCAGACAGATGGCGTCGTCGTTGCAGTGGCAAGAAGGAAACAACCAGACGCGTGCGAGTCAGGAACTGGCGATCCTGGAGCGGATCCTGAAACATGTCCAACAACTGAACGCGGCACAGACGAAAGTCCTTAACAGTCTCGAGCAGGAGGTGAATCACTTTCGCGATACGATGAACAGCCGGCTCGAATATTACCGCGCGCTTCAGAAGATCTCTGATACAGTCGCACCGTACCAGGAAGAGCACGTGGGAAAGCCTCTTTTTGAACCACACTACCAAGAGTTTGAGGAGGAGGAAGCCAGATTGCAGCAGAAGATTGCCTCTGGTTCTGCCAAGCTGCGGTATCTGATGCACATGAAGACCGAGTCCAAGTCTGCAGGTCCTAGAATCTGCGTCATTTGCACCGACAACTTCGAGGTTGGCGCCATGACCAATTGTGGCCATCTAACGTGCAAGAAATGTTTGATGCTGTGGGTTAATCAACACCACAACTGTCCTGTGTGCAAGACTAGGCTGCTTCTGAACAGCTTCCACGACATTACCTACAAACCCGCGGAGATAGCTGTGCAAGCCGAATCTCCATCTAGCTTCACCTCGTCGTCGACACCTTCGAGTTCGGACCATCAGCATGACCAGTCGATCTACTCCGATATCAGCACGACAATGCTGAACCAGATCAAGAACATTGACATTCGCGGTCCCAGCTTTGGCAGCAAGATTGATTTCCTGTGCCGCCATCTTCTGTGGCTCCGCGAGCACGACCCGGGCTCAAAATCCATCATCTTCTCGCAATATCGCGAATTCATCGACGTGCTCTCCCGGGCATTTGCGGAGTACCAAATTTCGTCGACCCGCATTGACGCGAAGAACGGCATTGAAAAATTCAAATCTGATCCGGCCATTGAATGTTTTCTGCTTCATGCAAAGGCGCACTCCGCGGGCTTGAATCTGGTCGTTGCAAGCCATGTCTTTCTCTGTGAACCACTAATCAACACCGCCATCGAGCTGCAAGCCATTGCGCGAGTCCACCGTATCGGACAGCATCGGCCGACGACGGTGTGGATGTATCTCATCGCCGACACGGTCGAGGAATCCATCTACGACATCAGTGTGACACGGCGATTGGCGCACATGAAAAGCAACAACAGTAGCGGCGGCAGCGGACAAATAAGTCGGAGCAAGAGCAGGACTGGCGCATCTTCAGCCTCTCAGTCAGGCACAAACACACCCAACCCGAATCACACCCTTCAAGAAAGTGCCATCGACGCCGCGAACTCCATGGAACTACAAGCCGCAGATCTCAGTCGGCTACTTGCCTCGGGCAAGTCGGGCGGGGAAATGGTCGACAAGGAAGATCTGTGGTCGTGCCTGTTCGGAGGAGTCAGACGACGCGATGTGGCACTGGACGCCCTGGCCGACAACCAGCCTGCAAACACGGAAGTGGGGAGGTTTTTGAGGGCAGAGGCCGCGGAAAGGAGGGCTGCGACAGGCTGAGGGTCCGAGGCGGAGAGATGGGGAGGTTGGGGATACGACTGGTCCGCGGCTTTGAATACAGATGCCCAAAGGCGAGGCAACGCAACGCAACGCAAACAGTTGGCGAAGCGTGGTTATCACAACTACAATGCCTCTCAATGTAAGACAAGGGAAGGCAAGGCGTCTTCATAGAACTGAGATTCCTTTGACCTAGCATTGCATTGATGTTTGTTGACTCTGCCTCTGCCCAGCTCTTGAAAGGGGTCGGTGGCACTCGATCATCCTCAGATTATCTATCGCCTACCTGACGTCTTTCTAGAAGATGTGGAAAGTGAATGGGAGGTGAAAGGTGAACTTTTCATCTTAAGGATCCCGTCGTTGAGACAGGAATCGAGTTCTTTCGTGGCCCGTCGCCAGAGCTGGTGGCTTTTATTGTTGCTCCTTCAGCTCTTTCAGCTCCTTGCCCTGGGCATCCGACTCCCAGCGGCGGCAAGAGAATGGGTTCTCGGAGCAGTCCGCTCGTTTATCGTCTTGTCAAGCTCAATCGGGAGCATAGAATGATGGTGGTGGTGGTCTGGAGGTCCAATATCAGACTGGACGTTGCCCCAGGGCCATGTTCAGAATTGGGGCCGTGTGTTTTTTTTTTCTCTCTTCATCGTGAACCAGCTGCTGGAATCGACCCCCGACACGGCGAACATGCCTTGGCTGCTTGTGTCCAAGAATGAAATGTGAAAGCACCTTCAGTGTGAGCCGTCGTGTCCTCTATCCCCCACCCAACAATCATCGGCACCAGAAGATAAAGGGCCCTCGCTCGCGCTTGGTGTGGCGACTCGCATCCCTCGTCGTCTCCGGGGCAGGATTCCCCTCCGCGGCCTCGTCGTGCTGCCCTGGTCCGCTTCCCGCGCCGTCCAGGCCCATGGCATCTTGATCCGCACCCGCGGCTTCTCCGTCCAACATTTCTAAACCTTCGCTGTATTCGACGCCGCCGGCGAGAATCCGAAACCATCGCCCCAGCAAAATTTTCTGGCCGGGAAGCACAGCCCCTTCGTACGCGTACGCGAATTCAAAGTCCCAGTCGAGATACTCGCTGAGCCGGAACTTCTCCTCCATCTCCTCGACGGCGTCTTTGTCGAGCTTGGAGCCGTCGCACCAGAGAGGGTTCGCGAGGAGTTTGGCGCGCAGGTACTCATCGAGTCGGGCGTCGATTTCGGCCGGGTCGAGGGCCGTTGAAGAATCCGCGCTATTCTGTGCCATCTGGGTCGTGAGCGCTGTGGTAAAGCTGTCGCCGTACTCTTCCTGGGCGTGCTCAAGCACTTGGATCAAGTACCGTTTGGTGGGTTTGTAGAGGATCATAATAATACGGTTAAAACCTGGGATGCTGTGGTCTGGATCCGAGTCGTCGCTTGGCGGCTGCGGTTGGGCCGGGATAGAGTGTATCACGCCACGAAGACGGAGGGCCAGATAGGGGTGATATTTGGAGAGTCGTGGCGCGGTTGGAAGCGTGAGCGTAGCTTGCGACACTGGGTCGGATCCTCTCGCAGCATTACCGGGAGATAGCTGTACAAAAGGAGCGAGGCCTCGGATGAAAACGCATTGGCTGAGTTCGGGGATTGTCTGTTGAAAAGCCGGGATGCTGCTGAAAATTGGCGACCAGAAGCCATCGACGTTGTTGTCCGTGGAGATGGTAAAGTCGAGTTTCTAGCCCGATGTTCAGTGCGCGTCGACGAGACCTTTGTCTGCTCACTTACCATAGGATCAACCTCCTGCCAGTCTTCCGCAAGGCTTTGGACTTCCTCCAGCTCTTGCCGCTTCCTTGGCCAGTTGCTAGCTAGCGTAGAATAGTGACCGTACCATTCCGTGGGAAGGTGTAGCAATGAATCTTCCGTGAGCGGCCTTTCCCACGGCCTCGGAGTGATCTCACGACGCATCAGCTCCCTTGCCATTTTCGCATATGTGTTCTCAGTGATGTCTGTCGATCCCAATCCTTTCACTGTTTCGATCAGATGTCGGTGCCAGAAGTTGCGGATGTGGAGGAGGGCATGGGTGTCGAGCTCGTGCGTCGGCTTGCTCGTTCGAGGTGGTCTGCGCCGCCTCCCACTGTGCCGTTGCCGGCGCCCGTTGGGTATGGCCGGTGCTAGGCTCTCCTTCTCGGCCAATTTGCGATATAGAAGAGATAAAGGTTTGCTCCAGTTGTACACAACGGCCATATCATAGTTTGTCCTTGATGATCGCACATTGTAGGCCATATGCGAAGCCGGCGACAGTAGGAGGTGAGATAACACCAGCTGGATTGACTCAAAGAGTGGATGTCTCTGACCGTACCGTCCGCTTCGACTAGGGAAGAAAGGGCATGACAGAAACATTCGTGCCCATGGTGAGTTCTGAGATGCGAATGCTGCAAGATTGCGAGATGTCAATCGGGGAGGAAGATGCTTTTCGGGTGGGTTGTAGGCCTCTGCGAAGAAGATCAGCTTCACCGAGATTGGGTACTCAGGTTGTTGGCCTTACCCAGGACCATATCCCTCAGGACCTCTAATTGAATCACTAACCTCTCATCTTCTGGGTTGTTGAACTCCACGAAGTGTTTTAGCACGAATTTCCGCAGCTGGTACGCTGAAGCGAATTCCGCCGTGTCAGTAACGAAGGGCCAATCGAAGTCACAGTTGAAGCGCAAGCGCCAAATTGCAGACTCCGGAGAGCTGAAGGCATTGGCGAAGGTCTTGCAGGTGCACATCAAGTTGAAGAGATCTTGATCGTTGGACAGGAGCCACGCAATCTTGTTCAGGATCTGGGAAATGGTCAGAGGCAGTGTCACGCTCGCATCTCTCAGAACTGACTTCAGTTGGAACAGCTTCGAACTTGCTGCTCTTACTCGGCGGACGGCAGTGGTTCTCGATACCAGAACACCCGGTCATAGAATGATCGTATGAGCGAGGAATGGATCTGGGCTTCGGGCCTTCCCTCTGGCTAGACAGAGCCATTCTGTCAAAGTCCTGTCCCCTTGCAGAGTCCATATCATCAAAATCTGAAGGTGGATCAGACAGAAGAGTGTCGGTTTCAGTGTCGGAGAAGCAGTCAACAGTGTTGCTGGAGGCCATGTCGACTGATGGAAATTCATTGTCCGACGTCAAGTGCCATCAACGGTCCAGCGAGGAGCCACAACAGAGAGAAGTGAGATGGCCGGGTGGGAGACAGGAAGAACGCAGGCTGGGGTAGCAATGGGCTTTGGACGCTCAATTCAAGGTGACGAGTCGAGTAGCAGATCGACTGGTTAGTGTGAAAAACAAAAAACAAAAAAGTGAAGTAGGTGAATGCAGGACTATGTCCAACGCCCACCCGTCTAGGCTCTGGAAGAAAAGGATGGCACAGTCTGACAGAGAACAGACGCCATCTCGGAATCTAACCAGTCGCTCAATAGCGACGAGGTGGCCGCCCAGATCAAATAGCTTATGTTGTTAATAAGGGTAAGGACACCGTTATGCCTAAGGACAGAATAAATGCCCTCTTCAATGATGGTTACCTTCAGTCAATAGTGAATCACTTCTCTGTATATTTCTCGTCAGCCTGTGCCACTTATTTTTGACATCGGCTCGCCGTCTCCCATTCCAGGGCTCTAGGAACTTGATGTTACTCCGCACGCTCATATCATGAAGGCCCTAAGGACGCCAACACACAAAACCACCCCAACATACATTAGGACCGAGGGCTGGTTGGACACTGCGGCCGATGAAGTCGACGTCGAAGAAGGCGACCCTGATGTACTCGAGGACGTAGCATTGCCCCCTGACACTTTGGAAATGAGGTAGATCTCGCCAGAGGCATCCGAGGACACAAAGATTCGACCGCGAGCATCGATAGCCATGCCAACCGGTCGGAAACAGTCATTTGGACACCTCGAGTTATCTGCGTTGGCGAAGATGTCTCGCGCAGCCGTGGTACTCTGGAGGTCGTCGACAGGCTGGCCATCACCGTGGAACGCCACGACGCTCAACTTGTATCCAGTGGGAGTGTCTCTGTCCCAACTTCCGTGGAAAGTGATCCAAGCCTCTGTGCCACTGTTGTTGAACTTGATATCTAGTGGAGCCATGTGAGCCTGGAAGACCAGGCGAGCAGGTAATTGTTCCGCACAATATACATCGGTCCGATTCTCATTGTTGGAGTCAGGACTGGCGTCTATGGCAAACTGACTGCCCACCGTCAAGTTGTCGTTGTCTGGCAAGTCCTGGACCCCCCATGCCGAGAAGCACCAAGGATAACCAAAATTGCCACCTTGAGGAGCATACTGGGTGCCGTTTAGATATCCCAGAAAGTTCATCTCTTCGGCAGGGTTGTCTTGGTGAACGTCGACGCCCATTCGAGTGATTTGGTCGGCAGAGTTCTCGACGGAAAACACTCCCCCAGAAACAGGATGCTCTGCAATGCCGACATCGTTCCTCAACCCCCAGCCCAATCGTAGCCCTGATGTGTCAAAATTGTAGGGAGTGCCTGTTTGATTGGTCAAGTTGAATGCCTTGATTTGAGAGTGGCCGGAGCTCAGACTCGCAGCTGCAAAATCAATGTTGGAGGTGCTGCCTCTGGTCACCACAAGTAAACCAGGGGCTTTCTTGGAGAGCAGCAAGGTGCGTGTGGTATGGTCACTGCCAGCCATGTTTGTGACGAGGACGGTGCGATTCGATACGGTCCTCGACGACTGAGAATATTGCCAGGCAAAGACCTGGTCCGAAGATGAAGCGTAGAGTGTTTTCCCATCCCCGGATAGCTCTATGCCATGGTTCAGCTGCGGCATGTCAGCTCTCATCGTTCATCGAGCTGGAGCGCATGCTCTTACGCCTAGGGGCGACGTGATATCGCTCGAAGTTCCCAGCGAAACACAGCCTGCACTGTCCTCATTCAGGGTATGTGCCGAGATGACTCCTCTTCCTTGCTCGACAACCATCAGATTACCAGCCTTGTCCAGGAGAATCCCGCGTGGTTTAGACAAGCCGGTCGCAACCACTTGCATACGGTAGCCAGAGGCGAGGGAAGGGTTTATCGAGCCAGACGGAGATGGGCCGCAAATCGAAGATGATTGCCCAAGGGCAAGGCGGACGGCGAACAGCGTCACCGCTGCCCCGAATAATGTCTTCATGATCTGTAAATGGGAATGTGAGGTAAAGATAGATAACGCTGTGGACAGGCCGTCAAAGGAGGATTCGAGGTGGGAGTAGAGGAGGAGGATCGAAGAAGGACCTCCAACGGAATGCTGCAAGAAGAGAATCCATGGTGTTGATGCAGGACCTGCGTGGGATGTATATGCAGTGGGAAGGAGCTGGTCGCCAGGTTCTTGTCGCAACGGCAGTCGATGATCTCATGTCTGCATCCATCTTGATGCCGGTGACGCTGCAAGTTTGGGCGCCATGGCGCGTCGGGAATCGCAGCCGACTATCCGACTGCTTCCTAGCGCATCCCACAGCCTACATACATGATACCATCCCTTCCTTCTCGACGTCTAGCCTACCACGGCATCACTCATTATCAGCTCAACCAGCAACACACGCTTGTTGTCGTTCGAAGGGCAAATGCGGTATCACAAAATCTCGCCCTTCAACTTATCGCCAACAAGCCACAAGAGACGCGTCACAAGGAGGAGTATTCGTATAGATCTATTCGCGGAATTCGCCCGGCGCAGTAGCAATGCCATTGCTTCCGTGTTTCATCGCTATTTCTATGTCTCTCGTATTGCGCCCCTCCAGATCAGTGAGCTTGAACAACTCCCGCCTCATTCGCTTGCGCACTGATCTTTTTCTTGTACGCGTTGATGTCTCCGGGGAACTTCTCGACGGTGCCCTTGTCACAGACCCACAGACTGGTGCACACATTCTGAAGCATCGTCACATCGTGACTAACCATCAGTACACCGCCCTGGAACTGCTGCAATGCAACCGAGAGAGCGTCCATCGCCTCGATGTCCAGGTGATTCGACGGCTCGTCCAGCACTAGGATATGTGGATTGGTCAAGGATAAACAAGCAAATGCGACTCGGGATTTTTGGCCTCCGGACAACAGTTCCAATTTCTGCAGCCCCGTCATCCCCGTGATACCAAAAGCTCCCAGGTGCCGCCGGTACTCTTCGTCGGTCTTGCCTGGGTAGGTTTTCTGCATGAATCCAACCGCAGACGTGTTCATGTCCAAGGCGTCAACATGATGCTGCGCAAAGTATCCGACGCGGAGACGAGGATTCTGCGATATGAGTCCAGAGGTGGGCTGAAGCTGCCCAATCAACAACTTCAGAACAGTTGTTTTACCAGCTCCATTGGGCCCCACGATTCCAATTCTGGAATCGAGTTGAACATCTAAATCCACGCTATGAAGCAGCGGATTTTCCTTGGTGTAGCCAAAAGACACGTTCGACATCTGGATAATTGGTGGTGAAAGCTTCTCCACATCCGGGAACCGGAAATGGACCGTATACTCGGCCTCGGGAGGCTCCAAAACCGGCATCCTTTCAAGCTTTTTGATACGAGACTGCGCCTCGGACGACTTGGCAGCGTTGTATCGGAATTTGTCGATAAAGGCTTGCAGATGTGCCCGTTGCGCCATTTGATTCTCGTATTCGCGCTTGGCGTTCTTTCTCCGTTCCTCTTTGGTGGCGTAGAAAGAATCAAAATTGGCCCCCTTGTAGTAGTCCAGTCTCTCAGAGTGCTGATGAATGATGTCGGTGGCTACTTCGTTCAAAAATGCACGGTCGTGCGAGACCACCAAGACGGTGCTAGGATATGTCTGCAGATAGTTTGACAAGAACGTGATCGACGGGACGTCCAACATGTTGGAAGGTTCGTCAAGAAGCAACAAATCTGGCTCACAGAACAATGCTCGTGCAAGAGCCAGCCTCATTCGCCAACCGCCCGAGAATGTCTTGGTGGCGAATTGTTGACGTTCCGGCGAAAATCCTAGACCTGCAAGAATGCTAGCAGCTCGAGACTCGGCCTTGTCTGATTCCATCTCGGCCAGTTTGGCTTGAATGTCACCCAAAGTAGTGTCCAACCCGTCTTTTTCTTTGTCCAGACGTCCGGCGTCCTTTGAAGTGTCGGCCATCGTCGACCGCTCGGCCTCAAGCGCTGCGAGTTGCTTCGTGATCTTCTCTTGCTCGGCGAGTAAATGTTTTCGCCAGACATCGGCGTCAAGCACGGCCTGAAGGGCCGGGGTGTCGTCTCCCGTGATCTCCTGCTCGACGTGAAGGATAGATATGTGTGTTGGGATGGCGACTTCACGCCGACTCAAGGCACGTAGAAGCGTGGATTTACCGATACCGTTCTGACCAACCAGGCCGTACCTCCGACCGTATGCCAACGTCAAGGACGTATCGGTCAAGATACGTTTCCCTGCAATGGACACGTCGATCCCATCCACCTTGATGTCTTTGCTTTTCGATTGAGCATCAGCACCAAGTTGCAAAGGGTTGACCGTCATGAAGAACTCTTCATATGATTGGGTGGGGTCTGGCTGGTTCAGCAATCTCGACGCCTCATACTCGACATTCTTCATGACTTTCTTGTCCTGCTTGGCCCGAATCTTCCGCTCGGCCTTTTCAAGTTTCTTTCTGTCGACCTTTGATTCTACTTTGCGGGCATTGGTGGCCTCGAGATCTACACCTGAGCTCGTCAGACCCAACGTAGATGAGATGTTCCGCTGCGAGCTGACTTGGATGGTCTGCTCAAGCTTTTTGGCCGTAAACGGCATCTGTCTCCTCTCGGGATCAATGCCATTGGCCTCACTCAACCTCGCAATGAATCTTTCGACCAGATTACGAATGGCAGCTTCATTCTGTTCTGAAAAGTTTCCTGACGCAGACACAAGCAGAGAAGTCACCGTATCAAGAGCTTCAGCCAGGGGAGACTGTGCAGAAGGGTCATCCTCTGAGAAATAGAGTTTGGAAGCATGATTGAGATATCCCTAAAAGCCTGGTCAGTTACGCAACAAGAGTGAAACAAGGCTGGGTTTGGTTTTCGGCGACTTACGACGGAGTATTCCGAAAGCACATGGTCGATGCTGGGGATTTGGGCCTGGATCTCAGCTTCCATATTGCACGGGTTACCAACAAGCACGACCGAAGCCTTTTTTCAACAACGTGCCACCTCGGTCGATGGCGTTGATAAGGATGACAGGGGTTTGTTGCGCAATCTCAGGCGTGCACTGATGGTGGTCTCAGAGCCAGGCTGCGAGGGACATCAGCTGAAGGTGAATGTGACTGGATGTTTCGGGAATGGTAGCAAGGACCAGTTCCAAAGCTGAATGCGGAGGCGGGACGAGACAAGAAGGCCGTCTCGCGGTGTAGTTGAGGCGTGGCTAAAATTGCAAGGGATTGAGGGAGGCGACTGGCGGGGCTCTGTGGCGTTGGCGGACCTGTCCTGAAGTTCTCTCTCCGCACCGTTTCTGGTCGGCTTCTTGAGGGCCTTAAAAAGCCAGAATCCAAGAACACGAAACCAGGTCAAATGCCGGATGGATTGCGAGACTAGACAACGCCGGGGTGTTACTGCAGACCCTCGGGGTGGCTCTTGGGACCTTGTAGGACGATGGAGTTTCTCCAAAAGGTCTCAGCTTGGGCCTAAGGGACAAGGACGATCGTTGCTTGAGGTGTAACAAAATTTCGAGGTGGTGGAAGGCTTCTCCGGGTCAAGTGCGAACCGCAGAAGCTGTTAAACCCGAAATTTCCGGTCGCCTTGGCAGTCTATACCAACTACGTCTTAGTCTCAGCTCACCATCTCTTCCAGCACGTACCAGCGCAGTTTCGAACCTCGTCCATGTCTCTTTCATCTCCCTTCACAACTGCGTCATTGTTGGACATCCTCGTGATCCCCGCTGCCACACACAAGCCAAATATTTGTTTGAAAAGAGCTACGCGTCATCCTTGTCTCGTCTCCGCCGTGGAGCTTGAATTTTGGTGTTTTTTTTGAGAGAGCGGGGAAGCCTCAAGCGCCTAGCGAAAACCCCGAAAGCAAGACGGCACCTACCACGTCAAAAAAGGAACGGTGCCCCACGATACCGGAAAAGACGCCCAACGAAAGCCATTGGCACTCACACTGCAACCGGGAGTGCCTCGCTAAAGTCACCAGTGTCATGCAGTAGTCAGCTGCGCGGATGACCGGCATCGACTACTGCTACGTGTGGTGCGGCCAGCGACACCTCTGGCAAGCCCTCACTATGACAAACAAGAGGAGCAACAAGGACACGCAAAAGAGGTTGTCGATGCTAGACGGGCGAGCGGCTACCAGGCTTGGACTGCCATTTCCCTCCCAGCCGGGGATGGCATTTGAAAAGATTTGAAAAGATTTGGAGAGATAGTTACAAGGACATCTGCGTCGTTCGATATAATGAACTAGACCATAAGTTCTATTTTCAGCGACTCTATACCCCTCCGCGGGGCCTATCACTACTGGCAAGCCAAGGCGTTCCTGCTTTGCGCTGATGGGTTCAGACATAACGTTTCAGAATATGTCATCTTGTTCTGGAGCGGGAAGATCCCCTAGGATGAGAGAAATTATCCAGTAGAGGGATCCTCCTTTGTCGGACTTTCCACCCAGGGTTCCGTATACGCATGAAACGACTGCTGCTGTGGGGGGAGCCTCTGCAGTGTTCGGACACGAGCTTCCAGATCATCGACGCATGGACCGTCCATCATGCCACCTCTCATTCCTCCTTGCAAACTCTGATGTCAAGCGGAGCTTTTGAGCATTGGCTTGTTGGTGCCCCGCAACTTATCTGCGTTTGCTTCTTCTGAGGCAGTTCTGCAAGTTGATTGCCTATTTGCAGTTGCTGGCAAGCCGCCGTAGTGCCATGTACAGCATGTAACACTTTGGTTCACAGCAACGTCCAACAATTACATTCACCAGCTGGTACCAGACGGGTAGCGAAGCTTGCAAAAGATGCCCTTTCCCGGCAGGAGCATTCTTATTCTAGCCCCCGCTGGCACTGGAAGTTCGGAATCCTGACTCCTGAGAGTGGCTGGGCTCTCCACCAACTTGGCTAATGGAAAGGTTTGAGGCAACAGGTTGGCTCATCCAGGCAAAGATCTCGAGCAACATCCTTGAACCGCTTCTCCATAGCACGAACGGCCAATCAGCAGGCGCTCTCTTTCCAGGACCTATTCCCCTCTCCTACTTCCAGCACCGAGTGGCATTGTCTGACAAGTGTCACGTCATCCGAGGCTGATGTGTGACAACTGAGAAGCACCTCTAAATCCCACCAGTCGGTCCAACAAACACGAGTTTTGCAGGGAACAGCCAGCCGGCTAGCTTCACCAATTGTGTGTCATCGTGACTGAATTGAGCTAGGCCGACTGGCACGCGACGCGAGATCTGACTTTGGGCGTGTCAACACCCACATCTCGTCATCTGGGACCCCAGCCTATCATGACGCTGAATGGGTCCCTGTTGTGAGGAACCAGCTAGCGGACCTCCACCCGGACGAGCCACGGTCCCCTGTTGACTCGTAAACGAGAAGCAGGCCCTTCCATGTCGTTTGGGGACCACTCGGCTGTCAGAATCTCAGACGAGCTCCTACGTGTCTCCGCCCTGGACCGCGCGATCGGCCTTATGCACCCGAACAACAAACAAACGACATTTGCGTTCGCCGTTCGGGGTCTGCAAACTTGTTTTTCGATTTGGCTTCTGAGCAGACTGTTGGTTTAGCCGCATGAGACATGCGAGCGGTGACTGCTTGGGCTCAGCGATAATGTTGGCCAATGCATGGCTAGCGGTCGTCCGGGATGGCATATCAAGCCCAGTGAATCCGCCTTGGTACTTTCTCATCCGATTGACCAGCCATTTACGTACATCCTGGTCTTGGGCTTCCAGGTTTATCATGGCGTTTCATGCTCTGCGAGGTCGCTAACGCACTTGACCCTGGCCAACTCGCTTGGTCGGCCTGGTGCTTGCTCGCTTTGGTCTTTTTCCCACCCCCTCGCGTCCCGCTGGCCGCCTTTTTCAGCTTCTCAAAGCTTGCTTCTTGCCCGATCTCCAGCTTTTTTACGTGGTCCCTTCATGCATGGAGACACAAACACGGCTGGGCGCACTAACAATGTTGCACCCAAGGTGCTGATTGTTTTGCCAGCACCAACTGAGTTTTGCTAAACTGCAAGAGCCATCCCGGCATCAATTCATTAGGTTGACAGCTGTTACTTTAACGGGTCGCTCATCCGCCGAAAAGGGCAGTTCAATGAACTTACGAGGTCAGAAACTTACAGGGTCCTGTACCATCCCTTGGCCGTTGCTGGATCAAGGGATGTGCTATTTGCTGGGTTTGCTGGGAACAACCTGGTCATCCAAGTAGAGTTCTGCACGGGCAAATGCGAGCAACAGAGCCTAGAGCACTCTTCTGTGCCGATATCACACCCAACATGCGAGTGCAGTGACATGCACGGACTCTATTTCCATTGCTCTTGTTGCGAGGTTTGCATCTCAAACGATCAACAGCGTCGTCCCGTACCTTGGGCGTTCGTCGATTTCCCGGAGTTTGCTCTTGACTCGGTTTTGTGAGAATTGTGACCGATATGCCTTGGTTCGAGATTCGAGAACAAAGTCATCGATACCGCTGTCAACCTGCCACGTCTGCTACCTGGGCTTCCTCAAATAGGAGAAGATTTTGCCCCCGACTGCTGCTTTGTAGATGCTGCCTTCCACGACACCCACCCCCCATCCAGACTGTTGCAAGTAGACAATTGTAGCACCACGTCTGGTTGAGTAGTGGCTGAGCAACAATACCGCTTCATCACGTAGCAATGTGGTTACAACGTCTGTAGCTGGCCGCGGAATGATTTGTGAGCAGAAGGACGCAGTGAATAGTGTGGTCGTACTGACTTGTCCCAACAATGGGAATCGCTCCAGCCTTTGAGTTTGACGCACCGGGAGCGCCCAGGGCCGTTTAGACGCCATGAGGGGGTGTGTGGGTGGTTGAGAGGATTCTGTTGCCCTGTGCATTTGCCTGCATTCTAGCCGTTCCTCCACGGTACCGGCTGGGGATGCCCCCCCCTGTGAGAAAGCATCGCCTTCTTGAGGCCCTTTTGACAGGAGGGCGACTTCGGGGTGGCTGTCAATGACATGGGCAGCTCGAACGGCCCCCTCCTATCCCAAACTGCAGCAGGCCACCACCACTGCCGACACAGTGCAGATGTGGAGGTTCACGAAGCAATGGCAATGGAGGAGAGGATCGTCTGTGTCTGACAGTGATGATACTTCAATACAGGCTCAATCTGAAGCCTAGTGAGCCTGGCCTTTCATTTGAGAAGCGACAGTTGTTGTGGCCCCATCGGGGTCATGGGCCACTGAGGGATCAACGTGCTAGTTATAAACCAACCCACACAGGCCAAGACTGGCGCCCCAGCCTTATCCATGGGCCCTGCCGGTTATTACCTATAACGCCAGTGAACGCCCTTGCACGCCTGGAAAGTCCTTGCGCGCCCCTCCACCAGCTAAAACTGGCTTACCAGCTGAGATTCCTCAAATCCTCCTCTCCTTCAATCGCACCTTGTCCTTTCACATCTCCCACCAGGCCTCATTCTTCGTCACCTTGTCTCTTTTCCTTTGTGCTTTTGTTCGTGTCTTGCGTCTGTTGTGTCTATTCTATTGCTCCTCAGGCTCTTAATCAACCGGGATCACCCTCCCTCTCGTCCTGAACCCGGCTCATTCCAAACCAGTCGCGTGTTCCCTCGCCCAATTTCCTGGCCCGCGTGTATCGGAGACCCATATCCCTTGCGTCCACACGTCTTCTAGAAACAGCCAACCAACCCACGACCGCTCTTCCTCCCAGAACTCTCTTCGTCCTTCTATTCCTCCTGCTGATGGTCAACCCGCCATGAGGACGGTTCACTCCAGCGGCCTCTGGAGCATCTGGGTTGTGGTGCCTCGAGGGCAATGGGCCTGTCAAGCATGATGGAGTCCAGACAAGAGCACGTTGCCACGGTACGGAGACCTCTTTGATGAAAACTCCCCATGCCGCTCACGCTTGCTGACGCTCTCACATGCAGCTCTGTGCTGTCGGCACACTTGGTGTTGCCGCTGCGGGACTGGCACTTGGTACATCCGAAGGGGATGCATACTTGATCAAGCCGGGCAAGAGGAAGGCTCCCGGCTCCAATGCTGCCACCCATTCTCCAATCTTTCCGGAACAACAACACCCTACGCGTCCTCATACGTCCCAGCCCGCTGCTTCCCTCCCAGCATTGTCGGAGAGACTGGAACGTCGGCTGTCAACATCTATCTTGAGGAGGAAGACTATCCGGGCACCTACCCCTTCCGCAGCAACAGAGAGTACCGGTACAGACTCTCGTGAAAGTTCGGTCAGCAGGCATGGAATATTAAGACCTTGGACATCTGACAGAGAGTCGTCAGCAGACGGGAGGGAACAAAGAACTCCGTCTACCTGGTTGAGACGAATCTCAAGTCTATCTCGTCACAGTCGAGGTAGCCCTACCTCATCTTCATCGAGATTAGATGACTCTCCGGGCCCATCCCGCACCTCTATGAACGACCTTGACCAGCCCAACAAGCTCGTCAAGCGTTCGTCCTCAAAGCGAATGCTTACGAGTGACGGTGTCACTCCGGCTCTTTTGAGACGTCCGGCTACGAGCCACCAAAGATCAGCAACGCTTTCTGGAATACCGTACACCCGACCTCTGACAACCGAATCTACGAGCCTTGAGTCACCGGGTTATATTACTAACGAAACCACCTGGCGACCATTCTTCGAGACGAGCCATTCGAGGAAGCGGCATTCCTCTGGAGTACCCCGAGAAGTCGGTGCTCGGACCATTTCAGCATCTCAAGGCTGCCCGCCAACCCTTCTGCTCGGAGGAGCCGTAGAGCCTCGAGACTTCACAGATATGGACGACCGAATATCACAACCGTCTGATTCCCAGGCGCCTCCGCCAATCCGTAGGCATAAGATTCGCCGGACCTTTGGCTCTGTGCGAAAGGGCATACCTCCACGCCACTTCACTGATCCTATCGTCAGGCTCAATAAAGATGAAGCCTATGGCAGCATTGTCCCCTCAGCTGCCTTTTCCAATCTGTCACCAATGTCGAATGTTTCCACTTTTGAGGTTGATTTGCCTCATGGTACCCCTGTCTTCAATTCGAGCCCCCCCTCGTATGGTCCCCCTCAAAACCGATTTACTATAGCCAAACGCATATCCGTCGCTCCTTCAGATCCAACCACGGCCAGCTCTGACAATGATACCAGAGTGTTTACGGACGATGATTCAATGGACTTCCAAAGCGATACTGCGTATGACTCACTAGCCACGCGAGCGACAGCCAGCAGTCATTCGGGTTTCCGTCAACCTAAAATAGAAACGATTTTTGATGAGATATCAGTTGACCAGCCGGCGGAGACATCCGCCATAGAAGAATTGATGCAACGAGCTACGTTAGATGATGCACAGTCAATCCAACGGGATGCAGGTCATGGACAATCTTCCAATATCGGTATTGGCATTAGTGGGCTTGAAGCCCAAGGGGAGATGCAAAACTTCAGTCCGGACCAAGCATCCACTCCAGTCAAAAGCCCCACAGCAGAAGTGGACGATTTTGTTTTAACGCCAGTTCCGAAGAGAAAATATCGTGAAGCTGTTGTTTTGGGTTCTTCCCCCCCTTCAGCACAGCTCTTTCCACGACCTCGGGACGTCGAACCGGAACTTCCCCCCATGATGGATATTGACGATGAAGATGACATCGACTGGTCGCCCAAATCTGCCAGTGATAGGAACCAAACGGCTACGAAGGAGCTGCCTTCGAGCCCAATCCAGAGCCGCTTCGAGCAGCCTTCGGAAGACGACTTTGATGAACAACATTCTACCAAGAGATCTTCCATTTTTGACTGGTCGGAACACCCCAAATTCGGCAGCGACCAGTCAAATGGAATCAATCCTCGGCCGCAAACCGTGCATGGTAAGCAAGGGAGCCATGTTGGGAGGAGTCGGGCTTCTGGACGGAAAAACAATGCAGCCATGCACCTCCGCAGTCAGAGTGTTCCGGTCGTCAACCGTGACAGTGTGTCGGAAACTGATACGCCATCGTCAGCCACTAAGTTTGGTACATGGGCTCTGGGCAGTAAGCCTGTAAGCGAGGAATGGAGCGATGACTTTGAGTTTGACGACGCTGATGTGGGCGAAGAAGCCCCGGGGACCGCAGCAGATGAGAGCAAAGCGATGAACCGGGAGTCGATCCGAAGCGTCAAGGTTCCCCAGTCCATCATTGATCGGCAGCAAAGTGTCCACGTACAATTCGGCCAAGTTCGGGATTTCATGTTACTAGTTGAAGAGCTTAAGAGACTGCGTCTTCGCGGTGCCACCCTCGGGCTTCTGGAAAGTCATTCGCGACAACTGTGGGAAGATGCTGGGAGTATCATTGACCTGGCTACCGTGAACGAGGATGATGAAGCCCTCCCGCGGGTACCTTCACCGGTATCATCGGACATATTTGGAGACGAGACCCCTCCACCCAAGCGGACCGTCGATGACGAAGATGGACGACTAACGAGCAGACGATCCATCTCGAGTCCAGCAACACCTCCATACGGCCGGCCGCGCGGAGAAAGCGTGCAGGCCAAGAATTTTCTGCAAGCCATTCACCAGAATAGAAGGGAGGCAGAAGCCTCACTTGCTGAGGAATCAATCCGTGGTCGTGGCCGTGACCGTGATAAGCTCCCCTTCGACACGCAGGACTTGAGAGATCTGGTGGTGAGAGCAGGCGTGATCACCCGGGCACTGAAGGAGATTGTGCGGAAAGCAGAAGGCGTATCGTTAAGCCCCGAGCGCCCTGCGCAGAAATTCCAGGAGCCAGTATTCCGGCAGATATTTGACCCGCCAAACTCATCACCCAGTCCAGAGTCAAGGAAGCCAGGCCTCCCGAAGAGCAGGAGTGCAAACAGCTACCTTGACACGGTGGACGCATCGGCAGATCGCGAGATTTCACAGCCACTGAACTTCACCAAGGTTGTGGAAGCTAACTGAAATCGGGAAACGAAACGATATCGGATTCCCCTTATTTCCTTGTGCAGCATTTGTACAGTACGACGGCACGGCGTTTATGATCAAGCTCGGACTATCGAATTGGATGCATGGGGAACGGCGCATGTCGTTATCATCAGCATTTGGGGTTTGGGCATTGGAAACCAAAAAAGCAAAAGTGGGAAGGACCAAGGACAAGGACAAGAGCAAGACCGAGGGTTTTTGTAATAACTGGACGGGAGAAACGTGCATTGCACGAACTTGGGCACTGACACTGTGATGGATACGCATTATGGACGGCTTCTCTTTTTTTTGTCACGATTCTCATGGAGGAGTTTGACTGGTCGCAGCGATCTCCCATGCAAAAGTCCTGTGGGAGGTCAGCTGTTCCCGTTCTTCGAGTTCTCCGTTTCCATGCACAAAGCATTGAATGCACTAACAAAAAGCAAAGCAAAGACACGAGCGGCAAAGGGGCAACGAGCAAAGTATGAATGGTTTGTAGCGGGCCATTTGTTTAGGTCTTGAAATGAATGAATTGGGCGGACGGGGTCTGCTTGCTCGCTTGCGTATATCATTCCGATTGTGAGATGGTATCGTCGAAATCCATCAGCAGTATCACACAATAGAGAGTAGAATGAGCCTGGGGTGTTTGACCCCGAGAAGACGGGCTGTTGCTGTATCTCGCAGGGCAAAAGGAGGAAGTTCGATGCCGCAGTTCCGAGATTTTGCTCTCCAACTTTTGGAGCTCCAAAGGCTTGGCGTGCCAGAAGGTTGTCGACCTCAACTCTCACCCACCACCACCACCACCCCCCAAGGACCTTGATCGCGTTCCAGCTTCCCATTGAACCCAAATCCATCGTCCACGTCAAGACTCTCCGCTCTCGTCGACTCTGAAGGGAGGGAAGACGATACTCTCGGCCCCTCTACCACCCTCGGATTGACTTCTCTGACGGCCGCCGTGTCCTGCTGCTCGGCACCTCTCCGCTCCTTCAAAGCAACTCTCGGCTCGCAATTACATCAATCACCACCCCAAGATACCATGTTGCACCGCTTACCCTCTCGCCTTGCGCGCCCCTCGGCGTCGCTCCTTTCCTCCACCGCCTCATCGTCCCGCTTCACCCTCACTCGCCCCTCGATCCGTGCTGCGACCACCGCTCACAACGAGCACCGTGGGCAAGACGCCCACGCCAGCCACCACGGGGACGCACATGGGCATGACGACCACTTTGACGCCCCGGCAGGATGGCTCTGGGGCCAAAGACCCGGAGAGAAATACGAAAAGGAAGGATGGGAGGGTCTTGCGTGGGTGTTTGTGGCGAGTTGGGTCGTGGCGGTCGCAGCGTATACCATGAAGGAGGATACCTCGTACGTGTTCCCCCATCTAATCCTGCTTGTTTCCTCCCCTTTATTGGCTGTTTTGGATCCGTCAGTCGTCAAAGGTCTATACTGGCTGCTCGCGGCTTCCGAGCACAAGAAGCTACTACGTTTCCATCCGTCCTTCTAGCCCCCCGTTTGCATCAAATCTTCCATATCACAATGGAGAATCTGACTTGTAATGTTCTCGTTTTAGGATACAAACATGGGCTCTGGAGGAGGCGCGACGAAGACTGGAAAAAGAAGGGTTCTATGACGACAAATAAACCGGCGGGCTACAGCTCTATTCTTCTGAGGGGGCGGTATCGTTACAGTCATGAATTGGTTGCGTCGCGCTTGGAAGGCTGTCCAAATTACGCGGCAAGCTCTACATTATGGCGTTTATGGAGTCTGTGATTTCCAGAGTGGTGGTTGATAGACGCAAGATGGCCCCTCACAGCCTGAGCAGTCTGGCTTCAGGCCATCGAATGAGCGAGCGGACAGGGAGAGAACAGCAACAAGCAACATCAAACCGGCAGGTCTCGACGGCGGCTCAGTGGCGTTCTTTCAATACCCTACCCTCGGCGTATCGCTGAGGTGGGTTGCTACTCACCGTCTCTATCCAAGGGGCTCAACTTGGTGGGCCAGTCGAGACCTTTTAGAACATATACCAAATTGCCATGACTGTATATACGATGCTGGTTCCTTTTCCCTTCTCTGCTTTGCCCCATACCTAGAAACCTACGAGCCGAAAGGACCTCCCGGATAACAGTCCTGAAACATCCCACTCATTGCCCTGATTCCTTGGTAGGGTATCTAGGCACCCAGGTACCTACAAGGTACGGAGTAGTTACAGGTCAATCTAGACCTTGACCTTGACCTTGACCTTGACCTGGACCTGGACCGAGTCGAGATCGAGGAGCAAGCAAGGATATGAGTGACGGCCTTTGATTCGATTGCGGATTGTCTTTTTCTTTCCTTCTATCTCCTCCCAGCAAGCAGCCATCCGGCTTCTCTTGAACAGGAAACTTTCCATCCACTCCCCTCGCGGCCCGTCAATCATTGTAATGCTGTGCTCTGGCATTCCGTGCTATCTATTCTATTCGGTATTCATTCTCGCACGGGGAGGCAGGGTGGGTGGCGGAAAACGGTGCTGTTCATCCAAGCGCCCTTTGGCCCCCGCAGATGTAGGTACGTATCTCTTTTCTCGACGTTTCATCATGCGACGTTCAGTTTTCCCTTGTCTCTAGCTGTGGTGATATGCGTGCGTATTCTCTTCCATATAACTTGTTGGCTGGGGTCTCTATTTTCCTTGACACTCCAAAGCATTTCCTCCAATTAATTCGTTAACATCATCCTGTCGTACGCTTTTGTCATGGTACAAGCTGAAGCAAATTGTATCTCCGTGCAAGGAAACCACGTCCGTCGCAAGCTTCTCTCTAGCCGTTTCAGAATATGTGGCGAAAATGTGCGGAGTGTCGTGGGTAAAACACTCCCTATACGGTTCAGATATAGCGTGAGAAAGAATAAAAATTGAAGTGGTGTCAACGCCCGCCAGATATGCTGCAATTCGCTCTGCACACTTTCAAGGACTGGTGATGCATAATCCTCCGATTTGGCGCTGAACTGTCCGTTCCAAGGTCGACAAGAGGATCCGTGTTGATTGCTTCGTTGCAGTGTCCGAGACTTTCTAATTCTGGATTGTAATCTTCTCTTGAGTCAGTCCTGGTGCCTTCTCATCTCAAGACCATTATGAGGTCGCCCGTCACGGCAAAAACACATCGACGCCGACCTCGTTGCTCCATCCAGGCTCCAGTTCCATCTCCTCCCATGCTGAAGCAACGTCGATCTCTAGGATACCACTTCCCTCAGGTCCATGTTCTGCATTGAACGCAACAACATGTTGTGGCACGGCTTTTCCTTGGATGATGACCATCAATTCTTCCACCTTGCGCTGCCGAGACTCGACATCTGAAATCCAAATGCCGAGCACGCCAAGGGCCTTCAATTGCACATGTATCTTCAGTCGATGGGGAATAGATTCGGAGTCTACCTCAGCATGGTTGAAGCTCGATTCCATAATCGCACACGCGCCGGTGAATTTGCCCAGTAGACCCAGCACGGCGACGTCGACATCCAAGTTCGAGGCTGGGAGATGAAATGTGTGCACAGGAAGGGACGTCCAGACGTCGTACCCTCGTGGTGGTAACGTGCACTGAAGCAAGCTTTCTGCTCGAATCGGATCCGAGGGGTGAATTGGAGGGGTGATGCGTTTTGACATGTGGGAGCGGGCGATCCATTTCCGACTCGAAATTTGCGTTGCTCCGTCCGTTGAAGCTGGGGCATTCACGCCAGGGAACTTTGTGATTGGCAGGATGAAGCTGATTTCCGACTCGGCAATATTGAACACACCTAGCATTCCCGAACCAACGTCGGACCTGCCATCGTAGGCGCCAATTTTGAGAACCCCTTTCTCGTCGTACTTGTCGTAGACGCCCATGGTCTTGCCAACGCAGCTAGGACGCAAGATGACCGTCTGACCTCTCGGATTCAAAGCTGTCATCTGATGGATCAAATCCACATCGTGCTCTCCGGGTGTGTCCGTAATATAGATAGGTCCGCCTGATACACAACGTGCCGCCGCGTGGAAGCCGCTGTACGGGTGACTTGATTGAAACATGTCCCAATCAGGAAGTATATTCAGGTGTTGTGTAAATAAGGCGTTATGCGCATTGACAAAGACGTGCCAGGCATGGGACGTCGGCACGTCAGGAAAGAAATCGTCACTGTTGCGGAGGAGAATCCTGGGTGTGGTCGTGGGAAGGAAGCTGTGGAAGAGAATTTGTGGAATCATCGACATACACGAGATGGCTTTTCCAGAAAGATGGCGTAGATGTGCCTGCGTCCACGCCGACTGGTAGGTGTTGGTAAATGATCGTCGATCAGATGTGTCCGCCAGGAGATCAAGTGAAAACTGAACATCGGTTTTGACGCCAGTCACCCCAGCGTTAGACAGGAAGCGGTAGAAGTCGTCGTACATTCTGTGGATGTCGTCCGGGTGGATGGTGAGCTTGCGTCCAGCCATGGGAGTTCCGTCACGGAATGTGACCTCGAGCGTTTTGTACTTCTTCGCGATATCGCCTTCTGGAGAGATACCGCCCCAATAACCCATCAATGCGTGCCAAACAGCGACGTCACGTATCTTGGGGTGAGCCTCTTTGATTTTGTCTATGGAAGATTTGAGTCCGTCAGGGAATCCCAGAGGGTTCGCTTCGAAGTCCTTCCACCCTCGATGGAACTGGTTCGTGGCTCCTTGAGTGCCGTCGAGAGACTGCCAGTTGTCGTCGATGATCAAGGTTGAGATATGAATCTGGTGTTGTGCAAGGGAATCCAACCCGGCCATAATCTTTTCAGCATTCAGATCCTGCCCGAGAGAGTTCCATGTGCAGTACGCCAAGCTATCGTACCAACTTGCCAGCCACTGTGGGTTGATGGCGGGTTGATCCGACGAGGGTCTGTCGTGATTAACAAGAACCGTGTCCGAGTCAAGCGATTCCGACCTGATGCTCTTTGGCAGCTGCTCTAGTCGTTCAAGGTTTTGCTGATAGACCGCAGACTGTCGGACCAGCTTTCGCATCTCATACATAACGGCAGCATTTGCGATTTCGAACTTCCATGCTGAAGCCGCCAGGACCTTGAACTTCCGATCCCGCCCAGAGTCGTTTCTCGATTGAACCACGATCTCGCCATCGCGCGTCGACCCAAACTGAGTAAGGACGTCGTCAATTCCATTGATAGCCAGGATCACAACATGGAGACCATCATATCTCAGAAACGACAGTAATATCGCTGGTTCCGATAGCTGCAGCTGATGCTCGCCATGCCGAGGAGCAAACCATGGTTCCCATATGCGAACCAAGGCAAACCACCGGCAGAGCTGGGTCACTCTGCCCAGGACGAGCGATTCGAGTTTCGCATTTCCTTGACTTGAAGGGATGGGTTGAGCTGACTCGATGGTGTAGAGGCGCGCTTCTGGCGCATCGCTGGGGGTCTTCCTAAGAGTCCAACCTTCACCGACTTCGACTGGTGATGCGCCCAGGAAGTTGGGATCGACGGGAGGCTGTAGAATGAGTTCCCCATCACGGATGCCGAAATTGTGATAGACCCAGGACCATTCCGAATTGGGATCGACTCGATAGCGGACGGTAAAAGGGACTCTGCGACCCTTGTAAGTTTTTTCGGCCGAAACGAACGGGCTGTCGAGGTCTCCAGAAAATGTGTAACGATAATTAACTGTTTGGCTATCGTCATAAAGGACCGCTGGAGTGGTGTCGACTAATTTCAGATCCAGCGCAAGCCAGGGAGCCTTGGTCCCAGAGTAGCTCGCGTGATCATACCATATCGATACCTCCCACGGTCTCTCCGGCAATGATTTCGAGGACTCGAGGACGACTGTAAAGTTGAACTAGGGGAAATGTCAAAGCGATGAACAGGGTGTGGAGGAGGGACGGTCAAGGAGACGTCATGATCACGCAGGGAATCATGCGACCATCGAATAATGTTCGCAGGCTCTCCCTATTGAGTGCCAAAAGACCACGGGAGAGTGGACAGGGAACTTACTTTGTCTCTTGTCGGAGGGACAACCGTAACCTGGGCCAGCGGAGGATATGTTGCCAGTTTGGCGAAAAGGGCCATTTGCGCAGGACGATAGAACTTTATCTGGGTCGGCTTCGCAGGAGGAGAGGCGTGGGAGGGAGAGGAAGAAGGAACGGCGAGATCGGAGAGCGACATGTGAAGAAAAGGTGCATAGCAGGACTCGGAAATGATAATCCAGTGCGTAACAAGTGGCGTCTTGGGAGATACAGCAATGAAGCAACGGCTATGGTCGAGGGGAAAGCGATACAGAGCCGGGGGGTTCCAACTGTAGTGAGCTTGTCGGATATGGTAGAGGGACCAATAATGGCGTAAGCCCTGGATAGAGAGCCGGGCTGCCAGACGTACGCCACAGAGCTTGATGGGACCCAGAGTTTGGTAACACGACAATGTGGTTGGTTAGACGAAGGGGGGCGATACAAGGCCCAGCAAGGGGCCGGTTGTGGTCGTCAGATGTAGGGATGAACTCCCGTGCTCCCCCAGAAACTCCCACTATTCAAGGCACCATGACATATTCTCGCAGCTTCTTCTCACGGGTGCCAATTCCGTCCCACAGCGCCCGAGGAGGTATTGTTTGCTGAGCAGATGGAGGCGGGGTCCGAGAGTGACGGTCTTTGACTCGACTCTGAGCGTTGAAACGTCGATCGAGGATCGTGGATCGTGGATCGTGGACCGCAGAGGGAAGAAACTGCTCGGTCCTCTTTCCGAAGTGGCCCTTGAACGTCTAGAAATTTCTGTTTGTCTTCTTCCTCTTTGACCTTATTGGGGGGGGGGGGGTGCAAGAGAAGATGTGAGGGTTGTTGAGTTGTTGGGCAAGAGTTTGAAAATGAACAGCGACCAGAGGGCGAGTCGAGCAGCCTGAGAGAGTCACGTGCCGTTAGAAGCCACACATGCCATTTCATTGACGGTGCATGTTCTCCGTCCACGACACAGCTACTACTACTAGGTACCAAATGCCTTTGCAACGTTCATCAGTACTTGTATATCCTCCAGGCGCCTCCTGTGTACGGCGTACGTATCCTGCTGTCCTATAACGGTTCTCCTACAGACACCCTTGATAAGTGCGCTGGGAGCAAAACTCAAAACGGGAACCCGCTTCTGTCGTGGTCTCATCTTAGTGACCGCTTTGAATCCATCGCCCCAGCCAGGCTCCGGTCGGGTAGCAGTACATGTGCCGCTCTAGCCTGAGAGGACTCAGTTCTACTGTAGCTATCAAAGGACTTGTACCGGGCATCGCCCTGCCGAATCAAACTGGCCGAAGATGATCCATACCCCCCAGTAATCTCGTCTACTGACTCGGCACTTCATATTCCGTATACATCCTTCAATTCGTCGTCCTCAGATGCTGAATCACTGCCAAGGTCCACGCCGCTGTCCACGAACCCAGTCTCGGTGCCGTCTGCACCCACATGGCTCCGTTCGCGTGGTAGCTGATGCACCAGATATTCCACTGGCGCCCGTTGCTTTTTGCTCATCACTTCCTTCATGTGTTCCTGCACCACCGGCAGTATCTTCGCTGCTTTCGCGATCGTCTCTATCGTCCGGTGATTCAGGGCCTTGATGCTCATGGTCACTGGCTGATAATACTCTTGCTCCGCTTGCCATTTGCCTTCCTTTTCGCCCTTTTCTTCCGCAGGCTCCCCGCCAGCCGTCATCTGCGAACCTTTCCGTTCCACCAAGAACGAACAGATCATCTCCAATCCTCCCGGACGGATTTCCAAGACCGCATACTCGGGAAAGAGCCATCTGTCCGGACAGGCAGCTTGATTCCCCGATGGAACGCTCGTAATCTCCATTACAATGTGCTTGATGAAGGGCTCTGGTCGGGCTGGGGGTGGTGGTGGCGGCTGCGGCGGCTGAGGATGATACCCAATGTAGCTTCCCATTGGACCTCCACGCCCAGTTGGTGGAGGAACATGTGGAAACGTGTGCATCACTCCGGGTAGTACGCCTGGTCCTAACGGTGGACCTGCAGAAGCAGGAGGAGGGGGAGCAGGGGTAGCAGTATCTGGATGCTGACGTGGCGGCGGTTGTGAAGGATTGTATGTCGACGAGCGCCCAGGGACCATTGTAGGTGAGGGATTTGACGAGGGTCCTGGGGGTAAAGAACTAGGGGCAGTGGGGTTAGACTCAATGGCCGACTGTTTTGAGGCTTCTGGAACTGTTGGCGTTGTTGACGGTGGTTGCTGGCTTGGTGGCCGCGAGTCGCCTTTGGGAAGGCGCTCGACTTCCTGCCGCCGGATCACTTCGTTGAATTCGTCAATATGAGCCTGGAACTCTTTTAACTGCTCAGGTGATGCCCTTGAAGTTGCCACGATTTTCATCAACTCCTTCAACTGAGGATCAGACGCTGCTCGTGCTGCTAACATTTGGATGACTGGATCTGTCGTACTCCCTCTCCCCCCCGGAGGCGGATTTGGCCTTGACTCCGGACGCGGCGTCTGAGGTTGTTCGCGCGGGGATTGGGCCGGAGGAGGGTTTGGCGGAAAAGAAGCAGCGCAGGGTCTTGAATCCTTTTCTTGTTTGATCTGGTTCGGAGGAGGCCCAATTGGCGAGGGGGACGGAACCGCTGAGGGTGGGGTATCTCTGACCGGTGCGGGAGGGTTGGGAGCCCGAGGCAGGGCTGATGTCGACGGCGATGGCGATGCAGACGGAGGTGGATGCAGAGGTTTGGCATGGTGGTATGGACCAGGAGGCGGAAAGCTGGTATAGGGAGAGTGAGGAGGCGGCGGCGGAGCGGCCATGTGCTTCAAGGCATGTTGATTTGGATGGCGTTGAAACGGTGGAGGACCCGTTTGATCACGAACCGTGTAGAAAACTATATCAAACGTATGGGGCTCGATCGTCATAGTCGCAGCACCTAACCTTTGCATCGATTTGGCGTCGGGGTTGTTGGGAGGAGCCTCTATAACACCCTTTCTCTTGACAGGCTTGACCCAGTACTTTTCGAAGATGCCATGGTATAGCCACTGCATCCGAGAGCGGTGAAGAGATGCGGCAATGACCGCACTCTCTGCAATTGACTGATATTCCCGCACGGACAGGTTGGAGGGTTGTTTCTCTTTGATCGTGGGTAGCGGCTGATTCGCAACAATTCGAGTGGGAAGGACATCCTCGCCAACAGAGATCGAGGGGGGAGAGCGTGAGACCGAGATTGGTGTTTGAACTCGAACCAGACTGGCGCGTTTCTTGTAAGGACGCTTGTGGCGAGGTTCTGAAGAGACAGCGGAGGTTTGCTTGCGAACAGCAGGAGTTGACGCAGACGCGGGTGCAGCAAGTTGCGCAGGCGAGGACGCTCTTCTTTTCGATGCGGGATCTCGTCTGTCACGCGCGGGCAGAACCCGTTTCTGAGGAGTCACCTCGGCCATGACCGAATCGAGGGCGACCTGGAGGTTAATAAGCCCTGCTGCCGGCCCAGATTCTGACAAAATGAGAATAGTATACAAGGTGAACCTCGTGCATAGGAGAGATATTGGATGTCTGAACAATTTCGCCGCAGCAGGTGACTGTGGAAGGTTAGCCGGATTCCCTACACCGCGCCATAGCCACCGCCGCGCCAACCTCAGTGGGCGCAGTGAGAACAGTGATTGATCAATCTCGTATTATGTGTCTTGTCACCCAAATTGTCGCAAGTCCCAATAGCTTTCGCCTATCTGTACACACCCAAATTCTGCAGGTGGCATTCAGCCTGTCTCGAATAACAGGCTTCCACAATGGACGTGGGCAATTGATCCGTCTTGTATCAAGGCCCTTTTTGTTCCCATAAACAGCGTGCGGCCGCTTGAATCCACCTGCTGGGCTTCATGCTGAGATGGCTTTTGACAGCTTGTTCCGCAAAGCCTTCTGGGCGCTGGCTGGATGCGGATTGATCTATGCCCTGGCTATGGGTGCTTTGACTGTGCCGGTTGTCCAGCGCAATGCGACCTATGTCCACAACATCAATCCCACTTATTTCCAAGATCTGAACAATACTGAGCAGTTTGGCTTCCTCCATCACCAAATCCAGCCCTTTACCGTCGTCACTCCGGACAATGTGACACTGTTTGCCTGGCACATCCTACCGATACACCTGTACCACAAGCACGAGAAATCCTTGACAGAGCAGTCAGATTTTGGACTCAAACCGTTCGAGGTTGCGTCCAAAAGCACTGGCCTTCAACTCCTCCTCAATGACCCTAGAGCCACTTTATTCGTACTTTTCCATGGTAATGCCGGTCATCTCGCCTCCAACTACCGCCCTTCTGCATATCAGCAGATTCTGGGGGTGACGACACCGGAGAAACCGGTGCACGTCATTGCTTTCGACTACCGTGGATTCGGCCTGAGCACTGGCAGTCCCACGGAGCAGGGTGTGATTGAGGATGCGGTATCGTTATTGTCTGCTCTAACTGGGGAGTCTGATGACGGCAAGAATCGACGCAACACAGGGCAACAGTATGTGGACCCAGCCCGGGTAGTTTTGGTGGGACAATCCATGGGCACGTTTATTTCGACGGCCTTTTATCACAAGTGGTTGGAGCTCAACAGAACCCCGTTTAGGGCTTTGTTGTTAATCGCCAGCTTTACTTCATTGCCCAATTTACTCGAGTCTTATTCGTTCAAGGGCCTCACTCCTCCAATCTTGTCCCCGTTGATGGCATATCCTCGACTCCAGCAATGGTTGCGCTCCCAAATCCAGGATCAATGGGACGCGAGCTCTAGGCTAGTGGAGTTGGCAAAGACGCCCGAGGTTCAACTCAAACTGGTCATGCTACACGCGCGCGACGACTACGAAATCCCGTGGCGAGAGGGACGAGCCAATTGGGACTATGCACTGGAGGCTGCAACTAAAGGCAAAGTCGATTTCCCTCGCAACCTTGACCGAGAGGAATGGAGAAGCTCAGACGGCAGAAAGCATCTACGCTGGGAAAGGGTGCGGCATGGAGGGCATAATAGAATCCAGACAAGTGAACAGGTTCGGCTAGCGATATTGCGACTGATAGAAGGTGAATAGACGGGGCTGCTAGAAGAGATGGAAGCATTGCAAGCCCAATACCTCGTAGGCCTGTGTTGTTGTCGGGTGCCTATGCTGACAGGGGTTAAGCGGGAAGACGGTGCTGGGCTGCCCTGGAGATCGTCTTTGTTCACGCCCACAATGGACTCCACCACGGTCAGATTCAGAGATTTGGATGACGCGAGATGCGAATCTTTTTCTGCTGCAATGGGTGGCATTGAATAATATGGCAGCCTAGTTTTGGTGCGTGTAGGGATGGGAGACGTGCGCTTCGGGGTGTCTGAGTGGTGACCATATGGACATCTGTCGTGTTACCATAGGACAATGTGTTTTTTCAGTAAACACGTACCAAGCACAAATTAGCCTCCCCTTCAGCCACGAGCACTGGGCATAGAGGTATACCTATCTAGGGATTAAATGCTCAAATCCCATGGGACGATTTGCCTGCAACCAGCGACCCTCCGCGCAGCCGTCCGCCCTTAGTCCGCCCTTCGCCTACCCACCTCGCCAGTTTCGCCACCTCAAATCACCACCAACTACCGCTGTTACAGGAAGGTGGCTTGCTGTGACGGGCACAGACCTGGCAGAGACTGGTGGCTTGGATCATGGCATCACCGCTGGCTGAGACTATTGACTGAGTTTTGAGACTCTGGCTTACATTCAGCTAGTTGACACCAACTAACACGCCCAGTGACCAACCGCCATCCAGAATCTTTTGCCGACTCAGCAACCCGCGGTTGCGGCATTTCAGTAGCAGTCGGTGCACTCGTTCGTTCGCAATTCCAGCACTCAGACATCAGGCACCAAGCTCCCTCTATTCGGTCTGAGCCATTACCGCCTCGTTCTCTGGATCGTCTTGCAGCTGCAATGATCCCGTCGGCCCCTGCGCGCAGGAAGCTGCGATAGTCCCTGCAGTGCACCTGCGCTCTATGGGCAGGTGACTGAATGTCGACGTCTACACCTCCAAATGGCCGAGCTGCCAACGACGATGTCGGAGGGTCAGAGCACCTGGATCCCAATCACCTGTCTCTGCCTACCTTTCACTCCGTCCGCGAATCTTCCAACGAACGAGACGGTCGAGGCTCAAGGACCGAGTCGACTGCTTCAGGTTCTGCGAGCCGTCGAAGTCGAAGTCGCAACCCCGACCTGCCATCTTCCCGATTACTAGAGCGTCTTTCCTTTGGAGGAAGCAATGCTCGAAGCGACGGGGACCCTAAGAGCAAAGAGAAGGAGAAGGAGAGGGAGAAAGAGAAGGAAAAGGCAAAGGAAAACGACGCTCCGCGGCACAATGTCTCTCGACGTTCTGGTGGCTTTCTTCTCGAGCCCGTCTCAAATTCCAAGCGAGTGTCTCGCGCATCGCCGGTTCCTCCCACTCGGAAAGATCCTGAAGGGAAACGGAATAGCGGCGACTCTGAATTGACGCTGGTAAAGAGAAGGCACAGAACAAACGGCCACGCCAGCTCGTCGTTCAAAAGTTCTCCATTGGCGGGCGAGGTCAAACAGGATCCCATCATATACAACTATCCCAGCTCGGATCAACTTGTTCCTGGTACTGATGTTCGACGGTCCCTCTCATCCTCGCACAATGGCTCCCAATTTACAGGCATTCCCGCATCAGCCTCGCGTAATGTCGAAGTGCAAAGAACGCCCGTTGCCATGGTCGGTTTTGACAATGATCCAGCGCAGATAGTCAATATGGCTCTGAGCCTAAGTGAAGGTCGACGACGCCTCGCTTCAGGAAGGAGGTATGTCTCGACCGAGCAGGGCGAACGTCGCGTCGTTTCCGCTGCATCAACCTCAAATCCGAACAACACCGTCCGGAGACGAAGCATCGCACCCTTCCTGGCGACCAACCGTCAGTCATCTCAGGGTGGCTCTCCCAAAAGGCACACTTCTAGCAAACACCGGGACTCGAACACGCCGGCGACGCCGGTGTCCGTTGATGTATCCGTCACTGAAGTTGTCCCCAATCTCGACATCGATCCTGATTTCGTGGACCAAATCTCGCCGGCCACTGCAGCCCGTGTTGAGAAAGCAAAGGTGTATTTTGAACTCGCCCACGAGCATCGGCGTCTTCTCCCACATCTACCTCCAATACGAAAACCAGGTACTCAACTTGGATTTACTGGACCAGAAGCGATGCAAAAGGCGTACAATCCTTTGCAATACGTCCGAAACCGTAAGCTCCGCATTTGGGAAAAGACACCGATCAACAGCGAGGCCGAGGGATGGCATGATGTCCAGAAGGTCAGAGCCTGGGTTGACGCAGTGGTTTCGAGCCACCCAGACACGCAGCATGATTCCTTGGAATGTGTCCGGTTACCTCCGCTGGACCTCCGGAGTGCGGATACTGATCGTGAAGATACGGACGACTCGCCGGATGAGCCAAAGAGTACAGTCCTGCCTCGCGTTTTGGACCAACTTCATCCCAAGCCCACTCGCCCGCGATCTGACTGGGTCACTCATCCAGGCGACTTGATAGCCGATGCATATTGGTTGGAGCAAGGCATGAACAAAACGAAAATCCAAGACCGAGACAACAATTTGATCTACCCGCCAAATACTCATTTCACATTCTCGGGCTGGCGCAACCAAACACCTGTCAATATCCCAACTAGATTGCAGCAGTCTTCTCCACCTCTGGAGCCTCAAGAAGATTCTTTCCAAGAGACGCCTTCATCCGCTCTGCCCGAGCTGCCGACTTTTAAGTCAGCTCATCATGCGCACAAGAGTGGGCGCCATGGCCGCCGCAGAGACATCATCAGAGACTCTGTTCACGGCAAGAGCGGCAGCAGCTCCAGGGAACGTTCCCGAATACGCAAGAAGCTGTTTCAGGACAGTAGCGATTCAGACTATTCGGCGTCGATGTCTTCCGATGATGCGGGCATTGAACGCGGCCGAAATCGACTTCGGCGGAAGAGGCACGAAACTCCGGTCAATAATGGTGCGGAGAAAGGGAGTCATTCGCAGTCGAAGCAGACATCGCAAGCATTTGGGCACGGTCACGGTGACTCTAGTCAAGGGTCCTCTGCCCCAACGTCGAAAAGAACCTCAATGGATCATACTGGGCTCAACAAACTCTTCCGAGTGGACAGTCTCAAGAAAGCCTCGCCCTTGACTCGGTCACGGAACAGACAGGATTCCTCGCGGCCTCGATCCGTACAGGTCCCCATCCGGTCAAGCCTCGAGCACGAACACCAACCTCGCGCATCTACAGAATACGATACTACTACAGCCCCGAACTCCCCTAACGGAGTTGAATGGCCGAGTATCGCCATCAACCTCTCCCCGCCTCCGAGTAGACCAAGTTCGCCATCCAAGAATCCGATATCTACCATCTTGCATCCCTTCCACCGCAAACCTCACAAGGGTCAGGGCCAAACCAGCACAACTGACTTTGCGCATGTTCCACCAGTGCAATCAGTCCACGAACATGAATTGGAAAAGCATGTTGACAGTCCCGATTCCCGTGGTCAAAGCCCCATGACCAGGGGCCTCAGTTCGCTGTCCAAAAACCAGACACACTCGACAGAGCCAGACGACATGACCCCGCAATCGTCCATTGAACACAGACACAGTACGGCGAGCAAAGTCAGCACGCGGTCAACTACCCATGCAGGAAGCGATCATTCGAGGATTCGCGCTATATTCAAAGGAGGTCGCATTGCTGAAATCGTCGGGAATGAAGTTTCCCGAGTTGGGGACTTTATCTGGAAACGCGACCTCCCGATCATATACAGACACAGAGGCTCTGCTTCCGAAGGCAGTATTCGTTCTTATGATGGGTCGGATTCAGAAATAGAGCAGCACCATCGTCATCATCATCACCAGCACCAACAACAACAACACCAACAACAACAAAACGGCACGATTCTCAAAACACCTCCGCCCCTTGCACGCTCAAGATCATCCACCATCTCAAGTACTAAAAGCGACCATGTCTCCCCTGTTGCCACGAAGACAACCAACACAGGTAATGATCGGCCTAGATACAACAATCCCAATCTACCCAGCTTCACCTCCCCTTTCCAAAAAGATCGCGAACGTCAAGAGAAACAGCAAGGATACCTGGCCCCAGATGATGCGGCGACACGGGGTGATTCTGCTGACCACATCTCTCGGCTCGCCGCCCAGCGTCGCTCGGCCTCACATTCGCCACGACTCGCTGCCCTACCCAGGCTTGATACCGGGGCGCCCACTACGCCAAACGAAGTGAGCCGACAGAAAAGTTACGGCTTCGGCGCAGCTCTGGACCTCAGCAGATCGCGAGATGCATCCGACCAACTGAACTCTGTCATCGGTCCGGTGACTGGGCTGAGCGGTCTCCGCCCTTCCAGATCTGCCGGCGATCTTTCGAAGATGGGAGGATCCGATCTAGGTCAAGAAGACGGCGAACCTGCAGACGTGACGTGGCGCGATATTGAACGTGCCCAGGTTCTCCTATATACCTCAACCGTCAAAGCTCGGGAGATTGGACGTCGGGCTGAGGACTCGGGTGAAGAACTGCCACCATTCCTTCTCGAAAGCCTCACGCCCGAGAACAAAGCCTTGCATTCTGCGAAACCCCTACGTGTCAAGAAACGAGAACGACATATTGTGGCAGCACAAAATATCATGAAGACGCTGGAAGGCCACTCCTTTACCTTCAATAAGAAATTACACTCATTTACCACATCGCTCATACCCGCTCTGCACAGCCAACTCCAGATCCTCGAGGATCAGGTAGAGAACAACATGACTCCGCAGGTTCGAATAACGGCTGATTCAGCGGGCGAACTGAGCATGAAGCTTTCCACCACTAGTACGCTTGCCGTCAAAGAACTCAATGACTCGATCGAAGTCGCTTTTCGCAGGAAGCGGAGGGGTCCCATCAGGTTGTTCCGCAAGCTGTGGTTTGCAGGCATTGAGTGGACCGTTGTCGGGCTACTGTGGCTCATCTGGGCTGTTGTTTCCGTGGTCAGGTTCACTCTAGGAACGGGCAGGTGCGTGGTCAAGGGCGTAAGATGGTTGTTTTGGATCGATTGATCCACCTCAATCTTGCAGACCAGCCAAATCGAGCTGCGCAGCCACCGCCCTTTGTGAAGAACATGGGTTTGAGGAAGAATCTGGGTATGCTGATTAACTGGCAAGACGTCCGAGACGGGGGACGTAAAAAGCTCTTTGTGGGTCGTGTTGTTGGATCATGCTTATATTCGAAACCAGCGAGGCGTTCCGGCACCGATTGCAACCTGTTTGTCGTCATGGCATCGCGCGATCGTTTTTGCTGCTTTTGAGATCACACGTTGGAGAGTCATGAATCACGAACACCCCATCAATGGCCTGCCCTGTTGGACACCGGGGACATACGCCATCTTTGTGGCTGTTACACGATACGTATACTTTTATTTTGTATAGCTTTGTAATCGACGGAATTGAGGGAAGCCAAAAAGACCCATGATGAGCATTTCATCCAGTAGTTTTAGTATTCAGACTTTACATTACAGCAGAGACCTTCCAGCGAACCTATGCCAATCCCCGCTGGCTTTCGCGAGCCTCATCAACATCCGGTGAGAAGCAGAAGATGCGCGCGTATGGTGCGCATAAACGAAGACGAGAAGCAGGGCACTGCACTCAAGTCCCACGATCCGGGCAGTCTTGGTGGAACCCTATCCATGGCAAGTTGCAAACGGCTTACTCTTCAGCTTCAACCGGCCTGCTTCTTGAATCAACTACTTCCGCAAGGAGGTACAGATAGTATAGATTCTATACTGGTGTCTATTGTAGAGGATGATCGCCCCGTCGAAAAGCAAGAGTCCCTCCGGAAGGCGAGGCACTCTGGAAAACATTCTGCGCACTATCGTCGTCGACGACGACGACGACGGAGGAAACACAAGTAACGGGCCATTGCATGATGTTGTGGCTGCGAAATACATATGTATACACAAACCCGCCTCCTCCTCACCCTTTTTCGGTTCCTGCCGCTCTACCTTTCCTTGGTCTTTCCCATCCGCTGTCCCTATTGCTGTCTCCCGCGTCTATCATCCTGACAAGGACCGTCAATCAATCATCCCACCCTCAGGCACTGCAACCGGGCTTCCGTCTCGATGACGTCCAACGCCTGTCTGACCTCGAGCACCTTCCTCACGTCTCCCAACCAATCCCTGCTTAACACCTTCGCCCAGCCTGTCAGAGAGTTCATTTCCCTTGCGGCGCCATCGAGATCTCCTTCTTCCAACATTGTCTCCGTCCGGGTAAGGATGCTCTCCACGTCGTTGCCTTCGGGTTGTCCGTGCTTCTTGAAGAGCACGTTCGACAGGACTAATGAGGCGGCATGCGACGCGATCCCCGCGTTCTCGGGGAGGAGTGATGCTTTCCTTACTTCGTGCGCGACACGGCGGAAGCGGTCGATCAATTGTGGCTGTGAAGGTATGCCCTTTTGGTACGAGGAGGGGTTGATGGATGCGATGGCTGCATCGACAATGGGGTCTCCGTCAGCGCAGAGTTTGAGAGCGGCCAGTTCCCGTACGAACGCGCGAGGTTTCGCATCTGAGGCGGCGCTTGCATCAAGCGCAGAACGGACGGCGTCCACGGCCACTTGCAACTTCTGGGTTGCAAGGTTGGAGTCGATCACGCCGTTCCAGTTCGATGTGAGTTCTGTCAGGTTGTCGATGTTGGTGCTGAGATCAGATAGCTTGCTTAATCTTCCTTGTCGTTCAGACTCCACCAGATCCTTAATCTGCGCCACGAAGTCGCGCTTCAGCTGGATTGCTTGCTCGGCGAGCTCGTTCTTAAGTCTCTGTTCCGCTAGCTCGGTGCTCCGTTGAACTTCGGTCTTCACCTTCTCCTCATATAGCTGCGAGAGACGGGCTCGCTCAGTCTCGAATTCCTCGCGGTAGCGCGCGTCATCCTCTGCCTGGGCGGTCTCGATCCTCTTCAGGAGTTGCTTGGCTCCTTCGTCAAACTCGCTATGTGCTTGCGCAATTCGCTCCTCAGCCGCCTTGCGTTCTGCTTCACGTAGCGTGGTGATCTTGCTGGCGACCTCTTCGAGTGATTCCTTTGCCTTGGTCATGGGAGCGGAGTATTTGTTGGCAGCATCCGCGGAATCAGAGTTGACGACAGTAATAAGGTCATTGACGATTTTGACCAGTTCTTGTACTACGGGTTCTTCGGCGTTAGGCACCGTGACTGGGGAGATATGTGTGACTGGTGGAATAGCAGGTGGTCGTGAATCAGCCGTTGATGAGCTTGAAGACGCTGCCGAAGCTGTCTCGGCGGCGCTGGACTTAGCAGAAGTATCTTGCGCTGCTGATGGTGGAGACGCGGCCTCTGTTGGTTTCCCATCTTGTTTTGCTGCTGCGCTCCTCTTTGCAGTGTCAACCGAGACACTTCTTTCTTTTGCTGTAGCGCCGTGCGGATCTTGTTTGGCATCGGTAGCTTCCTTTGGTGTCACCGTTTGGTTTGCATCCAAAGCACTCATGTGCTTGCCCTTTTGTGTGACATCGCTTCCCTTTTGTTCCGGTTCCTCGACGGGTCGCCATGAGAGGCCAGATTTCTGGGGAATCGTGGTGACCTTGGTGTCTTCCGGCCTTGCGTCCTGTCTAGGAGTCCTTGTGACATTATGTCTTGCATGCGGGAATCTCTTCTGGAACGACCTCTCCTCGAAGTATAGGACTGCATCCTCGCCAAAGGGGATGTATTCCGTGAAAAAATCATGGAAATTATCATTCCTCAATGCGTAGAAGACAGCTCCACCGTAAGACATGGCACTCAAAGCAAGCAGGTAGAGTAGCAGGCGAAATCGGGAGAACCTCTTCCGGGGTGTTGGTGGCTTCTGAGGAGGTGGCGACGGCGGCGGCGGAGGAGGTTCGGCTGGACTGACTGATGACGGAGTCGTAGGAGGAGCTGTCTGCGTCTTTCCCGGGCTTGGAGGAGCGAGCGGGACATTCTGAGGGGGAATAGTCGAGTTCGAAGAAGGTGAAGCTGGTGTGGCAGATGTTTGAGGAGCTGGACTTCCAGGCCCTCCCGGCCCCAAGGGGACTTCTGTCTTGACCGGAACAGCGCCAGATTGACTACCTGGCAAAAACGCCGGATCCGAACTCAAGATCGAGTCTTTTCTGTCTGCAAATGCCCTCCTCTGGAAACTGAAGTCAGTCGCGCGAGCTCCTCACAATTGACCTCGAAGACTTCCAGACACATACCTGAGACAAAGCAGCGTGGGCAAGTAATTGCCGGCGCACAGAGGCGCCAACAGGCCTCGCTAAACGCAGCATTGTAAACTGCGCCGCCCGGTCCGGGCCCTTTTCAAAACGAGTGTAGAATACAAAGTTGGTGATTGAATCTGTTGAAGTTTTATTGCGAAGCTCCAATTGATCTCCGAAGCTCGGGTGCCGCCGCTTTTGTGATGGAGACCGGGGCGAGGCACGTGACCTTCCTCGACTTCAATCCCCTTGGTGGCAGCCTTGGGTGGCTAGTATTTGATGTTTGATAGACGACTGGATTCTTTCTGATACCTCTACCTCCTACTTTTTGAGTTTTGTATTCTAGGACCTCAACGCCGCGCTAATGGGCACAACAATCGTAAGCTACGAGGGTAGATCTGGATCTCTGGTCTCATCTTTTTCCGGCCTTTTCCAGCTTCCTCCGCTTCCTTCGCAATTTCTCGGCCTCTTCATCCCGCTTGTTGTTGGAGTGTTGCATCTTCTCGTACAGCTTGCGCTTCTTGTTACTCATCATCATCTTTTGACGTCCAATCTCCTCCTCTTTTCGAGATCGTTCTGTCTGCCGGGCCTTGATGGACTTGGCCTTGTGGTCTGCTCCGTTCGAGTTCGACTTGATAGGTCGTCCAGCTGCTTCTGCCTCAAGTTCTTTCTGGTGTTGAGCGTCCTCGTCCAAGTCAGACTCCTCTGAGACATCATCGTCGAAGCCGGCGAAATCGTCCGCCTCGTCGTCAACTTGCTCTTCCGATTCGTCATCCGAGGGCGCGATATCCATGCCATTTGCATCTATTTCATCGTCGTCATAGTCATTGTCATCGTCCTCTTCCTCCGTTTCTGCTTCCCAGGCAGTGAGCTGAGCGGTCTCTTCTCGTGATTCTTCATCGTCGCTTTCTCCAGCAGTAGCAGCATCAGCCTCGCCTTCACGCTCCTGCTCTTCTAACGTCAACCTTGGATCATATTGGCCGCTGACGGGCTTGACCCATGGGCTTAAGTGGGGGGGCAGCGTCTCTCCGGGAGCATATAGGTCAGTCCGCAACAATTTGCCCTCGTTTACACAATCCCAGATCCATTGTGGCTGGATATATATCCTTCCAGGCATGATATGCCCGGGTTTGACGGCCTGAAGACTTTGATCTTTGGAGCCTTCTTGGCCCCCGATGGAGGTAAATGGTTGCGCCGGCGCGGGTCTGTCCGCAATTTGATGCGTGATTCTGGGGTCTCTTTCATCATGGGTGAAAGCACCTTCTCCCAGAACGGCATCCCATCCCACTCGTTTGCAGCCAAATGCTCTGAGTAAGAACTCAATGGGGTGACGAGGGGCTTCGCGGGATATGAAAAAGGTGAAGTCCGAGAACAAATGTGCTGCTTCGTCGCCAGTCATGTCAGGCTGCGGTAAGGTATCGCCTTCTGGTGCGGCGGGAGTGAAAGTGTCAATCGCATCAGTGTGTGCTTGCTCCTCCGCAGGCTCGTCCTGCTTGATGTCTTCCTGAGCCGGGGCTTCTTGGACAATCTTGTCTATTTGAGCCTGAACTGCCTCTGTATTCTCATTTTGTGCATGACCGTCATTCAAAGTTTTCTGTTCGTCTTGTTGGCCAATTGCTCCACCAATCCCACGCCCCTCGAGAGTGAACGCAGCTAACTCTGCTCCTCGCTCGTCAGACACCACATCGAATTTGGGCGGGTACACGAGGCCGATTGAAGTATAGAGCCTGTAGTTGACGAAGCCCAGAAGTGTGCAGTAGAATTCCACGAAGGTGCCCATGATCCTGTAATCCACATCTTGTGTTACCTGCTGAACAAATTTGTAAGGGACCAACCACATTATATCCTGCCCCTGAATTGTCGCCTGGTAGTAGATGCCTTTGATTGACAAGAAGGACTTTCGTAAGGAATTTGTGGCAATCAGGTAATGTTCGAACTCGTGGCAGAGGCGTTGACAGCGCGAAATCACCTTGGCAGGCACTTCGGTGGTCGAGGGAAGGTTTGCGAACAAAGACAGCAACGACAGTGCATCGTCCAGGTCCCGTAGGGCATCAACAAATGTTGGGTATCGTTCTCGCACAATGTGATCCAACTTTATCTTGGGCATGCCATGCTTCTCCAGCCGGACCGCATCTTGCACTTCATTGCGACCTAGCGACCTCGCAATCTTCTTCTCGAGGGCCTTTTGTTCACGAAACTTGGCCAGCAACGGTTCGTGTAGGAGGTATTGGATGTCTTTGGTATAGTAGAATGTGGTCGAGTGAGTGGCAGACTTGCTGGCTTTTTTGATATTTCGTGGTTCGCGAGGGTAGATGCCCTTGAAAATGCAGAGCCGTCGAAAATCGGGGAGGGATATCTGCAGCCTGCGGACAGCTTGCGTTCGAGTAAGGTAGTTCTTCGCCTGGCCGGACTGGCCCTTTTTCTTCTGCTTCGCCATCTCGGAATCACGCAAGAAGGGCAATTGGTGTTGGCGTGGGTGCAGAGCGCAGAGATTGAGAGACAGGAAAAAAGTTGAAGATGTGGAGAGACCAAGTGCCGGGGTTTTGCCGAGATCCACATCCTCGCCTGCGGCCAGTTGGTAACTTTGCATCAGCCTCGACCTCCTTTTCCTAACATCTTTCGACAAACCAACAAGAATATCGAGCCAAAACACCAACAACCAATAAACCAATGTGGTCGACAAGATTGAGCGCGTTATAACAACAATGGCAATATCGCTGGACCGCAAGACGGTCGCGATATATGCCGGTGCGATTGTGCTACGTCTGGTCATTTTTCTCGCCTTTCCCGATGTCCCCGAATTCCTGACCGCGAGAGTGGAGATATCGACGCCGATATCGAGCTTCCAAAGACTTCAAGAAGGCCTCTTTCTCTATCAGCACGGCTTGTCACCTTACGATGGCGGTGTCTTCCACCAAGCACCGCTGTTACTGGTCATCTTCGAGATGCTGCCGCCCACGCTGGTCTTCGTCGGGCTGGATGTCCTGAATGCAGCATCCTTACAAGTCATCGCGGACAAACTACGCATCCCGACTTCCCGCTTCCACCAACTGGATGGGTCCCTGATCGCTGCGGCTTATCTCTTCAATCCCTTTACCATCTTGTCATGTCTTGGCAGGAGCACCAGCATCTTTACCAATGCCGCCATTATCCAAGCAGTCTTGAATGCTCAGTCAGGAAATGCCATCCGGGCCATGTTTGCGCTTGCAATTGGTACCTATCTGTCAATGTATCCGGCTTTGCTTCTTCCACCCACGCTGCTCATGATCCACAAGAGCAATCAGTCCGCGTCTCTTGCTCCTTCAATCCTTTCCTATGCCGCAGGTCTCGCTGCTCTCCTGGTCACGACGCCCGTCTTGACCAGCGGGTTTTCGGACTTCCTGGCCTCGTGCTACGGCGTCCAGATAACGGTTCCCGACTTAACACCGAATGTTGGACTGTGGTGGTACTTTTTCATCGAGATATTCGACTCCTTCCGGGATTTTTTCATTGGCGTCTTTTGGTTGCACTTGGTAGGATATGTAGGAGGCATGACTCTCCGACTTCAGAGCCAGCCTCTTTTCGTCATCACCAGTCTGTTGGGCTTGTTTGCCATTTTCAAACCATATCCTAGCATTGCAGACGTCTCGTTGTATCTTGGATTTCTGCCAATGTACCAACATGTGCTTCCATGTGAGTGTCTCTCCGTAAGTCCGACACGTGGCACTGACAATTGCAGTAACTCGATACACCTTCATAGCTGCATCAGTGCTGCTTTATTCGACCCTGCTAGGACCTGCATTCCACCATTTGTGGATTTACGCCGGGTCGGGCAATGCCAACTTTTTCTATGCCATCACGCTGGTTTGGAGTTTGGGCTTGACCATTCTTGTTGGAGACACCTTGTTTGCGGTCATGCGCGATGAATGGGAGATGGAGAGACCCGAGATGAAGGGCAAAAGCGTACGCCAGATATAAAAAGGGCCCTCAATGGGATTGATTATCTTTTCACTTGCTTCGAGAGAATGATGTGACCCGGTTCTTTGACAGTGCCGTTTCTCAACTTACGTGGAGCGGGAGAGAAATCGTCTTCTTCATAACCCAGTCGCGTATACCAGGTGACAGCTCGACTGTTTGCCCTGAAGACAGTCAACATGACTTTGGTGATTCCGACGTTGTAGCCAATGAGCTCGGCGACGGTCATGAGCTTTTTGCCCAGTCCCTTCCCCTGCCACTCGGGCGTAAAATGAATCTCGTAAATATAGAGGACCTCGTAACCATCCTCATAGGTGATCATGAAAGAGACGAAGCCGGCAAGATGAGAGTTCCCGTCAAAGAGAATGATATATTTCATGTCCGGTGACTTCATCTCCCGCCTCTTCTTGGACGTTGACCATTTTATCTCCGAGTTTTGATAGTCCTGAGCACTGGTCTGCTCGATCAACTTAAGGCATGCATCCAACCATCGACTAGGCAGGTTTGCAGCATCCACCTGGAGTCTTGACAACTCCACCTCAGGGTGACCAACCCCCAATTCGGTCAACGATTCCCGTGGTGCATACTTTGCAAAGAAGTCGTCCGCTGACAGAGCATTCACTGTTTCGACAAGTTTCCTCTCCGCAATTGCCCGACGTTGCGACTTGTTCTTCAAACTCTGCGGCTCCTGGGGTTGAGGATCTGCCATCTTGAGGGTGGCCCGTAGCGTTGATTTGTAAACAGCCCTGTCTGGCTGCAGTTGGTGGTCAAGGCGCGGTCTCCGGGAAAATATCGTAGCGCCAGCAGGCTGCTCGGTGCGCCGTAGTTGATGTCGAGGCTCCGTGATAAAGCAGCGGCGGGGACTGCTGCAGTGGCTCTATAATGCGCCGTACCAATGCGATGACATCACGCACTTCTCCGCGATGCACACATTTTAACCTTGTCAAGCTTCAATTCGCATGAAGTAATTGTGATATACAGACTCGAGCCAGTCAAACACCCTTCAACTCCTGCCTGAAGCGGATCCCCTCTTCAGATTTTAAGATTCTCAATGCGACTACGCTCACCCTATTGGTCATGACTTAATTGAGGAGGTCAAGACATATTGCACGACGAATACTAGGCAAAATCTCCTCCCACCCCCGCTGAAGCGCCGCCCTTCTTCCTCTCACAATGGCCTCCTTATATATACGCACCCTCCTGTCCTCTTCTCGCCCTCGTCTGGCCTCATCCTTGAGAAGAGCAGCCCATCCCTCGTATCGAATAGTATCCGTCGCCAATATGCATTCCGCTCCCAAACTCAAGGACCCATCTCTCCTCATCTCCCAAGCCTATATCAACGGCGAATTCGTCGACGCCGCCTCCTCAGAGACCTTTGATGTCGTCGATCCTGGCTCGGGCAAGAAGATCGGGTCATGTGCCGAGCTTAACACAGAGGACACCAACAAGGCCATCGCCGCAGCATCAGATGCATTTGCTTCCTTTCGCAAGACTCTCCCTCGGGAGAGAGCGACAATGCTAAGAAAGTGGTATGACTTGATGATGGAAAATGCTGATGATCTGGCCACACTGATAACCTGGGAGAATGGGAAGCCGTTCAATGACGCCAAGGGCGAAGTGGTCTACGCGGCCAACTTTTTCCAATGGTTCTCGGAAGAAGCGCCTCGAATATATGGAGATACCATTGGAGCCACCGTTCCAGGCAACCGAATAATGACATGGAAACAGCCCGTCGGTGTCTGCGGCCTGATCACGCCTTGGAACTTCCCGGCCGCCATGATTACACGAAAGATCGGCCCAGCCATCGCGGCAGGGTGTACCGTAGTGGCCAAGTCTCCTGGGGAGACCCCCTATACAGCCAATGCCATTGCCGAATTGTCCCGCCGAGCGGGTGTCCCTCCGGGTGTTGTGAACGTCGTCACAGCTATGAAGAACACGGCCGAAGTCGGGTTGGTCATCACCACCGATCCACGTGTTAAAAAGGTCTCCTTCACGGGATCGACGAACGTGGGGAAACTTCTCATGAAGCAGTCGTCCTCGACGTTGAAGAAGCTGTCGTTCGAACTCGGCGGCAATGCCCCCTTTATCGTCTTCGACGACGTGCCCGACCTGGACGCCGCAGTGGCAGGAGCAATCGCGTGTAAGTTCCGGTCCTCGGGCCAGACATGCGTGTGCGCGAACCGGATCTACGTGCAAGAGGGCATCTACGACGCCTTTGCCCAGAAGTTCACCGAAAAGGTCAAGAACTTCAAGGTCGGGTACGGCTTCGACGACGGCGTGACCCACGGCCCGGTCATCCACGACCGCGCCGTCGCCAAGGTGGAATCGCACGTGCAGGACGCGACGAAGAAGGGCGGCAAGATTCTCTGCGGAGGGAAGAAATTGCCCGACCTGGGATCCAACTTTTATGCCCCGACGGTCATCGCCGGCGCGACCAACGACATGGCCTTGGCCCACGAAGAGACGTTTGGCCCCGTGGCCGGGTTGTTCCCCTTCAAGACGGAGAAGGAGGTTGTCGCGCTGGCCAATGACACCGACGTGGGCTTGGCGGGCTACTTCTACTCCCGTGACATTGGACGCATTTACCGCGTGGCCGAGGCGTTGGAGGTGGGCATGATCGGCGTCAACACCGGGTTGATCTCGGATGGCGCCTCTCCCTTCGGTGGTGTGAAACAGAGCGGATTCGGAAGGGAAGGCAGCAAATACGGCGTTGACGAGTATGTTGTCATCAAGAGTGTGACTGTCGGTGGAATCAGCAACGACTTACAGGGTTGAAAGAAAGGGAGAGGTGAATGCGATGTGTACACGCACCGATTGCTGAGCATGAATAAGAGGGGCGCGAGACGTTGATACCTTGGTGCTGTGCCGCATACCCAAAATGCGCCGCATACGGCTTGTACAACAGCAAAAAGGAGCGGGCAAGTCGGAAAATGTGTCGGGAGGGTTTCCTGTACGCCATGCAAAAGACGAAAGTGTCAATGTAAGAAGGTCTCGGTCGAACAGGTGCAACGATGGGCAATATGTATTATTGCAGGCTCTCCATCTGTCTCGCTCCCCTGCGTCGGATTTCATTGAAATTGTCCACTGTCTCTCCCATCTTTTTGTCATCTGGGCATTCATATGTCCCTGGTCACTCGGCAGCTCCCTCCTAGAAGTCACAGCCTCGGCTTTGAGCAAGATGTAGTGTTTGATGCCCAGCTACGTAGTATGTCCGCACGTCAAGCAAACAGCCAAGTCGATCTGTTTTCAACCCCAGCTCCCTTGTAGGAACCAGCTCGTACTCCGCAGCCTTGATTGATATGTGAACACGATTGCACGGGCCGGTGACCGGGCGAATTTTGTTGCTGGTCGCTGGCACGTTCAAACCTCCTCATTTTATTGGTAGCCCCTCCCTTCAGGCGATTCCTCAGCCATAGCGTTCCTTCGCCATCGCTCGGGCAGTGCCGGCCAGCTCATCTGTTTCCTCGAGTTGCTTGGTCACCTTCGACAGGAGATCCTCGCACGTTTCTCCGTAAGCTGGATAGACCTTGAACAACCTCTGATTGTCTTTTGAGGGCTGGATCGCTTCGAGGTCCGATTCGATGGCCTCGATCTCGAGTTCTAACGACGCTTTGATCCTGGCCCTTGCGCCATTGATAACATCCTGAAACTCTTCCAAAAGGTGCGTCCTGAAAGCCTCGACAAAATCCTCACTGCCAACACGTTTTTGCACGGTAGAGTGGCGCGTCTTATTCGAGCCAAGACCTATCCATTTGTCAGCTTTCAGTAGTCATGTAGAAGCCCACCCGGGGGGGGGGGAGAATAGAAAAGTATACCTGTAACTCTACTGGCTTCCCGATATGTTTCGAGCATGCAGTCCACAATGTAAGAGTCCTGGTGCGTTCCAATTGCGTGGCTCCTCATGGCCCCAACTCCCTTGAGATAGAACTTTCTCTCGGCTTCAATGGTACTCTTTAGGACGTCGACCCTCGCGGCAAGGGAATTTTGGAAATTGACGGGGGCTCGGAGTGCAGAGCATTGGCTTGCATAACCCTGGAAGACCGTGATGATGTTCCCGATTTCGGTGAGTAGTGGATCAGTCTCGACTTCAAAATGGTGCCAGCTCTGACCCATGACCGCATCGTCGAAACACTGCAATAGCTCGTTGTTCCAGTTTCTGGGACCCAATGCGCCTCCCGTATAGTTTCCGTCATGCCTCACACACGAGGCTACTGACCCAGCTTTCCATTTTTCCCATCCTTGAGCGACTTTGAGGCAAGCTGCTCGAATCGATTCTGAGGCAGCTTTCAACGGCGTATTGAAACATCTTTCGAAGACTCCGAGCATCTCATCGGCCCAGGGTCCGACTTTGTTAAGACACATTCTCAGCTCACTCGCGTCGGGAAGCGGCGGGCGATTTTCAAGTTCGAGGTCAATCCTGCAGGACTCCACCCACGTAGCATAAGAGCTGACAAGCGCTGGAATCTTTTTAGCTAAGAAAAGATCACTTGCCTTGAATAGAGACTCGGCCGGAAGATCTCTGAGATGTTGTCGGAGAGCAGGAATGCCGCTCAATTCTCGCTCTTCGTCCCCCGTGGCGTTCCAGTACATGACGTTGTCAACACAGAACACTTTGAGTATCCCGCCCTTCACGTATGAACCATACTTTTTGAGCAGATCTTTTTGTACCTTCTCATTTCGAGTAGTGATGAGAAGCGTCGTCAGTCGGCGCTGGGCATGCTGCTTAACTTTCTCATCTGCCCCTTTGGCCTTTTGCACCTCAGCCTTGGCATACAGGAGCTTGGAGGTATTGACCAGCTTTTCTAAGCTTCGATTTCTGTCCAAGTCTGCAGCAGATTTTGTGCATATAATGGTGATATTGACGGTTGTAGCTTTCTGCGCTTCGGCCCTGGCTCGGATGTGTTCCAAATTCTGCTGAAGAAGGGGATTATCAGTTGCCCTTGAAATCTCGACCACGAGGCAAACTTCGTCACAGTTTGACTGGGCTTTTCTTGCCGCCCTGATCCTTGCCAGGTTAGTGTCATTAAAACCCGGCAGGTCGATCAACGTGAGCCCGTTTTCGAGTATGGGGCTATCGGAGAAGATGGAGAAACTTATCACCAGAGGCCAGAGACCACGGTCATGGAGTAGTGATTGGTGGTCATCGCACTCATCTGCATCTTGTGCTTCCTCCACCCATATGCCGTCCGGTGTCATATTGTCTGGAAACTCCAACCGGCTGCACAATTCCATCAAGTAATTCTTGGCTTTAGTCATGCTGCCGTTATTGTCGTCATAGTTGAGGCGGTCCATGTCGAAGTCGTCCATTCCTCCGAAGGTTGTTTCAAAGATGTCCCGTGCCGCCTTGGTATCCTCGAAGATCTTCGGGTCGTTCTCTTCAGAGTCTGTTTTGTCGGCCGATGAAATGCGCCATAGGTCACGGAGCAGATCGCCGACGTATTTTCCCAACTCATGTTCGACCATTAACCTGCAGCACAAGGTGAACGGAGCTCCTTGGTCCGCCTGACGAAATCGATATTCAGCCGCAAAAGGGGTCACGGCAGAACCACATGAACCAGTCTTCGCAAGGCCATCGTTGTCAAAAAGAGAATTAATCGTGCTGCTCTTCCCGGCCCCGGAATTCCCGATGAATCCAACGAGTCTTTCCACTGGTCGCTGATAGGCTGCGAGGCGTTCTGCTTCTTGGATCAAGCGTTGCGGAGGATCTCTTGGAGAGGCTTCCAAGATCGGAACAATCATTTTGGCAATATTAGAGCTTTGAGCTACAGCCATCTCGAACGACGGCTCACGATAAGGAGGATATTGAAGTTGCGTTGGTGGTATGACTGCAGACTCTGAAGCGGGTGCTTCGGCTGGCGGCGACAACATTATGCCTTTGGGTTATGAAGACTTGAGCTTGGTTGAGTGCAAAGAGTCTTAAGATAGAGGTCGATACATGAGAGGCTGAGAGGGGGAGAAGATTCTAATATAAACCGAAAGACAATCGAGTCAGCAGAGTACCGGGACTGTTGGATGAGATAAGTTTTGACTAACCTCAGACCGGTGAATCTGAGCTCACACTTCGTAGCAGCAGCTGATCTTGCAGCGACAATGCAGGTCAAATTAATCAAAGGATTCAAGAGCTGTCTCAGATCAGAACAGGTTAGAGTAGTTGCGCTTCAGAAAGTATGACTTCCAAATGAGATGATTGTGTCGATGAACAGGGGCAGCAGAGAATAGTAGACAAAGACAGATAAAGGTGAAGTTAATAAGAAGAGATGAAGTAGAGGTTAAGGGCGGGCGAAGTGAGACTTGATGGAGGCGTCGGAGAAGAGACCTTGCCCGTAACAGAGTGATCGTTGCTGTGATGAGGAAGCGAAGCTGAGAGCAAGTTCTAGGAACAGAAGAGAAGATAAGGAGAAAAGGAGAGGTTTGGGATACCATAAAGAGAGCAAAAACAGAAGAGAAGGGGAAGATGATGAGAGGGTATTTATAAGGTCGCCTTAGGTAGGTATGCGGCAGAGTTGTCCATGAGGAAGACGCTCGAGTCAACCCAAACGCTCCAAGAGGTGAAGATAGAGGACTAAGTCGGACCTGAGATGAATGTGAACACAGTATTGAGACAAACCCGATTTTCAACGGCTGTACTTTTCTCGTCCAGCGTCTGCTTCTCTCTCGCCACAGGGTAGATTCTTATGGTCTACGCTGGATCGATATTGGAGCTGGTGACAGGTTTTCCAGGCTCACGTCGTTGGTCCAGCACGGGATTGCGACGATACCGCGGTGTCAAATATTGCACGCCCAGCTTCATCATGCAAAAAGCCAATCCAGGGAAAAGCGCTCAGCTGCCTGTGTAGAACACACCAGCTATGCGCATCGCACAACTGGAGGTTGACTCGCACCCAGGGGATCAACCAGGCGTCATCCTCAGGAGTGAAAATCGAGAAAGAGCCAACCATGAGGAGCCAGAGAAGGAGCTGCGGGGTCAACATGCTAGGTAGCTTAAGCGTGAGGAGACAGGTGCGATAGAGATGAGGAAGGGACGTATGGCGCGGTCTCACATCTTGCCAGTTGAGGAAGATATGAGACGAGAAGACAAGGAGGCCAAGGCGGACGGCTTCGTCGAGCGAGGTGGGATCGAAGCTGCTCATCTGGATCAGGCGGTACATTACTGCAGCCATTGCCTTCAGCAAGGTTTCCTTGGGCAACTGGCGATTGGTTTCAGCGGCAGAGTTGACTGTTGAACAGAATGCCTTCAAAAATGTCCAGGCCTGGACTAAGTCTGCGTCGAGGTCCAGCTGAGCCGACTTCCAACCAAGCTCAACTGGCCGAGTACTTGGCTCTTCGGCGGCCAGCATTTCCAGATCATACGGCATCAGAGGTTCCATAGATGGGTCGTTGAAGAATGTTGGAGAAGTGTTGTTATGAAGTGCGATCCCCAAGTCACATCTATAGTCCGGTGAGGCACGTATTGATTAGAGCAGGTCGTCGAGGGAGGCGTTCGGGGATGCTTACTTCAGTAACTCGATGACCAGCTTAGTGTTGTAGTTGAAAGCTATTAGACCGCCTCTCAAATCGACAATCTTGCGCAGTCCCTCCATGTGCTGCATTGCTGTCTTGTAATCGATCATGAAATGGGCGTGCAGGGCAAAATATAACACCACAAGCACGGTTGCGTCCGAAACTTTGTTATCTTCAGCTGACACTGATAATCTCTCGCGGAGCAAGTGAAGTGCTGAAGAATAGTGTGCCATTGCTCGTCTAGCCGCTATGGGAGTTGCCTGAGCGGATGTATGGAGGATATAGGCCTGGGATGCGAAAACTGCCGCGTGCACGTAGGCAGCATCGGAGGTCAAGAGCTCGAACCATGAGGTATCAACCTTGGTCTTTCTGTGGAAGACGATATATCTCTCCAGAGGGTACATGACTCTCTTTGCGAGGAACGAAACTGGGGTGTGCCAGAGGTGAGAAGGATGGTCGCAGGAGTGTCTTGCCACGCAGCAGAGGTAGCGACTTACATTTCAAAAGGTCGTGCAGGAAGGGCTGTTCCACAACAGCGGCAAACTGTGTAAAGGAGAGATCTGAACCGACCTTTTTGGGGATCGTGGAGTAGCGCATGTTGATCAACAGACCTGAAGCTTTATCTTGAGCCCCCTTGTCCTTAAAGGGAGACGGTATCGTCGTATTGACGGGCTTGACACTCCGAGTTTTGCCTCGGTTCTTCCCGAGCATAACGTACTTCCTGATGAGCTTCCGCTTGGCTGGTTCGGCCTTGCCTTTGCCATCCGTGAAGATGAACGGGATATCTACTGTCCGTGGCTTATCAGAGTCTCGTTTCGGGGTGCTTGGTGAGGGCTCTGGGCCTACCAGCTTTATCCGGAGCAGCCATATTGCACCGGTTTTCTCGACGATGGAAAAATCGCTTGGATTGGTTGCTGCTGAGATCGTGTGGAGTCCGAGAAACTTAATATATCAATAGTCCAGCATATCAAAGCTGCGCTCACAGCATCTGATATGCAGGCTTGGGGCCCTCAAGATTGATTACCTAGATGTATAGACCAACAGTGAAAGAGATGTATGAGTTTGGAGTCGAGATGCTGGCAGGTTGCGAGATTTGACGTTGGCCAAGGCAACTGGATCCACGACACCAGGGTGCTAATGCAGGGCGATTGACTACCGTATCTGGTTTAGTGTCGACTTCTCATACTCGCATCGTATTGGCTGATCCTATATTTGGCTCTATGAATACACCGTCCCTCCACTGTATATATACCCACAATCACTCCCCTTGCCCCAGACAATGTCAAGCAGACAGAAGTCGATATCTTCATCTTTCCATCGTTATTATTCCTGCAACACTATCCGCACCCCGGAACAAAAATGCCGTCCTCCAAGGAAATGCCTCCTTCCAAAACCCCTTTCTTCCCTAACCACTTTATTCAGAATCAATTTTGCACCAAACCCCAATTCCCTCCGCAAGATACCGACCTCACAGGCAAGGTGGCTATTGTGACGGGATCCAACAGCGGCTTGGGCCTGGAATGTGCCTGCCAACTGCTCTCCTACAAGCTCACTCGGCTGATCATGGCGGTCCGCTCCACCACAAAGGGTGAGAATGCAGCTGCTGCGCTACGAGAGCAGTACCCTAATGCCACTGTTAGCGTGTGGCAGTTGGATATGGCATCTTACGACTCCGTCCGCGCCTTTGCGGCACGCGCGGATAGAGAGCTCTCCCGTCTTGACATTGCCCTCCTCAACGCAGGTGTAGGATTTGGCGGCTTCAAGATCGTGCCCGCCACCGGCCATGAGGAGACTGTTCAGGTCAACTACCTTTCAACGATGCTCCTGTCCATCCTTCTGCTTCCTATATTGAAGGACAAATCACCGGCGGGGTCGCCCGGGCGATTGACCATAAGCACAGCCATGCTCTCCATCACGGCCAAATTTGCCAACAAGAACGAGGTCCCGCTTCTGCCCTCGTTCGACGACCAGAAGTATTTCGACCCCATGGACATCTACTCGACCTCGAAGCTACTCGGCCAGTTGTTCGTGTGGAAACTCACCGACTTGGTGTCTGCCGACAACGTCGTGGTGAACCTGGTTGAGCCGGGCTTCGTCAAAGGCACGGATCTTCACAGGGATAGATCCATCCCCGCGAAGGTGTTCATGAGCTTCTTCAAAGCAGCAGCTGCCAGAACCGTCAAAGTCGGTGCTTCAACATATCTCGATGCTTCAATCGTAAAGGGCAAAGAGTCACACGGCTGCATTTTGATGAACTGGGAAATTGCACCGTAAGTTTGGATCTTATTGTCCGGTCATTCGAGTTTGAGCTTACAAGATACTAAAGGTATGCCCCGTTTGAATATACACCGGAAGGCAAGACTGTTATGGAAAGACTCTGGCAAGAGACAATACACGAGTTCAACTTCGTTGATACGATGGGCATCCTTAAGTCGCTATGAAGGCATCAGTGGAGTTGATAACGGATGTGAGAATGAGGCTTGGACTGAGGGACGCACACAGGCGCCTTCAACAATTTTATTTCCTAGGACGGCTTTCCTCCTCTTCCAAAATGCACAGTCTTTCCCTGTGCACAATAACCTTTAGTTGGGATATGGCGTGGTCCCTTTAATGTACAGCGATCACACCTTCGCCTCTCTGGATCCTCTGTATCAGCGACAATGACACCTCTTAGACCCATCTAGACGCCTTTATTTCCTTCCAGTGCTTGAAGACTCTACTCCTCGGCCGACCGAGGCCGAGTCTGCCTTCCAAGTCCGTAGTGTATGCGCCGAGTACCCAATTTGGTTGTGCCAGAAAGACCATCGCTTTCGAGATCACAGTATGCAGCGTGCCGTTCTCCGCGCCAGCAGCGTATATAAGCTCTTCAATGAGGGATAAAGTGAGAACATGTCCATCACAACCTTTTCATTTCAGAGTATTGCAGCGAGAAATTTGTCAGTATCTGCGTCATAGATTTGTTGTTCTTCCTGATAGCATACTGCAATGGAGATTCGTTGTTGACGCTGGGCGTGGTGGGATTTGCACCTTTACCAAGTAGCATCGTCGCGATGGATATGTCGCCTCTGTAGACGGCGCGATAGAGTGGCGTTTCTGGGTTGTTGGGATTGCATTCGTCAGGCGGTGCTCCGTGCCCGAGTAGTAACGAGACCACCTGCGTATTTCCAAGGTAGACCGCACGATATAGACATGTTTCTCCTGAGGGACTCCCAGTTCTCAGATTAGCTCCATAACAGAGTAGTAGGGCACATATTGAGGCGTCGCCCTTGGAAACTGCCCGATACAAGGCCGTTTCTCCCTTCTGGCTCTGCACATCGGCTTTAGCTCCGTGAGCCAACAGAAGCGATGTGACTGCTGCATTCCCATTGTAGACTGCGCGATATAGGATTGGATCCGCAGAGGCATTGACAGCATCGACGTCCGCGCCAGCGCTTAGCAAAAGGCTGATCATGAAAGGGTCACCGCGCGATACCGCTTGAGAAAGTGGACTGTCTCCAGATTTGTTGGCAACGTTGACGTCCACCCCCCGGTCTAGCAATTGGTTCACCAATGTACTGTTGCCGTGTGAGACTGCTAGATTGAGCACGGTTTCCTCGTTCGGAGGTCGTTTGTTGGTGTCGGCGCCATTCTTCAGCAGCAACTCGGTGATTGAGGAATTCCCCTTCGATATGGCTATGTACACCGGGGTTTCGCCCTTTTCATTCGTCGAATTGATGTCGATTTCTTCCGTGGCGAGGAGTAGCGACACTATAGAGGAGTGACCATGAGTAACGGCAACCGACAAAGGAGAATCCCCTTTTCTATCCTTCGCTTTCGGGTTCGCGCCATGTTCCAGAAGAGTTTTGACCATGTTGGTACTTCCGTTCACGGCGAAACGGTTGAGTGGCGTGTCGCCGTTTCTAGACCTCTGGTTAGGGTCGACGCCGCCGTCCAGGAGCAGTTCTATAATGGAAGAGTCACGCCTGTTGACTGCGACGTCTAGCATTGTATCTTTCCCCAGTGGCCTTGTGTGAGGGTTGGCGCCAGCCTCCAAGAGGGCCTTGGTGTTCTTTGTCTGGCCGCGAGCCACGGCGAGATACAAGGGGGTCTCGCCTGCCGGAGTTACTTCTTCGAGTCCCTCAACTGACTTCTCAATTAGCATCTTGAGAATACTTGAGCGGTCGTAGATTACTGCCGTGTGAAGAGGGCTATTTGCCCCCGGAGGTCGAGCTTGTGGATCGGCGTTATATTCCAGCAGCAATTTCACAATCGATTTTTCTCCTTGAGAAACCGCACGGTAGAGCGGTGTCTCGCCTTTCTTGTTTCTCGCATCAATGTATTGTGAACCTGTCTCGAGGAGGAGGCGGACTTCGGATTCCTTGCCTCTAGCGACCGCTTTGTGAAGCGGAGTTTCCTCTCCATCTCGCTGAGAAGTTGGAATCCCTCGAGCGCTTTGCTGAGAGGCTTGCCTCCCGGCAAGTGACGAGTCTTCGGGGAATAGAAGGATGATTTTCAGGCCACGAGGCTCAAAAAAGCCAGTGTTCCACTCAGCGACGACGGACTGAATTCTGATTCTCCGAAGACGTGAAGAGTCTGCAACACGTCCGCTATCAGATGCAGATCTCTTGTTCGGTGGAAGAGAGAGCCTATCAACCAGTTCCGTAAGCCCTTCTGCTCTTGATTTGGCATTTTCGAAGCTGCTCGATGAAAACTGCTGTACTCTAGCGGTCTGGCTCGGCGTAGTCCGTTGGTTTGACCCGGCGAGCCCGGACGAACCCCCCCTTTGCATAGGAGGAAACAAATGATTCACAAATGTTCTCCAATCGTATTCATCGACTTCCCGCAGCTGGAATAGAGAATTGCGTGAGGGATATGGTGATGTCTCTGCGCTGGCATGTGACTCAATCACAATGGTATGGACGAAGAAGTCGTGAGGCTGTGGACGACTAGGTGGACGAAGCTCAAAGTACGGTATTGCCGAGATGAACCCGGACTGCTCAATTTCCTGAGGGCTAGTGTTGTGCGTACCCGGTTCGTGAGATAGGACAGCGGTGTCTTGCGAGCCATGTGGTTGCGAATTGGTGGGAGCGGATAGTTCATAAACGGGGGCCGCAGTCGGTCGTACATTCGGGCTAGGGTCATGAGCGTGATATGGTGGCGGTGATTCATTCATTTTGTGTCAAGTACAGGATATCTGGCCGACTGTTTGCGAGGGACTCACAATGAGGTTGTTGAGAAAAGCAGCGAACACCGGAGATTTATTATACCAATGTCGCTCTCGGGCGCTCAGGCTAGGCACCAATCATTCCAGCCAACTTCTAGGCAGAACCGTTCCACCGAGAGCTGAAAGACTTGGTATTAGCTAGAGTTTGGCCCCCAAGAACAAGCCCAATCATCCAATGTTTCGAAGGGATAAAGGAACAAGCATTCGCTTCTTTAGCTAGATTTCTTCCTTGCTTGCGCCTTCACCAAAAGTGGCCCTTTTAAATCACTGATACCGACGCTCACCATATCTGGTATTTGTCCCACGTAAAACCCTCTCAGCGCATCAATATTCTCCTGGTCAGACGCCAACTCGAAGTGGAATTCTCTCAGCAGCGTGCTCATGAGCTTATAGATATTTGTTGTTGCTACGGTTTTGCCGATGCATTGGCGTCCGCCGAGGCCAAAATGCATGAGGAGGCGTGATTTTGCTGCAATATCAGGGCGTTCCCACCTTGAAGGATCAAAGTTGTTGTGATCGGGACCCCAGACGTCTGGGTTGTGATGGAAGGCGTGATTGCAAACAGCCACCGAGGTCTAATAATGAAACACGTTAGCACAGTATTCCGTACTCCCATTGAGAGTCGACGGCCATTGAATTGGAGGAAATGTCGACTCACTCCTTGAAGAATATGCTCCCCCGCAATGACAATCCCTTCTGGGGACATTACCCGCCTAGCAAGAGGCATGGTGAAGACGGGAGTGATGCGAAAATTCTCCTTGATACAATTCTTCAGGTAGGGCAAAGACGCTTCTGCGACGGTGACTGAATAGGCTTCCTGGCCGGCTTCCAGAGACGGGAGATTGGCGTCAATCTCAGCGACGCATTTGTCCATTTGGCCAGGATTATGGAGCAAGTGATAAAATAACAAAGAAGTTGTAGCGCTTGTTGTATGTGTCCCAGCAATACTATAGAGGACGATGTTAGTGATCTTTAAAGTGACCAAAGATTGCAGAAACTCACATGAATCCAAATGCTTCAGTCTCCAGGTCGATTTGAGTCAGCCTTTCGCCAGTGTCTGGATGTTTGGCCAAGATCAAGTTCGTCAGGATGTCTTTTCTTTCGGCCACATCCGGGTGCTGCGCCTTTTGGTATTCGACATCAGCCAACCTCCTCCGGACACATTCGGCGGCTAGGTCGGCGCACGCCTGACGTCCCTTGAATAGTCTTTGAAGTCCAGGGTGAGGGACTAGAGGGAGATATTTCTTGAGCCGCTTCGTCATCAACGGCCATGCGCCCGTGACCGCGGCGAGCAGACTATGCTCGACCACTGGTGGGATTCGTAACTCATCATCTGTCTCCTGGATTCCAAAAGATTTGCTAAAGGCTAACTCTCCGAGAGCATCAATCACGTAGTAATGCAGTAGTTTCTTCAGGTCGAATATCTCCCCTGTGTTGCAATAGCGCATAATTTTGTCTTTCAAGAGCCTGATGTTCAGGTCAAGAAATGGTTCCATCTCTTTGACGTAGCTGATAGAAAAGCTGTAAGACATATGGCGTCGTCTAATGGAGTGTACCTGTAGTTCTCTATTGTTAAAAGAATGGACCCGAGAGAAATCATGAAGAGGAGCTGTCCTCACATTTTCATCCCGCATCCCGAAGACATTCGGATGGGCGGCACCGTATGCATCGTAAAACTCCGTCTTGGGCATCGACTTGGCGGACTTCTGATAGATTATTGGGATACAGTCTTCGTCGGTGATGCTCAGCTTGTCCGGGCCATATCGCACGATAGGGCCATATCTCTCGTGCAACTTGGTCAAATGGTATGGCTGCTGCAAAGTCATGAACTGATAAGCCTGCCAAACATCGGTCAAGGAAGCCAGAAACGGCCCCGGATACTTGGCCAAAGGGTGGAAAAAGCGCTGATACACGACGTAGACAATCAATGATACGATCAGCAGACCAGAAGCCCATGGCAGAGGACTTGCCAGGACTTCTCGAAGTAACTGTACCATGGCTACAGTATCGTACTTGGGATTTGATGATCTCGCGTCTTGATAATCTCCTGGGCTTGTCTTAAAAAGGGACTGAGAATCTTTTCTTTCGAGGACGATTGGAATTATTCTTTTATACCATTCTGTGATCTGAATTACCAATATATCAGCATAAATCCTCGACATCTGCCGTCGGATAGACATGTTCTGACAGGCAATGGTGTTTCGGGAGGCTGCCAACCGATTGGTGCGCTGTTTCCACCTAATTATATTCCCCCCGCTTTCTGACCACCCACATTGTGGTGTGGAGAGTCGAACTTACCACTCCCGCATCCTCCTCCCGCTTAATACGAAGAGCCCCGGTTTCCCTCGACCCGCGGTCCGTCTTCATCATATCTACACATAGCATGGGAATCGGAAACTTGGAACCGCGCTCTTCCCCAAGTTTGGCAGCTTGACTGGCCCGCTACATCGCTTCCCGACCGCCAAGGTCTGTGTTCGCCATGTCGCCAGAGTCTTTGATGAAGCGTCGCCGAACTGAACTAGCCTGCTCCAGCTGCCGGCACAGGAAGCACCGCGTAAGGCTCTCTGCTTGAAGATTACTTGCTGACTAGACACTACCGCAACCTCTTCACCTCCTATCTCAAATCTTCGTTGACTCTTTTGCAGTGTGACGGCGCCCGACCAAAATGTGCTTCCTGTCGACTTAAGCGTCTGGAATGTGTGTATGAGCCACCTCCTCGCGTGCAAGGGCCAAGCGAGAAAAAAGGTGCTGGAATGTATGTTTCTACCAGCGATTGGCCAGATATCTCGCCTAAAAGGAGTATAGGACACTGTTACGCCTTCCTCAGTCTGCGGCCTTGCCAAACACCCAGGAAAACCGAGGCGCTACAAACGTCGGGCTTAACCAGCAGCATACCCGAAGCCAGCAACAACCCGAAAATGAGGGCAGGTCAAGCTCTCGAGACGAATCCGCAATGCCACCACCAGACGAATCTTACTTGAAGACTCCTAGATCCCTAGCACAGGGGCAGGCAGTCACAGTCGACGATGACGGTCTCCCAGATGTGCTCGCAACTGCCACCTTCAGCGATATGCCGGATGCCGATATGGGTTATTTTGGTGGGCTCATTCATTTCCGCCATCCTCTTACCAGAAGCTGACATTCGCTTTCAGGACCATCGTCGAACCACTTTCTCTTCCGCTCCCTTACTGATGTATTTGTCAAGATTTCAAGGATCTTTGTTGTGGGAGAAGTGCAAAGTCACGAACAACCCCCGATCATTCCACAGAGACAGACGAGTGAGAGTGCACCGGCACACACCGATCTAAGGAAAACAAGCGATCGAGATTACCGACCGGATGGCGGTGGCATATGCTACGCCTTACCTCGGTATCAGGATGCGATCTTACTGATTAATCACTACTTTGCTACAGTTGGTCTTGTGTTACCGTACGTGGACAAGGCTGCATTGGTATCTCAGTACCTCCAGGCCAGCGGTCAAAGACCTCCTCACTTCCGGCGAGGGTTTTTCGCATTAATATCTATCGTTTGGGCGCTCGCACTCAACTCTCTAGGCAATCCGCAGGCCGAGACTTACTATCAGAGGGCCTTGACCGTACTTAATCCGCGATGTCTGCGAGGATCAAGTCTGGAAATCGGTCAGCATTGAAGTTCTCCCAATTGATGATACGTTGAAGCTCTGACTCGATTCCAGTCCAAGCTCTACTCTTAATTATAGCTTACCAGCAGAACAGCCAGCGCTCGATAAGCAGTTGGACGACACATGCTCTAGCTGTAAAGGCTGCGATACAGCACGGACTTCACTCACCCACTACTCGGAGTGGCCAGGTTCAGACTACTGGAGATCTGATGGAACGTCTTTGGGCCGGGATTGTCTTCAACGATGGGTAAAGACACCTCTTCCACGCTTAGGTAAAAGCTTAGTGGTATTAGGATACTGGGTTCCGCTCTGGGAAGACCCGGTCTTGTCCATCCTCGATTCCTGCGGTACCAGCCATCTCAGAGACTCCGAAATCCATACCGTCCAAAAGGTGCGGTTTCCACTGAGCCGATAGGTGGACATGCTTACCTTTACTCACTCACGTGGGAGAAACCTTCCATCTATTCTAAACACATCTAACGTCCATATAGGTCTTCCTCAACGCTACTGGCCTCGATAATCGAAGTGATGTACAATGATAACATTGGACTTTCGGAGCCACGCAGTGTGTCAGAATCACTACATGATTATGGTCTACTAATGGGTCGCTTACAAGAATGGCGCGAGGGTCTCGACCACTTTGGTGGCCTTGCCTCCTCCGGGGATCTCAAGCCTTTGGCGAATTGTTCTTTGGAACCGTTAAGGTTGCGCATTCTTTTGTCCATTCACTATTACCGCCTCTACTTTATGATAAGTTGGCCTGTTCTTATCGCGCTGGTCGGCATGCTAGTGGAAGATCAGATAAACTCATCTCCTGAACGGTCCGACCTTTGGAATGATCTTGCGGTAGTGGCCAAAAGCGATTGGAAAGTCGCAAATGAGCTCAACGAAGTGATCAACACAATAACTGCGTGCACGGAGCCGTTCTTGCATTCGAACGCGGCGTGGTTCACCTGCAATTACACATGTGAGTGCGAACATATTCCCTATTCCTGCAGGGGGCATATCAACATATACTAATCTATGAGCGCAATATTCACAGCACTGACTGTATGCCTTCACGTTTTCGTCTTACTGTTAGCATGCAGTCAAGACAAAGACAACAACCTCGGATTTTCCATGCTAGAGGCCCGATCGGCGATCGAGTCGAGTCTGAATAATTTGAAATTGTTGGAACGAACCAGTTTGATGTCCTACAAAGCTCGTCGATGCTTACTCAAGTTGATGGGAGCGTTTGATGCATTACGTAAGTCTCTCGCATATATCTTCCTCTCTTTTTGGTGAGAGTTGTGTTCGGCCTGTTCAGAGGCTCGCGGCTCGCCACATTGTACAAAAGACCGATATCTCACAATTGGGCAGTGGAACAAGAGCGAGATTCGCCTCTTCGACTAGCAAGTGACGGAGACATGGACGTTCCTGAGTTCATCCAAAGTTCAGCCAATGAGTTCCTCTTTGAAACGAGTCTTGACGACTTCTTGAACAGCGATGTTGGATCTTACAGCGACGACAATTGGTTCGGAAGTACCTGATTGCTCTTCACTCAAGTTTCGGCAAGATGCCTTGCTATAGTCAAAGACCAGTTCCACCTCCAGGCATACATTGACTAACATTTACCGAGATTCAAACGTGTCCGAATGATGTGTAACGAGTATGGTTACCCATTTTTCCAGCATGACTTTCAAAAATAACTCCCTTATTTGCGTCTTTCTTCGTAAATATCCACCATAGCATAGCTCCTACTCATACGTATTGAAGAACGTTAGAGGCCTCAGAAAGAGGCACAATAAGACCAACTATTTTCCAGACGCGCGCTGTATCCCCATCTCATGCGTAGGCGCTCCTGTTGATTGAGGCGGTGTTCACTCAACGGAACATATATCCCTTCCATTGAAGATATATCGTGGGTAGGACACTCACGGTGACCAAGAGCGCAACAACGATGCCGGCAGAAGCGTACAGGCCGGTATTCTCGATCATCTCGGGGAACCTGTTACGGCCTCAAGTTAGTAAAGGTTGCTCGGTGTCTCAATAACGGCGTTTGGATATGCCTCCGCCGAGTACACACTTACCAAAAAGGGCCAATGAATCCCCAAGTCTGCCTCACAAAGGTGATGAAGACGCCAACCGAGGCCGCCTCCTCACGGTAGCAATCCACCGCGTAGGTAATCATGACAGTGGTAACAATCTGTACGCCTGCATACCCAATTCCAGCGCCGATCAGAGGAGTGACGTTCCACTTGTCCGATGCTCTACCAATCTGGACCAGGAAGACCACGACGCCGCAAATGCTGAGGAGGTGTCCGATATGGCTGAGCCACAGCCGATACTCGGGCTCCGGGCGTTTGAGATGCCGGCGTTCGCGTCTCAGCATCCACTTGTCCGACATGAGGCCGCCGATTTGTTCACCTAGGATTGCCCCGATCATGAAAGAGATATTTTGCAGACCAATCTGTTGTGTGTCCAGGCCGAATTTCACCACGAAGATTTGCGGGACCTCGATTGTGGGGAGCACCCCTGCAAGGAGAAATACCATTGAGTAGACTGCCGCAGGGACGACGACGCAAACTCGGCGGGCCATCGCCAGCGGCCGTAAGAAGTCCCAGATAGTAAGGGGCGTGGGGTCGATACGGCGGAAAGAAAAGTACTCTCGTCCCAATGTTGAGTTCCGTGTGATTGTCAGAGTGTTGCCGGAGGTATGGCTGCGCATATAGAGAGTTTCCGGCCCCAGGAACAAATACAGCACAAATTGGACGCCGTTGATCTGTAGCATAGGTTAGCTCCCGATATTGCGGCACAATATCCACGTACTAAACAGCACGTGTGGCGATACTACTCACGATACAGAGAATCCAATATATCCACCGGTAGCTTAGTCGTTCCGCCACAAAGCCCATGATGAACGGGGCCGAGGGTACTCCCATTGTCACCATGATTGTCCAAACCCCGATGTACCTGGCGCGTTGCTTCTTGAAGAATGTTTCTGCCACGACAGCGCTTCCGATGGCAGCTGCAGGGCTGATAAACCATGCGGTGATGGCGCGGCACAAGCCCATTGTGGCGTAGGTGGAGCTCTTTGCACATCCCACATTGCCTAAAAGGCTGCACAAAAGGGAAAGTAGGAAGATAGGGCGACGACCGAATCTATCGGCTAGGGGCTTCCAGAATAAAGGGGCGCCGCCCAAGACGGCGATGACAAGCGAAGTCAGGTAGCTCGCACGCTGGAGCGAAACGCCGAGATCCAAACCAATCTCGAAGAAGGCAGATTGGATAGCCCCTGCCGTAAACGTTGCCATCATCGCATGAAAGCTGACAAGAGCAAGGTTCGTGATTTTCTGGAGAGCGAGACCATCAGCGAGTGTTCAAAAGGGAATATAGGAGATCTCGATGCACTCACCTTCCACATTGGCCAATTGTATGGATCCGCGTCATCCATGGACGGGATCGGGTCAAGTTCCAATGTACCATGCACTCGTAGAAGATATTCTCGATGTTCCGGCGACAATGTATGAATGGCTTCTTCTTTGTCGATCGGAACGCCGTGCTGGCTAGCTTCAATTTTTGGATGATCCTCTAGATCTTGATTTGTACTGGAGTCGTGTTCTCCTTCAACATGTTGGGTGATATTTTTATCCATTTCGGTTTTGACAGCGTTGGAATTATAGACACCAGTGAAAGACAACTTGCCTCTACTGACAGTCAGGAACACAACATGAGGAACACCAAATCATTGCCAGGAACCCCGCCATTCTTATATATATCAAAGCAAAAACCCTCCCACGCCTGAAAGGCAAGGCTAGAGTGTGGGATGCGGAGATCTGGAAGCACATTACGGAGAAATCGTGGGGACCACCGGATAATGATGCGGGAGCCGATCGGGAAGCCCTCGTTTGATAGGCTGGTGTGGACGTTCGTCCGGGGAGGAGGGACCCACCTTGGGACCCGATCGGGTCTGTGGTGCTTCACATATCCCCATTGTGTGGAAAGGACTCGGGAGGATCTTTTGTGACGGACACTCCTCCTTATCTGCGAGAGTCTCGCCTGCCTCGCTGCGTGGGCAATGCTCTGAGACTGCCATTACAATTGCATTACTCCAATTGCATCTATTCCTTTAATCCCCACTGCGTTCGAGCATCACCGAACCCCGACGTCCATCCTTTTACCCTCATCAGACAAGTCAATTTGCGCAAGGCAAGAAAGACGGTCTGCTGAATCATCAGAAGTGGCTCTTGCTCTAGCCTCACGCCTTATCCTTTAGTGGGCACTGTCATTCCCTTGCAACTCGCCATCGGTAATTGTCGAGATAATGAACGCAGTTTCCTCAAATACCGCCCAAAGATTTGCGTTCCGAATGGCTGCCACTTCTTGCACAGCGCACAAGGTGTGTTCACTGTAGAGGCCACTTCATTGACTCAGATCTGGCCAGACCTTGTCACCGTTCAAAGAATCTTTCGCCTGACTCAATATCATCCAAATCTTAGGAGAGGGTGCTTGGTCTGTTGGCGGGAGGCCATTCCCAGGGATCGCTGGACTGGCTGGGGAGAACAGGCTTGCGGCAGAGGCCTCGAAATAACGCAACCTAGCTCTAGCTCCAGTATCTGATCATTCAAGGGGGTGGTGAAGTGGAAGAGTGTTGATATACTCGGAGGAGAGGCTTGTCGAACAATGCAAGTTCTGCACAACATACGATGCAAAATTGTACACTATGAGCTCTACAGACTAGGGATACCTGAACCGATGACAATATAACAATTGGAGAGGACAATGCCCCATATCACTTGGGACGACCGCTCCTTCGGGCAACACCCGGAAAAGTTGCTGCTCCATCCTCAGAGAATCAACTTCAGTCTACCTCGACCAATCCCGTCGTAAATTTGTTCAGGCAGCTTTCGCCTTTTTTTTTTTTTTTTTTCAAAAGGGATAGGGTCTGTTAAGACATCTCGCAATCAACTTCTCTCTGGATTGAAGCATTTTGGCCAAGTTTGCGCAAAATTCAAAAATCACTCGGACCTGGCTTGTTGTGGCCATCTCTCCAGCTAAAAGAGACCGAGACGCTGACCTGGTGAGGCTCTTGTACTAAGTCACTAGAGTATGAAAGAGGCAAGTACAACCATTCCGCAAGAGGAAATGAGCCCTCTTGCTACTTGGATGACTGGACTCAACATCACGGCGGCTGAGGGATGTCATAGCTTCTTGAGCCAGGGGCTCGTCTCTCGGCTCATCGCTGGAAGGTAGACTAGGAGGAAGTCATATATTGGATTACGTACGAAAGAACCTCCGGAGCATTCAGGCCCTAGGATTTGATCCACGACGAGGCGGCCAAGCCAGGCGCATGAACGGTTGTCAAGAAATAATCCAGCACTGTTTGCGCTCGGTGTGCTAAATCTAGTTAGGCTAGAAGGGGCTTGCATTTACAGACTAACCATTCTTGGAGTGCCGCGCGCTCGTTCCTGATGCGGATTAGTATCAGCTCGACAGCGGGAACCAATCTATATCACCGCGCGACAATCAGAAACAAGAAATTGGGATGCCTGGGACCAAACTCAAGACAGCTGATCTTCATGGTGTGACTTGATTTCCACTGTTGCACGCAGGAATTCCAGCGTCATAGCTTACAAATCGGTTCAACTACACTCGACGTGCCGGAGTGTTAACCTCCCGAAGGATGGCAGAGGGACATGCGTATAAATACAGGCCGTCTGGAAGGTGAGCAGGAGAACTCAATTCTCAACTCCAAGTCAAAGCTCGCCTCGAACTTGCCAGGTTCCTCCACCTATCTCGACCTAAGTTTATTGTTTCCACAACATCGGAGTCATGGTTACCGTCGCAGTCGCTGGAGGCACTGGTAATGTGGGCCGCACAATCGTTGATGCGTTGAAGGAGAGCCCCGAACACGAAGTCATTGTTCTGACACGCACAGTAAGTGGTTATCACAATGTATATTCTGGTTCTGCGGTTGTTACTCACCCAACAATCCATAGGAACCCAAGGACCAGGAGCTGGGTGTCCCTGTCTTTGCCGTGGACTACGGAGATGTCGAGTCAGTCTCTCACATACTCGAGGCAAACAACGTCCATACCGTCATATCTGCCCTTAGTATCAGGGGTCCTGTAGAGGGCGCGTCTGAAATTAGCCTTGTGAAGGCAGCAGCAAAAGCCGGACCGACAAAGCGTTTCATGGCGAGTGAATATGGTACTCCGGCCCCTGTCGAGAAGTTAGTAACATTCACCATCTCAGCTTTGTTCCCCCTAACAAGTGACTGAGACATGAGCTAACAAAGCTTTACCGACGAGACAGAAGTCTACAATTACCTCAGCATGAACACCGTCTCGCAACGATAGCCGAGTTGAAGAAGACGGACCTCGAGTGGACCAGAGTTCACAATGGCTACTTCCTGGACTATTTCGGCATACCCTACATCGAGAGCTACATGACCCCAGTCGCATTTGCAATTGACATGGCCAACAAAGCTGCTGCAATACCGGGCACGGGCGACGACATGGTGTCGTTCACGTACACAAAGGATTTGGCAAAGTTTGTCGTTGCGTCCCTGGGCCTGCACCAATGGGACGAGTCTATGTTCTGCTATGGAGATAAGGTGACGTGGAACGAGTTTCTGGGTATCGCGGAAGAAGTGAGAGGTCGGTCTATCTGGTTTTGGCAACATTTTTTGATTTCTACGGAAGCACTGACATGGGTAATCACCCTCAGGTTCCAAGTTCACCGTAACCTACGACAGCGTGGAGAAGCTTGCCAGCGGTGAAATCACCGAGCTGCCCTCTCACCCCACGGTTTACCCTTTCTTTCCGAAACCGCTTTTCCAGCAATACTTTGGCAAGTTTGGACTGTACGTTACGCAAGGTCTGTTCGATTTCCCCGAAGACACGACTCTGAACAAGAAATTTCCCGAGATCAAAACAACCACGGTCAGAGAGATGCTCAGTGTCTGGGTTGGCAAGTAGTGTTGCTTCAGAAAGACTGAGAACAGAGGGCTTGTCGACTTGCTGCTCACACATTTTGGGGTGTTTTACTAGCAAGCAGGGTGGGAGGGCAGAGCATCCAACATCATCATAGTGTCACAATGGCTGAGAATGTTTTATTTCGAGCCATTGCCAATATTCGCCTGATTTGATCCCTAAACCAGCAACGCAGGCGTGCCCAGGACTCGGAAACAAGCCGCAAGATCCCACGTCTGACTATCCAGGACGTCGCGATTCTCCCACACTCGTTCCATGATTTTCCTCGCCTCCTCCAGCGCACCAACCAAGCTGAGTCCGTCCATGCTTGTCAGCAAGTGTCGAAATTCCTGTTCTTGATCGCCCGCCTCTGACATACAGCCGGCCACGCAGAGCGGCCAAGCCAGTGTCCGCAGATGATCAGGGCAGCCTACCCCTCGTAGGAGATCCAGAATTCGAGACACGCCGGAGCGGACTTCTGCGTTAGAGGGCTGCCAGCCAGAAACAACTACCGCGAGGTATATATGGGCCGCGCAGGCCCCAATCCGGGTGTGGGTCGTGGACTGCTCGGAAAGGCCACCTTTTAGGTAAGATCGCAAGTTGAAAGAGGTGGCCTTTCCAGGGATTGCTGTTGACCTGTCGAGGGTTGACATCCCGTCATCAAGAGTACGGGATATTTGGTTCGCCCGGCCCACCAGTTCAATCATTGACAAACTCGCAGCCTTTTTCATATCCTTTTTCCATGCATTCAGAACACTTATCTGACTGATTGCGAGCAGAACCCAGTTCTGACAGCCCACGAGGCCCGACAACCGGAGTGGAACCAGGCCAAAATCTGGCTCGCCATTGTCTTGAGCGTCAAGAAGATGTGGGTGGCACTCAAGTAACCGAGGCGGCTGCTCCAGGGCCGTGCTGGCAATAATATCGATGAAGACCAAGAGGCCCGCGAAGAACCGAAATCCGGCCTGCTCTGGGCTCCAGATGTAGTAGCCTCCATGGTCGGCGCCGAAGCGAAGAGGTAGAGCTATTGCATCAAGAGCGGCAAGCAGCTTGGGTGCCGACCCTGTCGTGGTATCGCTGTGCCATATCTCTTCAAAGAGAGCGAGCGCCGGCGTCAGATGGAGATTCCAATCGGCGGCGCTGCTGAGCGCTATCTCGAACATCAGAAACTGACTGATGCTCTCCATGACCCGTGCTTTTTCAACGACAGTAGACTGCGGGCCGCGAAGCCTGAGATCATGGATGTCGTGCTGGATCATCTCAAAGCACATATCCGTTTGCCTCCCCACTTTCTCCCAGAGCTGGTGTTTGCACGCCCCGTGTTGCCCTGGGTATGTCTCGATCAGCGTAAAGATGAAGAAGTACGCACTCAAGCTCATCACGGAATGGAAAGCCACTCGGCTGCGTCTCAGAAGTGCGAGCACCCAGCTACGGCCGGTTTCTTGAAACCCGGGTCGATAGAAGGGGAACAGGAGGGGGAACACGTAGTCCAAGTATTTGGCCAGAAAGTCGATGTCGAAATCCCGGCCCCATGCCAGCATGGGGTGACGGTCGTGGACTTGCTCGTATTCGTCGAGAAACCCAAGCACGGACGCCATCCACTGTCCCCTATCGGCCTCCGTGGTTGAAGAGGACGTTGTGATATTGGGGTGTCTCGTGTGGACCGGCGGCTGTCCTCCTCCCGCCGGCTTGTGGGAAGTGGCCTGTCCTGACTCTATGATGAAGTTCGGGGCTCCTGGATCGTCGGAGGTCGCTTGGGCTGTTTGCCTCCCTCGCCGGGCGTCGGCGTGTCGCTTGATCTGGGCTTTGATTTTCTCTGTCATTTCCCTCTGTCGCCTTCCTCTGTCCATCCAATCTGGCTTGACGGTACCACTGTGACAACAGATCTCTAACGAAGCGCAGTTCCTACATTTCGGTCTTGCCCCATCACACTTCTTTCGGCGGAGGCGACAAGTCCAGCAGCCACCTTCACTCTTGCCCTTGCCAGCCATTGTCGGACGATCGCCTTGTTTGCTATGGTTCCCGTTTGCTTACAGGTGATTTGTGAGAAGGAGAGGGTTGTCGTTCAAGGATTGGGGAGAGATTTCGGACTGGAGGGGCATCTGTTTCACCACGAAATACAACCCCAGCTACCGACTTGCTTCGGGCGGCGATCTTAAGGCCAATCCTGTCTATTCACCCCATGCAGTCCGATGTATTACTCGATTAAACTGTGCTTTCAGCTGGATAGCTAGACCGTCAAACTCGAGTGCTTCAATGCTCAACCGCTCCGGCCGAAATGGCCGCAGCTCAAGCTGTCGATCAGCCGCCGGAAGCCAATTGCTCCGCGTCCGATTCTCGTAATTCGTTGATTGTTCCGAACGCTGCCACGCAGCTCTGGTGCTGTCCGCCCCAGCTGGAGAAGCCAAGCCAACTGTCACTCGCTGATCGGGATCTCGACAATTACTTCTCACAGCCTTGTTCGGCCATCTTTTGCCTCTTTTACTTCGTCACTTAATATTGCATTTCATAATGCCGAACTTGAGCATTAATGGAACGAGTATTTTCATCTTTCTAACCCCAAACGATGTGAACGGGACTTGTTCTTTGTTTCATGCACTCAATACAGCTTTCTTACGTGTAAGGAGCTCCTAAATGATGGGACAAAGATAGGTTTTCGGGTTTTCAGACGAACACTATCATTTTTACGGTCAAAGTTGTCAACTCATCCACTAATTCTTCCAGTACATCCACCAACATGTTTCTAAAAGAAGGAGAAGAAACCCTACATATTCCTTCGACCAGCTAGTTGGCTCCCGCAGATGCAGACTGTCTGTCATCATGGTGAACATCCTCCAAATGAATCTCCGTATGTCGCTTTGGCGCCATTTCACCCTCAATCCCTGTTTTGTCGATGTCTACAGGGATCTCCGTCTTTGCGAAAAAGAAGTCGATCTCTTCCAGAGATTTCAACTTTGTCTCGGGATACAGGAAGAAGACAATGGCGGCAATGACCGCATTGAACACACAAAGGATGACATAGAACCGATAGCCGATGTTCGTGAGGGCGATGGGGGTGATTTCGACAATCATGAACTGGAACATCCAGTAGAAGAAGACGGCAATGCCCATTCCCTTCTCGCGGATTTTCAGAGGCATCAGCTCGGCTGGATAGAGCCATGTAATGGGAAACCATGAGGTGATGTTGATGGCGTAGTACAAGAAGAGGAATGCCAAAGTGACGATGCCGTATGTCGAGCTGCCTCCTTTTGGAGCGGTTGCAAAGAGTGCTGCGATGATGGCAAAGCAGATACATTGGCCCGCGCTGCCGATCCAAAGGAATGGTCGCCGACCGAGCTTGTCAACCCACAAGACGGGCGGAATGCAGAAGACGACGCAGACCACGCCGAAGAGACCGCTAACCCAGAGCGAGGTCGAATGGGAGGCGTGAATGAAGGTTGTCACCAAGGTAGGGACGTAGTAAGTGACGCTGTTGATACCGTTCAGCTGATGCATGATCATGATCCCAGTCCCGAAGCAAATGCGCTTGAAGTTCTGGGTTGGGCCATTGACGAAGACACCACTGAAGAATCCGCCCTCCGTTCCTTCGAGTTGTCTGGCCTCGGAGATCTCGAGGAGTTGTTGTCTGACACGCGGGTGATCTCGAGTGGCACCATGCCCCTCGAGGCGTAAGATGACCTGCAGGGCTTCCTCCGGGCGATCGTTCTTGAAGAGCCAGTGAGGAGACTCCGGAAGCATCGCGACCAGGACGCCAATGATGGCAATGAAAACAATCTGAAGCGCCAGAGGGAAGACGAAGGCGGTGCGGGAGGTGTCGCTGTGGAAGCCGTAGTTGGTGTAGAAGGCAATCACCAGTCCACACCCCCCAAGCATGAGTTCCAGGCACATGAACATGCCCCGGATCCTGGGCGGCGTCGTCTCTGCCTGCCACAAGCCGACGGTCGAGGTCAGAACGCCCACACCGACGCCCGTGACAATGCGGCCGACCAGCAGCTGGGAGAGTTTTTCGGCAGTGCACTGGATCACCACCCCCACGGCCGCAATGCCGCTGCCATAGAGAATGCTCTTCCTACGGCCAAGGTGGCCCCCGAAGAAGAAGGCGAGAATTGAGCCCCCCGCGCAACCCACATTGTATAGTGCCGATATGGTGCCTAGGATATCGGAACCGGGGTGGTGGAAGGCATTTAAAAACCACGGCAGGACAATAATGCCTCCAAAGACGGCGTTGTCGTAACCAAACTGTCAGAGAAGCCCATGTTAGCCCGCTGATGGCGTCCAGATGTCCCAATGTAATCTGTTTGGCAGCATCGTCTTACCAAGATGAAACCTGAGGAGGCGGCGATTGTGATAAGAAGGAGCAAGGGCCTGCCCTCAACTTTGCCAAGTGGATTCCACATGGTCACCCCACACTGCCTATCCTTGTATAGTACTGGTCAAGGTTGACGTGCAAGAGGAACGAGAATTGGAGAGTGGTCTGGAATGGCCGAGCTCTATATACAGGATGAATCTCGAGAGGGCGTACAAGGGCGCAGAAGGACGCCACGAGCCGGCCAGAAATTCTGCAGCTTCTTATAAGTGACAAACCGACCGTGCGAGGTGCGAGCCGCGAGCCCAGCCGGGACTACTAGAGTTAGGCTGGGGGGATGCTGGCCTTGAGGACAACAACGGCGACATGCTGATGGTGGCGCTGATGGTGCTGTTTGCGGGGACCCCAGGGCGGGCCCGCAACCTATTCACCAGCACTCACACCACCCTGGACCACCTGCAGTTGACCCCTACCAAGTAATACCTAGTTAAACTGCCCTGCCCAAGCCGTTGCCAGAGATCTGGGGCCCCCCTTTTCCCCGGCTGCGCTCCCCTCGGGTACCTACCCCAGCCACGGCATACTAGGCCCCAACGCCGCTCTGGCACCTATTCCGGAGCCTGTTGCTTAGCTTGGACTGGGCTGTGTCCGGCGGTATATCCAGGCTATAGGTATGCAGACACTCCATCAGCACAGTTGAATCGGCCCCAAGGTTATACTCAGTTTTATTTTGCGAATTGGCAATAATTATATCGACACAGGCAGACAATCAATGGTGGTCCAGGCTTGATGCGATCTTTCCTAGTTGTGTAGCTTTTGAACAGCCGGGAGAAAGATAATGCCATGTATCATCTTCAGTCTGAGTCAACGTTGTGGAACAACAACCGATGATGCCGGGTTCAACCCGTCAGTCCAGGGTTTAGGATAGGCGAACTGGCCGAACAGAGCCCAAACCTCTTTTGATTCTTCTGACGGACTCTGCCACAAGGTAGCATTGGGTATCGCAAGCCTTCAGACGCGATAGTGACAAGCAAAAGCTCCTGGCCTCGCGAACAAAGACGGCTAATCGAGTACCGCCATTGATGAGATAGGAGACTTGTCTTGCAGAGAGTTGATATAGACGGTCTCGAAAATGTCCCATGTCAATTTCTGAGTCAATCATCCTCCACGGCTCGGCGGCTCGGGTTTTGGCGGTGATCGTGGTATGTACACCACGTGGAATATGTAGGGGGATAAGCCGTACTGTAGCACCCTACTGCACGCAGACTATCTGGGTCGCCCCGGGTCAAGAGCCTACCCAATAGCCATACTTTTCCATGCAAGGGACGTGGCCCATGGGGGCACCGGGTCACAACCCGGAGACGAGTGTTTTAGGGTTCACCTTCCGACACAGGCACATAGGGTTGAACTCCTCCTCGGCTACACGGCGACACTGCGAATAGCGTGTGTATGCTTTGCCAATGGCACGTCGAACGTCGTTCATTGGATTGGTAAATTCAATGCATCAGGAGAGCACTGGCTTGGAGTCGTTATGACTCCATCTCTGAATCGCCGATCGGTCAAGCTCTCGACTATAGCTATCCAGAAGTCAAGACTGACGTCCCGACGGAGACTTGGAGAATAGTTCATCGCCGTTCCGCTCACACTTGGGGAAGGATCGAATCATCTCTAATTGCCCTTTCCCTTGCCTTGAAAGGTTCAAAGACGTCAAAATTTGGGGTCTCCCGTGCCTAGACAGCAAAATGGCCTGAAGAATGCTCAAGATGGGAATTCAAACATTACCAAATTCCTGTAGAAAACTATCATTTCGACTTTTTTAGCTATAGCAATGATGAAGCAGGTCCCAGTTTCAGTGCCGTAGCTCCGTTTCCCATCTAACCTATAAAAGCCGGTCAGGTCAATGACACGTTGACGGCCTTTTGCTGAGTGAACGCGATCAATTCGTCAAAGCACTCCTCCCTTCCCAATCCCGAGTTCTTCTGCCCTCCAAACGGCATGTTCAGATAATGTTTTGCCACGTTGTTCACCCAGACGTAGCCCGTCTCGAACCTGCTCACCGCGTTCTGTGCCGTCTTGAGGTCGCGAGTGTACACGGCCCCGGTTAAACCGTAATTGGTGCTGTTGACTATCTTCCACATCTCCTCCTCGTCCGTCCACTTGAAGATGCTTTGGATGGGACCGAAGACTTCTTCCTTGGCGACCCGCATGTCCGGCGTGACATCCGCGAAGATCGTGGGCTCGAAGAAATTGCCCTCTTTCATCTGCTCGGGCTGCTTGCCTCCGAGAACCAGTCGAGCGCCCTCGGCGACGGCATCTTTGCAAAATCCTTTGACCCGTTCCAACGCCGCGGAGGAGATCAACGGGCCCATGGTGGTCTTCTCGTCTGTAGGGTCGCCGGGAACGAAGGATTGCTTGACCCGTTCGACTACCTGTGCCAGAACCTTGTCGTGGACAGACTCGTGGAGGAAGACACGAGACGTGGAGCCGCAAGATTGTCCTGCCCACAGGTAGTTCATTCCCCGAGTGATGCCATCGACAAGCTTGTCGAGGTCAGCGTCCGGATAGGCCACGAGGGCGTTCTTGCCGCCGAGTTCGAAAAGAAGAGGTTTCAGCGTGCTCGAGGCACTCCGATAGATAGCCTTGCCGGTAGGGACACTGCCAATCAGCGTGATCATTTTCACTAGGGGATGTGTGGATAGAGTGACTCCGCTGTCGATACCACCATTGACAATGGAGACTACTCCCGGAGGGAAAACGCCGTCGAGGAGTTCGGCGAGATAGAGAGCAGACAGAGGTGCTTGTTCGGCTGGCTTCATAATGACCGTGTTTCCTGCCGCGAGGGGCGCGGCCATTTTCTGCGCACAGAACATAATCGGGTGGTTATATGCCACGATCCTCGCCACGACGCCCAGTGGCTCTCGCAAAGTATAATGGAAGCCTTCGGTCCCCATGGGCACAGTTTCACCTTTGACCATTGGAATCAAGCCGGCAAAGTAGTCCAAGGCGTCGGCGGCGGTGATGGCATCCGGGATCATCTCTTTGAAAGGGTTTCCCGTGTTGATGGAATCGATCAAGGCCAGTTGTCGCGCATGAGCCCGCACAATCGACGCGGCTTTCTGAAGGTATTCCCTCCGTTTCTCGGGATGAATGTCGCGCCACGCGGGAAAGGCTGCGTGTGCCGCCTTGATGGCTGCTTCAGTGTCGGCCGCGGTGGCCTGCGCGACTTTGGTGATGGCCTTGCCGGTCGCGGGATTGAATGTTTCGACATAGTTCTTGGGTGTCTCGGGCGCCTGGAACTTGCCCGCGTAGTACAGATCGCGCTGCTTGGGCAGCACTGTGGCGAGGTGTTCAGGAAGATCAACCATTGTGTGAAGGCGTTTTGGATGGGAGAGTCGATAGCTGCCTGGATAACGAAGCGGCCTTTTCCAGACCGGAGAGTACCTCGACATTGAATATGATATTTGCAACTCTACAGTTGTAGGCCCTTGGGTGGTGGCTGGACATGTTGGATACTTCAACCATGCTGGACGGGCTTTGTTCCGCGGCCTACAACCCGTCGTATTGACCAATGCAGGTGCGCTCTACCCCGCAGTTGAAGCTGTTCTCGATGTCTGGGGATTTTCTGTCTGGTCGGTACTTGGGTGTGGGTAGTGTTCGCGATCGAGGAACGGTGGGATGGCGGGGGTGGGGGATGGAGGGGACAACCAACGCTGCATGTTGTGTGATCAAGGTTGGAACAAGAAGACACCATGCTCTAGACCCGAGAGGAAGAAGGCTCTCTCAGTGCTCTGCTTCCTGTTGTCTTACTCCAAGATCCACACCATCGAGACTGACAAGACTGGGTCGCCGTTCTTCGGGACATGTGCCGGGCGCCAATCAAAACCTACCCATTTCCGCCTTACTTGTGGATCTCGCGATGCTGGATGTATTCCGTCCGTGGGTCAGCGATAGTCCCCATGGCAGCTCGCAGAGGTTCGTGCGAGCTAGATTTGGAGATCGTCTTTAGAGGCAAACGATCTAGGATAAATTGTTCAGATATCCTTGTTGTTCTCTTTATTCAAGTTGAAATTTCCTACACACCTTAAAAATCACATTCTGAACACTCCTAAGCGAATACAGAACCACAGTCGTTGATAAAAATGGGAGAGATTGTATCAGAGAACGCCGTCAACGGTGAAATCGGTGCGGATCATACCAATGGCACGAATGGTGTGGTGACCAAGAGAAAACGCCCAATTGCCATTGACGAACCCGTTGGCCTGGACGAGAAGACACATGCAATAGGATGGGGCAGCGACGCGATTGCCGAACAGATTGCACGGTTAGACATCCCCTACATCGCGCTGTCACCGGGATCCAGTTATCGAGGACTACACGACAGTCTGGTTAACTACAATGGTAATACTCCACAGATGGTTGTTTGTCTGCATGAAGAACACACGGTGGCGGTAGCCCATGGATATGCCAAAGTCACAGAGAAACCGATCCTGGCCGCCGTACACGCCAACGTTGGGCTCCAACACGCTTCGATGGCTATTTACAATGCATTCTGCGACCGAGTTCCTGTCGTGATTCTGGGCGCCACCGGGCCTCTGGACTCGGAGAGAAAACGGCCGTGGATTGACTGGATTCACACATGCACGGATCAAGCAGCCATTGTCAGGCCGAGTCTCAAGTTCGACGAACAGCCGTATTCAGTCAATGCTGCCACCAAGGCCTTAGCTCGCTGCTATCAGGTGTCGGCCACCAAGCCCTGCGCGCCCAGCTACCTGTGTCTCGATGTTTGTCTGCAAGAAGATAAGTTCGACGCCTCCAAGCTGGAGTTCCCCGATCTTGAGCGCATGAAGCCACTCCCACCCCAAGGACCAGATCCAAAGGTAGTCGATGAAGTAGTCGGTCTGTTGGCCGAGGCCAAGCGACCGCTTTTGATGTTTGGACGCGTCAACCGCTCGCAAACTTCTTGGAACGAAAGGGTCGAGTTGGCTGAAACAGTGGGCGCCTATGTCATGACCGATCTCAAGCAAGGAGCAGCATTTCCATCTCGCCATCCTCTACATCCCGCCGCCCCGGCCGTTTTTACAACTCCTCAAAACATTGAGCTGATCAATGCGGCTGATTTGCTCATCTCATTCGACTGGGTGGATCTCGCAGGCACTCTGAAGGCAGCAGAGACAACTCTGCAAGACACAAAAGTGGTACATATCAGCATGGATAGTATTTTATACAACGGCTGGTGTAAAGATCACTTTGGGGTGCCTCCCACCGACGTGCCTGTGTTTGCCGACCCAGACAAGACTCTGACGGCCTTGCTTGCCGGCATCAAGTCCGCCAAGATCCAGCCCAAGGCTTGGAGCAGCGTGGAAGCTACTCAGAGACTGCCGCCGCCGAGCATGCCTGATGTTCCGGAGAACGAGATTCTCATGGGCCACCTTGCAGCCAATCTCTTCGAGGCTCTCGGTAACGCGAACCAGGAGTACTGCCTGATTAGATTGCCCTATGGATGGCGAGGCTACGATCTGAACGCCACCGGGCCCATGTCGTTCCTCGGCTTGGACGGCGGTGCGGGAATCGGATCAGGACCAGGCCAGACGGTCGGCTCTGCATTAGCCTTGAAGGACTCCGGGATCCTCGCCGTGTCGGTCCTCGGTGATGGCGACTTCCTCATGGGCGGCAACGCACTGTGGACAGCTGCTCACTGCCGCCTCCCGTGTCTTATTCTGGTCGCCAATAACCGCAGCTTCTACAACGACGAAGTCCACCAAGAGCGTGTTGCTCGAGCTCGTGGTAGGCCGTGGGAGAACAAGGGCATTGGCCAGCAGATCACCAATCCGATCCCTGACCTCAATGGATTTGCCAAAGCGTTGGGTTTGACCGTCCCAGGTCCCTGTGTGACCGACCGCAAAGATTTGCCTGGCATGATGAGCAAAGCCGTCCAGCTCGCCCGGGAAGGCCATTCCGTCGTAGTTGATATTGCCATTCGCCCGGATGGGTATTCTAACGCTCTGGAGAAGGCGAGATGAAGTGTGTTTGTGTCCTCATGGCCATGAACCTTGAAGTGGAGCTAAATGCTTTCAAGAAAGGGGAGAGGTCCTTATTGTTTTACGTGCTTCATGTAGATGAATAGATACACTATCACCTGAATAACGAGTAGCAACCGATCATTAAGAAGCCAAATATCTTCCTCATAAGATTGTGCGCCGATAAGGTGTGACCTCTGACGGACAGCACGGTTCTATTGCAATCAACACATACATCGAGCAAAAAGAAGTAGAGAAGCTCATGAAGCTGTAAGTGTACATCTTGAGCAGCCGTATAACAATCCCATATCCAGGCTAGTGGTAGGAGTAAGTGACCACACGTGCCGAACCAAAGATATAGTCCGGACGTCTATCCCCTCAAAATTACAAGGATATTACGTCGCGAGAGAAAGAAAATATATGTACACTTTATCTCATGGTATACCGGCCAGATAGCAGAAGGCCTTCGAAAATATCGAAAATAAGAAGCACAGTCTGAAACAGAAGAGCTGCCATCTTAGAATATAGCCAAGGGAACTCAATAGTTGCGAGGTGCCTGCCGGAATCAAATTTCGCTGGTATCATGAACAACTATCGGGATACCACTGTAGCCAACCATACACTAAGTACCCTTGTGAAAGACGACAACTCCCGAGCTAAGAAGTCAGAGTAAATACCATGTAACTTTTCTGGTCAGAGAGTGCCACTCATTTTGACGCCGGCTCGCCAGTCAGTCAATCAGCCCATACGAAAGGTGTCATATTCCATACTGTCCAACGAGCCGAAGCCGCCACCATTAAAAATATCCGACGTGGGATACGGTTGACCCATGGTCGAGTATTCGACACCGATAGAACCCATCGATTGGTCTCCAAACCCATCCAGCCCTTCCATGAAGAACAGATCGCCCTGGAGGGGCATCTCAGGCAGGGGATGGGGAGCTCCGGACGGCGGTGCTCCGCCTCCAGCATCGGCTGCATCATTGGAATTTCCACTGAATAGCGAATGGGGTCCGTTGAGAGTCCGTTGGCCCCCTTGGCCTCTGCTAGAAGTTGATGATTGCTGGCCACGGGAAGGAGCAGCACCAGCCGTTTGGGGCCTTGTTGTGGGGACAGTGTCTTCGTCCTGGGAAGCCCGAGACGTCCCCGCCCCGTGTCGTTCTTGGGCAATGGTGTCTTCGAAAAGCTGTTGCAGATTCTCGGCGTACCGGTGGATCATCGAGCTTCTCCTCCCAATCTCGCGGAGGAGACTGATGCCTAGTTTGATGCTTTTATCTTCGGATTCTAGATTGTCGAGGCCGGAAATGGCAATCCGCCTAGCGCTCTCCATCGCCCTGCAGCCGACGAGGGCGGCGACCGACATGTAAAGGTCTGCACTCAGTGTCAGTCTTGAACCTCGCGCCAAAGTCGTGGAGAAAATGTCAAGACACTCCACTCACATTGTGCGTCGGTCCACCACATATTGACCGTTTTGCTTTTGTGCAGGCCGTCAAGAAAATTGATCAGCTCTCGCGCGTTGTTCATGCACTGTCGGACGCTCGAGATGATCAATGCTTGCTGGAAGTCCTCCTGGGGCTGATTGTGTCGGAATGCCACAAACGATTTGCGGTGCAACATGACTCGAATGGTGACATACTTGGTGTAAAGGATGTTGGCTTGTCTTTGGAGCTTCCAGTCCGAGTTTTTGGCATCGGGTCGGAGGTGAGCTGGTAGTGTCTGATGCCAGTCTACCAGACCACAGTCCAAACGGACTACAGTGGAGAGGAACCTTCCATCGGATCGCAGTTTGCTCGAATCATCACCGCCATTGTCGACAATATGACTGCCGTTGCTTGGATAGCATTCAAGATAGAGTTCTCGTACGATGGCGGCGATATTGCGTGAAAGGCTAATGTCAACCAACAAACTGTGGCAGCGAGCTGGCTGCCCATCTGGTTGGCGAGATTCCGCAGCTTTATCTCGCAGGTACTCTCCATCAATTAGCTGTGGTAGCCGCACATCCGATGTCTTGTCCAGGTCTGATGGTGGTCGACCATAGCGCAGACTCAACATGCAGTCAACCACATAGCAACCCCACCAGAGCCGGCGGCGGAATTCCTGCTCGATATGGCTGATGTGCCAGCGCGATGGATCTAGATGTAGGCCCATCCCATGGGCCAGGCGGATACAAAGACCCACGACACTCCAGCATTTGTTGAGATTGTTTGTGCCCTGCAGATAGTGGCTGGTGAGAAGAAGAGTCTGAATTGTTTCAAGATTCGCCGAGTGGAATACTTGGGAGAACAGTATCGTTGTTGATCGTTTGAAGAATCGTGAGCTGGAGAGACAGCCGGCGCCGCGCGGGCTGCTGTCGGCATATTCGCTCCCAAAAGCAAAAACCAGATTGAGCAATGCAAGCCATGATAAGTCCTGGACGTCTTCTGGTCCTGAATTGTCTCCCAGCGGTTGCCAGGTGCGATCGTACTTGGCCCTGAAACTAGGTTCGTGTATGAAAGGCAGGATACTGTCGATGTAGGTAAAGTACGCATTGACCAGACGATCCGCAACGTACCGCTGAGGAAGGGCGAGACAGTCATCCAGTTCTCGACCGCTTGTGTACCTCGCCAGTCGTTGCACCGATGAGACTGGTGGACTGCCGTCTGACGGTCTGGACGAACGCACCGACGGCGACGGACGGTTCCCAGATTCAGTCGATCGCACAGTTGACATGAACGCCACCATTGAAGACTCGCCGAAGTAACCTGGATGTGTAGTTGATCCGGGCTCGCCTAGATCTCTTTCGTCCTTGACCTCGTCGCTGACGTTTCCGCTATCGTCATTTTCAACCCAGCCACTGGGTGGGTTAGCAACATTGTCATGCACAGTTTGATTTGGTAACGTCGAATCAGGCAAAGTAGGAGTTGCAGTGTCAACGCCTTGCAGGGGATTCTCGTCCAAAACACCCGCTGCTGCAGCGCCAGAACTACTACCTCCTCCAACACGTTGAGGTGGTATGGGGTTCTGTGGAGGCTGGCTTTCTCTGAGATCTCTTCGCGAAATCGAGGGGACGCGCTTAGAGAAGGTTGATTGATTAACTGACGCGGCAGAGAGCGTTTCAGCCGCCGAATCGACATGATTCTCGTTCACATCTTGTGAGGCATTCTGGCCTCCAAGAAATGACTGCAAATTCCGTTCCAGATCGCGATTTCTGCCTTCGAGGTGTTCAATATATCTTTCATGCACAGACACTGGTTAGCCACCATGATCATAACCGGTTCAGTGCCCGAATGCTGCAGCCTGAAGAGCACCAATGCATCATTCTCACAATCCCAGCAGGGCAGCACTCACTCTTTCGCAACGCTTGCGCGAGCTCTCCATGGTACATAGAAACACTCGGTCCGACGATCTCGACATCCACTGCAAGGCGGTTTGGAGCCATCGCAGCGACTCTTGCGCAGTCGACAAGCCTCGCAAGCCAGGCGTACCCTCTTTCGAGCTGTGCTGCCACCATCCCAGGATGATTGTCTACGCTGCCCGTAGACGTTGTTGTCGACGGTTTCCGGAGACAACGCGCCCTGGCTGTTCCTCCCGCCAGATGGATTCGTGCTCTGCATGGTCTCCATTGTGTTGGTGACAAGAGGATCCGCGGAACAGGAGAGGAGGACAACGGATAAAGAGCCGCCTCGGTTCGGGCGAGATGCCGCAACAGTAGCCTTCAAAAACCGGCCAAGTTCCTAGTGGCAAAGCTACCTAATTAGTGCCGCGTGAGAAAGGGGGCGCCTTGCTTCCCCCAGGTTCTCACAAACCTTGTCATGGGGACAGTTATCTACGAGTCCTCCTCGAAAGAGAGATAGAGGTGTAACTGCCCTTTCGGCACAGAGGGGACACAGTGGAGTTAAGTATAGCCAACCAGTGTTGTACGGTGATAGAAGTCACCAACTAGGATGCAGCCAGACCACCCCGCATTGGGGTAATTTGTCTTTCCTGCAGGTCTTCGCTTTGAATTTAGCCAAGAGGATCTGAGGATCTAGAAGGCTGAAGTGCAACGGGCACGACTGACTCCGCGACGCGTGGTTCGGGGACGTTGGACAAGAAGGAATAAGACTTATCAGCGAGAAGAAAACAGCGACGGGACGTGATGGGTCATCCAAAATGCATTCAATTTGCAGAACACCCCTGATTAATCGAGGACTAACAAAGACAACAGCTGGTCAGGGATCAAAAGCATCAATAGCTCGCCGCATTCAGAACATGACAGCGCCTCAGATGATATAAGACGTTCGTTGTCTCTGCAGTGTGGATGTAAAGTGTGGACGGATCAGTCTTGAAGTTGGCTTCTCTTATCGAACCAAATATTCATGAGTGCCGCAAGGAAATTCTTCGATATCATGGCAGAGTGAGCTGAAGGCGGCACCGTCGTAGTTGAGGCCGAATAACAACTCTTTTCATTCTACTGGACACCATCATTAGGGACATATTAGCCTCGACGCTGTCGAAGAACGAAAGTACACGTCGCTACAGAAAATGTGACAATCAAACCCACCTTAAGCGAAGTAGAACTAGTAAATATAGTGACCTGTCTGGCTCTTGAAGGCTGGTTCTAGATGAAAGTGACAAGGCTTGCACTAAGAAATAAACGAAGGTACGAGCTTAATTGATGCAGGAGGACATCGATTCCTTGGAAGGAGGATAGCAGGGGTAACTGGGAACCGGACTTCACAACAAGATCCCGCGTTTCCCCTGTTTTAGTCTCCTATCTTACGAACCAGATCCGTCGTGGGAGCTCGACTGTTAAAAATCTTTCAAGTTACTTAACCTGGTCAGCAGTTTCTGTTCTGTTAGATAACAACATGATCTTGGGACGAGTCTCGAAGACACTGTTCACCGTTTTCCACTTCCTCAGATCGAACCGTGTATTCGGAAGCCGCCTAGAGCCAATGCTGGCCAGTCAATTCGAACGCCTAGTTAGGTAGCAGTTGGCCTTCTCCGCTGCTCTCGCAGGGCTCTCACATCCAGGCAGACGGCCTGGCCGCGATCATTGACACGTTTCATGATGCAGGATGGAAGAGATGCTGGGCCTGTTATTTTCGTACGACAAGCTTTGGACCCGTCTCCTATTTCTTCCAGTGAGGAACATAGGCGGGCGTTGCGGGCCAGTTCGAGGGCTCAAGAAAGAGACTCGACATCGAGGCGCCAATACCCCCTTCAGCAATTACATTCTGTCGGGGTCGTGAAGCCGTCCCGCTGGAAGAATGCTAGTCTGCCGATGTAAGTGCACACTATTGTCTCTTGCAGGTAATGAAAACATTCTTTCTGTATCCTTAACTTTGACTCCCCTGCAGCAGCACCGGGAGACATGCTGCTGGCGTGCAGTATGTACAATTGTCGTCTCAATTTGTCGTATGTTTGCTTCGCCATCGTGTTGGAGAAAAATTCTGGACAGAGCCGACCTTATGAGTCCTTTTGTTGAAAATGCAGAATGATCCCTTCGGAAGTGTCACTACATGCATGGTAAGGGAAAAGATGCCTCTCCTGAGGCCGATCGGGATGAGCAGCAGAACTGAAGAGGCGACCTCGGGGGATTGGAACAAGAAAGAACATGCGAGAGTTGAGTTCTCCTGACTTCATCGGATAGGCATATCCGGAGTTGGCGACCGAACGCCCACGAGGCTGTTGATGATGAGGTCCTCAATTTATTTTGCTAATATATTCCTGACAGAATCTTTCGCTGGAACTGATCGGAGTCCGATCAAGGGATTTTGACAATATGCATATCGATGGAATCCGCGAGACTCAGCTCGGGGCTCGAAACGTATCATATTACCATGTTGAGAGGCCATATAGTAATGTGTGTACATCTGAAGATGTGGATCTCACGCTGACACACTGCTGAAAACAAACACTCGAAAAGGGTTGATGCATGCCGACCTTGTCAATTTTGCTTGATCTTGACCGTGGCAGACAATCATTAACACCGTTAAGCTCGCAAATCGTTCCCTTGTGAGGAGCTGTTCCTAGAGTTCTGAGGGGTTCTGTCTTTAGCAACCAAGGATACCATTCTCCATCCCCTGTCCAAATAAAGGCGTGATCCGAGGTATTCTATGGGCAAGTCCGCTCTCACGAATCAAAGAAGTCACATTTTCCACACGGTGCAGCCTTTCTCAGGTCGACCTGGGGATCGGGTAAAGGGGGCGGGTTGCTTGGTGCGCTACCTGTTTGAGGATGATCAAGTGCCCACAGGCGGAATAGGATGGTTCGGAAGGTGACTTTCTAGCTCTCGTAAGAGGAAATGGAGCTGTTGAGCCCGGCGACAGCAATTAACCCAGATATTGGGACAAAGAGGAGGCGAGCTGCAGAAAGTCCGCGTATATCGCATTGCGGTTTATGAGAGAACCTGGTAGGCCAGCTCAAAAAGAGGGGGAATGAGAGAATTTTGCAGGATGTCTATTTGACACAAGCGAGGAGGTGTTAGGCTAGTAAAGCGCTGAAGCTGCTGCTAGCGCCAGCGGCACCGGCAACAGCGGAAGGTTGGAGCTGGTGACTTTGACGGCGCCCTTACCGGCACGCAAGCATTCGCAGGCACTCACAGACACTGGAGTCTCCCATGGTTGGCCGCTGTGCCGGCGCTTGACGCCTACAGCACCAGTCTCGCACTAACCGCCACGTCCAGGCATTCATTCTGCGGAACAAGCAAGCTCCGACCCGGTGTCTGTCAATCAAGACGTCCCAAAAGCGATATTAAATGCTATCGCCTCTGACCCAATGTGTGGTTGTGATGAATCGCGTTGGCGTTGGCGCGGGCTCCAATCCTCGGTTAAGCCACAGGCCCTGTAGGTTCCCCGCAAGCCACTGACGACAAGTGTCTACCTGTACGTAAATCTGTCGTGTTCGATGCCGGTAAACACATGGCCGAACTTTTAAAAGGGGGCGACCAAGGGGCGTAGCGAATTAGTCGCAGTGGCTATCACTGTGAGCTCTGGGGAAGAGCGCCAACGAGGGTCCCTGTGTTTGATAATATGCGAGCTCTTCTGCTGCTTTTTCTAGACGGCCGAGCTGACTCTTGGAGTGTATCGCGATCGCCGAGTACCGAGTGCCGTGATGGAGGGAATGACGACAAATTTTCAGGGAAGTAAGGATACGAGAAGAGGCGGAGGAGGAACACTGGTAGGCTGCTGTGAGGAGGGTGAGAAGATCTCAAAATCGACGAGGGGCGATGTTTGTCTGCATCGGACTATCGGACACCCATAGCAGTGTCAATAGACCACTGACTTGCGGACGGGATCGATCGGCTGAAGAGTTGTGATGATTGATGGGCCGTGTGTTGATTCATTTTAGTCTTCCAGCCGCCAGTTTTTGCCTCAGCTGCATCATGCGCCGAGCCAGCTAGTGAGGCGTCAATGACCACTCAATCCTCACTCATCATTCATCGCCCAGCGTCCATCGGTGTGACCGCAGTCGATGACCCTCCCTCCTTTGCGTCCTTACGCCGAATTGGCACACAACCACCTACCCTTCTCAGCTATCAACCCCTCACCTCTACCTCAAAGTGGCGAGGAGCGACCAGCACTGGTGGGCGCCAGCCTAGTGGTCTGATCGAATTGGATCACATCCAGCCTTGAAGCCTCAAGTCAACCTTACAGACAGTGCTGTGACCTCCAAGTTTGTTATCCACTTTTACTCAAAATAGCCGACACAGTGACAAACAGGGGACTACTGAGTATGTCACCAGGATGCGACCGACAATGGATGTGGCAGGCTGTTGGACTGTAATCCACGCTCCATTCCCAACCAGCTCGCCAGATCACCAGGTCTTATTTTCGGTCACAATCTTCATGCACTGCAAGAGACGCTCGGGATGAGGTTCCGCAAACCTTAAGCACAATCGACCATCCATGGTTTTTGTGATTGGATCAACACCAAGCTAGCCAGACGCTGGGGTGCCCGTGAGTTGCTTTTGCTGCAACAGCTGCATGCACCGGTCCAAACGCTCCAATCCTTGGCTTCCACATGTGAGGGATGAAGATGCATTTGTTTGCACTTTCTGCAGAGCTCGCAGAAGCTTGCCTCCAATAACCTCGAAGCCCACAGCAACCACAAGGACATTACATCGCCCGTATAGCCTGAGCTGCCGTTGGCGCCACCATGATTTGCTCACCCTGCTGGAGTGAGAAGACGTCACAAGTCCAGTTGGGACTCTTTAATTCAGGTCGTCGCCCACCTGTAATTTCTAGGTGCCTCTTCTATGCTGCTTTTGCTCGCTCGTCATTGGAATTGAGCCATCCTTGCTGCTTAAGAGCGAAGATACTTTCTGTACAGTGAATCTATCGTGACTGAATTATCCTCACAACAGAGTCGAGAAGCCTCAGATCTTTTAGAGCCATTCAATATTCAGGTCTAGGCAGATCAACATGTGTTACTTTGAAAGGACTGATTTCCAATGCGGCGATTTTAGATGGGGAAATTTGCGATTTCGGTGTGTACGACAAGATCGCATCGGAGAGAGGTGCCCGGCGACTCTTCTCGACCATCTTAATCTATTCAAAGCCCACGGCAGTTGCAAGATATGCCAAAAGATTGCTGTCAAAGTAAGGAGGCTACAGAGAGAAGAACGTAACATTAGGAGATGGCAGTCTGAGGGCAACAGATTGCCGATGATGATGGACAAAGCCATCAGAACTGCGGAACGGCTTCAACAAGAAATCGTCACCTTACATAACAAGAGGACCTCAGTCCGATTGAGTCCCAAAAACAGCCACTGCACCTCTTTCCGTGGACTATGGCTTTTATATGCCACTGCCTGAATGGCAAGGTCACCAAGGACCACTTTTGCCGCACCATGTCGCCTTGCCTTTGTATATTTGGTCGGGATTCAAGCAACCTCAGAAGAAGGACAGTGTGGGGGACACACCTGCCGAGAGTGCGCCTGGAGTTAGCGAGACCTGAGTCTTCTATCTAATGTGGCAGCTGCTGGAGACTGATTTTGGAGGGAGCTTGGGAAGTTGTTTTTATTTCGGAGAGGAGCGATCAACTGAAACAACCAAGCCAGAACCACAGTCAAGCCCTACAAGGGACCGCCTTCGACTGGGCACGGCTGACGATGACTTATGACCTTGGTTGGGACATATGGGGGACAATCTTGAGACATCTTTGAATGATACCCCAATTGATTTCGGAGAGCTGCTGGAGAAAGGTACTGATCTAGCGGGACTTCCTTTTCCAATTTAGTTACTGAAAAAGGGCTGTCGTTTCGATGGCTTTCTTGTTGGCTCTTGTTTCTCATTCGCTCTCACAGAGCCGTTGGATATATACGAATCAATGATAATTCTGCGAGAGACTTGAAGCACTTCTCGGATTCTACACAAGTTTCTGGCGACCATGTTCCGTTCAATCTTCTTGCTTAACACTACCGGCATGACTTCCGCCGCTCTCGGAAAAGACTTGGGCATATTGCGGCATCTTGTCGCCGCCATCGCTCTACTGACGTTTCGTTCGCTCTAGGACACTGCTGAAGAGGCCCTTGATAGACGGCCAGCTAAGATGACGACCACTCACACATGGTCTCTGAGTGTCACGCTTTCATTCTGCTTCACACTCATCAATGATGCGGGTTTGGTGGGCAATAGCCGCTAATACTATTCTTAGTATAGGTTTTAGGAGCCGAACGGGGGCTCAACGTGATCAGGCTGGAAGATAAGACACAGAGCACGGCTGAGAATAGTTGAACCTCGTTGTTTGTTATGAACATCTCTATGTCCACTATCGTTTCAAACAATAGATCTCGACCGCAATTCCGGTTGACACATATCGGCCGAGTTTTGGGGGACTCGAGTCGAAAGAAGGAAGCGAGTTCTCTCTGTCCGTTCACCCAGTGATGCAGCTAGGGGGGGGGGGTGAATCAGGTGAGCACCATCGAAGGTCCAACAACCTTTGTATCGTTCCAAGACGGGCTGCCAGTATCCATTCTTCCCTCTCCCCTCAGTCGGGCCAAATTATGTTTGGCGCCAGTATGTCCACAGCAGCATTCTTGCCGGTGAGGGCAGAGGCAAGGAAAGGACAATCAAGGCAAAGTATTTGTTGCCGGTGGCCGAGAGCGTTTGCCAAAAGCCAGGAAGGCAGTCAGTTTCGGACAATCAATTTCTAATCTGTTGGCTGGTGCAGTAATTGTCTGTTGTCTAGACCTTGATAGTGAATGGGTCTCGAACCTCGTCGCTCAGGTCGATCATGACGTTCTTGATCCGCGTATATTCCAGCAACGCCTCAGTGCCACGCTCTTTGCCATATCCACTCTGCCCGTAACCGCCGAAAGGCGCCATGGCGGCGCCGGCCCGGTAGGTATTGATCCATATTTGACCCGCCTTGAGTTGACTGGCCATCTTGTGAGCACGTCTGATGTTCATCGTCCATATCCCGGCGGCAAGGCCAAAGATGGTACCATTCGCAATCTTGACTGCCTGCTCGTCCGAGTCAAATGGGATCACGGCAAGGACGGGGCCAAAGATTTCTTTTTGAGCGAGGTCGCTGTTCGCGTCAACACCCCCAAAGACCGTAGGGGCAACGAAGAGCCCTCCGATCTTTTTACTGGCTTCTCTTCCTCCCGCCAGCAATTTTGCTCCGTCCTTTTCGGCTTTCTCAATATGTCGATGTATTGATTCCCATTGTGCGGCGTGTGCAGCAGGTCCAATGTCCGTATTCATGTCCTGCGGATTACCGAACCGGATTGATTTGATCCTCTCCAGTATTCCCTGGACCACGGTATCGTACTTTGAGCGGTGAACCAGTAGCCGTGACCCTGCAATGCACGTCTGGCCCGATGCTGCGAAGATGCCCGCGACACTGCCTGGGATTGCCCGGTCCAACTCAGCATCATCCAGGATGATGTTTGCCGACTTTCCTCCCAGCTCGAGTGTCACCGGAACAATATTTTGTGCGCCTTGCTGAGCGACGATGCGCCCAACATCGACGCTACCCGTGAAGCTGATGCGGCCAATGGCCGGGTTGGTCACCAGAGCCTTGCCCACTTCTGCCTTGCCAGCCACGACATTGAACACACCGGGCGGGAATCCGGCTTTCTCCACAAGCTTCGCAAAGTAAAGTGTACTCACCGATGTGTACTCGGAAGGCTTAACAACACATGTATTTCCCGCCGCTAAGCATGGGGCCAGTTTGTTGGTTAGAATCGCAATGGGACTGTTCCAAGGAGTGATCAAAGCGCAGACGCCGTAAGGCTCGCGCATGGTGTAGTCGAAGACCTGGGGGTTGTCCATTGGCTTCACCTCGCCCGTCAACTTGTCAGCCATTCCAGCAAAGAATCGATAGTTTCTCGCCGAAAAGTACATCTGGCTCTTTGTCTCGCGTCGAATCTTGCCATTGTCGGACGTCTCAATTATGGACAGTGCTTCAGCTTCTTCCTCGATCAGATCGGCTAGCTTGTTGAGTAACTTGGCCCTCTGCCCCCCTGGAACTTTTCCCCAGGTTTCAAAGGCCACCTCAGCCGCCCGAACTGCTGCCTGCACGTCTTCGACAGATGCTTGTGCCACTTTCGCCCAAGGTTCGTTGGTGTACGGGTTAATCGTGTTTTCACTGGGTTGACTACCCTGACATTCTTTGCCGTTGATATAGAGCTGATATTCTTGTGCCATCCTTCCGGGAAAATGATGGACTGGGATCTTGGCTCAGCGGGTGCGACAACTCTATCAGTCAAACACACTATTTGGTAGAAACAGAAACACTCAGAAACTCTATCAACGACGGTATCCAGACTAGCTCAGTTCTCCTTTTGATATTGATCTGAGACGTCCGCACTCCGCAGGAGCAAATGAGTGCCGAGGTCGTGCATGCAATGCGTCTCCGACTGGAGTGCGTTCTCCTCAAAAGGATTGAGGATATTTGTCCGGTGAGGGGGCGGCTGATATTAAGGCAGAGAAACTCATTCTCCGCGTCTTACAAGGGCGCTGGTAGAAGTACCTTTCGATGCCTGCTGACCTCGAGTGGGAGGGGCATGTTTGACGCAATGAATATTTATTGGGCTCTACAAAGCCAGATGCGAAAAGATTTAGTCTTGAAGCGAGGGGCGAAGTTGAACTGTTCTGTATGGGAGGAAAGGTTGGTCGAAAGGGGATATTAACGCTGCAGTGTGCAGGATGGCTACCCAGGTAACAAGTAGTGGTAGATAGCCACCCAGGTGCCCAAGTACACCTGGCATTGGTGCCCCGGACGGACGACTTAGTTAAACCTCTACGGGCGCCGTTGGGGGCCGCCCTGTCCGCTAATATAGTCGGTGCTCAATTAGGTAGATACCTCAAAACTTCGAAATCCTCACTACCTCTGATTACAGAGCCTCACGAGCCGGTGGCATGCAGAGGTCAAGGCACACCAGAGCGGCCCACGTAAGCCTGCCGATGGCAGTGCCTCAGCCCAACACCTGCTCTCCATCAACTCCCACCGAGTGATCCGGCTGATCCCCCGCGCCTTTTGCTGGTCCAAAGCCCCTTTTGAAAGCAATCTGTCACTCCTAAACCCAAGCTTTGGGCGACAGCAGATGCCCGGGACAACCAGGACAGTCCAGCTGCCTCTCCTTGGCCCCTTCTTTCGTCCAGCGAAAGCACCCTAGATTCGGGAGTCGTCTTTAACAAACTCAGACACCCCGCCATTCTCGGCCTTATCGTGTTGACGGCAGGCATTTTAGCTCAAAGTCGACGGAGGTTGTGGACATACTAGTCGAGACAGAGAAAGCTGGAAAACGGGTCTTAGGCGGTACTCCGTCCCCAACAAGCTACAATGCCCGGACCTGGCATGCTTTGGCATTCATGCTGCGAGAGTACGCTTCTCCTGCCTACGATAACCTAACAAGGCTGTGCTTCATAGCTCACAGGGCCGTTGTATCCCATTTCCCCCTCATTCCTGTCTTCACCAATTCATTGCCTTCCGGTCTCCTGTATTCTGTTCGGTTCAAGCCTGGGAGCTTTCTACAGTGGCTGAGAAATGAGGTGTCTTATTCAGGTCGCAGCAAGCTTAGCACAAGGTTCGGTGCTTTATTATCTCTACGCCTGTCGAGGTCCTCAGGCCAGTTCCAAGTCCGAGTATTTCCCAGCTGCAACGTCGTCACACCTCTTCCTATAACCGGGAGCAGGTCCCATATATCGCGCAATGGTCCTCTTCTGCTTATGAGCAAGGTTCTTATTTATGCCTGTCATCCACGAGTCGACCTCGTTTGTCAAAAGGCCCTCGGAGCATTTGTGGACGTGGTCGGTCCAGTCTTGCACTCCCTTTTCGGTGGCTTCAATCCGCGTAATGTTGTTGTCACGGCAATAGCGAATACAGTCGGCAATCCAACCGACCGCAAATTCGATACTTCGAGGAATATTGCCAAACATCTGATGGGGTCCCATGACCATCATCATATTGGGAAACCCACGGACGAAGAGACCCAGTTGTGTGCGAGGGCCTTCGCTCCAGACGTCGTTCAATTTCTTGCTATCAACTCCCTGAAAGTCGACCGCCGTAAAACATCCCGTCACTGCGTCAAAGCCGGTAGCGTATATCAGGATGTCCAGCTCGAATTCTTCGCTGCGAGTCTTGACCCCTTTCTCCGTCACCCGCTCGATTGGGTCCTCTCGGATGTCGACCAGTCGGACATTATCTTGGTTGTACGCCTCGAAATAATGGGTCTCCATGGGTATCCGCCGCGTCCCCCAGCCGTGGTCTTTAGGAATGAGCTTCTCTGCCGTCACGGGGTCTTTGACCCTTTCTCTGATTTTATTCGCGAAGAACTCACTGCAAGCAGCATTTGCCTGTCGATCGTATGCCACGTCCGGAAAGTTGCTGACCCATTTAGCAAACCCTGGTCGCGAGTATATGTCCTCCCAATGTGCGATTCTTTCCGCTTCGGAGATGTCAACCGACTTCCTGGGTTCTGCTGGATGGACAAAGCAGGTGGCTGATTCTTTGCACTTCTTGAATATCTCGGGATATTGCTTACGGATTTCATCCATCTCCTCGGGGCTGATTTTGGCGTTGCGCAAAGGCGCCGACCAGTTCGCTGTTCGTTGAAACACGGTCAAGTGACCAACGGTTTTCACAATCTCCTGGATGATCTGTATCCCCGTGGCTCCAGTGCCTATTATCCCCACCCGTTTACCTTGAAGATTGACGGGTTCCCTTGGCCACCGGGCTGTGTGGAAAGCTTGGCCCTTAAAGTCGTCGAGCCCAGGAATGTTTGGGAGAGTGGGCTTGTTCAACAGACCCATTGCAGTGATAAGAAACCTCGAGTTATATCGGTTGCCCTTGTCGTCCGTCAATTCCCATGATCGACTGGCGTCGTGGTAATGTGCCGACTTGACTTCGGTATTGAATTGCATGTCTCGTCGCAAGTCGAACTTGTCAGTCACGAACTGAATATAACGCAACGTCTCCGGTTGAGGGGCAAAATGCTCCGTCCAGCTCCATTCGTCCAGGACCTCCTGTGAGAAGGAGTAATTGTACGAGTAACTCTCGGAATCGAAGCGGGCACCGGGATAGCGATTCCTGCAGACCACGTCAGCCTCGTCCATCCCATCCACTCAACACCACCCGGCTGCACCCACCAATACCATGTTCCTCCTTCGCCTGTGCCAGTCTCGAGGACTCTCGCTTTCAATCCAAGCTCCCGCATCCGGTACAGGGAGTAGATTCCACTCAATCCAGCGCCAATAATCAGCACGTCGAAGTCGAGTTGTGCAGCCATGGCGGAAGGTCAAGTCCAGCCCCGGTCGTCGGCTTGGTTGTTATCGATGCAGCGATCAATGGTCGAAGGAATCAATAGATTGATGATGAAGGCATCGAGGATGGTGTTTATCGCCATATCAATCCCGCACTTCTCCGCGCGCACGACCAAACCTGCCGAGGCTCACCATAGCGTGTCTTGGTCGTGCGGAGTGAGGAGATACAATGACGCGCTGTGGGTGAGCCAGTCACACGGAGTCGTCAGGAGATATCTAGATATCATGCAATTGATGAGGCCACTGGCAGAAGGATACGGCATGCCAGTTTTGAAGCAACGTCATGCTTGAATGTGGGACGAGGCCCTGACCGTCGACGGTCCAGCCTGTTTTGTGGCAACCACTCGCTCAGTTTCCTCTGCGACATATTTGGTATCGCCCGTCGAATAGGGGGGTTGAATAGTTTGAGCGATTCCTACAAAGTGTTTCAACCGTAAGTAGATAAATTATACAACTCTAAAACAGTGACAGAGTCCGTGTATTCACGATAAGCCTTGCCCTCTTTGCGAAGCAAGAGAAGAGGGTCTCGCATAACACGATAGAGGACATTGTGTGTGTGTCTCATTTATAGGGGCTGGACAGGTCTTGCCGTTGCAAACAGTAATGAGACGGGAAATGAACGGAAATTGTCCTAAAAGGTGGATGACCGACCATCAAATAACTTGAGACTTCTTCTTGTGGCTGGCTTGGGGAAAGGTGGAATTGATGTGTTCCGCGCCAGGGAGCACGCCAATTTGATACCAACTTCAATGCTCATGAATCGATTTCCGCCCAAGAACTGATTGGGAAAAGTACCAAGCGGAGGTATAGTATGTCCAAGGGTTAGAGTTGTAGGGCCTTGCACGGCTCCTTGGTGACAGAGCAGGTGGATATCGGCTTTGTGAAGGTCGGGACTACAGTAAGATCGACACACGATGACCTCGCCCCATTATGAACGACGACTCGAATCCCTTCAAGTCGTCACTATCCTCCTTTGTGTGGAGTGCTCAGCCTGAGGGGTAAATGGTATACAAAATCTGGCACTTCCAGAGCTCCACACGCAAGATCTCAGGATGGAACCATAGGTGGGTAAAGCTGGATCGAGCAACACCCCACGCTTTTGGCAAAAGACCATCCCCTTACTTTGTATAGTGTTGTGCGAAATCGGCGTCCTATCGGGACAAAAGAGATACTCTTTCTGGATCGTCTAATTATGGGAATGCCTACGGGCAGCAAGTTCGACCGCAAGTTCCGCTGACCGCAAGTTCGCTTAAATGCTTAGCAGAAGCGAACGCCAGCAAATTTGGCTGGCGTTCGTTTTCGATAATCACACAATTAAATATTGAGCAATTCTTGCAATCTAACCTCGCTGTCGCCTGTTTTGTATAGCCAACCTTAGTGTTGAGATCCTCCTGTTCTGTCTAATGGTTAGTGCCCAATCCTCAGCCTAGCGCGCCAGGCCAGGCTGTCCTAACCACCTCCGCCGACCTCTTGAGAAGGCTATGAGGGCCTTACCTCCTGGATTCCTTGCCGATCCTGTTACAGACGAGGCGTTCGATACCATTGAAGACTGCTATAAACGCCTCGTCGGATATTCGCTATCTCAAGGCTTCGACGTTGTCAAAGGCTCTGGTGGAACAAAGCAGTTTCCTGACAGTAGCTTCCTCTATATCTACCACGGCCAGGGCACGCGGAACTGGCGTAGCCTTAAGGACCACGTTAAGAGGGACGAGAACGGTGTGATCTTGTCAGATCGCCAACGCGAGTTGACTCATATCCGTGGCACTAACTGCGGATGGTCCTGTCGTGTGTCCTGGAGGTCAGTTGGTAAGCGGAACAGTGGGATTAAGGCCTTTATCCTTACTGTCAAGTCTCTGCAACATACAGGCCACCCATTGAGCGATAACCCTTTGATATTTAAGCGTCATAGAGATCGCCTTGCGGAGTTCCAGGCGGCCCTAGCGCAGGCAAGGCTACACCGATTCAATACCATGCCGTTCTCTGCTAGTCGCAGGATCCTTGACTCTCACGATTTTAGTGTTGTTTTGACGTCCAAGGAGTACTATAACTTAGTCAGATATAGGCCTGCTATCAAGGATGATGAAAAGACAATCAATGGCCTCGTTGTTACCTTGCAGGCCGAAGGGTTTATATACGAAACGCGACTACAGGAGGTAGTTAATGACACTGGCAGAATAGTCAGTAGGAAATGTCTGCAAATCTGGTTCTCACACCCTAACCTTCTCAAGGCTACCTCTCGATTTGTCGCAGGATCTGTCTGCGTTATCGATGCGACCTTCAATATAAACAGGCTGAGAATGCCTATGATCGTTGCAGTAGGTGTACTGAACACAGGTAAGACCTTTCCTGTGGCGTTCTCGTTCTGTCCAAGTGAGAGCCATACCTACTATTCCTTCTTTTGGGAGAGCCTTAAGTCGCACTTGCCAGAGAGTGTTATTCCACCTGCGGTTATCATCTCAGACTAGGCGAGAGCGATTCTTTCATCGATAACTAAGTCCTTTCCGTCCGCGAGACATCAGATCTGTAGCTGGCACGCCGTCGAGGTAATGAAGGTTAGGTTCCGTAAGATGGGCCATAAGACTGATCAGATTAGTGGACATGAAAACGCTACGGAAACACTTACTGATCTCGCCTAGGCTTATATCAATGCGGGCACTTAAGAGGCACTTAAGGCTAGACGGAACGACCTAAGATCGCAACTACTAGAACCTAAATATCTCGATAAATGGCGTAATAAGGAAGACCGAGTTATGGCAGTGTATACGTCTGAACTGGCAAATCTCGGCCACCGATCTAGCCAGCGATCTGAGTCCTATCACAACGTAGTTACACAGATAACCAACGGTCAATTGGACCTTGAGACAGCGATAAAACGCCTCTATCAAACGGTTAAGGGCGTGATTAAGGAGATCGCAGAACATAAGGATCGCTCGCTTGTAAGTTATCCACGAGGTGCCCAGGGCGCGGCGTTCCAACACTTACGATTCGCAGTCAGCGACAATGCCCTTAAACAGGTTACGATCGAGTGGTCATTTCTCTACCAACTGAAGGCCTCAGGCGCTAACCTCGGCGCCTGTCATTATTCACTACTGAAACAGTTCCTCCTACCTTATAGGCACCACCTTAAACACGCCTGGGAGACTGGCCAGCCTATTCCTCGAACGCTCCTACATCCGCGATGATAGCTAGATGGGCCGCAAATCACCTCCCTAGCATGGGTTCCTACCTATCCAAACGTCGAGACTCAAGCGCGTCCGGAACCTACAGAATCGATAGTAAATATAAGGAAGATTACACAGATTCGGCAGGCTCTAGAGGACACTGAAAGAGCGCGGTTTAATAGACAACGAGACCGATTACAGACACAGATAGAACGGCAGTTAATCGACCTAGGTGAACGACGTCTCCAGGAGCAGGACCTACCTATCAGCGCGCCTGATCCTGTACCTAAGAGAACCTGGATAAGGAGGCATGAACACGGCAGATCTACAGAGAGGGCCTTGATCACTGTCGAGATTGGCGAGCGCCAGGAGCGCAGGCAACACCAGGCAGAGAGGCAGGAACAGCGCTATCAAGAGGCACTCAATCGACGGCCTAAGAGGCCTCAAGAGGCGTTCATGCACAGCTTTCGATTTACGCCTAGTAGTGTCCAGAACGTCGTTCAGGCACCACGGCAACATCGACCACCTCCGATTACTATACAAAACACTAGGAAGGAAGAGGTGGAAGATGTGCCAGAGACCCCTCCGCCATCGACCTTGACTAGGCTAACACGCCTAGTGCCTCAGACGCCAGATCGGCCACGGCCGCGGCGCAGTCCTTCGCCTGAGGACTCTCCTGAACTGGCCTTGCCACCATCGACAGCGCCGCCTGCGATCGGTAGTGGCAGAGGTAAACGAGTCCGCAAACGGACTACTAGGCTAGTTGAGGCTAGGCAACAAGGCTTCCTACCTAACTCGCAGGACGAGTGAGAGATCAACACCAAGGTTGGCTATACAAACGGACGGCGACGAGGTCAGGCGGCGGCGAGGTCTAGGAGGAGGGATACGGAGGATGGCGAGCGGAAATTGCCACTAGCTAAATTAGGTGTAGTTGGCTTCTGCCAAGCACTAAGCGAACTTGCGGCCAGCGGAACTTGCGGTCGAACTTGCTGCCCGTAGACATTCCCCTAATTATTTGTGACTCTTCCTATTGCGTAAATACATGATTTGAAAATAATACGATGTAAATTTCCGTTTAGGGTTGGTTTCCCGAGGCGGGGATGCCCAAATCATTCTAGGGATAAATGCCCGAGATCAAAATTACAGGGACAGTGATAAAGAACTTTGAATAGATAGATCTATAATAAAGTGAAAGGGAAAACCGAAGACAGTATCTCATGAAAGTCCGTTACAATATCTAGCCGTCATGAGAAACCAGTGGCTCACCTTGCTGTTCTCGAATACCACATGATAGCGGAGATTTTGGAGGGGCAGGGAGGGGTAAGCTTCAGGCTCCCGAAGTTGCTACCCTCAGACAAGGCTGCTTGATGACCCCGCGTCCCGCACGAGATATACCATGAACGGCGGCATTTTACCTCACCCATACTGTGTTCATAATTGATCGTGGGCTTTACACAAAGCTAATTGTGTCAGTTAGCTCTAAATATCCAAGCCATCACTCCGCCATTATGGTCATGAACGAAACTACACCCGAAGTCCGAGATATACGAGCTCAACACCGCCCGAAACGTTCGCTGATAACCTCGATTTGAGCAGCTCCTCGGGGCCTTTCCCAGGATCTACCTTCATCATCCGCTCTGTCTCGTGCGGACGCTGCCTCTCGCTGTTTGACGGAAGGATTGTGCTAGCCGAACAGAATGGCCGCGGTTCTATGCACTGGGAGTGCACGGAAAGAGATGGCTGGCTCGGCCTTAAGAATCCAGTCTCTGGCAGGTACATATGTTACTCTGGCAACAAAATGCTACATTGCTCAGCTGAGCGACAAGGGAAACATGAGTGTTTCGTCGTTCGTCCGATACCGG